TCTTTTCATTCAACGTCGTGATATTTATGACGCCCGTGAAAAGAAGTCGAAAATGTATTCCTGGAAGGCATTTGTAACGGGTCTTATCGTTTCCGAATTCCCTTACCTTTGCCTTTGCGCCGTCCTCTATTTAGTGTGCTGGTACTACCAGACCCGTTTACCACATGCATCTAATGAGGTCGGAGCGATCTTCTTCATCATGTTGATCTACGAATTTATATATACCGGCATCGGGCAGTTTGTAGCGGCCTATGCTCCAAATGCGACGTTTGCAGCTCTGGTCAACCCCCTGATCGTTAACAGTTTGGTTCTGTTCTGTGGCGCCTTTGTTCCCCAACCGGAGCTTAATGTGTTCTGGAAATACTGGTACTACTACCTCAACCCGTTCAACTATGTTCTTGGAGGTATGCTCACGTTCGGTATTTGGAATGCTAAGGTGACTTGTTCCTCGGACGAGTTTGCTTACTTCGATCCGCCCAACGGAACATGCAAAGATTACCTGTTCGACTTTATGGCCGGCGCGGGCTCTGCCATCAACCTGATAAATCCAGAGGCAACTTCTCAGTGCCAAGTCTGTCAATATAGCCGTGGAAGCGACTACCTCAAGACCCTCAACATCAACCACTACTATTATGGCTGGCGCGATGCTGGAATTTGCGTGATCTTTGCCCTCAGCGGGTATGCTTTGGTGTTCATCATGATGAAGCTTCGAACCAAGGCTTCTAAGAAGGCAGAGTAAAATGCCTGGTGGCCCATCACATTCATTTCCATGGTTCCCCCCTCCATGCCTCGTCGCCCTCTGTCTTCAGCCAGGCGACATCTGGAATAGCAAGTTGAAGACTGGCTTTTTGTTTCCTCGATCATTGCTCATATTTGCTCGTTCGTGTTTTCTCCTATTTTCTGGACATGTTGCCAGACTCTTTGCATTTAAGTTCACACGCGTAGCATATAGATTCATCACCGCATATAGATCTCAATCCTTTAGATACTGATATAAATCAAAATTTCCTCATCTTTTGTTCTTTGTTTCTCTTTTATTTTCCTGGTCGACAGCTTGATAGCACGGTCCAAGTCGTTGATTATACTTTCAAATTTCTTGGAGAAATCAGCCAACATAAATTACATACGGAGGCTTAACACTTTTCCAACTGAACAACTGTTCGTGGATGACCTGGAAATCTGGCCACTCTATCTCTGGGAAGCATTACGAACGTTATCAGAAGTTTTAAAAGTCTACCAGGGTCTTTAAGCACTATAGACTCAATCATACACGGATTCATTTAGAGTAAATTACAAACTAGCGGGAGCAAAATAGCAGGTGACAAAAACATTTCAAACTTAAATCCAGCTGATAGAATATCCTGATGTAAAGAACACCTCTCTAAGTAGCAGTTAGGAAAGGCAGAGGGATATTATTAGGAAGTTTGTTGGCCAGTCGGAGACACTCGATTGTTTCAGCTGGAATGCTCTCGCATTCTTCAATATCATCGATTTCTACGGCGCCCGCCAGCTCGAGGGCAAATTCCCCTAGGGGATTTTTGGCCTCAGAGATACGGGACCCAGGGGAATCCATACTTGTGGAGCATATGACCATACGATAACTATTCCGCGGGGACATACTACCACGGGGGCAACCCGACCGTAGGGTCGTACGTCCTTGTGGGATTCTACCCTTATAGTAGAAATCCCTTGAGGGAATTTGCCCTTAAGTATCAAGCTAGCCTAAGGTGAATTGGATCTAAGAAATTTTCTTCCTACGGTTTAATTATCCTCGAGAGTGTTTACCCTTAAGATCCCCTAGTTTAGGATCGCATAGATTTATCTATCTCACTTAAAGATTTCCTTTTCGTTCGTCCTATATCTAAAAAGACTTTCCTAGCAAAAATCAAACTAGCTTATTATACTACTTCCTAAAGCCTATAGGTACTATAACCCGTGATACCTCCCTTATTAACGAGAAAAAACTAATACCCCTAGTAGATAAGTAAAGTTATTTTATCCTTAAATGCCTAGCGCTAACTTAGCGAGGAAGCCAACTTAATACAAGGTTTCCAATGGCGCCCCACGGGGGACACCAATAAGTGCGGAGCGCAGCGGATTTCTATTAAATTCGCATACGATCTATACAGTTCGCATACAATCAATTACTACATATAGAGGTTATCTATTAAACAAGGGGGGAGAACCCCCCTGAACCCCCCCCTAGATAGTAAGATTTTATACAATTCGCATCGAATCTAGTCAATTCGTATACAATCTATTAGTAGAGTGATTTTAACGCAAATCAGAGGGAGAACCCCCCCCTGAACCCCCCCCCCCCAAGGTAGTGGAATGTGTGTGGGGAAGTAAATTTCACCGCCTAATTCTGCCATATAATTCTGCCCAAGTTCGCCGAGTGAATCCCACCGCCTAATTCTGCCACAAACTGACCAATCAGAACCCTCCATTTTATGCAACACATCGCGAAAACCAGCACCACCCTCCTTGCTTAACAGGTAAACTGCGTCGCTGCACTCCGCAATAATTATACTCTGCCTATAAATATACTATAAATAGCTACGGTTTCTTACTAGGAAATTCCTTAATAGCCTAGTAAGGAATAATACTGTCGTCAAAAGTTAAAAAGTCGTTTATTTTCCTTACCAATATTTTAAATCTAGGTACTAGCGTAGGAATATTGCTCTCTGTTCTTCCCCTACCCTAAACTTTACTACTACCTTTAGACTATATAGTTATATAGTAAATGTCAACATGTGGATATTGTGGGGTCACATGACGAAGGACCCACTCATATAACCCCTCTCTCATCTAGATCTTCTTCTATAAAGATCTAACAGATTGATCCTCAACGATCTCGCATATGATTGCCTACCTAAGCAAGAGACTCTCAACACTCTGATTCTGTTGATTTATCATGTGATCTTTTGCTATGTTTCTTGTGATATAAATACTGCTATGTTACCTAGTTAAATTGAATCAAGTTTATCATCCTTTGTGATCTCTCTTCTAGATCAGTGGTACTCTTCCACAATCGTGGTACTTCTCCTTCATAGAAGTGCGCACGACCGATAGACTCATAACCGTGTATTCAGACACTACGTTGAGTATTTACCCTTATGCACACTATCGTCTTGTGTGTATAACCACGACTTTATGGTCACCGCCTAGAGTCCGACAGTAAAATACTTACTATAGTGGGGGAACTACTGACGATTTTTGGAACGTTTCCTGTTTGGTCTGTTTGATTTGTTTAATTTATTTGATTTATTGATGCCGAGGAGCCACGTCATCGCTTCCGGGGCCTACAGAGCGATCGGGTGAAGAATAGAGGGTCTTCAGGGCGTTCAGGTGAAGGGGCTGAAGGGTAAAGCGACAAGGGCAAATGTCCTCACAAAGTAAAAAAATAAAAATAAAAACATACAACAGCCAGGATTCGCATGTGGTCACCCACCATACTACTAACTGGCCGGCGTGTGGCTTAAGTACGGCTGAGCGGACGGGAAGCCCTGTTCTCCACACCCTATGGTCGTATGTGCTGGAACTGAGGCAAAATTAAATAAAGTATTTATCAATTGAATGTATTCGACTCTGATAAATGCATTGAGCGCTAAATTAGCATCATCCAACTAGTGGTAAGAAGGGTAAGTACGTAATAAACAGGGCGAGATCTAGTTGAGAATACGTAAGCGCATTAAGACATGTCGCGCGATTGCGTCCTGACTATTTTAGCTGTACCATACAAATATGGGATCATTATTTTACCCTTAACTTGAATCGCCCAATCCGTTACCTATGGTATATATGTAGGGGATACCCCCCCTCTGGATATAATGAACCCCCCTGCCTGTAAATGCCTAAACCTTGAGGCGCGAAGGCATCAAGGCAAATACTTTGTCTTGTTTGCTCACAGAATAATATCTTTCCAGGCTCCTCCTTCTCACCGCCCTTACCATCTTCCTCACCGCCCTCACCGCCCACCCCCAAGATCCACCGCTACCACTGTAAGTCCTCCGCAACCACTACCAATCCTTCTTTTTCTAGTGGTAACCGTGGTGGGCGTAGGCGTGGTGGGCGTGGTACCTCTTCGCTAGATAATCCAGAAGATATAGAGGATTTAGAGGTTCTATTAGAGGATTCTGTAGAGGATAAAGAATCTACCATCACTAGGGCAACTAGGAGATCTACTAGATCTACTAGGCCTACGTAGTAAGGTAACTAGGACTAGTTGTATTACTAAGGAAGGTAATTAGATTTATATAAATTCAACATAGATTTCTCTATCAAAATGGTAGATTTCATGGTAGATTTACTATATAAACTAGAAGGTAGACCGTAGAGACTAAGGTGGTAGGGTGATAGCGGGTCATGGGCAGAAAGGGTGGTAGAATTTAGGCGGAGAGAGAGTGGTGGCAGAACCTTAAACAGAAAAAAAGTTGGTGGCCTTAGTGCCTTCGCGCCTTAAAGTTCAGGCATTCTAAGGCGGGGGAGGGGGGGTTCATTATATCCAGAGGGGGGGGTCATTTTATCAATCCCCTATGTGTATATGCGCTCAAGTATACACTCGGCTAACGGTGTGTTGTGATTCCAATTTTACTTGGTGGGTAATACTCCCTTAGACGCTATACAAAATGTCTTATTTCTATCGCTATCTATTCATCCGTATGGCTTGTTCGTCAATTTGTGGATCATTTTAAACAATACGCTTCCAAGGCGGCAAAGGCCAGCAGTGATGTAAATCAGCCCATATACAGTAGTCACAGGAACCACCGAGGTTCCGCCATTTAGGACCAAGTACCAGATGCCACAAAGTCAATGAATTCGATGAATTTATTATTTAACTTGTCATCAGCTACCAGCCACTCATCACAAAGGTAGGCTGCAGAAGAATTAAGACCTCAGTTCTTAACACCCCCTGGAAAAATTCCTTAAAGCTGGATTTTTTATTACGGGATTTCGAGCACGAAACCAGACTTTAGCTTCGTCAATTCCCAGGAGGGTCACTAGAAGCATTTTTCCGAACATATCGAGATCGCTAGGCTGAGCATCTTGTAGAGCAGAGGAAATCTCAAGATTATGAACGACGAAGTGTTTTCTTTCCGAATAAACATCAGCGAAGTCAAACACGTTTTGAGCCTGCCATAGATGGGCCGAGAGTAGAATGCGTGTTCTCCAAAGAGAGTGTATGTTACGGTGCACTTAGCCTTCCCACGAAGGAGCTTGAAAATTTTAATGAAGTAAAACGCGCAAAGTACTGTTTTTCTTGCTGATTCTTGTAGCACCCAAGATTCCTAGAAATTTCCAATAGAGTCTATCGATAGAGAGGGAATATCAGTATCTCCCTTTTGGTCTGGGATGACTAGTCGCTGCAACAGTAGATAGGCTGACGATTCAAGTGTCGCCAAGGTTTGATCTTCTGTTGCCTGGGAGCAGATGTCGCCATCGAAGAGTCGCATTATTTGAAAAAGAATTAATGAATGATTAAGAGTGAGGATTTCTAGGTCCGAATTGGGTTCCGGTAACAGAAGCACGTCTCGCATTCGATCGTCAATCAACGACATAATGAGTGCGGCGTAGATTTCATTTTTGGACATATACAACGAGCAGCATGTATAGGCGTCTGTACTTTTGCTAGCGTAGTACCGGGTTTGTCATGCAATGGTTTCAATCACCTTTTATTGATTTAGGCATATGATCCTTATAAAGGTATCGGTGGCACCAAGGGGTTTGATTTTCAAGTACCATGATCTTGGGCGTATTCTTCAGGACATCGATGGCAAACTGGAAACGAGATGCGATTATCTGTGGGAGGGACTTTGGTGGTCTTTCCCGAGGTATGAGCAGTTCATTTGACATAGAGCGTGTTGCTATCGTCGAGGCAGCGAGCCACTGATGTTCAGGCATCGAATGGGAATATTGCCATGGCGCATGATCCACGCTAGGGAGGTGTGATTGCATATCTGATGCCAAGCTCAGTGCCGGATGGATTCCCGTGTTGCCACAAAGTCCTGGAGTTGCGCTGGCTTGCAGCCATAACGCGTTGATAGGGGTTCCTTTCAAAAAGTCTGGGTAAGGTGAAGGTCGCTCCCCAGGATACTCGCAGGACAGGTTGTTCTGAACACATCTAGTGCAGAACGGAAAAATTAGATCGCATCGTCTCTTTGCAGCTCTGCATGCTTCGCATGACTTTCGTCGGGACGATATAACTCGGTCGGACATTCCTTCTGCACAAGAAAGGGCATACAGAGAGTTGGGGTCATAACTTCTGGTTAGAGTTTGGATGCCTTGGGGATTCCGATTTGAGACTGGCGCGCGGAGTTCGGCACGCTAGTACCTTAGAGCAGTCTCAGCCTATGCCGCTGTCCAATCAACTTTGACTTTGACCGGCCTCATGGATGCTCAAATTATATGTATTGTTGGCCTGGAAAGCTCCCTCGGCAGACTGCACTGTAGATTGACATCGAAAAGCAGTTAAGGGAGTCAAAATCCCACCAAGTATGATCAATCCTCTGTCTACCTTCGTCATATAAGTCTTAAAATTTCGTTTCTAGAATGTCTTCTCCAAGAGTCTTCGTTTGTGGTGCCACTGGCACCCAGGGAGGTGCTCTCGTCAAATATCTAGTTAAGCACGGGATAGGAGTCCATGCCATCACTAGGAATATCGACTCGGTGATCAGCAAAACGCTTCAATTATCCGGAGTCCACCTCACAGAAGGTGACTTTAACGACGAACAAACTCTTGGGGAAACCATGTCTAGCTGCACCGCGCTTTTCCTCAACGTGTGCCCCACCCACAACAATCCAACCGAGGAGCTCGAACAAGCCAAGCGAATGATTTCTATTGCCAAAAGGAGTGGTATTGAACATATTATTTATACCAGTATTCTGAGTGCCACGAACACCCAGAAAATGCCGTACTGGAATCCTGATAGTGTTATGGGCAAGATGATTTCAATCAAAGAATCTATCGAGAATGAAGTTCGACGAGCAGATTTCCAAGGGTGGAAAATTGTACGTCCAGGCAATTTCATGTCCAATTATCTTGATCCCGTGGTCAGGATGTATCCAGGGCTGGTCGAAACTGGAGAATTCAGGACGGCTCTTTCACGCGACACCGTAATCCATATGGTGGACCCTGAAGACATCGGGAAGATGGCCGCGGCCGCTATCATGAATCCTACCAAGTTTCATGGCAAGAATATTGAAGTCGCGTCAGAGGTCAAGCGACTTGAGGAAGTAATGTATGACCTGTCAACTGCCACCGGGAGAGATTTGAAAGCAAACTTCTTGTCCGAGAAAGAAATTAGGGAGCAGATCACAGAAAACCCATTTCTCAACGCGCAGCTACTTCTGTGTGACATGCCACAACTTATCAAGCCTGAGAAAGTAGAGTGTTGGGGTATTAATTTGGGAACATTTGCGAGATTCCTTCAACGCGAAAAGTTATGGGTCGCAAGAACCTATCTGGAACTAGGAGTTTGACCCTTTCCCCTTGATATAATAGCAACTACGCAGACCAGTTACGGCCTTTTAGCAACAATACTGATTGTTTCTACAAATAAAATAATGCACATCTGTAATAGCGAATAAAATTTCCCTGTTAGCTACTAGCTTAACCTCCGTGTCGTACGCATAAGGCTCTAGGCACCTTTATAAATCATACGTGAAAGGCCCCACAAATCTTGTCGAAGTTAAAAAGGCATTGCACCAAATCCTGTCGGAAACCATATTCATCTGCAAACCAAACTCACGGTCGCTGCAAAACCGCAGAGGTCGATTTCACTTCGCTTGTGAATAAGGATGAGTAAACTCGACACTCCTACAAGCCGAAGCGTTCAATCTTGCTGTTTCATCTTCTCATCGAGCCAAGTCTGAGTAATACTAGAAAATGTGTGAAACTGTACGGAATCTCCCCAACCACAAAGCCATCCAATGAAGCGGTCAACCATACCGGCTACATGTGCTATGCCACTAGTGTCAGGATGCATCAAAAGGGGGAAAACAAAACTGCCATCTTCCAAGTCGGGATTTTCCCACAGCCAGAGAAAAATGTCTTTCCAACGCTGTTCAACAACACGAGTATCCACATGTCCATGACTGTTGTGGAGGTGTGGGAAGTATTGGAGGGCTATTATGTCCTCATTGTCCCAGCCAGTGGGAAACTCAATAAGTGGGCGTCCGGCCAACGTACTGTCCATATCCGGTGGTTATGTCGGTCGCAGCCAGCTACTCGCAGGTTTCGAGAAATCAATTAGTTCGACAGGCGGAGCACATTGGACAACGTATGGTTGAGAGCCATGATGACTGGGTGAGGAGGCATAGAGAAATCCAAACTCTTTGAGAAGCTCGATGGTGGTCTCCCGAACATGACCAGCAGCATGATCGTATATGCGTATGCGCTGTACCATCCAGATTATCAACCACAGAGATGGCATGTGTTTGTTTGTTATCTGGTCATTTCTTGGATATGTTGTTTCACTGTGATGTTCATGCAGCGGGCGCTGCCCCTTATTAGCCGATTGGGATCGTTCTTCATCGTGGCAGGCCTCCTTGTCAACATCATTGTTTTCGCCATAGTTCCAGGCAAAAAGGAGCCTGGCTACGCATCGAGTTATTTTGTCTGGAAGGGATGGCAGAATATGACCGGCGATTCGAGCGACGGTTTCACCTTCCTAGCCGGGATGCTTAATGGAGCCTTCGCTCTTGGAGCGATTGACTGTGTTATACACATAGCAGAAGAGATCCCTCAGTGCGTACTGATCTCATGGAAAATCTTTTCAAAATCTAACAGTTTCACCTTTTTATCGGAGCATCTAAATATATCCCCAAAGTTTTGGCTTCTCAAGTGACGATCGGCTTTGCTACTGGTTTCTGCTATTTGGCTGCTTTACTCTACTCAACGACTTACCAAAGATCATGAGGACAGACTCTATTTGTCCGATCGGGGATATTGATCTTCAGGCAACTGGATCTAAAGCTGGAGCCGTGGGTCTTTTGGTCAGCACTATTTCCCCAATCTTTTGTGCAACAATTGGCTGCTATATCACATCCGGTCGGACAATTTATACCCTCGGTCGCGACGGAGCCACTCCGTTCGCTCGGTAAATCGGAGCTGTCAGCTCGAAATGGCATAGCCCATTGAGCGCAACTCTGGCTTGCGGCATCTCTGTGGCCTGTACTGGTGCCATATACGTGGGGTCATTGACAGCATTTAATGCCTTCATTGGATCATTCGTTCTGCTGACTACGCTTTCATATCTCCTCGCGATTCTGCCACATCTTATGACAGGCCGCAAGAGCATCCGGCCTGGGCAGTTCTGGATGGGCAAGCACGGATACTTGCTCAATACTGTCGCTTGTGCCTATATTGTGGTCTCATTCGTGATTTACTCATTTCCCTACAGTTTACCCACGAATTCCGAGTCCATAAATTACACAATTGTGATCAGCTGTGGTATGACCGTTTTGGTCGGCGCTTGGTGGGTCATCCATGGCAGGAAGAACTTTCAAGGGCCAGAGCTTGAACACTTAGAATAGGTGAAATCGTGAGACGAGGATTTCATGGCATGGTCTGTCTGGTTATAGCGTGAGTCGTTGGTGTGGGAGATAGCGTAGCCCGACATTAATTGATCTTTGAATAAAACCCACAATATTGTGCAAAACAAGGATCAACAAATAGAAAACAAAGCCAACCGAGTAGTGCAAAAAAAAAAAAACAAATCCATTGCTTGAATAATGGCTGTAGGGGGTCGTTAGTCGTTCTCGCTGGCTCCTGCCAACTCCAAGTTCCCCCTCGGTTGGGTGAAAGTTTGACTTATCAACCCCGCCTAGCGACTGATAATCAGGTCGTCTAGGTACTTTCATTTCATTTGTCATTTTTCATGAAAGCTTGAGATCCGCATCCACCCGCTATCGTTGTTTCCGCTCCATAGAGATAACATTTGCCGAGATATGTAGTCATGACTCACTTACTCCGCACGGTCTCCATCGACCCCGCACTGGACAGCTTGGAAGCATTTACAGACTCCTCTTTTGTTGATGAACTCGGTATAAACGAACATTTCAATACAACGTCATAGCGATATCAAGATTATGAAGCAGATCTAAGCCCATGAAAAAAACCGGACCCGGAGCAGATAGCAGTCTATGGACTAGTTGAATTGCCGTCAAACCCCCTGAAATCGTCAATTATAGCGGGAAATTGTCTCCATGAGCTTAATACCGAGAACCACCACCAAGCGTGCCCCACGCGCGCAACAGTCGAGGTTGAAATCGGTGACATTCACAGGGTAAGGTCAGCGGTTGAACCGAAGTGGAACTGGTGCGCTAACGTATTTTAGGTGCTGGACCTGCAGGTCTCGTAAGGTTAAGTGCGATGAACGACAAGAAAATGGGTGTGTTGCTTGCGAAAAAGCTGGCGTGAACTGTGAAGGCTATCAAGTCAAGTTATGTTGGGTGACTGGAAAGTATCAGAGTCCCCATGGCTTCCAACGGCGAAAGATCAAACTTGGTTAGTCTGATACCCCATCTGGCCATCATCGATCTGGAATTGAATTACTGATGCAATCATCAGATCCCTCTAGTATCTCGCCGTCTATTCCCGATGAAGAAATAAACCAAATGCTATCCCACTTGGACACAGTCTCCGCCTGCCGAGATACTATAACAGTGGGCCCGTTCTCGATATTCCACGGGCAGCCTACTTGTGTTAACGCCGATCACTTGGGGGAATATTTCCCAGTGGTGGAAGCTGCAATAAACCTATCGAGTGGGGGCGAAGAAATATTTGACAGTGTCCTAGGTGATGTTTCGAGCAGAGAGGAAGATAATATATTCGTCGACAACGCAGCGGATCCTCAGGAGCATTCTACATCGGCTATCGTCCCAATACTTGATGATTCTCGTACAAACAGCACTGCGACAATATTGGACCCAGAATCAGGCTCTTTCGAGGACTCCATATCTCTGATGAATGTCAGTTTGAACCAAGCATGTGAAGTCATACCGAACATGGTGCATATGCGCCAAGCGAGATCCCCTTCGCCTCGGATGGATATGGCGAGTCCCTTATTCCCAGATACGAACACATCCATGCTCATGTATCATTACACGAAGCATGTTGCTGAGCTTCTACAGCCAGTTCTACATCCAAGAAATCCATGGAGAACCACCTATTTTCAGTTCGCTCTGCAAGGCTGCCCTGATTTCGCCTACAATGAGTCTCCGAGCCCGGAATTCAAAGTCTCAACCGCAATCTTCCACAGTGTACTATCATCAGCTGCATTCCACCTTCGAAATGCTACCAGGGGCTCCGCAAAATATCACAAGCTTGGTCTTCGGCACCGGACCAAATCACTTCAGGCCTTGAATTCCGCCATCCTCGATCCTTGGGATTCCAAACTGTATACAGCATACCTCACTGCTATGCTCTCTTTGGTTACTATAGATGTGGGTAATTGAACATAACATTGCCCGAGCTTACACTGGATCTAATATTTCAAGTTAGACTATGACAGGCGAAGACTCAGACTTCCCAATCCACTTGAATGGCTGCCGACAGTTGGCAAGCTCGGCACAAAAAGGAACCGACGACCCGAGTAACCAAGTCCGCAGCATTTGCCATGTTCTTACTCTTCTTGCGCGAACGACTTCATCTAAACTTCTGGCTCCGCCCCGAAACAGGCAGATAAATTCAATGAGTCGCCTTACTTCCACGATGAAGACACGAGCATTGAATATATCTACGGAATAACCCCAACCCTTGGTAACCTGCTACAAAGAACTTGCTATTTGGCCGAATGCCTTTCTGCATATCGGAGAAGTGATATACCCATCGAACTGTTCGAAGCATGCGAGGCTTTGAAAATCGACATCCTTACATGGGAGATTAGTTCAGAGCAATTTCAACTCATGGGGTCTGATTATACAATGAGTGAGATAGCTCGGTGCCAAGCCCGCGCATTTCACAGCGCTGTCTTGATTTATTTTCATCGAATTGCTCTGAATGAAGACCTCAAGGGCTTAGATGACGAGGTTCGCTTCATTCTAAATAACCTCACCGATGCCGAAGACCTCAAAGATCAGTATATGGGAGGCGACAAGCGAACTGCACCTATGTCTTGGCCTGCGTTTATTGCATCTTGCGAATCATTTGACCGTCAACCCTGGGTAGAATGGTGGACACGCATCCAAGAGTACAAGATTGGGAATTTCAGAAGACAATGGATGGTTGTTCAAGAGCTTTGGGATATCATGGACAAGGACGTGAGTGTCAAGAACTGGAAAGATGCCCTAGAGAAGTCAGGGATTCTCGTTCTGCCAATTTGATGCTGTCCGTGACATGGGAAGGGCAGTGTTCTTCGGCTCAAGAGAGGGAATTGACGAACAGAATTGATTGTGCGCTAGGTGTTGTATGTGCAACTTACTTTTCAAAATAATATGCAACCGTCCTCTCAATGAAAACACCGGCTTTCAAATTATATAATCGCCTATTCTCGCATATTTGAAACATCTGAAATCCTTGTCTGCCTCGTAGCCCTGTCCCTCTCATGTTCAAACTTCCGGATGGTCTCGCTTCATTGCTGGATCTTGAGCGGAGATCGCAAGTCACCGGTGACGTGTGAACTCAACTTGACATTCATGCTCCTAAATAATATCAGCGTGATGATCAAATACCTTCTTTAACAGGCCATGACTTACCCGCATTCCGTCACAACTTTCCTCGTAGAACACCTCATAACGAGCGGTTATACCTGGAGAAGCGAGATCGAATCCACCCTTGGTCGTCGTTGAATATTTTCTGTATATCGCAGCCACGAGGGTCGTCATCTCAGCCATTGCGAGGCTAGAACGCATTAGATGAATTTCTTTGATCAGACAATTTCGAGGAATTGAACTTACTGCATTCCGATACACATCCTTCCTCCACTGGAAAATGCCCAGAACCATTGCTTCATCTTTATGGAGTCAACCGAAGACTCTAGCCAGCGGTCTGGATTGAATTTTAGTGGATCAGCGAAGACTTCGGGATTTCGGTGAAGCGTGTATGGAGCAATCGAAACGGTGGTTTCTGGTGGGATACAGTAGCCATCAATCGTGGTGGCTGTGGGAAGTGCGCGTGGCTCAGACCCCGGCAAGGGGGGATATAGTCGGAGTGTTTCTTTGATCACTGCATCCACATAGAATAGTTTGTCGCAAACATCCGTTCGTGGGATTCCATCCGTATTCAGGTCTTCTTCAGGTATATTCTTGACCTCCTCAATCAACCTCCTTTGGTATATAATATTCTGTGGCCGCGAGAGGGACCAGATCAAGAACATCAAGGTGTCGCTGGTGGTGTCTATTCCTGCGAGAAGATGATCTGCGCATTCTGACGCGATATCGAGATCATCTAGGCCACCATCCTTACGAGAGGAATGCTGATTCCATAATCTTGAGACCAAAGACTTCTCATTGACCTTTTCATTGTCAGGCGCCGAGGCAAAATTCTGGCAAGCTTTCATAGCATGGTTTCTAATCCCAGAATAGGTCGTAGGCTTCTGCATGGGGTAAAACTGACTCGTAACGCAGCCCAAAATGCCACTTTGGGCATAGAGCCACTTTGTGAACTTCGGAAAGTGGACCGAGTACCACGAAAGTCTGCGGCGAGATACATCAATGATATCCCCGATAAGGTCACGATCTGTCTCGGAGCCCTCTAGACAAGAAGTTCTTCCGAATTTTCCATAAAGAAACTCGGTGATATTGTCGATCGAAAAATAGTGCAATGTAGAGAATATTTCGCTCGTTGGGCCGTCCTTTTCCAGGAGAGCCAGGTACAGTTTGGCCTTTCGTTCCACCATCGCGGCATTGTCTCCTTTCAGCATGATGGACTTTGCGTAAGCGTGGGCAAATAGTTTCTTTCTTTCACCATGTTCTTTCACAGTGGAAAACGAGAACATGTTCTTTCGTCCATACGCCTCGAACATTTTGTAAAAGCTAGTTCTTTGAAAGCCACTCCCTGCACCATAGATCGCTCGAAGCGCCGAAATGCTATTGAACGAGACTTCATTGGGACCGATTCGAACAACAGGGCCGTATTTTGCATGGAGTGAGTGGATTTTGCGAGTCCGAGTACCTTTGTAGTCCTCGTACGCCAGTTTTGCTCCAGTCCAGGCGAATGAATGGGGACCTGGAACTTTCGCTAGGGCGCTGAAGACGAACAGAGAACAAAAGTGATGAATGAAAGCTGCAACAATGAAAGCAGCGACCGCGCCGATTGCGAGAGACATGGTTTCACTAGTCCTCCACTTGTTTTAGGGAAGATGGGGTTGGCTCGATAAGGATAGGAGAAATAATTTGGAGAGCAGTCACTACTGGACATTAATTCAAGAGGCATTGTGGTTTATCACTGTTTAATGTAGCGGGTGAGGGGTTCAACGAAGGTCCACCGGGTGGACTTTGAAAAAGGAAGGCACAATGTATATTTTTGTGAAGGCAAGCGCCAGCGAATTCTTTGTTAACACCAGTGGGGAGCGCCGCCCCCGCCCCCATCGCGCAGCGAATGAATCTGCTCCTCGACGAAAGCCGACATTCGGCCCCCACTAACTACGACGGTAGTCAGCCACGAATCCTTTGATTAACGGTTCGAGGATTGGCCCTTGAGATAGGAAGATTGGGCATTAGACAGTGCACTTCACATCCCCGGTACTTTTTGTGAATCACATTCCTCTTCACTTGGGTGGCTACGAGGTGTTTCCTCAGAAAATGAAGGATTGATGAAATTTGTCTCAAGTATCCGAAACACATGCTAAAGAGACTGAACCATGAGGCGAGAACACACAATGAAATCGGAAGATTGAATCCACTTCGCATATCTCTACTCTTGTGGGGGTGCTACTGATCATGGTTGAACACTTCCTTTGTCTTAAGAGTTTACGAGTATTACTTTCACGAGTGGGCGCATAGGAAGGCTGATTTAACTCTTGAAACATCTTTATTTGTCATTTGCGTGCTCATCCTAGATCAGATGTCTTTTTGATAGTCATATAAAGCCATCGAGATGGCCTTGAGACGTCAAAATACCATCTGAACACCTTGTTGACGCGTCCATACTTCAACTTTTGCTTATCTTCAACCTCCCTCTGGTTTTCTTTGGCGTATATGTTTTTTTTTTTCGAGATGTCTGAGCAGAAAAGACCTCACATCGAACAAAAGCGCGCCACTGGACGGGCGAAAAGATTAAGGACTGTACCTGCGGATCCTGAGAGGCTTTTTCCAGAGCCTTACAAAAGATACCCCCCTTCCGTTCCCCCTATCACGGACCCCAAGAACGTGCCTGCGGGCTGGAATGCAGAGGATGACGATATAGATGAAAGGTAACAATTAACTTACAAGAATTGAGGCCTTCTTTTTTAATGCAGTTTACAGAGATGTTGAAAAATGGATCCAGCGTTGTCACGACAGAATTCAGGACGGCATTATGCCGCAGTGGTGGGAGAAAAAGCTGGAGGTGTACCAGGAAATCAAGAAAACAATTGATTCGGTAAAGGATTCCGAAAAGTCAGGCCTGAGTTTGGAAGCCGTTATGCGTGTGAAGAATCTCGAGCTCATCGAGGAATACCTCGAAGCCGAAGGGGACCCATTTTCACAACTCGTCAATATCACTGCGCTCATAAAAGGCTATCGAGATGGCACACTGACCTGGGAGGACGGAAGGGTCTCTTACTGGTCGAACGGAAAGTGCATGCATGGTCCCGTTGCCTTTGACATGACCTTTGACGATGCTAAAAAGTACAACCAGCTCTGTAAGGGGAAGTCATTTTGGGTCGAAGGAGTAAGTTTTTGTTCTCTTGGATTATACTATGAAGAATTCCCGACAGCTTGCTGATTCAACATTCAAGTTAAATGGGCCTGGGGCAGTCCCCATGCTTGCGTACAATACCCCTGCATGGAAAAGCAAAGGCCGTCCCAAAAGGATGCTTCTTCATCATCACGAAGTAAGATTCACCCGCGCAAGTGCTACAACTTTTATTGATACTAACTTGAACGAGTAGATTGATTTCTACTTTCGAGTTCCTGGGGTAGGAAGTCAAATTTCCAATGTTGATTACGGCCACCAAGCTACGCATCGCAAGTTTATGGATGACACAGGGTCATCTATGCCAATTGTATTCCAGGACGACGTGGAGCGGATCATATCCTATGCAGGTGGATCCAAGCCTCCTTTCTTGTGTTATGTCCACTCAACGAATGCGGATCGGGGCACGTCAGTTAATCCAACGTGTTTGATTGAGTACAACATCAGGTCGACACTTCCGAACCACGACTGGATGCGACCTCCTAATCACTGGGTCTCGGTACAGTCAATCATGAAGCCTCATTATTTCAACCCTGTAGTTGACTACAGACTGAGCGGCATGTGGATGCGGCGTATTCTGTATACTGCAACGGCCCCTGATAATCTAGGCCTGATCTATCTCGCCGAGAGTTTTGCCGCACTGAGAGACTCCCTGCCCCAAGCAGATGTGCGAAATGCAGTTCCGCAACCAGCTTACGGGCCATCAGACCCGGAAACCGTCAACACAGCGCCAACAATCTACGTTAGGAGGTTGATGAACGTTCCACCATAAGCTGCGCCAGCTGGTCGCTCACATGTTGTGGGTAATATCACACCTCGATCATCTCGGCCACTGCTGGGTGAGGATTCTGAAGTTCGAGGCAGAGAGAAATATAGCTGCTTCGGTGTAGCCAGGGTTACTGTGCTTTTGAATGCCAAGTTTGATCTGCTTTGTTTCTTTTGTTCCCATCGTTGATGTTTTGTTGATATTTTTGGATCCCTGTTAGCCTGGGCCCATTTCTTTTTAGTAATTTCCTTGAATACTCTGCTTGTATTGATTCTAGATTTTTGCTTTGTTTTTGATTAGGTTCCACGATCGAATTTTACCAATTCAGAAGACCGTTACTACACTTTGGCTTCATTGCAAGTCAGGTATTCTCTACTTAACATGGCTGAGTTTTCTGTCATTTTTACGTATTGGAAAGCGTTCATAGAGAGTGCAATGCGGTTAGTTTTGCCCTGGAAATTGATGTTACTATTCCTCTCGCGAGTTTTACTTCTGAAGTGTTGTCGGCCAGGTTTCTCTCTTGGGAGACCTTGGCTTATCTATCAAAAGTGATCATTATGGGAGGTATGACTGATCAGCCGACATAGGTCCGGGTTTCTTAAACAAAAGGGGCAAGACATAGGTCACATCGAAAGCGTGCAGAATTACACTGATCGGAAGGGCAGAAGGCAAGAAAAGAACACTGCACGGGCTGGTTGTGTGGCGATGTAGTAAAGCAACCGCCAGCGAGCGGCAGGATGCGGGGTAGTTTTAGAGGTCAAACCCAAGGGAGACCTGCCCATTCGTCTGCCACAGCCTTGGAGCCATGTATATATAGATAATCATCTGAAAGGATTCTTCATGTAGCTACAGTTCTGATAATTAGACGCTCACACAGGGTCATTGTTTTCAACAACCACTCCCAATATCTCGATAATTCAGGGTACACAATGTCACCGAATTACCATGACCTGTCGCAGTCGCGTGCATTGACCCGAGTCTCCTTGAGGTGGTTACCTGAACCGCCCTTTGAAAACACTGAAACCCTTGTTCTGATGGTGGGAGAATGGTATGTTGACCTGAGAGTCGACAAACAATCCGGTGCCCTGGATTGGGCAATCGCTGGCCAATGTCTCCTGAAGGACACCGACCCACGTATTTATTACTTCATCTCGCCCCTATTATCTTTTTTTTACGGCGAATTAATTCCAATTGATAGGTCGCATTGTCTTCACACATACAATTGACTCCAACGGTAACTTTAATGTGAGCAACCCTTGTCCCTTCATACCGCTTCTCAACGGATATGACTTGGAGACGGGCGCAATGCCCCGCCCTGATGTACCGGGGAAGCCAGTTACCGAGTACGAAGAAGTGTGGAGATATCTTTCGAAGAAGGAAATTGGCATGGGCGAGATGGAAAAGCCAATTGCATGGATCCTGGAATCCGAAGAGGATGTCGCTAGCCATTACTTACAGGGAGGAACCACAACTTTTCTTGCTCGCATAGAGGGGAGGCACCTGGCTTTACAGCAGATGCGGACTGATGATAGAGGCAAGCCAGGCGACTCGGATTGGGAAGAGAATATTACTGGTGGCGAAGTGAGTGCCAGGTCAGAAGAATATGTGGATGGCCATTGGAGAGTGAAGCATGCTCTGGGACCGGGGCATGCTAATCTTCCATCAATCGCCAGTATCAATCGCCAGTGATTTCGACTGTCATGTTCAGTATTCCTGGGCATTTACAGGGCAGAAGGTTACTGTGAAAGACCGTCGATATGTTGTTCGAGCTTTCGACGTTGCCGATGTACTATCGAAGCCCACACAATTGGCCAAGATTTGAATGACAAGAGTAAATTTAGAATAGAGGGTAATGGAAATAAAATACAAATCAATTGAGTGACAAATCGGTCAACGTCATGTAAGCAAGAAGTTGCTCGTATCTACATGGACAACGTGAAACGCTAGAATAAAAGACCGAGTTCAGAGAGGTATCACAGTATTAAGTTTACTGAATTGAGGCCCTTCAGCCCATCAAGAATATAAGTAAAAGGAGACCATGGACTTGAATGTCCAGCACGAAGAACAACGTATCAACATTGGCGAATGATGAATGCACAAACCAGCCGCCACCAGTATATGCTCTATTCGTCCACTAGGCAGGCTTAATTGGCTGTTTAGATCTGCATGGCAACGGCGCAGATGGCACCGAAGACAACGGCGACACCCGACAGGGTAGCGCGGCCGGCGGCGTTGAAGACAGGAGTAGCACTGGGGGTGCTAGCGCTTCCAGCAGAACCAGAACCAGAGCCAGATCCGGTGGCTCCAGTGGGAGCAGAAGAGGGAATGAGGCGGATAGAAGAGATCTTGCCGCCGGGAGCACTGGAGGGGCAGATGGTGGTGGTGCTGTGGACGGTTACGGTAGCACCGGCAGGGCGCGAGGCAGAGGGGCGACCACCGGAGGGGAATTGACCAGGGGCACCCGGGGCACCGGAAGGTCCGGAGCCGGGGACAGGGACGCCAGAGGTCTCGGAGCTAGTGTCAGGAGCAGTGACGGTGAGAGAGCCAGTTGGGACGCTGCCAGGGATGGTGGACGAGTCGACGATGGTGAGGGTCTTGGTAGAGCAGTCCTGGCAATCGGCCTCACCGAGGACAGCAAGGCACACGTTGACAGGGATATTAATCAGACCGGTGGTGGAGTCGGAGTTCTGGTGGCAGTGAGCCTCACCAAGGACAGCCAGGCAGATGTTGATGGGGACGTTGATCAGGGAGCCACCGTTGCTGGTGGAGGTAGAGGCCTGGTCACACTTGGCCTTTCCGAGAACAGCAATGCAGGCGTTGACGGGGACGTTGACCAGGCCGCTGCCGGTGGTGGTCTTCTGGCTGCACTCAGCCTCTCCCAGGATAGCGGCGCAGAGTCCAACGGGCACGTTGATCAGAGAGCCACCGTTGCCACTATCGTTACCGGAAGAAGAAAACTGGTCGCACTTAGCCTTTCCAAGGACGGCAACGCAGGCGTTAACAGGGACATTGACCAGGCCGCCGGCGGTAGTGCTCTTCTGCTTGCACTCAGCCTCTCCGAGGATGGCGGCGCAGATGTTGACGGGGACGTTGATCAGAGAGCCACCGTTGCCACTATCGTTGCCGGAAGAAGTCACCTGGTCGCACTTAGCCTTTCCAAGGACGGCAACGCAGGCGTTAACGGGGACGTTGACCAGGCCGTCGGCGGTAGTGCTCTTCTGCTTGCACTCAGCCTCTCCGAGGATGGCGGCGCAGATGTTGACGGGGACGTTGATCAGAGAGCCACCGTTGCCACTATCGTTGCCGGAAGAAGTCACCTGGTCGCACTTAGCCTTTCCAAGGACGGCAACGCAGGCGTTAACGGGGACGTTGACCAGGCCGTCGGCGGTAGTGCTCTTCTGCTTGCACTCAGCCTCTCCAAGGATGGCGGCGCAGATGTTGACGGGGACATTGATAAGGGAACCACCGTTGCTGGTGGACGAAGAGGCCTGGTCACACTTGACCTTTCCAAGAGCAGCAACGCAGGCGTTAACAGGGACGTTAATCAGACCACCGCCGGTGGTGGTCTTCTGGTTGCACTCAGCCTCCCCAAGAATGGCGGCGCAGAGTCCAACAGGCACGTTGATCAGAGAGCCATCACTACCACCATTGCCACCATCGTTGCCGGAGGAAGAGGCCTGGTCACACTCGGCCTCACCGAGGACAGCAAGGCACAGGTTGACGGGGATGTTAATCAGACCGCCACCGGTAGTGCTCTTCTGCTTACACTCAGCCTCGCCGAGGACAGCCAGGCAGACGTTGATAGGGACGTTGATAAGGGCGCCACCATCACTGCTGGAGGAAGAAGCCTGGTCACACTTAACCTTTCCAAGAGCAGCAATGCAGGCATTGACAGGGACGTTGACCAGACCACCGCTGGTAGTGGTCTTCTGGTTGCACTCCGCCTCACCAAGGATGGCAGCGCAGAGTCCAACAGGCACGTTGATCAGGCTCTCGGTGGCGTAGACGCCCTGTATATGATCATATTAGCGCCATGCAGGTCAAGCACGAAACACCGTATAGCAATTCTGACACTCACAGAGGCCGAAGCCGCAAGGGCGACGAGGGAGGTGATAAAGGACTGCTTCATTGTGTCAAAAGGAACATAAATATACGTGGATTGTCAAAGAGTGTGTCGTGATGAACGAATGGACGCTGCGAACAGCAAAAAAGAGTGACTGAGAAGACTAATAAGAGAATGAAGCTGCTTGGGGAATCGAATGCAGAATCAGGGGAGAGTAATCCTAATGTACTTCTCGAGTAGGGCCCAGAGCCTTACGGACAATACGTCGCCGAGTTAGCAACCATTATTGCTTCTTGGCTTGCACCTCTACAATCCCCGAGAAGCAGGAGAGAGGTCCAATCCAGTGTCGATCTGCATTTCCAAACGGTCGGCAAGCAAGGAAAAGGGTGATCTCGGAAGACCAGACCGGTCTAATCAACGCCATGCATGAATTTTGATTGGCAGCTTCTTGTCTCTCAGAAAGGGTATTCGGCAAGTTCAACTTTGATCTCAGGTGGGCAAGAGAGGGTCCTGGAAGCTAGTAGCCCTGATACCCCATAGTCGAACTCAAAGTGTACCGTAAGCCCCGCTGCCGGTCCACTAGCTGCAAATATACTTGGCCTGATTGCTCGTGCTTCCGCACTAGCGCACCACACCCGGCCCCATCTCTGATTTTTGCGCTCGTGACATTGTCGATCAGGGGTGAAATGCCCGAAGGGCCTTGAGGTTGCCTCGTTTTGGGGGTACACACATCTCCGGTTATAGACCTCTTGTTCAGAACTGATGCCCTACCTTTCCAGCCTCAAGTTACCAAGGGTTGAGCTCGCTGAAGTATTCGGGCGCCACCTAATCTCCTTACAGTTACCGCTATACAACCTTGCCATTGCCAGTAAGAGAGGTCATATCCTTGGCCATGGCTAGCCGAACAAAGAGAGCCTCCTCCGCGGCTGGATGCGCTTTCAAAGAAGAATCATGCAAAGCAACTCGTCATTGGTCTTCTTGCCCCTTTCTTCCACGATCGAGGGGCATGGAATTCCTGGGCTCGCGCTATGTCCTATCAACAGAAACTCGGCGCAATTATTGTACAAACATACATAAATAATTGAAAGCGACCCATATTCAGGGCCAGAAGGTGGCTTGCAAGCCACCAAAATAGACCCTGCGAACTCATGTGGGCCGAGGCGGCTTGGTCTCTTATGCCGAAGAAGTATGCACGTACAATACATGGTATCCCAGGCCACCACGACCCTTTCACTATTCGATCTCGCCGCGGTCCGCACACTCAGAGTTTGAATTTTACCTACCTCAATTTTCGGCGGTCTTTACTCCATGGGCTCATGACACATGGCTTTGGCTCTCGATGTTTCCCCGCGTGCTTGTGACAGCCTCGCCATCTTTCCCACCGCATATCAGCTCGGTTGGTAACCGAGCAGGGCTGATCTCGATGTTTTTGGAGCGATGCAGTACAAGGGTATGCATGCAATTGAGATGCAGACAGAGGTGTCGGTTTCCAGCAGCAGGTGGATGCGACACCTCGGCGCTATGTGATTTCCTCGTATTGTTAACTCCACTAGAAACCGAGACCCTAAGGCTGGAGGAACAAATAGTCCTGGAGCCATTATTTCAATGGTATCGAATCAGTTGCAGATTCACTCTTATCAAGAAATGTGTGAATGGTCAGCGTCGGCGGCGTGTGGAAAGTCACCTCGGAATTGTCGAGTTTTGGTCCATCAACACCGCGTTCTTTTTTTAGAGAACTGATAATTTGGCATCGTAAAGTTTAACGTACCTTTCCTTCATAGGCTCGTAAAATCTCGTACCTAGAATGGTGGGGCTTTGGTCAAGGTAACATTGAAAGGCCCATATGGACATGTCATGTCGGTGAGCAATGACTTTGGACCTGTCAAGTCTACACGACTCATTAGCCCCTTGACGCGCCGCCCGGTCGCGACAACAAATAATGGGAGTCACAGTTTCTGCGAGACTTTTAAAAATGCCCAACACTAGCGCAAGATATCTTGCGTCGAATATTGGCATGTAGAACGCAAGCCGGGAACCGATTTGGCGCGCGAAAGAGCTGACTTCCCATTATAAAAGTGATGCTAACTCCCTGCATCGGCCTGGCCGGCCACCCACCCTCCGACCTCGGCTCCACCAGCAAAAAGTCCGTGAATGGACTCAATCACTAGGTATGCCATGTGGTATGAAAATCGTCCGAATTAATATTATGTCGTCGAGATCAAGGACAGATAGAATATGGAAGCAACTTTCGAAATGAAAATGGCATCAAGGACATACAACAGGCGATGTTCACCTCGTCCCGTCGTGGGCTCGATGGTCTATAGCCCCAGGCGCGTTAGGCGGGTGAACTTCTACGTAAATATTCTTCACTTAGACATACCCAAGAATATATGCCTTTAGACAATTTGACGTAGAGAAAACTTTCAAGATGCAAATTGGGACACTAGTTTTTTGTTTTCCTTGCCCTATTGCTCGCTCCTCTCTCTCGTTCCTTCGCCACTTTCACACCTGTTTGGCCCTTTTTCTCACCTACACGCGCAAACTTGTAAAGGACAATGAGAGGAAGAACGCATGCCTAGGATATTTGTGCGTGCTTTCTATTGAACTCACAGACCTGGAGATGATGTGTTCTTTCCCCCTGGATTTGCTCGAAGTCTAAGGCCTTTGCTCAGAGCATCCCGATCTTTCATGGCATAACCGACGGTTCCGACTATATATATATTGGGTACGGACGGGACTGGAGCATATCCGCGACTCCATGGATCTACTCCCGTCATGCTATATGATCACCAATATAATCATCATATTTATATTATATCAAATCACAAATCATGATCTATAAGTCTACATATGTGGGCAAGATTGGTTTTACAGACATAATTCTAGGCCAAGTCAAAAAAGAGACGGTAATTTCATTCGAAGAACTCTCCTAAAAAGGGAAATCTTTTCCACATAAGATAGCTTTAGAGTAAATATCTTAACCTTAGCACTAAGTCAAGGTGAAAGAAAGATCAAAATCTCAATTAATGTTCTGCAATACCATCGCGTCCGACATTAGGATTTTCTTCTCCATTCATCGAGCAAGACCAATAGACGACAGCGCGCGATAAAGAGAAGTTGAATGGAAGCCCAAGTTCGAATTCGCCCATTCTGTCGGCAGTCACTAAAACTTCCGCCGAGGAGTGGCTACTCCCTTATCATATTAAACATCATTATTGTCATAACCGATTTTTCGTATCGAACACCTGATGATTTCTTTCAGACCGGGCACTGGCCGCTCTGCCGAAACCAGTCATACTTTTACGAGCCAATAACCCAATCGGTATCATCTTTTCGGCCCTGGTTGGATTGCTGCGTTTCAAGGGGCTTATTTTCCTGACGGTGTCCCCAGACCCAATAGCGGTGTTTGGGATGGGCGTCACTGGCTACATGACTTGAGTATTTTCCCGACCTAGACATCTCAAAAGTGATTGTGGAATCGTACCAGCCGCTCCACCAGCAGACGCCTCGGGAACGCGAGATTCAGGCTGATTAGTCCCAGCCTGCTGTTTGATCATATCTGGTTCAGGGTGATTTGCTGCGTCGGGGGACTTGGGTGCATCCGTCGAGTCGGCGGAGCCTTGACGCTGGCGATGCTGGAGCGCGTCAGATGCTCTGCGGAAAAAGTCCGACATTGTGAAATGTTTTGGGTAAATTTAGATCAACGGTGAAAACTGACCCGAACAATGACATTTTCTCGAAGAGGGGCTCCCCCGATGTTTTATCCTACCACAACCGTATGACATCATGTCTCCTCATTGGTCACATGTTCTCGTGACCATTCCTCTTGTCTCTCTCGGGAACGCGTTAATATAGCTTAAATCCCAGTTCAACCAATGAAAGATCCATGACCAGAAGAACAACAGAATGAACGCATCATATGCGGGGAAAATCGTGGATACCCCGTAGTGTTGGGGATCGCCTTCAGTGGCTCGTCGCCACTTTGAACCAAGAAACGAGTCAAAGCTTGCTACCACACGTCTTTCAGCTAGACGGTCGACGAAACCGCGGGTATTGATGCTGATTGGTTCGTTATTTCTCTGGCGAGCGCTCTTGTTGACGGGTAATTTCAAGACATTCGCTTGTTGTTTAATATAAAGAAAATTAAGGACACTCATCAAGGGGTGTTGAGGTATATTTCATCCTTGCAATAATGCAACGCTTAGCCGGCAACTTAGGTGCGGTAGTAATTATACTAATTCCTTGTACTCTGTTGGTGGACTATCTTTAAAATATCACATTCCCAGTAGTCATGTGCGAGCGACACATAGTATGGGCATGAAACCACTAGACCAAAAATGCTCCGTGGACTATATTCTTAGCCTATTCGGTTCCATTGTTCTAACATCATGTCTTGAGCACTGGTTTGATAAATGATATACTGAAATGAAGTTTGTTAGATATGAATCATTGTGGTAGACGACCTTGTCGCCAGTACGATGTAGTATCATAGCCCATTATCTCATTCGGGCAGAGAGCAATCACAATTACTCGCTCCACTATGACCTCTGCTGATATGAACGGTTTGTATATGGGTCCGGAGTTTGTCGTCTCGATTAAATTTCTTGCCACAACAGGAATGAGGACACTTGAATAAGCCCGGAGAGATGTGGATGCTTTTGATATGTCGCAGTAGACATCCAGTACGTTTAAACCCCTTAGTGTTTGTGCAGCCTATCCAGCCACATTTATAAGGACGACAAGGCTCATAGCTAAGACTTAGTTAGCTCAGGGTCGGACAAGATTATACAAGCAGCATGGTTACGAAATGGGAATACTCACCTTGCATCATTGTTCTCAACATGATACCCCAGGCCAGCGGGACAAACATCGCCTGGGTATAGCTCACCTACCGATCCATTTACCGGAGGGTTGCCGATGGCAGAATCATTGAATGGATGTTCAAGCGATATGCCAGTGGAATGTCCAAGAGGCTCCGTACAGACATTTGTCTCTTGGTAGCTATCCACGTTGGACGGGAAGGTAACGAAGTTTGAAAGAAGGTAAGATGGAGCAGTTCCTATGAAAGACTCATTGTAGCCCACTTTCGGAGTAAGGGTCCTATCCGATTCCCTCTCGAGAAGTGGGTAGAAAACCGACATCCAGTTAAATGCGAGTGCTGTTACGGTAGCAAGTTTCTTCGTAGCACGGCGGAACTGGTCGGATTTGTAACACAAATGCCAAACAATAGCATGAAGCAGAAAAGACTCGGATGACTGAGAAATTTGGAGCGGAAGTGAGAAGGAAGGCCTTATATACACAGGAGAAGAGGGCGAAGTCACTAAGCGAAATTTTGTATGTTTTCGACGTTTAGATGGGGCGTCCCGCATCCCAGAGATTCTCTCGAAGAGCCATCACTCTGGAATTCTGATACCAAGAAGAAATATAACCCCTGCTACATGAGCCAGTAAGATATGTAGATTCGCCTCCCTAGTAAAATAGGCCAACATGTATGGTGAATTTGGTTGGGCCACCCCACATTTGCCCCACCCTCAGTTTTTACACAGCCTTTCCAAACACCATGTCACAAAACCATTTAGCACGTTGCATGTGTCCAATAGTCCATGATTATTTCTCATTTAGCCAATAAGATATCATATATATTTCCCGCGGTCTGTTATCATAATACGTAGGGCGACCACCCCCAGCCACCATGCACAGACGTGCCGCACGAACTCAGCTTAGGAAATAAACAAAGCGACACAATACCGATGACACGCTGGAAAGCCCCCGTCCCCAATAAACATTACAAGAGTGTATAAGTTTTTAGAAATTGAGCTAAGATGCCTTTCCTATATCTCAACTTCGAAGAGGATAACCCTGAGCATATAAGCCTGATTTTCGGTGAGGTCGAGACGCATTTCTGACAATGATCTGAGTGTAATTCGACTGCCCGATCTTCCCAATCTTCCCAATCTTCCCAATTTTCCCAATTTTCCCAATTTTCCCAGTCTTCACAACCTTCACAACCTTCACAACCTTCACAACCTTCACAACCTTCACAACCTTCACAACCTTCACAACCTTCACAACATTCACAACCTTCACAACCTTCACAACCTTCACAACCTTCACAATCTCCTACTCTCCGTTCCTCTAATGAAGAACTTACGGTCACTGCTAGACTAGCAACCAGAGTTATGACAACTGTGAACTAAATAGGGCCCTATATATACATGTCTTTTTCTATTATACGTGGGCTTGCACACTTAAGGTCACGTTTTACGCAATATCCTTCCTCAGGTAGATAACGGGCCGTCCTTCCCCTAGCCGCCGTCATTCCCTCATATTCCCTCTTCTTTCGACACGGCCACATCACATCGACCTCACCCTCCAAAGTATCGACTATCGGCGTAATAGCAATTCATTCCAAAATAATTATAATAGTCGATAATGAGGAATCATGAATCACCAAACCAGGTAGCCTTCGGATTCAACAGGATATCCGTCGTGATTACAGTAGCCCTAAATCCGAGAGCGTTATTTTGGTGAAAGTGCGACGGACATAACACCAATACGCAGACAAAAAATAAAAAAGTGGCAAGTCCTCTCATCCGGTATAAACTTTCCACGAGGCCTCTTTCTTCCTTAGATAATAAATCGCTAGGATCGTACTTTCAAGAACCTTCGAAAATTCTTTGACTATGAACTTCAAAAAAGACCGGGGTCACTCTATATTCTAAATACTTTTTAGATGAAAGCATGTCAAAGTAAAAATCCACAGTAGAACCAGAGGGAGTAAAGGGGATTCTTGAAGGGTGTTGGCCATATTCGAAGCTCGCATGAGTCTCGACACCACGTCCCCATAATGATCTTGGCCATATGTGGCGTTGAGTGTGACTGCGGCTGCAGTTGTACCATCTTCCAACCGAATCCATGTCTCTATCTCGTCCTTCATGGTTTTCTGATTCAAAAATATTTGACGTCCCCCGCGAGGAGCATCGCCATAGCCACCGTAGCCGGTGTGCCGACCGTAGCACATATTGATGCCATTCCCCGTTAAATTTTGATCGGCAAGACTGCCATTCCACTTGAAGCACCTGTACAGGTTAGAAAAAAATACAAAAACTCGGAATGTTGCCATACCAATCATTCTCGTGGTCATGGCCACTGAATGTCGCCATCAACCCAGAAGTATTAAGAAGAGCCTGCATAAACTGACTGTCTTGTCCTGAATAGTCTGTGTCGCCAGAGCCCTGTGACACTACAACTTCGCCATTGATACCAGGTGTAGTTTGATCATTAAATTGGTCTTCTTGATATCTGAGCATCGCATGTGCAGGAATGTGGTAAAAAGCCAGCGACGGAATGGTCTTGCCGTATTTCTTGGTCAAATTGGCATTCTGGTTTATAAACCACTCACTGACCTATTCTCGATTTGTTAGAGCATCAGTATCCGAAAACGATGTTAGGTGATGGATATGTAAGATTCATACAGCTTTGTCAACCCAGTCACCTCTTGCCCCAGAGAGATCATCGTTGCCTCTATTGGTTGCATAGTGACCTCCTCTAGAGTCGAAAAGCCACAAAATAAGAGCAGGAACTGTATTCGAGCTCGCATGTGGATATATCGGCAGGTAATAATTCGTAATCCCAGCTTTGGGTGAAGATATCATGCTTGTCGTCAGACTGTTCCGATATTTTATCTCGTGGCTGTATATGTCTTGCTCCGGGTCCAGGTTGACTTCGCTATCATGATTACCATAAGTTGATGCCCATGGCACGTTCATATCCACCAATGGCTTCACCACTTGATGAAGATACTGGCCCGGATTGGAGCCATCCGTAGCTTCACCAGATATCAAGTCTCCGTTCAAAACCACCAGCTGTGGGCTTTCACTTGAAATCACCTCTGACATGACATGTTGAGTCCTTGAATCGAGTGTTGCATCTAACATGAGTCAGTAAGTATTGTATCAAGAAATCCTACCAACTCACGGGATCATAGTACTTTCGGCAAAGTGTAGATCACTAAAGACCGAGATCTGAAATGTCCCATCCTTGGTAAACCTAAGCTTGGGATTAATTTCTCGACTGGCCAAGGCAGGTTTCATGATATGCTGAGTCGCTCCCTGGAGAAGCATTTCGAGGAATCTTCACGGAACGGCGTCGCTTGCATTTTGTACATCTTATAAAGAACATACTAATATCCATGAAATTTTCGAAATCAAAGCCAAGTCATCCACGTCATGATATTTTGTTGCCTGCGAGTTCTGGGCATGCCTCTGGGCATTTGTAATCCCGCATATTTGACGTATGATATCGCCGGAATTGGACGAAGCCGAGATCGCCAAGATCTCCGCTCTGTCATCTAGTAATCGGAGTTGGAGATAGCGGTGATAAGAAGCCGGAGATCGGGAGAGTTCCGCGGGTCAGCGGATAGCCGGTGCCATATACATCGTATAAACGGACTACTGTACGGACTACGGAGGAGTAGGGTCTCTGCTGACATAGATTATGCATTCCAAGGTCTGAGTATGTTTGGTGCTATTTTTTCTTTTTTTATTCAGAGTTTTTGATTTCCATTAGTTGTTTTTTGGACAATGCATGCTTGGCCTACTGCTGCGGTCGCACCTCATGACAGCGAAACCCGGAATGCTGGCTTTCCCCACCACAGAGAAAAGATGTTTCTTTTGACAAGAAAACGCCGAGTGCTTTTGCCTATTTACCATATTTGCTATGCTAGTTCTTGGCTTTCCCCTTCTATTTCAATGCCTAGCTTCTCGCCGCTTTTGCTCACTGAGTAGATCCAAGCACGTGTCTGAGGCGCCCGGATCTAAGTTAACTAGTCAATCAGTGAGCAACAGACTACCAGTTGCAGAGATCGCAAACAAAGAAGGATTGGATGGTCAATACTCTCCTGGCAACCATGATAGTTTGAAATTGTCATATGTTATCCCAAAAGAGTCTTTACTTAGGCCATATATTCCTTGTAAGGTCTAACATTGGGGACTGGAATTAGTAGTTCAGCGGATCCTAGATTTAGCTCGTGTAGATATAATTCGACGGGCTGTAATTAAATTGAAGGGAGTGCGGGGAGTGAATATTAAGGGCGGAACGCACTAGCCGGTGATAGGTCCCAGATCCGAACGGGTTTAATCAGACGCTAATGCGAGTCGGCTTCCATCTGGCGACCAGGCAATCGAGGTGACCAAGTAGCTGTGTCCTTCGAGTATCTAAAGACATGAACTCTGACTTATATCTACCTATGGGCTGTTCAAAATATAACCTGGTTTCTCCTTCGGATAACATGTCCTTTAGATACTTTAAATCAGGCTAAAGATAAGCCATGAACTGTATACTTGAAAGAGGGTGAATTCAGTTGCTTTTCGGTAGTAATATAATCAGGATGCATCGCGAACTTGTGTAGTATTTGCCGGCCAGTCTAGTTCGTTCATGAATGACACTCGTAAGACGAGTGACATAACGGGAATAACCCAATCCAGCTTCGACCAAAACACTCCAATTCATGTCACCTGAGACTCGGGCTTCCGAGATTTGGTCGCAACGCACGCTGGACTGGATGCTCTCTTGATTCACAGCAGCTTGCTATATCGACCCTGCTATCGCGGGAATAGTAACTGGCGTCTGTCACATGGGCACCTCCTAGCGTTCTAGGCTGGTCTGGGCTTGGTGGAATGATGGGAGATATTTTGGCTCCTTCCCCAGCGTTTCGCTTATACTCACCATACTTCCTCGCTGGTATATCTAGATTCAAGTACCCGCACCACCACCGACGTACGGATGTTCTCCAGCCGATCTGCATTCGTCCTCTGTCCCTTGAGTTGCAGATCCAGGATCGTGGCTGGGTGAATTGGGTTTCAAAATGGAGACTCTGGCGGTGCCTTCTGGCGCTAGTGGATCTGAGCAAGAGAAGTAAAGGTAAACAGGAAAGTGTACACAGTGAATGTCGAACCAGTACCACTGCTAGGAGTCGTGCAACCTAACAGTAAAGCGGCCACTGGAATGCCATTTTCCTTCAGCAGACGTGGAGTGACTCAACTATTATTCGGCCTAGACTCCGTAGGCCAGCGGCTTGTAAGGTCTCAGAGAATTTCCACCCAAAGAACGAGTCATTTCCCTGACCCAAGAAAGGATAAAGAGAGCCTGAGCCTCTTTCCGCGATAGGACGACGTTAGAAAGTCCTGGCAGCAGTATTTGGTAAGACATAATCCCAAGAATGGCCATTGGTATGCGCATGGCTACGTCTAAGACTTGTCTTGGTCTACCTCTGTGATAATATGACATTTTAGCCGACATAATATCCTTTGTGATAATACGGCATTTTTGCCGATGTGATATCAAAGAATTACTACATATACTCTCCATGAAGATCTGGTCAAAGCTATACAATAATATAATGAGATCATACTATGAAAATATGAGGTCATTACATAGCTTGAAAAGCTATCTCTTGAACCATAAGATTGATCAATACGATCTATACAAAATCACGTGGCTATTTTAGGCTTCCCCAGATTCTTGTGGAAACCTTATATTAAGAACCAACCAAACATAATCAACAAGAATGATCTTACAAAACCATATACTACCTACTGATCGGGCCGAATAACTAATTATGAAAACAGGACCTCGGGTAAAAACACTCAAACAACATTCCATAAACATATCATACCTACTCCAGGAAACCTTATGGGCAGGCGCGAGACAAAGGCAGCCGTGGTGTATATATAGAGCCTCTCTCTTACGGCAGATGATTTCTTGCACTTGTGTAGATGGCCGTCTCATCCGCTCGTGTTCCAATTCATATTCTTTATACTCCGATTCTAAGCTTCCATCAAGCTCTGCATCATGCGCTGGTCCACCGCGCTGATCCCCGCCCTCGTCGGTCGCGCCCTTGCCACCACACCGGGCGTCTCCCCGGCTTCAGTTAGCCAATCCCAGAATCCTGGCACGACATTCAACATCCAGAAGACTGTCGACACTCCAGAGATTCCACCGACCCCGGATATTGTGCTTTTGGTCGATAACACCGGGAGCATGTTCGGTGCCATCTCTGACATTAGAACGAACCTGAAAACCGTCATTAGTTCAGTCACCAGCTCCCAGCCGACCGCCGAGTTCGCCGTAGTCGAATTCGGTGATGCTCAGGGCGGAAGCACTGTCCCGTTCCGGGTGGATCAAGGATTGGCTTCAGACGTCACTGTACTGCAGAACGCGGTCAACGGCTTGACGGCCAGTGGTGGCGGGGACCTTCCGGAAGATTGGATTAATGCGCTCTACCAGATCGCTACTGGTGCTATCAGTTTCCGCAGCGGTAGCAGCAGGGTCGTTGTCCTGGTGAGCGATGCGCCTAGTCACAACCCCAGTGGCGGACACACCCTCGACGACGCCATTACCGCCCTGGAGACCGCAAACATCCGTGTCATCGCTGTCAATGTGGGAGGTATTGATACCAATGGGCAGGCCACCTCCGTGACAAGTGCCACCGGGGGTTCACTCATTCCTGCTGGCAACGGCGCCTCGGGCGTCACAGACGCGATCACCAGCGGCCTCCATGACCTCCCTGTCGATATCACCACCTCTATCTCCTGTGGCGCGGGCTTGAGTGTCTCGTTCAGCCCCGCGGACTCTAAAGTGCAGAGCGGCACCGCCGCCACCTTCACCGAGACGGTGAATGTAGCCAGCACTGCGGCTCAAGGCACCACTATTGACTGCTCCGTCAGCTTCCTCCTGAACGGCGCGCCGGGCGGCGATGCCTTCATCCAACAGGTCGCTGTGTCGGTCAATGATATCACACCACCGACATTGTCCTGCCAGCACGGCGTGAACCCTGATGGTTCACCCAACCCGAACACTAACGCCAACTTCTGGACATTGGGTGCCACCGATAATGTGTCTAAAAACTTGAAGATTTACGTGGTCGACACTGTCTCGGGCGTTAAGTTTGGCCCGTACCCGAGCGGCACAAATATCAAACTAGTCCAAGCACCTGGTGCTACACCCAAGGCCGTGCCAGGCCAGGGTGCAGTCAACTGGCAGATTACGGTAAAGGGATGCGCTCAGCTCATTGTCAGTGATGATGCTGGCAATAACGCGACACCAGTTAATTGCTGTGCCCGGCCATAAATCGTATGAATATCTTGCAGATCCGCATATTAGTAATTTCGGAAGAGTAGCGTCGACGCGTCAGAGCAGCAGGATTGGTGGATACCTAGAGAAAGGAGATATTGGTTAACTACTTATTGTGGAGCGCAACGAAGCATTTTACCTCTGAAGTTAAGGGGGCGGTGGTTGTGGCGATGTGAGTGACCCTGCCACCCAGCATAGGAAAAAAAAGAATGTATAGCTTCCTGAGCATGGCTGTATATAACTTCTTCTCTTGGTTGTTGTCTATCCACCTGCGACTTTTCTGTTGAGACATCTTATGAAGAGACACTTGTATGGTTGTACTTGATTTATATGCCCTCAGGTAAAGCAATTTACATGGAAAGTTTTGTCCTTGTCTTCTTCAGCGGCCTGGGCCCGCTCAAGCATTGGAGACAGTCACACTCAGGCACAGTAAAGTGAAGGCGCTCCCAAATCTCCCGCAATTTTCTTATCCGATGCTCACTTTGAACATCTGGTAAAGGTTTCTTCGATTTCCACGTCGCATTACTTCTCTCTGTCTCTCGATCCATGTGCTCTGCGTATAGATCCACGTTCTCCTGTTTACTCAAAGTGAGCCTGCCAATGTGATGAGCAACCATATCCAGAATCTCTGCGACTTCACGAGGAGAAAAGAGGCGTTGTGTTCTGAGTGTATCGATTGCATCCTGTATCGTGTGCGTGATTACCTGGCACTTCAACAAGTAGCAAAAGCTTGCCTGTTCGGATTCTCCTATAACTCGAAATCGGTCAAAATCAACCTCGAAACCATGTAAAAACCTCACGGCTTCTTGGATATTCTGGCCTGAACGAGAAAGCTTCTCACTCCAGAATAAGAGTGAATTGACAAAATTCACTCGCTTGTCTCCAAATACCGTGATGTTTTGATTGGATGTCATGATTGCCGAAATCCTGTATTTGGCGTAACTAGTCTTGGTTCGAACCTGGATATTGTTCTGGACCTATCGCTTCAATGGCGAGGAGCTTGAAGAGTGAAAGGGGAGAGAGTTCTTATGAATTTAGGACTACTGTGTTGTTTTATATGGCCATCTATCCGGAACAATGAATAAACTGCGATTGTTTTATGAAACAAGAAGCTTTGTGCTCAGTACTTGAACGGGACCTTTGTTTCCTGCGACTTTGTTTGATCAAGGCAAAAGGCTGCGTTGTTCACATTTCAAAACTCTTGACCAATGACGTTACGGATCAAAATTCCTAGCAGAGGCTGATCAGCAGCTTTAGAAAGGAAACCTTTTCAAGGGCCTCATGATCGCTTGTCCTCGGTTGAGAAAGCTTCGTTTGAACGCGGGGATTGAGACTCCAGGGCTTTCCAGTCGCACCCCTCCCAATCCTGCCTAAGCCGATTTCGAAAAGACCGGCCACATAGTGGTTAACCTTCGGCACATTTTAGAATGGGGTGTTTATGGCCTGTGCAACCGTCTAAAGCAATGGACAGCCGGGGGCAATCAGAGCGGATGAAGGCAGAGGGCATTCATTTTCAAGCAGGTAGGAAATGTAGAACTGAACTCAGGATTCGAGCCATTAGGAAATGCGTAACGAAATTTAGTCAGTGCTTGCTCGTGCCAAGGTTAGAATCATTCCAATCTAAGATATTCCTCGACAAGAGGTTCTCTTGCCGCTCGTTCCGGTTTCTAGTCTAGGTCCAGGCTGGGCTGCATTACGCGTCGGGACTGTGCCGATCGCACGCAACATTTGGAGTAGAGAAGTGCGTGAGATGATACTCGTCATATGCGAAGAGGTCATATTGTTGGTTTATGTAGAGTAGTCAGTTTAAACGCGGGAATCAAGAACAAGTAACTGAAAAGAAGCCTAGACCTCGGCTTTATCAAACTTCAAAGTCCTATCCCCGAGGATCGATTTTTGCTGATGCGCAGTCACCATTTGCGACACTGATTTAAATGCCAGGTGTCCAGACACAAGGATAATGGAGCACAAACGAGTCAACGCGCACTCCCGTACCCGGTGCATCCGTGATGCACAACCCAGCCTCGTCGATATCCAATCCACCCAAATACGTAGTTGTCCTACTTGGACATATACACTAGGTATAAGTAGTTACCACCCGCCATATATGTAACATGTCAGGGACAAAATATCTAGAGAATCAACCCCCTTGTATTCCCGGTCTAGACTCTTGAAATCTCGATCACCATGGGAAGCTGTCCCCGAGACCACGTCACTGTGGGTATCGTAGGAGGTGGGATTGCCGGCCTCGGGCTTTCCAGAATGCTCGAACTCTCAGGGATATCGTATTGTCTATGGGAAGCGCACAGTCAATTTGCACCACCCACGGGCGTTAGCATCGGCCTCATGCCCAATGGTCTTAGAATCCTGGATCAACTGGGGATGATCGAGAAATTTGATGAATATGACGTGGAACGAAAAGCATGGGAGCATCGAGATGGGCACGGAAATCTTCAAGCAAATTTTAATCCCAGTGCGATCCGTGAAGAAAAGTATGAATTTTTGATTGTCATTGGGAGCATATATTTGCTGATATTTTGAATTGAACTCACTAGACTTGGATATGGCGGTATCTTCATGGAAAGACGGAGATTACTCCAAATCTTGCACGGAAGCATTGAGAATAAGACTAGGCTATATACATCGAAGCGAGTAGTCTCCGTGAGGCAAACGGAGCAAGAAGCAATCATTGTCAGCGAAGATGGCAGTGAAGTTAGTTGCGATTTCATTGCAGGAGCAGATGGGATCAGATCTATCATCCGACGTGAGATTGAAAGAACGACGTTTACTATCAAGAGCCCCGAGTCGCGTACGTTAAACACTGCCTCCATTATGAAGACTTGCGTGGCTGACTTAACAAATGTCACAGGATTTGATGCCCGTTATGCGTGTACATATGGCATCTCGAATCCAGTCTTGGGCATAGAACCAGGTCGCTCTTTCACAGTCTACCGACCGAATGTTTCGCTGTTGATATTCTGCGGTCACAGTGGAGATGTATACTGGTTCATGATGCGCGATCTCAAGAGGACGATTGTGTATGATAAGCCCGAAAGGTTCTTGGAGAAGGATATCGAGGCACTCTATGCACAAGTCGCTGAGACGATTGTGACGGATGGGGTGGTCTTTGCGAATATCTTTCGGAACAAGCGTACTGCGATCATGACGGCACTAGAAGAGGGCATTGCAGAACGGTTCTTCTTCGGACGCTTATTTTTATTAGGTGACTCTGCGCACAAGGTGAGAGAACATAGTTTCCTAGGCAATCGAGGGTGAGCTACGGCTAACAGGTATCGCTTGATTAGATGGTCCCTCATGCAGCCATGGGCGCGAACCAAGCTCTCGAGTCTGCAGCAGCGTTTGTTAATATCCTACGTTCATCACGTTTGCAAAAAGGCGACTGCCAGAGTACACGCATTCCACTATCAGAGGTGCAGTCATGCCTGGAACAGTATGAACTTCGACGTCGAGCTCGAGCGACGGCAGCTTCCCAGATAGCGACTTTTGCCTGCCGGGCGCAACTCAAAATAGGACCCGCCAGCGATGAGTATTGGGCAAATTTCCCGCGAATGATGGGCGAAGAGGGAATTGCCAAGTCATTAGAGTCCTTTTGTGACGCAGAGATGTTGGAGAATTGGTCGATGGGAAGTCCTCGAGTGGCTGTTTATACGGCGTTTGTGAAGGCCAATAAGCGCCCATCATGGGGATAGCTCCGAGAGGGTAGTGCGTGCTTGAATCGAACGACAGTAATTGGCCAGCCAAGAGGAATTCTCCGATGAATACGAGAATATGCGCAGTTTAATGCAGCTCTGGATGTATATAGTCAGCGTACAGCTTCATCAAAACATATGGGTCGGGAATAGATCAAAACAAATCACACTTCAGGGATTGACACTGGTAGAATAATTGAGATCTTAAGATAGCTCTGCCATTTCACCAGGAAATTCTCCGGTCCAAAGCGAAAGAGGGGGCGACTAAGTTTGCGGCTTGAAATTGCTGGGGTGCGAGATCGAGGCAGGGAGGCTCAGGCTGACAGGCTCCTCTCCGAACCGCCCTGCTTTAGTGTTGTCAACGGACACTAAGACAATCTCTCCTTCATTCCTCTCCAGTCACTCCTACCACGTGCTCCCACCACACGTGCGCTTTATCCGGAGATGGCGCACGCTATCTCGTTGCTGTGCCTCTCCTCACGCAGCCTAGCTCATGGCACAGACTCTCGTTTGCCAGTGCCTGGTCACTGCCACCACGGACCTCTCGGTCGCTGGCCGGCGCTTCTTGATCCTGGCGCCTTTTGACCCTGACACGATGTCGTCGCGACAGCTACCACTTCTCATTTCTACTATCTCTCGGCCGCACCATTCACCATCGCAACCTGGTGCAGTTGATTATGCAGCCCTCCAAGGCTAACGTTGCGGATTTCCTGGCCTTTGTGCCTGGGGTTGATGCGGGGACTGCCTTTCTGTTCCTCGAGGTACCCACCATGATGCCCGTGCTCGTTTGAAGATCCCCCGTTTGCTAATAACCTGTGTCTTTCAAGAATGCGAATTCCGTAAATGACGCCGTGAATCAATACTATGATAATCCGCATAAATATGCCCGTCGTCCACCGTCCTCGATGTCGTCGTTGCGAAGCCCGATTACCCCAGTGAGCCCGACCTTCACGGCGATGACCCGCAACTCGAGCAGTCCCACGGCGGAGCCGACCAGACTGGCCAGTTCCCCGCCGTTATACCCGTCGCCACCTTCGTCGACGGTAAGTGGGAGTGTGAATGGATCGCAGCCCAAGGCACATACGAATACAGTGATCGAGGCCGCGAGGCTTCGAGCCCGGGATGAGCAGGAGATGCAGAACATGCTGCAGGCTGTCCAGCTGTCCCTCCAGATCTACAACCCCGAGATCGAGCCCGAGCGGGAGTGCGGGTACCCATGCAACTGCCTCATCCACAAGTATGTTCAACGGAAGATGGAACGCCTCCATGTTCAAGATGTATGGTCGAAAGCAGTGATGTACCCGGGTGAGAAGCACTACCATGACTGCACTCAGGTACGCCTGTTCAACAACAATCCGTACCAGAGTGTCGTCTCTCCGTACGGGTTCAGTGGTTCGTCTTTCTATGGAATACAACGACCCGATCCGCAGTACCACGCCAAGTTCGTTCATCAAACGATCCATACGAATGACTCGCTCAATGCCAAGGCGCGGGCTGCTATTGACGCGATGGAGCCGTCCTTTAATATCTGGGAAGTCGATCAACTTCAATCTTCAATGTCGAACATTGGCATCGGTCCATCAAAGAAGGGTGATCATAGCGGTGAGAAATCTAAGCGTTCAACCTTGAAGAAGGCGCTTTCTATCCGATCTTCGGAGGAGAAAGTCGCTTCTAAGACATCGAAGATCTTCTCCGAGGCACGCGAGCTTTGCGATTCCATTCTGAGAGAGGAGAACGGGAGGTGGCCAGAGCCAGAAGACCGCCAGATTGTCACTGCATACCAAGAACAGGTCGGATTGACGCAGAAAATTGCCGAACTTCGGACTCGATGTCCTCTGCAATATCTGCACTTGCTCAAGGCCGGCTATTTCGAGCCTATTCCAATAGCCTGGGCTCGGCAAGCTTCCAATCCACTGAAATTCACCATCGACGCCGCTGCCGGGTGGCGGGGCATCACACCTGCTTGGAGAGGGTACGAGGATACTGCAGAGGAACGTTTGTATTGGGTATTGAACCACAGATTGGGAGATACCCCCGCAAAACTGAAGCCCGATCCAATATCTGCGCTGGAATTAGCCCGCGCAAGAATGGCACTGGCAGTCGAGCCCCCGCCGATATACTATGCGGCTGATGATACTTGTCATGTTCAACATACATCCCAGGGATACTCGAGACAAGTCATGCCCCCTCCATTCCGGCCTTTCGATGCGCCCCATCAGCCGACAGATGACACCATGATCCTACTGGATGTGTCGGGCTCCATGGATTTCCAGCCGCGACGGCCAGAGTATAATCAATTTCTAATCACAGGGTTCACAAGGTCTCCCCAGCCAAAGAATAAGGGTACGTTTTGAAAATACTCCTGGAGTTGCATCTCGAGACACTAACCATTCCTCTAGATCTCGCCCAGGCAGTCATCCGTCGCTTCACCGACGCAATGTCCAACCACGACCACAACTGGTCCGGCTACGAACTCACCACATTCTCCAGCCAAGCCGAATACATCGGTGTAATAAACCACTGGAACTTTGAAGAAATGTGGCGAACCATCCAATTCGGCGGCCGAACACGAGTAATGACAGGCTGGCAAAGCATCAAAGAGCAACATTTCCAAAAACACGCCGCCACAGCAACCCACCACCCCACCTACGGCTGGCAAGCCGGCCCTGAAACCCCAATCCTCCGGCTCCTCCTTCTCCTCGACGGCGAAGCCTCAGATATGGACGAATTCGAACTCGACCTCCTCAGTCTACCCTGGGTCCACGTCACCATCTTCCTAATCGGAGTAGACGGGTGTCCGCATCACCACAGACACGCCAACGAACTCCAACGCATTAGCGAGGTCAACCCGCACGTTTCCTTCGTCGATGCGCAGGGCAATACGCCGGAGCGATTCATTACGCACGAGTTACTTAAGCGTCACCTGGGTTATGAGCTGTCGATGACCGAGTTCGAGGAGCTTGAGCATGCGCCTGGTGAACCGCGCCGTGTCGAGTTGCCGGCTAGAGAGCCGCCACCGCCGAATTTGCCGGAGCTTGAACAACCACCGCCACCGTTGCCTGTGGAATTACCGGCTGATGCGGCTGTGTTCCCGTCGAGGTTGTCTATGGAGCAGCCGCCTCCTTATTCTGCGACTGCGTGAGGATGTAGATATCTATGTATGAATTGATGTGTGATGATATTAATGATATCCTGATTCTTTGTACTTTCAATGTGTGTTTATTTCCTTCTCTCGCACTTTAGATGAGCTGGTCCCCCCAAGCCTGAGAAGATCCACGAAACCACGGAGTCACATCCCCTGTGTTCTGCCATCGATGTAGCCCGTCACGTTCATATGAGCTGAAAGGCTCCACATATTCTTCTCATCTGACCGCTCCAAATGTCCGTAGTGTTGGTGTTGCCCTTCACTGAATTTCCATCGAGGGCCTCGCTGCTACGAGCCTGTGCTGGTCTGGGACTTCTGCAAAGCGTCAAGAAGGCTTACTTGGCAGGATTCGTTCCTTTCTTCTACAGCAATGTCGAGCGTGGTTTTCCCTGCATTGTTCCAAATTTGCAGATTGGCCCCGTTATTTGCGAGAAATGTAACCAGGTAAGATGTCCACGAATCGGGGAACCTTCTGGAGGCGATGGCATGGAGAGCCGTATTGCCCCGTCCGCACACCACATTGACATCTGCTCCCGGCCGAACAAGTAACTCAAGTATGTCTGGTACGTCGATTGCGAAAAATGTTCGGTGGAGTGGAACGCAGAATGACCCCCGACCATTGACGTCTGCACCATAATCGAGCAAGAGCGTGACGATCCTCGGACGATTCAAAAGTACAGCCCTTGCCAACGGCGTTGCTCCAAAATTATCTGGCCAATTAGCGTTATACCCGTGTTGCAGCAGGAAACGAAGTATCCCGACCCGGTCACTGTCAATGCAAGTATTGGCGAGAGAGCTCAAAAGGCGCGTACGTGGCAGATTTTGGAAACTCGGACTTCCGCAATATTCGTGGAACAACTTCGCGATTCCGACACGGTAGCTTCGAAGTGCGAAGTGAAGCAGCTCCTCTATATCTGGCGGTTTCGGAGTCCACTTTAGTAAGCGTGGGACGGCGCTTTCGAGACCATGACGGACGAAGTAACAAAGAACTGAGTATTAATGAAGAAGTGGGTATTCCCGGACTGCCCTCCGATAGAGGTAGTCCGCGAGGAGGGCGTAGGCTGATCGACGCGTACGTGCGAATCGAGAAAGGTCCCTCAGACTGGGTAGACTGTCTGCCACAAGATACAAGATCTCGTTAGGTAAGTCGAGGAGTCTCATGTTGAGAGCGAAAGGGGGAAGGCCGTGGCGTAAAAGACGGAGGTTGCTGGGACGAGACAAGGAGGGAATTTGCGGGAGGCGAGAGCTTGAGGAGCCATATAACGCGTGGAGAACGGAGTGGTTGTTGTTTACTGGAGATGACCTTCCAAGAAGAACCGTGGGGTGAGGAACCTCAAGACATGGAAAAATCAATTCCTTCTTGTGTTTATGCTTAATGTCTACCAACAAGTCTACCACATATGTTGACTCTTTGCGGACAGAACTCAATATCTTGACACCTCTTCCAACGAGAGCGGAAAGAACCGTGGATATATCACTTAGTCTGTCGAAGCTTCCTCCATGTTAGGAGCATCTAATTGCGTCAATGCAATTTGTCTGTTTCATGTAGTATGAATTTGTGAAGATAGTTCTGATGGTATTGGTATTGCGCTCATGGAATCGCGACGGAATACTCTAGGTCGTCGTGCAGTATGGGCTATGTGACCAGATCGAGGTCGAGAACATTTGTGATTAGGAAAAGGCTTTCGTCATAGTTTGCCTCAGTGGACGATACTGCTCTGGAAAATGAACCACCCACAATGCCTGCCATTTCGATACCCAAGGTCAAGAACGAAGGAGGCGTTGATAATGTATAGATCGGTAACGGGTAAAGGCAACAAGCTTATTGGCGCTAGACAACAAAGGGAGAGGCAAACCCCAAGGAAAAAGCCGATTTGGCAAAATGAAAGGGTATCAGAATCGCCATCTTGCGGCGTTCCATGAAGAAGTGGGACCACATGTTGCGCAAACTGGCTCGAATGATGGATTTACACGGTAAGCTTGGGAGCTTTTCAAACAAGTCGGCCACCAAACGCTGTATCGACTACCATGATTACATAGTCTCAAGAGCCAAGTACCTTGGTTTATCACTCATGGAAATATTATTAGGTGAATAATTTGGAGGTCCAAAGATTTAAGCAACAAAGGGCTTCATATCAGCTGCATATACGTGTAAATTCGGAATTTCATCAACTTCATATGTTTCAAGTAGAAACCAAAAACAAAGCAACTTCAGGTCTGACACTCCTTGTCTTTCGAGATAATCTCGCTTGCATCCGCAAAACGATCACAATCTGCCTCGTTACATTCATATCTGCCCCATTCTTCTGCGGCCTCCTTCTTAATGAGCATGCCTGGTGGATTTGCAGCAATCTTCTCCCATAGCAGCTCGAGCTATCTGAGAACGGCTCAATGGGCCAAGTGCAGGAAGCAGATCCCGACCCATAAGATCCGGGGACTCGCTCCGAGCCTTGTTGACAAAACCTTCGAGGTCCCGCTTAGCGATATCATTGCTATAGATCATGTTAAGCCAGTTAGCCAGGCGGTATCCGCCCTTGGCAATCTGAAGCTCGATAGTTCCAATAACAGTGTTGTAGTAGGTAGGGTAGAGATCGCCAGTTTGCAAAGCAGCAGCTCCATCGGGCATGACAACAGTGCAGACGTAGGCATTAGCATCCGATGCCCATCGAGTAGCAGTAGTGATGGCATCACTGATGTCATCTCCTGCAATCCAGCTAGCAGCCTCGGACTCGTAGCTACCCGAGTCAATCTCACTGATCAGTGTATTGGCCCAAGTCTGAGCATAGGTGAGCGAGCTGCCGCCGACCAGCTTCTCGGGCATGTATGTGTCCCAATCCGAGTGAAGGTTGTCGCTGTAACCTTCAAAGGTGACGTCGATGTCATTTCCACCAACCTCATAGGCCTCATCGTGCAGTGGCTGAGTGACATCGCCCAGGAAGTGGACTAGGAATTTAAGAGCTTCGGCAACGTTTGCAGTGGTGAGCCGGCCATCACCTGCACGCTGGGTGTAGTTTGCAATTGCAGAAATAGAACAGCCAGAGCTAGTACAATCACGGGTGTAGTTCACGTTGCAGTTGGTTGGAGGGTTGTCCTCAGCATCAATAAAGTGAAGAGGCGCGGACCATTTGCCAGCGGTGGTTGAACGGTACGTATCAGCCCAGGAGGCAATGTTCGCTAGGTATGAGGTAGAAGTGTCTCCGAGCACACCTTGCGCCCTTGAAGCTGATTAGCATGAATCGTGAGTTCAAGATGTATGCTCTTACCATGATGCAGTGCTGGATGAAACGTAGTTCTGGGCAATGTAGGCAACTGTTGCGTGACCCAACGAGCCCCAAGCATTCACCCCGCTCAGGGAGCCAAGGGTAATGAAAGCAACCTTGGATAGACGTGCCATTATTGGACAACGATACCGGCGACTTTCTAGAATGTCTCGGATATGAGAGGATTCAGGAACACAACGGCAGATTTGAAAAGATCCTTACATCCATCATGCTGCCAAGGTTGTCGATCCCATATTTATAGGTGTCCACCTCTTACTCTGAAGACTCCGGCTGGGCCCCATTCTGCACCTAGAGGCCGGCGATATTCCCCAAAATTGCCCCCTCCGGGATAGAAGCTCGCTTGCCAAAGTTACAGAAAGATTATCATGGGTTGAAGAGAGCGGGTGAGGCGGAGATAAGATCATGTTAGTGGTGGACGAGTGGTGGACAATATTTACCCCCGAGATTGCTTGATTCACGTCGTCCAGTCATTCTTCAGGACATGCGATCGGCACTGCAGGGCACTGGACTCCACGGGGCACAACATCCACAGCGGAAACAATCCACGCAACTAGAATTCAAGTATACAAGCAAGGCATGCCTCAACTGTTTTCATCCAGCTGCTAGAGCACATGTCCATCGAGCTCTAACCGCAACGAGACGAATTTTTTGCCCTCATTAGCACGTGGGGATGGCATCGCCTCTTTCTGGAATGTTTATCACGTCAAATCCGTCAGGCACCACCCAGACGTGCAGAATTAGCGGAGGAGGCGGGGTTCGGGCCGTTGATAGGTTAAAAGATACACAGGGTTACATTCCTTCAAGTTAGGCTATTTAGAGTATCGAACTAAGGAGCGTGACGAAGATTAGTAGCAAGTGAACGTATTCTGTGGGAGCAGTGGGTTGAAGTGACTTGATACATTTTCACTTCATATCTCTCGCTGGCTACTAATTCATTAGGCATAAGGACAATTTTGCAAGATCTACCTCCCAGGGCGAAGGAGGGGTGAGGGGTATACGAATCATCGAGGCCAAGGGATAAGAATTCCGCGGGCTCTTGGCGAAACATCAAAAAATACGAGAAAAGAGAAGAAGCTTTTTGGATACGAGTGGACTTGCTTCATTAATCCTCAAAATCACTAGTCGTGCCTTTAATTTATGCACAAGTCCTGGGCGAATTCTTCCGATCCATGACCGGAGCTGGGCTCCAAAGCGCATAACTACTACGTCCTGCCGTCGGAACCCCGCTAGGATTACACAAGGTTGAAATAAAGAATGGGATTGGTCCTGGCTTATCCTGCCCGGCCGTTGTTAGAGCACAATTATCTTGGCAGTCTTTCTTTCTTTATTAAGGCAAGTGAAGGACGCGCAGAACTCCGCGGATAAGACTTGCCATTTGATTACCCCAAGGTCCTCGTACCATTAGACAAATTACCCGAATGAATGTAAGCAAGACAACACAGATTCGAGCATTTATGAACAGGATCAGTCGCTCACTAAATGTCTAGAATGTCTCGGAACTAGTTGTAGTCCAGAGCTCAATTCTTTTCGGTGTTAGTTGAGATAAATAACAAATTTAATCCTTCTTTTTACACTATATCGCGATAGTAGCCATTTGGCACTAATTCTTCCGTGGATCCGCCTTCGGTTCTGGCATTTAGCCTTATTTTTACTCTCAAAATCACTTTATTTAAAATGGAAATCTATCCCATCTTTTTGGCGCTCCTCTTTTGCGACCCATCCATCTCCATCGCCACATCCGTCGCGTTATATTTACGTTTCTCCCTATCATAATTATTACAAGTTAGTAATAAGTTCTCGAAGAAATCTACCATACCTCCTCCTCTTATGGTCCAATATCCGTCTTACACAACGTGGCAATATAAATTAGAACTAATGTAATGTCCTTGACCGACTAAAGCGTCACTGTACAGTTTCCAAAGAACGGATGAAATACCCAACCTAATCTACTACAAACTGACCATTAATAGAAACTATGCTTTCTTTGAGTGTACAGCTCCGAATTTAACAAGGCAGATTCTGAACCAACGCCAATTACTGTTTTCTTATTGGCGAGAACGTACCGAGTAGAGAATGACGTAGGCTCACCCTCAGTTTCTTTGTTCTCTCAACGAGCCAATGAGAGTGGGGGCTACATGACATTCCCACAACTCCTAGGATCTGATAACTTTCGACTCTTTCATGACAAACACGCTCGCGATCTTGGGAACTTGAATTCAACCTCCTGACCGATTGGACCCCGATAAGAAATGTCTAGCCTACCATCGCCGCCCAGCAAATACCTCTGTCTCACCGTCTGCGAGTACCGCAAGCCCGGGATGAGCGAAGAAGCCTATCGGCACCACATGACCAAAGGTCTGATGGTCAAGTACGGCATCAAGCGTTGGACAGTGATTCACAATACCACTGCCACACGTGAGCTCATGACCGAGCTCTATGACTCGCAGATGGGGAACGTGGCCGACTTTGACTGTTTTAGCCAAGTGGTGTTCGAAAGCCTAGATGACTACAAGCGAATGAAGGAAGATTCATGGTATAAGGAGTGTTTGTTCCAAGACCACGAGGAGTTCGCGGATACTACGCGGAGCAAGTGAGTGGCAGTGGCTGTACTCTTCGGTGATTGCCGTATACACCGCTAACACAAACCAACTTCTTACAGGATAACCATAGGCTGGATCGAGGAATACGTTCGAGATAGAGTTGCCGTAGATGTGTTGAAATGTTAAGTAATAAGGCACTTTGTCCTTGTGCTCAGTTCGAGTCAGCTATATCTGCGTGTGTCCTTCGGTCAAAACTTAGGATGATCTCCGGAATTGAGCAACTCGCGATAGTCCTCGGTGGCCTAAGAGACATAAATGCAGAATACAATTTCCACGAACGAATTAGTTTGTAAGTGCTCGAGGGAATCTGTCCCTGCAGATCCTAAATCTTGTGAGCCTAAACCAAGGCAAGAATGAATTAATCTACGTTTTCGATCTGCATCCCCCAGAGGGAGTCTTTGATTGAGTATTGAGCAACGAGAATACTGCAGAATTTCGCACAGTCGACAATGCCGCAATCAACATAGGAGTAGAATATCTCTGTGGACGTACCATTCTGGTAGTTGTACCCTCATAAGCAGTCTACTTTGCTCACTTTTTGTCAGTTCATACGCGTCCCTACTACCTACATCACGACTGCGGAACTTTGCTAACAACTCCGACAGTGAGAGTCTCTCCTGAGCTCTTGATGAGGATATACTACTCGAACGGGGAGACCCCAGCATTGACGAAAATCATTCTGCTTTGCGCGACACAAGGGTATTTGGAATCACTCTACACATGCCATGACTCTTTCCCTTGCCCTATGCTTGAAGATGTCCCCACCTTGCGTTGTGGCGAGGATTGTTATTTTCAGTGACGGTACACGTACTTTTCTCTGCTATCCTATCTATACATATTGCTAGGATAGTAACCATTGTCGCAGATGTGAATCTTCGCATCTCGTATAACTGCCACTTCCAGATGAGAATCCACAGTAGTCTGCAAGTCATACCAATACTTCTAGTCCAACTCCCACCTCAACAGGGGCTTAAGGTATCGAAGTGGCTTTTAATAGAACAATCTACACCATTATCAGTCAGCCCACCATGCTCACTAACGACGGGATAGTCATAATCCTTGGGCCGGGAAGTTTAACCATTGGATCGGATACTATTTCACTCCCAACACAAGCAGAGGAGCATACACCTATCACCACTGACGGTGTCACTTTCATCGTCTGGCCTCCTGGGCATCACGCGTCCTCTTTGTCCGCTTCTATAACTTCAACCACTGGAGCACCAGGCCCATCTCCAAATAACTGCACATGCACTCCGACTTCAACTCAATCCTCCAGTCAAGTATACAAGTACGGTGATCACAATGCGTCGACGGTTCTTGTACGGCTGAAGTCACCTTCACTGCTTCTACACTGGCCCCATTTACTAATTTCACGGGTGTCTCGATGCTGACCACTACCATAGAAGGCGTACCAACGACAGTGGTAGTCGGGCCAGGAGGTGTGGCATGGATTCCTACGCACCCTGATAAAGTAACTTCGGGCTTCCCTCCCGTGCCTTACCCTTCGCAGCCCTTCCCCCCGGGGTCCACAGGCACGGGTAATATTACACCTGCAACAACGGGCCTTACCTTGTCTGTTTCCACGACCACCGATATTCCGGTCCACTCTTCGCGATTCACGGTTCCGCCGCTGACCACAACAATGATTACCATCGTCAGATGGCCCTACTACCTCGACTATAACCGGGATCAATGATTCAAGTGGCTTTGTGGGGCTAATTACTGTAATTTCCACTGCGGCTGCTGTAGTATCAGCTAAAGTCTTTATCGTCCCATCTCATAAGTGCTTCAGGCATCATCGCGGTGTTCTCCCCGAGCCTGACAAAGGCCGCCACGCCGAGTTCGCCTGCGGCTGCGATTGAGACCGCGAAAGCTGGTACGTACATCATCCTTTGCAAACCCCTGTAGATTACTTTGACTGGTCTTACGAATAGGTGGGAACGACTTTGGTATTGGTCTGGGTGTTTCTCTGCCGGGTCTATGCTTATTGTTCTCTAGCAATCTAGCTAGCTCTGCGGGTCCATCGCAAGGCTGAATGATCTACTTGGTGGCATAACCACAATTGATGACGGATAGTCTGAGCCATCGTCGTTGACAGGGCCACTTGCAGGCCTTCCCAGTATTTCTAAAAACTTAGGGGAAGAAGCCGAAAGTGCAGATTCCAGCGCGGTTACCACGATATCATCTGCTTGCATAGGGGCCGTTCCCGCTAACTGCGATGCGTTCTGTGTGGTTACTACAATGCCAGGAGGCACAGTTACCACAAAGCCTTGCTATTCGACAACATGTAGTGTTGAAACTGATGTGGAGGCCCGCCTACGGTGCAATTTCCTACGGTGATGAAACTATGCCGCTTTGTTCTTATCCCATCCTTTTCCGCCATCACTCCATTTCCCACAAGTACCCAGTCAACAATAACCATCTACTCCACCAAAGCTAGTTCGTTCACCTAGCCCTAGCCTTACCCGACCCTCCGCAGACTACGTGTCTAACTGTTATACCTTCACATTTGAGAATCCCTCTGATACAGAGACAGGTGTCTCCTTCGCAGAAAGATTCGAGATTACAGCCCAGCACCCCTATGATCAGAATTACTCCCTTCAGCCTGCCAACGGAAGCAAAAATTGTTGACATGCACACAGACTGGTCTCGAGGAACACGCAATTCCTGTATTGGGGGAAAGTTCAACCACATCGACGACTAGGACAATCGTTGCTCCTGCGCCTACTTTGACCGAATGCAGTACTTATAATGATTGCCCGGCCTGTCCTCAAGGGGTGTGGCGCTGTTGCTTTGCTGGGGGTAGTGGAATGTTGGTGCCAGGATCAAACTATTGCGCTTCAATTACGGGTCAACACCTGGAGCCACGTGTGGGTGTACATGAGATCTATGAGGAAGCGGCACTGAGCAACTACGGTACATACTCATTAATTAACAATCTAGAATGCTGTGTATGTACTACGACTGGTCAGTCGCAAGGTTTTGCAAAAAGAAAATATATCTGGCGGAGTAGGAGATTGATGGCTTGCGGTGGCTGGCTGTGGTTGCTTAGTTTCACCCAATACAATATGTACCCCACTGCGTCACGATCGCCCTCGGCAGGAGCTGTCAGATACTGATCTCTATCTGTGTAACCCAGCTAAAGATGCAGTACAAGTATTCCCGAATTCCTTAGGATGGCCGATCAATTCCGAATTTGTACCAATGGGGGGCGAAAGCGACGCCTCTTGAGAGTGCGAACAAACTATCTGACAGCCTGAATAATTCAAATCCTCTAGAACGGATGAACGGATCACTTGCGCTAATATTAAGATCGTCCCTCGGGCTCATGTTTGCCGATCAATAAGCTTGCCGATCAATAAATAGTCTAATTCGCATGCAGAAGGTCCGTCTGCTGAGATCGCTAGGGTACAACGATCTCGAGGGAATTTTAGAATAATGAGATCAAGACTTTACGGCTTAGCATAGCTGCTGTTCATGAGAACCCAGAGTGCACTTGGGAATTACAAGTATCAGGTACGCAATTTTGCACGTAGTGGCAGTGGGTGACTGTCAATCCACTGTACGAGGTCGTAGGTCAACTGTGGACCTGACGGGACGGTCGCTGATAGTAATCCAAGATTTCCAATGGCTCCCCACGAGGGGCACGCCAAAAAGGGCGGAGTGTAGCCCTGCATCGTACACGCTAGATAAACTAAGAGTAAATTAATCTTGGTATCTCGATAGTATATTTAATAACTTCTATAGTCTTATATAGAAATTGGCCTTGTGGAGAGATGATAAGCGTTCCTAGCCCCTGCCGTAGTGAAAGGGTAACTGTACATTTTATGGGACAGTGAGTCTCAGCGCCCAGTTCTAACGCAGATTGACCAATCAGCATCCTCCACTTTGGGCATCTCGGCACTGGTTTCAGTGGGTCGGAGTTGGTTATATCGTACGTGCAAATCAATAGTCTAGTTATGTGTGGAACGCCTATGTCACTCACCTGGTAATGCGTCGTGACTTACTAGCTTAAACGATACTTGATACATATCGCAAGCTTAAATGCGCCTATGGAAGGTAATAATCATACCAGTATGTTAGGGCCTACGAGCCAAAGACACGCTGTAGGTAAGCGTACTGTTCTTGCGACAGAGGATACCCCCAGTTGCAAAGTCCTTTTACTAATTTTACCATCGCAGAGCAAAACGAATATCGCGATGAGAAGCTATAAATACCCCAAGCATTCTTCGTTCGGTGATATCACCCCCTGAAACTAGAAACATCGTTACATTTTTTTGAAGGACTATGTTCAACGACATTATGAATACACTCTTCGCCCTGGGTGCTTTCACCCTTTTCCACTCGGCTCACGTCTTTGGACCAGGAACCTACAGCATTGGCTCTGCAGTCCTCGCCGAGTCTCAAGTCTTGACTGAGATCAGCGTCGGCGCCCCTCTGGTCTTCTCTGACCAACAAAATAACCCCAGCCAGGTCTGGAAATTCATTTCCGCATGGGATGATTCTTACGAAATCCATGGCAACCGAGAGGGTAGCATTAACTGTGGCATAGAAATAGGCATAGAACTACGAAGTATACTACAAATTTCCCCTGGGGGTTCAAAATGGTCAATGCGCCTGGCTGCAGGTCCTAGCCCGATATACTTATTAGCAGATTTCCAACTCACTCTAGCGCTTGAAAGTGCTAAAAAGAGCTGACCGTGTTTTTTTCGTACCACAAACTGCGATTATATTATTATAGTAGAACGCTGATGGTCCACCACCGGAAATATCCCGATCTCTGCATACCTCGTTCATGCTTCGTTTTTCAGGCATCATGAGCGCTTTGTGAAGACCAACTGACAGCCATCCTGGTGGAATGTTTAGTACCTAAAACCAGCCGTCAAGAGAAAAATAGCGAATTGAGCAACTAACCATTGGAAACAGCGTAGCAAACACTCGAATCTCTTCCGATCTCTCCGTAGCATGATGCGTCCAATCGAGCTCTAGTGCTGCCTTTCCAATCATCGCAGCCATCGACAACGGGACATACCTTCTTGCAAGGCAGTCATGAGCACCGGCTCCAAACACAAGCCAATTCTTGGTTTTAGACTCCGCGTCGCCCGAGATCCAACGGTCGGGATTGAAGATATTAGGGTCAGGGTATGCATCTGGGTCGTGCAAAGCAGGGTAGCATGAAGGAATAATCATTGACCCCCTTGGTACCGTATAGTCCGCTGTTACAGGGAAATTCTTGGTCGCCAGGTAGGGAACAAAAATGACAGGGGGTCGGTAGCGGAGAAGCTCTTTGATGACGGCGTTGGTATAAGTGAGCGATTCCAGCATGGGTAAGTCGAAAGGTTTGTTCCTATCCCCTCCTCTCGCAGCCAAATTCTCCTCTCGAAGACGATTGAGTACATCTGGCCGCTGAGCCAGTATCTGGAACAGCCAGGTTGTTGCACTGCTGGATGCATCTTGAGACGCGAAGAGGAAGGTAAACAAGGTCTCACTAATTTCCTCGTTGGTAAATTCACGAATCAAGTTCGAGGGCTTTTCCACATCTGTCTCTCCGGCAGCGATTCTCTCCCGATATTGAGTAGATTCCATCATATGCGCCACCCAGTGATCGATGATGCTCGTGGGCTTTGCACCCGTTGCCATGTGGGCCTTCGCCGCAGCCGCACATTTCGCAAACTCAGCATGTACAGCGCGTACCGTTCTTCTCCCTAGCCAAGGCTTGGTGAATGGGATATGGATCGAAAATGGGACATTGACGAGCTCGAGGGCGGCAGTAGCAAGATAGAAGTCGTCGGCGATCTTCTTGACAGCACTTTGAGATATGTAATCACCGAAAAACGTCCGACATGAAAGCGCACAGTTTATTTCCCGGAAAAGGCTCATAAATACCATCGGCTGTCCATTATTCTCTTTGCTGGCAGCAACGAACTTGTCGAAGTAGTCGGCAAATACACGCTCCTGTGCAGGGAAATACGTGGCGATGGCTTTGTTTGTGAACAGAGGAGTCAGACCCCTGCGGTACTCTGCGTGTGCTTTTCCTTGAAGGAAGACCCATGCTTTGTGGCCCAGAATATCTTTTGCGACTGGGACTAGGCATGGCTCAGCATATGTAGGTGATTTGAATACTTTGTGGGCGATGTCACGATCTGACGCCAGCACGACGAATCTGAGTAGGTCTTAGCACATAAAATGATGGAATTGAAACAACGCAGCATACTTATGAAAGACCGATACACATGACAGAGGACCACTTGCCCACTGTGCCAGATACGATTCAAACTTTGGATGAAGAGCTTGCACGAATGGTCCCATGAGTGGGATTTTGAATGCAGGTCCGGCAATAGAGCCCTTTCGCTTGATGTACATCACTGGGAATTTTGTTAGCTAATAGAATCAAGCCATGCAGTGCCATCCACACTTACCTTGGTCATAGACAATCACTCCTAGCATAAAGGTAAGTATATATTGCCAGTTAGACCAGCCCATGAATAGTTCAGGCATGACCGTGTGTAAGAGCGACTGGGAGGTGCTGGAAGATACCCATGTTGTCGACTGCTCCAATTGTACACCGGAGACGTTGAATATCTGTGTTTCCATGTCTGATAGTCTCGCAGTGACATAGAAGACCTGGAGAAAATATTTGAACCTTCCGTATTCTCAACGGCGATAGATATATAAAAATGGAACACCCCCTTAGCCGGCCGGGAGACCTCTCCTTATTTTATAGAGCATTATGTTTCTAAGAAGCCAACTATGAAAGGTAGAGACGAATCAGTCGCTCACTATAATCTCTAGACTATGAACCAGACAAAGAACAGGTACAGTCCTCGCCAATCAAATCTAATCAAACTTGTGCTACAATCGGATCGTACGACTGTCTCATTTCCCAAATGGGACTAGACTCCGAAATACAAGCCAATAGACGCGAATCGAAATGTGGACCAGAGTTGTCAGCAGATTCTTGGGAGAATTGTCCAAACATCGGCGTCTAGTCCTCTTTGGGAAAAGCCTCGACTCTCCGTCTCCGACGCGTTCCATCCACGTGCCTGGACAAAGAAATGAAGCTGTCGGCGGCTCGCAAGTTGCTGAAGCTGTTCACTGCTATATCACCAGTTGCCTGAGTCATTAGGTGACGCCCAGGTCTATGCTGGGCTCCTCTCCATCAGCATGCGACAGACCCTTCGCCGATCCTGTTCTGCCTGTGCAAGGTCTAAATTAAGTTGCGACCTCCGCACGCCTCATTGCTCACGGTGCATCAAGCGCAAGGTGTTGTGTGTATACGCAAATCAACCTTGGACAGTGCAGCCGGCATCTTCCGGGATAGAAGGCGGCGAATCAATAGAGCCATATGGCGCACTATCAACCTACCAATTTGGCTCTATCGATCCTTTTGATTCGTATCCTCGAACGAGGCTTCCTCGAGAACATGTCCAACGCCTCATCCACAACTGTACGTACGTCTTGAATCGGCGCTGTAAACCAATCAATGCTTAGCTAAGACCCAACCCAGTTCTCCACAAAATTGCTTTCCAATATTATCCCCTCGACCTCAATGAAACCTCCAATCCGTTTCTCATTTCTTGGTGGCCACTTGCATTGGGAGATCCAGCTCTCTTCCATGTCTCGCTGCAGACTGCATGCCTCGATGAGGAGTTAATCGCCCAGAGGGGGTTCCAAGCCTCTGAAATGTTGATGGCCGACTCGGTCTCGTTGGTTCGACGAAAGATTCAGGATCTGTCACTGGCTGTACAAGATGGCACTATGAACTCTGTGATCACCCTGGCGACTATTGAAGTGAGTGACGCCCAGCTTTCCTTGTTATTGACCAAGTTCTTTCCAGCAATTGGTGCTGACGCTTCGTGATTGGCAGTTTGGCAAAGGAAACTTCGAGGTCAGCAAAACGCATGTTGAAGGTGTGAAACGACTCGTGAGCTTGCGAGGTGGCATCAGCTCTGTGAGGCAAACTAGTCCACTGACTGCCAGGATGATTAGCTGGTGAGTTTTCATGCGATCATCTCGAGGCCACGCTAAGTCATATATCTCACAGGGCATCAATGCTCATTCTCGGACATCCACAATTTCCTGTCCAAGATGACGGCGGCGGTGGAGATGGCATACCGCCAATTCCGGAATGGTTTTTATGCTCGACTGCCCTCGAGGACGGCACAATACCCGAGCTCAGCTGGGTGGTTGACGACAAGATTGTCAGAACCGCACTGGTCCGTCTCCGCTATATTTTCAAACACGTGGAAGGTGAGCCGCTCTCCGGGATAAGACTTCATGATCTCGCATTGTTTGTCACGCATCGACTTCTACTCTCGGCCCCCGATACCCAGGATACAAATGCATCGCCAGTCACCGAATGCATTCGTTACGCCCTGATACTCTACATGTTCATAATCCAAGGACCGATCTATTACTCTCACGCCGTCATCTTAAGTTCAGTTGTGACCAGATTCACCAAGTACCTGGAACTTCTGGAATCTATATCTCACGTGTACGATGCATTGGATATCTGGCTGTTGACAATTGGAATGGTGGCATCCGCGGGGACCCCGGGTTATTCTTTCTTCACGGAGAGGATCCGACGTGTCTGTGCCTGTCTTCAACTGACTGAATTCCACGTGGCCCTCAAGTATATCAAAGGCATCTGCTGGCTAGGGGGCTTGCAAGGGGAAACTCTTCTTCGACCACATTGGAACGTCGTTTTGGCCGATGATAGTCAACTGAACCCAGCGGAGTTAAGGGTCGATTTATCACCAAGCAGCTTTGGGGTGCAATCTTGATGAAAGGAGCTGCAAAGAAAATCAATATTCACCGGATCCAGTAGGAGTTCTGCTGACTGAACTGAGCTGGCCGATTCTCGTTAATGGGATAGATCTGATCAACGGAGTACCTTCCTTGGGAACCCAAAATCCAGAAACCTGGAAATCGATTTCGGTTGCCATCTGCCCTCACTACATGACGGCGGGGACCCAATTTGTCAGCTGATGCAGCAAAATCTCGATTTGAAGGTCAGGAAGCGTCTGAGCTGTTGCCCAATCTTGACCACTGGAAAATAAAAGCAAGGTTGTCAACACCACTGCGTTATCTTGTACCGATTACGGCAATGTCGATCATCGCAACTACTCTGGGGCTTCAAGCAAACTGCCCCAGACAGTATCGTGCAGATGGTATGTTTCCAGAGGCAGAAGCCGGCCTGGCTTCGTCGGGCCACATCCATCGAAGGCTGTGACGAAGACAAGCTACGCCATCTTGAGGGTCCATCACTCAAAAACGAAGTTTCCTCTCACGGAGAGATGCAGAAAGTGACCATCTGGTCATAGGTGACTCAACTCAAAATTGGGTCATCAGGAACGCCGCTAATGCAGCCTGCGCAATTGTCTCATGAAATGATAATGATCTACCAACCATCACTCATCTCGATCTTGCCTTAATGCTATCGGGATACCCTCTCGGCAATGTGGGTGACTTCCCGTTAGCGTGACTTCTGATGTTTCTGCTATTCGACACAACTGGTCACGCAATAGTCGGCGTGTCTGCGTCTTCAATCCTTCGCCCCACCAGGGCCGAGAGACGAGACGATCCCGGGGCCCCGGACGATCGATCGCCATTGTATCTCGTAGCATGGATGGAGGCCGAAGGTATGACCATAAGCGGTGATGGGCCGGTCGAAGGTCATCTATGATTGGTGGTTCATCACAAGGCCAGGCCTAGTACTACCAGGCTCTATTTTCCTTCAGCCATATTATGGGTTGCATCAATGCAGCGCTGCGTCACCGGTTTCTCAACAAGAAAGTCCCACTGGCATTTTACACCAGCTGAGTACACACTTCAACGTCTGGATGTTTCTCATGGCATCCCTTGCATCGCGCTATCGGCCGGCTTTCCCTACTCGAGGTATTTGTGCCGCTCCCTCCAGACTACAACTCTGACCCTTTGTGCGCCCAAGGACTCACACTTCGCCAGCTGATTGTAGTTTTACTGGACATTTAGCCGGACCGGGACAGGGGCGGGGTGAGAGGATGTCGTTCCCAGTTCAATCTGCGTGGATGATGCGAGATGATGCCTGGAACCAGCATTGCTCGGTTCAGTTTGCAAGTTTTGTGACTTACGTCTGCGATGTCGCCGTTGATTTCCATGCATTCACAAGGTACACATATGTGCCCTTGTGCTGGGGTATTAGCCGGCTGCTCCCGACTGGGTGAGGGCTTTATTCTATGCACGCCTCAAGATTATATCCTCACCGTGACCTAACGTGCTAGTTTGATGAAACTCTATCGTAAAGCTGGTCTTTCTACTATGTTCTTGTCTTCATTCAACATTTCGGTGACCCGATATTTTAACTCTCGCGTGGTTGAGTCTCGACCCAGTCAAAAAGCCTTCCGCCTTGATATCCGGAGGCTTGGCCCGTCTGACTAGTCACCTCCCAATGCAGCTCCCTATTCGAGCGCATCGAGGTCCATGAAACCAAATTTGATACCCTTGTACTACATGACAGTGGGTCCGTGTGCATTGAATACTTAGATGGAGCGATTGCGGGAAGGCTGCATATCAGTATGCATGGCGTGGGAACCATTCCCGGTCTAGCAGTTCATGCACGGCTTCACACCACCAGTGAGTCAGTTAAGGCTCATGACTCAATTAGGTCCAATGCATCATTGCACATGAGTGGGGCGCGAGAAAGATTAATTTTCTGAAATTTCGTATTCCCTGTTGATAGAAGAAAAGACCAGCCTCCGTCCTAACGAAATCCAGCCGAGTACGTTGTGGCATCCGTAGGTTTCATGGAAGGCAAGCCGATGATCTTTGAGCTGGTAACACCTTACCCAATAGTAATGCAGATCTTCAAGTCTGGATTATCGGTTCGTCAAGGTGGAATCGGCCGATCGCACTTGGCCGATCCGCCAAGATGGATAAAGTGGCGGTCAGGGAAACCTTTCCACGGTAACAATTTCCTACCATGTTAAGCTTTGGTCCGACAAAATAGTTCCAGGTAGCTTGAACTACATTTCTGATGGTGGAAAGTTTGGCTTGTCATATTGCCATGAGATCTCGTAAAGAGTTTCCATGTCCTACCTTGAGGCTTTGACCCCCGACTTGAAGCACGAGGGTGGCTGGGTACCTGCTGTCAACCGAGATGCGTAGTACCTAAGCTCCCGCTAGTGCATATGTTTACGTGATATTAGGTTGAAGATCGGCGCTATATTGAACTCTCATTAAGACACAGCTTACACAATGTCTTGTTCTTCACTCGATTTCAAGGGGGAGCCATCTCATTCCATGCCTTTCAGACCTCCTCGACTTGATACACCAGCTTGCTGGCTCGTACCTTACCTTCTCGTAGTAGCTGGAGACCAGTCAACACTCCAGTCAAACCACCTGGCTTGACTTGGTAGGAATGAGGAAGAATGCGCCGTTCTTCGAGTAGTTTTTGCACCAAATTCCACCACTCAATGCCGAAGTCAGGATTGCTCACATCGGGCGAGAATTCTTGTGCACTCATTCGGTAAGGCTCCCCTAACACGTCATATGCCATCGAGACATTTGAATCAACATCATCTCTAGCGGATCGCACGTCCAATAAGGCATTGTAAGCTCCACCTGCAGATGAAATAGCGGCACTGCAGATGGCAGCTGATTGGGGGGTAGAGATGGTGTCTAGAACAAATTCCAGCGCATCATCAGTATCCTCCCTGATCTGCTCGCCAACATTGGCATCGTGATAGTCAAAGACAGCATCTGCTCCGAGCTGAAACATCAAGTTACGATTGCTCTCAGAGCAAGTTGTCACAACTCGCAGCCCCGAAAGCTTCGCACATTGAATTGCCAGAGTTCCGGTAGCCGTTGCACCTCCGTAGATCAAAATGCTCATCTCGTCTTCATCACTCTCCGCCTCGCCTGGAAGTGGCAGCTCCATGCTCTGGTAAAGGTTCTGACCAACAGTGGTCAGGCCTACGCCGAAGGTGGCCGCAGCCTCAAAGCTCATAGAGTCAGGTATACGTATCTGGAGGTCGCCTTTCGCGATCACGTACTCTGCAAATGCACCACCGTTAGGACGCACGGCGTTGCTGCCGTGTACAAAGCCTGCTACACGGTCGCCTTTCTTAAAGGTCTTTTTGACAGTTGAGCCAACGGCTTCAACTATCCCAGCGTAGTCACAGCCCACGGTTGCCCCATTGCAAGAGACAAAGTCGATGTGACGCCAATCCGTGGGATTCAACGCAACTAGGTTATATTTCAGTTCATGTCGGGAATATAAATTTAGAAAGACGATATACCAGCTTTTGTTTTGACTAGAATATAGTCATTCGGTAGCTCAGGGACTGGGGCATCCTGCACCAAGGTCGCGCGGCCCGCTTCCTGGACAATGATAGCTCTTTGTGTTGTCATTTAGAATGGCTGCTATCGCGTGGGGAAAGACAAATGACAGGAGAGAGACTGAAGACAGCTGAAGTGTGCCGAGGTAAATCATTTACGTGGCAAAGAGGTGCGTGTAGCTTGAAAAAGTTCTGCGAGCCGAGCCTGTCCTGGGAGGGACCAGCCATCTAGACGCTATGGAAAATGGAACTTTCCATATCCACTATTGGTGGGGTCCAAAATAGGCGCTGGTTTGTAAACAGCTCTTGAAAAGTTGGTCACAGATCGCAAGACCGAGCTCCATTGGGAGATCAAAATGCAGTGCCAATGGGTGATCTACGTGGGGAGGGGAGGGGCAAGCGCCATGATTCGACGGGCTTGTATGCCATTGTGTATCTAGATCCACCGGGATCAGACAAGGAAAAAACGTGGGAGATCGCAATCGTCGTGTTGTGGGTGATCCGTTGGCCCGAGTTCAACCGATAGTATTTTTATCTTCAGCCACCAGAGACGCCAGGATCAGACTAAGTATGACATTAATTGCTGTCAGACTCAAATTGGCACGCTGTGGAAATGAAGTCTCACAAAAGCACTATGCGCATGCACGTTCAAGACCCCTGTCGAAAAGAAGCAGAGTGCCTGGCCAATGTTTACAGTTTGTTAGTTTCGAGATATTATTCTTCCCGTGTTTCCACTCCGAAGAGTCCGTGAGTTGTAGTGGAGAATAGCGCATTGTCATTCCAAGGCATTCGGGAAATAGGGGAAGTACAATTTATGCGGTAACTTTGTTTAGCTTAGGGGCTCAGGAGGAATCTCGATTTGGGGTCTGGGACCCAAGATAAGGATCGCAATCCACATCGAGACGCCATCGACTGCCAACATGGAACCAGGGCACTTTCGGTTCCAATAGTGGATAAAGCCTCTGCGGGCCGATGGAGAAACCTGAAGATCCTTGCCTGAGGCTTGGAGCCGTCGTGGATCCGTCGTGCCGCGTCAGATGCAGGACCGTGGTAATGAAATACCGTTACAGCACTTGGTAAGCTCTTGTATCATTACGGCGATATGTATGTGTTCAGAATAGGCCTCGTTTGTCCAATGCAGCAGGATGCACCCCAGTGCAGTGCGGGGCATTAGCAACGCACTCATAATAAACATCATGTAATACATGTATTGAAGCAACTCCTTGGTCTCCTTCCACTTTGGCCTCCACCGTACAACATGGCATATGGACGATCCAGTTCGTTGATCAAGGTCCCCACCGGAACTCGAGGTGTATGCTTGTGAGATGTATGATTCCCTCGCTTAGCCGGCCATCCATGTACGGTCGATCATGTATGCCGTGGAGAACTTCTACGCTTCAGAGTGCATGCATGGGTCCGCGTTGGAGGTACAACGGATTATCAAGATCCCTAGCCACTGACTACTGTAGTAGACCGGGAGACATCCTTGTTATGGTAGAGTTGCTCCGTAAGGAAAGAGGCTTGACACCACAAATATGCGTTGACCCACATCTGCCGGCGTGATTATCGTTCGGGGCAAAATCGATGTTACCTGAACACACCAAAGCGTACTTTGTACGGTGAGTATGGAGACTCATGATCCGGACAAGCGCCTGTAGGCGTACACATAGGGTGGAGGGGGGTGCCCGGGGTCGGACTTCCAGAGTAGCGATTTATCAAGGATTATTGGTTATTACCACTAATTGGATAGTGAGTAAAATATGCAAGTCACCCATGCGAGGTCACCACCCCTCATGGCACGAGCTTTCTAAAATTCATGACCCACCACTAGAGTGATTGCCACTCGCCGAGCTTAGAAAGCTCAACACCTGCTAGTTATAATAACACCCCACAGCCTCCTCCCACTTCCGCGATCATCACAGCAACAATTTGTCTGCACATTTCTATATACACACGATGCCCGGCCGACCAACCGTGAGTGCTTCCGACCCAGTGTTGGACGCAATCGCGGTCATCGGAATCGGATGTCGCTTCTCTGGAGGGGCTAGCTCTGTGGACGATTTCTGGCAGATGCTATGCGATGGGCGTACTGGACACGGAAAGATACCTCCAAGCCGATATGAATCCTCAGCGTGGCACCACCCAAGCCATGACCGTAAGGGCGCGGTACGATAAAACTCTATTAAGCTTGACTAGTATTCACGCGGAACATACTTGAGAACTGACAGGAAATCAGATAAACCATGATAGCGGATTCTTTCTGAAAGAGGACCCGGCATGTTTCGATGCTCCTTTTTTCTCAATTACTGCCAAGGAGGCTGCGGGAATGGACCCAGCACAGAGATTATTGCTTGAGGTTGCCTACGAAACCTTTGAAAATGGTAGGTTTGGCATCTTCACTTCGCCTGGGATGAAGACACAGGCCCATCTTAACTGGCTATCACAGGTGGAATCCCAATCGACACACTACCAGGGTCTAATACAGCGGTATACTCCGGGTCAATGACTAATGATTATGAGTTACTATCAACGAGAGATATTTATGATATGCCTCACAACGCTGCTACGGGAAATGGCAGGACAATGTTGGCAAATCGCTTGTCATGGTTTTTCGATCTTCAAGGCCCCAGTATTATGATGGACACGGCGTGCTCTTCCAGTCTGACTGCGGTTCACCTGGCAGCTCAAGCTTTACGTTCTGGCGAATGTGGGATGGTGAGCACCCAGGACCTTTACTACAATCGCCCTGGAATCCAAACTAATGAGTTTTGTAGGCCTTGGTGACTGGTGCCAGTCTGATCTTGCACCCAAACTTCACACAGAGACTCTCTTACATGCACATGATGAGTCCAGATGGTTTGAGCCATTCATTTGATGAGTCCGCTAATGGCTACGGGCGCGGTGAAGGCATCGGTGCTGTGCTGCTGAAACCAGTTTCTGCTGCCCTGGCCGATGGAGACCACATTCGTGCCATCATTCGTGGCACTGGAATCAACCAGGATGGAAGAACTCCTGGAATAACATTGCCAAGCCCAACATCGCAAGCCAATTTGATTCGATCAACTTATGAGCGGCATGGGCTTTCTATGAGAGACACAGCATACTTCGAAGCCCATGGAACAGGCACCCCGGTTGGAGTAAGTCGAATCCTGCAAGCAATACCTGCAATTGATAAATTTACTCAATTGTATGCGTTTTAGGACCCCACAGAATTGTCAGCGGTTGGTCTGACTTTGGGCCAAGCCCGAACACCGACCGATGAGCCAATATATGTAGGCTCCGTGAAAACAAATCTTGGCCACACTGAAGGAGCCGCGGGGGTGGCCAGTTTGATCAAGGTAGTTCTCTGTCTAGAGAAAGGTATGCTGGTACCAAATGCCGGCTTTCAGAGCATTAACCCAAAGATTCGACTTGATGATTGGAGAATCCGCCTCAGCAACGAAACGATACCCTGGCCGGAGCATCTTCCACAGAGAGCGAGTATCAACTCGTTTGGGTTTGGTGGATCAAACGCTCACATAATTGTCGAGAGCACAAAGAACGCCTTCAAGCTCTACGAGGAAGAGGAAGAAGCACCTCCCCATGTGGTGGTGTTCTCGACGTTCGATCAACCTGGAATTGAGCGACTCGGTCAAAGTTGGAGTGAATACATCAAACGCCAACAAGCCCTAGAGCGCGACATCTCATTGAAAGACCTTTCACACACAATGCTTGCACGCCGGTCACACCTAGGTTTCCGCAGCTTTGCAGTCGCTAACTCCCTGGACCAGCTGCGTAGTAACCTGGAAAAGGGACTGCCCAAGTTTTCTCGGGCAAGTCGCAAAGCCCAAACAAAACTAGCGTTTATTTTCACGGGCCAGGGTGGTCAATGGGCCGGTATGGGCAAGGAGCTTCTCAGAATCCCGACTTTTAAGGAAAGCATGGCCCGATCTCAAGAGATTCTTGCATCCCTGGGGTGCCCTTTCAATATGATCCAAGAGCTTCGGGCAAGTGCAAAGGGCAGTCAGATCAACCGACCTGATCGCAGTCAACCTATAACCTGCGCGCTGCAGATTGCCCTTGTCGATCTATTGGCAAGCTGGTCCATAATGCCAAATGCGGTCGCCGGTCATTCTAGCGGTGAAATCGGTAAGATCTCCTCAATTAATCCTGTTCAAGAATATAAGATAAAAATCACTAACCAACTGCCCCCAAACAGCCGCTGCATATGCTGCCGGGTATCTCTCTCAAGCTGATGCCCTGCGAGTGTCATGGGTCCGCGGCTTCTACTCTCAGCAGATCTCCGAGAGTGACAAAAGGGGAGGAATGCTGGCCACTGGTATATCCTCAGAGGATGCACAGAAATACCTGGACGAGCTACCTCCTCGCTCAGTGGTTGTTGCATGCGTGAACAGTCCATCCAGCACAACTCTGTCGGGTAATGTGGACTTGATCGATCAACTTGAGAAGAAGCTCCAGCAAGACGGACATTTTGCCCGCAAGCTACGGATCGATACTGCCTACCATTCCCCACACATGGAAGAGTTGGTCGAAGTCGTGAGCAAGGCAATTGCATGCATCAAGCCTGAAGACAGGTACAAAGGGACGATTCCTATGCTATCTTCCGTGACGAAGGAACGAGTTCATTCCGCTGATGTGGGCGGACCATACTGGGTTCGCAACATGGTCAGTCCGGTTGAATTCACTGCCGCCGTTACTGAGCTTGCAAGCTTGAGCGAATCTAGCAAGACTCGACGACGCCCGGTTCCCGTGAAATGGACGACTCTGGTTGAAATTGGTCCCCACTCGGTGTTGAAAGGCCCCGTCTCGCAAATCCTGCAAAAGGTCAATCCCAGCATGATGGCACTCCCATATTATACTTTGGTAGCACGGAACCAAAACGCTCTGCGAACATCACTGGATGTTGCAGGATCTCTGTGGAGCACAGGACATGCCATTGATCTTGCTGCGGTGAATAACTGTGTGGATCCTACGGCACCCAATATGGTTATTGATTTGCCTTCCTATCCCTGGAACCATCAGAATTCATTCTGGCATGAGCCCTTGGAGACAGCTCAGTTGAGACAGCGCAAGCACCCACGTCACGATATTCTTGGAGCTCCTTTGGACTACCAAAATGCCCTCGAGCCTCGGTGGAGAAACTTCCTGCGACTTTCAGAGAATCCATGGATGTCTGATCATGTCGTTGCCGGAACAATTGTCTTCCCAGCCGCTGGTATGATGGTGATGGCTATCGAGGCGGCACGTCAGTTGGCCCATGGCCAAGGCAATGTCAAGGGAATCGAGTTCCAAGATTTGCACTTCATGCGAGGAGTGGTTATTCCTAACGAGGAGCGTGGTTTGGAAACTCTCCTCCAAGTCTCACCCCACCCAGGCATGGCAAGCTGGTACGAATTTGGAATTTTCTCGCTCCCATCGGGTGGTGGCTGGATCCAACACGCAAAAGGTGCATTCAGCCCCCGGTTCGAGAACCCTGAGGACAATGAGCATGCTGCAAACTGGGCTGCAACCCTGGCACGTATCAAGGATACGCAGTCAATTGCTCAAAAGGGAGACCTTGAACAGGCATACCAATGGTTGTCTCAAACTGGAGGACTCAGCGTGGGCCCATGCTTCAAGACCACCACGGAACTTTTCTTCTGCGAGTCAGAACCTCGTATTTGGTTGTCGGGAGTTGTGACCGACACTAAGCAAGGAATGCCCTATGAGCGGGAGACGCCCAGTTTCATTCACCCGACTACGCTCGATTGCCTTTTCCAATCCGCACTGCTGTCATGCTCAGAGGCTCTCTCTAGCACCAGCGCCAATATTCCAATTGGTGTGGATCATGCTTACATCTCGGATTGCTTCCAGCCTCAAACGGGCGAAGAATTTATCGTCCACACAGAGACGCAGTGGCGGGACGGCAAATCCCAATCTCAGTGCATTGCTTCTGATCCTTCGTTGTCACAGCCATGGATTACCTTCGAAGGTGTCCATCTTGGCCGCCTTCCCTTCAACCCGAATTCGCAAAAGCAAGAAGACACGGGTTCCCAGAGTCGGTTCTCGACTATTGTCTGGGATGAACATTTGGAGTCACCGATCATCACTAGTCGACTATGTCCTGATGGAACCAAGAGCAGTGCCGTCGAAGTCAGTGAGCTGCGGCTGAATGATTGGGTCGAGCGTCTCTGCCATACCAACGGTGATGGAAATGCGTTGATCGCTACTTCAGACACCTCAAATGATTGTATTCAGAGCCTCGCAAAGTATGGGCCGAGCAGTGGAAAGCGCCCTTGTCTGAGCAAGGTGACAACGGTTTTGTGCGGTCTGACAAAGGACAAACAAGCCATGACTGATGTTTTGGGATCTCAAATTGTCCCGATTACCACAATCGGGGATCTTCCATCTGCTCCCCTCTCGGAGAAAGCGTACGACATTATCGTCATCGATGAGCTCGATCTTTGGAATGGCAAAACCTCGCAGTCACTTCTGTCTTTCCTGAGTGAAACACTCGATCGTGGAGGCTTTGTCGCAATGAAAGTCTCCGACTCGACCGTCGATCTAGCAGCACAAGCCATTGGTGCATTTGAAGGTCTCGAAATCCACAGCCTTACTTCGGACCGTACCTTTATTGTGGCACGCAAGAACCCAGCCTCGTGGACCACGGATTCAGAAATTTATGTTCTGAGCACTGAAGACAAGTCAAACTCCTCGTCGGTCTTTGCCCATCTCGAGAAGGTTTTTGCTACCCACAATGTTCGCGTAGTTCCTATTGGTTTGGATCAGGTATCTGAGCATGAAGGCAAGACAGTTATATCATTGTTGGACCTGTCCGGACCCTGGATTACCGACTGGACAGCGAAGGATCTTCAGCAACTTCAGCGGTTGATTCGGGCCCAGTATGTGCTTTGGGTCTCGCCTTTCTGGGCTCAAGGAAACGTCGAGAACGCTGCTCACGGTGCGACAGCCGGCCTTCTGCGAACCCTCCGCAATGAGCACTTTAACACTACAATCCCTCAATTGCTCGTGGATGTTGATGATCTGCATGACAAATTTGGTCTGGCCTGTGGCATTTTGCAGGTTATGCAATTGACTATGCAGGAAAGCTCGCGACGCGCTGATCTTGAATACCGGCTGACAAAGAGCCGACTGTTGGTCCCCCGAGTTCTTCAGACCGCGGCAGTGGACGAGGCAATGCATACCCTGTTGAAGGGGCCCAAACCTGTTCTAGCCGAGCTCAAGCTTGATCCAAGGCCCCTTGATCTGAAGCTTCAGGACGGCAAGGAAGCATACTGGGAGGAGAAGCAGGGCTTCAAGGAGCTTCAGGCAAACCACGTTGAGCTAAAGGTAGAGATGGCCACTGTCTTTGATACCAATGGGGATTCCGGAAAGACGCCCGAGTCAGCTCTTCCAATGTTTGAGATTGTTGGAAGAGTCAACCAAGTCGGATCAGGCGTACGTGACTTGGCTGTTGGCGATAAAGTGTTGACCTTAACCTCCGCGGAATCGGGACTTTCAACAACCTTGCGTGTTCCCGAAGGTGACACGATCAATATGCCCGCTCTTGCGGATCCAACTCAAGCTATTTCGGCTCCTCTTGCATATTTGAACGCCCACCAAATTCTGACTGAGGTTGGCCGTCTGGGTGCTGGAGCCTCGGTTCTCTTGGTTGGCTCAATCAGCCAGACTCTTCGAGCCTTGATTGACTTTGCCCTCAGCATGGACATGCTGGTCATTGTTGCGACTGACTGTCAAAACACTACAGACATTCTGGCCTCTCGCTACCCAGGCTTGAAGGATAGGATTCTTGGCATTCACAGCGGACTAGAGGCAAGCGTGTCTAGGCTGACCAAGGGTTGTGGAGTTGAGGCTACTATCTCGTTCCTTAGCGGGTATTCCGGTCGAGTTGCTGCCAAGTGCCTGGTTGGAGGAGGACAATACATCAACCTGTCCAATGAGATGAAGCTCAGTGCTCTTCCGGAAAGCTTCATTGACAGCGGCTGCACCTTCTCCTCCCCGCAGCTGCGGAGAACCTTCTCTGAGAAGCCCGGCAGCCTCCACGCGTCCGTTCGTAAGGTGATGAGCTTGATGAAGGAGCAGCAACTGCTGCATCGCGTGGAAGCTTATCCAATATTCCCGGCGTCCGATATCCAGCAGGCCTTCCAACTCTGCAAGGAGACCAACGGCCGAGTCATTATTGACCTCCAAGCTCCCGGTCAAGTTCCAATTATTCTTCCACTCCCGGAATTTACAGCATTGCCATCTGAAAAGACTTACATATTGGCTGGTGGCCTGGGCACTCTCGGCCTCGCATTAGCCGAGACCTTGGTAGAGTCTGGGGCGCGTCATTTGGTTTTCCTTGGGCGATCAGGAGTTGCTCAAAAGGAGCAGGAGATCACCCTTGATATGCTCCGGGATCGTGGATGCCGTGCAGATGTTGTTCGCTGTGACATATCCAAATCGGAAGATATGTCTAATCTCTCATCGGAAATCACGAACCGAGACTGGAATGTTGCCGGTGTCATTCAATGCACGACCGTTCTGAAAGTAATTGACCCCCAAAAAAGACATTTTTACAAGGGATGCGCTAACTTAATTCTAATTCTGACAGGATGCCATGTTTGAGAACATGACCTTCGAGGAGTGGTCACAATCAACCGATCCCAAGGTTCAGGGAACGTTGAAATTGCACGGGCTGTTCTCAGAGCCAGATGGGCTTGACTTTTTTGTGACGCTCTCTTCTGTCTCAAGTGTCATGGGTAACATGGGCCAGGCTAACTACTGCGCTGGTAATGGATTCATGGACGCCCTGATGGAGTGGCGCCGTAACCATGGCCTTGCCGGAATTTCCATCAACGCCGGTCTTGTCCCAGATGCTAGCGGAGTCAGTGATATCATGAAAGATCAAGAGGAACGCCTTCGTCGATATAATAGTTTTAGAGGCACAGAGATTTTGACCCACGAGCTCCAGACTCTGCTCCGGGTTATCATTAACAGCAAGCTCTCCCTTCCGCACCAGATCATTGCTGGTATGACGGACTCTCTGTCACGCAAGAATGCACCCACCGCGTGGCTACTCGACCGCAAGTTTGACCACCGTATCTCACTAGCCACTGAAGAAAGTTCCTCGTCTGCCGCTTCTACCGCTACTCTTCTCAAGGAAGCCGATTCTGTTGAAACGGCAACTCAAATTGTCCTTGACGCTCTCAGTGAATACTTGGCGACGGCCATGGCTACAACTGCCGACTCTATTGACGCTGATTTACCCTTGTCAGCCTTAGGTGGTACGTTCTATACTACAAACCTTTCCCCTTCCTATTACGTCAAGTCATATCTATCATACTAACTATTCTTTCAGTGGATTCACTTAAAGCAACTGACGTTCAAAACTGGGTCTCGCGCGATTTGGGCGCAGAACTGTCCTCATTTGAATTCCTTGGCTCACAACCGACTAAGACTCTAGCCAGGAAAATTGCCTCAGCCAGTTCCTTCGTCTCGGTGTCGAGCTAAGAGTCCCATCGTGGACTCGGTGATAACGAGTACGCAAACAGTGTGAGTATGAGACAGATTGTAATTGGTGGGGATTGGTTTCTCCCTTCCTTTTGGCGTTGAGTGAATTTTTGGGTGTTATCGCGCTCTCGCATCCCAACGGTTTTGTACTGTCTTGCTCTAGTCTCAAAGTTGTCGCATGAATTCACGAATTTGGGTTTAAATAATCAGGGGCTATCTTCGCTGTTTTATTACATACGATACACTGTATCTCAATGTTCGAGCAATTCATAAGATACGTAAATACCAAACATTCATAGGCATAGACGCCGATCACAGACCTCCACGATGGCGCTTCTGCAGACAAGCGGGTCTCGGTCGGCGCCCGTCCCCTAGTTGGTTAAAGCAATTCACATGCAGGAGGGTTATTTCCGCATTTATTCAAACATTATTTTGACTATCCCAACTCCGTTCTCCGTACGGAGCCCCCGTCCGTGCTAGAGGAAATGACTACAGAGTACCGACCAAAGAAACCACCCCGCGCAGCCCCGGGGGCCACTATGTACGTGCAATCCTTCTGGAGCCACTCCACCTGCCATCGTCGAGGCAGGAGCGCTAATTATCCAGCGGGCAAAGAACAATTGGTGATAGAAGTGGGGGGTGAGAACCTGTTCGCCCGCCCCCCGACACTAAATTAGCTCGGTTTAATCGCCCCAATATCCTTTCCGAGTCACGACATTCGACAAGACCTGGACCCCCATCGATAATGTACCCACGATCGCGGCGCTGGAAACGCAAATCCCCCTTATGAATTGTCGATCTCCCCAAGCCAAGGTGCCCACCCACCATAGAGCAAAAATGATGAACAAAATCCAAGCTTCTTCAGGCAACCCCACCTCGTGGAAGTTGTTCGGACTGCCAGCGAATTCGAAAAATTCTAATTGTGTGAAGTTTCATGCATGTTCTCGGGGTCTATCGGGCCTCCGAGATGACGGACAAGTAGACTCCGGATTTCGCCTCAATCCTAGTCAGTCTCTTGCACTAGGGGGAAGTTCCGTTGTAACAATAATCAATAGTGGATCCATGGCCTAGATACTGGTCAAAAGTCCCGGCATGGATGTGCTGCGATCAGCGAGGAGGGCGACTTGTGGGTGGCACGACGGCCTTGGGCTACTGGGAAGGCATATCGGTAACTAGCTAATGCATATCCATGCCTGTAAAGCTGTATAGCTGTAAACCTGTCTCGGCCATGGATCCAAGTGGCCCCGCTCGTGGTGCAAGACGGGAACGGTGGGCTCGCGCGAATAATGCATTGGCTTGCAGGGAAAGTCTTTGCTTGCAATTGCATTTCAACCTTTGGTGTTCATTCGTGTCGTAGCTTGCGCAGGGCCTCCTCTGATCTCCCATAATAAAGGCTTGTCGGGCCGCGTTTTCACTTTTCACTGTCCGTTTTCCCTTTGCTCCTCTTCCCTCATACGCCCTCCGATATGTCGGACCGTGAGAAGAGTGAGGCATACTTGCCCACAGCCCCAGAGCAGGCCGTTTGTCATCAATCCGGCTCCGAGGATAGCAATGGCGCCAGTTCGTCGGACTCGGAGAAAGTGGTCAAGCCAGAAATTCCCAAGAAGCCAACACACAACCGGCATATCTCCATTACACTAGATGACTTGGAGGCTCAAACCAAATCCGAGCTCCCGCTGAAGCGATTCGCGTATTTGAGATATGCGGTGTTTACCATGTACCGACGCCTCTTTACAGTGGTATTCCTGGTAAACTTGGCGTGCTTCATCTACGTGATGGTTGCTGATCGCCAGATTTTGGCTCTGGTGAATGCAACGGCCGTGAACTTGGTAGCCTGTGGTTTAGCTCGCCATCCAATGGTGGTGAATGGTATCTACAGAGTGGTGTGCTCGCTTCCTAGGTCAGCACCACTTTGGTTGCGCCGCATGGCCGCCAAGGCCGCCCATTATGGTGGTGTGCACAGTGGTTGTGGTACTGCTTCTTTGATTTGGTATGCGGGATTCGTCGGTGTTGCATCAAATATGTACTGGACGTCAACCCCAATCAGTTCTTTGACAGACCGCACATTCTCGACGGCTGCGATCGCGGTTTCGTACGTGATCCTTGTCCTACTTATGGTCATGATTGTGGTGGCATATCCAGTCTTCCGCAGGAAGATGCATGACTACTTCGAGCTCACCCATCGGTTCACATCGTGGCTTATCCTTGCCATGTTCATTGTCTTGGTGATGCTCTTTGCCAACGACATGGGTAAGGCAGAGGAGAAGTCCCTTGGATACGCTCTGATCACGCTCCCCGCATTCTGGCTCTTGATCGGAGCTGTGCTTGCAATTGCTCATCCCTGGCTCCTCCTAAGGAAGATTCCGGTGCAGACAGACCCTCTTTCTCCGCATGCTATTCGGCTACACTTTAGTCACACGCCAATTAGCTTTGCCAAGGGTATCCAGGTGTCCAAGCATCCTCTTCGAGACTGGCATAGTTTTGCTGGCTTCCCAGACCCTTCTGAGTCTCTTGAGAATATCAGAAGGATTCCATCCGAAGAGAGAACTCCCGCGAAGCCACCTGCGGCCTATAAGAAGGGACATAAGCGCAACCAAGAGAGTTGGTCAATTGTGGTTTCCAAGGCCGGAGACTGGACATCGGACACAATTAACAGTCCGCCTACCCACGTCTGGAAACGTGGTGCCCTGATGCGCGGCGTTGGTTACGGTCTGCGTCTGTTCAATCGTATCATCGTCGTGACCACTGGATCTGGAATCGGGCCCTGCCTTGGATTCTTGGGCGATGAACACCGGCCAATGATCAAAGTCGTCTGGCAAACTCGGAACCCGCTCAGAACGTACGGCCAGGGAGTCATTGACCTGGTCCACCAAATGGGCCCAGACCCAATCATTTTGGACACTTCTAAGGATGGTCGTATTGATATGCTTCCGATTATCCACCAACAAGTCCAGGAATTCAAAGCGGAGGCAGTTTTCGTTATCAGCAACCCACCCATTACCCGCAGGATTGTCTACGAGTTTGAATCTCACGGCATCCCCGCCTATGGACCTATCTTCGATTCTTGATCTATGTTTGGTTTCGATTCAGTGAATCGTCTACATCTCGGGTTCTGCAGTGCAGAAGTATTTTATGTGTCGCTGACATGAAGGAGGAAAATGATAATTTGACCCTGGTGGGCAAAGCAAATGAGTTATTGATAGAATGATGATGTCTTGACAGAGCTCGCTCGCGTCCTTGTGAACCTATGAGGTATGACAGGAAACGATATATGATACTTTACGATGCAAAAGATAGCTATAATACAAATTGCAGTTTTTCATAGCTATTTCCGTTCCTCGTATAGCTACTGATATCCGAACTACCCTCAGGATACTGTATCCCAGTAATTCAATAGCTGTTTACACGTATTTTGCCCGCTAAAGTGATAAGAAATTTCTACACTTGCGTAAGGGTACTGCGGGGGTGCCACAGATCAAGAGCCGACCCGTCCCAACGTGGAGAAAGCGATATCTCGGTAAAAGCAGGTTATACATCCTCAACGCTTCAACCAAAAAACAGTACTGGCCCAATGGCTTTCCTTTTCTTATCAGATCTGCATGTCCACCGCTAGGGCTGCCGTACATGTGCTCTGTCCTACATACCCCCGCAGGTTCATGCACGCACACATCACGCAGATCATGGCTGATCATCGGTGAAAGTCAAAAAGGTTCCATGGCCCAAGTTATGCGTGCGTCAAAATGGGGCAGGAGACCCAGAACTGTTGCTGCACGGGTGATCAACCGTTATGGTACTGTAGTACCTAGATCGCCATGCGCTTCATCTCCTAGATGCCGAAGACACAGGCCTCGCTCTGTGTGGTCCCACATGGGCGGGGCAAACCCAGGAATTCTCTCTTCGGTGTCTCGTCTAAGTGAGATCGTAAAACTCTAATCGGAGAGTTCGTACTTATTTCCTGTCTGGGTGCTTCCTGATATCAGGATTGATTTGCATTTCCAGGCTCCGGTTCACGGATGAGTTCAAGCAGCATGACTCAGAAGTCAGTCTCAAGTCTCTTAAATGGAGCTAGATAATCTGATCATAATGTATGGTTGCCATTTGTGTAACCCAACTGTATGATAACATAGAGGACTCTGGCGACCAAGTCGGTCTGCCCCACCCACAAACCAGGCTTTTCCTATCTAGAACATACTTGGATAGAAAACAAACGGCATATCTTACGAGACAGTCTCAATACCCCCGCATTTCGACCCTGTCGATATATCTCATCAAGGACGTGATCGCCAAAATGGTTTCTCTAATTCAATTGGTTAGTGAAAATTGGTTGAAGAGTAACATCATCCAAATTAGCTACGTGGCCCTGCTCTAAAGCAAAGACAGATTTCTATAACCAGAAGTCGCAAAGCGGGCTGCTTGATGAAGCGATAGTAGGTCGAGTGGCACTATGCCAGTATCCAAAAGAAGTTGAAGAGGAAATGATTCGATATTTGTCACAACAGAGACCAATCCAGCAGAACCAAGTCATTGATTTTGTTCAATTAAATGCTCGACAACTTTACCTATCTGCGTCACATTAAAACGATGTACTATTAGCGCCAGCTTTGGGGAGATGTCTCGTCACTCAGTTCCCATTCCGCGTAGCTCAAAGCAGAGCTGAGCAGGCCACATACCACTGAGATGCTGACAGAAATAGAGCTTTCTGGACCAAACAACTACATATATCCAGTCTCCCGGTGTCAATGTCCTATTACCAAAATGGGAGTCTCGGTTGTCTGGTAGTCTACTCATGTCGCAAGAATTTGTGTTTGCGAGAACAACGGTTATAATACCCATATTCAACCGAGATATCCATGTGAGCGATCATAGAGCCCAGAAAATTACTATATTTCTCTTTAAGAAATTTCGAATTTGGTGTCCAAAAGACCACTGTGATGGCGGCTCGGTATCTTTTTGGGAGGGAGCCGGCATGCTCCCAGTGAGCTGAATTCATAAGCTAGATATACATTCCCAATAAGTGACTAGTCATTAGAAAATTAAGCCTCCTCCTGGTCCATTTCATCTCTGCCGCGCTTCTTGTGTCGGCCGCCACCCCTGGCGCCCCTGCCATCCTGAGTCTGTTCTTTCAGTGTAGCGATAGCTATCCTTTGAGCCTCATGCACTCGGTTTGCGAATACCATCACCTCATCCTTCTCCGGTTTGTATTCGTCCACTTTCTTTCCAAGAGCGTTTTCGATCCGCAACCAGATCTCCACATCGTATTGGGTGACGATAGAGAAAGCCCTTCCACTCTTTCCAGCACGCGCAGTTCGACCCACGCGGTGAATGTACGTCTTGCTGTCTTGGGGAAGATCGCAATTGACAACGAAATCGACAGCCGGGATATCCAATCCACGAGCCGCGACATCGGTGGCAATGAGAAGGGTGCGAGACTTGGAGCGGAATTTGTTCAAAGATCCGAGACGGGCGCTCTGAGAGAGTTGTCCATGGATTGGGATGGCAGGGAAGCCCAGGCTTCGCAGCAGGAGGGCCAAACGCTGGGTTTCCATGATCGTACGAGTGAAAAGGATACCCATTTGACCAGTGCGCTCATTCAACAAGTGAACAAGATAGATATCTTTCAACTTATGCGGGATAAACAAAAAGGACTGTAGGAGGTTTGTGGCGGTCTGGTTCTTGGATGAGACTGAGATTTTGGCCGGGTTTGATAATGACGCCCGTTGAAGAGACTCGACTTTGCTGGAGATGGTGGCTGAGAAAAGATAGGTTTTGCGACTTGGGAGAAGCCGGAGAAGCTTGTCCAAAATGGGGCCAAAGTCCAGGTCAAGCAGTCGATCGGCCTCGTCAAGCACGAGATATTTCAGGTTCCTCAGAGAGAATCCTTTGGTATTTTCGAGATGATCAAGGAGACGTCCTGGGGTTGCGACAATGACGTGAGGCTTCTTCCCCAAAGAGATGGCCTGGGGAACCATGTCCATTCCACCAATCAACAATGTGCATCGTACGGAGATGAAAGCCCCCAGGGCTTCAACGGTCTGGGCGATCTGCTGGGCAAGTTCACGAGTGGGCGCAATGATAAGCGAATGGTATGGCTGGGGACTTTCCATGAGTCCTTGAAGTAGGGGAATGGTGAATGCAGCAGTCTTTCCACTTCCAGTTTCTGCCAGGCCAATAATATCTCTTCCTTCTAAAGCGACGGGAATACAAGACGCTTGGATGGGTGTCGGGGTTTTGTAACCGAGGGAGTCGCACGCTTCACATAGTGAATCGATCACGCCCAGTTCTTTGAATGTTTGGGCTAGTTTGGTGGTGGTGGTGGAAATTTCCGCGGCGGAGGCGTTAGAACTGACATCCTCGACCGAGGATGTCGCATGCGCAGGACTCTCCATGGCTAAGCACGAGAGTGAAAGGCCGGTCGAGCTGTCGCGAGAGAACTTTGGACCAAAGCACAAAGGTGGTCGATATCTAAACTCGCAGATCCAGCGGGCCAAACGTGTTGGACCTGTGTGTTGAGATGGCGACCAGAGGAAGAATCGCAAAATTTTTGTGATCTGCCAGAATCTTATCGCGGGCCCGATAAGTGATGAATAAGCATACATCTCACCGCCCGACTGACCGCCCGATCCACGACTCTCACTGGTGCCTTAAATATATGGCACTCATTGAGAACACCTAAACATGATAATCCGAGGTCTCCATAGCACCACTTCTCGGTCAACGAATGCTATGTTTATTAGAATATGAGAATATCCACAGGAATCACCAGATAATGAAATATTGTACTGTTCGTTAGTTGCAATGACTTTCGTATTTAGCTTGCGCGCTCACATACAACTGCGGACTGGCTCCCGACACTTTACGGGTTATATAAACCCGAACAAGCCACCGCTAAGGTGGTCCCGAGGTCCCATATATATAACCTCATCATTGCGATTTTCTTCAACCTGCTTTTCCCTCAATCCAATCGAAAAACCTACAGTCGGACATTCTTATGTCAACATTCCACTGGCCCGGGGGCATTCCCCACAAGATTCAGCCTCATCCCAAGACAGATCTATCCCAAGAGGAACTTCAGGAAGAAGTCAAAGGCTGGCTACTTTTCGTCCAAGAAAGCTGGGTTCCACGCGACCGGGCCAATATCAGCAACGATGATAAGGAGTACGAACTACGACAGCGCCGAGCCCTAGTTCTAAAATGGGCCTCCGAGGCGCAAGAATTTCGTGATGTGAGGCCAATCCCATTATTATTAGTCATTCATGGAACCGCAATTGATGCCGTGATAGTCCTTCCAAGACCGCGCCTTCAGCAATGGGCTTGAGTACCCCCCTGAGGCGTTGAAACATGTGTCCGATACTCAGCAGGCTTGTGAAACGAGGCATGTCATTTGTGTAGCACCGATCGATGAGATGCATCCCATGAATCGGGCGCGATGGGTCAAGCTCGCAATTCTCTTTTATCGTTACGATCTTGAATCGGGCCATTGTCTCCCTTTCGACAACGTCATCCCCACAGCGGCGGTTCTGAATCCTGAAACAACAAGTACCTGTTCAGTTAAAGACTTTCTTCCCTGGTATTGTCTTGAGAATGCCCACTTTCCATCTATCCTGATGACTCGCATTGGAACAGTACTCTATCGTCCTCATGAACGATATCTTATGATAGTCGATGAGGAGGGTTTGAAAACCGGTCGTTTCGCGGTCGTCGAATTCAACAGTGATGGGACTGTCAAGGACTCGGTTCCCTTGCGCCCTTTCCATATGTATCATTTCGCAAATGATCTCTTTTTACATGGGAGAGCGGGGGTGCAAGAGATTCGTGAGAGACCGGGTGGTCAAGGACATCAGAACCAGCCGTTCGTTTCGCCTTACACTTTCTCCTTCTTATCTCACTGTACGATTCTATCATATACTAACGCAATGGTGGAAACAGAATGGAAATAGATCGACCTATCGTAGATATCCTAGTATCAGTGGCTGAACCGGCCGGCCCACCTGCTCCGCATACGATATACTGCGACCGTGAACAGTTCGAACAGGATATTGAATTCTATGCACCTGGATATCTGGCCCTTGAAGCGGCTGGGGAAGGTGGGGAGTATAATCTTAGGCGCCTGGCTGAGCCGGACGACATTCCATTCGATAGGAAGCCGGCGTATCAGAGAATGATGGCGGATCTCATGGCTGGTCGACGCCCCCCTTTTTGAACGCACCTTCGGTCTTGAGTTTTCACCTGGATCCATGAGGGATAAATAAGGCGACAAAGGCATATGGAGTGACAACATAGTGCATATTTAGACAAGATGTTAAGCGTCTACGTCCAGATCGGCAATCCCGCCAGTATTAACCAACCGATTCTCTCTGCCTGCAAATTATGACTATATAATGAGCGTGTACAGTAGTTCACTATACTTACGCTCAAAATAGAACTTCTTGGTCATGGATTACATAAGGCACCAAGGCATCAACATCCCCCTAGACGCGACCCGACTGACCACACGAGAGCAATAACACTTCTAAAGCTCTGCCTCCTTAGCCCGACCATGGCTAAGTGCTTACATGGGCTACCAATAAGTGGCTCTCTCCACGCATACACCACTAAATCTACGAAGATAAGCTGGATTCTCGCACACTCATTTTCTACGATCCAGAAGGAGCCTAAACGTTGTGACTTGTTTGAGTACACATCTGGGCGGTGGATGTACATTACAGTCTAACACATGGACCAAATTGACATAATTAACTAATGTGCGATTAGCTATAACGATGCGTTGAGACATCTTGAGAGAAGACGTGCTTTCAATGTTCCCGAACTCAAGCGCCTGGCTGCCTTGGCAGTTCATCAAAAGGAAGACGACATCGTCAGCTTCGAGAAGCTTGCTGAAGGAGGTTTCAATCGAACTTTCTTGATCACCATGCGAGACAGATTTCAATTGTTTGCGCGCATTCCATACCCGGTTACCGAACCAAAGTTCCTAGTAGTCGCAAGTGAGGTTGCAAGTCTGGACTTTCTGCGATCTCATGGTATCCCGGTTCCAAAAGTTTTTGGCTAATCCCCCATTGCGGATAATCCTGCGGGTACGGAATACATATTCATGGAACCTGCGCAAGGCAAAAATCTGGGTGATGTCTGGTATGCCTTATCTGGACAGGAGAGAAGAACTGTAGTTTCAAACCTCGTGCAGCTTGAATCTCGTCTGTTCAGCTTACGATTTCCAGCAAGTAGAAGTTTGTATTACTGCGATGACTTACCAAAAATGAGCGCCGAATTTTTGTTCCAAATTTAGGCTTATCCCGTTCTTTCTGGATTGGGCCTGATACTTCGCTTGCTTTATGGCACGGGAAACGACTGGGCTTGTCTGTTGAGCGTGGACCATGTGAGTGTTTCGATTAGCAATATGAATGTCGGAAGACGCTAACAATCAATCATGAATAGACCAAGATTCGTTAGCAGTCCTTACTGCTAGTACAACAAAAGAGATTACATATCTCAAAAGATTTGGACGGGCTCTCCGGCCGTTTCAACGTCTGTCCAGGGAGGTATACAATTATCAGGCGCAATCACACCTAGACCATATCATGAACCTCAAGAGATATCTCCAAATTACGCCTCGCCTTACACCGCATGACTGCCCGGCTCTTCATCGCCCAGCATTACGACATCCTGATCTTCAGCCCAACAACATATTCATTTCTGACGAGCTAGAGATCAAAAGTGTCATTGATTAGCAACACAGTACCGTGCTTCCATTATTTCTACAATACGGTATTCCAAAAAGTCTCCAGAACTATGGCGACGAAGTTTCCGAATCACTACAAATTCCCCGTCTACCAAGCAATTTCGATCAACTGGAAGAAATGCAACAGTTCCAGCAAGCTGAACTCTTCCGCAGACGCCAGCTTCACTATTTCTATGTCAAGATGACGGCATACATGAATATTGAGCATTATAATGCCTTGACGTACGAGTACAGTACACTACGGCGGCGGCTTTTTCAACATACCACTGACCCTTGGGAGGGTGATAATGTAACCCTGAAAGCTGATTTGGTTACTCTAACAAGAGAATGGAGAGAGTTTAGCCGCGACTCGAAAGACGCCTGCCCAATTCAGTTTTCAGATAATGAATCTACTGAATGTATTCAACTAGCCGGCGCACAATCTGAAGCATGCGAACAACTACAGTACAGGCTTGTCAGGATGCGATTGGAGTTGGGCATGAAGGTTGGGTCCCTATCGCACGATATTACCAGGCAAAGGCGAGCGAGAGAAAGTTGAAAGCAGACGCTCTCGATGCGGCTGAAACAGACGAGGAGAGAAGAATGATTGAAGATTATTGGATTTTTGATGACTTTTGTGAAGAAGACTACTTGTGAGTTGAGAGGAATTGTTGCGAACTACGCCGGAACCCGCTATCCTATCAAGCCAAACGGCCTCATATGTCATAAAGCTATGCTCTGGCACTGGTTAGAATTGGCTAGTACCAGCTATCTGGGCAATAGGTATAGAATGAAATATCAGGCTTGACAACTAAGTTTGACTTGATGTACAGTGAACGAACCTATGCAACGGCAGTGATATATATATATTCTTCCTCAATCAGACTCGCAAGGGATGAACTCTTGGATATATTTACGGGTGATTTTGCCCACAAAACGACTCACATCCATTTATGCTCTTCATCTCGGGTGTCTTGGTCCAAACGTGATGGGCAGTGCTCACATTTGTGACCTGGTAGGAAGCATTGACAGCCTTACGCGCTGTGCTCAGCCCATCTTGACGCAGGCCAAGGCTAGCTCCGCTAAATGTGTGGATACCGAAACACGGTCCCAAAACAATGTGATTTCCTGGTTGTAACATATCACTATTTGAGTACTGCTATCGTAACGAAATTTACAAGAAGCTGAACATCCAATTTCTGCTGATTCTTGAGGTAACAGGTTTTGGGCGGGTTCTCTCTGGTGCTTCAATTTCCTGTTCTCAACGTCGGGAGGAGCAACAAGGGGCTGACGGGACCTTTGAAAAGCCTGCCAAGCGCCCAAGGCGGCCCGCATCGTCCTAAAGTATGTTTCATGTCGATCAATTGCTTCCATGGCCAATTGGAAGCATTGCTTTCACTCGCTTGCTAGCGACCTTTCCCCTCAGCCTCAAGTCTGTCCACGCAAAATGGACACATAAGGCTGAAGGGATGCCCACTCGCATGTAGCCCGCCCCCTTTCCCTGGGTTTCTCATATAATAATGACTCTCAACTGGAAAATCAGAGGCACAATTACTTATGCTAGCATTGCCCTTGATGGATTACTCTTCTTTTTGCTTCTTGGTCTCACGGTTGCGACTTGGGTGCTCCATCGACAACGACGGTTCAACCTTGATGTTTTGCCAACAAAGACATTGATCGGGTCCCTGGTGGCATGGGCTCTGTGAGTTGTTAGATTAAATCAGAATAATACCTCATAACTAGCACTGACTGTAGAAAATCTTAGGGCTGAATGTTTCTGGGCTGTTTCTTTGGCATTTGGGTACTTGTTATTGCCATCAGAATTCTTCTACGACCTCGGCATAACCGTTCTATTCTACGTATTCTATGCCCTGCTTCACGGCCTCGTTGAGGTTACCACAGGCACAAAGAATGGGTATCCAAAAACCAAACTATTCCATTGGGGATTGGTGGGTATAATTGCGGTCGCAGGCATAGTCGAATGGGTCCTCTACGTGATGACCGTGGTCTACGCATCGAATTTCGAATTCTGGTCAATGGTCTGGAAAATAACAGATACAGCCTCAATGATAATCCGATGGCTCGTTTCCTGGGAAATTCTGGCGTGGTCGATCGTCTTGGTCATCAAAACTGTGAAATTGAGAGCAGACGTGATGGTAAGAGAAATGGCATACGCATTTCATCATTCTCGCTAATATTTCAAGGTACCTTCACTATTATACGCGGTCGCATGCGTGTTCTTCTGCGTTAATTGGTTTACCTGGACATGTTTTGATATTGTGTCCTACGTCGTACTGCAGTACACGATGTCAAACACCGGTGTCAATGCCATCCGTATCGTTCAGGTCATCATGTGCGCTTGCTGGTACCCTTCTATTCTCATATGCTGCCTGAGGTGGGGGATGATCCATCGGGGTTTGGTCGACCGAGAGTTGATCAACGAAGTAAAATGGCCCAGTTCTGGTGCCGTTGAGGCGGACAGTGGGATACCAACAATGGAGGTTGATTCAAAGCCCATTGTGGAAGTGGACTCGTCCAATCATATTGTGGAGGCGGCTGAATCAAGACCTGTTGCTGAATTAGACTCGCGTCCTGTCCCCGATAGAACCCTTAACGTATGAAAAAAAGAAATCTAACTTGAAAGAGTCTTTCCTGAGTTTCGTTTGGAAAATTCTTATTGTAGTTTGTTGTAAGCATAAAGCAAATACCCTAGGGAACATAAAGCCTTGTCGCAATTTGCTAGTATGATCCACAGTAATCCAGGCACAGCCACTTCCTTTCTCAACATTTGGTGTCTATATTTGTCCACATAGATTAGGCTTCGTAGTAAAGACCGCGAATATGAATTATCTTGGCTTTTATTCTTGAATTTATGCAGTCTTTGTCTACACTGGATCCTGATAATACCAAGGCCTCTCGTTCAAAGAGGGTTTATTTTAGCTCACATGTATAATTAGCGAACTCGTGGGTGTTCTTTGTTAACCAGGCGAGTACAACCACGAGAACAAAGCCAATCCTCGAAGTTCTTCAAGACGATAATGCAAGTATTGTTCCACATTACATGAAGACCTTTGTCTATTCTCACCTTTCAAGTTCCTTTGGTCTCTTAGGTGGTACCATGAGAGCCAACACTGCGATGGAGAAATTATATAAACCATTGGTATTTTTCATGTAGGTACAGCATTCCAAGTCCTCAGGATTCTATCTACAACTTGTATATTCAAACACGGAAGCTATCAAAAACACACTCCGGAGCCCATCTCATCGATCACAATATCGCCAACAATGGAATCACTTGACCCTCCCCCTTATTACGGCGACTTCCAAGAACGTGGTAGGAAGTTACAGAAGTGGATCGACAACCCGTCAGAGGCTGAATGCCCTATTCAACCTAGCACTCTGACATATGCCCAATTGGCTGACTGGATCCCGATTAACGAGAGGCATTTTGAGATCGGCGAGATCATCAACTCCATGTGTGCAGTGAATGGTCAAGAGGGGGTTGAACCAGGTCCCTGGACGGTGCACAATTACGACCATGATGCATATACGCCGGGTGGTACGGCCACGGGCAATCACAACACTTGGGAGTCGCATGTTGCACCCGGTATTGCTTTCCTTGCGCTAACGTTTAGAGACACAGGCCCCCACGCTTCGCAAATTGTTCAGGCCTGCTATGAGAGGGTACACCCTATCTCCACCCTCAATCATGTCGTTGTATCCGACATTATAAACGACCATACGCTGGACTTCATCAGATATATTCTTTTCCCAGGGATACCGGCTTTGCTTGCTGGTGTACCCAAAACTTTTGCTTACGGTACTGCAGAATATGAAGCTCTTCTTGGAACAAGGTGTGGCTTAATGGTGGGATATCTACTTCTCGGGGCATATGAGCGAGGAACTCGTCGAATTTCTCGAATCACGGTCGATATTCCACAAGCAGCGGGCGTCTACTTGCAGTTCGATATTGAGGATATCAACCCTGTCTCTTCACCATCAACCAGGGGGAGCAAACGCCGCAGGGGGGAGAGCGATGAAGATGGTGAGTACGAAGAAGGACCAAAGAAACGGCGCCGATCTCCAAAGACTCCCCCGCCGCCTTACGATGGTCCGGCAAGACGTACAAGGCAAGCAGTTGGCGCGGTCGAGTACACGATTACACCTAAGGGACAGCCTAGAAAGCTCTCACAGTAGGTTAGATAAGAGTGAGTTTCCTGTTTTATTTCTTTCCATAGAAAGTCATCAAATTTGTTTCTTTGAATTCAAGACCCAGCGTTGCTAGATTTATTCATCGTGTAGCGTAATTTACATCGGTGGAATACCAGTCGAAAGCAAAGTGACCAAAGTGATCGAGCAGATCAAAGACAGTTGACTCTTTGTATTTTAAACTGTAATATCTGACTTCAGCTTTCTTGGGCATCACCCACGGGCTTGTGGGACCCTTGAATCACCCGGCCGGTTTGGTGCAGGTTGATAAGTAGCAACCCTTGAGCGTTTTCCGAAGCGTTTCTCCATAAACAGGAAGGTCGAACTCGGCAAGAATCTCATTGACAGACTTAGAGCGATTCCCAGAACTTGCGTTCATCCACTCGATTATCTGGGCGATTCGCGCCTCGGAGAGCTTGGGATGCCGCCCAGATCGTTTCCGAGGCGATACCTGGCCGGAAAGACATGTATACCGAGCTTGGTAGTCTGAACAGCCTAGCCGGGTGGCTATTTCATGATATGAGAATCCAGCATCGTCTCAGCCTCTGGTCGCGAGAGAGATGTTTATGGGCGCGTGTGGGTGTGGTAGGCTCGTTGGGCATCCTTGTGGAATGGGTGATTGAACATTTTGGCAGTATAGTCGATATCTGAAGGTCAAAAGTTGGAAGAGGAGAAACAGGGGCAGGGTGGATGTGTAAGTCAATGTAAATGTAAGTCAGTATTCACGCTATGATCCCAATTTTTACTCCCAAGAGACATGGGCCCTCGATGACGTTTTGTTTATAGATGACGTCACTGGAATCTGTTCAAGGAAGGCGGAGTCCTAAAGGGTGGCAGAACTGTGGCTCACCGCCTGTTGTTGACGCGGCGGTTTGGTCGCGTTCTCCCCGTCCAGTCCGCAAATTCAAGATGATCGTCCTTCTCGATATGACCCCTTGGTGGCGAATTCCGGATCGCTAATCTTAGTTTTCAATAATTTCGAAGTCTGACCAAAGGTTCCATGACACTCGTGACACACGCTAACCCTGACATGACAAAGGGCGATACCCTCAAATAGAGTTGGCTGAGACGTGGAACAAAGGACCATCGAGAAGCTTCACTCAAGGCTGATATTCCGAGTTCTGGGTGCAATCCTTGCATTCTCGTTGGCTACACGCCTTATACCAATGGCCATCTTTGGCTAACATCACCCGCCTCTGCCCGACCATGTGCTTGGCAATACTTTCATTCACCACCATCGTGGTGGTATCTTGGCGACGCAATGTTCCGATCTATTGAATGGCAGCCAGCACTTTGGGCGCAATCCCATTCAAACATTCATGACTATTACAAGTCACTTGATTATCAACCTACTTTCAACAGAACCAATCGAAATACCAACGTTTACAAATCTAACTCAACGCCACATGGATAATCTCACAAGAACCCAGGACCCCCTCTAAAGCGCGTTATAAATATCCTGCACGCTGTCACCTCCATCGAAAACATGAGTACCGTGGCCCTGACAGCTAATGGACGGTCCACCGGCAGATTTGATCGCTCTCTCCACACATCCACTCTTCATTAAGGTTGGAAGATTGAACTTTGCCCCTGCGGACCCATTCATTGCCGAGTTAAAGTCCCAAGCAGTAATGGCACCACAACCAGACTCCTCACTCTTCAGCTTGCTCTGCAAGTCGTCTTCATCAACGTCCCAGTGGTCAATATCATAAATGAGGAACATGTAAGCGGCGATCTCGGACCACATCGCGCAAGATGCAGTTGGTGTTGGGGTGGAGATAATTGTTGACGAACCCGCACCGTAGGTCAAAATCAACTTGTATCCAGCAACGTCCATGTACGAGATCGTTGATGTGGCATACGCAATGACCGTGTCGTCGGAAGTGGTTGTGTAGGGGAATCCCGTGGGAGCAGGGGTTTCAAGAACTGTGCTGCTGCCGGATCCATAGGTTTCGGTCAATCGATAGCCAGCGACGTTGAATATCGACACGGTCGAGGTTGCGTACGCGATCACCGAGCCCTCCTCAGTCTTCGTGTATGGGTAAGGGTTGGTGCTGCTCGGGAAAGTTGTGTACGAACAATACCCACCGCTCATCAGGGGCATTGATGTGTAGTATACAGACGTTCCAGAAGTTGATGAGCATGTGCAATAGTCAACATTACTGTGGGGGTCCGCATAGTTGAGGCAGTAAGTTGTCGTTGCTGTTGGAGCAGTAGTGATCGTTGTTGGTGTGGTGGTTGCATGCGTTGTGGTTGGCGCTGGGAACGAGGTGTACTTGCAGTATCCATCCGTCATCAGAGGCAAGGAGGTGTAGAGTGTTGAACCGGAACTTGTCGATGAACAGGTACAGTAGTCGGTAGTATGGTCTGCATAATTGAGACAATACTGTGTAGTCGACGTGGTCACGGTCGATGAGGCACGGGTGGTGAAGGACGAAAGGGAGGACGCAGATCCAGAACGTGTAGTAGAATGCGAGGTTGATGGCACAGAAGACGCAGATACTGACGGTTTAGCTGAGAGGGTTGTCGATGTCAAGGTCGTAGACGACTTGGTAGTACTCGACTTTGTGGACGACGTCGTGCTTGGGGTTGAAACTCGGGCAGAGCTCGAAGGAGTGCTACTTGTGATATCAAAAGTGGCAGTCCTAGTCCGAACCGCGCAGGATTTGATCTTAGTGCTACTCGAGACCGGAGTGGACGACGAGGAAGCACTCGAGCTCGACCCACACGGGTTGGCATAGCCAACCGCTCGCTTTGAAAGAGGGGTGGTATTGGGCGTCCAGAAATCTTGCGTGGTAATCAACTGGTCTTCGACCCAGAGTCTCCATCGACCAACTTGTAGACCGGGACTACCAAGAGGGGCATTCGGTGTGGTCAACCAGTATTGGAAGGGATCAACCTCGAGAATCGCCCGTCCAGCAGTTCCACCTGTCTGAGTGGAAGCTTGCTTGCTCGTTCGTGTATATCCAAGAGTAATTACACTGCCACCAGATCCAGGGATAATACTAGCAACCCACTGCCCCAGTTGACGAGCACGACTGTCATATCGTAATGTTGTAGTGATCTTATGTTGTTCCTTGTCCCATTCAGTAGTCTTTGGGGTAAGAACGAAAACATTTGGGGCGTAGATAGCGTGCAGGACTCCAGGATTCGCGTCCGTTCCAACCAGTGCCGTAATACTCTGTGCAGTGGATGTCCCGTCACGAAGTAATTCAAATGCATTCTTTTTGAAAGAGCTGTCATCCGTCGCTTTCCAATCACTGTCGATGAAGACTGGGTTCTCCCAGATATGTGATACGTAGACGCCCTTTTCAGACACGATATTGACTGAAGTGCATCCGTAAATACCGTTCACTCCAGCAAAGCCATGGCCATGTACGAAAATGCATACTGGGTCAGAAATACCAATATCAGCAGTACCCTGCCAACTGACATGAGCCAGCCCCGAGGAACCTGCATTGTCGCTGCTGAAATCTGAACTAAATGGGACAACTAGTTAGATGATCGTATTCTCAAGACTTAAAGGCATGTTTAAATATCCTTGAAAATCTGCGAGTTATTTGCCCGCCCCCAATCAGCCAATTTAGTTGCAACTATTCATATCCCCTTATTTCACGACAGTCATTCTATTTCCGAATGATCTCAAGTCAGATTTTAGGCCTTTTTGAAACACCTTGGCCTTGAATCCTCTCATATGAGACTGATCGCCATGCCCTTTATTTCCATTTCAAATGAAAGGTCGTGTTTATCTTCTAGTTCTTACCTCATGCGAGGCTAAAGTCATATAGTAATCCATTAAAATAAAGATTTTGGGGCTAAGAAAGTAGACCTCTAAGGGGCCAGACTCTCGTTAGATCTCAAACTATTCAGATAACTTAAGTGAATTTTTGGCCTAAGATATAACACTAACAGAGGAGTATTGCTGCCTCGCTTGCTTTGGCTTCATCGACAAGTGAAAGCAACAAGTAACGAAGAACCTTACTATAAAATTGCTCTTTACATAGTTCATTTTTTTTTCTTTGTGCTATTCTTTCTTTATTTGTTGGACCGAAAACTAAGGCTAGTGCTGACATGCATTGGTCGCGTTGTCGTGGACCATGCTGACACAGCCCCACTCCAAGGCATAGTCTGTTCCATATCCCTGACCATTACCGAGAGCAAGCATGGCCAAGCCGCAAGGTAGGCTTGCTAGTCAAAGTTATTTCTCTTTGGGAGCCAGTAAACTCTCTCGTAGCACACTACGATCAAAATAACCGCAGACAAGAGAAGCAAAAAATGGTAGCCCACCACGTTGAACATGATTAATTTGAATTAGTTACATTGTGAATCAATAATATCCGCTACTAGCGTGAGGATTTTCATTCTACTACGACTGATTTATTGCTTCATTCCTCGCCATAAGTCCTTCTTCAATAACCTTCTCCATTTCTTCGCCCCATAAGGAAGCGTAAGTTGATGCACTCCCAAAGTTGCCCTTCGCGAATGGATCTGCTCCTTGTTTTAGAAGCCACTTGACACGCTCCACGGCCCCAGCCATCACTGCGTGAACAATCGCATATTGAGGCTCCATATGCTGCGTTTCAACCTTGTAGTTCACATCTGCCCCATTCTCCACAAGTAAGCGCATTACCGGGATTCTGTTAGTATCAAATTCCTGGCTTGGCTTGACACGGCCGGCATGTGGATTCTCCCCTGGAGGACAAACGCCGGCAGCACGGTGTAAAGGTGCCCCATTTTGAATCCGAGCACCTGCGGCCAGTAGCATCCTTACAGCTTCGACGCTGCCACGCGCTGCAGCTGTTTCGAGAGCAATGCAAGACTCGGTATCCGAGTTACCATGCCGATCACGAAAGTCTTTCTGTTGCCCCAGATTTGGATTTGCGCCGTGTGCCAGAAACCAAGACAGTAAAGGCAAGTTATTGACTAATCTTGGAAGTAGTACAGCACCATACAGGCCTGGGGTATTTGGAGTCCAGTTGTGGGCAGCGAAGAGCTCGAACAAGGCTATTTGCTTATTCGCTGGCGCCTTGAGAATGAATTCTGGGGTTTGTCGAACAATAGGTGCGCCGCTGGAAAGTAGATATCCGGTAGCATCGATGTTTCCGGCTTGTAGAGCGACCAGAAGACCCCGATGTAGAAATGCAGGTGTCCGGGACTCGGAGGTGATAATCTCCGCAATCGTAGAAACTGGACCATATTTACAAGCGGAGTCCAACGACGAAAACGAAGATGGCTGGGGCTGTTTATGATCCAGGTCATCTGCCTTGAGAATGGGTAAATCATCGAAATGGGAACCCATGGCCATAGAGCGAGGCGGGATGCTTTGGCTTGGTTGGGATCCGACGTTTTGCCGGCCTGCGGCACTGGCTGCTTGTTGTTGCCTCGCCATAATCTGCATCTGTTGTTGACGTGCCTTCATCACCAACTGCTGTCGAAGCTGCTCTTGGGAGGCCATCTTATCTGGCTTTCCCTATTTGCGCTTTCTTGAGACCAGAGATTTGGTAGTGGCTGAGGTATATTTCCAGGCAATGATGATATTCGCCTGCACCAGCTTCCAGAGCAAAGCGAGCGATGACGAAAAGGCGCGACGTTGTTGCTATGTGGGGGATCGTCAGGGGCCAACCTGATCCGACAGGGATAGTACGATTGTATTCGTATAATCTGCCCATATAAGCTACTCAACCTTCCGAGCAGGATTCTTGAAGAAGTGGGAAGTGAAGAATTCATGACCCCGACCGTTAGCGCTTATGTGTTGCTTAATTTGGGGGCGAGGATCCACTCATGAGGCCCTTCAATGCCGGACTCCAGGCTGGATCAGAGGCCGCGTCAGTATTATTGGGGCCAATTCCAAACCCTTTGGAAGAGAAAGGGGCCAAACATTACCTCCGGTCGTGGTTAAGCACCTGGTCAAGTTCTTTTTGGAGAAGTTTCCTCTCCAATACTACGTATCAATCTCGTGCTCCATGACGGAAGAACATTTGGCCAACTTTCCACTCCTGCCTGACCCCAAGAAGAGGTATGTAGAACTAAACCGCTTATGATAGGAGGAAGCAAAGTCTCGTCATATTATAATCCAAATTCTCTGAGCTGATGAATAATATTCTCGAGTTCTGGCTGTCTGAATAGCCTCGTTCCCGTGGGATAATCACCGAATTTGGGGTCCGCTGGCAGAGGGAAAATTATAACCGAAATACTATCAGCACCACGCCACCAAGTCGGCGAGCTGCAGACCTTAGATGTTTCATAGTCTGGCGTGTGAAGGCACCCTTAACGGGTGCTTCAAGATTCATATCGCGGGCAGCGCTCTACACTTCAGTCTACATGTTGGCTTTCGGTCGCAAACATGCCAAGAACTCCAGCAAAGGCCTTGCTTCTCTCACGTTATTATTCTCTGTATCCTCACGATTCATTAAGTGCAAGGTTTCTCCTCCAGTTCTTTGAGAAGGTAAAAACTATGGGCAGTAAGTATGGCATATTCCGACACGATAATGGCGTGCTATGGGATGATTGATTGATAAGTGCGCCAAACATCTCCTAATCCCCCACATATATCTTTCTGAAGTGCAGTAAAAAGACACTTCCATACTGTACAGACACACAGTCAACCAAGTAGAATAAATATGGTTGGACGAACACTGATCAATGTTGCAATTATTGGCGGTGGACCAGGAGGACTGGGAACGGCCATCGCTCTATCCCAACTCCCCTTCGTTCAGGTCAGTCTTTATGAGAAAAATCCGGAACCTCGTGAGGCTGGTGCAGGAATAAGTCTTAGTACGAATGCATGGAAAGTCCTCGACTTGCTTGGAGCCAGTAATGGGGTCAAGGGAGGCTCCAAGGCAAACACACACCAACGGTATGTTGAAACATTCAGAGCGTGACGATTAACGTTGATGCACTCTAACCATAGGTCTGAATAGGAATGCCCATACAGGAACAATTCTCAGTGTGGTACCATCGCCGGAAAACTCCAAGGCAGACTCTCGCGGGGCGATTCGTGCCCGCAGAACGCGCCTCCAATCGGCACTGCTCTCACGAGTCCCAGAAGGAATCATTCGATATGACAAAAAGCTCATCCATCTGGAAGATCTAGCAAATGACGGAGTGCGGTTAGTGTTTCATGACCAGACCGAAACAGTTGCAGATCTTGTCGTCGGAGCGGATGGAATACAATCTGTTTGTCCAACACCCTAGATTCCGAATCAGAACGTACGGCTTATAGGAACCAATTTCGCAGATTGTCCGCCGGACACTACTCCCAAATCATCACCTCTCTTTCACAGGAACTATTGCATGGCGCGTGATTGTCCCCAAAGCAAACCTGGCTCATATTTCCGACATCACATCCTTCACGAGCTGGTGGTGGGGTGAAACCGGTCATGTCTATTTTTCAGATGTCGATGATGACAGCGAGGAAACCCCGCATTTTGAAATCACTGTGCGTGGATATCGCGAGCCTGAGATCCCTGGAAAAACTGTTGTCTGGGGAGTTCCTGCCACCAACGATCGTGTGGAGTCCCGTGTTGAGGTATGAGGCTGAAATCTTCCCGGAAAGTACGAATTGAATATTCAAACTGACTCCTCAAAAGAAATATGACCAGCGAATCAAAGACGCTGTCAACGTTGTTCCGGAAGGGGCGTGGAGAGAATTCGCAATGTTTGCAGGCCCGCGACTTGACAGGATTATTGGCTGGGAAAACAAAGTCGCACTTATTGGAGATGCCAGCCATCCCCTCTCCGGTGAGTTTCACTCTTGGCAAAGTATCGTCAAGGATACAGGTTCTGAATTCCGTTTAGGTGCTTTTGGTTCTGGTGCAACATTCGCTATGGAAGATGGGTGGATTCTTGCGCGGGCTCTGGAATATACTCAATCACTTTCCCTTCCGGTTGGAGACGCCCTCGAAATTTTCAACACGATCCGGTCTCCATATTATGCTAGGATGTATGAGCATCTGGATGAATCGGAAGAAAGGCTGCGAAAAGCTCGAGAAGAAACCAAAAGTTTTGACGAATTCCTACGTGCCAAGATTAAGTACTTCCTTTATGGTGACAAAGATTTCATTTACAAGAATGATATCCAAAAGGTGTGGAAAGACTATATAGAAGCAGTGGGAAGACACTGAGAATAGACTGGAAGACTGAGAAGTCAATATATAACTTGCAATTGAAAGAAATACCTGCTCCTGGACCATTCTACCAAGATAGTCTCGAGTGTGCTCAACTTAAGCCAACGCCAAAGTCGGTGGCAAGATTGAAGCGGGGCGTCGCCCGTCAATCATAACCCCGCTTAGTCCAGCGGGAAACTCCTCGAGATCCATTGCCCAATTGTCACTAGCTACGCTTATCATCTAGCAAGTATCTCTTATCATTCAACATCTCCCATCTTCATGCATTAGCTCGGGCGGTGGCGGCCGCAACGGACTTGGATTATCATCCGACAATCGTCCCTTCAAGCTCACCTCGACCTATGTATGACGATATCGTGACCATTAAACAAAGCCAACCGCCCGACCATACCTCGCACTGCTACTAGACAAGAAATTCAATGGTCAATATGAAATCTCCGACAATTTTCTTCTCTCTCCTTATCGCCTCCTTCATGGGGACTGGGCCAGCAAAAGTCGCTGACCCAACATCAACGATCGACGGCGTCTCCTTTGAGACCCGAGCTCGTTGGATGCGCTTAGCAAACCAAGCGTTGAGTGATATAAGCGGATCGCCATGTCCATTTGCGGCATTTGGGACAGTTATCATCAACCATACCGACTCTCCTGTCGGCAAGCTGATTTGTATGGGCATCAATGAGAGTCACAAGACAGGAAACCCGACGCTACACGGTGAGAGCGAACGAACGTCAATTCTCCAACTTGGCTGTTGCGAATCTGATAGCGGATCTAGGTGAAATCGCAGCCATTAATAATTGTACCGACATTCTCACTGATCCTCAGGGCGACTTTCGATTGACAGCATCCGAGGCACAAAATGCGTTCTCCGACCTGAGTGTGTACACAAATGCTGAGAGCTGCCCGATGGTACGTCCAAGAATAAGGCATCTATAGTATCGTTTTGAGCCAATCTAATTCGACTTAGTGTGCCTCTGCAATTCGCTGGGCTGGTTTCAGAGAATACATCTATGGAACGTCTATTGCCATACTTACCGAAAAAGGATGGGGCCAGATTCAAATTTCCTCAATGGAGGTCTTTGCCGCGTCTTATGACCTACCAACTCAGACAGGGCTTATCGGCAATGTTCTGTCCAACGAGACTGATCCTTACTTTTTGTGGCAATACAATCCAGCTTATCCATGCCCAAAGGGCTGTTCACGTACGAGAACGGGAGCTAGCTGTAAAGCATCCTGATATACTTGGAATATAGGACGATTGACTGGATCCACGCTCAATCCCACCTGATGCGGGCTATTTAAGTGAGAGGTTTGCTCTTAAATTTCAGGAATTTCGGCACATAGACACCTCCAGAGTGCTGTGGTACCTCGTATAGCTCTCGTGGCCTTGGCTTTGAGCGCCCAGCTACTCAGGTTTCGATATGGAGCATTGTGTCAACATGATTTTACTTATACAGGACATTTCCGGTACCGGGGTCTTTTAGGTAGATTTTAGCTAAGTGATCAGTGATATGAAGGTCCATTGCTTGCCTCAATAGTCAGATCACAGGCTCCGTTTGTATCAAGACACTATAGCCAAATGACTCCGAACAGGCACATTCTCCTCTCCTCCTGCCTCGGGGAATCCAGACACGTTGACGCCCTTCCGGAAAAGCAAACAATGAGTAGACCCGCCAAAGTGGAACATGCCAATTTCGTCACCCTTCTTGAGATGATCACCTTCTTTGACCGTAATCTCACAGGTAGAAACTTCTGCCATTCCCACGCCGATAAACGCCATCAATCCGATAGAAGGCTCGTCAGCCTCGATGAAAATGAGAGCACGGGTAGCAGTTGCAGTGATATACGACTGTGAGATGACCTGTCCTTCTAAATCTATTTCCGCGGTATGAGCCTGCGGGTTTCCAACACCTTCGAATAGCGGTTCGGAATAGTAAGCGCCGTCAATGACGTAGGCCTTTACGACCTTTCCGCTGACAGGGGCATGCCAACGGTGATAGCTCAGAGCGCTCAGGAATGCCTGATACACCGTACCGCCGACGAACTTCTGGGCAAGCTCGTCATGACCCAGCATATCAAGCACAGAATACGGTTGAGTCTTGATCCAAAAATGATCACGAGCCCGAACGTTGTGAGCGAGTCGGTATGGCTTGGACTCGCACGCACTGGCAATCACGCGACCATTGTCTGGCTCGGCAACCGGGCGCATTCCTTCAGAAAATTGTCTTGTGAAGAAATCGTCCCAGGATTTGAAGCCAAAGTTCGGCGCAGAGGGGTCGCACTGGAACATGTCCTGGAATTGCAAGTTCTCCGCCGCTGTTGGACCGACTCTTGCTGCAATTGTCAGGTCGCGGTGGCCTGTCTCACCGAACCAACCATGGGAGGTGTTGTTCAAAACTTCTGCAGAAGCGGGTGACCGCAAAAACTCTCCCCACGCATTGAGGACTTTCTTCAGCATGGCATTGATTTCCGGGTCTAGGAAGGCAGCATATCCACTGGGAGTTCCCATTGCCCAGTCAAGAACGGCATTGATGGGTAACCCGACCAGTCCGACTCGATGGGCTTTGTCGGTCCATGACGGGGCCGAGGTGAGAAGATGATTGAGAACTTGTAAGAAATGGTCATAGTCACGGATCTGCGCCGTGCCAGTTGGATCTTTGCTGTATGGTTTCTTGTGCGGGACCTCTCTAAACATGCCTGTTAGGAGCATGTAGACCCTGGTGTTGCTTTCAATCAACTCCTTAAATTCTTGAAGGACCGGATGGAGAGACTTGTCGCTATTGTCAACTTTATCGATCACTCCTCCGAGCCACTCCCGCTGAGCGACATGATCTGCTGGCATCCAATGGCCAACCCTTGTAGATTATCGAGTCAGATAGAGAAGCAATCGAGTCTGGGCACAGGAATAGACATACTTATGCAGATGGTGAGCATCCTTCTTCAGGGGCATTATGAAATTTATGATGAGAATGCGATGGCTATGAACAGATACAATGGCTCTGATCTTCTGTCAAAAGATCGAAAGAGGTGAAGTTGATGGAGCGACGAAAGCTTGGCTATGGAAATTCTCTTGGCAGGAGATCGATCTATTTAAAGAATTAGTTCTTTGCTTGTGGTTGCATCATCGTGACGGTCGCGAACGAATGAAAGACACTGAAAGCGTCGCTATTATTACCACTCGTCCCCGTTTAGGTTAGCACTCTCCACGTGTTGGTTGTTTTCCAGGAAAACCTGGAGGCCTTCCGACTATCCGGGGGAAATGATGTCATTGTCAGCCATGGTCTGAGGCCATAACGGCATTATGGGGACATCACGCCGGCAACCGTAGCAGCGGATGACGAAAATCGGGCTGAAAGAGACTTCGGTTTCACGGGGACGACTCGCGACTCGAATCACATACACCTCCACCCATGCCTCAGTATGGTTTAGGCGGATTTGGTATCCTTCATCGGGCGGAAACCAGTACGTGAGGATGCTAGTCCAGACGCTCGCAACATCCGTCGGGGTGCACTGGTAGTCGATAAAATCGATTTGATCGCTTAGCGCCTCGCCATTGTAGAACTTTGGAAATACAGATAGCGGGTCAGTATTCCGTGACTACCCAAGTGCAGCTTCGTTTGCCAGATTAAGGCGTGGGTCCATGGGAGCATGACTTACCCGCAATCTTGTTGTCTCGGGAAACTCCATCTCGGTTGACTTCCACGATATCCACACGGGTTGGTGACTCTTTTTGCTGTGGCAGATGACTTCGTAATTGTTTGATAAAAGATTCTGTGAAGAGTCGAAATTTTAGTGAGAGAATAGAAGTTCGTTGAAGCGGGTGTGAAATTCGCGTCGCGCAGAACGCGCCCCTGGGGTTGTTTGCCTCTATCGACTTGGTGAACATATTCCCAGCCCAAGGAAACAAACTTCTCCTCCACTAATATGACCACCACTCTCCAACATAGAATTCCTGCCAGGCATTCTTGATATACATTATACAAAAATGCGTGTTGACTCCAAAGTTTGCACTTCCACATTTTGCAATGACTTTCCATTATCGCGACAAGCGATATAGCTCACACCCTGGTACAGTACCTGATACCTTCAACCAAGATATGGGTGTGTTGATATTTTCTGTACAGTGCATAAATATTATAAAATGCATGTCTCTTTTAACTAACATAAACAATGGCTTCCCTCTTGAATATTGCCATGAAAACATCCGCTTTGCAGAACGTACTGTACCTTGCGCCTTATTCACATCCAGTGCTGAGCTTAATCCTACCTATTGACCTAGGTTCCACTCTATCCGCTCTAGAGAAACATGTGGTTCAAGAAAGGCCAGCCTTACAGCTGGAGTGCCTAAAGATGATTTAGACGCTTCGCTCTATCTACTTCATAATCATGTATCAAACAGCTTTGACCAAGTAGAAATTTCACCACAAGCTGTGTAGAGAATCAACATGACGTGTCTCCAAAACATATTGATTCCAAATGCCTAACAAGAATCCTGACTTCACGACGAGGCTTTTCTGCCAGCATCAGGCCTTACGGGGACATTTAAAACCAATGTCCCGAGGGAAGATATCTCGTCGAGTGAAACAAAATACAAGATTATCTATCATTGCAATATACGTAGTCAACATGCGACCTATAATTGGAGGTGTTCTATTAATGAGATCGCGCTCCTCGACCGAGATACATAGTTGCGACAGGGCCACTGTTGGTCACTAATGAGATCTACGCTACTTGGCCACGGGATTTTTTGGTTTACTGAGATCTGCCGTTTACGATTCCCATTCATTCGTATAAGGGATCTACAATTATCTCTGGATTATTGTTGCACACCTCTACATACCCCATCATCTGTCTCTTCGTATGATATTTATTCCTTCCGCCAGTGGGAAGTACAGCTACTTGCAGAAACTTCGAGCAACGCAAAGAAGACTGAATCCTGAACAGGCATCGAGTACTTAGTTTGCGGCTCTGGATATTTATGTTCTCTTTGAGTCTCTGTGCTTTGGGTCTTGGCATAAGCAGGGCAAAATGCAATTCCGCGATAGAAAATCCGAGCGATATGTACGGGGCCAGACGGATGAAGGATTGCTCCTATTCCGTTTTACACATATGAGGGCCACTATGGACTGCAGCTGCGATATTGGAGAATTCCAGAACAAGCGAAGATTGCTGAGGCATTTACTGAAAGTGAAACGGTCGTAAGTCCAGAATTCCATCATTCCCATGCACGACGGAACCGAGACACTATGAGCTGCCGCAATAGTAAATTAGTGGATGTTGCGACCGCAGTTCCACAGCAATACGATGGTCCTATCAAGGCTATCATGCGGTGACCAGGCACAGGTACAAAGCCTAGGTCGATCTTCATTCGATAAATTCTGGTGTGGGGCTCCGAGGATCTCCCGACCGGTCGATCTGCCTCGGTCAGCGAACGAGGAAAAATGGCCTTTTGACCACATACTCGCAAACTACTGATGCGAACCCCCAAAACTACCGTTATAAAACCCCACGGTAGGCATCTTTACCACTTAAATTTGATCATAAAGCAGATACACAATTCATTACTCGAACTTCCAGCCGAACCGAAGACCGCCGATAAATAACTCGGCTTGCCGGTCTCCTCGAATCAGTGGGGCCGAGTCCAAGGCATGCCGATATCGTTCGGAGAGAGCAGGGTCGGGACGTCGTCGGTCCCTCTTCGGTGTTATCAGCACCCACGCAGATGTCCGGTACAACGGGCATTTTCCGAGGGAGGTCATGGCTCTTACCGGGTGGCGCTTTAATCTCTGGATACAATTCGTCCATCATTCTCGTGGTCCACAAGACTCATGCAAACAACAAGGCTGGTTTGTATCGGGCCACTGCCAATTCCGGACGGACAGTATAAGACAGTCCAGTGATACAAGAAGCCGAGGCTTGAATCCATCGTTCTCGAGGTGGTTTGGCAATGTCATTTTGTAAGGCCAGGGCAGGACGATCTGCAATAAATGATTGACTTATGGAAAAAGCGAGGTAAGATAATAGCAGTCAAAGATATCCCATGCATACTGTACAGCGAGTGTATGTAATATTCCACCTCGACCTCCACTTGAAAATTCTATTTGACTGAATGATCAGCCTGGGAACACGTTTGAGTATTATGGAGCATAACCAGACCAACCCCCACGCCTGAGCGCCGTAGTCCCGAGTCCCCATACTTACGAACCCGGAGTTTTGCGGATGACGACAGGCACTACCCCTACAAAAGGGGGGTTTATATGGGGAACTATTTCTCCCATATTCTACCCTGTTTTTATTTCAAGCCATCATCCCTCCGTTTTCCAATCCACGGCCAATTCGCATCATGAAGTCAAAGCAGCAACAACAGCCAATCACAGCCTCCCATGATGAGAATGTGCCTACAACCGAGACGACAATCGCCCATCAGGAAAGTTCACAAAAGGGGTATATTATTGGAGGGAAACACCGCGACACAGTGTGCGAGGAGGATTCACAAGAGTTTGACAACCGGTTATTACAGGAGGTAGACATTGATCTTCCTCTTACCGTGACCAAGCCGACAGAACATAATGGGCAGCACTTCATTATTCTGGAGTTTGCCGAGGGGGATAAAGAAAATCCATTCAATTGGAGTGGGAAGAGAAAAGCGTTTATCAGTCTTCTTCTTTGTTTGATGACTCTCTTCATCGGCCTTGCCACAACAGCATATAGCTCGGGTATCTCTCGAATGACTGAGGATCTGGGTGTCTCCTCAGAATTGGGACAGCTGGGCCTCTTCACCTTCAACTTCACCTGCGCTCTTGCGCCGCTCTTCCTGGCCCCATTCTGTGAACTGGCAGGTCGACGAGTCGTTTACGTCGGTGCTTATGTGTGCTTCGCTCTCATGTTCATTGGCCTCTCGTTGGGCAAGAACATTGCCACTATCCTGGTCTGCCGTGCTCTGCTGGGTCTCTTTGGCTGCGTTGGCACTATCCTCGTCGGTGGCACCTTTGGAGATATGTATACTCCAGCTCACCGTGCCATCCCCATGGCCTGCTTTGCCTTCGTTGCTATCTTCGGTACCGTCGCCGCTCCCATCTACGCTGGCTTTATTGACCAAGCTCTCGGCTGGCGATGGGTTGAGGGTATTCAAGGTCTGGCCAATATCCCCTTGGTTATTGTCATTACACTCTGCCTCCCCGAGACTCGCGGTGGCGTGACTCTCAGCCAGCGGGCCAAGATGATTCGCCAGTCGACTGGCGATGAGCGCTTCGTCACCCACAACGAGCTAGAAGCACCAGGTATCAAGGAGATGTTGCACAACTCCTCAGTCAAGGCTATTCAGATGCTCTTCTCTGAGCCCGTTGTCTTTGCTTTTGGTCTTTGGATCAGCTTTGCCTGGTTCTTGGCCTTCCTGTTCCTCTCTGCTATCCCCATCACCTATCAGGAGAAGCGTGGCTGGGGCGAGGGCGTGTCGGGCCTGCCCTACATCGCTCTCTGTGTCGGCACTACTATCGGTTTCGCTCTCAACTTCTTCCAGATTCGAAAGTACGAATCAATCATCGCCGACCCCAACAAAGAGGCTCAGCCAGAGGCTCGTCTCTACGGAGCTTTGTGCGGTGCAGTCTGGCTCCCCATTGGCCTCTTCATCTACAGCTTCACCCAGTATAAGGAGCTCTTCTGGTTTGGCCCCATAGTCGGCCTGGTGCTTATTGCCATTGGTATTTTCTTCATTTTCGAGTCCTGCTACAGCTACACCTCCGACTGCTATGGCGAGAACTCATCTTCTGCCATTGCCGGCCAGGGTTTCATGCGTAACACTCTCGGTGCTGTGTCGCCTTTGTTTGCCTCGCAGTTCTTCCACAACCTTGGTAGTCAGTATGCTGGTCTGCTACTGGCACTCGTTGCTACTTTCTTGACATTGATTCCGTTTGTGCTGTACAAGTTTGGACCTGATTTGCGGGCACGATCCAAGCTAGCAAGTACTACTATCAGCCTCGGTACAGGCAGTCTGTAGGTCTGGAAGACGAACTAAGGGTCTGATTGACGTGTTATATAAGAGAGGAATTAGGCGTCAGCAAAACTGATGAATCACGATGTTCAAGGAACAGTGGCTCATGTATATAGAAGAAATGAACTCACATGAATGAATTCCCAAGCCAAACCATCTTTTTTCTCCCAGTCGACGCAGGGTCCAGCCAGACCCGGACTACAGCCACTTCCTACATGAAATGCCAAGGCCATTGGGGGCCAAACGTTTGCCCCCATCCCCAATGAGCTTTTGCATTCTCTTCCATGCACATCCGGAACCCCGCCTCGGATTTCTCCGCCTTCTGTCAAACTCCTTACGTGTTTTAAGACACAAACCCCGTGTAACCAGCCTGAGCGCCGAATTGATGGAATCAGGTAACCCCAAGCGACGAGGCAAGAGTCAGGTTGGCCCCCACGTGCTGTCCCCGAACAGTCGCGCCCCCGAACAGGCTTAGAGGCTCAATTAGCCTATTCTTCCCAGTCCCCCGTCGCCGCCTATTTGCCCTCGTATTATTCCCCTCCTGTGATTTCACACATAGTTGGTCACAAAGGCTCTCGCCCCTCCCCCTCTTCAAACTGCCGTTGTTGTTAAGAGTCCCTTCCTACCTAGGTCTACAGTAAAATCAGTGTTCAAGACCCCTCCCCTGCCTCAACTTCTGAGTGGTTACTCCCCATATCTCGCGTCGACTTATCTTGTCATGGATATCATTGAGCAGACTTGTTACATTCCATTGGAGGTTAAACAGACATCACCGGGCAACGACAAGGCTTGAATCACACACTCATTGCCCTTGCCATTGGCTTCCAAAAAACGAAGTTCAGTCAAAATGACTATCACATTACTCCCAGTTGAGCTCATAAACGAAATCTGCAAGCCTCTAAAGCGACAAGAATGGATTGCGCTCAGGTCGACATGTCGCACGTTATATATGAACTCCCTCGAGTCATTCGCAGATCGTCATTTTAAGAGTGTCCGCTTCCTTCTCACTAGCGATGGCTTTCACAAACTCGAGGAGCTCGCCGCGAACGATATAATTCGGGTCCGAGTTCGAGAGCTTTGGATGGTACCAACTGTATTCGAAGGCCACCACAATATGGAGCTTTCTAGCTCTGAGTCGATGCAACCAGACGGAGATGGAAGTAACGAACCTTCTGACCTTTCTACCTTTGAATGTTCCAATTATGCGCGGTCATGGGAAGATGGCCAACCGTTGGAGGAGGATGAAATGAGGTCCCGTCATGCCACATATCAAGCCATAGTGGAGGATCACTGCAGTCTTCTGAAATCCGAAACCTTTAGCACCAGGCTGGGGGCATGTCTCGCACGCTTCAAAAACCTCGAGTCAATCGGACTTGAGCATTACACAACATCTTATCTGCTGGATCGACGGTACAATCACGTTCGATGCCTAGGCCTGCGCAATCTAAGAGCTCAAATGGACTCTCCCTTCTATTCCATACATATTGTCGGACTCCAAGGGGCAGAAATAATCCCAGTCAATTCTCTCGCTCTATGCAAATTGTTGGAAGCACTCGGAAATTCTAACAGAAAGATCAAGAGGTTGCATACCTGTGGTCCTGATTATTGTGCGGGAATCTCCCCAGAGCTTTCCCTCTCCCAGGAGCAATACGATCTCCTTTCTCGAGCTGTTGAGGAGCTTGAGTATTTGCATTTGTGCATAAACTTTCCCAATGAAGAAAAACTGGAAATACGCAGCACACCAGCTTCCAAAACAACTCTTGACCTTCTTCTTATGATCGCCCCATCCCTGAAAACACTGGTCTTCTCACAATGGCATAAAGATGAGCGCAGATTGGACCCCTCCTACTTCTCCGAGCTATCTGACAGTATCAAATTCACTCGGCTTGAAGAGCTAAATCTCCATTGGATTGAAGTCCGTCCTGAATCTTTCATGTCCTTCCTAAGCACTGCGAAGGCTACTCTACACACTCTCACCCTTGACTGGGTGGCACTAAGATTTACCCTACCTTGGTCTATGCAAAAGATTGAGGGGCTTTGGCGACGCGTTTGGGATCACCTTCGAGATGAGCTATCGCTCCAACGCCTCACCATGGAAAGGCTTGGTTACGGGTCCAATCCTGTCGTGATCTTAGGGCCTAGAACACTTGTCCGTCCGTGCTATTTCGATGCAAAGGTGGCCAAAGAGTCATTCAGTAAATGGATCAACCGATTGAAAGGACAATGGTGGGGTAGACGAGCCAGTTTAAGCTCTAGGTACCCTAGTGGGTCACTCACAATATACTCCAGCCATTTGATTTTCTATTTACTGATGATATGAGCAGAGTGGTTTAACGACACTATACCCCGAAATCCGCCGCCAATTAGAGACCAGCTATGAAGAGGCCCTCCGAGCCAAAGCACAGGTTGCCATGGGTAGGAGGAAGATTAGGGCACTGATACATGTGTAGCACCCATTCACGGTGAAAATAATATCCGCTCTCCTTTCAACCTGTATATTGCACACTCGTCCTACTCAACCCCGGTCGCATTGGTGCTTTATGCATTCCTCGTATACTTGAATGCAATTAATTATCGAGTACTTAACTCCATTCTCCATGGATTCTAGCACATACGACCATAGGGTGTGGAGAACAGGGCTTCCCGTCCGCTCAGCCGTACTTAAGCCACGCGCCGGCCAGTTAGTAGTATGGTGGGTGACCACATGCGAATCCTGGCTGTTGTATGTTTTTGTTTTTTTTACCTATCATCACTAGTTAGTTGTGCCCACTTGTTGCACGACGAGAATTATATCAAGGAATTATTTTATGATGATGGTATTCAGATCTTTCCAAAATCACCACGTTAATCAGCAGAACTTCCTAAAACGGTGAATATCCACGGGCGGTCAGTTATATCACGTGCCCATACCACACTTAATCACCAAAGTCCGGCAGAACTCCAAGGCGGTAACCGAAATCTTTTGCATTCCGAGTTTTTTTCAACTTCATCATCTCGATCTTCACTCCACCCACTTTCCACCCGCAATCCCCTGTGTTTACACGGCAGTGATCCTTTGCGTGAGCCATTTCTCAAAAGATTTGGTTTCTGAACTCCGTTTCATCTCCCTCCACCTAAACTTACCAAAACCGTCGCAATGGCTGAGGAAACCGGTGTCGCCTGGCCCATCGCCGATGAGGCCCTGAGCCAGCAGCTCCTGGATCTCGTCCAGCAGGCTACCAACTACCGTCAGGTCAAGAAGGGTGCTAACGAGTATGTTCCTACCCTATGCCTGTTACTCCGAGAGTCATGCTTCATAGACCATGTCACTCTTTCATCCTGAAGAAATATTTGCTAACCTTCATTTCCTTCCAGGACCACCAAGACCCTGAACCGTGGTACCTCCGAGCTCGTCGTTCTCGCTGCCGAGTAAGTCTTTCGCTGGTTCTGGCCTTGAAAATATAATCGCATCCCCTGCTAACATTACGCCTTAGCACCACCCCTCTGCCCATCATTCTCCACCTCCCCCTTCTGTGCGAGGACAAGAACGTCCCCTACGTCTACGTTCCCTCCAAGATGGCTCTTGGCCGTGCCTGCGGTGTCAGCCGTCCCGTGATCGCTGTCTCCATCACCACCAACGATGCCAGTGAGCTCGCCAACCAGATCCGCGCCATCAAGACCCAGGTCGAGCGCCTGATGATCTAAGCAGTCGGTCGAGGCTGGAGATTCGTGGAGGAATACCTCGAGATGGGGTGGGGTTTGAAGTTTGCATTTTGCTGTGATGGTGGATGCAAGATACTTTCTGGAAAGAAAATATTGGCTTTCGTTACTGGATAGCCCTGCCCCTTGCTAGTGAAGTCTTTGGCTAGATTTCGCTTTAGCTAGAGGTATAAATTCAGAATCCTTTTGAGAATTTTTGTCGTCCGCTTGCCCGTAGTAGAGATTGTTGGCAGCTACTCGACGTAGCGAACATCACGTAGTTGAGGGTAACTTGAGGATCGTTCGAGGACTGCAGGTCGTAGGTATAGAGTTCTCCGGTTATAGTTTAAAGTATAATGAGATGTTACCCCGGAAAAATCGATTCCGTTGGCAGAAAGATCAACACTGTGGGAGGTGTGTATCTATCTCGAATTGACATCCATGATCTGGGTCATCTCGCAGGGCTGGAGGTCAGCCTAAGGCCGTCCCGTCAAAGGGTCCGTCACCACCGCCTGCAACGACCAATATCGACCAATGTGGACAGCACAGTGAGCACACAGCCATCTTAATTAACTCTGGCAAAATTGCTTACTCAAAAAGGGCTCCCCTGAGCCGGCGTTTACCCGAAGAGATCGGCCACCCATTGCCGGTCCTCTCGACCCGCAATTAAGCCTGAGACAAGCTAAAAGGAGGCTAAATTACCCCCAAACACGACGAGCCCCTGGCCCCGTCACAGACAGAACAACGTGAATGGATCATGCCCCCTCAAGGGAATCCATGGTGCGTAAGCAGCAGCCCACCAACTCGCCGATCAATCAATGTCAGACCAGTGTCTTGGGTCCGTCTCGGGTCCTTGTTTAACCCTCCAATCTCAATGCCATCTCCATTGGTATACTCCAACATGAAGTGCACGACACTCAAATGTATCGGTCAATATAGGCTACCTCCGAAAATGAGATCCATGCCCGAGCTATCAATTAACTCTATCCCGCCCGACGCTTTTCAGGATTCTGCGCTGGTGGGTCACCATGTGGAACGACAAGGACCAGGCTAAAGGGCATATGGTTCGTCGTGTCTCTACTTGGCTCGGGGCTCTTCCAGCCTTTGGGTTTAGCGTATAGAATAGCCCCTGGTGGTCCGACTAAGGTATATGGAAGAATTTACTCCGTTTCTGATCAGGGTCATCTGCGGGTTTGGGATATAACCTGCGGCATCCGCCCCAGGCTTACTCGAAGTCCAGGGGCCTTCGTACTTGGTTCTTCCTTCCTTTTCCTTCATTCTCATCATTGCATTCGTTACTGCATCTTTCTTTTGTTTCAATATAATATTTCACTCTTTCTTCTCACCATGATCTTCAACACTGCCCTCCTCGCAATCGGCCTGGCGCCATTGCTGGCATCCGCCCAACTGTCCGGCACCGTGGGCCCAACAACCTCCTACGCAACCAAGGCAAGCAACAAGATCTGCAACGTCCTCGACTACGGTGGCGTCGCCGACAAAAAGACCGATATCGGTCCCGCGATTAGCTCGGCCTGGAGCGCGTGCAAGAGCGGCGGTGTGGTCTACATTCCGTCCGGCAACTATGCCCTCGGATCATGGGTTACCCTGACCGGTGGTAAGAGCACTGCCATTCGCATGGATGGAACCATCTACCGAACTGGCACTGCTGGAGGCAACATGATTTTCATCGAGCACACCTCGGACTTTGAGCTGTTCAGCTCGACTTCCAAGGGTGCCGTGCAGGGCTTGGGGTATGAGTTCCATAAGGAGGGATCTTTGAGCGGGCCTCGGATTCTTCGTTTGTATGAGGTGACGGACTTTTCGGTCCATGACCTTGCTCTAGTTGATTCTCCATCCTTCCACTTCTCTATGGATACCTGTGAGAACGGTGAAGTGTACAACATGGCTATTCGTGGTGGTAACTCTGGTGGTCTGGACGGTATTGACGTGTGGTCTACTAACATCTGGGTTCACGATGTATGTATAGCCGGGCACCTCCAGCTTTCAATCTAGCTAACCCTTTCTCTAGGTCGAGGTCACCAACAAAGACGAATGCGTTACTGTCAAGGTATGAGATACCCTCGAGCCTGAGTGCCCATTGCATGAATCAGTCCTCTAATCTCCGTACAGAGTCCTGCTAAGAACATCCTCGTCGAGAACATCTACTGCAACTGGAGCGGTGGCTGCGCCATGGGCTCCCTGTCAACCGACGTTGACATCTCCGACGTCCTTTACCGCAACGTCTACACCTGGTCCTCCAACCAGATGTACATGATCAAGAGCAACGGCGGCAGCGGCACCGTTTCCAACCTAGTCCTGGAGAACTTCATCGGTGCGTCCCACTACCTCTCCACACCCACATCCCTCCAAATCGTCTCATCAATACTAACCACCTTTCAGGCCACGGCAACGCCTACTCTCTCGACATCGACCAGCAATGGAGCAGCATGTCCACCGTCTCCGGCGACGGCGTGCAACTCAACAACATCACCATCAAAAACTGGAAGGGCACCGAAGCCAACGGCGCCCAGCGCGGCCCGATCAAGGTCAACTGCGCCGCCGACGCCCCCTGCACGGACGTCACGATCGAGGACTTTGCCATGTGGACCGAGTCCGGCAGCTACCAGAAGGAAATCTGCAACAACGCGTACGGCTCGGGTGCGTGCCTGAAGTCTGGCAGCGGCGGCTCGTACAGTACTACTGTCACTGTGAAGACTGCGCCGACTGGGTACTCTGCCGCTACGATGGCGGCCGATCTGAAGACTGCTTTTGGTACCGTTTCTTCTATTCCCATTCCGACGATTCCTACCTCGTTCTACCCCGGTGCTACTCCTATCAGTGCTTTGGCTGGTGCGCAGGCGACTTCTTCTTGAAGGGATGAGGATTGGTAGATTGGCTATGGGGGCGATGTGAAGTGCATAGTCTCCTGGTTCTTGTATGAATATGCGAGTGTTGTTCGTGTACTTGAGAGTTGGTCAGGAGCATCGGGAATGCCTCGGATTGATTTTGGATGTCTTTTGGCTCTGGAATGTTCCAAATCAGAAAATAGTCTATTTCCACAAGAATGTCAAAAGTCAGATAACCAGTCATTCTCAGATAATCAACAATACCCAAACAGGTAAATGGTAAATGGCACCTCTTCTCCTTCCTGATCCGCCCAAAATGTGGGGAAAAGAAAGCGCCAAAAACACCCTGACGCTCTGACGGAAACACCTCCGTCGATCACGCCATTAAAGACCCCGATCGAACACGAGCATCCTCGCAAATCAGGACGCAACCCAATCCCAAATCAAAGCAAGGAATACGCTTTGATAGAGTTTACGACGTGCCCTCGAGAGACCCTGATTCGACAGTCCGCCCTTAATGCAGATCCCACGCTGCTCGCACAAGGGTCGACGTTACAACGGGGATCTGAGATCCCGACGTCGAGCGGAGCCTCCCATCAATATAAACACGAGAAAGTAACAGATCTCCGTGTGAAAAGATTGCTGGAGCATTTGGTTTTTTTTTTCTTTTCGCATCTGCCACTTACAAGCAGCTGAGCGACCATGTCCACGAAATCACCAGTCAACGAGCCCACCGCGCTCGGGTCTACACCCACAGACGCGACCCCGCCAGACTCAGGTCTCGATGCGGCATACAAGGCCAAGGCGGAGAGGCTGAATCGCGCGATTCAAGATATCGGGATGGGGAAATACCAGTGGCAGCTTTTCGTGGTGATCGGATTCGGCTGGGCCAGTGACAACCTCTGGCCGATCGTGACATCGCTTATCCTCCCACCGATATCATACGAGTTCCACGCGTCCAAGGCACCACTGCTCACGCTCGCCCAGAACATCGGGCTCCTCGTCGGTGCCGTATTCTGGGGATTCGGGTGCGACGTGTTCGGGCGGAAATGGGCATTCAATTTGACCATCGGTATCACAGCGGTATTTGGACTGATCGCAGCAGGCTCACCGAATTTCGGCGCTGCCTGTGCCTTTGCGGCGCTATGGTCGGTTGGTGTTGGAGGAAACCTGCCAGTCGATTCGGCTATTTTCTTGGAATTCCTGCCTGGATCGCATCAGTGGCTGTTGACTGTTTTATCGGTTGATTGGGCGTTTGCGCAATTGCTGGCCACTTTGGTTGCTTGGCCGCTTCTGGGTAACATGACCTGCGGCTCGGAGGAGGGTTGCACGAAATCGAAGAATATGGGGTGGCGGTATTTTCTGATTGCCATGGGCGGATTGGCGATGATCATGTTCGTGGTGCGCTTTGTGTTTTTCACCATCTTCGAGTCACCCAAGTACCTGATGGGAAAGGGGAGAAATGCGCAGGCTGTCGATGTCGTACATGAAGTCGCCCGCAGGAACGGTCAGACATCGTCGTTGACCCACACTGATCTTGATGAGTTCGATGAGGGGGAGTCGCGTGGTTTCACAGCGAGTAACATCGTTCGTCAGCGCCTGGACAAGCTTCGGTTCGAACATATCCGCGCGCTATTCGATACGCCCAAGCGAGCATACTCGACCACTCTGATCATTCTCGTCTGGGCGTTCGTCGGCCTCGGCTTCCCTCTATACAACGCCTTCCTCCCATACATCCAGCAATCCCGGGGTGTTGAGTTCGGCGACGGATCAACGTACATCACGTACCGAAACTCTTTGATCATCGCTGCGATGGGCATTCCAGGCTGCCTCCTCGGCGGCTTCCTAGTCGAACTCCCACGTTTCGGACGGAAAGGCGCATTATCCAGCTCAACGGCATTGACTGGTGTATTCCTACTTGTATCGACCACGGCGACTACCTCGAATGCCCTGCTGGGATGGAACTGTGCCTACAACTTCATGAGCAGTCTCATGTACGCCGTGCTGTACGCGTATACTCCGGAGATCTTCTTGACAAAAGATCGTGGCACGGGCAATGCGTTGACAGCGAGTGCCAACCGGATCTTTGGCATTATGGCGCCCATCGTGGCCATGTTTGCGAACTTGAACTCTGCCGTGCCGGTTTATGTGAGCGGGGCATTGTTCATTGCAGCGGGTATTCTGGTCGTTTTGTTACCTTATGAGTCCCGGGGCAAGGCAAGTCTGTAGATCTTTTGCATGTCGAGAATCATAGACAAAGATAACGTCTCTGGGGGTAGTTCAGCAGAGACAGTGAATAGACCATACTCGAGGAACCAACCAATAATTTCCCAAGACACAAATACAACAAGTACTATTAATGCAAATAGAATAACTAACCCTTTCAAACCCTTCAACGCTACACTGACGCCTCCGCCCCACTGTGTTTAATATAAAACACTTTAAACAAGCCACGCCTCAGAACTCGGCATGACATCATCCCTCCAAGGGCCACGCTCAATAGACACTCAAACAACCCCGATGATGTAGACACCACAATCTATGTATCACAAATGGATTCATCCACTCACTCATCCAATACCCATAATCACAACCACAATCCCACTGTAGCCACAACACCAAATAACAAACATCCACTGACACCACAAACCCCCCACTCCCAAAATCCCGGAGAATTTCAACCAATAGATTCCCCATCCAGATCTCAACGGCGAACAGATCAACATCCCGTGGATACCACAAGGTCCGCCCTACGTCAGTTAGTTTGATAGGATCCGATCGAGTGGCTGTCATATCACGACGATGATGTTAGGAGGGGGTCTCTGTGCGAGGATCAACTAACCAGAGACGGACGTTGACTGGTCCGTTGCGAGTGGTCCATATGACAGTGTGGCTTGTGTTGTAGGTTTTCCTTGTATGTGGGGTTCTCGCACATTGTACCCATTATATCATATGCTCATGTCTAGATCCTGTTTGTGATACAGGTTTATGTCTGGGGGTAGGGGATATATAAAGGTCGAAAAGATGAGGTCGAAAAGATGGGATCTAGAAGATCTCGTCATTAAATCCAAGGCCAGGCATACATACCGCATACTCCAACTAAACAAATCCATCTCTATACAATCTACATCTCCGTCCTCCAAAAATGTCCCAGCAAAACAGTACGTCCCATCCCCATCCCAGTTCCAACTCTAACACCCAATGTCTCCACCCATCCACCCATTTATCCAATCTAACCACACCTCCACAGACGGCGGACTCCTCGGCGGCCTCGGCGACACCCTCGGCAAGACGGTCGGCGGCGTAACCAACACCCTCGGCGACACAGTGGGCGGAGTAGGCAACACCGTCGGCGGCTTGACCTCTGGTCTGGGCAATACCGTCTCAGGCGCGACTGAGGGTCTGGGCAATACCACAAAGGGAGTTGGTCAGAGCGTTGGACAGGGTATTTCGAGTGGGACTCAGAGTATTGGAGGTCAGAAGCAGACTGCTGAGAACCCGCTTGGTTTGAGTCGCTAAACGCCTGTTGTCCCTGGGTTGAGGGTGGAGAATTATACGGTGTTGTGACGATGGGATGAATATACGAACTTTTAAGGTTGGATTTTGAGATTTTATTGGTTTCTATTGATGTATTACAATGTGATTATGAATTTATTTGTTGAAAGACATGGGACTGCTGAAGTATTCTGTACATTTTGTCCACTGGCACTAGTACGTAAGGCAGGTGTTAAAGGGAAAATCCAAAATTGAATAGACACTTTAAGATGACCTACTCTGCAGGGGTTAAGCGATACACAGAGACGTTGGCCATTCATTATGATCAACCTATTATCTCGATTCTTAATCAAATACCAATGGTTTCAAGGTTGCCTATTTGGAGTTACTAAACCTTTAAATTTTTCAATATTAATCACCTAGGTGCCCAGGTATTTATAATTAAGCTGTTATTAATTGCCATTTCAACTTCCAATTAATGGCAATCACTTAACTATCTGTTTCTTTTTATTTACCATTAGATATCACATTTTGAAAGCTGAGTCGAGTTATGATAATCGGTTACACTAGCCGTTCTCGCATGTATCATCTGAATGAGACTAGCTTGCAGTCCTCCTGAACATAAGGCACAGCCAGCCTACACATGTGCAGTAAGCTTAATCTATGGATACTTTCAAATGTTAGAATCAAAGATGAACCAAAACATTTGAGTCTGCGAGATAATTCAACCATTCAAATGTTGGAACTACAAGCCCCGGCTCTTTCTACGAAGTTACAGTAGAATTCAAAAACAGATTACCCTTAAGACATTCACTCTTTCTTTCAAAACGCTGCCAGTGCCCCACTCAGATTACACTAAACTTAATTCAGTCAAGGAAAGTCCCACATTGTGTTCGTGATGTAACTCTACCCCGGGAGGGGCGAGTTTACAAAAATTGAACATTTGAAGCGGGGGCTTGGGCATCTTCAAAATATTCACTTCACCGTTATCCAAAAACTCAACCATTTAACTTCATTACTTACTCAACTTGAATCCACATCCAGTTCACAATGCAACCAATTTCTAAAGTTGACTGGGACACAGGTGATAAGGATGGGCTTGTCACTGTCGGTTCCCATAACCTCTATCTGTCCGTTTCGGGGCCAGATCGCAAGCCTGGGCAGCCTATCGTCGTTCTCATGCAAGGCATTGGCAGTACTGCCGATGAGTGGATTGCAGTGCGAAAGCTTGTAGTTCCATTTGCTCGTTGGTTGAACTATGATCGTTCAGGGATGGGTAGGAGTGAAGGTCCTAACCAAACACCACCCAGCATATCTGCAGCATCAGTCGCAGCAGAGCTTGATACCCTTCTAAGGAACGCTAGTATTGAGCCTCCGTTTATCATTGTCGCTCACTCATGGGGAGGCTACACTTCTCGCGAATTTCTGGAACTTAGGCCCAATGATGTCGTGGGCATGGTGTTCGTGGATTGCAATACTGAAGGTTTATTTGACAGTGGCGCATGGGGTTGGGACGTTTTCGCTTCAGTCCTCGGTGACCAAGACTATGTTGAAACCACCGGTCTTGCAACGTCCCATGTCCTATCCAAGGAAGAGTGGAAAGCCGTCAGAGACCAGCAGGCTAATCCCCGACATCGACCTACCGAGGCTGCTGAGTTGCAGGCGGTGCCGAATAACAGACGGACATTAGCCCACAAGAATCAACTTGAAAGGCTACTTCTCAAGGATTATCCGGTCAGTGTTATCATTGCGGATACACCTAAGGATTTCCAGAAAATGTATGACTTTGGAGTGGCCGCAGGCAATGGAACAGAACAAGAACGAGCTCTGTTTCGAAAATGTCTCGATAGATGGCGCGATATGAATGAGGACTGGCAGAGAGACCTTTTGAGGCTTTCTCGTCTCAGCAGATCTGTTCGTCTGCATTGCAGTCACAATGTGCAGCTGTTACAACCACAGAGCATAGTTCAAGAAATACAGTGGACCATGGACAGCTGCAGATAACCCTCAATCTGCTAATGAAGTCTTGAGCTCCCGGCTTGCAAATCGGACCTTCCAATGATGTGACTTTGCCTTTTGATCCTTAATAAAGGATTTGGAGTCCCCTTAAGGCGTGTGAATTATGAATTTGCCATCCAAACCCTTTGGTTATCCGTCTTGAAAGTGAGTTGGCCAACTGGAAATCTTGTAGAAATCTGCCCTGGGCAAGAAATTATGATATTTTTATCGGAGCCCAGCCTGTCCTAGTTGCGATTTGGGGATTAATTACAGCTCCATGTCTCAATGTGATATTATCCCTCAAGCCTATCTCCAATCGAGGCTCATGACACATATCTTTCTCAGGTCTCCTTCACTACGTAACCCGGGTTTCTCGTGTTGCCATCAAAACTACGAGACAGTGGAAGCTAAGTACTGCGGTTCAACATCGACCCGATCTCCACTCCGATCCGGCACAACTAAGCCGCTCGCCACAGACATCAATGCTTCGAAAAAAGAGAATCTGTGCTTCTAGATTTTATGTCTAATTAACGGATATCTACGTTATTTGCAAGTATATCCCATCAACTCTCGGCACCGAAACATCGCATAGTCTCTGATTAACAAATAACACATTTGACCACGGTCACCTTTTACCACCAGTATCAAAAATGAAGTTCTATGTTGCAGCATTGTTGACAGTGATTTTATCAACTGCTCTTTCTGCCCCGTCGCCATTCCATGCTTTGTCGACTATTAAAGCACGTGATGGACTGTGGCAACCATGGGTCAGCAATGAATTAGAACAAGGACCATGCCGCGAAGTCACATTGATTTTTGCACGCGGCTCGAATGAACCTGGCAATATGGTATGTTAGCCGCGCTAAGCAGCTGTCAGTGACGCTAATAGAACAATAACAACAAAGGGGATAATCGTTGGGCCTCAGCTCTGTGAGGATCTCAAAGATAACCTGGGCCCCGAAATAGTTGCGTGTCAAGGCGTTTCTGGTGCATATACCGCTGGATTTCAAGACAACTTTCTGCCCAACAACACCACACCAGAAGCAATATCCTCTGCAATTAACGAATTTGACCTGGCCAGAGCCAAGTGCCCTAATACCCAAATTATTGCAGGAGGTTACAGGTAAGACCCCATTTGTTTCCCGTTCTGGCCTCATAAATTGATGATATATTTAAATCATTCAGTCAAGGTACGGCAGTTTTGGATGGAGCAATCAAAAGCCTTCCAAATGACATCAAGGGTCAGATCAAAGGAGTAGTCTTGTTTGGATATACCAGGAACGCCCAAGACAAAGGGCAAATTCCAGGCTATCCGGGAGATCAAACCGAGGTATACTGTGCATCCGGTGATCTGGTGTGTAATAATTTAATTATTATCACACCAAGTCATCTTACTTATTCTGACGATGCGCCGAGTGCTACGCGATTCCTGGTATCAAAGTTGGATATGTGAACTGGGCAACATCATATCGAGGCGTAGGACTGTAACTTACAGCCTAGACAAGGATTATTTCAAGTAACCATTTTCTCCCTTATGTGTTGTATAACAGTTGGTATTCTTGGGATTATTTTTGTCGTGACCTATGACTCAGCCATCTAAGGGGTACTTCAGCCTGCCAGATGATCCGATCGTTCTTCGATGGGTAGGGCTGGAGGAGTAAACTGTATTAGAAAACTAGAAATTATCATTACACACAAAACCACCACCGAGTCCGCTTAAGGAAGGGTACGGTGGAAATAGGACTCATACGTGTGAACAACAAGTAATTGAGAAAAGGGCGTTGCTTAGGTAATTGGATAGCTTCAAGAGTTCATAATCTATCGACTTTGGTCATTTAAGGGAGAATAAAACAGGAGCAGAACAAATTCGTATTATCTTCTGATATTTTTTTGACTAAAAGTGGCGGGGGCTCTTGGCGCGTTTTCCGCCCAGGCCAAGACATGACAGCTATCTGCCTTCCTTCCCTTCCTCTTCCATCCCCTGAACCCGATCCCCACTCACGAGGAAATCATAGATAACGGAAAAGAAAAATGGAACTAAACTGGCTAACTGCACGCAATAACCATACCTACGAAAATGGACGCCGCTACTACGGCTTCAAGGGCGAGTTCCCCTTTCCAGACGACAAACAGGCCGCCACAGCACACGGGGCCATCAGCACCATCTGGTATTATCTTCTAGACGGCAGAAGCTTTATTGCCCCCATAAATTCGGTCCGGAAAAACCACAAATTTCTCGAATTCGCTATCCGCAGCGGCTCCTGGACGATTGGGGTGCTGCAACGGCATCATCCCGCCCCACGCTTAACGGGCATGGATCCAACCCCTATGTTGCCAAATCTCCGGGATTTCGTACACCACGACCTTCAAAGTGACTGGTCGTTTACTGCAAAACAGGCGTTTCATTTGATCCATGCGGAGTCGTTAGGCGGGGTGATTGCCGACTACGATAAGTTCTATGCTAATGCGTTCCGGCATCTTGTCCCCGGCGGGTGGTTGGAAGTGTGGGGAAACGACTTGCGCTTCTTTACCGACAACGCGCAGGATGAGACTCGACTGGTAGCGCTGAGGGAGTGGGAAGCCCTGATGCACGAGGCAGCGACCAAGTTTGGCAAGAGAGTCAACGTGGCAGCCGAGCAGAAGGAGCTGATGCACTCAGCTGGCTTTGTACAAGTCGATGAACAGGTATTCAAGGTGAGTGAGCCTGAAAGGAAAAAGATTCAAAGACAGTCTCCATGTGTATTGTAGCCTGGGAAGCTGACTCTTGAGCACCTGTGGCTAGGTGCCCTTTGGCAAGTGGAGTGATGACCCGACTCTGAATAGGGTTGGGGATCACTATGTGTTCCAGATGCAGTGCGCGCTGGAGGGATACACGCTGCGCCTGTTCACCAGGACATTGGGCTGGTCAAGGGAAGACACTGATGCCCTGCTTATTCGGGTTCAGGAGGAACTCAAGCAAGAGGATCTGCGGCTCTATTCATATTTTCATCTCGTCATAGGGCAGAAGCCAGCACAAGCCGCTCGAAAGTAACCGGGGGGAGAGTGGAAGTAGGAAAGAGACGAAGAAAAGAAAGAAGTACAATGCTATGAGCAAGGACTAGGGATAAGCAGCTCCCACCTATGTGTGTATAGAATGCTGTATCAATCATGGTCGGTAGTAAAACTACCAGGTAGAGGCACGCCGTCTAGGCATGGCAGAGCAAAGGAACTTAGCGATATATATCTTGACCACACGTAAGCAAAGGAGACAAAACATAGCCAGAAGGCTTGAAGTTCGGAGATCATTTTAGTAATTAGTAATATCAACGTTGATATAAATGATATCTTGCTGCGCTCCGTAAAGGTAATGTTCAATGAACGAAGGGGAGCCTAGTGATGAATATGGTGCAAGAGTGACATCTATGTATGCCGTCTACCTAAGTAAGTTAGACATGATTTGTCAGCTGGATAGATGGCCTGGAGGGTCGGTTAGGCTGAGAAACCCTTATGTAACATATTTTTGATTTTCTCAACAAGACAGTTTGGCCGAGTGGTCTAAGGCGCTTGACTAGAAATCAAGTCTCTTCGGAGGCGGCGGTTCAAATCCGCCAGCTGTCGTTTTTTGGTTAATTTGAATTAATTATCTTTTTTTTGGTGGCTGGCAAGAATTTTGGTGCGGTCACTAAGCGAGTGGGGGTGTGGGTCGAGGGTGTGGATGGTTGAGGTGGCACCCAAAGCACCCTGGGCTTGTTGCTCTTCCTTGGTTGATGAGAAAATGTCAAAGGTAAAGGCCAAAATTAAATGACTTGGACTCCAGATTGAAGGTTTTTGACAAACACGGGAAGACTGATGCAATCATTTTGTGGGAAGCAAAAGTAATTTATCATCGTCACTTCAAGGGGGAAAGCATTTATCCTCACATTCTACATCTGAAGCCCCTGTTTCTGGACGGGGTTATGACTCAGTTGTCACCGTTGGAAGGGAGAATAAATAGAAGTCAAATCTTCAAATGCGATCTATTAAATCTTACTGTTTCTTTGGTTTTGTATATTTGCAACTATCACGGAGCCACTAGCTATGCTTGATAGAATGGCTTCACGGATTCTTTATATTGCTAGCATTACATAGTCATTTAACATTATTTCTTACGAGGTATTGCCAACTATAGATGGCTGAACTCGCTTCTTACTTATTCCTCGGCATCTGATGGTCTGGTCTTCATGGCTCGGCTGGGACCTACAGCAAATTAGCAACACCAGCAAGCCGTGAAATTGATTACATCCGAGAGACTAAATATTATTTATACAGTAGAAACTAGCAATGTGCTTTAAATTCGGTGGAATGTGGGGAAATGGAAGGCCCAAGGAAGGGCTGCAAAGTAAAAATGTCGTTCCGACGGAGCCGAGTATATCGGCCGAATCCTCATTAGAGTCATACCAGGACACTGTTTGATCAAGGCTCGATTATATCCTGTTCAGAGGACAAACCCGCAAAGAATCACTCAGTTTTAAGCTGCATTCAATCTCCAGTTGACATTCACCAGTTTTGAAGGGTGGTCTGTGGCCAAGATGCCCGCGACAGAGAATACGTCACACGAGTCAGACTCTTCAACTGTCAACGATTCACCACGACAGTTAAACAAAATTTCAAAAATGAATCGAAATATCCCATCACCTCAAAGGCCTCTTACAAAACATGATCAAGGATGGCGACGCGTCGTCCGCAACTTCACTCCCTCGTTCGTCTCGCAATGCCTCATCTCCGCATCCCCAAGCTAACGTAACCTCCAACAGATGGTTCTCGGTAACGATGGGCACAGGCATTGTGTCTATCCTACTACATAATCTACCCTACAACGGAGTCTGGCTCTACTGGATCTCCGTCGTTATCTTCGCGCTAAACGTACTCCTATTCAGCATGGGATGTATCATGAGCATCCTGCGATACACGCTGTATCCAGAAATCTTTCGGGTGATGATCACACACCCGGTACAATCGATGTTTATTGGCACATTTCCCATGGGACTAGCCACGATAGTTAACATGTTTGTTTTCGTGTGTGTCCCAGTTTGGGGAGAGTGGGCGCGATATTTCGCGTGGGGATTATGGATTTTTGACGCTGTGATATCGGTGATGACTGCATTATCCTTGCCATTCGTCTTGTAAGTGGGTGCCTGGATTGATATTTAGGACAATCGCTGATAATGAACTAGAATGGCCCGTGGAAGTGAGACTCACCTGTCCTCAATGACAGCTGTCTGGCTTCTTCCCATCGTTAGCTGCATCGTGGCGGCCTCTTCCGGAGCCATAGTAGCCGGGGTGTTACCCAACGATCAGTATGCACTGTGGACTGTACTGGCTAGCTATGTTCTATGGGGAATTGGTCTTCCGCTTGCCTTGATGGTCATGGTGATCTACCTCCAGCGCTTGACGTTGCACAAGTTGCCCTCGAAAGCTGTCATAGTATCTGTCTTCTTGCCTCTAGGCCCGCTGGGTCAAGGCGGATATGGGTATGTATTGTTTCTCATGGTTTGTATGATATTGTTCTAATTTATCACTGACAGAGCGATGAAACTGGGCCAATGCGCCCGAGATATCTTCCCCAAGACGCAGACCCTCGAGCAAGCTTCTGGTCCGACGTTCTACACGCTCGGGTTCTTGATCGCTTTGATTCTTTGGTCCTTTGGATTAGTTTGGCTATTCTTTGCACTGGCATCTATAGTGCGATCTAAGAATTTTCCTTTTAACATTGGATGGTGGGGCTTTACATTCCCGCTGGGGGTCTTTGCGTCGAGCACTGTTCAGATGGGAACTGAGCTGCCCTCGAGGTTTTTTAACGTCGTCGGAACGGTAGGCATTTTGATCTAAGTTTGGCAATTTGCAGGCTTACTGGCTGACTGAAATATAGATCATTTCTCTTTTTGTGGTCGTTCTCTGGATTATGGTCAGTGCTGGTACCCTTCGAGGCGTTGTGTCGGGGAAGCTCTTTGTTGCTCCCTGCCTAGGAGATCTTCGAGTTGCGGAGGAAGACAAGGACGTCGGCAAGGCAGCGTGATTTATCAAACTCTTCAATTTTAGGAATAGTTAGTGGTTAAAATTCTCATTTATCTATAACACCATGGTTATATCACTTTGGAATATACTCTAGACTTTGGTAGGGTACCCCGGACCCCATCACGTGATGCGGAGAACCGCTCGAAATTTGAATTTATTTTTCGGAATTTATTTTATTATTTTATTATTATTTTCCCTTTCGCCCATCGAAAAAGATCGAGCCAGCGTCATCCACTTGGTTCCCCGATCGTCCCATATTGTCAGTGTCCGCTTTTCTCGCCAGGACACGCCAGCCAGGGACATCGGACTCGGTCAGCGCGCGTTGTCCAGCTCTGCCCACGCGGTCCTCTTCACCCCCTGAATCGCCCTTTCGTGTGCGCCTGGCGATTTTTCATTCTTGCGCTGACTGGCGCAACTCGGCCTCCGTAGCCGCTAGTCCTAATCAGGCAAGAACTGCTTATTTCCTGCCTTAGCCATCTGGCATCCAACGCCACTTTGACACCTTGACACCTTACTGCCTTGGTGCCTGGGTGACTCAGGCCGCCGGAACAACAAAACACGCGGCGCGACTCCAGCTGGACGTCCTTGAAACCGCAAGTTGCTGGCTGGCCGCGCGACCACTGCTCAAAGTCGGCTATTTATCGCATCTATATAGATCGGTAATTTTTCCACGACTTGGCATAGCGGTGGTCGCATGTGCCGCGTGTGAACAGGGAGGAAAGCCGAACCCATTCCACAGTTCTTATCAAGGCGCCGCTTACCACTAAGGTTCGAGGCACCACTTCCTTGAAAATGATGGGATACGGGGGTCAACCCTTTCACCATCAACAGGCGCAGCAGCAGCAACAGGCGCAGCAGCAGCAGCAGCAGCCACAGCAACCTCATCAGGCGTCGCATGTCCAACATCCGCTGGGACCGCATCGCCAGCCTATTCCATCTCCTTCATTGGGTGCGGCCCCAAATTTACCGCAACATGGAAGCAGTCCTTTCCCCAGTAATAAGCCCCTGTATCGTGCGGGTCCGTCGCAGCAGCAGGCATTCTCAACAGGCCAATCACCCGATATGCGCAAAATGGCTCCCGCATCTTCGAGTCCACTGACGGGCTATCCGACTGCAACTAGCTATGGGCAATTTCCAGGTCAATTTGCGCAACAAGCCTCTCCCGACTTCATGTCTCGTCCAGACTTTATGACCCGTAGCTCCGATCCTATGGCTCTGCAAAATCTGCAGCGCGGGTTTCAAACCCCCATGGCCCATGTACGCGGGGGGCCGGGAATGAGTCCCTCAACGGGTATGGCCCAAGGTCATGGCATGGGTATTCCATCACCTCAGCAATCATTGAACCGGCTGCCCCATTCGGGCATTCAGCAAAGAGAGAATCACCCCTCCGCCAGCCCTTCCATGGCCAGTCCGTCCATGTTCGCCATGAATCAGCAGCGACAGCAGCCGCAGTCTCAGCCACAGTCACCTCAACAGGCTCAGCAGCAATTGCAACAATTCCAGCAACAGAGACAGCACCAGCAGCAGCAATACCAGCAGCAACAGTACCAGCAACAGCAGTACCAACAGCAACAGGAGCGTCTTCAACAGCAAAGGCTAGAACAGCAACGGCTCGAGCAACAAAAGCAACTTCAACAGCAGCGTCTTGAGGAGCAGCAGCGCTTGGAGCAACAGAAACAGCAGGAGCAGCAAAAGTTGGAGCAACAGAAGCGTTTGGAACAGCAGCGTTTAGAACAACAGCGCCTTGAGCAACAACGTCTTGAACAGCAACGTCAGGAGCAACAACGCCTGGAACAGCAACGTCTTGAGCAACAACGCCTGGAACAGCAACGTCAAGAACAACAACGACTCGAACAGCAACGTCTGGAAAAGCAGCGCCTGGAGCAGCAACGCCTGGAGCAACAACGCCTAGAGCAGCAGAAGCAAGCGGAACAGCAACGACTCGAGCAGCAGAGGCAGCAGCGTCTTGAGCAGCAGCGGCTGGAACAAGAGCAGAAACAACAATTAGAACAGCAACAAAAGCAGCAGCTGGAGCAACAGAGGTTACAAAAGTTGCAGCAGCAAAATATGGCCCACAATCCGTATCAGCAGCAGCAACAATCCCCTTTCGCGCAACACTCCCAGATTCCATTCCATCAATATCAGCCGCATGCTCAAACTCAAAATCAATACACGCAACAGCAGCGTCAGTTCTCTCAGGCTCCTCAACAGCCTCATTTCGCCCAACCTCAACAGACGCAATTCCAACACTATCAACCACCGTCACAGTCAGCTGTAGAAAAGCCTGCCCGGCCCGCCGCGGTCACTGCTTCATCTGCCCATGCGCCTGCTCCTGCTGGAAACTTGATCATCAAGGCTGAACATCCGAGCCCCGCGCCGAAGAAAAAGTCGAAACCTAGGCAATCTACAGCTGCCCAGGCCGCTACTCAGCCCCAAGCTTCCCCTCAGCCTCCGCCTCCGCCCCACTCTCAGGTCCAACCCCAGACCCAGCATCAGGCCCAGCATCAGGCTCAGGCTATACCGAACCCCCCTGCACCCGTTGGCGTACATAACAGCACACCAATGCAAGCGAATGGCCAAGTACAGGGACAGCAGGGACAACCAGCCACCGTCCCAGCAGCGGGTGGTGTCCCCCCAGTCCCAGGAGTTCCCGTAAAACGCAAGCGCGGGCGTCCACGGAAAGAGGAAGTTGCGGCCCGACAAGCAGCTGCGGTTGCAGCGGCCCTGGCAGCTGGTCTTCCAATCCCACAACCCGGACAACCTTTCGATCCAAACATGGCCTCTGCATCGGGATCTGCTGGAGCGTCTCAAATGACACTCGGCCCTGATGGGAAACTTCCCAAACGGAAACGTGGTCGCCCCCGCAAGGCAGATCAGATCGCCTGGGCGAAATTAACCGGTCAACCACTGCCACCGCCAAAGCCAAAGAAACCGTCCGCTGCCAAGAAACCCGGTACAGGCCGACCTCGTGGTAGGCCACGCAAAGCAGACGTGGCCGCTGCGGCTGCGGCTGCGGCTGCTGCCGCCGCAGGCCAGGGTGATGGTGACCAGGCGCAGGGAGACAGCGAGCCTCAAACAATTGACAAGGCGGACACGAATGGCGCCCAGAAACGCTCAGCTCCTGCTGATGATGACCCACGCAAGCGACCTTGCCCGACGCCTCCATACCCTCAACAAGGCCAGCCTCAGCCTCCAGCTAAGCAACAGGGACAGCAATTACCTGTCCAGAGTCATGCCCATTCCCAACACAATCAGGCACTACCGATGCAACAGCAACACCATGGCCTCCCGAATATGTCGCAGCCAGGACAGCACATGGGACAACAGCCTGGCCAGCACCTGCAACAACAGCAGAACCAGCAACATACACAGAGCCAGCAATTGCCTATGCAAGGTGGTCATCCAATGTCTTTGCCGCCACACATGCAGATGCATCAGCAGGCTGGAATTCACCCTTCCCGACAGACGGCAGCTCATCCGTACATGCAAAATCAAATGCCGTCGATGCAGTCATCAATGCAGCAGTCGCCAATGCAGCTTCCACAGCCAGTTCACGGACATCCATCGCACCTGGGCCAGCAGCAGCCGCAGCAACAGCAACAGCAACACCAGCAGCCGGTACAGGGCCAGCACTTTGCTCAAAGTCGAGCTCCCGCACAACAGCAGAGCCGAGCCCCGCCGGCGCCAGCACCACAGCATCAACACCAACATACCTTCCAGGTTCAGCTCCAGCCTCAGACAACCTAGAGCAGTTGTTGTCAGTGTGTTTTGAGATGTGCCCGGTCTCTAATGCCGTCATGATGGCTCATGCTGTCTGATCCTCTCACGTTTTTAATTACATTCTATACGATTGGTTTTACTGCTGTTATTCCAGCATTCCCATTTCCCCCCTCTGTCATAGCATGGCACTGAGGCACGCATTATCATGTTCCCTGCATCGATTCCCCGATTTCTAATTTCAACGGCTTCTTGTTTCTATTTTACCTGACATTCGACATCTTATATCTGATATCACGGGAATGGCCAAATCCCCCTTTATGAATTTGATTTTGAGCTCGAATTCGGTGGTTATTTGATCCTCTATTCTGCGGCGTTTTTTGCGTTATCGGGTGCTCTTGTCCTCTTTTTGTTCCCCGCCGTTATTTGTTTCATCTTTTGCGGTGCCTTGCTTTATATCGATCCCTGGTATGATGGGCATTTCGATCTATAATGCGGGTTGTTTCTGGCTAGCGGGTCCCCGGGCTCATTGGAACTCTTGGTTCTTGGCTTTGTTTTTTCTGTTGGATGGTTGTTTGAGATACATATTTAATGTTGTAGTACATATTCCTAATTCCAGGGGTTATTATATCTTCAATTCAAAGATCAAGTAAATTCCCGTGAAGCTACTCCAGTGATAGCCGACATACCCTTTCCTGAATGTATGAGGGTCCCAATTCCGGCGGTTCCCCAGCTTCGAATCAATAGTATTCTTTAGCATGATGCAGGCTGCATCGATACAATCAGATAGTGATCACATCAAGAGCTGTCTTCCACAAAGTCGCGAGTGGTAGGAGGGTGATGACCTGGTAAACCCTCAGTAAGGTCGCCTAGAGTACTTGTCACGTGAGGAGCCACGTAAACCCCTGATCAGTCTGAAATTCATTCACATTCAGGCCCTTAGGCAAATAAAAGTAGCTTCTGCTGCCATTTTTTTTCAAGCCAAATCTGCTATCCAAGGTGCGGTTTACTGTATCCACCCGTAATTCCGGGACTCTCTTAACACCGGAACATCAAAAACCATCCATCTTCTCCACCACCAATGAATACCAGCGAAACCAAGCTCGTGGAACAACTATTCCTAGATTTCTCCATACAACATATCCTTCGAAATGAAACGAACCGGTTCCCAATCGTCGAGCCATGGGCTAGCGACTACGTGAATGCGATACGAGAAGGAAGATATGGGGATGCGGTATGGGCACGCTATCATATTGCTGGTGATGTTGGTGTGCATGATGGTATTATCGAGGGTACAGATAAGACTGTGCTTGAGATGATTGAGGAGGATGCTTTGGGTTATAAAGTGGGGGACCCGGATATATATGAGGAAGCGCTGGCTTTTTACGCCAGTACTAAACCGACGGATGGGCATCCGGAAGTAATTGAGATTATTATGCGGATTGGAAGGAAGGATGTGAGGGCTCTGAGGGCTCGACTTGAAGCTGAATATCGGGCGGATGTTCTTGCTGATCTCTGAATTGATTGTGTGTCTATAGTAGAGATCTTTTGATATCGTGTGTTGGATAAAGATTGGTCATTCACATGTTTGACTGTATTCATTTGAGCCATCTTGAGAATGAACAGCAATCGCTACTCCCTCCCGGTTGAGAACCAGAGAGAAACATCAACATGTTCTGGCCTACCCTTGTCGTCTTGTGGAATAGACATTTATTGTTCCATATAAGACCTTAGAGACCAAAGCCCGAAAAGAGAAGAAAATTCAGTAAGGATTGTCAATACTGGACTACCACATCCCACATAAGTCATGATCATAGAATGGTCCAACAAACAACACCTAATCACATACTTCAAGACCAACTTATCCTCCACCACCATCAAAATCAACCAAATCGTTCAATCCCTCCAAGCGACTATCACTCTCACGCCTATCATTCGCAACCCCTCCACCATGATCCTTCCTTTCACCCTTCTCTCCACCACCACCACCACCATGGCGACCAACCAACGACTCCACATTCGGCCAATCCTTCAAATCAATGTTCAACGCCGGCGCGAGTTTCCTCACCACGCCATCACAAAGCACAAAAGCCCGTCTCGCAGCAGGATCCACATGAGCCATAGTATGAATCGAGCGAAGCGCCTTCTTAGCCTGGGCAATGACAGTCTCAATATCCGTATCCAAAAGGGCGGGGGTATTTGATATTGAAGGATCCGAGCCTGACACAGACGCGGACCTTATATTCGACTTTGACCCCGAGTTTGAAGTCGAAGAGCTTGGGAGATTCGTTTGTTTTGGGAAACAGACGAACGATAGAGCTAGGAGGAGGGCTGTTGTCGCTTGCATGATAAAGTGTAGCACGCTCCACCAGGGTGTGACGCGGACTAACCATGCGATGTCCGGGTTATCGGGGAGAATAGAGATAAGAGAGCATGCAGCCTGGAGACAATCCGTTGCCATATCCGTTCTCAATTTTGTGCGATGATTCGCGTCTTGTGCGGGTGGACTGTTTAAAGGTTGCGGGGAGTGAGTCTGCGAGAGACATGGTCTGCATAGAATGATACGGGCCGAGTAATAGTTCATTGCTAGGCAGACCCGTTCACGCGCAAAGGGGGCGTTTTCATCATCGAGCTGGGCGTGGTTTAAATGCCAGGGTCCGGCTTCGGGGACCGTGAATCGATAAGGGGGCGGGACTTTGGCTAGCCATCGATCCATGCAGAGTCTATATTTTTGTAAACGGTACTCTGTCACGCTCGAGCACTCACGAAGGCCCTCGATACTGTAGATCTTGTTCAATACGGCGTGTGATATCAAGGCGAGATCTGTGAGGTGGTAGAAGAATAGAGCTGGACAGGGCTTGCAATCTGCCATCCAGGTCGGGCCGCACTGAAGTTGAGAGGGAGTTTCGAAGAGGGTTGGTCGAAGCTGGGCTTCGCGGAATGCCCGATCCTGCAAGAGGCGGGAGATCTCGGGTTGTTCGAAGAAGTCTTCTTCAAAAGGGAGGGGAGGTGAGACTGAGCAGAGGCCTTCTCCCACGCAGGAGGCTCGACCATGCATGGAGGTTAGAAGGTGTTCAAGGGAGTAGATAGACCACCACAGTCGACAACGGGCTTCTTTTGAGGCGTCGTGCGTTCGGCCATCCGTGATGTGGAGGTTGATACCAAGTGATAAGGCTGAGCGAAGAGCCAAGCCGGAGAATTTAGATGCTCTAGACACAAGTTAACAAAGTCCGAGACACATAGCTTTAGACATGCTGATGCAAACATAGACTCAAGGATATACCGTACCTATTGACTTGACCCAAACAGAGCAGATACACTGCCACCAAGAACTCCAGTTGAATCTGCTGCAGATCGGTATGCTCGAAAAGTACATTCTCGCGCAGACTCAACTGCCGAGCCCGAGTCAAATAGACGAGCCCATCTTCCCAAGCGCTACCGGCACCGGGGTCAATAAGCTTGCAGTATCGACAACCAATGGCAAAGATCATATTGAGAATACCAAGCCATCTCGGCGGCGGTTGAGTAGGCCTACTAAAGAACTGCAGATACTGCGCCGTGAACGTCGACTTGCGCAGGACACTAAATGTTGGATGGACAAAGGTCATGTACGCATCGAAGTATTTATCTGCAGTCTCACGCGGCGGCACGGTCACCGGGTCAGAATCATCACCGACAACGGGAATATCCAGATCATCGAGGTGATAATTCATCATGGCGATGGGTAAATCACGATCCAATCTTTCCTCAGAGGGAAGTACAGCAGCGAGAGCGTGTGGACTTTGCGATTGCGAGGCTACCGCAGATGACCCCGAGGTTGACTGGAGACGACTACCAGGCCAAGAAGTCTTTTGCTCGATACCATCCTCCAAGCGTTGCATCCATGCGACCTCGGAGTTTTTACCGAAGAATCCCGCAGCACGAGTAGTCTCGTTGCGATTTAGATCTTCCTCAACTAGATCAACTGCTTCCAGCGAGCCGACCGAGGAATCCGAATCCGAATCATCCGGGTTGTCGTTGTTGCGAGCCGTTTTGTTATCCTTGACCTGGGACGGTGAAGCATGTTGTTAAAGGTCTGTCCATAGAAAGACAATCTCGGAAAAGACGTGGCTGGTATATAGTATATAGTGTACGGTCGAAAGATGTGATTTTTATTCCGGCGACGTGTAAAAAGCTTACCTTCAGCGCTTTCCTAATCCTCCGCGCCGTGGGTGTATCGACATCCCCCTCCAGATCGCGAAGCAAAGATTCATAGCGTTCGGTCCGTTTCGAAAGCAACTCGAGCATTTTCTGATCGCGCACGCGTTTCACATCCTCGTAAAGGCATTGGCTGTTGTGGTACGAGCATTGGCCACAGGTTGGTCGCACGCCATCGCATTTGATTTTACGCTGTCGACAGGGCTCGCATGCCCGTGCCGAGCGTCGTCTGCCTCTGTAGGTTGTTGGAGCTGCCAAACGAGGGATTGCAACCTTGTTATTGCCGACATTGTCGCTAGGGGGAGCTAAACGTTGGTCTGGGTTCGAGAAGCCTGACGGGAGCATGGATGGTGGATAGGATGAGTATGATAGCTGCGCACTGGGATTTCCCACATGAGGATTCGAGGGGAAATTTGCATTCGGTCCGATAAATGCCTGCGTCGTTGAAGTCGAGAGGTCAGGGCTCAACGAGGGGGTAGTATGCCAGTAGGAGTCAACGACGGAGGAAGGGTTATATTGAGGGCCGTCGTGTCCAGATGAATGACTCGGGTTATGCATGGGCGGGGTTTAAACAATTGCATCGAGAGACGAGTAAATTGAAGAATGGAGGAAATTATCCACGGGGAGAAATCCTCAAGAAAGGGGAATTTACCGACGAGAGCCTGTTGCGACCGATGACCGATCTGAAGTCATGTTGCGCATGACTGTGGCGATCGAATCCAACAGGTTTAGTTTGAAAGGAATCGCCCAAGCTGTCGGTATCACTTCAGCCGTGTCTGAGCAAAGGAGGTCCCATAGGTAATTAAAATGATTGAGACCTAGCATGAAGGGGAATGAATGGTAACCCCAGGAGGAGCCAATGGAATTGCAAAATGTGGATCTCATGTGTACTGGATGTGGTGGAGAGGTGGCGGATCACCCCGTGAAAGCCGCTGAGAGGCCGAAGCTAAACTACCTTGACGTCAGAAGCTCCTCTTTAGTTGCTCGAATCTGTTGGATGAGCGGTGTCAGATAGATCAATCAATTCGAGGATGCTGAAAATGATCATTGATCGTCTGGATATTATACAAATCACGACGGACCCCTACTCAAGGTGGCATCATAGCCGAACAGTCGAAACAGGACTATCACAACTCCATACTTGTTACATTTATCCTCAAGGGACAATCTATACAGTATATTCAGTATATTATAGTTCTATTATACTTGTTCATGTACCCTTCTTCCTCTCACAAAAAACATCATCCTTCCCCAAACTCAAACTCTCATACCGATCCAACATATCCGACAATCCCAACCCAGGATACTCCTGCAAACTCTGTCCCTCCCCACCCGTAATTCCATGATACCTTTCATCCTGATTAAGCTTCTCCAGACCATCTGCATACTCATCAAACCGACGATGCCCTTTAGCCGAAGACTCCTCATCAAATAAATCCTTCAACTCGTCCGGAATAGAACACGCATCACGAAGACGACTGCCCTGCGCCTTGGCCCGTACAGACTGACGGAAGATATGGAATAGGTTCCTGCCGAGTGCTGAGCGACTCGCCACGATGGAGAATGCGCTGGCGAGTGATAAGAAATCCCGGTCCAGTACATCGAAGGAGTCTTGTTCTAGCATTGTGAAGAGGGCGAGATTGATCGCGTACATGGCAAAATGATGCGCTCGACTAACGCCGAATTCGCGACGATGGAGACGTGTCAGTGTGGCGATGTTGCGGGCTGCCGTTTGGGCGAGTTCCCATGCGTTGTATTTCGAGGCTGGCTCGGGAGTTTGTCTCGAAGGACTTTCGGGTGTTTTAGGTCCCTCTGTCGTAGTCCGCGAATGTCCATTCCCGGAGATACAACTGAATAGGTTGATGATCAAGGCATTATACCGCATTCTGTAACCGGTTAGCGAGAACTTTCGTAGAGGGTGGATACTCTAGTACTGACTTCAAAAGAATAACATGCGGCGCCACCTTTTCCCAATCAAAAATCTCCGGTAACAGCTCGTCCCATCGTTTCAATCGTTCATACAACGCATCGCGACTCTGTCGTTGCAGCGGCTCCAACACAGTATTTTCACCTGCAAACATACTCCGCGAGATATCACGGGAAATCGTCGACAAATTACACGCCTCGTCGAAGTAGACACTCAAATATGAGGGTCTCGTATCTCGATGCGAAGGGTACGGCATCCACAGAGACTGATCTTCAAGATGATCACGGTCGATACGTGGCATATTGACGTGGTTGATGAGACTGGATCGGAGGAAGCCAGTATGGACCATCCTGGAAAGCGATCACGTTATTAGACAAGTACAGTTTATAAGCTTGATCATACTTACGTATCCACATTAAACAGTCCCCAAGCTGTACGTCTGCACGAGGAATCCATATCCTCTGACAATTGCTCCGAGGTCATTCTCGGGCCCGTATTTCCTACAAGGCCAAGCGATTCGCCCATGCGAATAGCTTCATGGAGCATCATATAGCCCAAGTCATCTGTGCGGGACATCGAGTATCTATCATTATCGTCAGACTGATATTCACAATCGAACTCCCCAGATATTCCAACATACCTTTCATACATAAGAAGCGTGCCCTGCAACGAGGCCAAACTCGGCTGCATAGGCAACTCACCCTTCAACCGCTCAGCCTCAGCAAGGAAATCACATCCCTTGGACGAGATATCCCCAGGAACAACATAAGCCTCAGAGAATTCAGAAAAGTACTGCAAACCGCCACACCGTTAGCGATATGCACACCCATAACACACACAAAACCAGGACAGGACGCAAGTCAATACCCACACAAGCATTACTCAACAAAGCATTCACCAAAAACGGACTACAAAACTGACTCCCCAAATCCGCAGTCGCCATATGTTTCAAAAACACCCCCTCATCCAAAAACGAATTAAACGGATAATCCCACGTAAAATAAAGCGACACCAAATGCGAAACCAGATCCCTATCCCTGGTAACCTCCGTCCACGGCTGCGCGGGTACATTAATCGGCGCCTCATCGCAAAGATAGTGAATATCCATAACCTTCCTCCTAAACGCGGGCGTCGTGCCTTCCACGTTAATCAGATTCTTCATATCCTCCAATTTAGCCGCAGCCTGGGCCGAGGTTCGGCTGGTTGTCGTGTCGAGCGTGGAGAGGGTGTTGTTGATGAAGGTGCGGATTTCGTCGGGGGAGGCGTTGTGGCGGATTATTTCGAGGAGGTCGAGGGCTTTGCGTTCGTCGGCTTCACGGACTAGTTTGAAGATGTCGTTTAGCAGGTCGCGGTGGTAGGAGAGTTCGTCGGCTGTGCGTTTTGCGGCGACGCGGCGGCGTTGGTCGAGGGATTCGTCGAATATACAGACTCGTTGGAAGGTGCGGCAGTTTTCGCACGGTGGGGTGCCGGAACACTATTCAGGAAAGACTGTTAGTATGATTTATCGTGTAGATTTAAGGAGGGCTTGTAAATTTGTAGATGGTTTGGACCAACCTTCCGCTTGGACTTCTTGCACGCAAGACAAGCAGTAGAAACCCTCCTCTTCCACGAAGCACTCGAACTCGACGTCGCCGAAGATGAAGGCTTCGCCTCTTTGCGATGTGGACCATCATGATTAGAAGTCGGCGATGGACCTGGTACGATTTGGCGTTGATCGGTCATGGCGGGCGATTAAAAATCCCTGTAAACGTAGGCGTATATTCGTATGTTGTATGTGCTCTCGTATCGATGTATGCGTATTAGTATGTTCAAATGAGTATATACCTCGCCGTCGTCCTATCACTGCACTATACAGCAGTTCAAATGCAACCGGCGCCTTCGATTTCAATGTACAAGACCTTCGCGTCAATGACGGCAATCATAACCGCAGATATAAATCGATTTTAAACAGGGTGGCTGTCGCAGGCGGGAGGCATTACACCCAGGCCAATGACGACGGAGGCGAGAGGCGTTGGGTATGCGAGTAGCCACAAGATAGACGAGGCGACATGACCACCGCCAGTATTGGTGAGGCTTGTAGAGCAGAGACCGGAGGGGAGGTGTAGAAGTAGCAATAGTAGTAGCGGGCCTTGCAAATGGAGAAAACCTCGACGGTAGTCCTGTAGTTAACTAGCCAAATTAACCAGCCAAGTAGTGCAGACATCAGCCCTGCACCAAAGCCAGTAATTCGACTTGACGTAGGACACAAAAAACAAGGTCAAAGCATGTCCGTCTACAACTAGAGTAAAGTAGGTTCCTAACTCCCTATAAAAGAACAAATTCGCCTCACCAAATAAATCACAACCCCCAAGAAAAAGCAGTTACATTATCGTGACACATACCCAAGAGTCCAGTCCGGCCCATCCCAACCCGCCATTGCAAGCCATTACAACAAACCCCTGACAGATCGACGTGGAATTGAAGTCATCAGGAAGTTGTACCCGCCTATCCAATCAAGGACTGATCAGAGCCACCCGTAAACCGGACCGTAGCCCTTAAGCCAGCCCAACCAAGTACGGTAAATTCTCGGAGCCAAGATGTACATATGTACATAATCAAGAGTATTGTCTAAGGACTTTTGTAGCTTGGATGACTGAGCTTTATAGCTACATAGCTGGGTAGTAGCTACTGCACTAGGGTGGAAACCGGGTAAGGGACACTTGTGGCGCGTCGGTGATTGTTCGGGATCAAGTACCGGACTTCACGTGATAAACAGAAGCATAGTACTGTATCTAGAAAGGGTACAAAACGAGTATTCGAGTACAGTATAGAAGTACCATAGTAGAACTACCCGAGTCAACATGCTACCTCACTCGGTAGTCTGTGAGACGGGATCGGAATAGAGTAGTAGAATGGACACCGTTAGAGAGGGCATCCCTACTCAGCTACTACTATTAGTAGCACTAACTTCGGAACCTAAACAAGGGTCCAGCTGGAGTAGGGCTGAAACAAGTGCCTCTAACTAGTAATCCGGACTCCAGCCAGTACAACTCACTAGATCCTCCGTACAGTACATACTACTACTACATCTATCCCAGAATAATCAACCACTCCATAAATAGCTCTCGCCATGTCCACAATGACGACCCACACTGAGACCAGTCTCGGACATCTTCCACAACCACCATCCACGAGGTCATACGACCTCAAATCCAATCTACAATATTACCCTTAATATCAAGTCTACTATCACAAGCACAATATAATAATTTCACCAGAATAGCTGGATGGCAGGATGGCATTGACTCGGAGAGACCAGGGCAAAACAGGTAGCACTTGGGGGAGAGAACAAGAAAGAAGATAAGAAAAAGACCACAGTCCCAACCCGATGCAGCCGATTAATAAAAGGACAGAAAAAACGAAGACGCTGGATTAATTGTAATGTAATACAAGCACACATCTTTTGCATACTCCAAGGAATTCCCGTAGCCACGAATGCACCTCCCAGGAAGCAGGAAAAACAATCAACACGAACAAATTCCCGGTTTTTGGACGCATTCTCCAACCAACAACGATCACTTCCACCATAGATATGGTCGAATTTGTCGATGTATCGGGACAAAGTCATCCAGTATAACCGAGACAATTAAGAATAGAGTATCAATCGCACACCCGTTTAGTGCTCCAGAATACGGAGACTGCCCTGCACGACGCAGTTCTCCAGGACGGAGCCTGGGGGAATATCGATGGTGCTGCCCTCGGTAGCCACGATGATGACTGTGCCCTTCAGGGTAACGTTGCGGCCCAAGTTGACGGCACCAGTGATGGTCAGGTGGTCCAGCTCGACAATGCGGGGAATAGAGGCAATGCGCTTCTGGAAGTCGGAGACCTTCTTGAAGTCCGAGCCGAGCTTGATGACGGGGACGCCACCGAAGCGGTTGGGGTCCATGACCAGCTGGCCGTGCTCCAGACGGTACAGATCAGACTTGACAACCATGAGATCGGAGCAAGTCTTGACGGGCAGGAAGCGGCGACGGGGCACGTTCACACCGTGGGCGTTCTTGAAGTGACGGATGGCGGCACCGACGGCGGTCTCCAGCTGGTAGATGGCCTGGTCGGCCTCACCCTTCTTGTCGGCGGGGATGGACTTCTCGTTGGCGATAATCTCCATCTCGAGCTCGTTCTCCTCAACGACACGCTTGATGGCGCGAACGTTCATCCAGATGTTGTTGGTGTTGAAGTACTTGAACTTCTTGATGGACTTGAACTCGTTGACGTGCTCCTTGGGGACCTGAGCAATCTCGAGCAGACGGACCTTGCCGTCGTTGTCAATGATGGTACCACCCTTGACGTCAGCCTTGGTCTTGTCAGTCAACTCCATGATGTACTCGGCGTTGGAGTCAACCATGTGCTGCAGGATGCGGAGATCGACAACGGCACCCAAGTTGTCAGCGTTGGACAGGAAGATGTACTCGATGCCACGCTCGATCAGCTTGTCGAGAGTGCCAGAGTTGTACAGAGACTCGAAGACGTCACCGTGACCGGGAGGGTACCAGTCCTGGAGAGGAGCATCGAAGCTCTTGGGGGCAGGCAGAAGCGAGTCCTTGATGATACGGGGGTAGCGGGACTGGTTGAAGGTAATGATATCGACATTGTGGCCCTCGTACTTCTTGATGATGGACTGAGTGTCCTGGTCGGTGTTGAAGGAGTTCATGAGAACGAAGGGAACGTTGACGTTGAAGGTGCGGTTGAGGTGCTCGATCTGACGGACGGACAGATCCAGGAAGGACATGCCCTCACGGACCTCAATGACGGACTTGGGACCAACGCAACCCATGGAGGTACCGAGACCACCGTTCAGCTTGACGACGGCCAGCTTGTTGAGGAACTCGACCGAGGCCTCGGCACCGAGCTCGTCGTAGCCCACGACCTGCGAGGGCTGGGGAGGGGCAATGCGGTCCCAGTTGACAGCGTTGCCCTTGGCCTTGTCGTTGAGGAAACGGCGGAAGAGAGCGAAGAAGTTGTCCATCTCAGCCTCAAAACGCTTCTTCTCACTGGGCTCAGTGACGGAGTCGGAGAGCGCGTTCAGCGCATTGCGCATCTGTGAGGCAGCGACGCTGGTGGAGGCATTTTCGAAAGCCTGGTTGGAAGAGACCTTGGTCAGTGTTCGTCCTTGAGAAGAAGCCGCCACCTCATCAGGGTAAACGATGCGGGGCGGCACAAGAGGGGGGGGTAGGGGGCGCAGAATGCATATTTTCGCCAGGGGGGAGAGGTAATCAGATAGGAACAGATGGCAAGGACCAGAAAGCCAAGATTGTTCTCAGCACAAAGAGAATGGGAGAGAGATAAAAGGATGGGAGTGTAAGAAGGGGGGAAGAGCAAAATAACAGGAACGAGTCATGAGGTCAAAGTAGCCCACAGGGTTGGGAGGGCGTTCCGAAAGGTAAACAAGCGGACAAGCTGGTGCTATTCACGAAAGAGCAGGAGCGATCCGACTGTCTCCTGCTTGGGGAACCAGAAAAAACGGCAAGAACGAAGAACAAGATCAAGTATGGCGAATGGTGTACGGCGATCGGTGCAGACGGTCTCGACTTACCATGTGCGACTGGGACTTTCCATGGTGCTTACCACCGAAGCCAGAAGAGGCCTCGTTCGCAGGAGCGCGGAGGTGGGTAGGGAGTGCCTTGGCGGCCATTGTATGTGATGGAGGAGGAAAACGGTAGAGAGGATAGGAGGTAGAAGGGTTATCGCAGGAGAGCTCTGAAAGGGGTGGCAACCCGTTAGCTTTAGGAGCGGAGACAAGTAGCGATGACAGGTAAACAAAAGAAAGCTGGTGGAGATGGGGGAGGGGGCAATCTTTTATATAAGAGCAACTCCCGTCGTAGGCAAAAAAAAACTCAGACAGAAGGAGGGGTTGGCCGAATTGCCACAAGATTTGGTGTCGATCAGTCGGGTAAAAAAGCGGCTTGCAGGATGTCGACAAGCTGCCGTCATTGGCAACGGGGCGGGCTGGGGATTGGGTGGATGGACAATGCAACTGGGGTGGGGGAGAAGAAGGAGGGGGAGAATACTCACCAGATGAGGGTTTGGATCGATTGATCAAAGAGGAGTATCAATTGAGAGGTATAGAGAAGAGAGAGAGGGGAGTAGTAAAGGGAGGAGAGAGAGGGAGAGGAGGAGAGTCGAGGTGAAGAAGAAGTGGTGGTGGGGGTAACGTGATATTTATTGGCATCATTCCTATAGAACTCTAGTTCTCCTAACAATACCTCCCTACTACTGTACTCCATACTGTACTATGGAGACTGTACTACTCTCCATCAGAGCTACCATAATTAGTGTCCAAGACCCAGTTCCTCCTATTTATTCTCGTTTTCTTCTCTGCCCTCCTTACTTCCCGGTGTCGTCAGCGTCCAGCCACTGGCACTCGCAGTTCCGTCCACGGGTCGGACCTTAAACCCAACGGCCGTGCAAGTGTCAGATAATTGATAATTAATTAGTGAACTCTCGGCTTCTTCTCCCGGTGATCAAGATCGAGATCCTCAGCTTACTGTAGGACTAACCATAGGTACGGCTGTACTAAGCTGAGACATAGCTTCTATCTCAGCTCGATAGGCATCTCCTATTATCCACGAATAACCTCGCAATACTCAATAATGCCTCAATTATGACAACTACTGTACGGAACAGAGCACAGTATGATTTCCCAAAATAAAAATGACTTGCCAACTTTCCTAGAAAAGAACAAAAAAGGGGGGGGAATGATCCAGCCCAACAAAAGAACCCAAGAGGGGCAGAACGCTCTCCCGTGGGGGTTGGACGGAGTATAAACATGGACAAGGAGAAACCAGACCAACCTTGAGCCTACAAAGAATAATACTAATAATATTAGTAGTCCAAGGCTCCATCTTGTCCAGATTCCAGATTCCACCTTCCATCCAAGTTCCAGAATGAACGGCAAAATCCAAAGATTCCAGACCTTTCCCTAGCTTATTATATCGTACACTACCGTAGCCAGCCCAGTGGCCAACACCCGCTACAGTGACACCCCCCTATCCCTATCCCGATTCTTCTTCCCCTGACCCTCATATCCCTCCGTATTCATTTTTTTTAATTCCCATTTTCGCCTGACCCAGCTCGTGCATCTCCACCGGGTAGTGGATCCAGAGAGAGGCACCAAAGCAAAGCACGCCCCCCCCCCCCCCCAAATTCGCGGCCCCACCGTCGTCCGCTTGCACCTCTGCTGGTGGCTAAGCCAGTTGCGATCCTCGCTCGGACAAGTTGTCCTCTTTGCAACCTTGTTTTTTTTTTCTTTTGCCTCAGGGAGACACCGGAGAATCCGAGACCTTTGAGACCCTTTTTGCGCGCGCTTGCCGATTCGGTATCGCGCCCTCGTATACGGAGTATATTCGGTAGTGAGGTGTTCTACGGAACTATGGAATATATTTGTCTGGAACATTGACCCTGGACTTCACACCTGATAAAGAAAGCCCTTATCTCCCTGTCCCTGTCTCTCTTTCTTGTACTAAGAATATCCTCCTACAGCCATAGGATATGCATGTATGCACAGTACTGTACTCCCTACAGTAGTCAGAATGCAGTCTCCGTCGGAACTTGATTGGGTTTGATTTTCTTTTCTCCATCGATAAGCCGACCGAGTCGTTCACCTGACCTGGCGGCTCTTCAATTTGAGTGAAATTGCAGGGCGACACGAATCTCACATATACAACTAGATAGGGAGCACTGACTGCACCTACCACCTACGGAGAGTACTGGAATTACCGATGCGCATTATACTCGGAGATATTACGGGATATTCAAGATAGCTACTATAACATCCTACCGTAGTGAAGGCATTACTGTATCTACTACTGTACATACTACTACTACAACCAGACCTTGAAACCTACACCAGTTAAAGCCATCTTCTGCTTAACATGTTTTAGTTAACACTACACCCATGCAGCCCATGTGGGCCAGCCAGCAAATTAGCCTCCACCAAACCAAACAACCAGACCATGATTGATTGCAATTTGCTAACTACTTCAGCCAGAAATAACTTGATTTTCTCGCCCTACGTAATTTGCCAAGAAATCGGGCGCTTTGAATTAAATCTAGAATTGAAACAACCATAACCACATCGAAAAGATCGAAGTCTACAGTACGGAGTACTGTCGAGAGATTGTATGTATACGATGGCGATGAAACTCCCAAATTAAAAAAGCGATCTCAAACAATTAAAATGACTCGCTATACTCACGCAAGGCTATCAGTTTGAAATAGACAAAACCATTCCTGCACAAGTTTCATATTCAGTCTACCGCTATGCATGTCCGCCGCAACTTGAAGGTCGGGTAACGAGTTCACCGACAAGAAACTCATTATCCCCAAGCTTTTCACAAATATATATCTAGGTACTGTATCCATTCTCAATGCTTCGAGTACATCAACACTTACGCCTCCAAAATATATACTAAAAGCCCTAATCACCCGGACCTCTATCCGCCCCCGGTCAACGCTCAACCAAACTACGGAGTACACACCCCCGGAAATCTCTGCACCCAGTAAACGCCCCCCCCCCCCCCCCAAGTACAACTTCACAATCTCAACTACGATGTATCCATCAACCTGACGCGGAATTGTAAACCCGACTCTTCCCGTCGTACGGAACAATTTCTAAACCAAGTCCGCATCTAAGTACTGTAAATACTTCGTACAGCCTACTATACTCCAGTCCATTCTCTCTTACTGTAGTAAGTTACTGGAGGTAGTAACCCATCCAGATACAATATATCGAGACAGTCGTAATCCCAATGAAAATCACGACGATCATCCAAACACTCAACACAAAAACAAAATACTATCCTCCACAAAGCAAATTTAAATCATTTAAAAGGGGGGGGGGGCAGCGGCTCCGGGGCTGTGCAGGCAACCAGGTTTTAGAGGAATCTGGAATCTGAAATCGGATCGTCGGGCTCGAGCTCGAGCTTAGAGCCGCTCTAGGCAAATCGATGGGCGAGGGGGGCCCATGTGCCGGGAGGACAAGGCAGTACTCCGTACTTGAGAAGCCTTAAGTAGGTATGTACTGTACATAAAGCAACGTAGCCACTGGCGACTGGCCGCCAAGCTAAGTTAAAGATTTGGGTTGGACCCCTATTTTTATTTTCCTTATTATTTTTATTTTATGTATCCATTTTATTGATCATCGCGGATTAGCGGGTAGGGTGGCGATTAGGGTAGGTTAATACGGAGTACTATAGGCTATATTTGATGAAAAAAAAAAGAAAAGCAAAACGCAGGTTAAGTAGCTGATGGCCTTGACCTTCAAGGCTTGAAAGTCCGTGATTATGTATCTAGTAGTAGCCTGTCCTATTGTTAGATATATCGAGTGCAGGGCTGTTCAGATATATTTCCTGATTCCCTGTTAAAAGAGACCGACTGTCCAGCAGATAGTGGCAACCGCCTAGATCGGTAAACGGTCAGCCAGCGCCACTATCTACACCCAAGCACGCCGACAATCAACAATCTCACCAGCTCGAATGGATCTCACTCGATAAGATTAGGTACAATCCTGAAAACACCGACCAATCAGTATCGACATCGTCCACGCTTGGATCTGCCGCGATATTCCATTCTCCCGAATCCAGACAATCGAAATTCTCACGTTTCTGTAACCAAGGGTTCTTTACTTTGTCATCGACTATTAGGCGTAATACGGATATTTCACTCAGTCAAAGCTGATTTCTATATATTATGCTTTTGGGAAAGCCATAAGCAGGCTAACAGTACCAGCCTACACTCCACGTCTGACCATTTGCACAGGTAAGAAGAGGATGGATCCCCGTCCTCGAGGCTGTACAGTCCACACGAAGATAAGCAGAATATACAGCAGATCCATTAACACGCCCACTGGGTACGAAATCAGTGAAAACCCTTAGGTCGTAGAAATAGGTAGCCGAGTAATGTATCACATCACACCCAACAGGTAAAATGCATATCATAGATAAGACAAAAACGAGGGATAAACAAGCAAAGACGAAAAGAAAGAGAAAAGGAGAAAAAGAAAAGGATATCACATAACAACTATTCCAAACAGAGTAGACAAATCACAATCACAATCATATAAGTTTCTTTTCATAGACTTTCCAATCCAACCAACACACCCAATCCAATCCATTCCAACCCATTCCAACCCATTCCAACCCATTCCAACCCATTCCAACCCATTCCAACCCATTCCATTCACACAACCTATCTCACCCCAATCACGCCCCACTAACAGTCCTCTTACTCAGAAAGCTCCTCCTGGGCAACTTCCCCGCCGGACTATCCCCCTCATCCCCACCCGCCGTAGAATGCGACGTAGTAGGCCTGAGGCCAGCATCAGGCGCATCAAAACTAGACCGGATCACGACAGATCCCGATCCCACACTAACAGCCTTATCCTGACCGGCCTCAGAGCCCTGATCAGCAACAAGGAAGAAGCCCTCACCGAGGACATCGTCCGAGCCAAAGGTTGAATGATCCACGACGCGGATTTGATACTGCGAGCCGGCAGTGACCTTGGGCACCTTGAAGGATTCATCGTAGGTCACGGCGTCGTCGCCTGCCTTGTGCGCCTTGGTCTTGTGGACTTCCTTGCCGCCCTTGCTACCCTGGACGCGGACGATGACGCGCAGGTTAGCCGAGGAGGAGAAGCCGGATGCGGAGACGATGGTGATATGGGCGGTTCCCGCGTCGCCGCGGGCACCGCCACCAAACACGGACAGACGGTCACCGTAGATAGAGGCCGTGCTGCGGTTGCGGGTGTGTTCCTTTTGGGGCGTTGAAGGGGCGGGAGGGGTGCTTGTACCGTCGAGGGCTACGGCGGGGGTATTGCGTGTAGCGTCGACGAGGGGTGCGCCGTTACTGGTAGGGTCTTCGAAGGTGCTGTTTGCGACGGAGGCTGCGTCGTCGTCGACGTGCTTGTCCTTGTGGAAGCGACCGAAGATCTTGCCGCCGATGGAGGTGGCACCGTGGGCAGCACCGCCGACGACGGCTCCACCGACCTTGAGAGGGACACCGCCGATGGTCTTGGCTGTGCCGCCAACCTTGCCGCCGATACCACCGACGAAGGTGGCTGAGCCTTGGCTCAGACGCATCACGTAGTCGGGCTTGAAGAGGAGGTTCAGGTGGATGGTGCTTGGTTGGCCGTTGGTAGGGGGTTTGACATCCTTAGATGGGTTGATGAGGGTGAGGACGACTTCTTGGGGCTGGAAGGGGTCTAAGGGCGCGAGATCAATCAAGGCTTCACCGAGAAGGTCATCACCAACGCCACGATCATAGTCCCAAACCTCGACACGGAATTTAGAGTCAATACGTGTCTTGATCTCGGTGTCGAAGGATTCGTTCCAGACTGGGTTCAGGTTCTTCTTGATAACTTCAGTCTTGAAGATGTGCCGTTTGTCGTCATCGCCAATGAAGAATCGACAGTAAGGATCACTCTTGCCGTTGCTGTCGGCAATGGGCAGGTTGACACCCTTGTTAACCTTGACCTGCAGTTTACCCATGTTGTTGATGCTCTCCCTGGGGTCGAGCTTCATCTGGACGGGGATGTAGCGAGCGCTGACAGTGATCTTGCTAACTTCGCCAGTGTTGGACCGAAGAACCAGCTCCTTGGGCTCGTACAGGATGTGTTGCAGGGTGGTGAGAGTGTTTCCAGTAAGCTTAGCGACGGTGTTCTCCTCGCTCGACTCGTGGGGATCATTCTTGTGAACCAGGCGGAGAGTCATCTTAGAGAACTCAAGTTCACGAACGAAAGCCTCGCCAATGTCAGAAGAGTTGAGAGTCTTGGAGTGAATCTTGGGCGAGGTATAAGCGGGGAACAAGTAGTCGTCGATAACAACCTCGAGCTGAACGTTGCTGTGAGCCAATTCGCCATGGTGGAACTTGAACACGACGAAACCGGATTCTGTAGGAAGGGTTAGCATTGTAACGTTTACTGAAGGTCTTGTAGATTGTCTCACCATGTTTAGGAAGGTCCTCCTTGCTAAGATCCATCTTGGGAATCGACTTGATCGACCGCACAGAGGCGACATCCGAGTCCTGGGCCAACGGACGAGAAGCATTGGTCTCCAGGCTAGCCCGACCATTAGTAGTCGGCTCGCCATTGGTAACACCATTAGTCGCAGCACCATTCGACACAGCTTTGGAATCAATGCTGGCGGCCTTAGAATGTCCAGGCCGAACCTTCGAGTCGGTGCTCTTGCGAGGCGTATCCGCGCCGTTAAGTTCACCCTCCTCTTGCTCCTCCTGCTCAGCTTCATCCTCAGGGTTGGACACGGGGATGGTCGGGTAGAAGGAAACGGTGTAGTTAATGTGGCCCTTGAAAGCACCCTTACCATAACGCAGAGGCGAGGTAGTAGGTTGCTTATCATCGTCAATCTCATACTCGCCGCTCTCAGTCTCGCGAACGAAATCAGCGGCCTTGAGCTCGACCCAGCCGAGGGAGCGGTCCTTGTTGATCTTCTCTTCGTCCATAACCTCGACGACCAGCTTCTCGCGGGCACTGCGAATAGGTACGTAGACGACCTCGTCCCAGGTAGGGTTGAGGTTATTCCGGAAAGTGACGGTACGGCCGCGGGTCAGACCGGAGAGCATAACACGAGCATAAGGGTCGGATTTACCCATAGCTTCGAGGTTACGCAGATCCGTGGCACCCTTGAAGTGGAAACGCATCACACCGATGGGATCGATGTAACCAGCGCCACCGGCAACGCCGCTCAGATCGACCGGCTTCCATTGCAACTTGAGCTTGGCGCGACCTTCCTTGACACCGTGCAGGTGGAACCAGTCCTTGCCCTGCTCCATCATCTTCATCATATCGTTCATCTTGATCTGGTAGCGTCCGATAATGGGATCGCCCAAGAGATCGCGGTCGTCCTTGATGATCAGACCCAGACGGGCGTTCTTGCGGTCCGTGACGAGGAACTCCTTGGAGGAATTCTGGAAGATGGGGTTGTTGGTGCGCTTCAGTTTGTTGGTAACGTGGATTTCCTTGCCGTTGAGCAGTAGAACGGCGTACGGGTTCAGCTTGCCGACGAAACTCTTGCTGCCATCCAGATCCTTGGCTTGCTCGACGGTGAACTGGGCAATACCGGTGTTCATCTCTGGTGGGGGTTCGGTCTCGCCGGATTCCGTCTTGCTGCCTTCGAGAACGGGGAAGAAGCGGATATCAGCCTGGACAGCACCACGGTGACGGCCGCTAGCCATGACCTCCAGGTAGATACCCTCGTGCGAGGGTTCCTCCTCGAGCTTGCTAAGGGCAAACGTAGCGGTACCTAGCTCCTTATCCTTGCGGTACTCGTTCCAATCGTAGGGAACAATGGTCAAAGCGTCGGCGTAAGAGGTAATTATAACGTAGATGGTCTCGTTCCAGCGCGGACTGTCGGTATCGTGCACAATCTTTGTACGACCCAGCTCGGTACGGTTGTTCAGTGACACGACCGCATACGGGTCGGGAGTACCAGAGAATTTGTCCGGGTTCTTGAGCTGTTGAGCACCGTGCAGAGTCACAGCGACCACACCGATAGCCTGGTCGACGGGGTTTCCAGCAAGCATCTTGGCAATCTCAATGGGGAAAACGTTCGGGTCGTACATCATGGGCTGCAGGTTATTGTGGATCTGATCCTTGATGAAGGTCTCCAGACCGGGGATAAAGTTGATATCGAAGCCAAGGTGGTCACCACCAAGAGGCTTGCAGACGTAGTCGATCTCGGGCTTGCTCAAGAAGCAGACATCCACGCGCTCGATGTGGGGGAACGGCAGCTGAAGCTTGACCTTGACGCGCATGAGACCCGAGCAGGCCATGTCCTCGACAATAACGTCCAGACCTTTGCTGACCATACCCTTACCAACACGAACTTCCAGAACGATCTTGGGGTTAATCTTGTCCTTCAGCTGGCGCGCAGTCAAATCCATGGTATCATTAGGCGTGAAACTAAACTTCCAGTCCATGATAACGGTATCCGGCTCGGTCTTGGGGTAGGTCTTGACATGCTCGAGACGGGGCGGCTTAGTACCGAGAATGAAGGTCTTAAGACGCAGACTATCCAAGAAAGCAGGAGTCGAGGTGCTCAGAACCTGATCGACAGAGCTGATAATAGTGTCGCACAGAACGGGGGCATAAATGGGCCAGAACTTGACGAGGAAGCTGTTGATCCACTCGAGACTCTCGGTATCAGTCTCCAAGCGCTGCTTGGACATTTCACGGTTAATATCGTCGCGGAAGTTACGGCGCACTCGGCGAATAGAGGTACGGTAGTACGTGCTGCAGGCGGCCATCACCAGCAACACCCAACCCACACCACCACCCAGAGCCGCAATAAGCCAGGAGCTCAAACAGGCAAATACGATAATCGCGGCATTGTGGTACCAATCGCCGAAGAACTTATCGGGTATCCGGCTCTCCAAGAAGTCCTGGTGGTCGAGCAGCGTGCCCTCGGCCTGTTCCTCCTCGGTCTTCTCGGCGTGAAACTTGGGCGCCCACCCGGTGCGGTCGCGAGCCCAGCGCAAATCCTCGTCCAGAACCTTTCCGCCCTTTGCATCGGTCGCATTGGCCTCCTCAGCCAGAATCGCAGTAGCCGAGCGTGGAGGGGGAGATCATAGTCTGCTTTGCCGTCATCCTGAATATAACTCGTAAGCTTCGAACAATTCCAACTGCAGGCAGTCTGCGCGGGGGAGAACCCAAAACTGGAGCTCCTACCTTGTCCGTAATCACAGCCATGGCCTTTGGCTTATTATCACGATGGAAGCCCGGCGGCAATCGCTAAATCAGAAGCTGCAATTAGCCTATGCGCATTGTCCCTCCAATCGAGAAACTCAATCGCTTTTTTTCGCGTCCTCGCGTTGGACCTGCTCGTGGGAGACCTACCGATTCAGCGGCTGCTGCCTTGGCCTCGGGCGAAGCATCGGGATCGAATTGGTATGCTACACCACCAGCTTCTTGAGTCTCTTTGACGAGGGCTTCCTCAATCTTTTCCGGGTTGACCTTGGATTGGGGGTCCTGGGCCAGCTCGGTCGCGGCCTCAATGATCCCTTCCTCCTTCAGCTCCGTCCTCTCCGCGGCGACGGACGCCATGTCGGCGGTCGGGGTATGTCGAATATGGCCTCACGAGGGCAATTCGTAAGTGAAGAGTAGGACTGGGGGGTCTATTATTGAAAGGATGAACTCGTTAGATTTGCGCGGATTGAGGGTTGATATGGGTGAGTATGGTATGGTGTGACGAGGTCGGAGGGGAATCTGGGGATTTCCAGGTCTTGGTAAAGTTGGTGAGGGGGAGGAGGGCCCGAGGGCGCTTACTACTCAGAGGGCCGGGGAGCTATCGAGGTCCTCGATGATGGATGTTGAAGGGAGAAAGGGAGGGGGTTGGGGGAGAGGAGAAGAAAGAACTGTTCCGAGGTGGGAGCAGAAGAGGGAAAAGTTGAAGAGAAGAGGACAAGAAGCAAAGGACAAGCGAATAGCAGCACCAGCAAGAAGAAGAGCCCGAAGCCAATTGGGGATGGGGGGACTCGCAAGCCCAGCCGCTTGCGTCAAGCATCGCACGCTTGTGGCTGGGTATCAGTTGGTACGTTACGGGCTGTTACATCCGTGGACAAGGTACGAAGTTCTGGTTAAAGAAACTGGTCAGATAATACAGTATGCCAAGTGTACAGATAGATGAGCCTACGCAATTACATTTTTAGTCGGCCCTTGACAATAATTACAGTGTCGGAGCGCAATGGGAACAAAAGGGCAGCGATCGTCCCCGGGCGATCGAAGATCAGTGACGTCTGTCGGTGGATTACTGGATTTGCTACTAAACTACTGGAAACTAGATTAGTTGATCACTACTCTATCTATTCGGTCGGACAATAGTGAGAAAGTTGTACGAGTGCTATAGAGTAGTGCTATTCTATCAAAGTTCCTAACTAATGAAAGGATCAACCAGCAAAGAAATTGCCAGAGCTACAATACGAGATGGAGCTAGTTAGGGCGATCTTGACTCGGAAGGTTCCTCGGTTCTTCCACGACACTTACAGTAAACCTACTCCGTAGTTAACTTAATAATGTCCCATGGTTTGACACTTCATCCCTAACATCCCCTGCCAAGGCATTTTATACTCCGAACGCCATACGAAGACTATTCACCTTCAAAATCTGATCTCAGTAATTTATTCCTGGTGGTACTATAGTAGTTTTTTTTTTTTTTTCGTCTCTTTCCACTCCACTAGTGATAAGAAGGTCAGCCACTAACAACGAACTATTCGATTAGCACCGCCACACAACCATCATTCCACCACATTTCTGCTTCGGGCCAAGTAACCAACCACCTAGCCAATAGGTAATGCTCAATACCTTCGCGTTGGTCACTCCATTTCTTTTCAGTGGAGTCGCTGTGGCTGGGCAAGGGGAAGCACCAGCCCTACTGTAGTCAGTCCCTACCCCTACAGCCAGGCATCAGCGTATTATCGGGTATACGGAATCAGGAGATTTCGAGGGTCAAGTACAGGGGGCAGGGACAGGGGGCAGTACTCTACTTATATCCCATTTTAACCCCCTTATACTTCTGTACAACAACTATTCGATCTCCCAAATTCTATTCATCCCCTGCCACGTCCACAAAGTCAAGACGAAAAAAAAAACACTATCGTACTCTCTTCAATAGTTTACCCTCCCCATTGGGCCGATTCCCACTCGCACCCTTCCCATTGGGAGCTCACACCGATCGCCCTAACCCACACCCAGAAACCAAAAACCCACCTTTTCCCTTTTACCCTGCCAAAAAACAAAAACAAAAGGTCCATTTCCTAGCCATTTATCCAATCAAACGAGTCCAAAATGTCGTGGCACAAGGCATGGTTCCCGAAACCCGAGGGTTCGCCGGAGTAAAGTTCCCTATCTTCTCTAGGGCCACCCAATATGTACTGTACGTATGAACCACTTGGACTTATCGGAGTAGGTATCCACTATCCACAGTTCTTTCTTCAGTTCAGCTCCAGCACGAAGAGAAGAGTGGGCAGACATCATGCATGTCGAGTGTGACAATGGGACAATGCGTCGTAATTGATGTTCTTGACTGGACAACTGCTACATACACGAAACTGTGTTCAAAGTATCCAACTCCGTTCGTGCATACGGTAAACCTGGCACTGGGCACTGGGCACTGGCAGACCGCAACCTCGGGATTGCGATCTGTCACTTTCCAGCCACATGGATCGTGACAAAATGACCGATGCCAGATGTCCGTCAATGCTTTTGCACGGAATTATTCACGGTGGCTGGAACTTGTTCCTCGTGCTTGGACTTGGAGTTCCACTTGGCATGGCGTGGCCAGGCCATCGCCCCCTCTTTCAAGGTTGACTCTAGTAGAAGTCTAATTATACTAAATCATGTGTGATTGTGTTGTCATTGCTGCAGGTTGATAATGTGTAAAGTCAAAATAGAACGTGTACTTTTATTCGACATAGCTCCTCTGTAAGTGCCTAGGAACTTACAGTAGGTATGCGTCCAAAGTACCAGACTATCCCAGCCATCCGTTCCTGTCTTCCCCACTTGCGATTGCGTTGTCTTCTGTTTTTGCTTTTTCGAGTTTACCCTCGGCTTTCTTGAGATTTCTCACGGTCAAGTCCGAGTCCGAAGTTTTGAGGTTGGACCGTGCGGAGTTCGAATTGGTCAGTCCTAAACACGAAGGAGCTGGAGCTTTAGCTCCACGCCTAAAGCTGATCTCTCGATCACACTACAGACTCTACTCAGTCCAGCCACCCCAATAAACAAGAAAATACTATTACCAAAAGTTTAGTCCAAAGCAAAACCATGACACAATCTCGATTTTAGCATAAAATGGAACTAAAGTACGGATATCTGCTGCACAACTCGTCACATCTTGAAATTCGTGGCAATAAATTACGCAGGTTAGACACAGCTGTCCCAAAATCAAGGTTCGTAAAGACCTACAAAACCTTAACTGGACGGCTGGTCTGCCCTGAAATAAAGAATATCGGCATTTTAATACCTCCCCAGTTTACCGGCCCATGCGGATCACACCGGCGGCCATGAGCTTCTGGATCTTGATGCGCACGGACGCGTTCTTCATGTGCTCTTGCAGAGCGGCGGGGTCGCTCTTGGCCTGGTTGAGGATGCTTTGCATGACGGGGTCGTTAAGGATGGCCATGATCTACAATTTGAGATTAGTATCACTTCCGACTATCATGGGTCGACTCTTCGGCCTCGAAGACTGTGCGACATACCTCAGGGTCATTCTGAATGCGCTCCATCGTCTGCTGCTCAGTCTCGCCAGCACGAGCACTGAACTGCGCCTCCAGACACTTCTGCTGCTGCTGCTCAATCTCGCGGGCATGGGTGCCGTCATCCTGCTCCGCAGCCTCGGTAAACGTATCAATAGCACGGTTGTACTCCTTCATAGCAACGAGGGCCTGACCCTTGCGCATGTACGCACGGATGAACTTGGGGTCGCGGGAAATAGCCTCGTCGCAGTCCTGCACGGCCTGGGGGAATGCCATTAGCTTGATTAGAGCAGCGGCACGGTTGGAGAAGCCGCGAGGGTCCTTGGGCGCGCGCTTGGTCATCTCGGTGAAGGCGTCGACGGCACCGGGCCAGTCGGCTTCCTGGAACTTCTGTTGGCCGAGCTCGCGGGCCTTTTCGGCAAGGGAGGAGTCGACGTAGGCGTCCTTCTCGGCGGTGACCTTGGTCTTCTCGGCGGCGCGGAGCTTGGTCAGGGCTTCGGGGGTGCGGTGTTCCATGAGAGACTTGTTGAAGTATTCGATGGCCTGGGTGAGGTCGCCCATCTTCTCGTAGGCAGAGCCAATACGGGTGAAAGCCCTAATCAAGTGGTCAGTAAAGACGGATGCTTTTTCAAGCTCGGTGGCAGGGAATATCTTACTTGGCAATGGTCTTGAAATCGGCGCGCAGATCGCGACCCTCCTCAACGGCCTTCTGGCAGGTCTCGACGGTACCCTGGTAGTCACCCTTCTCGAACTTGGCAGCACCAATGTTGTTCAGGTAGGTGATATCCTTGTTCAACTCCCAGGCCTTCTCGTAGTGCTCAATGGCCTTGTCAAGCTCCTTCTTCTTGTAGAAGTCGTTACCAATCTTCTTCTCAGCATCACCAGCCTCCTGGGCCTTCTTCTTGGCAATAGCCTCCTCATCCTCAGGCTCGGGGGTGGGCTCCTTCTTGGGCTGCGGAGGAGCGGGCTTGGCCTGTGGCGTGGGCTCAGCCTGAGCACCGGCAGGGCCACCCTCGGGAGCACCGAAGCTCATGTCAATGCCCAGAAGAACACTCATCACCTGCAGGAAGCGGGGGTCCCTAATCTCCTCGCCAACGCTGTTGGGGTTTTGTTGAATCTTCTTCAGCTTCGCCATGAACTCGGCATCGCCCAGCAGGGCCGCGGTCTTGGGGTTGTTGGCGAGCTTCTGGAACAGGGCAGGGTCGTTGAACATGCCACCCAGACCACCGGTAGGGTCACCCTCAACACCATCGGCCGTGGCCTCGGCGTTGATGGCGCGCTGAACGGCGTTCAGCCCGGACTTGGCCTGCTCGTTGCCGGGCTCAAGGTTCAATGCCTCCTCGTATGCGTCGTGGGCGGCCACTACCAGATCACCTTGTCAGCGGCTACAGCTCTTTCCACGATCCACCGTATGCATCACTTACGCAGGTCACCCAAGCCCCGGTAGGCAGCACCCTTGCGGAGCTGACCCTTGGACCAATCGGGCTTGATGCTAATGGCCTTCTCGGCATCCTCGAGGGCTTTTTGGTACTCAGTTTGAGCAGAGTAGACAGCGGAACGGTTGGAGTAAAGGATGTGGTTCTCGGGTTCAATAGCAATAGCTTGTGTGAACTTCTCACTAGTGAAATCAAGTGCTCATATTAGCAACTACGCTTCCAGCCATTCCTAGGGCCCATTTAAAGGCGGGGTAACAAAACATACATGGCAGTCGGATAGTCCTTGGCCGAGAAGGCCTTGTTGCCCTCAGCCTTCAAAGCGTCAGCCATGGTGGTGGTGGTGGTAGGGGTATAAACGGGAAGTGTAAGAGGAGGAAGGTCAATGAGGTTTCCGGGGACTGTTGGTTATGAGCTCGCTCCGTTGGCCGAGCTTCTCGAAATTTCCGGAAGATCTCTGATGCCTGAGGCCTGCGGGCGGCGTGACAGTCTTAAGCTCCGGATGCACTAAACCCAATTGGGCGTACCCGACATCCCCGCTGCGAAAAAGTCGCCAAACGGTGTTTTTTGTCATTCACACTTCTCTGGATTCAATCCGATTTCCTGACTCATTCTCACTCTCCGCCCAAGCCAGTCACCATGATCCTTTAAACCGGCTCCTCCCTGCTTCTGCAGATGCTTGAGTGGAATATGACCTCTCCCCTCAACCCTTAATTGTGTCTCTTCTACCCGATCACTCTCCCCAGCTGAGCCTCCTCCCAGCCTCTCTCAAGTCTCCCCCCCACAGCCATGGCGTCTCGTGTGACCGAGGTCGCCTCGCGGCTCTACGACGCCTGCCTCGAGAGGTTCGAAGCCGACCACCTCTTCTATCAGCAAGATCTACTCGCCCTCGATGTCATTCCTAAGGGAGAAATTGACCTACTGCTGAAATGCGCCCAGTCGCTGGTTGATCAAAAATTGTTTCGACTCCACCAAGGCGCCAATAACCGCCTCGCATGGAAGATTATTTCTCGTGACGATGCCGAGAAGTAAGTCATTCTTTTTCTTCGTCGTGTTTCTTCCAAGGGTGTGAAATTTTCCGGCGAAGACTTGGTTGCTAATTCGATTTTTTTTTCTTTTAGACTTCAGAATCTTAGCCCCGACGAGAGCTTGGTGTACAATGTCATCCACTCCAGCGGACGCTCCGGCGTCTGGGTGCGCACTATTCAATCCCGTACGAATCTTCACAAATCCATCCTCGACCGTTGCGTGAAATCCCTCGAGAGCAAAAACTACATCAAGAGTATTCACAATGTCAAGTACCCGACTCGGAAGATGTACATGCTCGCGGGCCTAGCCCCGAGCGAAGACATCACCGGAGGTGCCTGGTTCACGGACGGTGTTCTCGATGCCAATTTCATTAACAGTGTCGCTGGTTATATCGAATTCAAAGTGAGCCTACGCAGCTGGTATGAAGTGCCTGCCGCCGACCGTGGCCGCGGCAAGCGAATCAAGACTGCCACCGGCATGGCAGAAGTCAAGTCTGAGTCAGAGAAGACGTACCTCCCCTATCCAGCCAATTACTCTGGTTACCCGACCGTCGAAACAATCACTAGTGAGGTCAACCAGAGCGGTATCACTCCCGTGCGTCTTCCAGAAGAGCGCGTCATCGAGCTACTGAAAATGCTCTGCTTCGACAAGAAACTCGTGGCGCTAAACAACGGCGGCAACTACAAGTCGCTCAAGAAGCCCGATGAGGTCAAGGCTAGTCAGTCCCGGAAACCCGCCGCCGAAGAGTCAGCCGGCTCGCCTATTCTCGGCCTGGGCAAGAATGGAATGACCGAGTCGCCCTGCGGTTCTTGCCCTAACATCCGCCTTTGCTCACCCGGTGCTGCCATCAGCCCGGAGACATGCGAATACTTTGACCCGTGGTACGAGAAGGTGCTCGGGTTCTGATTCTTGAACATGACGGTTAGGTTTGCAAGGTTTTCCATCGTGGTGGCATGGCTATCCTTCCTCCGGGAATTATTGCTGCACGAGACCGGTATTCTTGCAACCGAACCTCATCAAACACCACAGAGGAAGAGAGCCCCTCCCACTCTCATACCTCATCTACCATCCAGACACCGTGACCCACACGGTGTCTCCCTTTTGCATGCAAGATGGAAGGACCAAAAAAAGGATTTGTGCATAGCGATGGCGTTGTTTTACTGTGATTATTTCCCCGGCATCGGCTGTCCTTCGAACCGAGCAGCAACTGCTCATCTGTATCTTTCGGACAGTCAGGGGTTACGCTTGATGGCTTTGGCAGGAAACTGCCTACACGAATCATATCGATCTAGAGATCAGTGGCTAGAAAAGAAATTAACGATTCTACCCGCGCATTTCTGTCGTGTTTCATCGTAGGTTGAGCGCAGCGATGTTATTTCAAGCTAGGATCGTCGTATATCTGCCAACTTGCCAAAGTTTAAGTCGTAATATGAAGAGTTAATTCTAAGATTCTAATTAGTCAAGGCCTTTAAGCTCATGGATATAAGCTATCTCACTCATCATCTACACCTCGTGGGAACTGGCAGATTTAGAGTTTGGTCGCGGTTCTTCTTGCATGTACTCAGGATATCGTTCTAGCACAAGTTAGACCAATTTGTAAACCTACAGGTCTATCACAAATCTAGACTTTAATTATGTTCTAGAGAGTTACTTTGACTAGTATATCCTACTCGACAGTATCTACTTAGGTATCCCTTGTATTTGTAAGATCAGACTTTGTCCCCCCACAAACCCCACAAAAATGCCCCGGTTCCCGAACACCGCCTTTGAATGCCGGGGCTAAAGCGGGCTCTCCTCCGACCAACCCTCTTTTCGCCGATCTGCAATGTCAACTATCGAGTCCGGCGCCTTGAAATCCCCCTCGACCCTAATGTGGACGCCCCTTGCATGAAGCGGCCATGCCTCGATCCCCAGACAGCAACACGCTGGCCCTCAAGCGCAAGCTACAACAAGCCGACTCCCACTCCGAACCCACGTCCAAGCGCCACCACCTTCAGGGCTACGACCCCAAGGCACCATGGCTACACGAGACGAAGCCGATCAACGGCTGGCGCACGCTGGGCAACCCAGCCGTCTACAACTCGCTCCCGCTAGCGAACATGGTCTCTGCGGTGCAGGACCTGATCGACCCGGACTTTGATCCGTTGACGGCGATTCTGGACGACGAGCCTCGCTTTTTGAAACCACTGCCTGATAGTATTGCGCCTGAGGATCTGGAATTTTTGCGCTTCCGTGGGGCGTTGTCGATTCCCGAAACTGGGTTGCGGAATGAGTTGTTGAGGTCGTATATTCAGTGGGTGCATAGTTTTATGCCCGTGCTCAATTTGCAGGAGTTTTTGAGATGTGTTGCGGAGAATGATCCCCAGGGGAATGTTAGCGTGCTGCTTTTTCAGGCGGTCATGTTTGTTGGCACCGCTTTTATCGATATCAAACATCTCCAGGATGCGGGTTACTCGACAAGGAAGAGTGCGCGCAATGCGTTTTATACGCGGTTAAGGGTAAGCGAATGGTCTCGTTTCTTGAGCAGCTTTGGGACTTCCACTGATTATCCTATAGTTACTCTACTCTCTCGACTGCGAGGAAGATCGTATCGTCATTCTGCAAACATTACTGTTGATGACATACTGGTCCGATCCTGAGAACGGCTTACATCGAGATATCTGGGACTGGATAGGTATCTGCAATACTCAAGCACATTCGATTGGGCTCAACAAGGACCCTTCGACCGGCGACCTGGACCCAAAGATGCGCCGACTGCGTATGCGAATTTGGTGGTGCATATACTCACGCGACCGACTCATTGCCATGGGTGTGCGACGCCCATTGCAGGTTAATGAGGGTACCAGTAACGTACCCATGCTTAAACTGGAAGATTTCGATTTCGAGCCATACTCGCCATCCGTAGTGGCTCTATTCCATTGTCGACAGCTTGAGGACGTGTCACACCAAAAGCGCCTGGCGACCATGTTCATTGAAAAAGTGAAGCTCTGTCAATGTATTGGCAGGGTCCTTTTCGCGCAATATGCTCCTTCGCAGCGTCAGTTCGGAGCCACGGACCGCACTACAGTCACTTTGATTCCTCGGCAGGCCTCGGAGTCGGAGTTCACGCGGTGTAGCCAAAAGCTTGATTCTTGGTTGAGTGCACTTCCCAAAGACGCTCAGTTTATACCAGCATCGCGAAACAACTTCCGTGATGGCGAGGACGTGTTACTTCTGCACGGAGCTATGCTGCGCATGCTCTATCACGCCACCACAAGTGCTCTGCATCGGCCGTGGGCCATGCACTCAAAAGACCAGTCAAAGTCACGCCTTGAATGGCGAAATGTGGCCCGGACCAAGATGCAAGATGCAGCCACGGGCATCACACATATCATCCAGGGCCTTAACCAGCTCAATCTCACGCGCTTCCTGCCGCAATCAGGCGTGACAGTCATACTCCCAGCTGCAGTCGCGCATCTATCAAACTCTACCTCCGACAACCCGGCCGTCCGTGAAAGCAGCATCTCCAACTTCCACCGTTGTATACAGGTGCTCCACTGTCTAAAGGACATCTACCCAGCTGCCGGCGTCGAGTTTGCGAATCTTGAAGCTGCAATCAAAATGCAAACCGGAAATTACAACTCCAACACATTCTTCCAGATCATGCAATACAATTTCGACACCGACACGGCCCCAGCGTACACCGATGCTAGGAAACCGAGCAGCGCGGACTCGATCGCAACTCCCCATTCCCTCCGCCATTTGGAAGATAAGCCCGCCGGCGATGCCGAGACCCCAAAATCTCGTGTAAGGGCTGCATCTACCAATATCAACAGCGATGCCAACGGGTCACATCACCATCAACACAATCTAAATACCACCTCTCCATCACATAACAATAACGCAGCACAAAACACACGCCGTCCCTTCCCCAACGACTTTGACGACCACTTCGCTGTCCCGAACACTCCACTCCCCCCATCAGACGAAAACCCATTCTCATTCCTCACATTCGACTTCGACTCCTTCCCGGCCCTCTCCTCCCCTCCCACAAACACAACCCCCCACGCAAACTCCAACACCAACACCAACACCAACACCAACACCAACACCAACGGCCACTCCCATCACATCCCAAGCACAAAACAAACCACCCTCTCCCCAACAACAGACCTCGACGCGATCGACTGGACCCAGGCCCTCTTCCGAAACACATCCCTCCCAGAGCTGGACAAGCCCACCGCAGATATCTTCACCAACAACGGTCCTGGCTCTGGCTCTGGTCCACGCCGCACGCAGAGTCTAGCACAGCAGATCAGCGAGCCGGAGGCGGAACAAGATTTGTTTGCGTTTACGTTGAAGGATGATGATGAGTCCGGGCCGCAGTTTAGGCATCATTCTACCGGACATGGGCATGGGGATATTACGGGGGATTTGGATCGGGATCTCGGATTTCAGACTGGGGATGAAGGGTTTTAGGATGTTTGTGTGGGATTTCTCAAGAGCTCTCGTCTCTTATCTTGATTTTGCGATTTTGATTTTCGTGTATCTACTTTGGAAGGGACTTATGGTACATAGGATGTGTATATAATTTGGGACTATGGATTGGACATGGGTCACAGGCTATGAACATGAATTTGAAAGCATTTGCATTTCCGAATTGACAGGATCTTTTCTTTTTTACACATCCACTTCGGATTGAAACAACAAAGGGGATGCTCAAACAATTGCCGACACTGCAATTTCTACTCTATTAAATGGATATCATTGCCAGTTGCCCGGCATTTCTTCTCTATCGGATAACATGTCTTCGCAGAAAGCAAAACAATCCTCCACCCCCATCGTCCCATCAGATCATCACGCATATGCTAGCAACGCACGCACTAACTATGGCCGTCCAGCCCAGCGGTTAGCCTCATCACCTTCGACCCACGATTGCTCGGTGTAGCCAAGTTTCTGCTTCACCTCCTGCACCTTGGCGCTATCACCGGTGTTCTTGCCCATGTTATCGCTCAGCTTGACAGCCGGACGACCGTTGGCAGTAGCGATTTTGATGACGATGTTGAGGGGCTTGGACTTTTCGCCGTTGGATTTGTTTTTGAAGTCATCTGGAGGGTGTTAATATGACCTGGGCTAGTGGTATTCAGTATGAAGCCGATGGGCTGCACTTACTCGTGAAGAAAGTTCCCACGCCGAATGTAGGGTTAAAGTTGGCTTCCTCGGCAATCGCCTTGTACTCCAGGCAGTGCTCGATGTTGAGCGAGTCCGAGAAAACGACCGTCTTCTTATCGGTGATGCCCTCCCGATCGTAGAAATCGCGCACCATCTTGACAAAGTAGGTTGGGTCGCCCGAGTCCTGGCGGACGCCGGTGTAGACCTGGGCGTAAGTCTGGGTGGAGGCGGAGTGGTCAACATGGATATCGGTTGTAACTGGGGGATTCGCGGAAGCATCGCTTTGCACGGGAGCTTCGCGAATTGGCTTGCGGAAGGCGTCTAGGAAGGCTGGTGTACCGAAGGTGTCGGTCAGAGCGATACCAAGGACCTGTATGATCCTTTGTTAGCAGATGTCTCTCCGAATATCACGAATAACCGGATGAAAGCTTACACCCTCGCCAAAGCAGCCAAGCCAGTACCGCAGTGCCAGCTCGTTAGCATTCTCGTAGTCCTCCGTGATAGCCGCAATGGTCATGTACCACTCATGCGCCACGGTACCAACAGCGCCAACATCATACTTCATAGCAAAATGCACATTGCTAGTACCAGTCAGCACGCCCTTCCAGCCATGCTTCTTCCCTTCCTCCGCAGCCCGACAAAGGCCCTTCATAACCAAATCATGGGTATGATAATCTCTGCGCCGCCGCGAGCCAAACTCCGAGAACACGCAGCCATTCTCCAAAAGCTCGCAGCCCTTGCGGAATGCCTTCTCCTCCTGGTGACTGTGGTCCCAGTCCGTATCGCTGAACATGAAATACGCCTGACTGGTCAGGGCCAACAGCGGGATCTCATACAAGATCGTATCTACCCAGAGACCCTTGATGATGTATTCGACGACACCCTCGTCCTCGTCGCTACCAGTGTCTTGCGGCGTGGGGGTGAACTTGATATCGATTTGCTCGTCTGGTCGGAGCTGGAAGGTCTCGAGGAAGGTGAGGTAGGTATCGTTAAGGTAGGGGCATTTTTTCTTCAGCCATGCGCGCTCTTCCGCGGTGACACGAACATTGGCGAGCTCTGGATAGCAGTCATGTCAGATGAATGGCTTTAGGATAGGGCTGGCTAGCACTTCAAGGGGGTACTCACTGGCCATCTGCTCCAGGAGCCATTTGTATGCCCCGCGCCGCAACTTCATGTGCGGGGTCCGATTCGTGAAGCCGTAGGTCACATCTATACCGAATTAGAGGGTCTCTAGTTCAACAACAAGATCCTGGTCACTTACAGACGTCAGGGAAGTACTTGAGAATAGCGCATTGCATAGTCAACTTGTACAAATCCGTATCCAGAAGGGAGAAGATGCCCTCCGGCAAGGGAGGGGTTGCATCCTGGCCCATTCTACTGGTTAATCGGATGCGCCGATCTCAAGGTTCAGGGGTCAATTGGGGGAAATATGATTCAAAATTTGGTGCTGAAGGAGCTGGAGGTGTACGGATGAGTCCGATAAGTAAACGCGGGCGAGGCGGGCGTTTTAAGCTGCTCCTCATGAAAGTTGACGCAAGCAAACGCCTCATCGCGGGGAAAATCCCGATATGATTGGTGTTTGTCTTGTTTGCACGGACTGATGTGCATGATGTAGATGCAGGCGGATATAGAGATGGAAGCATTGAAGGTTGTTCCATGCGGAAATTCTTTAAAGATTTAAGAAATAGACTATTATAATATAGTTGTAATTCCATAGCCAGTTTTATCAATAAAACTTAGGTAGTATACCATTATCATTACGGCCATAGCCTCCACGATATCCCTCGGATAGACACTCTACTATCAGAGTCAAATCAACCATTTTTAGAACACTCAAAAAGGAAGGCACGTAGGACCCAACCAGTGTAACGAGTACGGAGCATCAACCCAGGGCAGCTTCCATATTGTCTATTACTTCCAGCCATCAAAATGTGTCGCGCTGTTTGTCCGCGCAGTAACAACCTGGAGGTAATTCTTCCACCTTGCCATCTCTCCGGAAAACCCGAACTTCTTCACACACCCTTCCCATCTTTGAAAGTCGTCCACATTGCAATAGCCATCGAAATCATCCTATTGCTTGAAACTTCTGCAGGTTGAAAGTACATAAATCTGGTTAAGTGATGGATACCAATCAAGAGTCCCCGCCGGCGGGTCCACCAGCCACGTCTGACTCAGCGGGAATCGCGGCTGGTGCTCCTGCGGCTAGTGACCCTCCTGTGGCTGGTGCTCCTCCTGCCCCGGCTGAGTCAGCGTTCCAGCCGCGGACTGTTCGACTGCGGCTCATTGTCAAGGAACCAAGACCAGAAGGCGCCTTTGAGAATCCACCTCCACCTCCCTCTCTTCCTCAACCTCCCCGTCGCCCTCGTGGAAGACCGAAGAAAAAAGGTCCTCCTACACGTTCCAAGAACGCAAATCGCAAGACTCCTATTCAGAAAGCCTCTCAGAAAGCCCCTCAGCAGCGGCCTGCAGCCGCTACCCGAAAACCGCCCATGGCACACGGCGCGGAGGACTGCGCGACAGTCCTTGAACAGTTTGTGCACGATGCGGCCAACTTGCCCCTTGAGATCAATCACCTGATGGAGGAAATTCAAGCCAAAGATAAGGTCATGCAAGATTGCCGAGCCACGATCAACTCCAAGGATGGCAGCATCCAGAAATTCATTAAGGCGAACGGCAGTCTCGCGCCGAACCCCAAGGAGGAGCAGTACAACAAGGCAGTGCTTGAGAGCTATGACCGGGCCATACAGCTACAGGATGAGAAGATCCAGCTGAGCGACAAAGCATGCGTGCTCTTGGATCGCCAAATCAAACGCCTGGATATGCGCCTCCGCGATCTTGTCAACGACGGCGTGCTCCCTAATGATCCGCCTCTCCCTTCACTCTTCGACAACAAAAACCAATACCGCGATCCACCCAAGGTGTTCTTCCCGGACTCTACACCCTCCGAATCCCCCTCCTACGCTACTCCGCTCAACACTTCGTCCGGAAACGCCAATCTTATCCTTGCTGCAGCCCAGCGTCTGAACCAGGCTAGCGCGAGGGCTCCAGGTCCAGCCGCTCTTGCTGCACAAGGAGGTGCTCGCAGCTCTGCACCTGCAACTCCCGCTGCAACTACAGCTGTCCACCTTCAGCAGCGCCAACGCGAGTCTTCCGCCGGTGCAGTGGACTCTAAACGCCGCCGACTGATGAATGCCTCCCTAGGCACACTTCCCGCGGCCTCATCCAACCTGCGCCAGTCCTCCATGGGTCCCGGAACGCCCAAAGCTGGCACTCCTGCTGGCAGCCGCGCAGGCAGTGTTGGACCGCGCGCAGCCACCGTTAAAAAGGCATTGACCAAGAAGGTTGCGCCGCACCAACAGGTCAAGAAGATCAAGGCCTCTGCATCCAGCAAGCACACCAAGCGCTCATCCAGCGCCAGCGGCCGTGTCAAGGCATCCAAGAAGTCTCCCACTGGCGAGGGAGATGAAGACGACGACTCCATGCTCAGTAGTGCTGACATGTCGGACTCGGACAAGAGCGATGTCGCCGACGGTGATGAGGATATGGATGATGACGAAGAAGAGGACGAGGGTGTCGAGGACACCAAAGTGTACTGCACCTGCCGCACTGTCAGCCACGGTGACATGGTAGCATGCGACAACGACAGTTGTCCCTACGAGTGGTTCCACTGGAAGTGTGTGGGACTGACTCGTGAGCCAGTCGGTACGTGGTACTGTGATGAGTGCCGGAAGACCCTTGGGAAGTAAGGCGACCTCGAGGAATCTCGAAGCGCTTTGCTTTCATGAAGAGTGATACTTGCTCTTCTTATGTATGAGTTCTACGACTGTCAATTGTTATACCCACGGCGTATCGGGCAGGGGGTGTTGCAATGGAGTATTATTGATTGGGTTAATGTTATTCTTGTATGATTCTATCTGTGCGCTATCTTGATAGTTCCTACTGTAGATTGTATGCTTCATCCGAACGGAGTGTCAACGTTCAGGTAGGCGTTTACTTCGACTACAATCCGATATCGTAGTCGATAGTTTCTCTGGCCAAGAAGAGTGCAACAAACATATGTCATTATTCCATCTCGTCTGGATTTAGTAACGAATGTCCATCAGAATAGCAATTGACCATCATAAGTCGTACCATCACCATCCAAACTAAATAATCTCCGTCTCAAAGAATAATCCCCAAGAACAGCGCAACCATACAGATCACCACAGAGCTCCTTTCCAAAGCAGCCGCCCCCGAACTCCCCGTAGTCTGAACCGGCGTTGTCGAAGACGATGAAGATGTAGCTGCACCAGAAGACGAAGACACCCCGACACTACTTCCAGTCGATGCTGCCCCCGAAGAACTAGATCCCAAAGCACTCGACGAAGCAATTGACACCGGCGTACTCGACGGCGTAGGTGTAGTCGACGTATACGGCAAAATAGTATACGTCGCACCCCCATCCTCCTCCACCGACGAACTCGTTGTCACAATACTTTCAACAACACTCGTTGTGACCGTCTCCACACTTCCACCCGCATACCCCTCCGTAACACAAACGCTATTCGCGGAGCACTGGAATCCAATATCACAGCATAAATGTCCACACACTTCGACGCCATTGCAGACTGCGTCGCAGCCGCGCTGGCCGTCGATGACGGTGCATGCCGCGCCGGACGGACAACAGGCTCCCCAGCCTACGCATGATGTATACCCCGAGTCGCAGGTGTAGTAGGTGTCTTGGCGGGCGTGCAGGGCGTGGTATTGTGGTGCGGCGGTGATTTGGGCGGCGGCGGCTAGGTATTCCGCGTTTGTGAGGGTTAAAAGGGTGAGGGTTGATATGAAGAGTTGAATGTTTATGTACATTGTGGCAGGGGGATTGTAGTATAGAGTGATTGTGGTAGTTCGTACTTTTGTCTTAGTATGATGGATGATGGGGTTTGGATGGTCCAGGGTTAGGTGGATTTGAGTCTCTTTATAGATCTATCTGTTTACGGGCTTATTGCTTGAATACAATGGCAAAGCTGGGCAAGAATGAGGCTCTCGAAGCGAACTATGCATACGTATACAGCGGGGGAAACCTCGTATTCGAGGTGTCCGTGCTGCCATGAGACATGGGGTTGATAGATGTACATTTTCACTCCGCTCGTATTCACTGCACATACCCTGGTCAGTATGTACTGGAGTAGGTGGGGTTCCACAAGTTAAAAGCTTCGCCAAACTGTCATCATCATCTTACTAGTTAGCGGTACTAGTTAGCGGTTCAAAAGAGATGACGCCCAAGCCACCGAAAGCAATGTCCTAAAATAGACCTGGTTCCCTCTTGAAAGGTGCAGGAGAGCCAGGAAGTAAATCCGACTAGAGTCATTATTTGGTCTCTAGATTTAGACTCTTCAACCTCTAGTCCATGTATATCAATCACGCTGTAAGTTGGTCACGGAGTGTAGTCTCAGAGATGTGGGTAGTTTAGCGTTGGAAAGGGTCCTGTTAAATTTGAATAATGGAGATCAATACTCATTTCCTCTCATGGTTATGAATGGCTATGATAGCGGGTTAAGGTTGGCAATAGTGGTCGCCATGGAAAGAGAGATTCCACAAAGAGCCCCCTTGTCAAATTCTACATCTCATCACGTGAGAAATAACTGTAACTTAATTTTGAGATTTCCTCCGTACAAAATACTGGTAACCGCTTGTAAAATCAACGGCTCGGGACTACCGGTAGCGATCGGACCCCCGCTACGATAGTTTCAAATCTAGAGGTTAAGGGTGGGAACGCTATTGACCGTTACCCAAACTGACCTCGGCAGGACTCGAAAACTGCTTAGAGTGGGGCTTGTATGCCAAATGATTGGTTGGATTAGGAATTTAGGGTCCTTTGTTGGGTATCCCTGACGAACTGCCATCGAGGAACATTGAACTGCATGGCCAGATTAAGGGTGTTTTTCTAGGCGTATCGTTATGTAACAAATAGAGTATGAATGCCGGCACAAACACGGAGAACGGAGGACTTCCTAAACGAAAGCCCTATTTTATCAAGCGGGCCCATCAGTTGCTCATCTTCCGTGTAACTCTTTTCGTTTTTTACGCGTCTTTGACTTGGCAAGGGAAAAATTCATCGGAAAGGGAACCTACGAACACATGACCTTTTGATCAGTATTTTCCGACGGGATAAGCAGATTTAGCCTCTGGTGCAATCGAGAAAGATACCACGTCAAAAAGTCCCGTAAGCAGGGGGCAAGGTGCCCAATCACTGTGCCACGCGATCCAGGGGGCATTTTAGCTCAAAGATCTGATAGGCGACCCGCAAATCTGCCGGGATTCTTGCGAAAGGGGATGCAATCTATCTCTTGCTGAGCCATTCGAATCCCGCTGCAGGCCGGAGGAGTGAATCCAATTACTGGGGATATATTGAAAGCTCGGCGCAGACTAACAAGAGCTTTCAATATGTCCCGGAAACCAGAGAGGGGAAAGGGAAAGAAGGCCCTGCAGTTTGTCACCATAGACCCCTCATCCAGCCGAGGAAGATCAGATACTCGTCGGATAGTACGATCTCATGCTGGAGGATGGATGTGGCGACAACTTCAAGCTGCCCGAGAAAATCCAGAGGCCAATCCTGAGGAGGATTTGCTCGAGCCTGGTCCCTCCGCGGCTGAGGAGAATGAAGACCTAGACCGACCGACTCCCTCTGCTGAAAAACTTAACGCTTCGGTAGCGGGGTCGCAATTGGAACCGCAGGCGCCGAGGGATTCTGGTCGCGAGCGCATCCAGAGAAAACGCAATAAACGAGCTCATATGGAATTGAGCAGGGTCAGCTGTGACAAACTGGATCCTTTTCAGTGTTACATATCATCATCCCCACTGTCAAGCGGACTTGTTAGCAATTCAAATAAATACTGTAAGATCCCTCAAAGGTTTTCTCACCTCGTCAATTGCTAACCTGTCTTACCAGGTCTATCGGTGCTATGGCCTGGTCTGATGCCCAACTCCTCAATCAGTGGCGCCGGCCATGCTGGCATTGAAGGCTGGTTCTCAAGCTCACTGGGTCACCCAGCTCTTCATAGCGCCATGTTGTTTGGATCATACTCCCACCGGCGAATAATGTGGTTGCAAAAAAAGCAGAGCAATTTCAGTGCCGACGACGAGAAACAAATGTCGATATGCGAAGCGGATTCTATCACGAGGATCAATAAAGCGATTCAGAGTCCGTCCGAGGCCATCACCGATGCTATTATCCTGTGCGTTCTGTGCATGGCGAATAACAAGAACGAAGCCCCGTTGGGTCCAGATTTCCTGGAGTCGCCATTCCAATCACCACTGCGTAGTTTGCAATGGCTTGATGTTTATGGCCGGTTGAAACCGCATCCTATACATCAAGTCGGATTGGTCCAGCTAGTGTATCTCAAGGGGGGACTGGAAACCATCAAGCTACCGGGGCTTGCTGGTGTGATTTCCTTGTAAGTATATGTTTTGATTTCATGAGAGGAGGAAACGGAACTGACTTGTGCAAATGATAGCTCCGACGTCTTGGCTGCTAGCAGGTCTTTGTCACAGCCACTCTTCCCCTGTATATCCCTCCAGGAAGGAGAATTCCTGACCTTGCAAGACGTCATCAATGCCCAGCATCCTGTGCTAAACGTGGATCCGGACATCATCAGCGAATTACCCATCACCACCGAGATGCAGGAAATTTTCAGTGCTTCACGTGCATATCTGGCTTTGGTTGACAAATACCAAGATGGGGTTTACGTAGCGTTGGACATGTTGGCCGACTTTCGAAATCTGGTCCAATGGCACATTATGTCGTTATTGCCAGGAAGTAAGTTGGACCCAAATACCGCAAACTCCTACCCCCTATATGAATCATGTCGACTAGCACTGGTAATCATGGGGGTGGGAGTGATATTCCCGCTTCCCCCTCAGTCCGCTCCGTTGTTGGAGCTCTCCCAGATGTTGCAAGCGGAGCTCCAATCGACGGAGGATATGGCCAAGATGTACTCGCCAGTGAGTATCAAACTTATATACTGGTGTCTCATTATTGGGGGCATTGCTGCTGGTGAATCGCAAGAAAGATTGTGGTATGCCGAGGAGCTTCGACGTCTGGCTGGACCGTATGGTCTACCTTCGTGGGATGAGATCAAGCGGGATTTGAAAACGATATTGTGGCTGAATAGGGCGTGTGATTTTGGTGGAAGGTTTTTCTGGGAGGAAGCTTTGTGCCTGCGGTGAACTGTTCATGGCTTGTCAGTATAGAAATTTAGAATATAGAAGATTCATGATTCAAGGATTGAACGTGGGGAGGGTATGCTGTAACAATGTAAGAAGAGTTCGAAGGTGGAAAGCAGCGTAACTGTAGAAAGCCAATCAAGATTTTAGTTTACTAAAATGGGCGTATACTCAAATCTCAGCCAATACATTAATATCTTCCACCCAATAAGCTCAGACCAGACTTATAGCCAGCAGTATGGCCCTTAATAAACGCGACCCAATCCAAGGCTTGTCAATCCGCGGAAGACAGATAGCTTTTATACAAGAATAAAAGTTGCACTATGCCGAAGATATGCTCAGCTCGTGCCACTTCGCGTCTGATGCAGCGAGTGCCTCGCCCATCTGCCGGCCATATTCAGCCGCATCAGGACCAATAAGAAGGCGCAAAGGAGGCTCCTCCTCGTCCAAGAGCTTAATCATAATATCCGCAATCTTGCTCGGGATCGATGGCTCACTTCCCGTTGATGTACGCAGCATCTCGACAAATGCCCCGACGGTCTGCTGGTAGGGCTCACTCACTGGGGGAACATGCATCGATGAACCGGCCCAGTCAGTTCTGATGCCACCAGGCTCAAGAACGGTGATCTTAATACCTAGGGGAGCAACCTCCCGAGAAAGGACAGTCGAGAAACCACCGACGGCCCACTTGGAGCATTGGTAGGCAGAGAGACCCGGAGAGCCGACACGTCCACCAAGGGAGGATACCTGGAAGATATGGCCGCCAGTCTTCTGCTGACGAAGGATGGGAATAACAGCCTTTGACACGTAAATGACGCCGAAAAGATTGGCGTCTACTTGAGCTCGGAAATCGTCGATATCAATGTCCTCGACAGAGCAAGTATTCGCGTATCCAGCATTGTTGACGACGACGTCGATTTGGCCGAATTTTTCATGGCCAGCCTTCACGGCCTGAATGACGTTGTCGTTATTGGTAACATCGAGTGCAACAGGGAGGACTCGATCAGAACCGAATTTGTCGACCAGACTGGAAAGTTGTTCTGGCTTTCGAGCGGTCGCGATGACCGAGTCTCCATTATTGAGAGCAGCTTCAGCGACAGCGAGGCCAAGGCCACGGGAGGATCCAGTAATGAACCAGACTTTCATGATGAAGGAAGTGAATTGAATAAGGAAGATGATATTCTTGAAATTTAGATAGATGAGAAGGGCCTTGGAGAGAGGATATCACAAACTTTATATGCGAAGATCCTCCACTTCAACGCCCGATAGCCCACTATGATGTAGCGGGGCCATCACCTGTAGTCTGATACTATGGAGCATCTAAGATCTAAAATTCTAGAATATAGGTAGCATCATCGCGTATAAACTAATCCAAAATTAACTAAACGGCCCCATGCCTCCCACATCCGCGGACACTAATCGCCCCTCAGAGCTACCCGCTGCGAATCAGTCCTCTGATCATCATCTCAAGTGGATAACTGGGCGATTTACCTGCCTGAGTTTATCTGTTTCTGGCATTTGGTCCACGAGCTCGATCGAGTTAGTAGTCAGTCAGCACACGGGTGTGGCAGCCCTGACCACGGAGAAAAGCGGGGCGCAAGCTGACATGCACATACCGCATTTGGTAGCTTCTTGTCAGCATAGGCAACTTAATTGTGTTAATTTGTAGGAATTCGAGACTTAACGAGTGCAATTAACCAACACGAAGCTAGATCTCGTATTGCGATGGCCTTGCGTGAAGTGCAATTTGGATAGCTTAGGTGAAAAGTAATATCAGTATAGTTGAGCATGGAAGCCATGTATCTCGTTTTGCTATCCAATTCTTTCTATTTGATTTCAATGTAGCCGTTGGAAGGTTTCCTTCGGTACCTCCTACGTAATACTATTGCTCTGTAAAGTACCCTTTCATAGTCAAGATGGACACCCGTTGATACCTTTCACGGAAATCATATAATCCACAAACTGACAGATGTACGCCAAGTGACATAGTCTTCCACCGTAGTACTAATAGAGTTAGTTTCTTGTCATCTTAAATGGCACTCCCGTCCTCCATCGACAGGGGTCTCTACCACGCAATCAAATCTGAAATTACACACGTAGAACAACTTCCGGGGTCTTTCTTCCTTTCCCTCGGTAAAGAACAATCTAATTCAGGTATACAGCGCGATCATTCTTACTAAATGCCATATTGATCTTCCACTGTGTTGGAAGGCGCTGATACCCAAGACTCTCAGAAATGCTGATAGCAACAGCATGTACTAACGAGAGCAGGGTGAGCAGCTTATCACTTTCAATACTAGAGTCTTTATATTCAAGTAGACGTGGCATTATGACTGTTGCAAGCACACTATGTAATATACTGGTCCTTCTACATTTATTCTCGTCATGAAAACTTTCTTCGAGGTAGCCCGGCACTGATAAATGAGACAAATGGCAGACATCTATACGGCCAACAGCCTTGCCGTTTGTATTTTCAAGGGCTTCTTTTCTCGTATCGACAACGCGTAGCTTGCATAAAGCCACTCAGATGCCCAAATAAGGAACTCGATTCCATATTGCAGCACGGCCAGCGCGTAGGAGGTTCAGCTTCCCCAACAATGGGTATCCCGGTTTGCGCCGAGGGACCAGCAACGACCGATTGTAAACTCCATTACTACACAACTATGGGCCTAAGAACTTGCACCATGAGAGGCAGGGGTTTTCTTAGGTTAATCGGATTTTGTCATTATGCCCAGACTATACGTATTGGCCCGAAGGGTGCGCTTTGGAAGCCGGGATCTCAGTTAACGGGCCCGGACAACAAGTAATAGCGATTCAGCCTGAAATTTGAGCACATAATTGCATAGCCATCATATAGAAAACAATCAATATGCTCTCGGGTACGCTAGCCATCATCTAGATGAGAATCAGATTGTACGTTTACTTGTGCCGAGTTAATGGCTACAACCAGGGCAGCCGAGCAGATGACCAATCTGAAGAGCACCAGTATCAGGTTCTATAAGGCGGTTGATAATATTGGTATTCAAAACAAATCACGTAGGCCGAACATGCCTATTCATGCCATGCGCCCTTTCCAATGAACTATTGTACAGATAAATTCCAACATGGACAATCAAGTGTCCATGTCGGTTGTCCCCTCGGTGGACGGTATAGCTTCACGAGTCCCGGGAAGAGGTTTTGACTCGAGCGAGAGAAGATTCAGGGTGTAAAATGATTTTACATGCTGTGATTATATCAGTAACGGTTTCTCGAGTCGGAGACTGAACGTTGAGCGGATCGACTCACGGAGGGAGGAGGAGCTCGCCGAGGCTGCTGTGGAGGAAAGCGACACCGGCCTAGAAAAAGAAGAGAGGTTAGCTTTGTTTCCGACTAGATGAGCAGTTGCTATGATAAAGACATACACCGAAGACCAGGAGGCTGCGGACAATGGTGGCGTTCTCCGGGTTGGTGGCCTCGTCGTAGACGGTGCTCAGGAAGCTCTTCTGAGGACGGGAGGAGTTGGAGGCAGCGACGCGCTTAGGAGCCATTTTGATGGATGATGTGAATGGTCGTTAAATGGGGATTAATGGGGGATATGGATCGAGGTTGATGGAGTGAATCGGAGGATGTCGAGAAATCTGCGGCCGCCGGGGCCGCTTGGCGTCACTGCGTCTTTGGTCTGCTTCGGCCACCGTAATCACCTTTCGGGGCGCGCGACAGCTGGAAATGCGATTGTCTGTGCAGTCGTGAATCAAGGAGGAGCTACAATTCCAGCAGGGGCCTTGAGTTTGCTCTTTTCTGGTTGATATTACCTGTGGAGGATATACTACAGATCCTTGGCTACTTGTGAGCTCTGCTCCATCGTGAGACCGATCATATCCTAGCAACCATGACGAGTGTCGACGAGCTCTTCAAAGTAAGTCTTACCGGTGCTTAATTCTGGTCTGTTTGTTCTGTGACCTGACCATTCCATAGAAGCCACTGCCTGCAGGTAGCTCCAAGCGCAAGTTTGAGCCCGTCCAGGACCCTAGTACGCTCCCTCTGTTCCCCGCAAATGTGCCTCCGACAGCTTGCTAACAAGACACCAAGACGAGCTATACAAAGCGGCAAAGTTGGACTCCAATGGTGACGTGAGGACAAAGGGCAAGAGTGCCATGGTGGAGGACGAATTTGACGATGACGATGGCGAGGCCGGACCCGAACTACCACCAGACTTTGAGGAAGACATCCCCGATGACGAGGAGGGCCGCTTTTTCGGTGGTGGCATGGAACAGAAGACTGCCCAAGCCATGCAGTACATTGATCAAAATGAGGAGGAAGAAGCTGCAGTATGAACCACCTAGATGCAATTCAGTGAAGTCAATTGCTAACAAGCTATCTAACCTACAGCCCGAGAAATTCGATGCAGCCTGGGTCCGCCGATTCGCCTTGAACTTTGAGAAGAAGATATCCAAGAATGCCGAGCTTCGCGCGAAATTCGAAAATGACCCGGCAAAGTACGTTGGTTGTTCGTTGGAGGCTTGGGCACACGCTAATGGTGATATGGCAGGTTCATGGCCTCCGAGGCTGACCTCGACACGGAGATCAAGGGACTATCAATTCTGTCGGAGAATCCTGAGCTCTATGAGGAATTTTCCAAGATGGGCTGTGTTGCCTCATTGGTCTCGCTGCTCTCGCACGAGAATGCGGATATTGCCATCGACGCCATCCAGATCATCAGTGAACTAACGGATGAGGATGTTGAGGCTGAACAGGAGCAGTGGGATAGCCTGGTTAATGCCATGGTAAGAGTGTCATCTGGGAGTTTGACATTTCATATGACCCTGCTGACTTGTTTAAGATGGATTCCGACCTTATCGAACTCTTGACTCAGAACCTCTCTCGCCTGGATGAAGGCGCAGAGACCGACAGGACTGGTATTTACTACATTCTAAGTAAGTTTGGTCAATGTCTATAACATTTTGTCTCATAGCCCCCAAGATCTAACACGAATTAGGCGTTTTGGAAAATCTATCTTCCCAGTCCGCACTCGCAGAGAAGATCGGAGAAGATGCTGCCGTTTTGCCTTGGATTCTATCGCGCATACAGCAGAAGGAAACCCCGGTCTCCCAGAACAAACAATATGCCGCAGAGATTCTGGCAATTCTTCTGCAATCTTCACCTAAGAACCGAGAGAAATTTGTTGCTCTTGACGGTGTCGATGCTCTCCTTCAGCTCCTCAGCCAATACCGGAAACGGGACCCAGCTAAGGACTCCGAAGAGGAAGAATACGTGGAAAATCTCTTTGACTCTTTGGCTTGCCTTGTAGATGATGATGCTGGTAAGGAGAAGTTCATCGATGCAGAGGGCATTGAACTTGCTCAAATTATGCTCCGAGAGAGCAAGTTTAGCAAGCCCCGAGCTCTTAAGATTCTCGACCATGCCCTTGGTGGTTCAGGAGGTGGCCCAGCGTGCGAGCGCCTTGTTGAAGCGGCCGGGCTGAGGACGATCTTTGGAATGTTCATGAAAAAGGCAAGCCATCAATTTCCATCCTTGGCATACCCTGCACATGACTAACATCAAGCAGCAAGAGGGTCAGAATATCGAGCATCTGCTAGGTATCTTTGCTTCCCTTCTCCGCCTCCTGCCTGGTGGTTCTGCTCCTCGTATCCGAGCACTCGCCAAGTTCATGGAGAAGGAGTACGAGAAGATTGAGAAACTCATCAAGTTGAGACGGGACTATGCTGCCCGTGTGTCTCCCGTTGAGCAGGCGATTGAAAAGGAACGCAAGGGTCTTTCACAAGATGACCAGGAATTTATGGCTGGCGAGTGGTTGTCACGCCGGTTCGACGCTGGTCTGTTCTCGTTACAGGTCAGTACTATTGTTTTGCACTCTCATATACTCGCAGAGCTTCATAGGTTACTAACCATCTATCCAGACTATTGATGTTATTCTGGCATGGCTCGTCGCCGAAGATGACGGCGCCAAGAAAAAGGTGGTTTCTCTCCTGGCAGACCGGGATGAGGACCTTTCCCTAGTTCGGAGCACTCTGCAAGGTATGACCGACCTCTTTGTTTGACCTGGGAGTAATCGCAAGGCTAACCGTTACAGAACAATTGGAAGGACTTGGAGATGAGGACCAGGGCCAGAAGGACTTTAAGGATATGTTGAGCACTTTGCTGCAGTTTGTATGAGATCAAATTAGAAAGGGAAGGAATACTGTGTAATATACTTTCTGCTCCATATGTACTTCTACGTGTTCATTTTCGGACCCAAGTATAACCAACTCAATATTTGAGTTCCAACTTGTGAAATTGTAAACAACCCACTTTATTCGACCCCGAACTTCGAACGTATCATTGATATCTACAAGCCCCAATCAAAACTCTGAAAGTCCGATCTCTCACTGGTTTTAGCCTTCTCAGGTAGGATCAACAACCTCATAGCGCCTTTTAGACTTCAAGGCTGCCATACACGTGATTAACCCATCACGTGATTGTGATTCCATATCGGGCCTAGTTTACTTCGCCGCGCCGAAGCATCAAGATCCTTGGAGATCAATCAGTCCTTTCTTCTCGCCACGCTGGGAGATCCTCATTCATCCCACTGAGCTCTCAAGTCGCTCCATCCCTCGTCTGTGACGCTTGCAGGAAACTCCCTTCTTTGCCAGCCACTGACAGGCGGGTGTCGCAGCGCGTTGGGTGACTCCCTCTCTCAGATCACCACCTTCACTCCGCCGCCGACGCGCCCTCCCTGCGCTCTCCGCAGTTCTTCTCACCTACCTTGACCCGTGGACGACCCAGAGAATCTTGATAAATCGCAATCATGGCTGACTACGACGAGGCTTACGAAGAGCAGTTCTACGACGATGCGGAGGATGGAATCACCTCCGAAGACTGCTGGACGGTGATCTCGTCGTTCTTCGACGTCAAGGGTCTCGTTTCCCAGCAGCTCGACTCCTTTGATGAATTCATTTCTTCGACTATGCAAGAGCTTGTGGAGGAGCAAGGACAAGTCGTTCTCGATCAGACCGTGCCCCCCGACGAAGAAGAGGCCGAGCCCGTTGTCGTGCGCCGATACGAGATCAAATTCGGCACTGTTATGCTGACACGACCATCTGTTACGGAAGACGATGGATCAACCGTGAGCATGTTGCCTCAAGAGGCGCGCCTGCGAAACCTCACCTACGCCAGTCCCCTTTACCTCACTATGAAAAAATATGTCACCGAAGCACGCGAGTGCCAGGTGGCCGACCGCGACGACGATGAAGCTGGCGAGGCTGAAGACGAACACAAAGACCGCGGTACATATCTAAAGTGGGCGGCGAGGCCGCAAGACGCAGCTTGGCAGGAGGAGGAGACGATCTTCATTGGCAAGATCCCAATTATGCTCAAGTCCAAGTACTGCTGCTTGAAGGAATCACCGGAAGAACGTCTTTACAGCTGGAACGAGTGTCCTTACGACTCCGGTGGTTATTTCATCATCAACGGCAGTGAGAAGGTGCTTATCGCGCAAGAGCGCAGTGCTGGAAACATCGTGCAGGTTTTCAAGAAGGCCCCTCCCAGCCCGACGCCATACGTTGCCGAAATCCGAAGTGCCGTCGAAAAGGGATCTCGACTCCTCTCTCAGCTTGCGCTCAAGCTCTTTGCCAAGGGTGACAGTGCCAAGGGTGGATTCGGCCCTACTATCCGTTCGACTCTGCCCTATGTCAAGTCCGACATTCCCATCGTTATCGTTTTCCGAGCCCTGGGCGTTGTTTCTGACGAAGATATTCTCAACCACATTTGCTACGACCGCAATGATACCCCGATGCTGGAGATGCTGAAGCCGTGTATTGAGGAAGGTTTCGTCATCCAAGACCGTGAAGTCGCTCTTGACTTTATTGCCAAGCGTGGCTCTTCTCAGTCTAATTTGAACCACGAGCGCCGTGTGCGCTACGCGAGAGAGATCATGCAAAAGGAGCTGTTGCCGCATATCTCGCAGAGCGAGGGCAGTGAGACCCGAAAGGCCTTCTTCTTGGGTTACATGGTCCACCGCCTGTTGCAGTGCGCTCTCGGCCGTCGCGATGTCGACGATCGTGATCACTTCGGAAAAAAGCGTCTGGACTTGGCTGGTCCTCTTCTCGCCGGTCTTTTCCGTGTTCTGTTCACTCGCGTCACCCGTGACTTGCAACGCTACATGCAACGATGTGTGGAGACCAACAAGGAGCCTAACCTCCGTATTGGTCTGAAGGCCGCCACTCTGACTGGTGGTTTGAAATATGCCCTGGCCACTGGTAACTGGGGTGAGCAAAAGAAGGCTGCCAGCTCCAAGGCTGGTGTGTCCCAGGTGTTGAGTCGATACACGTTTGCTTCCAGTTTGTCCCATCTGCGTCGTACCAACACTCCCATTGGTCGAGATGGTAAGATCGCCAAACCGCGTCAACTTCACAACACCCATTGGGGTCTTGTGTGTCCAGCTGAGACTCCTGAAGGTCAAGCTTGTGGTCTCGTCAAGAATCTGGCGCTCATGTGCTATATCACCGTTGGTACGCCTAGTGAGCCCATCGTTGATTTCATGATTCAACGGAACATGGAAGTTCTGGAAGAGTTCGAACCCCAGGTCACCCCTAATGCCACCAAGGTATTTGTGAACGGTGTCTGGGTCGGTATTCACCGTGACCCCACACATCTAGTCAACACTATGCAATCTCTCCGTCGGCGCAACATGATCTCCCACGAGGTCAGCTTGATTCGTGACATCCGTGACCGAGAGTTCAAGATCTTCACAGATGCTGGGCGTGTGTGCCGACCCTTGTTCGTCGTTGACAACGACCCCAAGAGTGAAAACGCTGGATCCTTGGTCCTTAATAAGGAGCACATTCGCTTGCTGGAGCTGGACAAGGATCTTCAACGAGAACTGCCTCCAGAGCAGCTCCGGGAGCAAGGCTTCGGATGGGAGGGTTTGGTCAGATCGGGTGTTGTGGAATACGTGGATGCCGAGGAAGAAGAGACGATTATGATCGTCATGACCCCCGAAGACTTGGAGATCTCCAAGCACCTCCAAGCCGGTTACGCCTTGCCAGAAGATGATAAGAACGACCCCAACAAGCGAGTGCGCACCGTGACTCAACGTGCGCATACCTGGACGCATTGCGAGATTCATCCCAGTATGATTCTGGGTGTGTGTGCCAGTATCATTCCTTTCCCTGATCACAACCAGTCTCCTCGTAACACCTACCAGTCTGCCATGGGTAAGCAGGCTATGGGTGTCTTCCTGACCAATTTCGCACAGCGCATGGAGACCATGGCGAACATTCTCTACTACCCCCAGAAGCCTCTTGCCACTACTCGGTCAATGGAGTTCCTTCGTTTCCGCGAGCTGCCCGCCGGTCAAAATGCCATTGTCGCCATTGCTACATACTCTGGTTACAACCAGGAAGATTCGGTCATTATGAACCAAAGCAGTATTGACCGTGGTCTATTCCGCAGTCTGTTCTACCGTACATATACGGATTCTGAGAAGACTGTGGGTACTTCATTCGTCGAAAGCTTCGAGAAGCCCATGCGTACCGAGACACTGGGTATGCGCAAGGGTACCTACGACAAGCTTGATGAGGATGGTATCGTTGCTCCAGGTGTGCGTGTCTCCGGAGAGGATATCATTATCGGCAAGGTTGCGCCTCTCGCACCAGATGCGGAGGAACTCGGTCAACGTACCAAGGCGCACACCAAGATTGACGTCTCGACGCCGCTCCGAAGCACTGAGAACGGTATCGTCGATCAGGTAGTCATCTCAACTGCCAATGATGGCCTTAAGTTCGCCAAGGTCCGCATGCGTACCACCAAGGTTCCCCAGATTGGTGATAAGTTTGCCTCTCGTCACGGTCAGAAGGGTACTATCGGTATCACTTACCGACAGGAGGATATGCCCTTCAGTCGCGAGGGTCTGACGCCCGACATCATTATCAACCCTCACGCCATTCCGTCTCGTATGACCATTGCTCACTTGATCGAGTGTCAACTGAGTAAGGTGTCTGCCCTCCGTGGCTTCGAAGGTGACGCTACCCCCTTCACAGACGTGACTGTCGACTCCGTCTCCCGCCTGCTCCGCGAGCACGGTTACCAGTCTCGTGGATTCGAGGTCATGTACAATGGCCACACTGGCCGTAAGCTGGTGGCACAGGTGTTCCTTGGCCCGACCTACTACCAGCGTCTGCGTCACATGGTGGACGACAAGATTCACGCTCGTGCCCGTGGTCCTACTCAGATTCTCACCCGCCAGCCTGTGGAGGGTCGTGCCCGTGACGGTGGTCTGCGTTTCGGAGAGATGGAGCGCGATTGTATGATTGCCCACGGTGCCAGTCACTTCCTCAAGGAGCGTCTGTTCGATGTCTCGGATCCCTTCCGTGTCCACATTTGCGACGACTGTGGTCTGATGACTCCTATCGCGTAAGTTTCCTTCATTCACCCTCTATCTAACGAACTGTATACTAACATGTCCATCTCTAGCAAACTCAAGAAGGGTCTCTTCGAATGCCGTCTCTGCAACAACAAGCACCGCATTTCCCAAGTCCACATCCCCTACGCCGCCAAGCTTCTGTTCCAAGAGCTGGCCTCGATGAACATTGCTGCCCGGATGTTTACCGACCGATCCGGCGTGTCGGTGCGGTAAAGTGCAGGCCTGGTCTTTGCGGGTTTTGCATTTTGTTTCTTTTTTCCCCTCTCCGAGCTTCCTTTTATCCTGTATTTTAATGATTTGCTCGAAAAAACTCCTGTCCGTTGGGACTTCTGCTGTGGCGTCCGGGAGGGTTATCATGGCCGAAGCATCTTCCTTTTCGTCCGGTCCTACATAGTTGGAATCATAAACCTTTGTCTATGCTTTTGTTTCGTAGATATAGTAGGGCTTTTCATTGGGAAGTCAAGAAATTAGGCCCTTGTAGTACGGATATGTGATGATGTATGGAACTTCAACGGGCCTTTTAGCATCGGCGTGTGTCCTGGTGAAATAGTAAGCCGGTTTGACATATGCATATTGTAGTTATTCAAAAGTATGGCTCTGAAGAGAAACCCAACTTTCTTCCTCGTGTCTTTTTGAATAAACTTTAATCCGTTTTCCTTGATGACTCTAGCATTATCGTTTAGTTATTGCCTTACCTATGACTGGGAAGATGGGCTTGAAGGAACCTCATTGTATTTAGAGCCACATAAGGTACTTAGCAGTAGGGATTGACATTCTATTCTAACTTCAAGCCCATGATGTCAATCTGGATAGACATGAGAATATAGAGCTATGCGTAAAATACACATTCCACCCGCCTTCTTAAACCCAAAATTGAAATAAGACTAGCTAACTAGTGGCTAGCTGAAGTGACACGATCCTCTTTGCAGTAGCCGTGACCAAGGGCGCCATGTTAAAAAAACCGATTTTAGGGATGAATAGAGAATCATATGAGACTTTTTGAGGATAAAAGATTGTATTCATGTTGGATATCCACGGCCATGACGCCTATCTGATAGATACAAGGGAAATAACGAAAAAGCTATGGGTAATGAAAGATAGTAGATACAGTTATACTTGCTCCTGATCACCAATCAAGAGACAGAGAGGCAAGTTAAAAAAATTCCCCGAGAACGACTCCAATAGATCCATCCTACAGAGTCCCGGGGGATCTCTTCTTCTTCTTTTTCTTCAACTTCTTTTGACTCGGCTGCGGACTCACTATCACCTCTGACATTTCTTGGATATTGCCCATTGATGCGTGGGTCCTTTTACCCAAAGAGGAGATATCAGAGCTGCCGCTCGCCTTGGACGCTGGCCCGGCCCGGCTACTCTGCGATGCGCCTGGTTCCGGGCTGGATTTTATAAATGGGCTTTGTGTGAGATCGATGATTTCGGAAGTTTGTGAGAAATTCGGGTGTGAAGCTGAGGTTGGAGCGTGACGCTTGGAGCGGGTAGAGGCCGCGGGCGAGTCATCGTACTGGAATAGGGAGTCTGTGTTGAGGTTTGGCGAAGAGCGCAGTTCTTGCTGTGCGCTCGTCGGAGGTTTTGGAGACGGTTGTGGGGAGAGATGGCGGCTTTGGTTGCTGTGGATCACGCTGTCGTGGTCTTCCGGGTCATACAGATCATCGTCGGCTTCGTCTTTATCTTGGTCTGTGTTGTCCGCGTCTAGCCAGACACTTTCCGAAAGGCCTAGAAAACTGCCTCCATGGGGAGACCTCGGTTTGACCGACTCCTTCTCTTGTGTATTGTTAGGGCTGGCTGAGACCGCGCTGCGAACAGGCGATGACTTTGCCGAGGCACGTTCAGATGGATTGTGAACCACGGATAGAAGTGAATCATTGCCTCCAGAGACTAGTGTATCATCCACGACCTGACGATCTTGCAGGGTACTGTCTTGCTGGAAATCGGAGAATGATTGGTTGGCAGACAGGAAGGACATTGTCGACATATCTTGATGGGACTGGTCCACTCCCAGCATCGACTGATCACCGATGAGAGTGTGACCATCCAGATTAGACTCGCCGCTTTCATGGAAACGGGGGCCTAGCCTCGCTCCCGGGGAAGACCGCGCAGAATGGAATCCAGAGAAAGATGGCGAAGGAACGGCAGGCGTGTCGCTGTGCTCATCATCCGCATCTCCGCTCCGTGTGATGAGAATCCGGGTACCGTTGGGAGTTCGAGTAGATAGCATTTCAGAAGCTCTCGCGGGAGACCGATTCGGTGACTGTGGACGACTAACAGCGGTGACTGTGGTCACAAAGGTGGTTTCATCTAGGTCCATGTCGACAGGTGGAGGTGGCGAAGTCGGGGGGTTCGGCATGGAGTCCTCGACTAGAGAGACACTTTGATCGAGGTAAGCGCATATAACAACAGACCAAGGGTCAGTTCACTGACGTGCTACCTTCTCTAGCATTATCCTTATTCTTTTCCTTTGTACCATTCTCGTCCGCGGCATCGCCGACCCCGGGCGCAGGCCGCAGTAGCTTGGGATCACTGAGTTCCGCAAACGCGACCTCACGGTAGCCATCGTCGTCTTCGTCGTCGTCCATCCCGGGCATCTCAAACCCGCTATACTCACGAGGTTCGTCATCCTCGGGGTCAAGCTCGTCTGCCTTGGGTCGTCGGTCACGCACTGCCAGACGAACATTGAGATTACCATTGTCGAGAAGCTGGTGGACTTCGGCAACGCGATACTCTGACATTTGAGGCTGCCAATTTGTCGCTTTGGACATGTCCAGCTGCCGGAAAGCGATAATCGCCCCGACCTTTGCTTCATGTTCAAGCAAATCCGCAACGGAGCTGGGGTCGCTCGGCATAAGAGGAAGATCGTCGTCGTCTGCGGCAGCTTCAGCGTTCTCCTGATGAGTCTCCATATTCGTAGTCTCATCCTCCGCCGTAGGCCACTCATTGTCATAGTTGAGCTGCATGTTGTCTTCGTAGGCATCGTAGCCATATCCATTGCCATCCTCATACTCGCCGTCTTCCTCTCCATTGTAGACCTGGATTCTCTGCTTGCGCTTGCGCTTCTTGCCCCAACCCTTACGCTGCCGGATGAGCGCGTCTGCATCTTCATCCCAACGTTGCTCGAATGGGAATGGCGGGGCGCTCAGCTCAATATCATCATAGATACACTCGGTAGCTTTGATGACTAGCTTATTTTGCCAGTCGTGGTCATCGTCGCTCTCTTCTTCCATCTCCTCGGCTGGTTGCGGTTCTGCTGCTTTCCGAGAATGAACCGCGCTAGCCTTTGCAGCTAGCTTTTTTCGTGTAGCTTCTTCATCCTCTTTAGTCCGTGGCGTACGGACTCCCAGAGATCCGAACAGCAAGCGGCGTGAGCTCGCAATATCGAGAGTGCGCCGAGTAGACAGCTCTGTCTCAGCCTTTTGCCCCGTAACACTCTCTTTAGTGGTCTCTTGTTCCACAACAGCAGGCTGGGAAGGAGGCATGTTTTCCTTCTCAGAGGTCTCGTCAACGTCAACGCCACCACTAGCCAGAGCTCGGAGTAGCTTCTCTCGCTTGGCTTGGAACTCGCGCTGCTCCTCCTCCTTCCTTTGTGCCTTGGTGGTCGCAGAAGACATTATGCTTGTCTCATCGGGAACATGCCAGCCTCCATTCTGCTCTTCCCATGTGCGAAGGGCTGCAAAGTCGGCTTCCTCGGGAAGGACACCCAGCTCCTTCAACTTGGATAATCTGCGCCGAAGCTTGAAGCGCTGGTTGCTTTTCTTTGTTCGGGTAGATCCCTCGCCGGGAGGGTTGACAATAACAGGCTGGATTGTCTTTGGAGGAGGCAGGTCAATTTCCTCGTCCTCAGACTCAGACGTGTCCTCCTCCGAGCTTGAGCTCGAGTCATCCGATTCAGAAGATGCAGAAGTAGACGAGTCCTCCTCTGACGAGTCTTCATCTTCATCTTCGTCCTCATCCTCATCCTCAGATGCCGAGCTTGAATCGCTGGACACCGAAGAAGGCGATGATCCCCGAAGGAAGTCGGAGTCAGGAAGTCCGGGGACGTCCTCTTCGCCTTCTTCGCCCTTATTGAACCTCACGGCCTTCGACGCCCTGGGCGAAGAGTCATCCCCGCGAGAGCGTTTACTAGACAAGGAAGATGCCCCAACGACAGAGCTTCGGCCCTGGGTATCTGACGACGATGGTCGCTTAGCCACAGAGCTGGCACGAAGCGTAGGGCCCGTAGATACTGGAACCTGAGAACGAATATCAATAAATTGAGATTCAGGCGGCTGCTCAAACTCCTCTTTGAGGGCCTTGAGTTCATTTTCAAGCTCATCCGCTTCAGCCTCAGAATCAGCTGCTTCCTCCTCGGACCCCTCAGATTCCGAGTCTGCCTCGTCGTTTGTGTCGCCGGAGTAATTGACAGGGTGTCTGATCACGGTTCCCATGTCGGATACCTCATGTTCCGGGGGCAAAATTGAAAGCTCCTTTCCAAAGGCTGCGTTGTTCGAGGGCAGCCATTCTCCGTCACCCACTTCCTCGGCTTGTGCGTCGGCATTCGCATCTTCATACCCAAACGATGGACCCTGGTCCCAGCCGGAGAAGACAGTTCGGCGTTTCTTTCTAGGCGGAATGGTGATCGCAGGTCGATTGGAGGTGGTTCTTTTGTAAAATGGCATACCAAAGGGCACACCATCGATGAGGTGCTTGCCATCACCAGTAATTTGGTGACGACCGCATAACCGTCGAGCACGAAGGTCAGCCAGCTGGAGCGCTCGAATACTACAACGCAGGAAAATGTCAGCAATCCACTCCCACAATCTCATACCAAAAAGGCGAAAATACTTACACAACTTCATCCCCATCCCTCAGCAACCCATCTACCTCCATAAAATGCAAACATTCAGACCCACCAACCTCAACCACATAGTCCTCCAGTCCCCACTGCCCACTGAACTCGGGGTCGAATATGGTCGGCTCAGTCTCTAGTGGAACAACCTCATTCACATCCTCTAGCAACTGCGCAACCGTATATCCCCCATTAGCAAAGGCGATATTCGGTGTCCTCGACGAGGCAACCATGGAGGCCGAGGCCGGGCGGTGAGTGCAATATTCGCCCAACGCAGAAGATGAGGATGTCGTCGTCCACAGGATACGCGTGACCGGCAGGCCATGGCGCGAGATGACAAGGTGGAGGCGCATGGTGCAGCTGGCGTGGGAGCTAGACCATTGAGACGAGGGAACGGAGAGGTATGTTGTTGGGGTGCTGCGGTTTTTGAGATTGCGCGTGTTGGCCTTGGGCTTCACTTGGGAGCCAAGCTGGTATTATTGTGTAGTTCGAAGTCGCTGGTCGAGTGCAATCGATCGTGAAAGAATTAAACGGTGGAGAATAGTCGAGACCCGGCCAAACGGGCTTGAGGGAGAGAATCGGGGATTGAGGAAATCGTGCAGCTCCAAAGAAGCTCACGCGGAGGTACGCTAACCGGATTGGGACTAATGCCTCAGGTTGCGGCCATCAGGGTAAATATTATTTAAGAGTATACGATGTCTTTTTGAATGTATTTGTACGTTAATATTCCTATTTGAGTTGACATCCTCTAGGTGCTTGAACTAGAGTACACAGACTTGCGACTCTTTAATATGAAGCAAAATGTATGACGGCGCGTTAGCAGTCCACCCCGGTTAGATCCAGTATCTAAGCCTCTAGGGTGACACGCTAAAATAGAGATCGCCGCTTACTGCGAATCTTCAACGTCGGTTCTTTCGTTAACCGCAATTGCAACAGCACGCTCAAAGTCAGCGGCTTACGCCTCGGAGATAGGAATTTGCCCTTTGAATTCTGCAATTCGCACCTCGAATCGTGCCTCAGTCTCTGCGAGGCGCTCCTCGTAGCTAGCAATCTGCGCTTCAGAGCTAGCTATACGCGCCTCGACTCCAGCCATATACACCTCAGAGTGAGTCTCGAAACCGGCGACACGAGCTTCGACCTCGGCCTCAGCCTCTGCAAGGCGCATTTCACGTTCAACATCAGAGACATTAACGTATTTCTTCTCAACCACACAGCTTCTATTGAATCAATTAGTGCCTTTTCTGTAACGATTATAAAGAAACGAACCCGGTTGAGGAACCTTTTATACTTCCAACGTCCCTTCTGAGTGCCCTTCTCCAGCCGGGAGGCATATAGTTTTACGAGGAACATGGCCACGATGAAAGTAATGAATATTGGTAGGGTAGGCATCGAGTCCGGAATGTTCTTAACTGGGCAGTGTGGTTAGTTAGTCGTGTAGATGTGTGATGCGGTGTCTCTGCTGGTTTCGTTACGTTGCGTTGGGGGTTAAACACGTAGAGATGATACGCACTTGCACTGTAAGATATATGAAGTGGTGATTGAAATAAACTAATCGGCACCTTCTCGAAACTATAACACCATCGCCGCTGCCGAAAAGTCTCGAGTTCTACTATTGTCAGGAACTAGTAACGTGTTATGAGAATAACCGCACGGTAGCCTGCAACGGCTGTCTTCGAATCAGCCACGGTATGGCTTGGATACTTCGGGATTGAGCACGGTACGCATATTCGCTATAAGCTAGGACGTTTCACGGCTTGTTACAATCATATAGTGGATTCCATAGGTTTGAACCTCTGGTTCAAAAGACATCCAGAAAGATCGGTTTTGTAAAGGAAGTTGAAAAGCATATTTCTAGACCTTTTCTCCAATGTCTCGATTCAGACTTTTGAATTGCCACTGTAGTATTATGCTAGAAAGACCAGTTATCCCCAGTAATGCAGCCAACCTTTCCTATAAAACGACCAAAAAAAACTCTCTAAGAATATGATCATGATAATGGGTATCAAGTAATGCAGTTGGTGGTAACGATAAAGGCGATAAAAGTGTTGATAAAAAGGCTGTCCGGAATTCAGACACACAAAGATATCACTCAATGCGGCCTATTCGAACTCTGCGGTACAGGTTTCCTTGTCGGAACACCCAAATTCATAGGCCGCAAATTATTCCGCGAAGGTCGACGCTCAACCGCATTCGGAGGCTGTAGCTGCGTCTCCGCGACAAGCTGGTACTGCGGGGGAGTTTCTTCGCTGGCCTGATTCCGCGGGACTTTCATCATGCTCTGAGAACGTCTGACAGGCGAGGCGGGAGGGGATCCAGAGTGCGACTCGGGCGGGGTGGTGGGTAGCATGTCAAAGGACTCGGAAGAAGAACGGCCCTCGCGGCTTGGAGGTGCCCAGGAACCCTCAGCCGCGGGGCCGTCGTCACGGGCCTTTCCCGTTCGGACTGGGGATTTGGCATCAGTTCCAGATTCCACTGTTCTTCGGGAGGAAGAGGCGGCTGGTGGGTGATACTCGCGGCGTGGTCCATCTACCGGGCTTAGATTTTCTGCCATTGCGTCCTCGTAGCTGGGGGGTGCGTCGTCGTATGCTGCACCTGCGTCTGCTGGTACGGGGCCGGTGCTTGGCCGTGGTGGCATTGGGGGTCGGCTAGTTTCGTTGGATGTAGGCCAGGAAGGTTTAGATGTGGGTTTGGAGGGTGATAGTTGTGGTGCGGCAGCTGCCATGGCATCTAGGAGGGCCTGAGGAGGTGCGATTCCAGAGTAGACCTTGATTGGCATTCTCAAGGGGAGCACGATAAGCTGAGGCTGTTAAAGTAAAAGGTTAGCCCAGGTTTTCAGGATAGGAGAGGTCTGATAATCGATGCCTACCTTCATACTTCCGTAAGTGCCGTGAGTCAACCCAACTCGTACTTCCAACTCGTAGCTTCTCTCGATATTACATGTCTCGAAGGACGGCGCAACCGAATTAGGAAGTGGTAGTGCACTCCACAACTTTGGATCGATGGTCCATTCGGTGCCAACGGCATCTCCTGGTTGTCCCAGGGCAATCCCCATATTACTACGACTCATGACAACCCATGAACCGCTTTCCTGCCGTGTCAAGTCATGTGCCAGAATCTTAGTATATGAGATGAGTTCAATCTGCAGCATTTGCAGGAAGATAGTCTCCGGGGAATCTGACAGCTTCTTAGCCATCAGGCGGAGCGGAACCGGTTCGTTGCAGGTCAAAATAGAGGGATTTGGAAGTCGAGCATCCACTGAGACTCGAGGAGGCTCTGTCTCCATTTCGCGGAATGGGTTGGTATTTCGATTGAAGATACTGTTCTTCTTCCTTGGCGCATTCGGCACTTTAGAGAATTGGTGCTGTCTCCTGGCATATGTCTCCTCATTGGGATTCCCTGTTCTTGGTGGCTCGATTGGGAGGAAGTTCAAAGGTACGATCTAGAATACTAGTTAGTCGAGCTGGTCCACGCGAACATGAAAAGATACTCTTTCTCAGTTCCGTTATAAACTTACAGAACGAATATTCTCTTTATAGAATTGGGGTCTGATGACAGTGGCCTTGATGAAATACTCGATTTCGGCCATACCGGGAAACCCACTCAAGGATGGAGGCAGGGTCTTTTTGACATGTCGGGTTGTATCACGGGCCATTTCCACCTTCAGCCCTGTGGTGATGAGGTTGGTTCGCATGCTGTTGGTCGCAGTGCAGGAATTGTTGAAAGGGAACTAATCAAGAGTTAGATACTCTCCAAGGAATATGTCTGCGCTTGTAAAATCAAGACAGCTGACCTTGAAGTTGAATGGGTATTCATAGGAACCTGGCGCAAAAGTGTACGAGGTTGCTGGTGATCCTGTCTGCATAACACCCGGTGTAGGAAAGACGGTCGCAACTTTGTAGAGGATCTGTATACCAAGTCAGCAAATACTGCTCCCATATCATCGCAATACCAAAGCTATAGCAGCGCTCAGGCTACCAGCTCCATGGATCTCTCACCTTGTGAACCTCCAGCTCCGTCCGTTTCTTATCCGAGTTGACATGGTGAGGATGGCGAAGGCCAGACAGCCGGGTACGGCTCACGCCCTCCAGCTTCACCTGAATACCTCCAATTGCAGTTTCCGTGGGAAGGTGCAGCACGACCTTTCCCGACAGAAAGTCGAGGTTGGTATAATGCGTGTGCCGACTATCCAGGAAGATTGTTGCGGACATGGCGGCGCGCGCCCGGAGCCCCGGAGTCTCGGTCTCGGCGTAATTTCCGCTGTCGATCTTTAAGGAGGAGGATTGATCGGGTCGGGAGGCGTGGATCGGGGATGCGACAAGGATAGATCTTCGTGACGTGAAGAGTCAAGAGTGGAGCAGGGAGATTTATTGAATTGCAGTGGGATGTCGAAGGAGGGGAGGAAGGATTAAAAAGCAAGTGGGAAACCGGGAATGACGTTGGGGGGTGGATGTTCGGATCAACTGATTCCACCCGTTCTTCAAGCTCCTGTAAGGGTACCCAGCTGGTAATCCTGTCTATGCCTAGAAGGCCCGGATCATTCGAGAGTTTAACTGGAGCTGCGCCCCATCCACAGCCACTAAGCCACCTTGGTCCATAGGTCTGTTGTGGTTCGTTTTTCGGCGATACGAACGGCTCCTGTTTGTCTGGGATAGTATCAAGATGAGACCTAGTTCAAGGTAGCCTAGCATATCCTACGTGCCATATCCTACGTGCTACTATGCAACATCTTTTAAAAGGGACCAATTTACTTCTACGAGGTTAAAAATAAGTTCCTCAATAGGACTCCGACACCCTGTTTTGGAAAATTCTAGATTGTATACAATGCATGCCGAAGCTCCAGGCACCAGAATTTCCGCCCAGTCGAATGACCTGCTGGTACAACATCTCAGCGGCAATGAGCAATTGCGCCTCCCTCGACGTAACAAGAATAGATGATCATGCAGTCTCATGCGACCTAAATTTATTTAAAATCCTATTGTCGTTATGCCGTGAAATGTGCCTCGAAAATATATTCCGAAGCTTGATCCGCGGCCCGCGATATTCTAAACCGGGCCGTAGTATCATTCTTCGATGCCCGTAGACTTAAATGAACCACCTATAAGGTTACCCAAGAGGATGGGCGAATGATTGTTCTAATAGAATGCGAATGGGTTTAAGAATATTACACCAATGCCAAAACTGTACAAAACTAAAAATGCAGGGTATCAATGATCTATGCCTATGCCGCCACCACTGCCACAACCATCACCACCCCCTAAAGCCCCTCATTCGCCAACATATCTACCCAGCAAATCAGAAAATCAGTAATCACATGGATCTCCAATCCACAACTCGAACTTGTACTTACCTGCAATATCTAAGTAGAATGCAATAGCATTGAACTTCCGCGGTTTGCCCGTCACTTCCGCAGCCAGCCACTTCAGCCGATTCGTCCAATTGATCAAATCAAGATGGCTGACGCCTACAAGCGTCCCCTTATATCCTGCTTCGCCACCCCAGAGACTACTAGCCACGCTGACGAGGCCGTCATTGGGACCTTCTGCTTCAGCGAGGATCCGGTGCGAGAGTCGGAAGACGGACCATAGACTGGGCTGATCGCATGCGCCGTAGGAGAAGTACCTGGTCGTGGATTAGTTATGGGATCAGAAAAGATAAACAGGTTAGTAAGTGCTGGAAACCCACCGAACGCTATCTATGTCTGGCGTGTTTGGGTTGAATGTTTCGGACATGTACTTTCGAGTTAGCTGTGCAAAGGCGCCGGTCTCGATGTTGAGTTTGTTCAGGGTATAGTATATCTGAGGTAGAAGCTCGGCTATAGTAGTTGGTGAGTTCGAAGTCTCCTTAGTTAAGATATAGCGCGTCGGCGTACCTCCGATTTGATCGAAACAGAAATCGGCAACGGCAGAACCTGTTGCGAAAACCATCAGCTTCTAGGTAAATCGTCTCCAATTACTGCACTGGCATACCTCGATGGGGAGTGGCAATAGTAGTGAGTGACAACACTTTGAACTTCTGCGGTTGAAGACGACTAATCATGTACCGAGAGTCAAGGCCCCTTTGTGACTTGCTATTAGATATTGAATCAAAAATGGTGTCGCGAATTGTATCTCACCCCTAAATCCATATTAGCCCATGCTCACAACGACCACTAGATTTGGAATATAACTCACCATGCTATGACTGAATATAAGCCAGTCCATAGGTCAGCTCTCGTATCGTAAGTACCCATGTTCATGCCAACTACTCACGCAATGATATTCACATCCTTCCCCCGCGCCCCAATCTCAATATTCCGCGCCAATTCCTCCGCACGTTCCTCAATAGAAGCCGACGGCGGTACAGTCGCAGTAATAACCTCAACACCCTGTGCCGTCAACGCTTCCTTGATACCACGCCAGTACTGAACACCCGGAAAGTAGCGACCCGCAAGCCGAAGTTCATCGAAGCCAAGCAGACCGTGGGCAAGGACGACGGGATGTTTTGGAGCAGCTGCATCGCAAATGCAAATAAAAATCTTAGCATACTTTCAACAGAACGTTGCATATATTCAATGCGCACCGTAGCTGTCTCGGACTACCGAGTACTGGTCGTGGATGACCCGGCCATGGTCCTCTAAACGCGGCTCGAGGATAGATCCCGAGCTCTTTTGGGACGAGTGATATGTTCGGTATGCGGAACGAGGGACTCCCCGGCGAATTGAACGCCGGGCTAGGTGGTTGCCGGTCGTTCTTGAGATAGCAGCCGCATATCCCATGGTCGGCTCTGCGCGACGCGGTTGGAGCTGGGGAGGAATGACGCAACGGATAGACATCGTGCTGGTGCCTGAGGCTGCTATCCGGGGTATGTGATGATCGTTCCAACTGGACGAGACATGGGATTTGGGGACTACAGTATTTGGCATTAGAATCAAACTGAGTGCTATACAGAGCCTCAAGGCAATCAGCTGTGTTTTCTCTCCTAATAATTTTGGACCGTATCCGATTAATGAAGCGATGTTCTGAAGTTACTCATGGTGCCTGTCATGTTGAGTAACATGTAGTAAGTACTTGTTTTAGCAGTAGCAATTCTTTCGTCCTTGGATCATCTAAGGAGAACTTAAAAACGAAAATGTGACTCTGTGAGAAATAATCATATTCCCCGAAGAATGGATATCGATGAATAGCCCCGAAAGCGCATCTCTAACAACGGTCGCAATACAAGAAAACAAAGAATCCGAAAATGTCCAACTCTAAACCTGCACAATCTTCTCCGGCACCGTGGGCTTCACGTCGGTCGTCGCCTTGATCAGGTCCTCGACAACCTTGTCGCCCTGCTTCTTGCCGGCAGCCTCGATCTCCTTGAGCTTCTCCTCGGCCTCCTTGTTGGCATCTTCCTCGGCCTTCTTGAATCCGCTCGAGTGCTGCAAAGGAAAAAAAGCAGTCAGTAGGGTTACTCCTGAAGCAAAGTTGCAACACCAATTCCGTCACCAAGCGGGGCATCTTACCTCGGCCTCGAACTTCTTGTATTCTTCCTCCTTCTGGTTGCGGTACTCTTCAATCTCCTTCTGAGCCTCCGACTTGGCGTCCCTTATCCGCTTGGTGCGATCTATGGCAATAATGGTCAGGTTGATAGCGCATGTCTATCGGGGGATTCTGAATCTCGTACATTCTCGGGCTATTAACGATCGAGCATGTCAGTACATAATCAGAGACAGTGAACAGTGGGAAGAATGCGGAGACAGCCTACCTTGCTGGACAATCTTCTGAGCCTCTCTCTCAGCCTAGAAACAAAATTAGCGCATTATACTAGTATTCGACGCTCTCGAGCACGTACATCGAGGAGGGTCTGAATGCCCGCGGAGTTCTGAGCCGACTGGAATCGACATCAATCAGCATGGTCACCCTCAACACAGTTATTCCCGACGTCTTATCTCACCATCTTTGCCCCAAAAACCCCTCTTAATATCCGATGAAAAAAGAAGTAGACAAGAAATGGTAATAAATGCGGGCGACGAGGATGCGGAGCTTGGAGCTTCGATCAGCCACGCATGACCCCCCAAGGCGGTGGGGAAAGTGTACTGCCAGTAATCTCCGCCTTGTGATAGCACGATACTCCGCCGCGCATTTTTGGCCGATCGGAAGGTCCAGGCTCGCCTCAACATCCATTGGGAGGTTTACTTTTCGGTTTGCATTGTGCATATTCGGTGTTTTTGGCATTATTTACTCGATTTATCATGTCTCGCGCATCAAAATTGACCCTGGCCGCCACGGGCCTGGGTACTGCGGGCATTGTCTACTTTGTCCACTGGGCTCAAGAAAATGACAGGGCGGTATGTACTGGACTTAGATTTTGGTATGACAAATGCTAATAGCCTCATTTTCTGTACAGGCTATGCACAGGGGCGTCGAGCGCGACATGGAAAAGCAACGAATCCGTCAAGAGCGACAGGCCGAGTTCGAAATGCAGAAACGCCTTGAGCAGGAATACCTCAAGCTTCAAACTGTTCACAGCACAACCGATGGCACGGATACAGCCGGTCAGAGTACGAGTACGGGGTCATGACAATGAGGTGGAGGTTGTGGTGGAGGAATTGCAAGGGTCTCTGATCCAGTGATCCCGGCCTTCAATGTACCATGTCGTCTCTACACTGCTAGGGACAAAATAAGTACATTGTTCCGGTCACTCAAGAGGCGCCGGGAGATCTGGAGCCTGCAACTCATGGGTTCACTCAAGGTGTGATACCATCTGAGTACCGTGTACGATATATCCTACTGTATATTATTTTGATCACGAAAGACATTGTTTTGTTTATATCGGAAGGGACTCTTGACCTCAATTGGCTGGATAAAAACACTACTCAATGTATGTTACATCGCGGCTAATTTGGCTAGGAAATCTAGACGTCCTCCCTGTTGTCAGGTAACGCGAGCTCAGTTTTGCTACCAAGATGCGGTGCCGTCTAGCTTCAAGGTAAAACAATATCTTGACTCGACTCTCCAAAGTCTCTAGCCTTAGGGTCCCTTTCTCAACATGACAGGATGACTTCTGAATGGATATTTCTAATATGTGAAGTCAAAATCATACATTAGAGAGGTAATACCACATACAATGCTGTCCCATTCGAGTGTAGGAACATGCAAATCTTGCATGCATTTGCCTCTTCCTGGGCACCCTATATCTAGCGATACTTAGGCTCATATTATGGATTAGAACTACTGTTTTCGCCCTGCCAATTAATATCCTTTATTGCATCTGATACTTTAGCAAGCACGATAGCTATATTCTAAAGCCAAGATCTTGCTATAAGATAGGAAGATAGAGAGTTATTGGCAATTATTCCAGCTGAATTACACAAAATATTACAACTCTGATGCTATTGATGGTGGTAGATTGACCACATCGCATCCCTCCGTCGTACAGTTTGACAGCGGTATATCAAATCGGGCCGATGCACCCAAAAAGGCCGGTTATTATCGGAGGCCGGCTGAATTCCGGCCTCTGGGCGCTAGGAAAGTCTAAATGGTCCTTATCGGCGAATCAAATCGCGGGATTTGGATCTCCAAACTTGGCATCGGGTGGAATATAGAGGTATAAGCATGGCCTGCTTGAAGGGAATCTTCTTATAATGACCATATTCTGGGATGAATGTGGCGAATTTCTAATCCAGAAGCATCTATAGGATCGATCTAGACCTGTTTTATTAGACGTTCTAGTGCTGACCCCACGAACGAACTGTTTGCGCGGGTCCCCAGACATTGCTGAAAAAGGCTTAGCGCGTTCCCGTGACCATATGCTGCCCTCCTTCGCTGGGCAGTTGTATAGAGCATCTGGATAGACGAGAGGAAGTCTAAATATCATATTTCAACGTGGGAATATGGTATAAGTGCTCCTATACTATATCTATGATGATCAGACCCCTTAAACTCAGTTCAACCCGCGATGTCACCGGATCCACGCCAAGTTGCGTTCTCTTTCGTAATGGTGGACTTGAGGCCGGAATTGATACCGGCCTCTGAGTATTATAAGAATCGCCTCCTTTCCCGCCCAAAACCCCGTTCGTTTCATTCTTCTTTCCATCTTCCAAGAAGCCTTAACTTTTCTCTCTACTTTTTTGGCCCACTTTCTTTGGTTACTTGGTTCCTGACTTGGTTCTTTTGGCCCTGGGACTTGGCCTTTATACCCCGTTCACATATCAAACCTTCTTCTACTTAGGCACTTTGCCCTTTTATCTTCCACCCTTGACCCTTTGCACCTCTTTGTGTTACTGGATCTTGGTTATCACCTTCCATTATCATCATGACTCGGACTCAAGTTCCTTTCCCTTCCCCTGCCACTCTGAAGCGGTTCCCCCATATCCATGATGACCCTTCCACCCTGTCCCATGCCCTAGACCCCTTCACCATCACCACTTCCACCGGCTTCCTACCCTATCAGACTGCCCCCTCAGAGCTTCCCGAGGCCTTCAAGGCTCTTGCCTCCTTGGTTGAGCGGCTTCCTGTCGTCAAGCTTGATGGGAATCCTGGTCTGCTGGCCACCTATGAGCTGGGTCCTGCTACTGAGGCCGAGCTCACTGACCTGACCGATGAGGTTGAGAAGCTTAAGTTGCCCAATGGAGAATGGGATCGCTTCACAATTGCTGCCGTCTTCCGTGACTACACCTTCCTGGCCTCGTCCTACCTCCTCGAGCCTTGCTGGGAGAACTGGTGCAAGAACCCGGACCAGGGCTATGGTCTTGGCCGTGAGCTCTTGCCCAAGTGTGTCGCTCGCCCTATGTATCGCTGTGCTCAGATGTATGTCACCCTCTCTTAACCTCTTACCCTTCCGCCTCTGTCACTTCCCTATCCTATGCCTAGTTCATCAGTCTATCCTTGCTGGACATGACCTAACTCGATGTATTATCATACAACATGTACTAACTATTACATAGCTTGGACCTACCCCCCTTCATGTCCTATGCTGCCTCTTATGCTCTCTTCAACTATACTCTCGCCGACCACTCCAAGGGTCTGGAGGAGTACTCTAACCTCCGTCTGGTGCGCGCCTTTGAGCGTGGCCTAGACCCCAAGAGTTCAGAGGCTGGCTTCATCCTGACCCACGTCGACATGGTCAAGGAGACTGGCGCACTTATTGGCGGTGCTCTCAAGGTCATCGACACTCTTGAGCAGCACGGCCCTCGTCCTGACATCAACGATGGTTTCCGTGAGATCCTCCAAGCCATGGAGAAGATTGAGGCGTCCATGGAAGGTATGACCACTCTCCCTTACATCATGCTATACTACGATCAATATAGTATTGAACTATACTGACGTCTCAATAGACATGTGGGGTAACTCCAAGCCTGCCGAGTACCTCTCCTTCCGCGTCTTCATCTTCGGCATCACCAACCAATCCATGTTCCCCAACGGCGTGATCTACGACGGCGTCGAAGACAACCAGCCCCTCTCCTTCCGCGGCGAGAGCGGTGCCAACGACAGTATCGTAAGTTCACCACAGCACACCACCTCCCTCAGCCTCCCTGGAAAGCACCGCTAACAAGAATCTCCTCTATAGATCCCCCTCCTCGACCACCTCTGCCAAATCCCCATGCCCTCAACCCCTCTCACAAAGATCCTCCACGAATTCCGCGCCTACCGGCCCCTCCCTCACCGCGAATTCCTCACCTACGTCCGCGAAAAGGCCGAGGAAATCGGTGTGCAGGAGTACTCCGTCCAAGACTCCGAGACAGCCGTCCTCTTCCTCCGTGTCCTGAACCATGTGCGCAGCTTCCGCTGGCGTCACTGGCTGTTTGCCCGCGAGTATATTATTCGCCGCACGCCTCATCCCACTGCTACCGGTGGCAGTCCCATCGTGACGGTAAGTAAACTAGATACCAAACCCGGAATTAATCCTTTATGATGGCTTGAATAGATGCTAATGAGGTACTCTTTTGTTGAACAGTGGTTGCCCAACCAGCTCTCCGCTGTGATGGAATTGATGATTTCCATCTACGATCGCTATCTTGCGCCGAAGGAGGGTGTCACTATCGTCAATGGACAGGAAGATCTTATTGCCTCGCACCGGAAGCAGGTCGAGCCTATGATGGAGCTTGTGCGTGACCAGAAGGAGAAATTGGCTAAGGAGGTTGAAAAGTGGTGCCAGGAGCGTGGGGTTTAGATCTAGATTGCTTTGCCTCTGTTACTTTTTTTTCTTCCTTTTCGTGGACATAAAAGAGCGTCCAGATTTGCTGGTGTAAATATGATTTCATGATTTTCTGAGTCTATTAAGAGTATTTAACTCCCTCACTTAGAACATTACAATACCCGCGGCCGACTACAAGCAGAACGTGTGGTTATAGGTACCTGGTTCCTATGGTAGTTTCCAAGAGTACAAGCCGTCATATTACAAAAGTGTAAGAGCCGCAGAGCCGCAGGCCTTAGCAGCAGCCACTGTCAAGGACCACCCAGTCTACTGCGAAGGTAAGCTAGGCAATGTCACAGCATCCCCCAGTACATACAATAGACTATTATAGAAAGGGTGTATCAAGTTGACGCCCTTTCGAACAAATCATATACTTCTATTTACGCGCCGACATCCAAGCAACCACCACCAATCATCTATTCAAGGCAACAAGCCATAATTGAGAGGCAACCAGTTCTATCCTTGTTGTCTCAGCTACATAAATAAGAGCAAATCTAGGTTCCCCGACGCTTTAGAGACCATCGTTTCGTCCGAAAGTCCCACTCGGTTCCCTTCTATCGTCCGGTCTTATACAGTCATGGTACCTGCCAAGAGGAAGAATTCCACCACAATACCCTCCCAGGATGGGACATTCACCGCCACACTATCCCCATCCGGGAAAGTTACCCTGAAGCCCATAGCAAAACCAACCCCGCCGTTCGGAAGCGGGAGCGTGTCGGAAACCCATCCTCCTAGCGCCCTTAGTAGTAGTAGGAACGCAGACCTAGGACCTACTCCACCGGGCCTTGCTCGCCGTGGGAATACTCCCCAGCCACCAAATGCGGCACCCCAGAATGGCCTCGCGCAGGACACGATTCCTATTCTGCAGAGGAGATTCACCGAGCTCGAGGGCGGCCGGGTGGTAAGACCACCGGATGGAAGATCGTATGGTAGATCTTTCTTGAATACGTGTAAGTTTTGCCAATCCGTTTGGCTTGTCGTATATGTTCCGCTAAGAGTGCCGGGGTCGATAGTGTGTCGGGGTTGGAAGGCTAGCGAGCAGTGGGCGAAGGAGCATCCGCTTACGATGTTCCTGATAAGCGTGCCTCTGTCAGCTGCTGGTGTGGGCCTCTCATTTAAGAAGTGACGAACGGAGACGGTCTGACTGATATAGCTATATGTCTATTTTTTATTGACAGTCATGTTTCTAGGGGGAATGGGGTTGATTGGGAAGCCACCAGAGTGCAAGTGTCAGCGTCGAGGGCTGTTATAACTCAAATAGCAGAGCGTTCTTGAACTGGGGTAACTGCAACCACTTATAGTCCATTCTTTGATTCATTCTCCACCCCTTTTAGTGGTTATTATATTGTTATTGCATGGAATACAGTCCCGGGACACTACAAAGCATATTGTTCAGTTCGAGAGTTGAGAAACCTGGATTTGAGAGTTCATAAACACTAATGCCAGATATACACTCGAGCATCGACACTATCCAAGCAAACCTCCACTGGCGGTTGGGTAGGAAAGGGATGCCGCGGAGTTGTGGGAATAACATTTCAGACTCCTTGACGCTGAGCCGGTAGGATTGGAGCGAGGTGGGGCGGCAGTGAGACAGGGCTTGGGTAGCGATGAATATCGAGGGAGTCCCGCAGAGGGTACATCTTGGTGGGACTTCCAGCACGCTCAATGTCGGCACTATTGATGGCATTATTCGGCGAGCCTGATAGTATCGTCTGCGTTCTCGGCGGCATCATGAGCACACTTTTAGCATACGTCGCACAGTCTTTAGCGGCTGCAATGTGCTGTGTCGGTTCCAATGGCCAGCCCAGGAGTATCAAGGGTACTTCTGATCCAGCCATGAACTGCTGCGTTGTTTTTCTTGCCTTGCGTCATGATTGAGGTTTGAAATGGCGTAGGGTGTAGATGAGCTAATGGGTCCTCGGTGATGGAGCGGAAGAGAAGAGGTATTGCAGGTATCGGAGAGCATAAAGGGCACGTCGAGGAAATCGCACCAAGCAAACTGCATGAAAAATTCCCGCTTATGATTTCCAGCAGGGGTGAAATACTTCAAGTAATCACCTCCAGCCCCCTCTCTCGCCCATAGGCAACAGCATCCGAAGAGACCCCCTCGCAGCCTCGAACAAACAGCCGATCAAGCTTAGCACCCTCCCGAGAATCAGAACTCCGTGCATCAGCAAAAAGGCGAATAGTCACACCCGTGATCTGCGTATAGGACAAGTTGAGCACTTTCAACTCGAGAAGCAGTGTGAAAATACGATGTGCCCCGACATCGTCCACGCCACGCATATGTGTAACACTAAGCTCCGTCATCTTCTCCAGCTTGGGGTTCGGTACCTCCGTGCTCTGAATCATATCGAAGAGATCGTAGATTCTGAGGTTGAAGCATTCGTTCAGATACAACGTTTTGATTGGAGCCTGGGCGTCGTTGATGAAGACCGGAAGGGTTTGGGGCGAGATGAATCCCGTGTCTATGAAGATGAGTGTGTGTAGATTCGGGAGTGGCCCATCTCGCAGGTCGAGGTATGTAGGTCGTCTTGCTGCTCCGCCTTGGACATGGAGGTGTTCAATGGTGTTTGGTAGAAGGGTGCAGAGGTCCTGTTCGATGGTTTTCCCACGGAGCTCTAGTCGGCGGAGATGGGGTAGATGACGGTCTGGGCCATGGGGGAAGGTGTATATGTTGTGTACCTCAGGGTCGAAGTCAAGGCGTAATTCTTCCAAGTTTGGGTACACAGGAGATTCACTGTTCTAGAGAGCTGTTAGCTTTGATTGAAGAGTTGGATAATAATTTACTCACCTCAAATAGCCCCGGCACCGATAATGCAGCCATATGCTGTGCCGTAGGCTGAGGCATGGTCTGCCGCGAGGCCAACGTGATGCTTTTCAGATTTGGAAGACTCTTGGGCCATTGACCAGAGTTGTAAAAGTCCATGTTTGAGCTCTTCATATTCCACAATGCGATGCGCTCAAGTTTTGGCAGGTCTGCCAGCAGCTTGCCGAAATAGTCATGAGAGATGGGCATATCTGCTGAAAGAACAAGGCTCTTTAGTTTCTTGCTGCCTCTGAATTTCTGGTAGAAGTCCTTGCAGTCGTGGGATACCCAGAGCTCGAGATGTTCAAGGCGAGGACAGCGGCTTAGAAATTCCAATGTCTTCGGCGTTGAAGCTGCAGATAAATTTTTGATAGTGGCGTGGGTAAGCATTGCCTTTGAGCGCCGGATGTACGACCTAATTGCAGTCCATGGGACTTTTCCACGAGCCCCGGTAAGGTCGATATTCATCCACAAATTTGTCATGGAGCCGAAGAACCGCTCCCAGTCTTTGCAGACACGGAGAATTCCCCTGAAGATTCGGATCAGAAGATGGGATTTAAGCGGTTGGGTAGAGTTCCGAAGACTTACACGATCTGCTTGAAGGAAAATTGCTGAATCACTAATACCGCAATCTCAAGTGGTAGCATCGTAAAAGGGTCATGTCGATTTAGACGCATGCGATCCTCTAGTTTCTTATGTAGTTGTTCCAGCATCTATAATCACATTAGTTTAACGGGACTGACATCGACATCATCTTGGTGACGAACCCCTCGTCGTGGATGCTCACTCGGGAGCATCTTCAAGCCATAGGCATAAATCTCCAAAGCCTTCTCTGGCTTGCCCTCGAGGATCAAGACTTTGCCACATCGCAGGTATCCCTGAACAATGATTAGACCGAAATCATATAGAATAGAACGAGCAGGACACTTACTCGTTCGTCATCCTTGGCAGTTTTGATCATTTGCTTTGCATCGCGTCGTGCCTGGTCATACTGCTCTAGCTTACAGTACGTCGCAGATCGGTTATCCCAAATGCCAATGTTATCCACATTGGGCTGTCTCAATGCCTGATCTCAATTATTAGCATGAGCTGCCCTTTTAGGTTAGAGTGAAAATGGGGCTACCTCTCCAAAGGCCTCAATCGCGGCCTTAAAGTCTCCCTTCTGATACAACTTCTGGCCCTTTTGTTGAGCAACCGACGCTTGAGTCCGCATTGGTTCTGAATTTGCCTCTTTTGACTCGACACACGAGTCTCAGTATCAGGGTTGGCGAGAAACACGCCCTTGTCAAAAGCGCGTTTGTGGTGATCGGCACGTGCCATTGTGGGGACTTGCATTATTTGTTTCTCTGCCCCGCCGGAGTGGCCCATGTTTACTTTCTTCCGCTTTGGATCATCGCAAGCTCTACGCAATAGCAACGGCCCGACATGGAGACGCAAAATCTACAGGCCGCGTCGACATATGTCAACAATCTCCTGCTGGCTCGGGGCCTGTTGAAGAGTGGCCAGGCGATTGATTTCGCCAATCCCGACAACCATGAGGGGGGCACCGATGCCACCATGGCGCGGATCATCAACCTGGTCAATGATTTGGTTTTGAGGAGAGACGTCAGTCATGACTTGTTATTCTGTGTCGCATTCATCCTAATATCTATCACAGCGTGAGGCAGAACACCGCGAGAGCTTGGCGACGACTATTCGAGTGTTGCGCGCCAGCGAGTCGGAGCAGACATTGGAGATTGTATGTACCTCCAGATCAACACAGGAACAAGCATGCTTATTATATTCTGCTTTATAGGGGAAATTAAAAACGAAGGCCTCCGAGTTAACGCGATCCCACGCTCTGGCAGAGGCCTCGGAGCGTGCGCTCAAGTCAAACATGTCAAGTTCCGAAGCCACCATTCGCGGACTCAAGGAACAAGTCCAGCGCATGAAGACCACCGTCCAACAAGTCCGAGCGCAATGCGCCAACGACATTCGCAAGCGCGATCTCGAAATGCAAAGACTCAGGTCACATCTAGCCGAGCGACAACGAGGGAAGCGTGAGGGGTTGACTGTCACTACAATCAACATTAACCCGGCGGCAAAGGGGTCGCAGTTGAGAGCTAGTGGTGGGGAGAGCGTCCGCAATCCCGGATACAGTTTACAACAGGAGACGACCGAATTCTTGACGGAGCTATGCCAGAATCTCAGCGATGAGAACGACACATTGATTGAACTTGCGCGGAACACCGTGACGACACTGCAGGAATTACAAGGATTGCCGGAAGGAGAGGAGCGGGATGGCGATGACGAAGTCTCTGGAATGGCTACAAGCGTTGGGCCACAGAAATCGGCTTCCGCCGTGACCTCGCTGCCTACGTCGTGTGAGGAGCTGTCTACCCGCATGGATGCGGTTCTAGACCACCTGCGCACACTGTTGACTAATCCCTCGTTCGTGCCACTGGAAGAAGTCGAGGTCCGAGACCAGGAGATTACACGACTGCGCGAAGGCTGGGAGAAGATGGAGAACCGCTGGAAGCAAGCAGTCACCATGATGGATGGTTGGCAGCGACGGGTGGCAGATGGCGGCGACTCGGTACGAGTGGAAGAGCTCAAGCGCGGCATGACTTTGGATCTGAGCTTCGTGTCCACTGAAGATGTCAGCATCCAAAGCCGGCTAGAGACGAGCAACATCTCACCTATTCTGGAGGACCAGCAAGAGGAGGACGCCGAGGCAGAGATGAATGAGACTGAAGACCGGGATCGAGAGCCTGAGACATCGAACCGCCGAGAGACTCGATCCAAGATTCGTAAAGTCCCCGAACGGTCCGATCGAGCGCTGCGAGAGCGCAGTGACAATGCTGCAGCTAGACCTAAGCGACTCCGAAAGGTATCTTTCACGCCTGGCCTACAAGGATCTCCCTGTGAGCCCAGTACGCAAGACGAGGAAACCCTGCAAATCAAAGCGCACAAATCAGAGGCTGTGACTAGGAGGCCTTCGCGACGAAAGACCGAAACCAACTCAGCTCGTCAGGTGAGCGAACCTACCCACGTGAAGGACTGCGACATTCAATACTGACCCTCTCTTTTCATTACAGACTACCACCAAAGACTCGCAACTGAGCGTCTCACAAAAACTTGCTGCCGTCGAAGACGAGGCGCGTCTCGCCGAGCAATCACGCAAAGAGCGCGAATCACGAAAGCGAAGCCGGCCCGAGAAGGCCTTTAGCCGGGCTGGTACTCGGCGGCGGAGTACTCTGACGAGTGACGAGTTGGAAGATCTCATGGGCGTTCCATCGCGGTAGGAACAAAATTAAGTTGGCTAACGAGAAGTGGAATCTAATTTCCGTCTAATTTACACCCCTTGTACATATAACATCGGATGAGCGAGCATTGTAAATATGGAGTCGCTGTTTTCGTTCTGTTGTCATTGTTCGGTTATGAAAATATTCTCTGTGGACATATACTTGTAGAGGGATTCTCGTTTGGCTGTAGGGTTAGGATGTCAATTTCTTAGGGAAAGTGAAGGCAAACCCTCTAGATTCGATGCGTTGGCCAAACCAAAGTGGTAGACAATATCAACCTTTCAAGTGACTCTAACGGTCAAAACGGAGTTCAAGGGAACTACCAACCGCCAAAATCGGTAACATACAACAGTTCTCTCGTGGCTCAGAGTAAATTATTTACTTCACGAATGCTTGCTATAGTCAGATAAACCTTGTGATAAACTATGATTGTTATGTCCTGTTATGCGATCGCCATGCATCGCGCATTATGGGTCAAACTCAGGTCCGTTATCTGAACCTCGGCTCATTTCGATACTCGGTTCTCCGCAATTCTTCACGCAGATCGCCCAGCTAATTTCTCTCCGTTCTACGATTCTCCTCCCTATCCAATCCATATAGGACCTGGTCTTCCTTATCCTCCTCTCCATTATTCTCTATTCCACCACTTCCAGAATTGCACCTGCTCAAGCTTTCTCCACACAACCCCCACGGCGCAAACACCCTCTCCACGAACCCTCAATCGCAACATACCAACCCTCACCCTCAAAATGACCACCTCACCACCAGCAAAAACCTTCACAGGCTGGGTCGCCCACGACGCCACAAACCCCCTCACCTACACAAGCTTCACCCCGAAACCTTTCACGCCCACCGACATCGAAATCCGAGTCACCCACTGCGGGATCTGCGGCACAGACGTCCACACCCTCCGCTCGGGCTGGGGCCCAACCAACTACCCCTGCGTCGTGGGCCACGAAATCATCGGGATAGTCGAACGCATCGGTACCGAAGTCCCAACCCTCCGCACCTCCCCGGCCTCAGCCTCCATCCGCGTCGGCGACCAGGTCGGCATCGGCGCGCAAAGCGGCGCCTGTCTGCGGCCCGAGTGCGAAGCCTGCGCCGACGGCGAAGAGAGTTACTGCACCCGCATGACGGGCACGTATAACGGGCGTTATCCGGATAAGAGCAAGTCGTACGGCGGATTTGCAGCGCGGTGGCGAGGACCGGCGCATTTCGTGTTCAAGATTCCCGATGCGTTGCCCAGTGCCGAGGCTGCGCCTTTGCTGTGCGGTGGTGTAACTGTCTTCGCGCCTTTGCGAAAGTACGGCGCCGGGCCGGGTAAGACCGTTGGTATCATCGGTATTGGGGGGTTGGGCCATTTGGGCGTTCTCTTTGCGAAAGCGCTTGGTGCGGAGCGGGTCGTTGCCATTTCGCGGTCTTCGAGTAAGAAGGCGGATGCGGTGGAGGGACTCGGTGCGGATGCGTTTATTGCTACGGGGGAGGAGGAGGGGTGGGCGAAGACTCACTCGCGAAGCATTGATATTCTACTTTCGACGGTTTCCGGTCCTGGGATGCCGTTGGGTCAGTATTTGCGATTGTTGAAGCGGGATGGTGTGTTTGTGCAGGTTGGAGCGCCGGAGGATGCGTTGCCGCCTTTGATGGCGTTCTCGTTGATTCAGAAGAGTGTTAAGGTGACTGGGTCGAATATTGGGTCGCCGGAGGATATTCGCCAGATGTTGGCGCTGGCGGCGGAGAAGCGGGTTTTGCCGTGGATTCAGAAGAGGCCGATGGAGGATGTTAATGCGGCGTTGAAGGATATGCATGATGGGAAGGCGAGGTATCGGTACGTTTTGGAGAATAAGGATGGAGAGGCGCAAGCGAAACTGTAAATGTGGAGTGCGGTGTTTGGGGGAGGATGTATATAGTTAGTCAATTTTGTACATATTCCAATCGGATGAATGGGGAAGCAGTTGTACCAATTACAGCGAGAAGCTCGCATACCCTAGTCGACTAATTACTAAAACCGAAGTCTCAGAATAGTTAATCTAAAATATGGCTGACATTAGCCCTTGTAGTCCTGATATCTGATTCGAGGTTTCCTCTATACGCGTAGCACAGCCATCTTCACCCCGGGTATAGTTCATCACACTATAAATCCACTTGCACTGCCACACTGCCACACTAACACCATGAATTTAGGCAACCACTGGCTCAAGAGGAAAAGAGAAATCCTTGGATGAGTACTTAAGAGCACTCCATCGCTCTCAATTGCCTTGGGCCTTTTTTCTTTGCTTATCCTTGACTTAACAAGTCACTGTGAAGCTGTGGCTTTGCAAGCCAAGCACGGTTGCCAAGGCATGCCACGCCGCATACAATGCGGTCTCCACCGGACAGAGTGCTAACTGGAGACGAGAAATAGTCAAAAAGCAACTATTAACTTCACACAGCAGTATGGCTTCTATATCTGGGCTTCGAATCGACGAGCATCAGTTGACCACATACTTACCATCCAGGCTGCATCCTGGTTCTTCCCATCGGCCAGTGAAGCACCATTTTCTCCTGAAAAACAAGGCATCCATACAAAAAGCTTAATTCCATGCATCAATGGAAGTTAACACCCTTCCTCCCAATCAACTAACCATCCAGTACCCCAAGTTTCCAACGCCTCAGGCCAACAATCCCCTCGGGTATCTCTCGGCCTTCACCAATACAGTACATACAATACTAACCCCTCCATCACAAAACGCGAGCAATACATCTTACAACCCTATTCACAGCCCTCCACCCTCAGTCCCGTCCTAATCTTACTCTCCCACCGGTTCTGGGTTCAAAAAAGGACATTCCAATCACAGATCCCAGCCAAACCAAACCCACAAACTAAAAACGTGTCACGCACACCAAGTGACACCACAAAAAGCCAAAAACTCTTTTAGCCCTGCCAGGCTGCCACGAAACAAAGAATACACGGAACAGAGGTGGAGCCCGGGATGTGGCCTCGAGCTTCCAGTCTCTAGTCTCCAGGCCCCCGCGGCAAGCCCCTCACCGCTAGGCTTCTTGTGGACATTGGTACGAATGTTTCAAGGGCCTAAAGTACACTATACGAAACATGTTGATTGTTGAAGATACCCTGTCTGGGTTACTGCTAAAGGGATGTATAGATCTTGACAGGACTCGAGTGTCTGTCGATATTATTTTGAGACACTTACGATTCAAGAGAGCCGGTACTGAAACAGATAATATACTGAAATTGGAATGAGATGGGGGTATTTAACTAAAAACAAGGCCTGAAAGTCACAAGTCACAGAAAGAATAATCTCGATACACTTCTGATCCGGTTTATATCACTGGATCTTCCAGATGCCCGAACCGTTTGCCAGGTCAGACACTCACTGGATGCGGCAGTCCTCTTCACCGTCATCTGGTGCGATTTGGCACTTCATTCCCTTGTTGAATGGATGTCATGGGTGGTGTGATGGGTTTTATTTAATGGAAGGTGCTGGGACTATGGCTGGCCGGTTCAAACGGCCCTTTCACTGCAACGGATTCGACCAGAGAAGTTATCGTCGCCGATCTAGATCTTCTCTCTTTGTGGTCGCCCTGGCCAGCACGGAACCCGGCCGTGTGTGTTGTGGAGGTATGTCGGTATGTCCATCGCGTGGAGAGGGTGCTCATGTGGAATAGGTTTTTCGGCTCGGTTCGATGGTGTTGATGCTTACATGCTGACGATGATTCTCCCAGCAGCGTCGGAATGAACTGTGTCGGAATGGTCGAGGGCAGATTGGTGATGCCCAACCATTAAAGATGGTGTATCCCTCACTATACAAAGGAGGGCGATGGAGTTTACGATCGTGGTAAAAATTGTGATCAAAACTCCGGCGTGCTCATGCATGTCGCCCCTTGCAGACTGGCATGGTTTCCAGGCTGACGTCCCGTGATGTTCCCCCACGACTGCATATAAACGTGAGAGCAACGTCTCACCCGTAACTACACAGTGCATTCACTGTGTAGTACTCGCTTGCTCTCACAGAGTATCCATCTTCTCCAGGTAATTCTCACCCAGAATACCAATCATCGCCCAGTGAACAAGCGGTCTCCACTGATCATCCAGAAGCATCCACACAGCCTTCGCAACGCGCACGCACCACTCATCAAAGCACCAGCGATGCTTAAGATACTGCAGCAGCACGCCGAAATGAGCCAACATGACCAGTGCCATAGGCTCACGCTCACGCAACAACTCCAAAAACCGCGGAGGCAATTTGATAGCCCACCGACCGGCAATTACGCTGGAGGTCATCCCGCCATACACCCAGCTCAGCATCTCGGCTATATTATCAATGGTGGCCGTGTATACCTCCGTCTCGTGGGATTGATCACGTGCCCCACAGACTTCATTCGCCTCGTGCAGATTGTTGATCGTCGCGGTGGCGTCTTCGGGAAGTCTCGCGTGCACTTCCTCTACTTGCAAGATAGGCGCGAAGTTACTATGACTGAGATAATCCGCCGGCGAGCGGATAACCTGCTGCACGCCACGGGTTAACACGAGGACCTGGTACAAATCATCGACGCAGGTCCAGGGGTCCTGCACGTCGGGTGTGTGCGGGAAACCAAAGGTATACACCACGACGATACCGGCGAAAGCGAACATGGCCTTGGCATTGGACTCGTTGATGTCGCCGAGTAACTCGCGGAACAGGGCGAGAGCCTGATTCTGGTGCGTGACGGCACGATTGAGATACGCCGCGCGCCTCGAAGTCTCGGGACCCGTTCGGGCGAGATGGAGCGCGGAAAGCGCCAGAATACCGTGCATCAGGAACGGGTGTGCGAGTGCCTCTTCAGGCACGGCATTGCGCCAGACTAGATCTGTGCGTTCATTTCGGGAGAGCGTGTGGTAGGTGTCATTACACCAATGCATCATGAGTTCCAAATCATGCAGATTCAGAGCCGACGTGGGCGTAGCCGCGGGTAACCCGTCGCCGCTAAGCCGACCCAGAATGCCGAGTGAGTCGGCAGGCGGGCTACTTAGAATTGAGTCGCTTGGATGGCCGCTGTCCGAGCCTGACGCTCGAGATGATTGTCGACCCACGGCTGGTTCTTCATTTGCCCAGAGTAAAGAGCTGGACGAGCCATATTCGCATTCCGAATGACGCTTGGCGCAATTGGAGCAGGTTGGTCTGGCTTCATCGCACTGCAGGGGGAGAAAAAAAGGAGGATTCGTTAGAACTAACAATTTTTAAAACAATTACGAAAAAACCAATGCGTGTTTGGCTTTTTATAAAGATCATCACGCGAGTCCATACCTTGACTCGTCGGCGCTTGCATTCCAGACAGCCGTGGCGGGATTTGCGATGTGGTCGACGGAGCGCCATTGGGGGTCATGCACAACAAGCAGATGGTCTAATGGTCGCCATGATCTGGTGGAGAGAGAGAGAGAGAAATTGAGGCTCTTGAAAGGTAAATAAAAGGGAAAAAAGAAGAAGATGTATGAGAAAAGGCTTGATTTCTACAAATTACGAAAAGGAAAAAAAAAACCAAGTAAAAAAAAATTAATTTTCCACAGCCTGGTGGTGAAGCGTAGGCAACAGGATTCATCGTGAACAGAACGGGGTCCGCGGGGAGGGGGAAACCTCGTATGGGAAAACAAAAACAGTAAACTTGGAAAAGTAAATTATCATTCTGGTTAGACGTTACGGGAGCACAAGTCATCACTTACGGAGTATAGTACAGCCTCAGTACTAGCTAAAGCGACCAAGACTGTAAGTCTTGTCCTAGTAACTAACTGGGGACTAGCACCAGGTACGCTTATCTAAGGGCCGAACCCTGTCGATCAAACAGACGGCGAGAAAGGCTTGTCCACCGTTGTGAAACATTGTCTTGCTTCGCTTCGCCAGCACTGCCTCCCTTGGTATTGCTCCATTTTGCTCTATCTGGGCTTAGGGTTGACCTCGACCGGGGCCTTAATTGTGCTGGGCATGCCACTGCGAGGATGTGATTGGACCCGCCCCATGCAAAGCTGAAGAGCGGGGGGCTGGTTCAAATGAGAATATTCAATGGGCTAATTGTCTCGTGGTATCACGCAACCCACGGAATTACACAAGTTTGAAATCTTGTATGGAAGTTAATCGATGGTGGGCTTTCCAGTAATAGGAAGGAGTATAATGCCTAGCCAGCCACAGACTATACAATTTGTATACAATCTCTTGTACGGAATGGAATTACTTTGTAAAGGTGTACTTCCATAAATTACTGCGCTAGATGGCCAGACTTAAGGTTATACGAGTATATACGTCATAAAGTTACCTACTAAACTACTCTCAGAAAGACCCTGAAAGGCCTTAAAACCTAAGATTATCCGTCTAAGGTAGAGCATCAATTATCATTTATAATCACCAAATGTTAATTCTACTCTCGTCATCATACAATCGTACATCAAGTAATAATAAAGGTACAAGAAATCAAGAAGACCAAATTCCCCCTTTCCCCACTCCGTTCCATCACTTCGTATAAACGTGCAGATTTCCACTCCAACAGTGTCTTGGCTCTTCTTAGGTTCCCCTCCGAGGTAACCATCCCCCATCCATTCCCCTCCAAAATTCGGCTCGCTTCAAAGTTCCCAGAAATTCAAAACCACCACCACCACAATCACCACCAACTAGCCAGCCTTCTAGGCTCCCAAGTCCAGACGCCAATACATTCGGGACTCCCTAGATCCAAAGCCTTGTTAAGCGCCCCCACCGCCCCCACCAGCACTAGCTGCAGCCTTTCGAGCCCGAGCGAGTTTTTCACGCAAGGCTAGCCCGCTCACCAACACCATAAGCTGGAACCGCTCTCCATACTGCACGTAGATATCCATCTGCCCACTCGTCGAGGTAAAACTCCCGCCCGACGACAAAACCGCCAATACCCGGTCCGACTCGTCCACCAGCTTCAAGCTTCCAGAGAACCGACTACCACCCAGCGAGCGCGTGCGTTTCCACGTAAACGTACGAGGTTGATGGTCGCTGCCGATTCTCATGCGGAACGAGTATCGGACGGTCATTCTGCTGTCGCGGTTAAGGCAGAACCATTCGATCGCGTGAGCTTGCGCAGGATCGCCTAGCCCGATTTCCGTGTCCGATGAGAAATGTCGGTATTTACTGACCCCCGCGATGGGTCCGGTGGTGTTGGCTCCCGCGTGGAAGGTTAGATCGGGCTTGCCGGGTGTCCAGTGTGAGTTGTCCACATGGTAGATTGTTTGTCCGTGGGTTGTGATGTCCCAGGCCTTGTGGAAGAGGCCCCTGGAGATTGTGTATTGGGCGATTGGTTGGGATCCGTAGCCTGACATGGTCGTACTGGGACTTTGTAGTTGGATCGGAGTATATATTATATTGGTGGTATAGTTTGAAGGATCGGATTTATGTAGAGAGTAGATGAGAGAAATTGCATTTCAGACAAGAGTTTTGTAATCATTTATAGGACTTGTTCATCGACAATGTCTACTTCGTATTCTATCCTTTATAAGGCCACTCGTCCACTTGTCTGTCTCTGCTGCGGACATGCTAAAATAAAGTCTTTCTCTGGGTCACGGCAAGGCTGAGGTCATCCAGCGGTATATAGGACCCTGTCAGGCCAAGATCATCGGCTCATCGGGCGCACTGGCCCCAGCTTGATGATGAAGGGCACCCCAAGAACGATTTGGCAGGGCAGTGCTTGAACGATTATGCGCCAATCACCTCGGCGGCCCCCAAAGGGAGGCAAGGTATCAGTCATGTGATTATATCAGTCAGCAGAGTTGGTGCCTGACTGCCGTTGGTGCCTGTACACGTGATGATAGTCGAGGCTCCCAATCAGTCACATGACCTGACCAGCTCTAAAGTCACATGACATGAGATCTCGCGGGCGATTCTCAGGCGCGTCTGAAGAGGACGAAACGAAGCAGAAAAAAAACATTCCGGCAGATCGCCAGATGATGGATCGCACTTAACTCACCGACCCATCTCTTACTTTTCTCCATCATCTGGTGCCACCCACCTTTCACTCATTGCGCCATTGCCTCCCTTGCTATCCTTCGCTGCTGCAGCTGTTGCGGCCCAAAAAGTGTCTCTCGGAGAGCAAGCTGTTGATCCATCTTTTGTCTCCGTGATCTTAACCCCCCCACAACCACACGCATCATGTCCTTCAAGGTCCCCTACGAATCGAGCCCGCCACCCTCTACGCCGGACAAGTCCAAAGGGCAGAGCTTCTGGAGCAATGTCTCCACGACACCTGCCGGCCCGCCGCCATCAACGGCAAACTCATTCACTCCGCAAGGGCATCCCCCATCGACCGCGTTCGGAACGTCGCAGTTAGATTCGCATTCCAAGGTCAATTTTGGACAATCGAGTAACTCGCTTTTCACCAAATCTGGAGGTTTCAAGACGGGCGACAGTATCTTCGGATCTTCGTTTGGTTCAGACTTTGGTCTTCCCAAAACAAAGGCACCTCCCGCCAGACCACTCGCACCTACACCGTCGCAGGGCCGATTCGGTGGTGCCACGAATGGCGGCTCTTTCGGGCGTTCCGTAACCTTCGGCGAGTCCAATGGTTTCGGTTCATCTCAGATGGACCAGTACGAGGAATACGAAGACGAAGGCGAAGAGGAGATGGAGCCCGAGGAGGAGGAAATGCAAGAAGAGGAATATGAGGACGAAGCCGAGGAAGAAGATGCGGAGGGCGATCTGGACCTGAGCACTCGCGAACCCTCCAACCGACTCAGTTTCTTGGATTCCACCTATGGCAACCCATTGCCAGCACAAGCCCCCGCGTTCGGCCAAGTGCGTAAACAGATCTACTCGAACCCTACCGATGCAAAGCGCCCGAAGCTTGACGAGCGCTGGGCCAACCAGTCACCACTGCGCAAGACGAAACTGTCTCCCAAGAAAGCGTCTGCGATGCCCTCGATTCTGCACAACATGGCCTCGAGAACCCGCCTACCCCCCGCCGATGAGCCTGCCGATATGATCCTCAACACGGAGGATACGATTCTCAGACTGTATGATGAGCTGCAAAGTGTAGAGTATCGGCATCTCGATCTCGATGGTGTGCTTTCTCACATTTCCAACAAGCTTGTCAACACTTGGGATACATGCGCAGACCGCAGCGGGATTTCTAGACCTTATGGCGTTGGCTCGAGCATTGGCCCTGGAGAGGACGCTCCACCACTGGTCAAGGCTAGCTTTTTGGCTTCTCTATTGCTCCAAATTCACCACCCTTCTCGAGGTTCTGCTCCAATTGCAAGCGCATCGAACCCTGCTGCGCGCGTGGCACCTAATAGTCTGGTCAAGGCTATGCAGCGTGCTAGTGTGGCCACTCCAATCCCACAGATTCTACTGGACTGGCTGAACGGAAACCACGCGTCTCAGACTAATGATCTGCAGGCGCTGCGGTACGTGGAGCCTAACCCGACTGCTTCATCAAACTTCTGGGATATCATCAACGCAGCCGTTCTTCGCGGCCGTTTCGCCGAAGCGGCTGAGATTCTTCGTTCTGCGGATTTCAACTATGCTCGATCGGCGTTGGAAGATGGCCTTGCCCAGCCCGGCTATCGTGGAATGCAGCTGCAGAACATCCAGCGCTGCGTCAATAAAGCGCTTCAGATTCTCGACTCTTGCCCCGGCTTCCAAGATGACGACTGGGCCATCACCGGTCCTGATTGGACCGATTATCGTAAGAGTGTTCTCTCCGCTGTCACCGATCTCGAAGAGTTCGCCGAGGGTGAAGAGCGAGACCAGGCCCAAGTGCCCGTGCAAAATCACGGGTTCCAGGCTGTAAACTTTGGTTTATCGAACTTTGGCCAGGGTCAGAACCAGGTTAGCTTCACTCAGTCTGCGCGTATGGCCGAGAGTCGCGTGCCGTGGACCATCTATCAAAGCCTGCGATCGCTGTATCGGATTATTCTGGGTGATCCTGGTACTATCAAGGATTACTCGCAAGACTGGGTCGAGGCGACTATTGGTTTGACTGCATGGTGGGACGGCGAAGACGACGGCGGTGCTTTCCGCGCCAGCACGACGAGTGTTGACTTCCAGCGCTCCCGTGGATCTCGGAACCAGCTTCGCGAGGTGGATCGCAACATGCGAGACGCATATCTGCGCCGCTTGGACCTGGCGTTCAGCAGTGCGACTAACGAGCCGTCCGATGACACCGGTTTCCGGGTGAACACTATGAACAGCTTGGAAGTTGGTTTGGCGTCTGTGTTTGAGGGCAATGTTCAAGGTGTGCTGGCATTAATACAGTCATGGTCTCTTTGCATCACGGCTGCAATCACGGAAGTGGCCGAGGTTGCTGGCTGGCTGCAGGATGGAAGCCAGCAGAAGATGCCAGGTCTCAGCGAGAATGACCTTATGGTTCTTTCTTACGGTCAGGGCACCCTGCCTCCGTCTCGGGAACTTACTCGGGATGAGGCGATGCGGAATTATGCGTTTGGATTGAATGAGCGCCATTCTATTGAGAACGAGACTTGTTCTCGTGATGGCTGGGAGATGGCCATTCAAGTTCTCTCCCGCCTGCACGATTTGGACATGAGGAAGAAAGCTGTCACGGAGATCGTGGAAAAGCTACCGCTCGACAATCTTGATCAGCTTGATAAGCTGGTCGTGCTGTGCTCAGATTTGGCATTGGAAGAGCAGGGTCGGAAGATTGCCGAGGTATGTTTTGTTTCGTTTATTGACAGAAACCCGCATACTAATCTCTCTTATAGCGCTTTGGTGATTTGACCACCGACACCTCGGAGAACTACGGTCTCGCTCTCGTCAGCTATGCCCGTGCCCACAACCGTCGCAAGGTCCGGGCCGTCGTGGAGCTCCTTATCTCTTTCAGTCTGGTGCAATCGCGCGCCTACCCTGCTGCTGCCGATCTGGACGATCAACTCAGATCTTTGCTCAAGGAACCCAAGACATGCCTTTCGTCCATTGCTTCAATCAACGAGGAAGCCGCCAGTATCCTTCAGTTCTACCTTAGTGGATATGCCACACTTCGCCGGTTCTATGAAATTCGCGATGAGGCGTTGGGATTGGCGGAGGGCCAGCTCCCGCGATTCAAGCCGCTTGCTCGTCGCCGCGCTGCAGCTAAGGCTCTTGCGGCAGTTATTAGCAGTGCTGCCGATAATATCTACGGTGGTTTGTTCGACCCGGAGCGTGACTCTGCCGTCCAGGTAGATGGGTTGATGGCGTTGTTGGGCGAGGCATTGCCATTCGTCAACCGTGAGTTCGCCCCTAACTTTGTGCTTTTAATTCATTAAGTTACTAACAACACACAGAACCATCCCCCATCCTCACCGTCTCCCAGCAATTCACAATTCTCTCCGCAATTGAAGACCTCGAAACGGTTACCCCCCGGGTCTATGCCCAATGCGAAGAATGCTTCCGCTCCACCCTCCTCTCCGCAAACGCAACAACCTCCTTCCCCTCCCCTCCATCCCCACGCACTCTCCTCAAGAAATCCGTCTCCGCCTTTTCAGCATCAACCTTCTCTATTATCGGTTCCGACATGCTCGAGTCTGCCCGCACCCGCTCTGCTTCGGGCTCGGTTCCCACTTCCACCGGTAGTTCGGGCGTGCTTGTCCCGCGACCTGGCGATAAGGACGCCGGGTCGGTCCGTGGTTGGGATTGGAGGGTGGGTCTGCCTGAGGGGACGAGGGGCGAGGATGTACTCCGGATGTTGAGATTGGGGCTTGCGCGTGGCTTGAGTGTTGGTGCCTTGGGAGTCGTTTAGTGTTTGGTAAAGTGAAGCTGGTCTAGGTCTAGGGCCGGGTTCAGCGTGTGCCCATGGCATGACCAGCTGAGGATTTCTGGCGATGAAGGTCTGGAGCATGTATGATTACTTTGGCGTTGGGTATTTTTTTTTCACTTTTACTTTTTACTTTTTTTTCTCGTGTTGGCTGTGAGCCCTGGATGCATGATAATAGCATTTATCTTTTTCCACTTGGGATATTTGTTTTTTCTTGGAGGTCTTTCATACTCGACAGTAGTTTTTGCCGAGTGTGGCTGGTGGTCAGGTGAGCTTGGGACAGATAGACTGTCTTGTCTGACTAGTTGGAGTGATAAGCCCCATGTGGGTGTATTTTCGTAGATTGGAGTGGAGTGTATTGGGACTGTAAAGCGTGTTGATTGTTAGGTGATTCTGTAGTGATCATGTATAGTGAGGTTGTTGATCTATGGTTGACATACCGGGGAATACAGCGGTAGTCTGAGATTAAACCGACTAGACTTTGAAATAGCTTCGTCTAGCTTAAGAATAATAATTACAGTGGTGATTGCATAGCTATCTACGGAAATAGCCTTAAAATAGAATAAAGCTTTCTAAAAGAGTGGAAGTTGAAGAACATCTGGTGGTACTGTTTTCGGGCTCTAGATTCAGAGACTGAAGAACTGCATTCCAAAATAATTCCAATCTACATTTACACCTGAACCCGGTAGAATGTCTTAAAACAATATCCTATTCAATCTAAATGCAAGATAATATTACATTGCATATTCAATATGATAATCTCTCCCCAAGCTCCTGCAGTAGTGCGACTCTCCCTCGACCATCTCCAGCTGACACACGTTTCATCTTTGGAACCAACCAGCTCCTTTTCTTTTTTTTCCTCCCAACAACCAATCACCTCGACTCACGGAGCTTCAGCCCTACAGCATTACCCCTTCCATTATTAAATTCCCTGACGAAAACGAGCCAGGAGAGTTGACCCGACCGTGACAATCATGACACACCCGAGGAAAGACCATCAGCAGCTGAATGGCGGGAGCCTAATCCACTCTAGCGGGCAAGACGGCCCCGCCGAGATCTCGATGGGGATACCGATACCGTGATAGATGGGAGATGGGAACCAGATGAGAATCTGAAATCACCGACCAGACACCGCTGTGTCAGGATGAGGTCGTGGTATACTTGGGTTCCTCAGTATGGGAGATCTTGCATCGCGAGACGGTGTACGATGGATGCATATGCAGCAGCGCATCCCGAGGTGCAACAAACCAACATGCCCGGGGAGGATCCACAATGATGCACAGCGAGGCGGAGTTCCCAGCGCCCGATGAATCATAGCAAGGAATTGCAAAAGTCCCAAAGCTAGCGTCCCGACAATTCCAAGAAGCCAAGCCTCGTCCCTCATCTCCGGGGCCGATGTCTGCCTCCCACTCAGCCTCGCGCCATGTGGTCTGGCGCACGACTACGGCAGACTAATTGGACTGAACGGGGTTAACTGGGTTAACAGCCACCGAGGACCTGGTCCTCACCGACTCCCCCTGCCAAAACCTGGTCTCCTGCACCCCGGCTTAACGGTGCGTTCACCGTCTCTGCGGCTTAGCTCTGGGATTATTGTCATCATTCTATTCTTCGACCTACAACTGACTCAACCGAGGGACTTACTTCTTCCCCCCTCTCTAGCCACAGCTGCTACCGTCTGCTCGGCTCGGCTCATGGATACTGCGCTATTCTTTCTGACGTGAACTGCTGCTCCCTGCAATGGACTCTGATCGGGACTTGGGAGCCACAGTCGTGTGGCTCACCCCCCCGCGGGGCTGACGGGTTGTGGATTCCCTGGTTTCGTTTCTTTTGGTGGTTTCGACGGTTGATTGTGTACTAGAGCGCTGAGATGTTGCACAGAGTGGCCTGATGATACCTATTATTATCAATATTGTCGCGAATTTAACTAATTTTTACCAAATTGCCTAGCTGATTCTAGCTTGCCAGTACGTACTGTATATTCACTGGAAATCAAATGCCGATGACGGAGAATCCTGAAGATGTCATTGCGACTAGGAATTCTCCCATCTTCAAGCCTCCTCTAGGTAATTCCCCACTTTACTAAATACAGAAACAAGACTAATCCTAATCCCGAGTTTCTTTCCTCTCCCCCTCTCTCTTCCAAGGTTCCTCGGGGCGTCTGGCAGCCAAGTATACTCCATCCACCATGCATAACGCACCAGTCACGAGTAAACGCTAAACTACAAACCTAACTAACCTAACTCCGACTCATACACTGACTCCTTCCAGTAAAGGTCCCACCCCCCCATTCAGCTCCTCGTTCGTATTTCCCGATTGGCGTTTTCCCCCTCTGCTCGTCGGTGTTTTCCGAGAAGTGGATCCCCCGCTTGGGCCATTTTGGCTTTATCGTTGCCTGGGGTGTCCACCGTAGGGCTGGCCGTTTGGTAAATCTTGTGGGATGCCTTGCATTCTTGGTAAAACTTGTCAGAGCATTTGCAGCTGGTGGAGTCCCCTGTGGGTGGATACTAGTTGTACTGTTAGTGACTCCATCGGTTTAGGTCACTTTGGGCCTAAGATAGACTTTGTGCTTTTTTGGAGAGACTTTCTGTATATAACATCCCGGATGGGGCCGGTGGTTTTGCGTCTTCTTGCTTGATTATCATTCTTCTTCTCTTCATTAGACCTACTCCCTTCGTTATCCGGTCCATTTTCTTTCTTTTCTTTCGTTGATTCGATCCAGTTCCTTTTGTCGTCTTGCCCTTTTATCTGTTCGAGGCCCGGATTGCATTCTCTATCTAATATTAGGGCTGGTTCCGACGCTCGCTCGATTTATTTTCGATTCTATTTCTTGCTTCTATCGACCGAGGTCTATCATTGCATCGCGTCGCATTGCATCAACATCTATATCTACATCTACATCTACATACTCAGCTACATCTACTTCTATATCTACACCACGCATCCAAACCACCTCACTCAACACTATACCACTACACCTGTACTACAACCAACACAATCAAAATGTGCTACAAAGTCGTCGAACGCTACTCCGTTTGTAAATGCGTCTACTTCCAACACTCCATCGACCCCTGCTCCGCCTACGGCCAACGCGGCCACTCCGTCCAAGAAAAGACCGTCCTGGTCGGGTACGCCTGCTCACGCCATTCTGCGCGCGGCGCATCCTCTTCGCCCACTGCTGGCCGTGGGCCTGACTCGGGATATTCAAGTTCCAAGGGCTCGTATCGGTAGTTTTGTCGTATGGTCTGCTGGGTGGACTGCGGCGAAACTACGAGTTTGACTGTTACTGTTACTGTTACTGTGAACTGTGACCATGATCATGATCATGAGAATGACTGCGCTATGAGTATGAGACTGCGACGAGGATACGGCATTGACCCGAGCCGAACCGAACCGAATTGAGCCGGACCAGGGTAGCTCAATTCGGTCATCAGGAACGAGGAAAAGAATGAGGATGAGGACGAACGCAACACTGTTCTGTACTTTGGAAGATGAGGACATGCCAGAACGAGGTATCTACGACCGGAACGACGAATGACAACTCAACCCCCCGAACCGAACGGACGAATAAACAAACACAGCCGCTCTCTGCGAGAGTCGGCCATGTATAATCCCACATTGTGATCAACTCCACTCTCGACTTCGCTTTGCTTCGCCAACCCTCGCAGAGGTCTGTCGGTACTGGTTATCGATGGGCTGTTATAGATTCCTGGTGAATCTACACCAGCTGCTGAATAGGATCGTGGACCGATTGTGTTCAGCAATTCATGGCGATATATCGCAGGCGCATTATCGCGATGGATGGTACATCCCGAGGTCGACGCGAGGTAGAGCTGCAGGCAATTGGGGAGGATAAGACGAATATCAACGACAGGGTACGACACGACACCGCGGGGACGGACATGTATTTTAGGGGCACATCATATCGCATCACATCGACTCGACAACCCTCTCTCGACTTGACCGGATCAAGCTAGAAGGGGGTGTGCTGACGTTGGTTTTGGTGCCATGGTTGCTTTATTTTCAGTGTTGGCTCTGTGAGCCGTGGCTATCATTCATTGTTGATTGTTGGTTAGGGACTGTAAGGCTGTTCCTTGTTACTGTCGACTGGTTTCGGCGGTGATGATTTGTATGTCTATTGTGCTGCAGGTGCAGGTGCATTGGTGTATTGGTTAGAAGTCGAGCGCGTGTGATTGTGTGGATAGGATTGGAGTGTTGGGTTTTACTGTCGTTTACTTTTAGGTGTTTAATACTATGTCCTTCTTTTTTTAATTAGCTGGCTTTTAGGGGAGGATGTAGAAGTTAGGTTCTGAAGTAGATATCGCTCTACATACAGTACCATTTTCCTCTTTCGGGTGGGGCTTGCCTTTCTGAGCTACGGCCACTTTATTAGGGCGCGCAGAGACTAAATCATTAAGTAACCGAGTGCTTAGTCCAGGTTCAGGCTGAGTGACCAGATCAGTATACTCGCGTGGCTGATCAGAGGGCACTTAGCGAGCCAATTTACCGATTACTCGGGGCCTATCATATGAACCTATTTATTAAGCACTCAGTTCGCGCTCGTGTATAGGAACTGCACAGCCCCGGTTTAAGGCCTACTGAGTAATAAGCGATCAACGTAAGGTTAGGAAAGTGAGTGACTCCGCGCCGAGCTTGATAGGGTGGAATTCAAGGCAAAGAATTTTGATCATGATTTCAAAATGATCTCAGTGATTTCGTATTTGGCAAAGTAAGCGGCCGATCTGATGAATTCAGCCAGAGGTCTATCAGCATCTTAAATTGGCTTGTTGTTAACCGAGACGCTTGTTAGGTGCGTTATCCCACATGCTGAGCGATACCTAAACCCCCATTGGCGCATCTAGCTTTTAACTTTCTTAGCGCACTAGAATGCTCTTTAGGTACTTCTCTGGTCGTTCTGCAGATTGCGAAAACATGCAAGATTGCGCGACATAGTTAGCCTGATAATGTGAAGAAAATCAGGAACACAAGTCCTTGGCACACGTGTGCACTAGTCGCCGTACGATTTGCAAGGATGTGCGGGAGCTAGCTCATAATCTTGCCGTGCAATGAAGATGCCAAAAGCTTCTAGGGCCTTGTAGATATACCCGCCGTGCTACGGGAAACCCCGCGCCACCCGCAAGACAATTGTTTTGTACCCTGCCAAACAATTGTCAAAGTTCGATTCTCACCACAACTATTGACGCCATTATCACAGTGAGATGATCTTTTGGTATTGCATTTATTCATGTTTGGAAAGCCATAATTCCCTCAGTTTGTTAGTGTACGGAATAATTCGTGTTAAGAGAACTCTCTACATTGAAAAGTGGTGTCATGCAAGCCCGCCCCTAGGGTGGTTAGTGCTACGGACTCCGTCGCTACACGTGGTCGGCTGCCGGGATATAACACGATAGATTGATATTTCGATACTACCTCGCTTGCATCTTCGGGAATTTATTGCAGATCGCGAAGCGACGGAAGTTTAAAGCATTTAAAGGGTTTGGGGTTGGACGGGTATATATAGATAGGGAAATGTCGCTCTAAACTAGATTGTAATCTTCGAGGAACAACTTATTTCTCAACATTACCACCCCGGATACTATGATCTTCTCGAAGACTACTGCGCTTCTCGCGCTGGCGTCGGGAGCCTACTCTCAGTCGCAATATACCTCCACTGGCACTGCTGCTGTAGCCAAGGCAGCTGCCACCGCGCTGACACTATCCCCTACTTCGAGTGTCACTGGTTTAACTTTCGATCGGTTCGTTCAGATCTGGCTGGAGAATGAGAATTATAGTGCTGCCATCAAGGATAGTGAGTGAACAATAACGTGGGATTCGAATATAACTCACTTTGCTAACCTGGAATTTAGCAAACCTCGCCTATCTTGCGTCTCTGGGCATCACACTCACAAATTATTTTGCCATCACCCATCCCTCTCAGGTAGAATGACCCGAGATTTTTAGATTGTCCATTTTTGCTCACATGGGGATCACAGCCTAACTATGTCGCCGCCGTTGGTGGCAGCACTTTCGGGATCGCTGACGACAGCATGCACTATATCTCTTCCAGCACCAAGACCATCGTTGACCTCCTGGAAGATGCTGGCGTCAGCTGGAGTTTGTATCAGGAGGATATGCCTTATTCTGGCTTCGAGGCCAATTATCCCAACCAAAAGACTGGCGCAAATGACTACGTGCGCAAGCACAAGTGAGTCTAGTCTCCCAATGCAAATATTATGCAGAAGCACAGAGCCACTAACAAAGTATTTTGCAAGTCCTCTAATGAGCTACAACTCGGTGACATCGAATACAGACCGTCTTGCTAAGTCGAAGAACTTCACTATGTTCTATGAAGACCTGAACAACAACGAGCTGCCTCAATGGATGTTCATCACTCCTAACATGAGTATGTGTTTCTCTATTCTATGTCAAAATTCTTTGAACTTGAACTAATTCAAATGCAACTTCGCAGCCAACGATGGCCACGATAGTTCCCTAGCCGCAGCTGGAACTTGGTCCCGTAACTTTTTGACTCCGCTGCTCTCGAACTCAAATTTCAATACTGATCGTACTCTGATCATCCTTACCTTTGACGAGGGTTTGACCACTGGAACAAACCAAATTTATGCTGCCCTTTTGGGTGGTGCAGTCTCCAGCGCCAAGGTTGGTACCTCGGATGACACTGCGTATAATCACTATAGTCTGTTGAAGACTGTGGAGACCAACTGGGCTCTGGGCAACCTTGGAGAGAACGATGTGGATGCCACTGCGTTCTTCTAGGGGGCTTACAATGATGACCACGGAGGAATATATATAGCACGAGGCTACAAAACATCGTCTTTAGTACCAATCGTCAATTAAATTTAGTCGAATTTATTGATATTTATCATGCAGATCCTCTAATTTAGTCTGGCATCGTGATTAGAATGAAGTTTTAATAGTTAGAAGATATAAAGGGTCATTGCAGGTCCAACGGACGTGTTAGTAAGTATCGTTGTTGTTGGCCAAGGCATGAATGGGGTTCATATATTCATTGTAGATATCTAAAAGAAGATTGTTTAAAAGATTATGACGACCTATCCCTAATAGACAAACTTTCCTGGACGAGGAGCCTGCGCAGCTGATGCTGTAACCTTTCCAGATAATCAATAGGCTTCATCGCCTTGATAGCCAGGATTTGCAATTTTATTGATTCCACCGGTAGTAATCAGAATGCCCAACGGAAGCCTAGCTGAGAATAAAGATTATTTCATTTCCATGTGGGAAACCGCTACCGGTAGATCTCAAACTTAGCGAGTTGGAGGTTTCCATGAGAAGGCTCATACAAAGCCAGCACTTTTCTTTCAACTTCAACGTGTACTTATAATTCGCATTTTCTCTTCAAAAGTTAGAGCGCACGCTTCATTCAATTCATGCCAGAAAGGACTTCCATCGGGTATAGGATCTGGACACGAGCAACTGAAAGTCTGGATATACAGTGACTCTAAACTGTACCAGTGGCAGCCTCTTCGGTTCCTGGAAAGTCTTCACTGATGCAATATCCTCATCCTAGTGCGCTATATACACCATCATGCTGCCAGCGCATTTACTTCAACATCAACTTATATTTGTGTATTCATATTTATCCTGGCTACAGTGCCCTTGTATGACAAGTACTCTTTGCCGGTGTCAATTTCGCTTGAGCCACGAGGTGCTATTTATTCATCAATCGATGCACCACTGCCAAGGCAAGGGTTTACTTGGCAGTGCAGGGTAATGTTGATCGGGAATGCTAGGTGTTGAAAGATTACTGATTTGGCTGAGAAGCGTTTAGAACAACCATCCTATTGTAAAGATTTCCTTTCTCGACTGATGACGATGATGTATACACCACCGCAATGAATTCGAAAGGAGAGACAGCTCCTTTAATATCTACTTTGAGTTTTGATGACTCGACCCCATTGACCTCGACGACTCGGTCGTATGGTGCTGCGTCCTCCTGTTTGCACCTGCATAGACTTCCCTGCAGGTTTGATGGTTGATTCCAGGACCAGCCCGTTGTTCTTTGTCATATAGACCTATTTAGGTCTTTCCCTTGTTCTTTTCCTTCTTCTCTAGACCATCTTCGTCTTCATGTCTAGCTAGACCAATTTGACTCGGATCCCTCTTTTTGCTTCCTTGCGTAGGTGTCGATGGCACCATCAAGTTTGATACCCCAATTACTACCCACCGGGCCCGTCATATTGTATAAAATAGGGAGGCAGATCTGGTCAGTGTTTTGAATTTTATTAGCAAGGAATTTACTCAGGCTTCGGTGGGAGAACATCATTGCTTATCAGCGATGTCTGAAGAGTCACTACTTTTCGCACATCATCTCCACCACAGACCGTACCGAACTACTTATCCAACCAAGAAGATATTCCTGCAGTCTCAAAATCATATCGAGGAGGAACCTCTACCTCAAGGTCAGACCATCTACCGGTCTATGCACACAAAGGCGTGGAAATGGAGGAGTGGGTAGATCTGGAGAAGCGATCGTATGATCCAAAGGCGTCGAGTTTCAAGCAATATGTATAACATGTCATTTTTGGAGGTCTAGTCTATTTGGGTTTGTGGCAGTTTCCTTAGTTCTATATCAGTCCGCTCAACCGTTGTTTTCTCTGCTACTGATTCAATACATCTATCCTAGTTGTTCGGCCCTTCAATAGAAGGTTTTTAGTATTTTGATTCAGCGCACACCCAAGTAACATAAAACCCAGTAGATTAGAATATCACAACTACCACTCGACTCGTGTGCTTCACATGTTATTCCTTGTTCCTGGACGACCATATTTGCAACTTACTTTAGACTCTCTGCCCGTGAGTCGTTCGGACTTGCATTTCTGATTGGTCACTAATCCTGTTTGCGACAGCCTCAGACCCCTTGGGGCCTCGAAGAGCGGGGCGGGGCTTGTAGGGCGGGCGCCCAGGCGAACAACCTCCACTAGCTACGCCTAAGAAATTGGACGAGGAATGTAAAAGAACAGGGGAGCGTCTAAATTCTTCAATTGGACGACCGTATAATCCACGCAATTCTATCCGCTGTGGCGCTACAACAACAACCAACAGGCGGGTGATTTAATGGGTTGTTGATTCACTCGACGCCTTGTCATTGCTTAGACTTTATCATCAATCAAAATCAAATGCCACCTCCCAACGGCGATCGTGCCGGTTTCCTGCACGCCGGGCTCCTTCGAGTTGTCGCGATAGGCGGGCGCCGAAATGGACTACTGCGGAGTTGATCAAAAGACGGTCATCGCTATGGCGAGTCAGGTTAAGAACATGTTCTTAACTACCCTGTAAAAATGACAAGCGTGTGTCCTTATTGGGTGCAGGCGGATCCCCATGCGGCGTACAGCCTTGTTTTAATTTGGCCCCCAAGTCCAATCAGGGCTGTAAGGCCAACCGTCGTCAGACGGAGATAAAAGGGCAACGCGTAACATGTGGCATCTGCACTAAAACCCAACACTTCCTCCAGCCCTCATTTCTGATTTTCAACTCCCCTGGCCTGATTAGCCGTGTTGATCTCCCAACAGGTGGCTTCCACAGTGTAGAGGACAAGCCTTCCTGCCAGCTCGCGAAACGGCTCCCGCGTGTACTAAACCCGCTTCCACCCCGACACTCTTGATCTGGTTGGTTATTATTCTCAATCCCAATAAGCATGCACGCAACCACCATTGTAGCCATTTTTGGTCTACTGATAGGCGTGTACGTTGTCACACGACGTAAATCAGCTTCGTCTTTGCCGCTGCCACCCGGCCCCAAGCCATTACCGATCATTGGCAATGTCCATCAAGCTCCCAAGTCCCACGGCTGGATGACATATCGCGAATGGAGTAAGCAGTATGGACCCATCTTTCATGTCAACATGCTTGGTCAGCCCGTCATCATTCTGTCTACGTCTGAAGTTGCCCATGACCTCCTAGCCAAGCGTGGAGCAATATTTTCAGACCGACCTCGTCTTTTCGTAAAGACCCTCTCCTCCAACTGTATCTTAAACATGAGCTAATCAAAAATTCAGTTGGCGACAGAGTTGGCCTTGAAAGGACTCAACATCCTCATGATGAATTATACCGAGCAATTCCGTCAACATCAGAGGCTCCAGGTCTCGGTGTTGAACGCGACGCCGGCAGCGACCTATCTCCCCATCCAGACTATGGAGTCACAACAACTAATGCACGACCTCCTTATAAATGCGAGTGGGGCAGGTACGAATGTCCAAGGATATTTCCAGCGCGCAGTCGCTAGCATCATCCACACATTGCTGTACGGCTTCCGCGTCAAAGACTACAACGACCCGGGGCTTCGCGCCATTATCAAATTCAACGAAGAGTTTTCCGAGTTTATCCAGGTTGGCGCGCACATTGTTGACCAGTTCCCTGTTCTCAATAATCTGCCAGGCTTCTTGGCCCCATGGAAGGCAAAGGCTGAGAATCACTACGTGGCTAAGCATGATCTACGTGACAAAAACTTCCGCCTGGGTCTCGGGTCCGACGCCTGGAATATATCAAAGCATCTGAAGAAAGTTGTCGAAAAGGACAGTCTCGACATGCCTTGGAACGAGTTGGCGTTTGAGCTTGGTACTATGATTGACGCCGCGCTGGACGGCACTACAGATAGCTTGATCTGGTTTGTGGTCGCTTGCATCACGCAAGACCAAGGCTTCATCTCTAAGGCACGCGAGGAGCTCGATAGTATTGTCGGGCACGATCGACTTCCAGGTCCGGAGGACAAGCCTAACCTGCCATATATCACTGCTATCGTGGAAGAGATATTTCGTTGGCGACCGGTTGGCCCCGAGGGCGTCCCTCACCTCAATAGAGAGGAGACTACATACAACGGCTATACCATTCCCAAAGGATCTGTCATTGTGCCCAACGTTTGGACAATCTCCCGGGAAGAAGCCTTGTTTGGCTCGGACCCTGACGATTTCATCCCAGATCGTTGGCTCGAAGAGGACGGCAAGACACTCAAATCTCTACCCCCGGCTGCCTTTGGTTATGGAAGGCGAACCTGCCCTGGCCGTCATTTTGCCCGCAATGTTATATGGAATGTGGTTGCCCAACTGCTGTGGTCATTCGACATCAAAGCTGGTCTGTCCGAGGAGACGGGCGAACCCATCCCTGTTGACCCAATTGCATGTACTTACGGCCTGGTAATGAGGGCTCTACCTTTCAAGGCTGCATTTAACCCACGAGGGCCATGGGTGCGTGAAGTCATTACCAGAGATGGTGACACTTATGGGAAGGATCATGAGGCCATGCTCAACCGGATTGGGGAAGAGTTTGCTAAGTTGTAGATTAACTACTTCCCCATTTCTCCATCATATGCGGATTTACAAATATCACGAAGGGACCATATCTGAGGACTATGCTTTGAATGAAATAGCTATCTTCAAGTTGAAGAAATGATCGAAAATGCATGTTCTGATAAGAGTATGCACACTAACTGTCACAGGCGAGAAACGGGCGGAAGTTTGAGATCTAGAAAAAACCTCGCATAATCTCGGTTGGGTCAGCGTAGACTTTACCGGCATTGATCAGCACTAGTAGCAAACGTAAATACCATATACCTACTCTGGTGCCCCCTAGCCTTGTGCTTAGCTTTTCATCAGAGTTTAGATCGCCGGGTGTGAACCCGGGTATTCATCGTGACAAGACCCAAGAACTTTACGTTACAGCTCTTGGATAATGTTTTCCATTAATTTATTACCCAGCACATTATATGTCAACGGTAGCATCATTTTTAAGCACTCTAAAGAGGATTCTTTGTCACTTTACAGCGTTTAACATGTCAGCATTGGGGATGCTTGTAGATGCTCTACTCGATAAGATTGCGAGGTTGAACATGAATCTTGACCTGAGTACTATTGGTGCCCAAATTGTCAACCTTTTTCTGCGAGAAACAAAACTAGGCACCGCGGTCCGTCTTTCAAACTACGAAATGGCAAAAGACACGCTATAAAAAGAATTGAATCGATTGACTGAAGTGAAGCAATTTGTTGCGATGATACTTGAAGCTCTCGAAGATTCTCGCTTCACCCATTCGAAGTCCAACCAGTTTGCATCAATTGTGAACATATTGAGTGGTGTTGCAAGTCAATTGGTGGTGCTTGCTGAGAAATGAAAATTTCCATCCATTTCTTTTTCAGTTTCTAGATAGGATTCAAAGATTAACTTGACGGATTACTTGATGTGTAAATGCTATTCAGAGCTTTTTTGTCTCGTTAGATTCTGAAACAAGTTATCCATGTCCACAATGACACAGGCTCTATGTACCCCCAGTGCGTTCCTTGAGCTCAACAGACAGTCCGCAGACTCAGACCAAAGGATTGGCGGGATTTTCCAAAAGGAAGTCTCGGTTCAGTCATCGCTCAGGGCCACTCTTGCATCTTGGATAATTGCAGTATGCCAATGTGAATTTAGACTCGAAAACTGTTATGGGAGATGCCGGAGTTCTTCGCATAGTTAAGCAGGATGACGTCAGATAGTGGCCGACCTTTTTTTGCCAAGTACTAGCTAAGCCCCCTTAGGGAACGGTGCAGTCCACAGTTATTTACGATACTTACGGCCGCACTCTGGTGGGTGTCCGGTCAATAATCTTACATTTTGCATGCTAGATAGAATTCAAAAGAGCCACAGTTTGCATAATCACTTAGCCAAAATGGGTTTTACGTTGGTAGGGTACGCTGAAGATACTGACAGATAACATCGCAGTGGCCAGGATCAAGCTACTGTACCTGCCACAATTTGCTCGTCGGGACAGGAGGGTAGTACGTGGACACGAGATTGCGGGATGGATTTCAGAGCAGAATATCAAATATTGAGCTCACATAGGTATGCGCGAATCCGGAAACATAAGATAAGTCGCCTGCGCTGGTGCGACTACAGTGTCATAGAATTGCTGCCGGAATTGGGAGAAACTAAATTCCTTGTATAGATCCCGCCCATCGAACTGGAGCTTTACACAGCGCGCCGCCGTATCTCCATAAGAGTCACCAGCGAGCCTGTAGACCTTATCCAGCTTGCTCATTGCAGTCTGATAATCATCCAGGGGCGAGGCTGACGTCGGATTTCCGCAAAGGACTTGTCGATACAGAGCTCAATGGGAAAAATACCAAGGGAGAAGACTGTTTTGTTGGGAATGAGGTGTTTGAAGTCGTTCACGAACGGCTCCTCTCGTATTGGCGGCGTTGAGAATATACATGAAGCACACGAGTGTTTGGAGAGCACCTCTCCGCCGCATTGGGTTTTCTCGAGAAAAATGATGGTTTGCCTTTCGTCCCAGTGATCGCGAAGCCAGGGACTGTCACTCAGGTGCAGAACTGACCAGGCGGTCGAGGCAGTGATGCTAAACCTTTGCTTTGCAGATAGGGAAATGCAAGGGATTTGCTCTTTGATTGACTGCTCGTGAGATGAAAGTAGAGACTTCAGAGGAATTGCTCGGATAATTTTTGATCAGTCTGTTTGGATGTCGACAGAGAATTGTCGATCCTGGTCCTCGTCTGGGTCTTTTAGGAAGCCTGCTAGAGGCCACGAATGACATTCTGTGCACACTTTATCACAGAGGCTGGCTATCTGGGTTTTTGTTTCGGTTGGTACAAACGCTGAGATTGTGGATACTTCCGGCGGAGTTGGTGGTGGCACGGATGAGCGGGAAAGTGAGCGAAACCTATGTAACAACTTATATCGGAGGGATACAGATGGAGAAGGAGCTCTAGCAGGAGGGGCTAATGGCGTAGCTAGTTCAGGAGCCAAGTTGGTTACCTTGCTGGGAGGGTATTAAGTAATATGAAGCTTATGCCATGAATCAGGCAGCTGGTGCAGTTGCGAGTTCGTTCCGTAAGAGACAGCCACTTTGAAGGATTTGGCTGTATAAGATTCATACGCAGCCCAGTCAAGATCGATTGCCGCTCGGTGAGGTGATGAACAAGCACAACGAAATCCAGACTCCAGTGCTCGGTGAAGTGAGCTTAAGCACTGACGGATCGAGTCGCAACGCCGAATATTGAAGCGGCGCTTGAGATCCTGAACTTTGCCACTGTCGTCTACCGCAGGCACTTCGGGCTTCTCAAGGGATATCCTCAAATCTTTGTTCCAATGCCTAAGGTTATCGACCACCTTATTGCGTCTTTTTGTGTTAAAACTATGTTTCACTCGGCGCCATTCCCATAAGGCCCTATCCGGCAGAATATTGGTCTAATCGTGTATTCGCAAGTTAACTCGGTTTTAACTTTGAGTAACAGCACTACCGGAAACAAGGGTGTGGGTTTGACCTCTGTACCTTTCCTTTGACGTCGATATTTAAGTTTTTCAAGATCCCAGCGGTAATGTCGTCCATGCCAACCTATTCCTCAAGTTTCAGGATGAGTTGAATGGCGTTGATGGTGTTGAGAAGTGGGAATTGAAGGCCTTTGGCTGGGGCAGGGCTGCTGGTAAAAAGGACATTCTGGACCTGGAGTTCCAGTCTTGGAGGCTTGATATCACCCAAAAGATTGAAGAAGAACTGTTTTTAGGGGCCAGGGACTGATATACAGTAAGAAACTCTAGAGCAATTCTCGGTTTGCCCATTGCGGTACAAGCTTTTTCAATTCTTAGGCAACTTTATCGTCGTATCCAATAAACTTAGTTTCCAGGACGTATCCCTGATCCTCTTCTTCTTGTCATTTCAGGGCAGCCATCAGAAGAGTGGAACTGAAACACGGCAGTGGCCAGACACTGCTAACAAAACCGAGCCTCCACGGCAGATGAATTCTCTAGCTCCCGAAAGACGCTCCTAATGAACCAAGCAAACATGAACTTCAAGTAAATCCTGTCTTGCCGTGCATTTCCTCATATTACCCAGTGTTTGCTTCTATAGCATTTAAGCGATAGCAAGAGTCTATTTCCGCGTCTTTCTCCTTCCCAGAGATATTCGAGTTGACCCATAGCTCTTTTGGTGATGATGCCAATCAAACCCCGATGGTTGCAGTATGCCCCCACGCCTAGTCACTTTTTTAGCACCACAACCTTGTACTCACTGAGCCCTACCGTATCGTGCCACGGATGAGCCACATTCGATTGCCGTGCGACTTTTGGGGCGAAGGTTCAAGGGCTTTCTTGGCATGGCAGGCTCCAAGTTTAAACCAGCCAGCCCCCAAATATCGAACCTGATCAGCTACAACCCCGCAGCGCCCCAAGGCCATTGCATCACGGCAGTCTGACAAGTAGAGCCTACCCCCAGTAGTTGCGACCGCAAAATTTGCCTGCTGCCCACTTTTATTCCACTTCGCACTTACCAGAATTATATACAACACCAAACGCTACCTAATGGGAGACGAAGTCACCAATCATATCACGTTGCTGACGATCCCACTTGAAATCCGAAATCAAATATACGGCCTCATTTTGGGTGGAAAGGTCATTTTGTTCATTCTCACTCCAGGATCCCAGTTACGGCATTGTCTCTGTCCAGCAAAAGGTCAAAAGTTCCATTTCATTCGACACACTGACGGAGATGGGTCATGGTCTCATTGCGGCAGCCACCACGAACCAGTCACGTATGAGCGACTTCCTCTTCTGTTAACATGTCGACAAATGTATGTTACTTGTGTTACTCAACAGCCAGTCGGATTTTTTTTCTTGAAATCTTCATACTAACTGCATGGATTCGTAGTTACTCGGAAGCAGCAAGTATTTTATGGGCCGATAATACCGTTCATCTCCAACTTGGAATATACCCAAGGTTCCGAATTCTGTCGCACCTGAGAGCTACATTGCCATCTCACGCATTCACTGGAATTCGATCACTTGAAATATCATGCCTACATGGCATTCAACATAAAGAACAAGCCTTAAATAAGGAATGGTTGGATCACTGGGATGGAATGTGGAACGTTGTCAAGATCATGGAGGGGCTCCTGGACCTCCGGGTTTGGGTTAAATTGGACCAAGACGTGACTGTTGAACAAGAAGCGCGGCTTTTCAAGCCTCTCATGAACTTGAGAATCAGGAATTTCAGGTTGGAGGTAACATGGCCAGCAACTGAAGGTTCTGAGGATTTGTTGCTGCAAGCGCCATTTTCTCTGATAAGGAACAACAATCCTGTCCAGGGAAAGCCAGAGTTAGGTATGGAGATATTCAGTAGTGGCCCACTTTGAGAAGCTCATGTACAATGCCTTGAAGTCTAACAAGAGCTGTCTTTGGACGACAGCTCTACTAATAACACTCCGATTTTGATCACACAATTATAACTCCGGTAATTCTCGAATTCTGTCGACCGGTGCTTCCTATGTCCAAATATAGAGAGGCACCAAGGACGAGCTTGTTACTACTGTGCTTATATACGATAGTTCAACCGATATTTTAATTACTCGTCACAGAAGAAGAATAGCTTCCTCCTTGATGATTGAGCCATACGAAGAATACCTCATAACCCTTTTCGATATAGTCCTTAACTTCAATTATATGAGATTGACAAAGGACTAAGAACGCAGTATAGAAATAATTGAGTAGTGGAAAAAAGAAGAGTTGAATTCCATGTGTCGTTTGCTCACCAAATCGCCCACCCCCCTTCTCTCACCCTACAAGCTTACATACACTGAAACTCTATGCAAAACCTTAACCAGTCCAGGGCTGCATTACCATTTGTACATCTCGCTTTCCAGCATTGGGCTTGTTCTTCAATAAGTCCATTTTACCCTCCTTGGTGAAATAAGCCTTCTTGTTGATCAATTGCACACCTAAAGGTGGAGTTAGTAAGTGGGATCAGATTACCGCAAAGCCGACGATAAACATATCAATGTACTTACCCATTGCAAAGTACGAAATAGACTCCGCGTTGTTGCACCCTGTTGGTCCAGCTGACATACAACCTTCCCATCTGTACTCCCAATCCTTAGTATGGCCTTTGTCCTCAGAAAGGGCGTGTGAAAACTGATATTTAAAGATTAGTCAAAATAAGTCTTCATTCTGACAATGTGCGGATAAATGGGGGCTGATCCTACCTCATGCAGCAAAGAAACGTCGAGTCGACTACCAAACACATCGGCGTTGGGCTCACCATCCGAGAGCGGACGCTTAGGGTTATAGTCGTTGAGGTTCTTGTGGTTTGTCACAGCATCAATGGTTGCATAGGCTGAGTGGCCCAGGACAGTGAGATACCAAGGGCAGAGCTGGATGGAGTTCTTGACTAGCTGCCCATTCTTCACCTGTGCGGATCTATAAGCAACGGTGTCACCAGTTTTACACCCATCATACTCTTTCGACTTTGGTACGAGAAGATTGGTAGTCTTGTCAAAGAGATAGGTATCCTCTTTTCCGTCAATCTCGACTTTTGTTTCTTCATACCGAGACAGATCGCAGTAGAGAATCTTTGTACGTTAGTCTTACTCTTCCAAGGTCCTTTACTCTTAGTCAACACTCACTGGGTCATGGTTATCATTAAGGTCAACTTGTTGCAAGTTCTTGAATTCTTGAACGTTCTTATAGATATCTGCCGGTATAATCATTGTTAATAATTTCAATATACACTAGATCTGAGAGATCTTACCTTTCACAAGATCAAGACGATAGCCAGCAAAGAACCATCCTTTTAGCTCATTAACGTTGGGGTCATTCCCATCCAGTGCAGTTTCTGCATCTTTCGCCAACGTCATAGCCTTTCCGACGGCTTCCATTAAAGTTTGTTTAATTGCTGCTTCGTGTATTAGTACGTGGGAAAATATGAATAAAGACAGTGAACTTACGATCGCAACTTTTGTCAATTGAATAGGCATCTACCCAAGCGACATGTAGGAAGAGAGAAGAAAGAAGGATTATGACCTTGGGCCATGCCATCGTAGCCATATTGACCATCGTAAAGTCAAGAAAATGTTGTTAGTGCAATATCTTGTGGGCTCCATGCGTGCTTTTAAATATTTGGCATGCTCTCTGACTCGAGAATGGCCATTAATGCCATGAAAGATGAATTGAGTCGAAACAATTGAGCCTTGCATAGCCCCAAATTTGATCATGTCAGAATGCTGAAACGTTCTCTTTTCGACTCTAATTGTTGATTCTTTGCAAATACCCACTAGATCATGTCCGCTAGCCTGAGCATCTCACTCAGCGGCGATGGGGTCGTTTACAGTATGCGTGATTTTGTAAACCAAAGTGCGGGGGCCGTTTGGATCTGATAGCAGTTATTTTGTGAAGCTATTACTTGAATAGGTCCGAGATAAGTATTTTTGGAAGCGAATAGCCCGTCTTTGATGTAAGAAAGATCCATCGCTGTCGATGAAACTTTCCGGGATACTACGAAGGGGCCACAACTAGCGGCTCTTTCTTTTGTCCGAGACCTTATTGGCTTTCTCCTTCGGTATGAGTCTAGTTGTGACGGTATGGGCTCATCTAATCGTAGTTTGCACTTCAGCCCCGTCTAAGCAAATTGTACAGTGCTAAATCCAAAATTGGTATTCTGCCAAAATCTTACGATATCTTGTGAGGGCCAAAAGAAGTGTTCTTGTCGTTATTGGACTGAATTGTGGGGTCACTTAGGCTCAGTCCTTCAGTTTGAGCACTGGATATGCTTCAAGGGGGCCGATTTGGGGTGTTGAAGGGTTCTCCTATAGATTATGCCAATGTGAACCATGATGGTAAGGGTCCAAATTCATCTGAGCTCGGACCAAAAAATCCTGATCCTTAGGGTCCAAATCTAGTTGGCCAAGCCATTATATGAGTGGCTGATGGTCAGACGTCAGGGTCCAAATGCACTAATTCTCGGGCACCAAGCCCCAAACCGCAGGGTCCAACCTCAGTCAGGCGCGCCGCCAAGTTTAAATCCACAGCTACGAATAGCAGCAGCGCATAACTGTTTAAATTAGACAATTATATGTATCGCAGATCAGGTTAATCTTTACATCAGATCATGTAAGCCAAGATTGCTTCTTACGGTCGGAGGAGTTTCAGATACGTGCCAAGCCGTAATCCGTAGGAAAGGGGTCCGAAACCACCGACTATCCACGACTCTGAGCTTCCTTTCAAGGGCCAAAAAAGGTCGCATGTTCAACTTGTATTCTCTGCTGACGGAACGGGGCCAGGGAAAAAACTGCCTCGTCAGACTCTGACTTCATCTAGATGAGTCCGAGGGGTCTGATTAGCGTACTTTCGGGATCTAATTTTGGTCTTGGAGTATTAAGACCCTCTCGAAAGATATTTATATGTTTAAGGGGTACCCTCTAGTGATTCAAATCATTCTACTCATCTATAGATCATTCATCTATCTTCTTCCTCAATTGAGAGAGATGGTTCAGTTGCTGCAATCTCTGTTAGTCCTAGGGCTGACGACCCATCTCTCATGGGCCAGTCCTCAGGGCTTGCCAGAATCCGAAGCCCTAGTCCAGCAGCGTGCACTAGCACCGGGTGATCAATACGTCTTTGCTTTCTGCCCAAAGTATGTTATTACCTGATGATCCTTTGAAGTCCTTTCCTAGTATACAATTATGGGGTTCTCTAACAATATTTGAACAGGCAACTTCAGAAGTGTGCGGAATGTGGTGGAGATACCAAGAAGAAAGGCTTCTGCGATAACGAAAAGGCTCAGGGATCGGCATTTGAGTATTATCGTTGCAAGCAATTCCACAAAACAGGCTGTGGCCTGATATGTGAATGTATATCGGAAGAAACAGGCAATCCTGGGTAAGTACAATTACTATCGTCTACTAATTCTACATTTAAGTCTAACATCTCGCCTTCTGAAGAACGGGCCTGCCACCCATCATTCCATTCCCACTCCCCCCACCTGGATTTGTGGTTCCTCCAGCGGGAGTTCCAAACCCCAAGACTCCGTGCAAAGAAGATTACACGAAGACTAGTTGCAAAGATTGCAAAGCTCTGGAGGGCTGGTGTACTGTCGGAGATAACGCTGGATGCCCTTGTAAGGAGGAATGCCCTTCAGACGATAAAAAGCCCAAGTGCTCCGATGACGGGTGCAAAGGAGATGATAAGGGAGCCTGTACCATTGTTTGTTACCCATATACTTTTTTTGATTCCCTGGTCAGAGTGCTCACATGAAATAGGGCCATTACAAGGACTGTAAGTGCAAGGCTGAATGTCCCGATCCGAAGAAAAAGGCACTCCTCTGTAGCGACAAAGGTTGTGCCGGGAAGGACGGCAAATGTACAACCGTATGAATCCCTCTCTTTAATTCCCACTGGAGTTCTTGAATATAAATTTAACTTGGCACAGGGTGCAAATGATGGCTGCGCCTGTCACGAACTTGCGAATCTCATCTTCACGATTGGATCCAAGTCGCAGACAGAAAAGAGCGAGAAGATCATGGCTGAGCTCTCCAAGTATCTTAAGGATCACGAAGGAGAGGGAGACAAACCAACAGAACCGAAGGAGATTAAATGCTCCAGCACTGACTATAGCAAAGCCGTCGACGTGGATATTTCTTTCATGCAACAAGTCGCTGATAAATTCTGCGATGGTGATATGAGCAAGAAGCGCAGTCAAGACTTGACAAACAAGGACGTCTCAAGCTCTGCCTACGACAAGTACAAGTTCCACTTAGAGTTCGACCCGGGGAAGAACTGCAAGACCGATTGCAAGGCGACTTTCAAGTCCATGATTAGCAAATGTATGTCTCCAATACTAACAACCTCAGAGTGCCATAACTAACACCTTCAATAGGCGAGGGTTATAATAGCCATTCTATCCAATTAGAAGGAAGCGCTAAGTTTGACTGTGACGCAAGCTACAGCTATAAAATCACTGTACCCGACAAGCCAAAGCCGAAGCCCGACCCTGGCTTTGAACAACACGGTTTACAGGAGAGAAAATGCCATACCACCGACCAGTTTGGAGGGCATGGGGACGTTCGTGGGTCTGAGATTAGCATGGCTGCAACAGGCTGTGCTGGCATTTCCGACGACAAAGCCAAACTGAAGGAAGGCTCTGAGCCTGTGAAGATGCAGTCCACGTATGGGAGCACCAAATTGCAATTCACCATGTCCTGGATTGAAAACTGCAAGGGACCTGAGCAAGACGCAAGATATCCTTTTGGAGAGCCACACAACCTTGGTAATACCTGCTGGCAGCTCCTTTTGGATGATTGGCAGAAGTGTGAGTCATATCTTCACACTCCTCTTCTCAATTGTATACTGACCTAAAGCTTAGGTAACAACGGTGGTGCTGGAGGATCCATCGATTACAGCTGTGTGAGATATGATTTCAGGCCGACATTTGACTAGGATGACGCAGAGAGTATCTGTTGATATGATTATTTTCTATAGCACTTCAATTTCGTCACTATATTTCTTTTAGCACACAGGGCCTCAACTGAGCAAAGAAATTCAATCACTCAAGCTGCTCGGTAGCCTTGTGGTTTGTACAGCCTGTATTCCTGAATATAAGTCCCGCGTTGTCCTGTCCACTAAAATCCTGAAGCTATATGCAGATTAATGATCTGCAAGCTCCATTGAAATTTGAGTACTAGGGATTCAGAACACATAAGATTTCCAAAAATATTTTGACCCACTCAGGGATTAGCAAACCAATTATCGACATATTTGAATATTACGACAGAAAGACACATAATGACCAAAGCCATATAGACTTAAATTATCTTATTTGCACAAGGCAGAGCTTTCAGATTAGTAGCTTAGCGAAGAACTAACATTAATGAAAAGGCAATAAGGGACACAAGAGACCAAGATACACCAATTCCTTTACGTAGCGGGTACCAGCCGGGAAGCCGAATGTCACCGTAGACGAATGGATAATTAATAAGGGAATTCCGTACATAGAACTCGACAAAAATAAATGAGGACTGGGGACACTGCAAAGTATAGCAATATAGATTCGAGCTAAGTCCTGCGCCCTATGGTAAAACGACACAAAGCCATTTTCCCGTAGCCAAGCACTATACTGCCATAAAATCTGAAATAAAACCGCAGAGATATTGATATACTCCCAGGTGCTGCAAGCCCCTGCTTAGTTGTGTTGATCAGGACATAACAACAAAAGTCGAAGCTTTTCACGAAAAGTTCACTCCCCGCTACATGCTCCATATGCAGCCGCACAGCAGGTAGCTGCCTGGTTGGTGTGGCATTTAGTGACTCCGGCTTGGTTGCAGCACTGACGACAGGGGCTGTTGGTCATGCACTTGTTTTGACATAAATTATATGCGTCGTAACAAGTCTGCGAGTAATTACTGCTAGAATAGCATGCATAAAGTGCTTGATAGCATGCATCAATGCATGCCCTGGGATAAGAGCACTGGCTGTAATAACAGTCATACACAGGTTCCACAGTGTTACATGCTATTGGTTTGCCTCCGCCTTGCTGGGCGGATACAATAGCTAGAACACAAGCAGAAGACAAAAATAGCGACGGCACATGCATGATGGAACGATATCTGCTTTTCCGATCTAGTATTAACAATCATCAGTCAATAAATATCAGAGTAATATGTAATTATTGAAGTAATCAAGAGGAAAACATACTGAGTGACTGCAGTTCGAGTGTGAGAAATCCAATGATTCGGTGAATAATGGGATGAGAAGTAGGGGAAATCAGATGTAATTTATACTCGGCAGCCTCGTATAGTAAAATGCTACTTATGTTTTCTGTAGCATGATTGACCGCAGAATAATGGGTCTGGATATGCTTACGGTCTGGACTGACTCTACACTCTGGGTTAGGTTTCTAGATGCTTATGCATATGACCTGGTAGCCGTCATCGGGCCGTGGCTGCATCAGCTAGAACATCCAGTTACCCACGCCACCGTCGGTACGGCAGAACAAACTCACACTCAACCACATCATATTACTGCTATGATCGTACAAATAAGGTTATCATAGCAACTAGAGTGAGACTCGTGTTCGCCCACAGATTGGACGAGAATCAGGTCAAAGCTCTAATTCTAAAATAGAGAAGCCCCAGCAAACGAGGTAATTAATAGCGATCTGGTCTTTAATTAAATCATGATATACATATTGATATTGAGTAATTCTGACTTTCTAGCTTGATTGCCAAACCCGATGAAATGCGTAGCTAGCATTATCAACAGATTTCCAAATTTATTCACCGTTACGTAGATTATAGGTGAGTCATGTTGACGTATGTTCCGATAAGGAGTTTTGACTTCGAACCCCAGAAGAACAAAACGGGTTGCATTCAGCTTGGCACTCTAGAGACAGCTCTTTCCCGTGAGAAACTATCGGTGCAGGTCAAACTTTACGAATGAGAAGTAGCCGCATGACCATGAGAATAAGAGAAAGAACGCTTTGTATAGAAACGCCACTAATAACATATCAACCTAGATCCTCTTTGTCATACCTTATCAAGCCAGTGATCACCGAGGGTATTATACCATAGTATTCTTATATTTTGTCTCTGATTTACACGGTCACAAGTATATGGGGGTATGAGGATTGCATAGATTCCTTCGCTCTGGGTATGAGTATACAGGCAATACAATGGGTATGGAGAGAGTTTTGCGCCCAATCAGTAGTGTTCAGAGGGCAGATGTCTCACAAAAGTTAATTTATAGCTTCACTCAATATAGATTACGGTTTGCAGTATCAAGATCTGGCACAATTAGCCATCTATGAAATACTTGTTAAGTTGATTATAAACTGTATTACCGTTAAGCTGAAAAATAGTGGGCTTAGCTCTAACGCCTCGGTCGTTGCCTGTTAATGCTACAAAGCTCGTAGCGCAAAGCAGCCATGAGTATCTAAAGTTCAAATACGTAGATGGAAAGGGCCATTAGTAACTCTGTTTACTTCGTCGGCGAGCTTAATACTGGGACCCGAGCCTATTGAATCTCCAGCTTTTTCGAGCCGCCAAGGATGCCATGGAAACCTTATTTTCTCTCTCGGCCATTAGGCTTTCCATGGGATAATGACCACGCCCCCTACAGAAAAGGTGAGAGTTGTCAAACACGTCATCTATATGAAATAAACTTGAGGCCCACAGACCGGTGGCATTTAGGGATGTACCACGGGGTCTGTCTCTTCACTGATAATTCCCTCATGCAGTTCTACTTGAAGAACATTCACAGGTCAGTTATTCTGTGGCTGTCTATTTAACATCTTTTTTCATTTCTTGTGTCTAGACATGTGAGTCTGTTCGTAAAAGTACCCATCTGCGTATTTTTTTTCCCGTTTACAAGTAGCTATCCTCGTTAAACGCCTTCGCAGAGCCTTCAATTGGGTGAACTCCTTCAGCAGCAAACCCTACAAGATATAGCCCGAAGCCTTACTCAATTTTTGACAAAATTGAAGGATGGTACATCTATTGCAGGGATAGTCTATTATTCTGGGACTAGATTCCTAGTCCATTTATTCGGTAGTCTCGCAATGAGGAACCATGAAGCATCTATTGAAGCTTTTGTTGATGCAGATCTGGGGTACATCTAAGAGGCCCAACTGCTGCCTCTGGAAAGGAAAATAAAAAAAAATTACAGAGATAGAGAATGAATAGAATATTTTATGAATCAAGCATGTAGGGTTATATCAGGCAATAATGCTATACGAGAAACTGGAACAGTGGCCAGAAGCTGTCAAGAGTGGGTAAATATGGCCAAGATCTCTCAGTGGCCAAAGGTTAGTCGCGACGAACTTCTAACACTGGCCAGACCTTGCTAATATCACATGATGTGAGAAGAGCCACGCCACACAGACGACATGTCCCAATCGGCTAAATAACCACGATATTGACCATCCGATATCGAACCTTAATACCTAAGAGATAAGGTTTACCGGTCCATTAACCAATATCCATGATCGATGCATCTCTATACATCTCTAGCTCATATGCTATACATCAGTATCTGCTGAATTTTCTTATAACCAGCTTGATTCTTCATAATATCAGATGAAAGGAAGTGATGTAGATTTAAAATAGACATTCCGAGGATATCTGATAGATGTTAGCTATAATATGAAGAATTATTGATGGCGACCTGATTCGAATTGGGCTGATGGCGCGAGAGGTATGCAAGCGGGCAAATCCTCCTGATTCCCCATCTGTCACGGTAGCTGCAAACCCCTTCTTCCCTCTTCCTGCCCACACAATGATACCACACGACAGAGTCGTTCATCAGCCACTGGGTGGTGCATCATATTACTTCAAACAAAGTCTGCTCAGGTACCTCAGTGACCAATGTTCTCAACCAGCAGTCGCTCTGCATGTTGGCGCGCAGCCAAACTGCACCCCACATGTCGGAAATATGACGACCTTTGCGACCTGCTTTGCACTCGGCACTTGCCTCTTCATCCCCCGGTCGAAAGTCCCGCACCGCGTCTCCGACAGACTCAACCACACCGGCTGCATTGTTGCCTAGCACGGCAGGCCATGAGTTCACAGTGACTCCGGAAGCGAGTTTCTTCGCGTCTAGCGGGTTCAGCACGACGGCTTCGGTACGGACGCAGACCTCGTTAGGCCCTGGGACGGGTCGGGGCACGGCGACTTGGGCGAAATGGCCGTTGGGACCGGAGAGTTGGTATTGCAGGACGGTGTCGGACATGATGGTGATTGCTCATTGATGATATTCCTTGATACCGCGACATGACTGTGAGCTTATATAGATGACCCTTCACCTAGGAAGCGATGCGGAGATAACACGGATATTAGCCATTGGTGATGGGTATCGCCGGTACTCCAACTGTCCCATACAACGCATTCTGCTTGACGGTATACGAAAATGACGAACTCAGCACAGAGAAGTAGGAGATCTCGATACTCGACCAAACTCAGCTTTGGACTTCTTCAATCGGTGAAACGAAAGTGAAAATAGAGAGCGTTGCGACAAAGATCACGCGTTTTCAGCACTTGGCTTCTATCAACGAGGACGTTTATCTGCAGCATCTAGACACAACTCATTGCTTCCCCTCCCTTGGAAATTCCTCACGCCTGCAAGTTGGCGCTGGGCCAGGCTCTTTAGCGGTCTAAGGAGAACATTTTGCTGCTCGAAGATCCAACTAGAGCGAAATAACTCCAAGATCCATCCACCCACCAAGAACATTATCACTGGGAACCACATCCGGAAAGCCCGGCCACGGTATGTAATCCTCCGTAGAGACCGGAATCCCCAGGTCGTCAGCTGTACAGAACGGCGCCGCCGAGTGCGTCGGTTGATGCTGAGGATGCACAGGAACGATCGTATGTTCGACGGCAATTCCCCCTTGCGATACCTTCTCCCGCGATGTAGACGCATTATAATGCCTCTCAACCCACTCCTGAATCCACTGCAACCAGCCCGAGTAATCGAAGCCTGTTTTGCGATCGGGCTCCTGAGACAGTTGTCTCGAGACGCAAGTATCCAGGACGCGGATCATGTCGAGCTTATCGACCAGGGCCTGCACACGGGGTTCGTTCAGGCGCATGGATTTATCCGATGCGGCCATTAGTGCGAGTTTGCAGGATAGAATCAGGCAGAAGCCCGTTTGGAGCCATTGCGAGTAGCTCAGGTAGCGTTCGGTGTTGAGGGCGATAGTTAGGAAGGCGTCGAAGGAGCTTCGCGCCGTTGCGAGGCCGTGGCAGAGGATGTCAACTCGGATGGAGTGAGGGAGCTGTGCGATGCTGTCTTTTTCGAACAGGCTTACTTGGCACAGGTAGAGGTTGACCGTGTGCAGCTGTACTGCTAGGAGGACTGTTCTACAGTTAGCAGAAGCGTAGCGTGTAGGCAAGGGAGTAAACGCACAGTTGTTGTCTGTAAAATGTGGTGAGAGTTGCGCAGTGTATTCTTGGAGTTCACTATACATCGTCCGGAATAAGTGTAGATACGCATCCATATCGCCAATAGGGCTGGTGTACCCTGCGGTGGGAATGTTGGGATCTGCAGAGAGGTGATCAATCCGCTCGAAGAGATGCTGGAGTCGGACGAGATGGATGAGGGACTGGTCGCTTGCATATTCACCCTTCTCGCTCAGCTCGAGCGCGAACGCCTCTACGCGGGAGGACCATGGGAATGTGCAGGTCTTTTGGGTGATGACGGAGGAGCTTGGTTTGTTAGGAGAGAAAGAGTGCCTCTGGACGGATCGCTTACCATGACGCAAGGAATGAACATCCAATCACTGCCCTCTGCTCGTCCTGTAGAATATGCAGCGGTCGCGCAATGGGACTGATTGTGTCGATCGTCATGCGCGGACAGCGTTTGCGGAGCTCGACGGGACGATCCAGCTCCAGCTCCACTACAAGGCTGATCGCCAGATGGAGATAGTTTGAAAAGTCTCGCAGCGCGTGCCGTTTTGGTCCCTTTGCACCCGCTTGATGTTGTCCCCTGAAGCGATCAGACCGTGGCAGGAAACGTGTTTTGACGAGCTTACCATGCGACTGACACGAGAATCCCCTGTATTGTCTCCAGCGATGCCTTGTGGTAGTGGTCGGTTACTGTTCGCTTGGCCAAGACAGCTGCAGTTTCCTCGTCGAGGAATCGCTGTAATTCCACATCGCGCGTCACCGAGACAGAGAGGATGGCAAGGAAGAGAAAGGGCTTCTGTTCGCGAAGCTCGCTAACGGTCATTTGAGGAGGCACAACGACAAAGGGAAAGTGAGGCATCATCAGCCGACGAAAGGAGTCTAGCAGCGCATCGGCTTCGCCAAGCGTCACGACACCTCTGTCGATAACGTCGCCGGCGGTTGAGGTTGTGCTTGGAGTGCTTTGGTCATGGTCACTGTGCTGGCTGCAACCCCCGTGCGATTGTTGACCCAGCAATTCCTCCACTCGTCGCTCCAGCGACTCAAGCCGGCTCTCTTTTTTCGACCATGCTTGTCGCATGCGAGCCGGACGGAAATAACATTGTTTGTTCAGGCGCAGACAGCTGGATGATGATCAGTCCGATGTGAAGGGTCTCCGCGGCGAACATGAGGGAGACTCACCGGTCGCAGACCGTCTCACCAGGCGTGCGCAAGCACCGGATTTTGGCCCTGGCGCAAGTTTGGCACGTTTTGACGCGTTCTGAACAGGCAGACATGTTTCGTTAATTCCTCGCCTTCCTTTTACCCTTATACCTCGCATTGCGATGGAGACGGACACGGACACGGTGTGACCTTTTATAAGTTGCTGAGGAGGAATCTGGCAACCTGGTTTTGGGGGCTGAGCGATACGGACATGGACACGGACTCGGAGTCGGTCTCGGTCTCTTGGCACGCCCTACTATATAGATAACCCCAGCGGAATGGCCTCATCTCCTGGCGGAAAACCTACAGAATTCAGATCTGTTTCTCATCATGGATCCCGAAACATGCTCCCTAGAGACTTGCTCCATCGAGGATGCCTACATTCACTACCAACCTTCGATCCCCGGCAACGCCATCTACATTGCCCTCTTCGGGACTCTTCTTATAGTTCAGGCCGTCCAACTTCCGCTGTATCGCATGTGGGGGTTCTCCCTGTCGATGATCGCCGGTCTATTGCTCGAAGTCCTAGGATATTCCGCGCGGATTCTGTTCCACGATAACCCCTTCAACTTCGATTGGTTTCTCATGTAAGTTCGGCAACGCCCAAGACAGACAATTAGTGAGAACGCCCATGCTAACAGAGATGAAGGAATCTCATTAGTCTCAGTCTCGGACCCGTTTTCTTCTGCGCCGCCCTCTACTTCCTCCTCGGTCGGATCGTGGTTGTATACAATGGCGAAGACATCTCGCGTCTGAAGCCTAGGATGTATGCCATCTTCTTCGTCTCGTGCGATGCGATCGCGCTGGCATTGCAGAGTGCTGGAGGTGCCATCACTTCGGCAGCCGAAGATGCAGATATGCAAACCACAGGGACAAACGTCATGATCGCTGGGTTGGCATCTCAAGTGGCCGCTCTGACGTTGTTCATCTCCCTGGGATCCGAGTTTGCCTTCCGCTTGCGCCGTCGGACACGGAAGGCAGAGCGGACTGGGAGCAGTGACTCTGAGAATAGAAAGGATGACGGATGTGCGGCCATCCGCGAGAGACGGCGGTGGAAATTCTGGATCTTCAGTTGGTTCCCGAGACTATATGTTCCCATCCTGGGATAAGACTGACTGTGGCAGCCCTCGCTCTCTCAACACTCTTGGTCTATATCCGATCTATCTTTCGTGTTGTCGAACTCAATGGAGGATACGACAGCAAGTTGGCCAACGACGAGGTCGCTTTTATGGTATTGGAGGGAGCGATGATTTCAATCATGTGCATTTGCATGACTGCGATCCATCCTGGATTTGCATTGCAGCGGCGGGGATGCAAGCAAGATAGCAATGTGGAGTTGTTGGAGAGGATGCCCTGAGCCTGCGGTTGAGCACGGAGATGGCCAGCGGATAGACTGGAGAGCGCAGGATTTCTTTCTTGGTCAGAGCGTTCTTTATCGTAATTGTTTTCCTCCTGTTATTGATTGTCAGCGATCTAGATCCATACTTTGCTCCTTGCTCTTTCCCGACCGGGAATAAATCCTATAACAAAGCAGACTCTTCAGGCTTCATTCTTATCATTATTTTGAATTCATACCTCTTGTTCCAAGCACAATGATCGCCAAGCTCACCACTGCATACGGCTTCCCTGATTAGTACGAATGACTATTGATAAATATGGGATCTTGAGGAGTCGCTTCCGACCTCCTCAAGAAACAGTCTTGTCAGCAATCTGGCTTAACTAGTGCTTTTCTACCTTACCTAACCAACTGGTTACTATCCAGACAACTAGTATCTCAACAAATAGCTAAACGCTAAGAAAATAAGAATAGAAGGCTAAATGTCACTTAAGTCTTATATTGATACGGTGGGCTCTAGTAAAAGAAAGCTTATAGGTGATCCTGAGTGGGGATTCTCACCTCTATCACCCCAGTCTCGAGACTTCTCACCCATATCACCCACACCCACACTAGGATGAAATTCGGCGCCATTCTAAGGCCCAGGGCGCTTTTAGAATTAACCTCATACTATATGTGGCTTAAGTACGGCTGAGCGGACGGGAAGCCCTGTTCTCCACACCCTATGGTCGTATGTGCTTGATTAGGGGTGTCTTTGAAATATAATGCTTTGAGTAATATCATATCCAATTTTATCTCGGATCGTATCACCCAATATTAATAGAATACTAATTAAATATGCACTCAACAGGGCGCTCCCTATCCTTGCTATAATACCAATAAATTGAATCCCCGGCGATCGGTCCAGTGTCGCCCCGAGATGCCACGCACATCCGACCCGCCCGGAAAAGCCGAGCTGCCCAGTCCGGGGATTTGCCGATCAACCTTTATATAAAGCTTGCCCCTCCACGGCCATGTGCTAAAATTTTATGCCCGCGGAACATCACACCCCACATTTACTCATAGCATCTACTACAATGTCTCTTGATAACCCCCTCACAGTCCTCTACAAGGAGGTCGACGGCAGCAAAATCACTACCGACCTATATCTGCCGTCGACCACCTCGGCTTCTCCGCAGAAGTATCCTGTTGGTGGGTCTAACTTTATCCCTGCAAATGCCGTTGGATGCATACCGCTATCATTCAATTGCACAATCATACTAATTTCAGCCTAGTCATCGACATCCATGGCGGCGCCTTCATGCTTGGCCACTCGCGCATGGTCTCCCTGCCACAGGTCAACGACTGCCTCGAGCGCGGCTGGATTGTGCTGGTCCCCAACCACCGATTGTGTCCTGGCGTGAACTTGCTAGAAGGACCTATGCAGGATATTCGCGATTTGCTGTCATGGGTGCACGATGGGCACCTAGACGCTGTTCTCAAGGAACAGGGGGCGTACTGCGCGGATTTGGAGAACGTCGCTGTTTTCGGAACATCTTCAGGCGGAACTCTAGCACTGGGACTGGTAAGTGAATCGAGATCGACTTCCTCCAAAATGCCACTATCGGACTTCACCTCGAAGCATACTAATTTGGACACAGGGTTGGAACGTCCCCAAGCCTGCCAAAGCCATTCTATCTCTCTACGGTGCCGTGCACTTCACAGACCCCCTGTGGACCAAGCCCCTCCCACATGTCGCAGCCAAACTACCCCCGAATCTGTCAAAATCCTTCCTCGACAAGATCTACGACCAGAAGCCCGTCCCGACCGACAGCTCAGTCTCTTTGGAAGGTCAGACCGAATCCGGTGTCTCCAAGGGACCCGATTTTTCAAAGCCCCGTGACGCTTTCGCATTCACGCAAATTGCCTCCGGCACTGTTCTCTCCGCCATCTACCCCGAGTCGGCAAGCAGTGATCCAGAATTCAAGAAAGTCGATCCTGTGCAGAATGTCTCGGCTAGCTTCCCGCCAACGTATATCGTCCACGGACAGGCAGACACAATGGTGCCAATCGAGTTGAGTCGCGAGTTGTTGAAGAGGCTGCAGGATTCCGGTGTGCAATGTGGTATGACAGAGGTTCCTAATGAGGAGCATACTTTTGCTGCGATGATGAAGGTTGGGTCGGAGACTTGGTGGTTGCAGAGACAGGGCTTTGACTTCTTGGAGGGAATTATTGGGAAAGGCCCGCAATAAATGATATAATGATACGTAGATCATGCTGACGCATCAGGATGCAGCAAGACTTCAATATTAAATATGAACATTGGCGAAATTTTTCCGGGTCTCAAAATCACAACCTGCGATCATAGGATGCGGAGAATAACGTTTCCCTTCCCGTCCGTTTGGTCATACTTGACACATAACTAGCCATACATTCTTAGCTCATCCTCTCTCCTGGATGTTCTTAGCAGTAGCATATACATCCTATATGTACTCCGCACTGGCCAAGGCCTGGGCCGCCCGGGAAAAAGTATTACCGAGAGCAATGCTGTCAACAGTGTACCCACCTTTGGACTGACGATCTACATCCGTCTCTTGACGTGTTAAGTAGACAGGCAAGGCTTGAATTAGCCATCTCCTGTGTGTTTGTCTCTTGCAATTTAGTAAGAATTTGCTTGCGACATGAGAAAATCGTGTTTTCTGCTTCCCAGCCGGGGGCTATCACCCAGTAAAAATTGGGGATCACTTCAAGGATCGCTATCGGGTGATTCACAAGCTCGGTCACGGTACCTTCTCGACAATCTGGCTTGCCCGAGATGAAGAGTTCAATAGATACGTTGCAGTCAAAGTCTGTACAGCAGATACGAAACCACGGGAGATTTAACGTACTCTCCAAATTATCACAACTCAGGCAGCTATCAGACATAGGCAGATCTATGGTTCCATCAATTTTGGATGCTTTCAGTATTCAAGGGCCTAATTGCAACCATGTCTGCCTGGTTACAAGCCCAGCGAGGATGAGCATCTCTGATGCAAAGAATGGCTCGTGGATCAGCCTTTTCCGGCTAGAGGTGGCCCGGGCGTTAGCAGCACAGCTCGCGATCGCATTTCAATTCATCCTCTCACAAGACTTCGTCCATGGAGACCTACATCGTGGAAACGTCCTTCTTCGACTATCACGCGAATTCGATCAGTTATCGACGGAAAAGTTATATGAGCGGTATGGGGAACCTATATATGAGCGGGTTAATCGCTTGGACGGCCAGGAGCTACCTTCGGGAGTCCCAAGGGACGGTGTGTTACCTGTCTGGCTTGGGGAGGCAAGCGAAATAGTTACGCTTCAAGAAGCTAGAATTCTCGTTTCGGACTTTGGTGAAGCATTCTCTCCGGTGCAAGAACAAAAGTTCGAGTCGCATACGCCTCTTCTGATCCGCCCTCCAGAATCTCGATTTGAACCAACTAAACCTCTGACCTTCTCCTCTGATATTTGGACACTTGCCTGTACCATTTGGGATATTATTGCGCAAAGATCTCTATTCGAAGGTTTCCTTACCAACGAAGACGGTATGACTTGCCAGCAGATTGAGGCACTTGGCAGGTTGCCCCCCGAATGGCGTGAAAAATGGGATGCATGTCGCGACAACACGAAGCATGGAGAATTCAAAAACCGGTCCACATCTCCAAGTCAGTGGTGGCACGATCACTTTGAGACCAGTGTACAACGACCCCGTATAGAGACGGGCATGGCCGCTATTGATTCATGTGAACGTGATGCTATTTTCTCGATGTTACGCTCAATGCTTTCTTTCAGGCCAGAAGATCGTCCTTCTGCTCAGCAGGTTCTTGAGTCCGAGTGGATGATAAAATGGGCTTCGCCTGAGTATGAGAGGATTAAAGTTGCTCATAAGTAACATGTACGGCAAATATCTGTCAGATGGTTGTAATAAGCAAATAACTAATACCATCTCCGTTCGGCTTGCAGGTCTGATATTCAATTGCATAGCTAGTTACATCTCTGATAAAGGAGTGTAATTCGATAAGAACCTAGTTCTCGTACGAGGAAAAGAGAGTACTATTCAAAAGCCAAAATTAAAGGGATCCATGGGGGGATCAACGAGGGAAACTTTGGTAGGTTAACGAAAACCCCACTCCTTGTCCGGTCCCGCCGGAGAAGGTAGAAAAATCCGACTCTGATGAGAGGTCCATTCGCTATCATACCAAGCCTAAATAGCGTGGACTTGCACCCAGAATCGAGTATCATCGGTGCGATACTTCTCATTGCTCTCGATCTGCTGCTTGATCCACGCAACGGCATCCTTGTACGCTGTTTGCATGGTCAGCCACTTGCTCAGAGAATAATACATCTTGTTAGCTCTGACGTACCTTGAATATCCGCCGTGTATGGATTCTGAACACCGCTTGCTCCATTGCGGTGCCCGGCAAACCAGACGTCGTATCCAAAATGCTCCTGGCCATCGTGGCGGGCTTTTATATCCTTCTTCAGATCAGAGCTGTCATTTATCATGTTAGTTCCATTAAAGATACCGGTTGTGAAGAACCTAAAATGCTTACTTGAGAATAGCACCATTGGACACCTGACCTTCGGTTTGGCCCTTGAACTCGGATGCAGAAGTTCGCAACATGAACCAATTCTGCTTGAAAATGCCAAAGTTGGTAGAGTCGCCAGTCTTTCCGTCGCCTATGAATAAATCAGTCATAAGTGATTGCCAAATTGCGAGAGAAGATTGAGGATACCGTATGTATAAGCGGTAGTCATTGTATCCCTGTCAACATAAGCTAGGAATATAAAGGCAAGGTGTAATTTCGTATACTCACGTCTCCAGCATCGCTATCGCCAGATCTTGGGTATTGCCACCAGCTTTGAGCACGGCTTGCTTACGAGCTCCAAGACCAGAAACGTTGTAATGGCCACGATCGCCATCCCGCGCCGCCAGGTTATCTCCAGTGATTCCTGCCACTGAAGCTGAAAGCACTGAAGGCACAATGGCTAGAGCGCTCAGGAAAGTGAGAAGACGCATTTTTGAAGACAGTGGCGAATATCTTGACTGAGAATTGATACCGGACGCTGGATGAATGGAATGAAGACAAATCCCAGAATATTCACTCCTTTTATATGATTGTGGTGAATCTCATCGGTGTCTAAGTGACGCAACAAAAGCTCCGTTACCCAGTAACTCCCGTGTAGGGACTGGAAGGGATCATCCTGTTTCGAATTGTATGATGGCATATCTTGGCAACAAGTAGATTGGTCCTACCTTTTCGGGGCTCCGCGGGAACTATGTTGCTGCCTTAATTCACCTGAGACATCACAGAACAGGCGATCACAGTGCCGTTTAATGTCAATATAGTTTTTGTCCTACATCAAATTCACCAGTAGGTCCGAAGATATCCGCTGGTTAAGGGACAAGGAGAATTCTCGGGGTATCTATATGACTTGAAACAGGGGCACTAAGGGTAATGGAACGGTAAAGCTCGAGTTCGATGTGGAGAAAACTTAAACTTTGTGATAATACGTCCTTGTATTAGGATGGCCGATTATATCATGAGTGTGGTTTTGTTTTTGTTCCTACGGCGCAACCGTGATACAAGCAGTCCTAGTGCGGCCAAATTAACAGTGTTCCCCGCATGTAAATGTCAAGTAGAGCATATTGTAATACAATGCACTTCCCCGCAATGTTCGAGTTGGAAATCGGTGTCCAATTCGGGTAGTCGCAAGTTGCACTGCCAAGTCGCTACAAATCTCTCATTCTGTACGTTCACGACTCCGTCTAGGACCCTAGCGGCAAGCCGAGCCGAGAGTGGGGCTCTACGGTTTGCTCCGTAAACGATCAAAGCCGAGTGACACTGTAGCCCGAAAAAGAACGGTATCTGGTCTACCGCTCATATATATGAATCGGGAAAGAGAGAGGGATAGATAGTGAGATAAATTAAGATAACCTTCGAAAATTTTGATCGATTAATGATGAGACTGCAAATTTTGAAAAAAATTCTAGAAGTAGATGACGGACATGCGGGTCTACCGGGTTTTTTGAAGCACGTGAGCCGAGGCGGGATACTACTTCTTTCGGCAAAGAATAGGCGGACAATATCAAGGGCCTGGATCCCCGTCTGTCTTCCATTTCAAGAATCTCTCTGGCGGAGGTCAATGCCATCCCATCTGAGAAGCACTAATGCAGTATTCAGATTGTGGCGCATCCTGCATGGTTTGGCAACTATGACCAATTCGGATTCTATACAATGCAATAGCAGCAGGATCCTATTTCGTCCATTGGCGTCACTCGCATAGGTTTGACACGGAGCGGAAACTCGGCATTGCCATAGTCTTGATTTTTAACCACGCACCCGCACGTGAGCGAGATAAAAGGACATCAGAACATCACGGAATCAAATGTGCCATTGCACAGAATTCGGTTTTATCTGAACAAATCACCTACTTGGATATATTTTCCTTCGGTTTCAAAACGAAGAGCCTCTCGAAACTATGGCTGAGAATCGCCTCTCCAAGAAAGAGGGCGTGGTCGAATCATCGCACCAAGAAGACCCCGAAGGCGTCAGGGTTGAAATCGTCCAAGGATCTGTGGCGCTGGATATAGCCAGGCGAACCAATCCCCCAAAGCCATGGAGCCGCCAAATGAGGAAGTTATATCTGTTTCTAACCGTGGCTTACCTCTGCTCAGCCTTGAATGGTATGAGACCTTATTCTGATGGCAATTGACTCATTCTAATGACTTTTTTTAGGGTTCGATGGTTCACTCATGGGAGCTTTACTTCCTATTCCGCAATTCCAAGAAACTTTCGGTGCCGGTCTAGTCGGATCCCAGGCATCTTTGATACAAGGAATGTACACAATCGGAGGTGTCAGTGCACTACCATTTGTTGGCCCTTTTCTGGACAATTTTGGCCGCCGCTTTGGTATGTTCATTGGATCTGCTGCTGTCATTCTCGGGACTATATTGGGTGGTACTGCGAATCACATGGACCAACTGCTCGCAAGTCGATTTTTCCTCGGTAAGTTCTGTTGAAATGCTATCTCTTCAGATGCGATACTCATCCGAAATCGATTAGGATGGGGATACTCCTTAGCCTCTTCTGCCGCACCGGCCTACGTTGTGGAGATTAGCCACCCCGCATACCGAGATCTGTTAACAGGGCTGTATAATTGCCAATACTTTGTGGGGGCCATCGCTGCTGCAGGTGCCTGCCGTGGATGCCTTCATTTGCCTAGCTCTCTAGCGTGGCGCATTCCCATTTGGTGTCAGTTGATATCATCCAGCATTGTCTTGTTATTCGTTTGGTTCCTCCCCGAATCGCCCCGCTGGCTATATAGCCACGGTCGCCAAGAGGAAGCTTGGGACGTCATAACCGCCTATCATGGCGAGGGAGATCGAGATAATGCCTATGTCATCTTACAGATTCGAGATTATGAGGAGGCAATCGACCTCGAAGGGTCAGACAAACGGGCCTGGGATTTCCGGGAGCTGGTAAATTCGAAACCCGCAAGATGGCGCCTTCTGTGTGTAGCAATTGCTGCATTTTTCAGCCAGTGGTCGCAAGCAGGAGTCACAACTTATTACATCGGCGGTCTTTTGGCCACTGCAGGAGTTACTGACACCACAAAAGTACTAGATGTCAATCTTGGCAATACGGTTTTATCTGCCGCGGGTGCCTACTTGGGAAGTTTCTTAGGCCCAAAGATCCGACGAAGACCTATGATGATTGGCGCGTGTCTTGCATGCAGTGTAAGTTGGCCACTCAGCTCAATCACACATCTTACTAACACATACTTTTGAAGGTTTGCTTTGCCGGTTTCTCTGCCACGGCTGCAGTGTATACAAGTTCGCACCAACAGGGGGCCGCTACAGCCTCTATTGTGATTATCTTCCTCGTCGGCTTTTGTTTCAGTTTTGGCTGGACCCCCCTTCAGGCCATGTACCCTGTTGAGTGCCTTTCTTACGAAACTCGCGCTAAAGGAATGGCCACATACTCTGTTTTAACAAATATTGCATTGCTTGTGAATCAGTTTGGGATCGGAAATGCAATCAGCGTTATTGGCTGGCATACCTACATAATCTTGGCCGGTTGGAATATTGTACAGGCTTTGGTTATCTATTTCTTCGCCGTCGAAACAAACAAGCAAACACTTGAGCAGCTTTCAGACATATTCGGGGCCTCAAACCCCCGGATCGCAAGTACGGAAGCACGGAAGATCGTTGTCTCGGAGAGAACGAATCAAGTGACATTGGCAAAAGATGACGAGATTATCTGAGCGGGTTCCTTTAGAGTCCGCAGACTTCATGGCGACAAGGAGTTCTTTCTTGCCGCGAGCACACCCACCGTCACGCTTTGTGGACAAGTTCTTGTTCGACTAGGGCTCCCATCAAGTGCAGGTTAAGAGGACCATACCTAGCCAGGGCTTCAATTTTCTCCAAGTTATACACAGGGCCTGGGCTCTGCGGTACATGTCAATGTTTTTTTTTTTTTTTTTTTTTTTTTTTTTTTTTAGATTTGGCTTGCCAAAAAATCAACTGCTATAACTGAACTACGCACTTCTTTCGGCTAGAGAATTAGTTGCTTCTTCCTTTTGTAGGGTATAGACGTCGTGGAATCCAAATTGAAAATAATATAATACAATACAACCTGCAGAAGGCTTCACATCTCAGTATCGACGGGATCCAAAAACGGCATCACTTCGTTCTGCACGTTAAGTTTAGAAATCTCTGGCCAGAGATCACTAGACTCCCAGCTCAAATATTCCCACATGGACTCGGACCAGCCGTTCCCAAATCCCGTAGTCATCCGATCCGCCAACTGATCCTGACCGACACTTTGCGAGTTGGTCAAAATGTTCATAAATGGGAAATCTTGACCACCAATTTGACTCGCACTGGCGTCAAATGGCTCCCCATTGGGACTTTGCATGTTGGCTTCCAGGATTCGCGAAATGACTTCTCGTGAGCGTTCCGCTGTATGTCCGTAAGGTTTCAACCGGTCAAGGGTCATTATAGCCGTATCGACCTGTGCCTTGCAGTCATCAGACAGCCCAGAAGAAACATCATGTGTTGAGCCGAGAGAAAGGCAGACTAGCGGAACCATTGTTGCCTGGAATAAGAGCCACACTGCGTTCCAGCCAATCATGTTATTCAACGGCGCCGTTATTGAGATGTCCTGAATCAAGGATTTGGCGATCTCGCGACAGTTCTCTATTGCAGCACGCTCCTCGGCTCGGACAGCCATGAAGGGGATTCTTCGAATAGCGTAGTTGAGAAGCGTGGGCCGGTATAGTAGCATGCGCTGGTTTTTATATCGCCAGCGCATGACGGTACGCACAGCATACATAGACTCCGGGCAAGGTTCATAGTCTTTTAGAATTGCAGGAAGATTGTTCCACCACTGAACGAGCTGTGAGTCTATGTCGAACATTTCGGCGTATTTTATTGTTGGGAGGGAGGCGAGTAATCCGTGAATTTTCGTAGCGATTCGCACAAACTGAACATTCTCGGTCAAAGCCAGAATCTTTGTATAATTTTCCTATTGGTGTGGTTTTAAGTAATTAGTCATTAATCCTTCTAAAATGAATAGAATTCAATGAGCGCACCTTGTCGAGTAGGCTAGGGAGGTTAACGGTTATACCAGGACCAAAGCAATCCATACTCGGTCGGCCAAGTGTTTCAAGACCCCATATCTCCAAACAACAAAGTGACCACCAAACACGGCGTTTAGATTCCTGCGCTCTCGACCTCGAGGGATTCACGGATATATGACTGTCGTATGGCTCTCTTTGCAGACCCAACGTGATTGCCATTCGCATAGCAGCGCCCATCAGAGAATATCCCAAGTTTGGCTGACTGATATAGTGACAATACCAGCCACCCATGAGACCGAGTGCCTGGGTGACTTCCAGACTGGGGGTTCCAAGCGCGCTCAGATTCAATTGACTCATGGCACGTTGGAAATATGCATAATGTATCTGGTTATCTGCACCGGATCCTGATGCTGCGATATTTCCCAACGCGAGAACAATATTCAACAATGACAGCCATCGGTTGTCCCTCCGCTGGCCATCAAGATAAGTTTTTCGAAAATTTTCTTCGTCCAAAAGTGGTGCGAACGGATGGAAATTGGCAAAGTATGCATCCAGCATCTCTATTTCGGTCGGTGGTGGGCATGAAACGGGTGGAACCAAGGACTGAGGTGACACACTATTTTGCTGGCCGCTTTGCTCTTTGGTTAAGGCGAGAGAAAAGTAGGCTTCGAATTCCGGGTGGAGCCACGCGATCACCTTGAGTGCGGCTTGAATGGATGATACTCCTAGATATGATGTAGGATGGCGGTTTGTTAAGGATAGTGCATTCACGTCGTCTGAGATGTGCCCGATTGATTCCGATGTGCCAGAACTCTGATTCTCTTCGAGCTGTTCTCCTGGTATTGAATGTAAAGATTCCAGGTCGGGCCGTTCCATTGATAATGTGGAGGCCTTCGTCCCAACAGAGGGGACATTCGCTGGTGAATCTTGGGGCTGAGCATATTGGGGGCCATCAATAGACATCAAAGCCAGGAGCTCATCCCTTGATAAATGGGCGATATTCTCAGGGGCAGTGTCAGGAAACAGCCTTGCCAATGTGCTCCGGTAGTCAGTTGGAGCTGTTGCTGGCTTCTCTGAGTGAGTATTTGAGTGGCTATTCATCTGATTAGTATATACAGGTTTGATCCGGTCAGATTGCATTCTCGCATTCAGTTCCGCTATTTTACCTTGGTGAACTTTGAGAATCATGTCGCTCTGGGTAGGTACACAACTCCGGCTTCCTGTACCATCGACAAGCTTCGCAGGGTTTCTCGCCATCACATTTAATCTTGCGGTGACGACAGGACGCACAGGCTCGCGGTTGAGACCCTCGTCGACTCGAGCGTGCATTTCTCTTTGAATGTTTTGGGTTGCGTGGACTTTTCTCGCTCTTTTGAGATGATTCAAACGTGAGAAACATGATGGTCGAGACGGGATGTCGGTCACCAAAGATGCTAGAAGAATGGAGGAGATAAGGAGATGGGTCAAGATTGATTACATCCGATCCACAAGGATGGGATAGAGTCTACCCCGGACTTCAAAGAATGAGGGGCGCTCGGCTAGGTGCAGCTTGTAGCGAACAGAGAGTCAGTTAGTACGGAGTACACCGCCCGAGAATGTCGGCTTCGGGCGCTTTAACTTAGTTCGGTTCGTGTATTATGGGCCCATGGATACGTATCAGAATGTATCCGAACGTTCCAGTTCCTTTGCAATAACCGCAAACAGCAGAGGATTAATGAGGGAAATGAACGAGAAGAATATGTATCGTTCATACCCAGGATTCCTTGGCGGTGGCACCACCGACAATGCTCTGCAAATCACAATGAGTTTATCCCGTATGGCTGACGACGAATTCCAGGCACTAGTTTGGAACTTGCCATCTCTCCGTGTCATTTTAGGAAAAGAGGCTTCCCCATAAACGCTAAGCCTATCTGGGCGCGTATAAGGCGGGCAGCCGCTTCCGACTCGTGGAAGGCATCCCTGCCATTTCACATTAGTGTCCTACAATGGGCATCGCTGTCGGTCGCTTGTAAATGAGATGCGGTAATAACCAATCACCCAAGCAAGCTAGTTGTTTACCCCAGGTTTGAGTACTTCAGTTGTAGACAAGGATGATCAAATAGTACCGAACGGAAAGGCTTGTCGACCACCGAAAGTAATCTGACTTTGGAGAAGGAATGGGAATATCTTGAGCAGGGATAGTTCGAAACTACAGCAAATAATTAATTGGATCTTTGTAAGAGTAAGGTTGGTCGGTCCCAAGTCTGAATTCAAATCATATCTAGCCGACATATCCAGTAGCTTCGCGCACTCATTACGGGTTCTAGTCGGCTTTCTGCGCTGTAGGGTAGGCGAAGATCCGAGTAATTGATAATATCTATTCAACTACTGATGGCTTGTTGAGCTCTTGGTGATTCTTCAACGTCACGCTCATTATCCGCCCACGTCCCTCCCGTTGAAAAATTTAAGCTTTTTCCCGTTCGAAATAGAAACGTTCATACCCATAGGCAACATATCATGAAAATCGCCCACCAAATTGAGAATACATACTCAAATAAAGCATAGAACGGGAGATAATTAGTTGCCAATTTGTTGGTTATGTCTTCGTTGAGCTCTCAATCGCCTCGAAAACGGCAATTGGGGGCAATTAGACCGCCAATTTTCGAATCGCATACGCACATTAATTGCTCGGATATTAGCCAATGCTCTGAAGAAAAAGAAGATTCATCAAATAAAAACACAAAAAGAAGGTGCTCTGCATCATCCGTGAATCGAACACGGGCCTCGTCGATGGCAACGACGAATTCTACCACTAGACCAATGATGCGGTGGAAAGAAGAGCTATGCATCATCCGTGAATCGAACACGGGCCTCGTCGATGGCAACGACGAATTCTACCACTAGACCAATGATGCTACGAACCAAAGGCGAGTGGATCGCTGATTGGCTGCTTATATTTGAAGTGATCAAATTAGCTATATGAATAGGCCCTCTAGACGAAATTGTAAAGGCCAAAAAAGAAGAGCTCTGCATCATCCGTGAATCGAACACGGGCCTCGTCGATGGCAACGACGAATTCTACCACTAGACCAATGATGCGGTGGAAAAGAAGAGCTGTGCATCATCCGTGAATCGAACACGGGCCTCGTCGATGGCAACGACGAATTCTACCACTAGACCAATGATGCTACAAACCAAAGGCGAGTGGATCGCTGATTGGCTGTTGATATTAGTAGGGAGCTTTTTTGACATCATGAACGGGTAGGCGGTTTCTGCACTGAAGGACACCAGATGTTGCGAGATCTTGTAAATTCTCAATAGATAGGGCAGATGTCATAGGTGAATGTGTTCCATTCCAGAATTTTGTAGATAGCGTATGCGGATAGGCAGCTAAGTGGTTGTTAGAAAGCCTTCTCAGTACCATTGTGGGAGAGAGCAATATATAATAAGTGCTGCAAGCAACTGACCTTGAAGAACAGTATTGAAGAACACCGGTTTCCTTGGTTGATCTACTTTATCCATTTGGTGGAGTTCCAGTCCCCATCGGCCAGATTAACCAAGTAAGTAGGTTGTATGAATAAAACCAGTTCCATGTTCTTGTACTCCTATTCTAATTGTTATACCGCCATCAGGTAGTTTTACGTGCGGGGTCTCTCAAGCGAATACATGTCCATTCAAGAACACGCAACTCCACGACGGACTATACAAGCCTAGAGACATAAGCTCCGACCTTGACGAATGTTAATATAGCTGGTATTGAGAGCTATAGGCGAATTTCTAAAAGCCAGGGTGGATCCGCTGAACAAGTTGAATGTCACGATGGATTCAATCGGGGTTTGGAGTATCGTTGATGTTGTCTCGTAGCATTCATCCGTGGAGAAATGCTTATAGGACCCAGCATACTCCACTACCTTGAAAATGCATGATGTTAATTAGTACTCGAGAGGCTCCCGAACTAGTTGGTTAATCTGGCCTAAGCAGTCGAGATCTCAATTTCTATATGTATGGCTCGGTAGCGCGAACGCCATAATCTGCGAGTGTTAAGACAGGTACATGCTGCATTAGTCGCCCCGTGATTATTTTTTACCTCGTTATTCAAACAACATTCTAAACACCCCACCTGTTTCGTCAATTACCCTGCAATTCCGCGCAGGTTCCGTGTCAACCAAACCGCAATATGATGCGGGATAGATCGCCCGTCTTTCCCGTGTCGCTGGTGGGACGTTGTCTCAAATCACCACGACATATACGACATAGAAAGTCTCGTAGACGGGAAACGGGCCGGTAGAGGACGAGATGGCATACACTCAGGCAAACCCCTCGAGCGACCGTTGTACTATGCAAAATGCGGGGAACTCAATGGGCTATGAGACGGCCTCGTGGACAGAATGTGCCAAATTGACCTAGTTCTGCACCTGCGATCAATAAGGATTCATGCGACAGAAGTCCATGCTGATGAGAAATCAGATTAGACCGGATTGACTGGCTGGCAGCCCCCGGCACCGGCATTCTGTCCCGTGCGTGTGGGGAAACATTGTATGCATGTCTCGCACTGATGCTGTCAGACGGGAATAGCAATGATGATTCTAATAACGCTATGAGCAGGACGGGTACTGATACTTGGGTCAAGACTAACGTTCCAGGTGTAAAGGGGGTATAATTTTCACGTCCATAACTGAGGGACAGCTGCAAGTCGGCGAATTTTTCCCGGTTACGAGGGAGCCCGCCCGTCTGGATCGTGGACTGTGCGCAGGCTAGGCGCAAGGACCCTGGCACTCATGACAAGACGTCTGTTGTCAAGTCAATTCGGCATGATATCCGACCGTGACACCTTGAAGAACAGCCATGGCCGATGAAGATCAATTTCACGCCGGAAGAAGTCGTGCAGACAGCTGACTAGTGTCTACCATATTGAGTAGAATACCACCGTGCTCAGATTGTTTTATAACGAGGCTGAATTCGTGCAGAGATGGTCAGCACAACATACCGGAACTTCTAGGTAGCGGTCATCCGTCGAGGCGTATTCCTGCAGAAGCATGACGTCCGGGCGCATCCTGGGTGGTGGTATCTTTCCTGCACGAATGCTGTCGAGGACAGGATGATCAGGGCGTAGAAGCTGGTCCTTTACATGAATAACCCACCGGGTGAAAGACAATGAGGGAATGCATGCGGCTGATTCGAGGAGAGGGGAAATATGTGACTAGCCACGTCGATACTAGCGTGGACTAAGTCCGTGAAGAGGGGGGTGGAGTTGATGTAAGTTGATCGAAGCCAGCGTCAAATACTGCGACGTGATTGGGCAGACAACAGGCCGAGTGTCCATCACCATGCACAAAGTGAACTAGCCAATCACATCGTCAAACTACCCGCTCAACCCAGGGCCAGTTCAGCCAAAGTCCAAGTGGGAGTCTAGCCAACATTTCAGTGCATTGTGTTGCTGCACTGTTCTGTGCCGCTGATCCATTCGATTCCCTTAAAAGATCCCCCTGCCGCCCAGGCAGACTCGCTTTCTTTCTTCTCTCCAGCGAGCGTTTGTTGTTAGAGCTGCCCCCATTCGAGTCGAAATCCTAGCACTGGCTGTTAGGTGTTTGTTTGTGTTTCTCTTGCCCACTCTATACTTCTATTCTAATTCTATTCCCACTTGGTTACTACCAAGCCACCACCAAACCACAAAACCCAACATTATTACCCCCATCAACACAAACGAGCTGTGCTCTTTGTGCTGTACCCCCTTTCCAAATCTATCTATTCTGCCTTGTGCTTTGGATTTCAATCTCGAATCCAATCTGGTACTCGCCAACTATAGCAAGTGCATTCCGCCTTCTCGCAACGCTTCGCCGGTCGATCGTGTTGTTGCCTTGCTGTTTCAGCTCTATCAACAAACTCCACTGTTAATTTAATCTCGCTCGGAATTCTTTAATTCCTATATCTTCTCTTGTTGTCGTGGGCCGGTTCCACCTCGAACAGAACAAAATCAGAGTTTCTTGACTCTTCTTTTGCGCCGCTAATTCTCTACGACAACGTTTTACGACACGATTTCCGCCTGTCTATATTTTTATACTTCGACTTTTTTTCTGATCTGATCTGATTTGCACCTTTCATAATGGCCGCCGTTCAACTCAAGTTTTCTCTCCGGACCTCGTCCAACGTCAAGACCGTCCACCTGGTCGGCTCCTGGGACAACTACTCGCGCCAACTGCCTCTTTCCGCTGAAGAGAAGCCCGGTGCCTGGGTCGGCAAGTTCCGCTTCCAGACCTCCATGCTGCAACTCGGTGGTCGCTACTGGTACTACTACATCATGGACGGGTACCATGTCTCCCACGACCCAGCTGTCGAGTACACCGTCGAGCCCACCACCGGCCGCAAACTGAACATCCTCGATGTTCCCGGTGGCAAGTCTAGCAGCGGAGCTCGCAGCGCTCCCAAGGCCCGCCGTGGCTCGACCGTTGCTACTGGCCGTGCTCTCTCGCCCTCCAAGATCCAGCACCCAAAGCCAAGCAAGCCCTACGCTTCCCGTCAGCTCCGTGAGGCAGAGTACACCCCAACCGTCGACGACTTGACCCGCCGCTTTGCCGGCTCTCGTCTGTCTGATGAGTACTCGTACTCCAACAGCCCGCCATCCTCAGCCGGTTCCTCGCTGTCCTCCCGCTCGTCGGGCTCGACCTCGCCCTCGTCCCTGTCATCCATGAGTGATCCCCCACTCCAGTGCCGCTGTGAACGCTACGGCATCACCCGTAAGGGCGACCGCGTCAAGTTGGACTGCGGCGGCTCTCGCTGCGGTTACGTCACCGAGTCAAGCGGGGCTAGCTGCTCCGAGTCTGAGGAGAGTGATGAGGAGTACCGTCGTGCGCGCGGTGGTGTTCGCCGCCAAGGCATCGTTGTCCGCAGGTAGATTGTAGACAAGTTACAGGACTAGTTTCGGCTTTTTGTTTCCCTTGAAAGCTGCATTCTAGTCTCTGCCTGCCGCTGTCAACTCAATACCGATGCCCAATGCGGTGTTTTATGCACCCGCCTGGATCGAGGTATCGAGGGACCTGCACTCGGTCATCGCTTCCTTTTTGAATGCCTTGCTTTTCGCCAAGTTGTGAAGAAACGATAATAAGTCAAATTTTACAAAACCCAAAAAAAGCCCTGCGCTGCGGGTGAGCCGGTTTCACGCCGTGGCGGGGCGGGGACGATAATGATGCTGTTGAGGAAGAGGAGTGAACTGTCGTGGAGTTGGTTTGAGGAGAGGAGAGCAGAACAAACAGAGAAGACATCGATGAACGCAATCCCGATGCCCCTGATAAGCGTCTACCCTGGAAACTGGACCACTCACATCAATCCGATCTGATCTGATTTCGTCTGATCCCATCAGATAAGAGTCCAGCTCCGGGCACGTGGACGAGCCCGATAAGCTTATCTTGCAACAGTCAAACTCATCTGCAAGCCATAAGAAGTTAACGATCGCTCTGTGGTTTCCTATTGCCTTGGTTTCGTTCAGCATGGATCACAGCTTCGCGAGAACAATTGCATTGATTTCCCATTGCATTGCATCACTGCATCTTTACATCTCCGCACCAATGAGCATCCGTGGATGTCTTGACTCACTCATTCATTTCCATTTTCTTGGGAGTGGATGACTGGGTTCAAGCGTTGGTTCAGGCCCTATTTTCTGAGATGCGCTACGAAATAATGAGATATGACCACTGGATTCTCTTGGTGCATTTAACTTGAGTACGTATGTCAACGTAGGGTACACGTTGTAAGGTAGATGTATGTAACTCGGAGCGACGTCAGGTAGGTCGACTGGGTAATTAAAATACACCCGTGTCTTTCAATGAGAGAAGCCCAGGCCACTGCCTTTTGTATATCAGTATGTCGTTATTCTCAATCTAATGAATGCAACGAACAACTCGCCCAGTCACTCCTGCCTTCCCGCCATCAATTTCACCACAACCAACCCCCAGCCACTCACCAAGCGCGTCGACCCACATAACCCCACTCGCTGACCCCTCCACCAACAAAAATCCATCATTTAAAAAACCTTAGAAAGGTTCCAAAGAGAAAAAAGAAACGACAGCTGGCGGATTTGAACCGCCGCCTCCGAAGAGACTTGATTTCTAGTCAAGCGCCTTAGACCACTCGGCCAAACTGTCTTGTTGAGAAAGGTCCAAGAATACTTTATGACCCCGCAGGCGATACATGCAGCAATAATTCCGTTCTAGTAGCCATTCACTATCTAAATTTACCCAGAGCGATGATCATTATCATCAATTAGCCTAATTCTACCATATTAGAGGTTGCAGATATCAATTAAAACGCTGTCTGGGTGCTGGATGGCCGACTAATGCTTTCCGCTTGGGTCGCACGTTGATGCCTTATTAACGCCTTATATCCCAGGCATAAACTATACCCCTACACCATATAGTGGTAGTTCTCTTTCATATCCATATCTTGCCTTCTCCTTCTCCCGTTATATTTGGTCATACTACAGTACCACTATGCTGTATTACGATACATCAGCTCTTTATAGTTGGCTTCCGGCGCAAAGGTTTCCATCATCACCGGTATGTAACAAGCTAACGTGGGGAGATATATATAGTGCAATACAGGTAGATATGAGAGCACATTCCGGTCGTCGACCTACAAAACATTCATTTTAGCAAAACTTAGACACATCAGTTTTATCAAGGTCCAGCCAGGCCCTACTAACCAATTGGGCTGTTTTAGTATCCCAAACCACCCTACCACTACCCACTGAAAGAAAACCCAGGCACCTAAAGAAAGTCGATGTGCAGGGGCTTTACTAGGTTCGGGCATCACGGCATAGAAATGATCTTCCATGCCCACTAAGGTAGGTAAAAGGTAGAATCCCACATACTCTAATGGCAGAATATCCAAATTATTTTGTATGCCTATTACTACATTAAATATATTTTTTTTGGCATCGTTTCATCGATTATTTCCGCTATCCATGTAAGCATGCATGTAACTAGCTACTCGCTTGAATATAAAGTCACATTATGCTTTTACTTTCGCCTTCCTCTTTCCCAGGAAGTCTTACGCATGTATAATCTAATCAGAGCAGCGACTAAAAAATCTCCTAAATCCCCCACACAGATGCGAACATCCATGTTAAGAAAATCAAAAACACAAAAAATTGACCGACGCAGGGGTCGAACCTGCAATCTCTTGATTCGTAGTCAAGCGCCTTGCCATTGGGCCAGCCGGCCGCTTCCGGACTCCTAGACCGTTGGGCCAAGTGGATGTCTGGTGTTGAAGAGAAGGGTCAAAAAGTGCTCAATGAAGGGGGGACAGGCTGTCAGAGATTTCAAACAATTTGATTGGCGAAGGTATAGCAATGTGGGTCTATAATACAGACCAATCAGACTCACCAGTAGTCAAATAATGTAGTAACGACCAACGATTCACCATCATGTTTCCAAGACATATACAGCCTGTAACCACTATCTCGTTTAAAATCTAGCACTTTCTGGAAGCTCGATTACCAATTACAATAATAATGCCGATGAACTACAGACATTTAGACGTAGACCGAGTTCGGTACTCTCGGCTCTAACATTCCATGAAGACCCACTACGATCAACTGCCACATAGGGTTTAGTGTGTATCCGAGTCCTCGCCACTATCACGCCCTTCTATCAACATGGAGACAGCTTTTGCTTGACAAGTTACCCAGCCTTACCCGTATTAGGAAATTAGGAGGAGTGGGGAGCGCATCTGCTATAGTTTAATGGCCATCAAACTCCGAAAACTCAAATAACTTAACAAATCAGGTCTGTCCGAAGGAATTTTCTGGAAAGAGTGCAGAAAAAACCTTTTAGTACTTCCATATGAAAATATAGTATAAAGTCAGCCCTACGCCACAGAAGGAGTATATAAAGTGCCACCCAGCTTTGCATTGGAATTGAAAAGTTGCAACTCCATTCCAGTGTTTCTAGTTCTTATACTACCACCTGGCAACTTCTCTTTGTCAAATCCTCCTATCACTAATCAACCACCTACAATGGCCACAAAACGCACCGCCCAAGAAATCCTGCAAGCTGCCCACATAGCTCCAGAGATATTCACCCTCCGCCCAGACTACCGTGCCCTGCTAATGGTAGTCGAGGGAATCCCCAAAGGCCCCAGCGACACAACAAGCGAAGAAATGCTCCAAGAAGCCGAACACCACGTCAAAACCCTCCTCTCCAAATCCCCCATCACCGAATTCCCACACATCGCCGCCTGGAGAGAAACATACAAGAGCTTCGGCGCCAAGCCCCAGAAAACCCGAAACAGCCTGGAAGCCCTGTCCCGCCGTGCAGAAGCTGGTCTACCACGCGTGAACCGGCTAACCGACATCTACAATGCGATTTCGGTGAAACATCATATCCCACTGGGCGGGGAGGATTTGGATAAATACGATGGTGCGCCGTTCCTTACTCGTGCTACGGGGAAGGAGCCCTTCCAGACTTTTTCGGGTGGAGAGCCGCTGGTGGAAAACGCGGTTGCTGGGGAGCCTATTTGGTGTGATGAGACAGGCATTACTTGTCGCCGGTGGAATTGGCGACAGGGTCCGCGGACGGCGTTGACGGATGAGACTACGAGAGTTCTTTTTATTATGGATGCCCTGGAGCCGCTTTCGAGTGAGGAGCTACTTAAGGCTGCTGACGAGCTTGCTTCGGCATTAAAATGCTTGTCGCCGGATGTGCGGACGTCGCAGCGTATTATTGATGCTTCTTCTTAATAATGTGACACGCGAAAAGAGGGAGACTGGACATTGAGGGTATTAATTGTTGCATAGAAGGGGAAGGCAAGTGGGACGGGGAGCTTTTCTCAGTCGTGATGGGCGCTTGGAAGACTCGATCGAGGTGTTTTGGTTGGATAGACTTGGCTTATTTTGTCTTTGTTTCCTTTATTTGAATAGGTTATTTGTAGTTATTCCCATAAAAATGGCACAATTAGAATCATTTACTTACCATGGATCCCGCAGTTGATTCACTCTATAGGATCACCAAGTAACATTTCCCAGACAAGTCTTCTGCCTCTGGTCACGGTGCTTTCGACTAGTTTCGCACCTCAACCCTTGCCGTCCTTCGGATCTCATAGTAATATGCAACAGTTTGTCTTGCAAATTCCTTCATATGCGACGCATCATCAATATTGAAAGGCCCATATTCCTGCATCTCCATCATCTCAGGGACCGGCTTGGGTGCCCCGATCTTATGCCCGTCGATGACTCGGATGTACTCCTCGTATTCTTTATTGAAATTTCCAACAATGATGAATATCTCAGTCTGGTACTGAGATATAATCAGGTAACTATCATAATCAGCACCGGACTATCATAATCTGGCGAAACAGAACGGGTGGGTATATACTTACCGAGGAGGAGGTTGTTGGCGGTTCTTCCACAGGTCATGCTGAATCCAGGACACCATCTTGGCAGTTTCCTCCCAGTAGAGACCTCGCAAGTCTCTACTGCGATAAACCGTCCTTGTATCAAGGATAGCAAAGACCTCATTTGACCGGCGATCCGCCAAAACATCATTAACTCGAGCTTCCATGACCCCATGTCTAAACAAAGCCGGCGCAAAAGGGTACTTCTCAGCCCGCCACCCAAAGGTCCCATCCGACAATAGGATATTGAAACTATCCAGGAGTTGACGTAAAGATTGTCGGATCACCTTCTCACCATGCGTAGACCCCGAGAGTAGACCGCTCCCCTGCGGGTGCTGTAAGCGGTGCTCATGGAGGAGGACCGAGGTACTCGCATGGCGAGCAAGGTGACTGCTAGACTTTAGCAGTTGGATCTGAGAGGTGCGAGAAGGCGCAAAAGTTGCCAGTTTAGACGGGTCCGGGTTTGGATTGCGCGTTTCGATGTCGTACAGGTAGGCCTGGAAGCCGGGGAAATTCTGTAGTGTCACATCGGCCTGGTGATAACTTTCGCGTGAGGCCAAAGTGAGCAGATTCCCGTCTTGACATTTCGGCCACAGGGTGTGCAAGGAATCGAAGGTATCTTCGGTGATTGTGGATGTGGTGACTGTAGACATGATGGATGGTGGTGGTGTGAGGAACGGAGAGGAAAGGTGAAGAATGAGATGCGAGGTGAGAGTTGACGAAGTGGTGTGTTTACCTTGTTCTGGGTGATACTGCCACTTTCAACTAGAAAGTGAGGCGTTCTTTTTCTGTGTATCACGATTTATTCATTTCTCACCGACTTCAGCAGCTTCATGGTAAACTGTTTATGTTTATCTTTAAGGCAGTATCTCTGGAAGGCATGCCTCTTGCTGTCAGAGATAAGTTAAGGTCCTGACTAGTGAGCTTATCTCCAAATATGAACTGGTTTATACACCCAGTATAGTATCTGTTTCAGATTTAGCTAATCTTCTATGATTTGAGAACTAGAATGATAAAGAAATTAGATACTATAGTGAGAAATATTCCATCCACATCATGCTGATGCTAATAGATCCCGCTTCATAGATAGATGTTTCCAGGACCAGGTTGTCTGCCCTTCATTTGATCTACCCTTACGCTACTAGATCTTTCCTTTATTATCTGCTTTGAGCTAGACTAAAGATTCAAGACCGCTGTTTCCCTAGATATCAGGCTTAATTCCTGTGCATAGACGCCGTTGTTCACACCTTCACAGGGTATAATGAAGGACCAGCTAACCTGCTTTATCAAATAGGCGAACTAATAGGTAGATTATAATTAGGAATGGGCCTCTTCTACTGGCGTGAAATGACTTTGCAGGTATGGAAGAGTCTAGAAAGCTGAAGCAACCTGGGGCATTGTCATCCATGTCTTCTAACAGCTACATTGCAGTATACATGCCAAGCTACTAGACAATGAAGGACAATCAGAATAGACTTCCATTCATCAATACCAAAGCTCTTCTATTATACGAGAAGCTCCTGCATAAAAGAAACATCCCAAAGCCCCGCAAAGCTCCATATCAACCTCAAGATAAACGGTTCTACCAATCTCCCCTCCTCAAATATCAACACTCAACAAATCAATACCATCAACAATAGCCTTCTTCCCAGGCATATGACCCCTCCTCATCAACTCCGCCGCCTTAACCATAACCGGATCCATCCCCATAGTAACAACAGCAACAACAGTCTCCCCCTTAACATAATACCCCACAAACTTCGCCTCCCCCAACTGCCCCCTCACAACAAGATCATCATACCCATGAACCGTATTCCCACAATACCGCATCTGCGCACCAACCGCAGACCAGAAAATCGGGACAAACGATTTAGCAGGCAACGACGCCAGCGGCGAGCGTCTAGCATGGACAATAGCACGGGCAACGCCGCGGCCCATATTCTGCGCAACATTCCAGTGCTCGATGCGAACCGGTTTACCCTCGCCACCGGGTCCGTTGTAGGGATACGTTGCGATATCACCGATGGCAAAGACGCCGTCGAGATTCGGGACGGCGAAGTGGACGTCTGTTTCGATGGAGCCGTCCTTTTGGAGGGTGACTGCGGAGTTATCGCGGAGGAAATCTGTTGCTGGGCGGACGCCTACGCCCAGGACGACGAGGTCTGCTGGGAGGACGGAGCCGTCTTTTAGATGGACGGCGCCGACGGATGAATTGTTTGTTTCGGAGGGAGTTGCTTTTTCGACGCCGGCGGAGAGTTTGAACGAGACGCCGTTCTTTTCGAGGTTGTTTTGGAGCGTGGAGCCGATTTGTGCGCCGAGGACGCGCTCCATCGGTGCGGATTCCATGCCTACGATTGTAACGGTGTGATCTTTGGCTAGTGCGTTGCCGACTTCCATGCCGATGAAGGAGGAGCCGATGACGACGATGTTTTTCTTCGAGCCGTTGGCTGCGGCTAGGATGGCCTGGACGTCTGATACGTAGCGTAGGGTGAAGATGTTTGAGAGTTCACGGAATCCCGGCAGGGGCAGGGTCCGTGGCTGGCCACCCGTTGCCAGGACGAGGTTCGTGTAGGGGATTGTCGAGCCAGAGGCTGTTTTGACGGATTTACCGGAAAAGTCGACGGAGGTGACCTCGTCGTTGACGATGTCGATGCCAGCATCGGTGAACCATTCGCGCGGACGCCAGAGGATCTTGGCTGGGTCGGCGATTAGGGCTTTAGAAAGCTTTGTACGGTCGATGACGATTTCGGGTTCTTTGGAGATGATTGTGATGCTGCCGGGGTATTTGAGTTCGCGGAGGGTCTGGACGACGCCAATTGTACCGCTTCCACTGAGTGGAGGTTAGTATGAGAGTTCTTTTGGTATTGAGAGGAAATCGACTTACCCGCCGACAATCACGACCTTCTCCTCGGCGTTGGTGGCCACGCATTTGATAACGGGGTTCCGCTGTCCGAATTTGATGTCTGCCTCTGTGCCACGGATGTATACGGCGCCATCGCGCTCGAAGACGTCGAATGTCTGGAGCGCATTCAGAGCAGGTGCATCTTCGACGTCACCGGTGCTGATGTTGAAGCATGCTATGTAGAATGTATCAGCATTCGCCCTGGTACTCTTCGCTGTCTCCCTCTCTTTGGGCTATCCATTCAATTACGATACTATCCAATTACAAAATCAAAAGTAATACGTACCGCCGTGCCAGGGACATGTAATCCGGCCATCCGGCACAACAACGCCAAGCCTCAGCGGCGCTCCATAGTGAGTACACTTTGGACTGAGCGCATGGACTTGACCATCGTATTTCACGACAAGAACCTTGCCCTCAGGTACACCCTCGACCTCGCATTCGATTTTGTCAAAAGACGCGACATCCGCAAGGGAGGCTAGCCCTTTAAGTTTGTATTCCTGGGCCATGGTTGCAAAGCGGCGAGCTTGGGAGTAATGGAGGGGTGTTTTTGGAATTAAACTCGGCAGGAATCGTGGTAGATTTCCAGTACAGATTGCCCGTGCAGATAGGCAGCTGGATAGAAAGTGTCTTGGAGAATGGATTTGGGTTGTTCGTATCCAGGTAGACGTAGTTACTCTCCCAGTTGAAATTGAAGCCGGAGTTGAAGCTTGGGCAGGAAATGAATTGCGGGCGGCAGAGGTGGAAAAGGGAGAATGCGCGCAGCAGGAACAGGTACAGTTACGATTGGCGGATAGATGATAGCCACACCGATGGGCTGATCGTGTTGGGGAGGTGATTGGTGAGCGGCGGTGACGCAGTCCCGAGCGGGGGAGTCGATTGAGAGGGAGGGGTTGGAGCGATGAGACCATCGGTGGGGGATGAGAGGGTTAGAAGAGAATGGGGATCGAGATTAGGAAGAGATGGGGGGGAATGGGGTGGTGAGACTAGATGGTATGATGATTTACCAGGGCTGGTGGGTAGTACTATTTAAGTAGGAATTAGCTATGGGTATTTTTCTAGTCGCCGGATTGTTCAAGGAATGCAATGAGCAAGAAATGAAAGCAGTCAAGATGGTGAAGTATACAATAGCCCAGTGACATCACCGTGACTGTCGGGGATTGACCAATCAGCGGGGTGGATTGGTCACCATTTCCTGTTCTCTGGTTTGACGGAGTCTAGACAAACGACCTCGTCTCGACAACCAACATGGATTACTTCAAATGTTGGGTCTGTTACGTGGAAACCTGCTCCGATCTAAGATCAAAATGATCGATGAAGCCTTCTCCCCCGCTGAAGGGATAAGCTAGTGTAGCTCAAAATCATCGTCGATAGTATAGTATAGATGAATTGCTCTGCAAAGGACATATACACATGTGGCATGAATCTTTTTAAACCGGAACGCCCACCGCGAATGTAAAACCCATTGTAAATGGCGAATATCAAAACATATCGACAGACTCCGCGCAGTTCTGCCAATTTCCACTTCCACCGGTCAAGCCCAGCCAAATATAGAACAGACCTATTTCTTGCTCTTCTCCTTCTTCTCCTTCTTGGATTTGGACTTGTCCTTTTTCTCCTTCTTTTCTTTCTTCTCCTTCTTCTTCTCCACGGGCTCGGACACGCTCACACTCTCACCGGTAGGTTCCTCAATCTCCACAACGGAAACGTCGACCACTGCATCCGCAGCTGGAGAGCTCGAGATCGGAATAATGCGCCCATTCTTCTTCCTGGGCGATGCCAAGAACGAAGGAGGCAGAGACTGACCCTGTCTCTCTGCCGTCAAAAGGGCCTCCTCCTCTTCGGCCGTCAACATCGTTCCCTCAATACTCAAGAAGCCACGGTCCCGTTCCGAGCCTGGAATTACATCGATATCCACAACACGGAACTTGATATTTCCGCGCACTTTGTGACCCGAGATCGACTGGAAGTGTCCACTAGCCGCCTCCTCCTCTGCCGTCTCACCCTCGATATCGAGCTCGTCGGCCGCCAGCGCAGCGGGCTGGAACTGCTCCTTCTCAGCATCGAAGCTTGGTGGCACGGCATTGGAACCGGCCTCATCATCCGTAGTCAGGTCTTTAACGGCATTCTCGGACGTTTCACCGTCTTCGCCGGGGGGCACCCACGTCCACGATGTGGGGAGTCGCTTGCGCTCGATACCAACGGAGAACAAGTTCAGGACGACGGCACCCAGGAAACCCTCCGATTGAACATTGACCCAGCCCTCGAGGGTCTGGCCGCGCTGCGGCCGGAATACCAGGAAGGTAGCTGTCAGGTAGACGTACAGCACGCCGTACTCGTCTGCGCTGCGGGCCATGGTGAGCGGCATGGGGTTGGGATCGGAGGAGGAATTGCGAGGTTTAGAGGAAGGTGGCGTCGCGGAGATGGAGGCATGACTGTAGGCCAAAACGATACCCTTCAGCGGGGGGTAGTAGGTGAGAAGCAGCGGGGAGATATGCTCGGTGAGTAGCGATTGTAGCGCAACGTTGGAAGAGATGGAAATCGGCGCCAGCGGCAGGTATAGTGTGGCCGTGGTAAGGGAGAAGGGAGACCCGGGGACTCCGGCAGTTGTAGCGCCAGCGCCGGCCGAGCTTGAGCTTGTCTTGTCCATTTTGGAGCTGGACTTGGACTTGTCGGCGGATTGCTCGACCTGCTTGCGCTTCTTGGAGGGCGAGGCATCCTTGTTCTTGTGCTTGCGTTTGCGCTCCACGTCTGTGGGCGCGGGCGAGTTATCGAGGTCCATTGCGTCGAGGGCCATGGTTAGACGCAATTGAGCGCTCCGCGGAGCCGGGTTTTCGTGATAATGGGTTGGGATAAATTGGGGGTTCTTTTTTCTTCCGGCTTGAAGATCGAGAACTTTTTTTTCATTCTGCGCTTGGAGAAGGCGGTGGAGGGGTTGGGCGGTGACGGGCCAGTTAGTTACCGCCCGGAGTTTGGGCTTTGGGGCCGAGTATCATCAAGTCGCCAGCCTGGCCCCAGGGGAGATTTGAAAGTTGTTCTTTTTGGTTTTTGGGACTGGCGTTGACTTGCCAGTTATCGAATCTCTGTTATGGCGTCTATTTTGCCCTTTATTGGTTGGGCAGTTCTTCCCAATGTATGTGGATGACCTCCATGCGGCGAACACACGCCGCTTTGTATACAAAAGGCCAGAGTGATACTAATACTATCTCCCTTCGCAGTATGCCACGGCGTTTCTCCAAAATGTCTACTATGGTATCACCATTCGCGCGGGCGACCCTCGTCCCATGCCTCAGACACCACGCTTCGAGCGCGATCGCCGTCGCATCTTCATCTTCGTGATCATCAGCTACCTCCTCTACACGCTATACGAGACCTTCCACCAAGTACAAGTCGCGGGCGACTACTACAAAGTGCTAGGTGTGTCGCCATTTGCAGATGAGCGTACGATTAAATCCCGGTTCCGCAAGGTCGCAGCCCAGTTCCATCCAGACAAGGTCGGACTCGACAATGGCGCCGAAGCCCAGTTCATCTTCCTGCGACGAGCTCAGGAGACGCTGGCTGATCCGGTGAAACGGTTCGCATATGACCGATTCGGGCCTGATATGCTGAACTGGGGCGAGCAGAAGACTATGCGCGACTTTGTGACTGCCTCGCTGTCCCATGCGGTCATTCCGCAATACATTGGAGGTTTCGCGACGATGATCGTGCTGAATTGGTTGTGGTGGGCGAACTGGGGACGCTACGTAAGCACTTCCACAAGACACTGGTATGCCCTTGGCCATGAAACTGATATTCTAATACAATCCCACCTCTAGTGGCGCTTCTTCACCTTTGCCGCCCTGGTCACCCTCGAACTCGCGCTAATCACCCACCCGCAAGCCGTCTTCATGCCAACATCCTACCTTCCCTCCACCCTCCGCACCTTCATCCGCACCTGGATCCCCGAGGAACAATCCTTCTACCTCCTCCCCTTCCAAATCCTCACTCTCGCCCGTCGCGCCTCTATCACCCTCCACATCTTCATCTCGCAAATGGCCCCGCCCAGTTCCCGCGTCAACGCCAACAATGGCGACAAAGTCTCCCCGCAAACGATGCAGCGCATGAGCCAACTCGTGCAGGCATCGCGGGGAACCGACTTTGAGGCTACCCGGTTGATGCAGCTAGGGCTGGCGCCGTTCCGGGGGATCGTGAGAGTGTTTCCGCGTTGCGACGGGGGATGAAGGAGGGGTTGATTCTTGGGGGAGTGCGGTCTAGTCCGGAGGTGCAACGGGCTGTTGCGGAGGTTATGGAGAGGAGGGAGGCTGAGAAGGAGGATAAAGTTGATTAGATAGGGGAGAGGGTGACGGGGATGATGGAGCAATTGCATTGTAGATTTGATTCGTTTTGTACATGATAACATGTCTAGCACATTGGAACTTGGCGTTTGATTTTGGGAATGGAATATTTCAGTGTATATATATGGAACAAGACCCGTAGAGTTAGTAGAATATGCAGTCGAGAGAATTGGTCGAGCACCGATCAAGATCTTCGTGATTCTAGCCAAAGGCTGGGAAGTATTTCTAGCAAAACTATGAGCGTGGCTTATCCCTTTCTGCAAATAGAAGCAAAGTGTTCTATCCTCGACCAAACTTGGATGAGACCAAAGACCATGGCCAAGACTAAAAAGGAAGCGAAACCGGGCCTCAGTGAACCGTGTGGGACAGAGTTCTCCTATCGTCTAATCCAGAAGTTCAGTAGTGTCTAGCTAGTAGCTAGTAGCTAGTCATGGATCATCCTTATCACTCCCCAAGAATGACAATATGCAACCGCGCATACCGACGCAAGGTGTTAAGCTCTTCAACCATGAATAGTAAAAGTAGAATCTTGATTAAATGGACAGATTTTCTTGAAATCGAGCTGTTCCATCTGAACTATTTGTCCAACTCCGGACGAAACTAACCGTGGCGTCCGTGGCGGGGATCCCGGAAAGAGGTCGCCCCACGAGAGGATACGATGGATCATGGGGAGGAGGAGGAGGGGGAGGAGGAGAGAAGAAAATAGTGGGATAGGATTTCCGAGGAGTGGCGTGCATGATCACAATTTTGTCTCGAGAGGTCACAAAGGCCGAGGAGGGGCGGTCCCCGTGATACCCGTGATCGGAGGGATCAGGTTGTGAATTTGTCTGGGAGTTCGTTTGTTGTCTCGGGGGTATCCTACGGAGTGTTTCGTACAGTAAGTATGTACTGTAGAGTGTATGGCCCCGAGCGAGCCATTTTCGGGATGCGGCGGAGTGGTGCCAGGAATGAGATCGGGAAAAGGAATATGAATTACATAGTCGTACGTTTCCAGTAGCAGTATAACCGGGTGAATTTTTTTCGTTAAGGCGTTGGCGATCTGGGAATGTATGGGAGACGCTGAATAGAGAGATTGTATTGATGATGATTAGATGGGCTATATAATATACTAGATCATCGTTATAGTTACTAGATATACTAATTGTCTATGAATAGTATGATTTCCAACAAAACTATTTCCAGTCGTGGATGCCTACGACTGTCAAAGGCGAGGGACGTGCTTTTGGAGGATCTGCTTCGTTTGCATTGAAGATCGGGGTATTGGTATTGTCATGCCGAGAGACCGCTCTCCATTGTCGGGCTTGGCTGGCTGGTAATACGGTGACGCGGACGCGAAGCCTCACCTCCCGTGTCCCCTTAGTTAAACCCGGAGGAGCGAGTTTCCCCTACCAGAAGGGCCGTACCACAAAGTCGTGAGCGAAAAGAACCTTTTCAAATCGTCAAGATGAAATCCACTTCGACCCCCCCCCTGCTCCCCTTCTTTCATCTTCCCCCCTCCGCCTCCTCCCTCCTCCCATCCACTCCTCCTCCATACTATGATCCCATCCACCTTGACACTACTACGACCAACTACTTTCGCCTCATCCTGCCACCTGCATTAAGAAAAAAAAAGCCTCCCCAACCAACCCACGTCACGATCGCCCATTCATTCATTCGGGTCCCTTCGTTACTCCCCTTCAATTCCCACCCTTCCCACGACCATCCCACGATCTCATCACGAATCCACGTCTCGTTCCCACCATCCCCCGTCATCTCCGTCCTTTTCTCCGCGTTCATCATGCCGGCCGGCTCTACCCCCAACGGTCGCTCCAATCGAGCCGGAGCTACAAAGAATGCTCCCACAACGTTACTCGTAACCCTCAAGCTGGCGCCCGAAGCCTTGCGACAATTCATGGAGGAAACTCCCGAATCCCCCGAGACAAAGACCCCCGAACCTACATCCATTCCCGACAAGGCCACCGAACAGTCCTCACCGGCCTCCTCGACCGAAGCCCCAGCCGCCCGTCCATCTTCAGCTGACGCAGAATCAAACGCCGATGCGAACTCAACACCCGCCACCGGGGCAACTCCAGGCGACACCCCACGACGGAAGGGAATCCCGGGTCCCAAGCCTGGCACTAAACGCGCCAACGGTCAAATGGAGCCCGTCGCGCGAGTACGCGGTCGACCCGGCCCTAAGAAGAAAGCTCGCCTGTAGGTTTATCCTCGAAGACACCCCCGACCGTGTCCACTGGAAACAAGAAACGAAAACAAAAACAATGCTAACATACTCTACTCCTACAGTGACGAAGGCGGCGAACCAGGCAAGGTCTCTGTCGCCCCTCGATTGGGACCCAAGGCCAACACCGGTGCTATCAATGCACACCTCCGCGCCCTAGATCGCAGCGGCGCCCCATGCCGCAAATGGGAGCGTCAACCTCTCAAGCTTCGCAGCTTCACCGGCGTCATGTGGCAGTTGCCCGCTTGGGGTAGCTATAAGATTGCAAAGCCCGAGTCTGACGAGAACAAAGTGGCTGCCGGGTTGGAGAATGGAGAGAGTGATACCAAGATGCTGACTGCCGCTGGTACTGATACGGTGAATGGCAGTAGTGCCGTCCCGAGTGAAAAGAGTACTGGTGATGGGGACGTTACCCCGGCACCTTCGAATATTGTCGAGCCCTCGTCGCCGGCTATTGCCTCGGCTGCATGAGCTGGGGCTGTACATTAGATCTTTTCTTTCTTTCTTCTTTCTTCCTTGCTCATCTGGTTTCCGTTTGTTCTTCATTTATTGCGTGATCATCTTTGGTTTCGGGATTCTGGGATTGGTTTCTGGCGTCTATGGAAATGGGTGTGGTCTGTTCAAAGGCTCTATGGAGGTTTCGCATGTTTCCTGGCAGCACTCGGTGGTGACTGTCCCGTCTGCTTTTTTTTACTGGGGGTACTCGGAATCATATTGTATCATAGTTTGCTGAGACTTCAAGTCTTCAGGGATCAGGTGTCTGCGGGTCCGTTTCTCCTTCTATATCTTGTCGGGTGATTTGACTGACTGGAGGATGTTTTCTCTCTTCTGCTGCTGAAAACATAGCGCTTGCAGCATTTGCTTTTTGTTCTAAAAAAATCCACTTGTTCATGGCCGAATCCTATGAGACCGTTTTCTCTAGTATAAACTTCCGGCTAGGGCATATCAAGAGATAGGCTACTGTTATCATTGCTTCATAACAAAATCGTAGAGATACAAAGATAACCCTACTTTTTAAAATCCACCTAGTTATCTATTCTAGTTCTCTCCTAATTCACTGCTTATCAGTCTGCGCCGAGCCTGAACGGGGGAGGGGACCTCGTGACAAAGCACCGTGCTCTTCTGTAGTAACGCTTCCTCCCCCCCTCCTTTGCGTACAAGACCTTCCCCGCAATCTCCCTGTGACAGACACCTCGGCCATCAACTCCTCCCTTTTCTTTGCAGAACGGTGCTGCAAAAACCCTCTTCACGGTGGGGGTGATTTTCAGGGCCCGTACGTGGATAATCGTGGGCACGGAGGGGCACCGCGGGCTGCCCGAAACCCTCTTGGCCGTGAAACAACATTGTTGTTCGGCTCTAGGGCCTCCATTGCTGCTTGCGGTCAACCAGATGACCCGCTGATCACGCAACATCCAGCAACAGATTACCATTCTTCAAACTGTGAAAACGAAAAAAAACCCAAAAAGAAACAAAGCCAAAAAGGGGCGGGCCCATAGGCACATCCACAGTTGGGTTGCGCCGTCATCCACTCAAAGTGGTGGATGACTTTGACCCGCCATGACCGACCTTCCCTTCCCCGGTGGAGCTCCTCGAGCTCCAACATACGGCATCTCCTCCGGTCCACGCCGCTCCTCCTACGCCTCCGTCGTGTCGGGCACCGCTCTTTCACCTCCAATCTCTAGCTCATTCCCGCATCTCCTCAATACTAACCCAGTCTCTTCGTATCCCCCACTCTCCCAGCCCGACGGTCGTCTCTCCCGGGCCCTGTCCGGCCTGGATGCCGCAGACATGCACTTGAACTCCGCCTGGCGGTCCTCGGGATCCCCAGATTCCCTACCATCCTACTCGCGCAAGTATACCAACTACATGCGCCCGACCGAGTTCCCGCATGGCCTGGGTCTTCTCGATGGCCCTTCCTTCTTTACGCCCTCCTACCTCCGAAACTCCCACTACATCTCCCGCCTCGACGCCGCCCACCGAGCTAAGCTCGCCGCCCAACAGCGTGATGCTTCTTCATCGACCTCGGCCTCGGGCCCTGCCCTTTCCGCTTCTTCGAGTCATGTCCATCTCCCCCGTTTGGCGCCGTCTCATCGGGGTATGACCCATGAGATCATCGAGAGGGAGCCCCCCGCCACGACGACCGATCAGCTTAGCCCGCTCCCCACACAGTGGAGTTCCTCGGACAAATATGCCGGGTTGGAACTCTCGAATGATGGACTGGATGTGCGATACACGGGGCCGGTGCATAAACATGATCATGAGGCGGCGGCTTTGCGGGCGGATCATCCAATGCCGCCACAATGCGGGATTTACTACTTTGAGATTAAGATTGAGTCGAAGCCGAAGGAGGGGTGAGTTGTCTGCCTTTCTGTGAGATGGGAGATTGCTAGGCGGGCCCAAGAAAGAAAATGAACTAATCCCGAATTTGTTTCGTGCAGGATGATCGGTATTGGATTCTCTAGTCCTAAGGCCTCGGTCGAGCGGCTTCCCGGCTGGGAACAGGAATCATGGGCCTACCACGGTGATGACGGAAAGTCATTTTTCGGTGAGAGCCAGGGCCAAGGGAGGCCGTATGGACCGACATTTGGGGTTGGAGATACAGTGGGCTGTGGAGTGAATTTCTCCACCGGGTCGGCGTTCTTCACTAAGAATGGAAATTTCTTGGGTACGTACAGAGTTTATCTGATGAATGAGGCTGTCAAACTTGCTAAATCAGACGAAAAAGGAAACGCCTTCCATGAGCTGCGTAATGTGAAGCTTTATCCTTCTGTTGGGATGAAGAAGCAACCACCCGTCCATCTGAAAGCAAACTTTGGCCAGGAACCGTTCATGTTTGATATCGATGGGATGGTCAAGGTTAGTGTTATCAAAGATGAAATTTGTCGCAGATCCAACTGACAACACAATAGGCCGAGCGAGCTTTGATCCAGGCAGAAATCAACGCAACAAGCACCGATACCCTGCAGCCCCCACTTAACGAGTCGGCATTGCTCCAAGAATTAGTAGCCCAATTCCTGGCACATGATGGCTACGTTGAGACGGCGAGAGCCTTTGCTGAAGAAGTAGCCACCGAGACAACGGCATTACAAAACGGTCAACGAGAGCCTTTGAAGAAATACGAGGTCGAAGAAGACCGCGAAGCCATTAACCGCAACAGTAATAGCCCCCTCCCCCCTCATTTTTCTCATTTCACCTCTATCAACACAATTTCAATTCCCACTCTAATACTTCATTCAGAGATCCGCGCCGCAATTCTAGACGGCGACATCGACAAAGCTCTCAAACACACAAAAGCCTACTACGCCAACGTCCTCGAAGACAACCCCCAAATCCACTTCAGACTCCGCTGCCGCAAATTCCTCGAAATGATGCGCCGCTCCACCGAACTCACCCCAGGGACAACAAACCCCAAGCGCCGTCGACCAGACTCACCGGGTCTCGGCATCGCCGACGAACACGCCGTGTTTGACCAGGAAATGGAACTGGATGATGGAAACTGGGACGGCGATGGGATGGACACGGAGGATTCCGCGGTGGTGGAGGCAGCCCCGTTCAATGAGGTCTTGACCGAGGCGATACAGTATGGGCAGCAGTTGTGCATGGATTACCCTTCCGATGAGAATGGGGGAGATAAGAAGATGCTCGATGCTATCTTTTCGTTGATTGCGTATCCGGAACCGCAGGGTTCAGTGCATGGGCATCATCTCGATCCTGCGGGCAGAGTTGCCGTGGCGGAGGAGTTGAATTCGGCTATTCTAGGTGAGTTACCCCAGTCCATCCTGTCCATTCTTCTCCAGCCCTTTCCCCGATTTTGGTGAGTGTTCATACTAATATTTTTGGTCGCCAGTCTCCCTCGGAAAATCCTCCTCCGCGGCTCTAGAGCGACTATACCAACAAACGGAAGCTCTAGTCAACGAGATCAGCGAAGACGGCGGCGCCGGGGCGTTCATCAATGTTCGGAATGACGTTTTGCTTTGAATATCCCCTCACCCACTAGCGCGGGTTTCTCTTCTTCTCTCTTCGAATTACCTGCTCGTCTTACGCGGTTTTTCTTCTCTTCTTCTAACTAAGCCAGGGTTTAAGGGTCAATGGGTGTTTTTGTTGCGAATCTTCGATCTTAGTTTCCTTTCATCATTTGAGATCTCCGCGCTACTTCTCTACTCTACTTTACCTTTTTTTTCTGGGCGAGTTTGGTTAGATCGCACTTTTTTGTGGCTGGTGTGGGTTACGGGGGATTTTGGGTCTATGACTTGAACTGGACTTGACTGGACTGGACTGAACTGAATTGACTGGATCTGGAATAACCTGGTAAGGTCGTTTTGGGTCTGGCCTGACCTGCTCTGGTCTGGCTTTTTTCCTGGCTGGATTGGATTCGGATCTGGATCTGGATCTGGTTCTAGGTTCATAGCATCATAATCATGTGTCTCTATTGCGTGCTAGCCAGAATGTGTGATCGTGGTCTCATTACGTAACTTGAGGCCCTGCTCTTTTTGAGTTTCTGCTTCTCTTTTATAGTGTTCTTTTCTGGTAGCGTTTGGTCCTAGGCTTTCTGGTACTCTCGTGGGTGATTAGTGATTGGGGTACTATATGTAGTTGGATATGTGTGTGTGTGTGAGGAAATGTTAGTGGGAGCTTGGGATGTAGTAGAGATTTATGTTGATCTGCCTAGGCTTGGGCCTTTTAACTCATGGGGAGGGAATGCTTAATGGCAGGATTAGGTAGTCGGGTAATGGATATACATGACTTGAATCTGCTTTTTCGTAGGCGCCCTTCAGTAACGAGAAGATAGTATTGCTCTACTCATCGATGCCGAGGTAGTATTAAGGCTTTCAAATATAGATTTCTAGACTTTGTTAGCTGGGAATTAGGTAAGGTAAGCTCCTCATATATACCCCAGGGACGTGGGTACAAATTTGACGCCGAGGCTTCGTAATCGCCAGCATAGCCGCGGACGCCTGTCTCGCTCACCAACACGCTCATAGAGGTCCGCGACAAACCGCGCGTATACCATAACGTTCACAGTTTCGTAGGCGCTGCGCAACTCGCAGAAGTAACCATCCGCCTCTCGTCTATGAAACGTCGGTTCGCGTAATCCTTCCTCGCTAAGGGAGGCTGCCACATGGTATGAGCAGAGCTGCGGATCGTGCTACGTACACGTCCGCGCCGACAGTGGACGTATGGCATGATGTGCTTCGGGAGAGGTTCTCTATGCTAGTTATGGAGGCACGTGAGAGCTATAATATGGAAGCTGGATATGATTATACCCTGGTTGTTCTGATATATCACGTGCGCCCTGCTTTTAGCGTGATCGGGGTTCGTGCACGGTGTTTGATAGATCGATCGGATGGGGAACGCTGAGCACGGGCCACTTCAAGATCTTGCGAATATTACTACTGTATCGGGCTTGTTGAATATTTGATAAGGGAGTCATAGGTACCTATAATTGACTACTAGTTCTGTAGGGAGTTTGTGGTCATTATCACTGTTGTTAATGTGACTAGTTTAAATCTACAAGTCGATATAGAAGGCCTTGCTGGCATAGTAATTTTTCTAGAATATTTCTCCTCTTTGCACTAAACAGATCACTCGATACATAGTGCATGTTCCTCTCTCTTCTGTTCTTCCTTCCTCTTGTTTCGGGTAAAATTTCCATATATTTATAATTGGGTATACTTACTGAGCTAATGTGACACTAGTGAGAGGGGGGATCGAGGGCGAGTTTTTGGTAATATACTCATCATTACCCTCGTCCTCGTCTTCTCTATATGTAGCTTTCATCTATACCTCCAAAATTCAATATAACATGTAGTAATTCCGTAGAGGTCTGCTTCTTCGAGACAAAGAGATTTCTGGTTCATGGGAATGCTCAAAAATAGTAATTGTACCTCCTCAGCCAGCCATCCGAATGTACTCGGTACTCTATCCGGAAGTAATCCACTCCGAATGGCGCCAAGTGGCCCAACTCTCGTCTCCATGCCTCTCTCGAATATTGAATCTTGCATGAGAGATTGATCACGCTAATTCTGTGGGGCGATTTGCTCACTGCTACTTGTGATTTATTTAGCTTCGATCTGTCTATTTTTTGAAGAAGGCATCGATTTCGGGGTTGAGTTTTTACTTCATCTTCCTAACTCAGGACCGCCTTGAACACATTCCTTTAACAAATTGTGACAAAGTGAGTGTCTACTCTTTCCAGATTCATATCATGTCTTTATCTGGCCCTTGTCACTTCGCTCCATTCTAAACCGGTCCTCTGCTAATAATATACAAGATGACCTCCGAAGTAGCTGTTTCATCGTTGTAGAAGGGGGGCTACGTCATGCTAGATGGCTGCCCGTGCAGAAGGTGGGAGGCTACTCGCACTCGGATCGAAAACACAAATGGCTGGGAAATAAACATTATAGGCATCCCTCTCTTCGGTGGAAAGGCATACCAAAGGGCATTCCCGACAAGCGCCACTGTAAAAGTCCCAGTCGTAGAGCGGACGAGCTTCCTATTGGCATGCCCATCACTAAAATCCATGGGGCTGATCATAAGCTAACGATTAACACAGATTGACGCGAAGGATGATGATTCTACAGTTCTCATGGATAAAAAAGGGGAGATCAGGGATGATCTTCCTCTCCCCAAGGGCGAGGCTGGACAGGCACTCAAGAAGAGATTTTTGGCGGCGTCCGACGGAGAAGGAGGTATATCAGAACAAAAGCCGGGTTTAATCTCGTGGAACGCTGTGCTAATTACTGCGCTTCATAGTCCCAGCCGTTGTTTTGTCTGCTGGTGGGATTGAAGGTATACTAAATAGCTTATAATGGCGAGAGATAGGGAACGGAGGGCTGTTGAGGGGTGGAGAATGAATAGGTCCACGGAGAGCAGTTGAGTCTATTGACCATTTTCATCCAATTCCATTTCTGATCCTCGACATCCCCCTGGTTTATGAATTAACAAAGACTGCTGAGTTTACAGAACACGTTACGAGTACAGCGATAGTAAAGAAGAACGAGTATTGGGTACTACGCTGCCCTCTCAGTAGAAGCGAACGGGGTTTCGATTACTACAAGAAACAAGAAGCAGTCAGCGCCAGGCCTCTTTTCGGGTTCCCACAGGACTAGTCATCATCTTCCTCCTCACTCTCGCCACTCTCGCCATAAGGCGGACCAAATGGAGCTCCCCATTCATACTCCTTGCCTATCTTTGCATTCGCCCAACACCCGTGTTCGGTCAAGTAGCAATCGTCCAGATAAACATAACACGCCGCATCATCCACATTATTATGACGATACGAGCGGATCACCCGCCCACACTCATCATACCAGACCGCAAGAACCTTGCCCGCATGCCTTCCCTCCGAAGCAAGCGTCTTCGCATCAACGATATAAATGCGGCCCACGATCCGAGCCATATGGTAATCACCAAAGAAGCAGGGCCACGGTAGCCCATCCTCCTCCGGGTCATAACCATCCGCCTCGGCTTGCTCTGCATCTTCAGCCTCGGCCTCGATTCCGGCCTCAAGAGCCTCTTTCGCGCTCTCCTCGTATTCCTCGGCAGATTGATAGCTTTCTAAGAGCTGTGGAATACGGAGGAAGACTTTCTCCCAATTGGCCCCAAAGTCGTATAATGATGCGTCGTTGAAAATTGAGTAATTTCCTTTCACCTTTAACCAAGCCTCAATTTCTGAGAAAGCGACATCCGAGGATGGCTGGTAGCATGTGCGTAACCAGATCCGTCCTAAGGGCTGCCTTTCAGCGGAAACATGGCATACTCTAGACAGGAGTTCTCTTTCCTGAGGAGTCAGGTCTGAGACCTTTGAGACGCGCCGCTGCTTCTTCTGGTCTTCATATGGCTATACGTCATTGGTTAGAATAATGAAAGGAAAAATGAGAACAAAGAACACCAATGGAGAACAATACTTGACGACCCTTAACTCCAAGGCTCACATACTCGGCGAAAAGCTTTTCGCGTTGAGCGTCGAGGGAAAGTGTTGAATTCTCTTCCCATCGCTCCTATGGGGGATAATATTAGCTTTATCCTCCTTAGTTGATGCTGTGCACTCACCAGTAGAAATAAGTCTGGCGAACGAATTCGAAAATCCTCGGAATTCATGTCTTGGGCTGGAATCCTTTGAACTTGTAAAGATGTGAAAAGTTGTTGACAAGGCTGTTGAAGAGTCTTAGTGCAAATAGACTGTTGCCATATAAACTAGGCATTAATATGCCTCAGGCATCAACACCTTGATATCATGAAGGAGCGCCCGAGGGGAAAGTAGACGCGCTATATAATAAAAATGGGTCCAATAAGACCAGCATGATTCAGAATTTTGAGGGATTATATTTGACTTGTAAATAGCGGAGCTCTACTGCAGGAAGACTATCGACTGCCACTGACGACCCCACGCAAAGCGTGGTAACAGGGCAATATATTTCTTGGTTTTACCCTCGAAGTATGAAGTATAGATGCACCAAGGGATAGACTTGTAAACATATACAGGCTGGTTCAGATCATATTTCCCACCAACAGACAATTGAGGGATTTGTGAGTACTTATCCTGCAGCATACCCCTAGTGGTTTGCAAGACCTATAATTATAATTGGTCAGTATATTGTGGTATAGTGACTTTCGGGGTATTCAGACCTCGATGTAACTCTGGCGTGGATTGCTTCTCATGGTGTTGATGAACGCCCAAGACATAGCGCCTATGATTTCATTAATTTCCAGACATCCAAAGGTAGATAATGAAACAAAAAGAGTAATTCAATATGCACTTACCTGTCGCAAGACCTTGCATACTCGTATCAGCCGAAGTCTGATCATCAGCACAGCCACTAAACATCCACACATCCTTCCTCTCATTTCGCCAATCCTCCATGAAATTCTCATCCGCAAGTCCATTTTCATCTGAGGGTGCCTCTGGGTGTGTGAATTTGTGCAACAAGGACGTTCCACGTCCAATTAATGACTGCACGTCGTGGATTTTCTCTATAGAGAATCCGCCGTGTAGCAAAGCCGATGCCTCCTTGGCTAGCGAAATACCTTCTTTGACGTTGTTGACCATGTTCACCCTGCCGTCGGCATCGGGCCGGAATACATAAGGTAGTTCCACGGCAGAGCCAGAGTGGCAGCAGTCAAAGAGGATGGTTAATCTGCATCGAGGATTCATGGGTGAAACGATCACTTTGTGGAGCTTTATTGTTGTTAGTAAGTGGACGTTCTAGAAATATGCCGCTGTTGATTATTCGACGTACCGTGTCGCTTGTAATCTGTCCGTTCTGTTCGAAATCCACAGGACATATAGTGTCGTCAAATCTAAGCAGTGTCAGTACTGGATTTGACGTTTCTGTTGCCGCCTTTTAGACGACAAGTAAGATCAGGATCAAATTCATACCCAGAATCTCGATCTCCATCAGGATCTCGAACTTGACCTTTTAACGTCTCCTATTAGATAAAGCTCCCCATTATACTGTACTGCCCAGGAGGAAAACCCACTTCCATGACCTGAATACGACAACCACAGCGAATCACCAGGATTGTTCCCCGAAACCAGCCAATTGAATGCAGCCAGCATATTAGCGCCAGTAGGATAGAAAGGCGTGCCTCGATTCTCCGGTAAATCGGTCAAGATCACCATATCCCGCTGATCTGGGGAATATCCACGATCACGAACTAGGTATTCACGAACATTCATGGCGTCATTGATGCAGCCATTCAGCTGATGGTTGGAGCCGGTGTAGTTGATTCCAATCAGGAGAGATTTCTTACGGGGCATGGTCAATGGATGATGGCTGGAGTATTCTGCTGCAATTGGCGAATTACGACGGAAATTTTTAAGAAAGAAAGTACATTCAGAGATGTTTTAGAGGTTTCAACTCAGCGTCTTGTGGTTCCCAGGTTCACGAAGCCCACGTGGGTTGCTCCCCCACGGACGACGTGTGGCCTGAGGCAACCACGAACTATAAACTGAGCACATGACTATGGAGATACGGAGATATAGTTATTCCGTGGGAATGCTTATGTACATTAAGTTATGTGAACCGGATTAACCTTAAAACCGCGGACTGGTGAATTGCCTTTTCGGGTGACTTAGCTGGCGCAATTGACAGCCCAGGTTGAACAGACATGAGATCCACGGGGTACTCAATTAGTAAATGTGTACTATATAAGTTACTAGGAAAAGCGATTTTGGTAGATAAACAACATCAACTGATCAACTTGTTGCCTGCCGGAACTTCTGCGGAGTGGAGGTGGAGCTGCTCAATTGCAATCTCCCGGCGGGGGTGGAGCGTCCCCGGACTCGCCTAGCCGACTTGCTCGGAGAACCCCACTGGCTGACATTGAAGCTTTTGGCTCATCTCGTTAACCTCGACCAATGGAGTGGTGTGTTAGCCGTTCAGAGATTGGTCTTTGACTGCCCTTGTCACGCCACGACTCCCTGCAAGCCCCGGCGGAGCAAGATGGTCTAGCGCACCTGACAAGGCTATATATCTGGGAGATTTGTCTCCAGAAATTCTTCCCCGCATATCAAGAGACCCTCACTGATCGAGTGCTGATCGGGTGTTTCTGATTTCACACCTCGACTTCTTCCAAGGATCGTATTGCCGATCGCATACATCATGGCCGCGGATACTGTCGTCCTCACCGAGAAGGAGGTCGAGCGCTTGCAGCTTGGTGGTGCGGAGACTCTCGAGCTGATCAACCAAGCGCAGGAGAGTGATGCTGCGGATCGGCTTTTGACGATTCGTGCTGCTTTGGCCAAGTACAAGAAAGCCGTCTTCTGGGCCATGTTCTTGTCCACTAGTCTGATCATGGAGGGCTACGATTTGGTCATTGTAAGTGGAAGAATATTCGTGCTAGATTCCACCTCCAGCTCTTTAGCTTGTCCGGAGCGTCACACTAACTCCAATTCCTATTCTCTAGATTACCTCCTTCTACGGTCAAGCTCAATTCCAGGAACGATTTGGAGTCTTGGACCCGGTCACCAAAACACACTCTATCACTGCTGCCTGGCAATCCGGCCTGTCTAACTCTTCCGTCGTCGGGCAGCTGGCCGGTCTCATCATCAACATGTATGCGCAGGACCGCTTTGGATGTCGTCCCACTATGATGTTTTTCATGGCGTGGATGACTGTAATGATCTTCATCCCCGTATTTGCGCCCTCCCTGCCGGTCCTGGCATTTGGAGAAGCCATGTGTGGTGTCTCCTGGGGCGTATTCCAGGTTCGTACATGTTTCTTCTGTTCGTGTTCATTAGATGATTGGTCAATTGATTTAACAATTTTAATTTCTATTCTAGACACTCTCCACTAGCTACGCCTCTGAAGTCGTTCCTACCGTTCTCAGACCTTACGTTACAGCCTATGTCTGTATGTGTTGGGGTGCTGGTATTCTCCTTTCTTCTGGTGTGGTCCGTGCTGTGGCCAATCTCAATGGAGATATTGGCTGGCGACTCCCCTTTGCGATTCAATGGGTCTGGCCCATTCCTCTTTTGATCGGTGCTTATCTTGCTCCTGAATCTCCCTGGAACGCAGTCCGACGAGGCAAAATGGACACGGCAAAGAATTCCCTGATGCGCCTGCGCCAGGAAAGCCCGAACAAAGAGCGCGACGTAGCCGCTACATTGGCGTATATCCGGTACACAACCGAGCTGGAGATGGCAGAGACTGACGGTGCTTCGATTTGGGATTGCTTCAAGGGGGCGAACTTGCGTCGAACTGAAATTGTGAGTTCATGGTTCTCTTTATTTTTCGCGTATAATCTCATGACGAACTCCAATTTGGTGCAAAACTGACTCCCCCAACCTACAGAACTGTGTTGTCTGGGCTGCGCAGATCCTCTGCGGTAACGCAATTCTGAGCTACTCGGTTACCTTCCTCGAGGCCGCCGGTTTCAGCTCAATCCAGGCCTTTGACGTGAACATCGCACTCTCATCGTGCTATATCATTGGCGGTATCATCTGTTGGTTCCTCTTCCCGCACTACGGCCGTGCCACCATCTACATGACGGGCCTTACCTTGATGTTCTTCTGTCTTGTTGCCATCGGCGGCCTTGGTTGGGCGAGCGGCACTAAATCTCAGCTCGCTGTTGGCATTCTGCTCGTCATTTCTACCCTCATCAACATGATTACCATCGGACCTGTCTGCTATCCTATCGTCGCTGAGACTCCGTCTGGTCGCCTGCGTTACAAGACTATTACCATTGGTAGATTCGTCTACAACCTCACTGGTATCTTCCAGAACTCGGTTACCCCTCATATGATTCAAGCAAGCTGTAAGTTTCTGAGTTTTCTTCCGCTCTTATCGTGGCGCCTATCACAGCACACGCTAACCGAAACTTCCTTCCAGCTTGGAACTGGGGTGCCAAAACTGGCCTCTTCTACGCCGGCACCAATCTGCTCTGCACTATTTGGTGCTGGTTCCGGCTTCCAGAGACCAAGGACCGCACCTTTGGCGAGATCGATCTGCTTTTCGCCAACAACGTGCCCGCACGCAAGTTCAAGACTACCCGAGTCGAACGTAAGTTTTTCCTCCGCAATAAGCCCATACATCGTAATAAAATAGAGCCCTAACACATGACCGTATAGAATTCTCCCAGCAAAATTATGTCCCCAAGGAGGCAGAGGCTGGTGTGCAGTCTACTACCCACGTGGAGGATCTATAGGCAGTACGGATATGTTCTTTCTAGGGAGGTGATAGGTTTAAATTTTATCCCAATGTTCTATAATCAAGAAATACGAGAGAGTTCATGCCGGATCCAAGATACCTATCTCATCACTTTTCTCTATGCGTAACTGGAAGAGATCAATCATTTCCTAAGTCATGAAGACGAAATCTATCTACGGAGCAATGTCCCGTAATGTATTGCCGATGAATAAAACAATGCGGATAAAATTATACCTCCTTTCACACCTCTTACTAACTGCTCTATACTACATTTCATCAACTTGTGCCGACATGGTAATCGATGAGAAAGCAAGATGTGTCTATGGAACTGTGGTGGATTGGGCTATTGAGTGGGTCCCAGTTGAAGATCAATGGAAAAGTTTCCCAAGGGCTATTTATGTGGAGCGGGCATGCGAATTCCGAGTTTGGCCCAATCCACCATACAGAGACAAATGAGATCGTGCAGATGCCGAATAATCTTCCAGAGGAGGAACATTGGTAGGATCACTACTCCCCCACTAGCAAGCTACAATTCAGCAGCCTCTCATTCAGGAAAGCACTGTAGACAATCTCACAGGGCTTAAATACCACACATAGAACTATCTGGAATAGTACGATACAGTTAGCTAACAAAAGTTTAGTGGGGAAGGCTAAAACTATATACCCGGGAGACAACCTAGCATGAGCCTGCCGAAGTTCGCGAGCAGCAGTAGAGAACCGTAACAGTCCCCACAGGACCGGCCAAGATATCGCAGCATGTACAGTGTGCAAAGCTCGAATCAGTGCAATCGGCGTCTGTTGAGCAAGTGCCAGTTACATCTCTCTGTAATAAATTGATCGCGGGCGTTGACGGAGCGGCATTCGATACCAATGGGAAGATCATCACCCAAAGGGCTGCGAGTGGTAGGACAGGTTTGATATTCGCTAACATTTTGATGTTCCAATAGCTGGTTTCTCAAGAATTTGACTAGATATGATAATAACTTTGAGTTTGGATTTTGTTTCTCTTATAGCGATGGTCTCGGAATTATACGCTACCCGAAAAGGGTAGAATCCCGGCACACGAACCGAACCCCACAAGTTGAAGTAGAAGTTTCGGGAGCGAATTGTGGGGGAAAGGGCAAACTCCGGGGGAGGAAAACCCCTCCGGTCCGAGAGAACCACCCGCAAATTGTCGACCGGAGCGTGTCGGGAGGAGGGAACAAAAGTAGCGGAGGAGGGGTACATAGGGCACTTTACTACCCCGCGCGGAGATTATCTCGGTTAAGCTTTCCCCGGATTATCCGCCCCACGTTTACTCCTGAAGAATCGTGCAGAATTCAATTAAGGTGTTTTACTCCGCATGGAAGCCCAGGTACCAATGTGGGCAAGTGGACGCAATATAAAAGCCTGATGAATTTCTGGAACTCGGGTCTGAAAGAAATAACATTCTCACCAGCCTTATCATTCTACTTCGAGAGTACCTAATAAAACTATCAATATGCGCTGGGACTTGGTACAAGCTCTTGCTCTCGTACAGTTGGCTTCTGCAGGCCCTGTTAAGACGAGAGATACTGTCACAGCTCAGGTGAACTTCAATAATAACACCGGCACCCCGCAACATCTGGCATCCGGACTGTTGTATGGTGTTCCTGATACTCTTAACCAAATTCCGGTACGATATTACCAAAAAAACAACTTATCATTGACTAACTCATTCTCTCCAGGCACACTTCTATCAGAACATCGGATATAACTATGAGCGTGCCGGAGGTGCACAGGTCGCAGCCCCCGGCCGAGGCTGGATCTGGGGTTTGACCGAGTACAAGGTAAGAAAGAGGTTGCCCTTCACCAGAGCGATATTAATAGTTTATTTAGAACCGATTCAAATCAGCACTTTCAAATTACCAGACTGCACGCGAGTATGATGCAACATTCATTTTCCTTATTCACGATCTTTGGGGCGCCGATGGAACACAGAACTCCTCTGCTCCTTATCCCGGAGATAATGGAGACTGGACTAGTTGGGATGAATATCTTACCCAGCTATTCTCCGATATAAAGGCTAATAGCATGACTACTGGACTTGTCATTGATATTTGGAATGAACCTGACCTCACGGCTTTCTGGAATCGTGATCAATCCCAGTACCTAGAGATGTGGGGCAGAACGTACTACAAGTTCAGGTGAGATTTTCAAAATCTGTTTTGGCTAAGATCATGACAAGCAAGCTAACTTTTATTAAGAGCTGAGTTCGGCACTGCTGTCGAGCTCTCTGGACCGGCTAGTGCTGGTGAACCCGTTGCCTCCAACACCTGGTGGCAGGCATGGGCTTCATTTGTTGCCAGCAATCAGTCCATTCCAGACCAGTATGCTTGGCACATGGAGGGAGGAGGTGGAGACCTTCTCTCAGCTCAAGCAGGCCTCAATTACTGGCGCTCGACATACAACCTTCCATCAAAGTTGATTAACATCAATGAATACGGCGTATACGACGAACAAGTTCCTGCCGGTTCTGCTTGGTGGATCGGCCAGCTGGAACGCATCAATGCACGAGGCCTGCGCGGAAACTGGCTCAGCGGAACCAATCTCCACGATTACATGGCTTCTCTCCTGGGTAAATCTGGATCTACTTACTATCCCAACGGAGACTACCAAGTGTACAAGTACTACTATCAAAACATGACTGGTTATCGAGTTGGAACCCTTCCTTCTTCGGACCTGAAGTTGGAGGCCTATGCGACCGTTGGCTCAGACTACGCTCGTGTCCTGGTTGGTGTTAGAGTTGCTACTGGTACCTGGGAGTTGGAATTGAACTCGCTGTCTTCTCTTGGATTGCCGACAAGTGGAACGCTGAATGTGCATACCTGGGGATTCCCTGTGGCATCTGATGTGCACTATGGAGAGGTTGATGCGCCAACTGATTTGGGCTGGTACGGTCATGCCTATTCGGGAGATACCGTTACCTTCCCTGTTTATCAGACGGACGAAGTCACTGCGTATGTCTTCGAGTTCGCTATCTAGGAGATGGAAATGGACTTAAATTACTTTTTGGTGGTACTTGCACAATAAGAATATCTTTTTCATACAGCATAAAACACTAGACTATGTTATTCCCCACTTTTACTATGACGGACTCACTGGTATTCAGTCTGCCTGAGTGGATAACAAGTCAGGATACCTGAAAATGATGGCCATACAGTATTACAGCTAAATATTTCGACGCAGAATGAAGAATGAAGGGAATCAAGCAAGAGGGCCGGTGTCACAACTAAACATCCTCGTGATAGCTGACACTATATGCAATCTTCCACGACCTTTTTGTCACAGTAGAATTTCAAATCTTCTTCCAACGGAAGAACAATCTTCTCGTCAACCTCGTTCCTAAATTGATCCTCTTCTAGAGACGAGAAAGCTGCATCGAGTCCACCAATGCATCTTTTAACAGCTTTGCTGTAGTTGGCACTACAGTCCAACTTATTAGCGAGCCGTTTCGCTGCGGCAATGTTTGAGAAGGGTTGTGGCTATTATAAAACACCGTCAGAAGATGCTGTATCGCCAAGTAGTCGGGCAACTTACCAGAAATTTTTCGTCAGGAAGCTTCATATCTTCAAATCTCTGTCGATAGAAAAGTTCTAAAAGAACAACACCCAGGGAGAATAGGCATGGAACGTTTCCAACCCCGATTTTCGAGGGATCACTCAAAGATAACTGAGATAAGGGCACTTCAGGTGCGCCAAAATTGCATCGAACTAAAGGATGGCGAAAGTCAATTGACCCGTCGTAAGTCCGAATAAAGAAGATGTCTTTTTTGCTCCATTGGTCAGTCAACCACTGAGTAGTGTGTAATTGCATCACAGATGATGCTAGTTGCAGACCTAGCCGACATCGATCCTTCAACCGAAAATCAGGATCATCAAGCATGTCCTCTAGCAGAACGAGCTTTATGTTATGTATCTGATGAAGGTAATCTAAGGCACGGATGCGGTGTTGTCGACCCTGGCGATTGGCGATATAACCGAGCCACTCCTTCGATTGAACTGGTCTGATGATCGTTTCACAAAGATTCAGAATTTCCTTTCCAGCTGTATCCGAAGAAGATGGACCTTGTAGATCCATCATAAACGATACACCTTTGCGCGATTTAGCCTCTTGGCATAGCTCTTGTTTTGTTTCCCACGGTTCCAGTTCCAGCGCTCGCCAATTTGGCGAAGGTGCAGTTCTGAAGGAAAATATTGTATGGAAATATACCCCGCGATTTGTCGACTGCGCACTGCGGTATTCGAGTCTCATGTTGACGTTATGCTCAAGATCACAATTGCAGCCAATGGGGAACTTGATTTGGAAGGTCTCATAGAGATCGATTGCGTGCGCTCGAATTCTGTTATAGTGCCTGGTAGCCCTGCGAGAGCGTCGAGTCTGTATGGTTGTTTGATTTTGTTGCGTGAGCTGGGCTAGGAACATGTTGAGCCGGCCAGCTCGGTCGAGATGCCCAGCAATGTCGTCTTTTTTAATAACTAGGATAATCTTTCGCCACTGGCGGCGGCGGGTACTTTTATCGAGGAGCTCAGGCTAATGGAGGAGTAACAAGATTAGGTGCGGGCCGAACCTTATCCAGGAGATGATTTACATACTTGTGCATCCTCACGTAGTCCGGCCAGCTCTTGGATTCTCGCGAGCTCCTCATTCATCACATTTACTGTATCCAAGTATGCGGCAACCGACCGCGATTTCAAGGCATCGTTTGCTATGGCCGAGAACAGCTCTGCTTCGCTCCATCGAGGATCCTGAGGGTTATGCATCATCATTAGGATCTCGTCCTCTCCTAGACCGCATTGAGCTGCAATATCCTCCATAAATCGCTGACAAGAGTTGTGAAAGCTGGTCTGCTCGCGTGAGAGGTCTTGAATGAGACGCCTGAGGACATGTCGATATCGAAAAAAGTCCTTCACCAGCCCCTTCTCCTCCGCATAGAATTTGAGACCTTCAATGACCAAGGGAAAGATGGCCAGCACAACCCCCACAACCTCAAAACCCGACATTATGGCCCATACATTACGCGAAGAAAATAGGACAGCCTATCTTTTGCTGGTTCAAAATACCGCGTGGTAGGGGACGGAGATCAAAAGTGCAATCGAGATGGTATCCAAAGGAGGGGTTCGGACGAAAGAAATAAGCAATAGGAGGAATGGGGCTGATTACCCCGCCCACGCCAGATACGCGAACTTCAGCCGCAGAGAACCCGAAGTTATAGTCTTTTCATGTGCGGGGTTACTATTTTTTTTAGCAGAAGAATGTCTTCTCCTTCGTCTCCTCTAGTACCTCAACAACCAGCGGTGTCTAACATGATGGAGCCGCCTTCATCTATATCTTCCCTCACAAAGATCTGTCTCCGGGAGTTCCTGGAGTTGATAGAGCTATCGAAAAGCGTGGACAATGCCTCTGAGATTGGCCCAAATTTACAGGATGAGCTTGGCCGATTGCGCGTCTGGATAGGGAATCTTGGAGCTCATCGCAAACAAGCGGATCGCTTGTCTCTAGATCATCGATTACGAGAAGCACCGGGTCTACACAGTCAAGTCCGAAATCATATCACAGCGCTCATAGAGGCTGTTCAAGAGGGTACTAGTCCTTGATCTATTATGTATCAATATTCTGACTTTCTCTAGTAACCGCAGTCATTTCTCGTACGACCATCGCTGCTGAATCGTCTGATAATAGCAGCTCGGAAGAGGATGACTCCGATATTGATGAAGAATGGCAACGGTTCAAGGAGGAAGAAAATGATTATTGTGAATTGGACGAATGCTTACTCGATATTAGGCACACTATCACTAGCCTGTGAGTGTCTGGCGACGATTCTTACTTTGGATTCTAGTAGCTGATACGAAGCAGGTATAAGTTATCCCTCACCTTACAAAACCCGGCACGTCGCGATCGAACAGATAAAGCAGCTCGCATTGATCTCTGTCATTTTGAGTTCTTTGATATCCAACATGCTTCAAACATGTTTGGAATTCCTCGAGAGAGTGTCCTTGCACAACGCCTAGGAAAGGCCAACACGAAACGGCGGCAACTTCTCGCATACCACCAAGATCACAGTGATCAGATCTCAAAATATGTTGATGTGGCCCTGGAAAAGGCTAGGATAGTCCCTCAGAAAGGACCAAAGTCCATATCCACCAAATGGACACAGGATACTACGATTTCGACCGTTCTACAAAGCCCGCATGCTAGTTGGACACATAATACTACGATTTCGACCGTCCTACAAAGTTCACATGCTATTTCTGATTGTGGAAGGACCAGCTTGTCGATAACAACGTCCACGGCAAATGATCAGCCAACGGCATCAATTCCACCTCCGCCGAGAGAAGCCAAAGCCGCAGAGAATGAGCCATTTTTCTGTCCGTACTGTTGCCAGACAGTTCAACTCGAGAACCTCGATACAGACTGGAAGTATCATGTACTCAGCGACCTGCGGCCTTATATATGTACATTCGGCGGATGCGTGAAGGCAAACCAGCTCTATGACAGCTTTACCGAGTGGAGCGAACATGAGCGACAGTTCCATCGTCGACAACTATCATGTAGTCTGTGTTCCTACACTTCTCGCTCAGCAGATGATTTCCGAGCTCACTTGCAAAATTTGCATGCCGATGTTATCGCCGAGAACCAGCTCCAGACCATCACTGAAGCTTCCTGGAAACCGATCACGACATCTCAACAGTGTCCTCTATGTACAACGCCTCCAATGGCGGATCAGCGTCGGTTTCAGCAACACTTAGCTCGTCACCTGCAAAAATTGGCCCTATTCGTGTTGCCCCGTTCTGAGCCAGAAGACGAGTCACAGCCTCTCGAAAGAGGGTCGAATGAATCACTGAGAGTGGTGATGATGGATGATGAGGAATTGTCGCTCTCTTCCACATCGATTCACGAAACTCGCCCCATAGCTAAAGATACAAAGCCTGATGAGTACTCATCAACCTTGGGATGGTGGGTGTGCTGCCAATGCGCCGATATGAGCAACTCTCAATTGGCTCCGACAAGGTGCTCCGTCTGCAGTCACTACCGTTGCGATACCTGTGAAAATCCCCAGAGCATGGGTCTAGAATCCGATAGTGACTATGGAGGCGGAGTAGGATTGCCCGAAGGATCTGTTTATGGATCCGAAGACGAAATAAGATTGGGCCAACAATCTAGGGGGTCTTCTTCGGGTTTTTCTTGGAAACAAAGAAGCGGCAATGAAGGGATTCATGGCGACAAGATTTTCGACGACTTCCGTCAAGGTGCAGACGACGCAAAAACGACCGAGGAAGAGGCAATGGCAAGATGGGAGAAAGTGATATTATATGAGGATATGGAACGCACAAAGAGACAAGCGGCCGCAGAGGCTGCCACGAAGCCCACCCTGGATCAAAATCAGACAATCATGTTTAAAGATCATGTTGGGAGAAGTTTCAACATTCCTCTTGTATTGTGCAGGACTTGGAAGGTAAGAGCGCGTCCCTTACACCAATATTGGTTGATACATCTGAGCGAAGCTAATTTTACTTCGTAGGAGATGGATGATTTGATTGTCACATCATTCCAACACGATAAGGCGATTGGACCACATGTTGCTGAAGGGCATTATGATCTAGTGGGCCCGAATGGCGAAATTATACTTCCCCACACCTGGGACAAGGTGATTGAGCCGGGATGGACTATCACGATGGATTTGTGGCCTGGAGTGGGGAACGCGAGTTATCCTCTAGTCCCTACCAATCCACCAAAGCCCGCGGACGATGAGGAGGACGATTACGGCGTCTACAGCACCGACACGTTAGCCGGCCTGGATGACTACGAGCGCGAAACCAAACGCTACCAAGCGCAAAAGTCCGGCCGGACGAATACCATGCCCGCCCCAGCCGAAGCGCTCCTCATCAAGAGCGCCGTCGGTGCCGGCAGTGACAACGGTAGTCAAAAGAGCGGCTCGAAGAGCAGCTTCGGTAGCGGTAGCGGCAACGGCGAGAGCAAGAATATGAACCTCATGATAAACGGATTAACCATCGGTTTCAATGAAACGTCCGTCGCTGGCAAGAACATTACCATTCGTGCTGGTGATAATGGCCGCGTGCAATTGTCTATTGCTGGCGACCGCCCGCCCACGCAGGATCATGTCAGTGGCTCTTCGTATTCCGATCAGACGGGCCTTTCTGACCGGGGAGAGTTGGAGGAGGCACCCGACGCCGGGAAAGATGTCAAAAAGAATTTCAACCGAGGTAAGTGACAGGCAATTTACCATACTCCGTCACTCTTCTTCCGACCGAGATCCTTGAATCTCCAATAGTGTGGGGAAATCGCTGATATAATTACTATCCACAAGATCCATCTGGTGCCTTCAGGGTGGGTATCCGTGCGCCCCGAAAAGGCAAGGCAGATAAGAAGCCTCAACCAGAGCCATAGTGATGCAGTGAATGGCGAGGCTAAAAGTCGGAGAAGGGTTCTTGATAGCAATGCTTTTGCTTTATCGGTCTTAAATATACCCAGAAAATATATGCTTTGATTTTGCCAAGCAAGGGAGAGTCTGTGGGTGTTGCGACAATCGAAGTAATCATGAAAAAACCAGCCCAACCCAAGTGTCTAGTCCCCGACCATGGTTATAGTGTCGCTTCTACACTAGCTGACTGCTAATTAAATTAGAAGAATGCATATAAAGTTCAAAGGCAACTTGTAAATAGGTGCGGAACAACGATATTATCATAATGTATACTTGAAGAGAGGACTCTTCTCCTCCATTTCACGAAGCTGAACCTCGGTATACCTCGCCTCAATTTCAGACATGGCCATCCGGTCTTTCGCTTTGTTCGCTCTCCAGAGGCAGAATTCCAAGGCTAAACACGCCATGACTCCGGCAACGGCGAACGAAAGTGAAGTTCCATAGCCAGTAGGATATCGCGGCTCCTCATCTGTTTTGTAGATGTAGCTCCCAATTATACCACCCGCGTTACCAACGCAAATAAGATAGCCAATAGCCACGGCTCGTTTATGAGGATTTGGGATGTTGCAGACATTCCATGCGTTGACACCAGGAAGAATAGGATACATCCCGAAGCAGGCAAGACAAACGCCAAAATAGCAGAGCGCTATGTTGTTCTCGATTTCGGCAGCCTTGCTGAATAGTATTGCGAACGCCACAATGAGTGACAATTGGGGTACCACAATAAAAGGCATTCTCCATGAGAAACGATCAGCGAATACGGAGAACCCGTAAGCTGATAAAGCGCCAACCGAATATGGGGGGATGGTCAGGAGCTGGGCGTTGGCTGCTTCGTACCCCATGGATTTAATGATCTCAGGCATACTGAACTTGAGTGCATAGTTGGGAACAGCATTGGACCAATTGGCGAGAATGAGGAGGTAAATTTTCCAATCGGCGAGGACGCTGAGGATGACCTTTTTGTCGAATCCCTCGTGGTGACTGCCGTGATTATTGGCGGCTAGTTGACGCACTTCAAGGAATCGAATCTCGTCTGGTGTAAGCCAACCGGGAGACAAGGATGGTGAGTCCAGAAGGAGCAAATAGCAAGCCACGGACATGAGAATAGTTGCGAGGCCCTCTATGATAAATATCTAACACGTATATTAGCTATCATTATCCAACCAGGTGGAGAAAAGAAAGAACAAACCCAGCGCCAGCCTTCGTAGCCTGCAATACCATCCATCTTGGCAATCGCGAATGCCAGTAGGCCCGAGAAGGCACCGCCGGAAGCAGCAGATGTGTAAAGAATAGCAATACGGGTCTGCGTCTCATTTGGAAGATACCATTTCGAAATCACGAGTACGGCACCGGGGAGAAAACCAGCTCTGCAAACAGGTCAGTAATTAGAAAACACCGCTTGATCTCATTGGTAGGCATTACTCAAATAGACCCAATAGGAAACGAATCACGACTAGACCAGCAAAGTTTCGAACAAAGCCCGTACAGAGCATGATGATACCCCAGCAGGCAATCAGAAATCCCAGATAGCGCGACGGCCTCTTAAGTCGGTTCAATATTATATTGCTCGGCACCTCTTCAACGTGGTCAGCGAATATTCATTGCCTCCACGCATGTAGATATTGCATACCAGCAAGGACATAAGGTATGAAAAAAATCGACAAGGCGATGTTGTACTGTATTCCGTCCATGTTTAGACTTGGGAGAAGGCCCTCGATTTTCGCATTACCTGGTGAAAGTCAGAAGGTGCAACGCATCGATTTTACAAGAGGACATACCAATATTTGTCTTGTCAATATATGCCACCAAGTACAGGAGAACAAACATAGGAACAAGCCTCATCTAGATTGAGACTCAGCCATCACCCTCAATGGTTAATGGAACAAAATCGGAGTGAAACATACGTCGACCTACACGTACTCCGTCAGCGAGCGCTCCTCATACGGAATGCCATTTAACAAACCTTCCGGAGAACTATTTTCTTTTCTTCATTCGAAAAGTTCGATAGGAATTCTGCATCGTCGGCAGAGATTCCCTGGGCCCGCTGGTCCTCCAGATGCATGACTGCAGCTTCCTTGTCCGCCATGTTGATTCTAGTTGAGACAAGAGATGACAGGTATGCCAAGGGGAGGGATTGAGACTATCTTATAGTTCCCCCAGCCGAGCTGAGGCTCCTTAGCAACCCCACGGGGTAGGTTTAGCAAAGCCACCTCAAGAGCGAGGCGAGTTGGGGTGCGCGATTTGAATCTTGGCAACCCCGGATTCTTGCCGTCCAAAGTTTCCTTTTCCGCGAAGTCCGATCCCGGCATCCAAGTCTAAGAAGTGGAGCGCCCCTCGCTAAATTTCGCCGACTTTGCTGGATCTCATAGAACTGGGTGAGAATACGTTGGGGAAACGGAATTCGGGTCAGGAAATGGAAGGAAAGCCTTCGGATAAAATTAGCTTGTAACTGTGAGCACATTGGGGCGTTTTACATACCGATGAGTCAAGAGTCTGCCAATCACTGAACAGAAAGCTGTCCAGCAAATTCGGCATGATGCCTTCATGAAGCAAAGCTTCTGGACCAGACCCGAACATTTCCGGATCCTGCAACATCATAAAGCTAGCTTCTGTATTGGTGCTGGCTTCGCCACCATGTTGGTCACCGTGGGGTGGATTAGACGGATTTCCCCTCAAAAATCGACATCTCTGTGCCTCGGATCTAATTTCGTCAAGTATGATGCTGTATCTTCGATTTTGAGATAGACCAGCAGATGCTCGCTGGAGATGGCCTCGGCATTTCTCTGCGAGATCAAATATCTTGGCCAGCGACTCATCGTCAACTTCGGCAGTCGATCGGGTGGCTCGTTGAATCTCCCAAACATAAACCACAGCCAATGCACAGAAAATCACGTAGTGAGTCCACCAGAAGGAATGAAATAGCGTACTATCTCCCGCCATTCTGTTGACGAGTTCTAAACTAGTCTTTGTGGCAAGGATGCACTCTGTGACATTTTCGGATGCTGCTTCACTCATAAGGAAGGGCCGATTGGCATGAATGAGGGCATGAGAATACGCGAGCTGTAAGGCAATTGCCTGCCGCCGAAAGCCCGGCACCAATGTTGATGGCTTCACAGTACCCAAGTGTGGTGGTAGGCTTGCACGCCATTCGTGCAATTCGCGGCCCAGTCGAAGGGCAGCTGCTAAGCGATCGTGATTAGACAGGTCGCTAACCGAATAAACTTCTCGAGATATTTTGCCAATTATTCGTGCAATTCTACAATCAAATTAGCAGAGTAGAGGCTTCAGATCGGGCAGGGGATATTCACTTCGCATGAAAGATGAGAGCATCGATATAGCAGTCAGTCAAGTCATCTGAAGTGGAAGGTCCTTGTGGTGTCATGTCCTCATCATTTACATTATCTGGAAAATTCTGATCGATATCCTCATCTTGATAAAGTCGAGGTCGGCCGAATACAACACTTAGATATCTGTCGATGATATATGCCGCCCAAAATGTGCGTTTATAACACTCTGAAGTGATGTAGTTTTGCCGCCTGCTCGTGAAAGGAAAGTCTCGCTTTTGATCCCGTCTCCTGTGCATACCCAGCGAGAGAGTGATATGGAAGACAGTGCCGAATGTGTACCAGCCTTTATTTATGCGGGAAGTTTGGAGAAGATACAGGACTTGAATCAACCGTGCCTGTGCCGATTCAAGACGTGGGAACCCCATCTCTTCATCGGCCAATTTCATACCAGCGCAAAATAGCTGATCACTTCGTTGAAAAGCAAGCAACTCGGCCTCTGTTGACATTTCTCTATTCACCCTCTCGACGCGCAGGCTCGCGATAGCCATGATTGTAAGAAGAATCGCAGTTCTGGGGTTGTTCAGCGACCGGGAGGCGGGTTGCTCTTCTCGATCCTTCAGGAACACCTCCATCCATGATTCTACAGTTTGTCGATGGAACATGCGGTATGTCACAACGCATTCCTCGAAATAGTACTTCACCAGCTCTCTCGCTGTTGAAGCACTTGGAATGAAGTTTTCTGGCGCGTTATGATCAACGTGAAAAGGTCGATCTCCAGCCGATGTTAGGAGCTGATTTCGCTCCGCGTCGTTTGAGTCATAGGATGCGGACTCGTCCTTCTGGATCAACAGCTTTTTCCACGCCCGGTGGAGGAAGTTTAACCCCGAGGTAGGATCAAAATATTGACCCTCGAGTTCGACTTCAGGAGAGGCGCGAGATTGGACTCGTGAAACTGAGACCTCGTGAACACCAGAACCTGCTTCTTGCCAGGTGGATAGTTGATGCGGCCGATCACTTCTCGGCCTGTCTTGTGATTCTCGGGTCGTAGTTGAAAGGGGTGGAGTCGGAGGTCGCCCTCGACCATATTTCGCGTCATAGGCACAGTCGACCTTTCTCTTGGCACACTTATTGCATGGAAGCATGCCATCGCAGCGTATCTTTTTCCTCTTGCAATTGTCACAGGCTCTACTGACCTTGGGGTCTTTCCGACGGTTCTCGTCTTCCGCATCCTCATTGGTCGTCGCTAGGGGCCGCTTGGACGGAGGAGCTTGCGGAGACGCAGCTGTCGAGAGAGATGCCGGCCGGGGGGACAAAGTGGCCATGGTTGTTCCGAGTGATTCGTCTGAAATGCAGACCTGAGACGCAGTGACCGGGAATGGGGTGCACGGAAATGTCGGATTCAGAGGTGCGACTGTGGGGGAATTTCCGGGGGAAGTGGGGAGGACGGAACAGCCGAGGGTCCGACAATGCGACAGGTCCACTTATGCCTCCAGTCTCCATACACGCATGCCTTTTTTTTTGACAATGTCATGAATTACGGTGGATACTGTGTGCTGTTTTATTTCCGTTATTAATCTTAAGCCAAGAATTACATTGCTCAACCGTGGACTATACACAAACATGTTATTGACAAAGATTCTGATCTGCTTCTATATCCACTCCATCCAGATATTGCATATACAATGTTCACATCGATTCTCATTTGAATGTTTCATCATACTGACACCTTACTCAGTGATGCGGCACTAATAGCAGCATGGATCTCCTGCTCGGCACCAGGCTCAAGGGGCAAAAGAGGCGAGCGAACGGTGGCGTGAGTTAGAATTCCGCGAGCAACGAGAGCATGCTTAAGCGCGACAGTGCCCTCCATGTGAGATCCACGATGATAAACGCTCTTAGTGACGGGCAGTAGCTGGTCGTGAATTTCCCGTGCTTTCTTGTAGTCTTTCGCCTTTCCAGCCTTGATGAGCTCGATGAGAGGCTCGGGAGCGATGTTCCCGTATCCAACCAAGAAGCCGTCGACATCAAAGGAGGTGTGCAAAAGATACTCGTCATGGCAAGAGAGTATCTGCAGGTCAGGCCGTTGAGCACGAATGATAGGGATTTCCGTGTCCCATCGACGCATGTTGCGCACGCCATTCTTCATGGCGAAACAGCCGGGCTGAGCCGCAATGTCCAGCATGGTCTGCAAGTTGTAGGTGGCCTTGGTGTTGTCCGGGTATTGAAAGAGGATCAAAGGCAGGCCAGAGACTTCATACACGCGGCGGTACCGATCTTGAGGAGCACCGGGCTGGTATCCAAAGCGCAGCCAGCCGTGGGACGGGTAAAGCAGTCCAGCAGCTGCACCGGCTTCTTTGGCTCGCTTGGCCTCGAGAGCAGCAACTTCGGTGCCCTCGCTGGTGATGCCGGCAATGATCGGGACTTTGTTGTCAACCGACTTGACGAAGGCTTTAATGACGGAGACCTGCTCCTCGGTAGTGAGGAAGGTGCCTTCACCCGCATGACCGAGCACCACAAGGCCCTTTACTCCATCGATACCACCGAGCCAGGATCCAAGACGCTGGATGGCTTCGTAGTCCACTGCGCCATCTGGAGTAAATGGGGTGACCGGAGCCGGGGTCAAACCACGCATATCAAATCCGACCATTTTGACGATGAGAGTGATGCTCGAGTGAAGCCTTGTGCTATGTTCTTTGTTGTTATTCTGGACTCCATCTTTACGGCCATGGTCGCTTTTATCTTTCTCGGAAGATTTCACTCCCTGTTAGGCTTTGGATGGAAGGTTGCCGGAAGTCCGTTTCAATAACGGATTCCCGGAAATGTGTGGGGCACGCAACGCGGATGGCGGTGGTCTCGTAATTAGTTGCGTTCCGATAGTCCGCCCTCGTCGATCTCGTTTGGTAGAATACGTACTGCGGTTAGCGGATAATGGCTATCCACTTCGAGTCAGGTTTCTACGATCCCTCGCTCTGGTCATCGCGCGCCAACGATCCTCGACTTTCTAGATCACAGATTCCCGCCTTAAGATCCGCCCCTCGGGAAAGAATTGGCCGTAGGACTTTTACCTACGCTACCCGCAGTTGAAAGCGCGACGGTTAGGAGCGATCGATTGGAAGCGAGATTACCGGCAGATCGAAGACACAGTCCGACATTGGTTTGCCGTTATTGGCCGACAGCTAGCCGATCCTAGTATTCTCCTGGAAAATGTATATAATATGAACGAGACGGGAGTTCTGCTCAGCGTTCTTAAATCCCTCAAAGTCCTTGTCCACAGAGACGATTTGAGAAAGTATCGAGGGACCACGGTGAAGCGGACGCTAGTTATAGTAATCGAATGTATTTCCGCCGATAGCCAGTGCCTCTATCCTCTTATTATCTAGCCCGCTGTAGTTCGTGGACTACTCACGCTACTCCCGGATGGTATTTTACGTGCTCTAAAATAGGGTATACGAACAAAGATATTAGTCTGTATTAGGTGGAATATATGTTCGATCCGTAGACTCGAGATCGAGTAGGCGATCGGCTATGACTCTTAATCTGCGATAGTTTTGGTACTTATAAGTCTCTGGAGGTTATAAAATTTTGCTTTACTAACCGTATAATCCTGTGTCGTCTCCCCTCTTATACGTCTCATAAACTATAGCCGTGCGATATAAGCGTCTTCGGTCCGCTGAAAACGGTATATCGGGCTAGTATAAATACTACCGGTAAGCCACACTTCACCTATCTTCATAACCGCGCCCGAAATGAGGTATTTATACCCCGGAATATACGATCCGCCTGATTGAAAAGCGGTATCTTTCCATTCGATCTATCTCGCGTCCTCCGAGGGTTTTAGTGCCCTGAACCGAGATATAGACCACGTTCCCTATAGACCCTCCGACTGTGTCCTTTAACCTCTGTCACGCTCCTAATACCTCTAACTAGTACGCTTTGCTTCGTAGCGAAGTAGAGAAAGATAACCAGAATCTAGATAGTGTATATAAGAGTCGCCTAGAGACACTTAGGCGCGTCGCGGAAAGGTTCTTTCCGTAGCGCGCTATGTTGCTGGAGGAGAACTGCATCCTATTCGAGCAGAACAATGAAAAAACCTGCCGAAAGTTTAGTAGCGCGATAGTTATAGTAAAAGTAATGAGCTACGAAGACATCGTTGAGACGCAGAAGAAACGAGACATGATAGTGACGAAAGAACACGTGAGGAAAAGCAGGTCGAAAGGCAGGGATAAGCCCCTTTGCAAATCTGAGGAGAAGCGTAAGGCTAAGCAGGAGGTTCAAGCATGGAATATGGGTGGTTATTGTTCAGTTTTAGATTTATAGACTAGTTCAATATGTTAAAACTTTCTGTGTTTCCGTCAATTGATCGCCCTGGAGAGGCTGATAGTAATTTCGTCTTGTCGAGCACTGGATATTATATATCTCTGCCTGTTCGCATATATTTATCCAGAATGTGGTGTTAACCCCCAAATGTAATAGTGAGGAAATGAGAGGAATTCCCATTAGATTTGAAGGACTTGGGTCCCGTTGGTCTTGCCTCCTTCAGGCCAGCTCTGACCCTCAAGTCTATAAGAATGTTGCTTTTTCAGACAAACTACATATATTGTTCATGCTCGGAATTCTCCTTACTATACATGTGAAAGCAGTCGTAAACCATCAAAACTATTTTTTTCGTCCTTTCTATCCCCTGTCACCCACACTCAACTACCATAGAGAAAATCACGCATTCACCACCTCTCAAAGCTCCTACTCCTTCGCCGCTACTCCTTCGCCGCAAACTACGCAGCCTCGTCGGCGGTAAGGTCCATCAACGGGCTTTTGTCGATTGACTAAATATTCCGAAAAAAGGCCAGTACACACGTGGATATTACCTAGGTCAAGACTATTGAACATACTTTAATTTCTGCGAATATCCATTTTGTTGGTTATGTTAGACCTATATGAGACGGTTTATTTCCTAAAAAGTCTTAATTGCCAGTTACCAGGAGAGATAAACCGTCCATTTTGTGTGTCTTTATGACAAGTCTCCGTGATTTATGTATTTAAAGGTCAGTCACAGTTTCAGATCTTCAGCCTAAGTGAGGGACACGCCTAGGTCTACGGCTAGACGGAAGCCAATTCTGGATCTTTAGTCTAAATGGTCCACACAGGGCTCTCAGGGTCTTGTCTGCCCAGAGACTAATTAGCTTTCGGTTACACCTCAGTTAGCTGCGATTCCTCCGCGTTTCGAGGTGCGTATCACTACGAAGTTCATGCGACGGTATATGAAGCTCAAACCTCAATTTTCCAAACATATACTCCTAACTTTAAGTGTGATGATATTTCCTAACCACTTGCAGCAAAATGTAAGCAACTATACAGCACGTTAGAGACAGACCCTCGAGAGAATTGGGTGTAGTACGAGCAAGTGAATATCGACAAAGAGAGGAGAGTCCGACCAGAATTATGTACATAAAATGATTTCAGAGCCCTCCTACAGGTATGAAGAATGCGTTTTGGGGGATGAGAGAAGGAGGAAGGTACTGTAAGGCTGAAAGAAGAGAAACAAAGGGATGGAGATGAAGTGAAAAGCTAGAAAGGACAGGGTATGAGGGGGAAGATGTGTCAGGGGTGCAGATCCAATATCTAGATAATTGACAGAGCAAGTCAAACAAAAGTTTTGAGGGCATAACATCAGGATATGAAAAGCCTCAGTTAACTGTGCTGGCGCAATGCCCAAGTTGTCGTCCGATAGAAAACGTGGCAAGGAGATATGAGGCGTCGTAAAAAGCACATGAATGTATGAAAATGTGAAGAAAAGAGGCAAAATGACTGACTGAACCCAAGGGAAAGGGAGTCTACTTACTAGCAATAATAAGAGCACCCCCAGCGCTGGCTTTCGCGCTTCCGCTCCCAAGTGTCAGGATAAAGCGCAGCCAGCCAAGAGTCAGCTTTTGACCTTTCCGGTCAAAGTCAGGCACTAACTTGCTGAAGGCATTCAACCTGTTCAGCTTACCTGCGTATGGCGGGTAGCGGAAGGCAAGGATAGACTCTAGCCAGTTGGGGCTGCTTGTGATAGGCCGGCGGTGCACGAAGACGTCGAAGCTGGAGCGACCGCGATACGCACCGTATCCGCTTTCGCCGACGCCACCAAAGGGTAGGGTTGGAATATGTAGGGCAGCGTCATTACAAGAGACACCGCCAGACCGAGTGGAGGAAATAACTAGAAGATATCCGTTAGACAAAAGCTATACTAGAGATATCAGGAATAAAAGATTGAAAGCACTTTTAGCAACATCGGCCTTCGAGCCGAAGGGGTAGAGGCCAAGAGGAGTGCTCTGTACACTATTGGCGATGTTGATGGCCTCATCTAGGTCTTCAACAGGTATAATCGGGATGAAAGGACCGAAGCTCTCTTGTGTGCACAGTGAGTCCTCGACAGAGTCTACCTGGATAACCGTAGGCTCGATAAAGAGATCATCCTCATTAACAGTGCCGCCAATCAGGACCTCGCCCTTGCTCTTATCAAGCATAGACTTAAGGCGCTGGAAATGGTTTTTGTTTATAATGCGTGAGTAGTCCGGCGAGTTCTTAGCACCCTGGGGGTAGAACTCCGCATATGCTTTCTTGAATTCTTCAATCACTCGAGGCACAAGGCACTTGTCGATGAGTAGGTAATTTTGTGAAGTGCAAAGCTGGCCTGCATTCACTGTCTTACCCCAGAGCATACGGCGCGCAACCAGGCGCGGGTCAGCCGTCTTACTGATAATCGCCGGGTTGATACCGCCTAGCTCAAGGACCACTGGAGTCAAGTAAGGGGCTGCCGCCTTAGCGATAATACGGCCAACATTAGCGCCGCCTGTGAAGAAAATCTTATCCCAGCGCTCGGCTAGGAGAGCCTGTGTCTCAGATACACCGCCCTGAACAACGGAATAGCATAGAGGGTCAAGGGCTGCCTCGCATATCTTTTGTATGACAACCGCGCTGTTGGGGGCATTTTCGGAGGGCTTAATCACAACGGTATTACCGGCCGCAATAGCGCCAATAACAGGGCCCAAGGTCAGTTGGAAGGGGAAGTTGAAGGTGCTAGAGACGATAGCCAAAGAAATTAGATTCTCCCACGTCACCTCGCACAGAAAGCAAGACATACCCGATCACCAACACGCAGCCTAGGGGATCCTTTCGTATTTTGGGCCTCATGACTTTGAAAGGGAGGTCAATATCATCGGCTTTCTCATCTTTCACCCACTTATGCAGGTTACGGGTAGTGAAGACGATGTCATTGAGCAACCAGCCACTCTCAGCGATTTCAGTCTCAAAACGGGGCTTGTTTAAGTCCAGAGCGCAAGCCCGAACAATAGCCTCCTCGTGATCTTTTATGCTACAGAAAATAACACAGCAATTAGCTTTCTTGCATGGAATGGTATTTCGCTCATTCTGGAAAGAACATAGCACGCACACCCAGTAGAGTTTCCGGAGCTGGACGAGACGGAATTCAACATCGCGGGTCCTATGCTCCAGGAATGACTTGCGAGTGGTAGAGATGCAGGTGGAAATTGCTTCCAGCGAGCTGAATTTAAGATCTGGAATATGGTCGTCCATCACAGTGGTGGCAGGTAACACGAACGAAGGAAATAGAGACGCACTGGTTAGAACGTGAAGAAAAGCCTTCCCAGGGCCTCACCGCATTCGCTTGCACCGCTCAGCTTCTTATAGATGATTCTATGGGCCGAGGAAGTGTAATTTCGTCGAGATTGGCTTATGAAAGTAAGTTAGGATCCAAAGTCTAGGCTGTCAATGGCATTGTAAGAACGGTTGCGTTATGGGGCTGTTTCCGCGTAGCAACGCTCGATTGTAGTGTGCTTGTAGATTTGTGGCAATTCTATGACAAAGGCTAGCCTGCACATTTTCGGCTTGATTGTTGCACCGAAAGGAACACGATGACAGTAGTCACCTTCTACCGAGGCAAATACCCGGCATTTGGTAGACAAGTAGACTACTTAAGGTTGTGGCGCCAAACCGGATCGTTTGTTCTCCCGCTCCCGCTCCTTAGGTAGTCATTGAGCTTCCATGGCTGTCTAATCAGGATATTTCAAGCCGGATCATCTGATAGGTCTGGTCAGTCGGAGGAAAGCAGTCTCGTGACATGCTCTTTCTCTTCCATTCTAAATCATAAGCTCTTAAATCCTCTCAGCTGCGTCCTCTCAGCTGCGTCAAAGAGAGAAAGACGCTGAACTTGCCCGGACGATACTGTACTACTATCGCGCCATACGTGGTGCCCTCTTCCACCCGCACATCAACACGCTTCAAGGCATGCCAAGCATGGCTAAGCGCATCCTACATGTTACCAACAGACCATCCTTAGTCCGTGGGGTCTGTCTCCATTAGAGCCGCGGTCGCTGAAATTCCCCAATTACGACAAGACAGCCAAAGCATGGACGGCCAATCCAGCTCGAATGTCACTGCTGGAGAACACTGTCCGACCTGACCAGATTAATTCGGCCGATTTTGACGCTATCTACTTTACTGGTGGGCATGGCGTTATGTACGACTTCCCGGATAATGAGGGCCTACAGCGAATTACCAGGGAGATTTTCGAACGGGGCGGTGTCGTATCCTCTGTTTGCCATGGCTACTGCGGCCTCCTGAACACAAAGCTCTCAGATGGGTCATACCTGGTCGCCGGGCGTAATATGACCGGGTTCACCTGGAGGGAGGAAGTACTTACTCGTGTGAACAAACTTGTGCCCTACAACGCTGAAGGAGGGCTTAAGAAGCGTGGCGCGCTCTATAAAATGGCGAAGCTGCCTTTTGTGTCTTACACGGTGGTGGACACCAATCTAGTGACTGGACAGAATCCGGGGTCAGCAAAAGAGACCGGGAAGAAGGTAGTCACCGCTCTCGCCCAGTCATGATGACGTCACCCGTTGGCGCATAGGGGTATTCCGTCCATCTGAAATTCCATTAGTTTTGTCTTAGCAGTCCGATAGCATTTAACACTCACCAGAGCCTACTGGATGGTAATGAATAGGAGAGTGAAGGAATGTGCTATTGTCTATGCTGTTATGTATATATTCTTAGTTCTGTATATATACAATTGGGTGGAATAAATACAAGATCTAAATGTTTAATGAGCGTCGGGGAATAGCCATTGCACGGAGGCTTCCACCCCGTGAGCCCTTAAGAGGTCGTACCATACGCAAAATGGAGTTGTGAACAATCTTGTATAAAATCAAATACAGCAGCTAGGGAGAATTGCTATTTACACTAGCCTTAACTCATTATCAATAACCTCATCCGCGACGAATTAGACAGTACTGTTCGCGTCGCTGTGACCCGCCTCGAGAAATCATCAAATGATGGTCTTTATAGCTTGTTGTTATCAAAAGCTTTTAAGGGTGTTGGCATGTGCAAGACCATCTGTGCATCCTTTAGTACGTCCATCCGCAAGACGGTCCAGGCGCCTAATTCATTAAGAAGTTCGCTCAGCGGACCTCTGCCCCGATAGACGTTGACATCCCGAGGGAAGACACGTTGTGCCCCAAGGAGTGGGTTCGTCTGAACTGTTACCTGGTACCATTTCTCGTCGATCTTGTTGATTGCATTGTTATTGACAATTGAAGATTGCGACGGGATTGTTTTCAACGCCGGAAGGGGCACATCCAGTGCCAGATCGAGTTTTCCATCGGTCGTAGTGATGTCAGCTTTGATATTGTTTTCGTCCATCTCCAAGTTGATATTGGCGAGCCATTTAGGTAGTTGGTATCCGTAGACACCACGTACTCGAGCAATCTCGGTATCGACAGGCAGAGCTAAAACGTATCCATAAAAGGTTCGATTCCAAATAGAGCTGAACAATTGGGTCGTACTGTAACTTCCTTTACCCGGCTGGCGGATAATAACGGCGATAGAGACCTCGTTATAAGGATCGTTGTCGCAGATGAGATACGAGTAAAACGTCACCGCCACCAATCCATATCCAGGCAATGCAGTGATAGGCTCCAAAGGTGCTGGGAGCTTCGACTTCAAGTTGTCAAGGGGCGCGAGAAAAACAAGCTGTACACTCTTTGTACGGTAGTAGAAGTTAGGTGCGTATACCTGGCCAACTCTCGAATCGACTAGCTCCTTCGGGATTTGTCGGAAAAAGGAGATGTCTGGGCCAACTGCCGGATCACGGGCCACCTCGTCCAGGTTCGGATTCATACGATAACGATCGTAGTATCCCCCTTTGGGTACATCGACCTTCTGGCCTCCAAATTCGACCTGAACTGTCGGGCCCTGAGGGCGTCTACTCCTGTTATCGAGAGTCAGTAGGATGTCTAGGTTAAAGTAAACCTGATTTTCACATACGAAGTAGAGGTATTCGATGAAGCGGCAGAAGCCATGACGATGGCAGTATTCTCACGCAAAGCCAGGATTGGCTCGCTGGTCAGATATAGGCAGTGAGCAATGAAAGTTGTTGTGCCTCTTCACTGGCTCTCAAGAGGTGATAACTAGGATCTTTCTGTAGATGGACTTGTGATATGTGGGAGATGGCACAGCTGAATTCAAGCGCTGGATAAAAGTAGGTAACGATGGCGAGCTTCCTTACCGAAGCAATCAGCCGCGGGAAACCTTCGCAAGGAAAGCCAAGGTCTACATTGTATGTACTATGCAGTGGATTTTGAGTTCGATGTGGACCTACCGATAAAGCTCGGGCCGGATAGTTAGTTGCTCCGTCATGCGTCACGACTCACTAGTGCGACCCTCTTTTTTTCACAGGCGCTGTGGCAAGACCCACAACGTTTACCGTAAGAGGCAACAACTCTCCCCGTAACGATATGGCAGACTAAGGAAGTCTTCTATGGACGCGAACTATCGTAGTCCCACTGAATATTGATATTGTTGAGCTATGAATTCGGTGCTTCTTTAGAATGAGACCCAAATTAGGAGCCATTACATCATTCCAATCAATGAGTACGAGGACAAAGTTAGGGCTTTAAAAGCCCATAGTACATTGACTCTCCTTTTCCTTACCTCCGGAGACAAGGACAATTGAAGCCTTCCTTTGGAATTATAGCGGAAGCAGTATCGCCAAATAAACACAAAGCATAACTTAGAACCAATGCTAGTAGCAGTCCTGTTTGATACAATCGGATCCGCCGAAACGTCTCATTTTCATTGAGGAGAATTCCGTAGGCCACTTGGGGAAAATCCTAAAGCGAGTTCTTCGTGATTGGATACCAGTTGACCTCGTACGTCGAATCGGGCTAGGGATTATACCAGGTACACGGTGGCCCCTGAGCTATAGTGACCGAGAAAACCCTTCGACAGATGATGACCAATGAATGTTTGAAGATGAAGCCTAGTAACTAAGCCAGCGCATGGACTACCTAGATATTACGGTGAATGTAGTTAGAAATACTATATAACCTTCGGTACTTCCTAGGAAGAGACGAGTGGGTTCGCACTATCATGAGTCACAGATAGTGCTCTCCAAGAATGCTAGCAGTAGGGACTTGATCTATCACCCCAGAGGGTAGTTGCTAGCCCTGAGCGGCGTTATTCCCGTGGCTACCCTGTAGGTATTGTACATGTTGAACACTTGAATATGACTCGCACCTCTTTAAGTTCTAGGATTAATGAGCTTGAGACTAGCAATGCGGAAAAAGAGGGAAACGGCGCATATTCGGAGAGGCTCCCTAAACATGTTCACGCATCTAGAGAATTCGATGCTATTAAATTCCTATAACTGCTTGATTGTGTGCCTGATGTTATATTAGGCTGGAATTGCATGGGTATCCCTCTGGTAATTGATTATATTCCCTCGGCTGATAATTAACCCGCTACTAATAAACTTTGTGACAATATATTTCCGATTTTTAGAACATTATGTAGCAATAGACACAGAAATATTGCTCTAGTCTTTTGCAGTAGAGACACCTTATAACTGACGGTTTTATATTTGATCCTTAGTGTGGAGCAGATACCCTCGGTCAACGTCTTTAGCCGCAAAGCGAGAGCATTCCTCTCTATCCTATGTCCGGAAGTGTTGCCTAGTGATTGTTTATAGCTGGATCGGAAATTCAGCATAGATATTACGTCAACTATTGTTATGACGATAGTGACTATAGTTAACTTGTTGGAAGTCGGTGTTGAATTCGGCATTACAATCGCGATTTTAAAATACTTGTGTAAAGGGCCAAACATCATCCAGTCCTAGGGACTAGGTCATCAATATACCTTTTAACTTTTATTGATTTTGGATCTTAATCTATGGCGTCTTAAAGCCCACAAAAACTGCAGTATCAGAAATATCGACCGATTATTATACCCGGCGGCATCTTTTTGCTGGACCTCATGTTTAGCATTTCATGTTTAGCGAATTAAATACAATAAGAAATCATTGTCCGTATTCCTGTTCTGTTTAAGTTCACAGTAGTCCATTTTGAGCTAGCCACAATGTCAAGACTAGAAAGCCAATTTAGGACCTGATAAAATCGAGAAGATCCTTGTTAACTTCGTCAACATTAATGTTGTGAATGGCGTGAGAGCCTCCTTTGTAAACCTTTAATGTCCCTTGTGGCAGCAATTTTGCTGACTTGAGTCCAGATGCCTCGATAGGAACAACTTGGTCATCATCCCCATGCAGAACCAGCACCGGAATATCAATCTTCTTCAAATCTTCCGTGAAATCCGTTTCCGAGAAATCCTTGATGGAGTCGTACGCTGACTTGAAGCTGGTGTTCATCCCCTGCTGCCACCAGCTACGAATTTGCCCTTCGCTCTTCTGTGCACCGGGTCGGTTAAATCCAAAGAAGGGTCCGCTAGGGACATCCAAGAAGAACTGCGCCCGGTCTTTTCGCATTGCCTCACGAAACGAATCGAAAACGGACTTATCAGTCCCCTCGGTGTTAACACTAGTCTTTACCATCAGGGGGGGCACAGCGCCGACCAGAACGGCCTTCTTGAAGCGGCTTGTGCCATGCTTTCCAAGATAATGGGTAACCTCTCCTCCACCGTGCGAGTGGCCAACCATCACTGCATCTTTGACCCTCAGGTGGGCAAAAAGCTCCTCGAGGTCATCAACAAAGGTATCCATGTTGTTCCCGTCCCAGGTCTGAGTAGATCGACCATGACCACGTCGGTCGTGCGCAATAACACGGTATCCGTGATCAGCAAGGAACATCATTTGATTTTCCCAATTGTCACTGCTCAAGGGCCACCCGTGGGAGAAGGTGACGATGGCCCCTCCCGGGTTGCCCCAGTCCTTGTAATAGAACTCGGCTCCATCTCGAAGTTTCAGGTAAGGCATGATTGATAAAGTTGCTCGGCTCTCTTGAGTGTCTCAGATTCAAGACGTTCTTTGCGAATGGTTTTGCAAAGGATATGTCGAAAGATGATGCGAGTGTGTTCGCTTACAGCCGCAATATAACCAGCTCAAGTAAGTCATGACGTCATTCATTAAGATTAATAAATTACCGAGAAGAAGCGGGGTTGTTTTACAGTGATATTGGATTGGCCCAAGACCATCTAGTTCAATTGCGCACCGGGCTGATTATTGCTCCGTGGCAGTGATCTACCCAGGCAACCTATTGAAATTAAATCAGAGGTATCGTATCCGGATTCACCGCCTGCCTTATCAAATGTTGCTGGTTGCCACACTTTATATTTGCCATCTTTTTTATTTCCCTTTCTTTCTTTTCCACGTACGTTTTCAGCCCAAAAAGGAAATGTTGTCTCTGAATATATCACATTACTCAAAGCCATCTGCATACAGGGTGTCAGAATTACCCAAGCCGTGTCTCGCCAACTCAAAAGATGTGATCATCAAAGTGTATGCCGCTGGCATTAATCCAATTGACGTCAAAAGAGCCGCTGGGGCTCTGAAACTTGCAGTGAAAGATCCGTAAGTATATACACTCGTAATTGATCCCATCGGTATTGACCAGGTCGGCTTTCCGTATAAAATCGGCTATGACTGTTCCGGCATCATTACCGAGACCGGAAGAGATGTGAAGAAGTTCAATATTGGAGATGCAGTCTACGTCAAGTTGCCCGAAGTTTCTCGAGGTGAATATAAATAGTGGCCAAAAACACTTTTCCTTATTTACTGAAACGTAACTTAGGATTATGCAGTGAATTTGTCAGATGCTCAGAGGCGCACATTGCTTCTAAGCCGCCTTGCTTGTCGTTCGAGGAAGCAGCCTCGATTCCACTGGCGGCAATGACGGCTCATCAGGCTCTTCACCTATATCGTGGTGATCTTTCCGGGAAAACTGTCTTTGTACCCGCTGGATGTTAGCCTCCTCTAGTGCCAATCCATCCGCATTGTCGCCGGGGTACTCAGGTAGTATTCCTTTTTCATACCTGCTTTGCTAACGTCGGCATAGTGAGCGGCACAGGTTTATTTGCGTGCCAACTGGCAAAGCATGTGTTTCGTGCTGGGAGAGTCATACCCACGGTCTCTACGGCGAAAATCCCGAAAATAAAAGAACTATTGGGGGCAAATACTGTTGATGAGAGTTAAGTTTTCCATCCATTCTTCCCTTTCACCATAGTATTCCTAACCCTGATTAAGTGATCGACTACACAAAATTCGACCCTAGAGACGTTATTGAGCATGGAACAGTGGACTTTCTCTTCGACACAGCAGGCCTTGCCATGAAGCTCCTGTGTCTGATGCGACCTGGATCCAGTCGTATCGTATCAGTCTCAACTATGCCCTCTGGTAATCAATTGCAAGATTCACCACTAATGGATTTGGCTCATCGGCCGACTGTCCCATTTGCTTTTCGAATGGGTCTTAATCTGCTTGATCAGATTCGAAAAGTCCGAGCACATCGTTACAAGACAGAGTATTCCTACCTATTTTTGGAATCAACCGGAAAAGATTTGGATGAACTCAAACAGTATATCGAAGATGGGAGACTCAGAAGAGTAATTGGAACTATCGCTGATATCCGAGATAGTGAAGCTGTGCAAAAGGCTTGTGATGTAGTTTACTCTGGGCGGGGAGGGCTTGGAAAGCTGGTGATACGTGTTTGCACGCCTGAGCAGTCATTTCAAAGCGAGTTTGATTTTCGTTAGTAAACCTGAGATGAACCGAGCTATCCTAAGATGATCATGTCCTCCATCTACTATGTCGTGCTAATCCATCATTTCGGTCTGTTTGGTTGCTGCCCACGTGCTCAACTATTTTCTGCTCTTTTAGTTATTACGAACGATTAAAGCACCAGACAGGTTCTTTTATTAGCTCTTGGCCTTATATTTAGAAAAGGCAGTTCGAGCCTGTAGCAGTCTCAAAATTTTGACGCCAATGTTGACAAGAGGTGTCGGGACAAACTCTTCGTGTCATCGTCCCTGCGTAACAGTCGATACCGAGGTTATGTGGGTTAATCTTATTGGACAAATAATCAGCTGCTAAGTTATTGTGTTTTCGGTAGTGTCTCCCTGTTATTCGATTTTCGGAGTAACAAACTATCCGTTACTAGGGAGTGGGCGCCCCCAATGCCGGAGATTAACAATCTCCACTTTTTGATCGGCCCTATTTTACTCAACTCCTATCGAGTGTTTGCCTCGGTTGAACACCCTGTTTTCCGTCCTGCGTTATTCAATATAAAATTGAATTGAATGGGCACATGTCGAAACGAAAGATCCACAAACCATACGCCATCAGGCTGGGCAAAAATACTTTCATTCTCCCTTTCCAACCCAACAATTCATGCCAGCTAGGTTTGAATGCAATTCCGAAAGCAAATCATCATAAAGCAATGGCGTTGGATTGGCTCACATTCCACATCAACTTGCGTATCTTGAGGTGTCTAACACGGCTTCTTGCTTGGCTGGATCGGAAAAGAAGTCCTGCTTCATTACTCACTCCAAGCTCCCGAGCTTTCATCCCATCGACTCTGTCAACTTCACCCGGTAACTTTGATATCCTTTTTTACCACCCCCCTGGTCACAACCAAGAATCTGCGAAAGAAGGGCAGCACCCCATTGTCTTCGTCTTTCATGGGGGAGGCTGGTGTGTCGGAAATGCTCGCCATGATGAACGTTTCATCGCTACACTCACAGCACGCGGCGCTTTTGTCGTAGCAGTCAACTATCGCCTCGCCCCTGAGCATCCATATCCTACTCCTGTGGCAGATTGCCTTGATGCCATACTCTACGTCTGGAGAAATTCTGCAGCAATCGGGCTGGACAAACACCGCACATACATCACTGGCTTCAGTGTCGGTGGTCAGATGGCGTTTGCTTCGCTATTTATGCTATGGAAAGCATTGCAGGACACAGACCCACGAGTTGATCCTGCGGTATTGGGCACAGTTCAGGGTATCACTGCATTTTATCCACCAATGGATCTGACCAAATCCAGAGATGAGCGTGCTGCCTCGAACCCAGCGTTTGTTGCGCTGAAGAAAAAGCCTGCATCGTCTTCCAAGCTCATCGGTGACATCTTTGACCGAGCTTACTTCTGGAATATGCAACCAATGCTAGACAAACATCAAATGTACATCTCTCCGGGACTGGCCCCTGTGGATGTGATGAAACTGGCTTTACCTAACCGGATCACCCTGAAACTTGCGGGTTTAGATCCCTTGTTGGCTGAAGGTGAAGCAGCAGCAGCTAGACTACAGTCCGTGGGAAAGCGAGTTGACTGTGAGACCATTGAAAATGTTACCCACTATTGGGACCACTTAGCGAAGACAGAAGAGGAGAAAAGGTTGCGGCAAAAGGTTTATGAAAAAGTGGCGAATGAGATTGAAATGTCCTTGGAGACCAAAAAGTGAACCAGGGATGCGTTCAACCAATGCAGTGCGATCGAACGTTCAGTTTTCTATACCACGACGAAATCAGGTCATCGTGAAATAGCCAAAGAATGCAATGGTTCTTCGGAAGACATGTTGTGAGTTACTACGGAGCTGAATTTCCCGTGGAATACTCAGTAGTCTTTTTGTGGAGGTGAGGCGGCTATCAAGATGGCTGGAAGAAGTCCCCAAACGATCATGGCATATCCTTGATGTCAGTCTTGTTTTTATTTTCAGGCTAAATCTACGTTCTGCTTATTGGAATGACTTTTTCCCAATTCTGTGTTGTAACCTGTAGTTAACTTCTGTTCAGTAAGACGAAAATGGGGTGAATGGAATATAATGCTGTTTCATATACTAACTCTCCGGCCCAGTGGCTTAGAATTGGCGAATAGCCACCGGGACCAGACATTTGATTGTCCTTGAATGGACTTGCATGGCTGGCACGATGATTTTCTGAATTTACAGAAGCCGATTAGTTCAGGTCTAGATCATACTTGATTGCTTTGAGAAGATTTTAGTTATAATGCGAGAAATAGAAACAGGATAGCAAAGGCAATACGTGGTATTACATATCTTGCGGATAATAGTGTCAGAATGTTAAGGTTCTCGGTAGTTGCCACCGGGGGCGGTATCTCAATGAGGATCGTGTGATCAAGAGCTTCTTCTATGACTCTTCGTAAATCGGCATTTACGAAGGATGAAGACCATAGGTACTTTCCCTTACGGTTATCTTATATTGAAAAGCTATCTCCAATTTTACCACTAAGCGGCATAAGCCGTTATTCCTCCGGTACAGTATATACTATTCTCTCATTTCAAACCAGAACACCGTTCTACATATTCTACAATTGCACTTTCCACTAATATATCTCATGTGCCTCAGTATTTATGTCATCTTCATTGCAAAAAGGATGTGTGTCTAGAAATTTCCGTCAGTGTGTAATATCAAACTTGAAGGTTAATATGCCCGCATATATATTCAACATGGTCATGTACAGGTGGGGGAAACGAACAGATGATGGCCGGAACGATACTAGCGCTGCGGAGATAGGTTCGTATCATCCAGACCCAGGGGAGACTAGAAAGCCAAGCTCCTCCTGCCAAACGCACACACAAAAGCGAAGATATTTATCATTCTTATCCATGATAGCCCGTTCACCATTCAATCACGAAGGGAAACCCAGTAAACCCTCGGCCGGTCGAGCTCACAACATACAACTGCATAACTGAAGGAGGCAAGAAAAAGAACAGAAGCATTCAATAGGGGAGTATAACACAAGGAAGATTAGGTAAGGGAGGTTCCATGCCTCAAAGAGTCCAAAAATATCTCAGACGAACACAATCACGGATTTTCCAATACCTCCTTTCCCATCATATACCACTTGACATGCATTTCTGACCGCTTCAATGTTCTTGAAGTGGGCTTTTGTTCCCACAATCGTTTTCACCATTCCTGTTTCCACCCATTCTCTGATGGAATTTAAATCGGCCGCGTTGGGTTCCAAGAAGATAGACGAATACTTGACCCCGTAGCGAGATGCACGCGCCCTTCGGATCCGATCCATCACATTTAGGGCAATACGGATAGGGAATGGCACGATTGCCTTGTCTTGCTTGTCTGGCGATCGTCGCATAACGCTAGAGTTTTGGAGCACATCCCCAGAGGTGAGTATGGAAACCGTAACGATGGCTCCCTTTGGGCGCACCAATGATAGATACTCCATCGCACTCCCTGTGGTGTCAAAAATGAAATCAACAGATCGCGGAGGAATTACATTCTTGGGATCTGCCTTTTTGTAGTCGATGACTGATCGAGAAACGTTAGCTTTTGTGCAACATGCTACCGCAATAGAGCCGACTCACTCTCATCAACAATCCCTTCACCCAAGAGCTTGTTGACCTGGGGCACCTTGCTGGTAGAGACCGTGGTGATTACTTTGCCAGCTCTGAAAATATTCTTCGCTAGCTGGCATGCGAATATACCAGTTCCACCCACTGTGCAAAGGTCAGCATCTGGTTCACAAAAGTGAGGTCCGAAATAACTTACGACCAGCAGGTATGAAGACAGTTTTTCCTTCAAGATTCCCTTCGTAACCCCGAAGCGCCTGCAGTGCCGTCATACACGCCAAAGGAATAGAGGCGGCCTCTTCCATTGAGATAGTGTTCGGTTTCAATGCAACAAAGTCTTCCGTTGATCTCGCCAGCTCACTCCAAGATCCCCGATGACATTCTGGCAATCGAACAAAAACTTCATCGCCAGCTTTGAAACGCTTTACCTGGGATCCAGTCTTCAGGACTGTGCCGGTGCAATCATAGCCGATTTTGTAAGGAAAGCTGTCCGGAATATTTAGATTGAAGGAAAATACCCGGGGAGAATTACTCTTACCTGTCCTTAAGAACAGCTTTGGTTGCTCCTGCCGCTTTCTTGACGTCGATCGGGTTGATACTCGCGGCATGGACTTTGATTAAGATGTCGGTCGGGTGTTCCACAGTAAGGGAGGGAACTTCGCCTAATTCATACTGATCGGGCGTAGTATGCTTTGGAATATTGATGGAAAGCATCCTGGTCTCTGTAAGAGTAGTGAAAAACTACTGGGTAAATGAAGCGAGGAGAGCTGTGAGTTTAAACAAAGGCGTGTAATGCACGAAACTCTATTCGGTCCGGAGCTTTAATTTGCCCGTCGGATTCAGAAAAGCAGAGACCTATTATTATCACCTTTTCTGGGTTAGCGGCTTAGTTCTCCACCTACTGCCGCGGTCGGAAATGCTTGGGATTTCGGATAGCGTAATCGCCCAGTGAGGTTCGCTCCGGATTCGTGAAGAAAAGTCACGAATGCCTTTTGCGAGCCAGTCTTGCGCTTGGACCGTATCCGTGCCTACCGCCCACCCAAGGCGCTTCCAAACCGGGTAGCGTAGCGGTAAGTCACCGCTGGTTTGTTCTGATATATATTCCGACAGAAATGTTTCGAATGATTGTAAGGTTGTCCTCAATGCTAGACGGTAAAATATCAGACGATATCTAACCTATAGGAAGCATAGGGACAAAGAAAAAGTGCGACTCTATCAGGTATCTTCCTATTCAAAACTGATGGCAATCCCGATTATAAGACCAATGTTACGAAGCAGAAGGAAATATGAACAATTTGGTGAATTCAAACCAAGGCAACAAAGACGAGGAAATAGAGAAACAAAGTCTAACCGAGGAGGGAATGTGAGCGATAATTATATCACGCGATAACACTTATCGACCTTACCCAGTTGATTTATTCACACAAATAATCCTAAGCCTTACTGTCTAGCAGAGCAGATCAATCATCTGTTGTATCAGGACAACTAAGACGTAAAATAAACACTTCAATTTCTCCACGAACAATCCGATACATACTTAGACTAAGAGGATCAAGTCATGATATCCGCATTGACTGCCATAATTTATCAATTTGTAAGCCAGGGCCAAAGATTATGGCGATTGTGGGGCATTTCCATCAGCTATGCGATAGATTTGAGCCCGGAATCATTGCTAGATAAGTCAGAATCGTGTGGAGGGCGGGACATGTTCACAGGTACTTACTGTTTCTGCGCCTCCTCCCACATTCTGATTTTGAGAAGAGTCACCAATAAGGGAATTTGAACTTTGAAAAAGACCACCTGGGCTTTTTTATCGGAATATGCATCATCCATCATGAGCTGTGGGAAATTTGGGTTCAGAACTGCCGGCCGACCGATAACGACAAGATCGCAAACCCCACGCTTCAATGCAGTCTCAATTCCCTTTCGGGTTCGAAATCCTCCGGTGACTATAAGAATTAAGTTTGGGAATCGCTTCCTTATTTGTGTCCTAAAGTCTAAAAAGAACGCTTCTCGAGATTCTGTAGCTAGGCTCTGGGAATTAGTAGTTTCGTCTCGCAACCCACGGCCTATTATCTGATATTTCAGGGTCAGCATAAGTACGTAAGTTAATGTTATAAGTCTTTATCGGTATATATATAAAGGAGTGATATAAATAGTCACCGGGTCATTAGACGTTGTCCTTTATGTATAGAGATAGAGATAGGAATATTAGGAACTATACCGTTAGGTCTTCATAAGTTCCGCTAGATATTTCAAGAAAATCTATACCAGCCTTAGAAAAGAGACTAATTTGAGTTAGCGTGTCTTCGAAAGCTACTCTGCTGTGGTCGGCAGAGTTTAATTTGATCTTAACGTAGAAGGTCTTAGGCACGGCCTTTTGAATCTAGTGGATAATTTCGAGAATAATGCGGGCTCGCCGTTTAGCGTCACCGTTATATTAATCTTCACGAGTATTACTCTTAAGTTAAGAGCTATTTATTAGACTAAATATAATTCTATCTCGTGGGAAGAATTATGTAGCTTACTTTCTCGGAGAGAAATTACGCTCTCTTATAAGTTCGAGTAAGTAGCGCGAGCTAATATATTTCGCTTTAGAAGGACGGAGACTCACATAAAAGATAACCGTGTGCTATATGTATCTCGATACTAGAAAAGCTATACCGGGCTATCGTTCGGGCACAGCTAACGAACTAGGCGATAACGCGATTGATATCGAAAAGAGACATAGCTTATAGTAACCCGAAAACGATATTCCGTACAATAGTCGTAACTAACCTATTACCGATATAGAGGGCAATCTCACTCGGTGCGATAGGTTTATCCAAAATTCCACGGTCACTTACACCTCTCGGGGACTAACGGCCCGGATGACATATCTAAGTAATTACAGGAGTACTATTTTGTTAGTATATACTTGCGTAAGTTCTCTAAGCATTCAGCGAGTCCTACTCACCTCCTTGATACTCACGTGTAGCCAGATCGCCGAAGCCTCCTAAGTGACGAACATTAATTTATATATTTCCTTAGATCCGATGCTTTAAGATACCTCACAGAGTCATTCAATATCCTCCTACCTATGAGAAGAGCACCCCATCCCCTCTTCGCCCATTTTTCGTGTTTACGAAAAATGGGCGTCCCTGGCAATCGCCCACTTTCTGCCATCCCTTCAGCCATAGCAGCCTAGGAAGAGGGTTGCCAGCTAACGTCGAGAACATAGATGTGTTACACTTGGGCTTACTTTCACTAAACGATTGGGCAGAACTAACCCACATGGTAGTTCCAGTGGGTCTTTGATGTCTGATCCCATCTTCAATGAATGATATATTAGTCAGCTAGAGATTTCTTTGATGTATAGACCGTTGAATTGGAATTGAGAGATGTGGTGTTATGTTATATAGGATAAGGTATTCCAGTAGAGTATAGGTAGGCGTTATAGGTCACCGAGCTACTACTATTGAAATACTCCGAGGAGAGTATGTTGTTTTTTATTCCTAGCACATCGGCATTATCGCTAAAGATGGCTACCACGGATAAGGTCAAAATCATAAGTCTCACAGTCTCGCATTTCTGAACAGCATCCAGCACATTCTGCGTCCCTTTGAGAGCCGGCTTAATAACTTCTTTCTAACCATCGCGGATTTTGTTTTCGACGAGGAATGGAGAGGCAATATGGTATACTACCGAACAGCCCTTCATTACAGCTTTCAAAAGAGTCAGCGATAAGCAAATCCGCTCCGAACAATGTCAGCATCCCTGGCCATCGTTCCTGCATGTCAAGGAGATGTTTAATCTTCCTTTCATTTTTCGTACTACGAACCGTAGCGTGGACTTGCTCGCTTCTTTCGAGCAGCTGCTGAACGACGTGGCTCGCGATAAACCCACTTGCACCGGTGACAAGTGAAAGATTCTCTATCACGGTTCGTAGAAAACAAGGCATGGGTTTACATTCTCAACCCTTGTACTACGATCTTGTTTTATAATTGACTCCACTAGAGTGTACCATATCAAAGGCAAAATCCGACCTAAATCGGATACTTAGCGAAAGGGTTAACCCGAATCCTTTGATGCGAAACCATAAAACTCCCTATAGCAAAAGTAAGAAAGTCAAAGTCGCGTTCAATTGATATTATCCCGCGGTAGGATATGATGAATCATCACTTCCGTGCAAATGGGACTGATGATCCCTCTCGGGGTCGGGTCAGCAATTGACCCGATTCCACGTTTCCTGACATGGAAAAGTGATTCTCGATCGGGTATTACCCAGAGTCGGCTATCATCCCCGTGAGACCAGACTGAAAAAGCTAAAAGCGGTCCAAACGGCAATGAGATTTCGTCTCACTTTTTCAAAACAATAATCGACCGAAAGTCCCTGAGCGTGGCGCTGTGGTCACGTGTGACTTGGACACTTGAATCATGGAAAGTGGGGACCGCCCCCAGCTCAACTATAACGCATGTGTCATGTGCCGGCGCAGGAAATTGAAATGTGATAGGACCCAACCTCGTTGTGGCCTCTGCTCACGTCTAGGGAAAGACTGTATCTACAACGCAATACGCAAGAGGAGTGGTTCGAAACGAAAGCTCTTACAAGACCTAGACACACGCCTGAGTATGTTAAAACTGAGGCTAACCAGCCGCTTCCAGAAGTTTATCATACAGCTAATGATTATTCTTCTACCAGCCAAAATTGAAGAGCTTCTTAAAGATAAACATTCCTACCCTGTGCTGCAATTGTCCTCTTCGTCATCTTTACCTGAGAATCAGCATAATATGCCTCTATCTGGACACATCGGCTTTCCTTCGTCACAGTCACCACGGCTTGAAAATTCTTTGTTTGGTCCCACGAAACATTTTGCAAACGGGGTAGAAGCTTGTCGGGTCAGCCATACGCACTTTACGGTGGTTCCTGGCAATTCAAGCTATTCTGAATCGAACTCTGCTGGCCTGGCCTTAGGGGAGCAACTTCCCTCCAAGGACACCATTCGTGCCCTGTAAGGGAATCCGCCCGAAGAGAATCTATAGCAAAATCCTCACAATTTTCAAGGGACAGTATATTCTTCGAGAGGGTTTACCCGTCTATACCCATCATTCACCCACGCCGCTTTTTTGTCAACTCAAGTCTCTCAGCCCCTTCACGCCCATCGCTTTCCCTGCGGTATATAATTTGGTGCCATGCATCACTATCCTCTGATCGATACTACTCATTCCACGGTGAATTCTATCAACGCGCTCGCAAGTATGCTGAACTTGGCGAGACTACAGAAAGCTTTAGGCAGGGGATCGTCACTTTGTCGCACTGCCAAGTGTGGATACTATTATCTATCTACGAGTTGCGAATGGTATCCCTCCCACAAGCATGGGTCAGTGTAGGTAAAGCCTCCAGTCTCTCCTTGGCTACTGGTCTCAATCAATTGGATGGGCCAATTCAAGATGTCAAGATGTGTATTCCTCCTCCAAAAGATTGGGTTGAAAGAGAAGAACGCCGAAGAGTTTTTTGGATGGCGTTTTGCTTGGATTTGTACGCTAGTATTGGGACTGGAAGGCCTATGGCTATTGACGAGACATCGGTGGGTCTTTATGCGATAACGATTGACATTAACTAGTATTCTTCCAAACGGCGCTGACTAACCAAACGCAGATTATAACTACCCTTCCTGCTTCTGAGCAGTCTTTCCTGGAGAGCAAGCCAGAACGCACCCTTAATTTATGCGAGATCTTTGCCGGTGAAGGTACATCCACCTTGTCTTCCTTGGCTTACGTTTGTGTGTCAGCCAGTTTGCTCAAGCGTAGCTGTCCTCACACCCGCCGAATCCGCAAATGCGGTAATGATGCTGGTGTGAGCGAGCATTATAGGCAACAACATCAGAGTCATGATGAAATTCTCATCCCCATCTTTCAACGTCTTCCCGGGCACCTTCGGCTACCCAACAGTATGAATGATATCAATGTCATTTTTTCTAATCTGTGCATACATGCTTCCACGATTCGGCACCATCAAGAGACCATCATCCAGGGTGAAACGTGCAGGGTGCTGGATTGGTATATGATGGAAAACAACCGCCGTTGTATATTAGCGGCGAGTCAGATAGCTAGCCTCGCAAGGCTAATCAGGGATTTTGCCCCGTTAAAGGTATTTAATGCCCTTCGTCCTTTGACACACAACGGGGCTGACGACCAATAGTACAATACCTTTATGCCATTTCCCTTGTTTCTGGCAGCGAGGGTTTTTGTGCAACACTTGCAATCCCAGCCCAATAATTCAACAATCAGATCATCGCTACAAAATATTGTATCAATACTGAACATCATGAGGCCAAAGAATCCTCTGGCTGGAATGTTCCTTAGTCGACTGGATAACTCCATTGTACCTGGTTCTAGGAACAACAAAGCAGCTTCGTCATAATCTGACTAGAAATGAACACACCATACAAAGCAAAATTAAACTTATGGTCTCTGCTGTAACATAATTTGAGTTCTTAACTAAGGTCTAATGCCTCGGAAATAAACGCCTGTCGTAAATCATTGAGCGATAGCGATATGGCAATCTGGCAATCTAAAGAGAGAAGGAGAGAAAAACAAAATAAAAGGCCTATAAAGTTCTAAAGAGGAAATCTCCATTAGAAGAGTAACTGCGAAGTCGAGAATTACTTACCGCCTATCGCGCGTTCAAATACCAGCCTCGTGTGTCGATATTTGTCCGGCATGTCACGTGTCAAGTAGGACTGGCCGAATTAGCGCCGCGGCTGTGATGTCCACCTCGAGAGCGGCCTGCCCAAAACCACCCAATCAATCAATACTCCCTGTTCTGTCAATAAAGCAGTTTGATGCCTGGTGAGTTTGAATGTCTGGAGAAAAAGGTATCCCGACACTTACGGAGACCCACCCTGTTGAGTATTAGCAACCGAAGGGGTTGTTCTCGGGACGAAGAGTGTACTCGGTCGTTTAGTTATACGTCCTCCCGTTTAAACCTACATAGATTACTCTGTAGGTTCAATAGTTCTTTCCAGGACCGACGCTCTTCTTTGCCTTATAGAGCTATTTAGGTCTTTCTCTTCTTCTTTTTCTTCTTCTCTATTTGCTTCCTTGGGCAGGTGTCGATAACACTATCAAGATCTTTCGTTAGAACAAAGAAAGCGCGCTATCATTTCAGGGAAGACGACACACGAATTCATTATACTAAATAGTAAAAAAATGCAACAACCAAAAGAATGACCGGACTTACCCTAGGCCTAGCCCCTCCACCTACACCTCAGAGGGTCAGGGTCTAACTGTCCTGGCCCTGGCCCTCAAAGCATAATTTCCGGTATATTTCCTATTCTAGACGCAGAAAATTGATTATCACACATACCAAAGTAACTAATACTGTTAGTTAAGTAACTATTAACAGCTGTTCTGGTATGCGTCAGGATTTTGCCAATATGTTATAAAGGCTAATGAATTTTCACGTAGTTAAATCGTAAATTAATACTTCGCATTTAGTGACCTCAAGTTCTTTAGTATTTACTAGAAATATAGCATTGAAAATGATTTCAAGTAGATATTTGAGAATATTACCTCATAACAACGAAGGTACATGATTGTACCCTATCCGCACTTACTCACAGTGATCAGCAGGCATCACGTAAGACCATGCACTGACAACACAATAATCCGAACATGCTGTTTGCAGAACATTGGACAGTTGCGCATTCTAGATCAAAAGGGTCTCGGCACTAGGCACTAGAACCTAGCGAATGTGATGCGTGGCGGCTTCGAAAAGCCTGGCCAACCGCCTCAAATACTTCAGCTGACCCACTAACAAGGCGGGGCCCCGCTTGGGGCGTCGGGAATCCCATAGGGCATAGATCGAAGTCAGACATCACTATTCAACAACATCAGTCAGTTGAATTCTGTTTTCCGTATCCCTAGCAACAGGTACTATGGCCTTTCCTTCGCAACATAAGTACTACCAATACCGACTACAAGCCTAATCAGGACTCTAAGCAACTCCACACTCCAACCAATAGACACACCCATATACATCCAAGGCTAGGAAGAAGCGATAGTTTCCGGTGGTACCTAGTTGAAAGATGAAGATTTTCAAGACGGCAGAAAAGGAAGAGGTGAATAGCGGAGGAGAAGGGACACCTTGAATGTAAAAGCAAGAGGTATTTGAAAGATAGCAACCTCCACGGGGTGGGATGCGAGTGAGCACCGGACGGCTCGTTGAGTAATGTATGCAATGGGACGCTTTGTATTTTCGTTTTTGACTCCCTGCAGGAGTCCCGTGTCCCTAACGTCTCCTTAATTAGCGTTTCAGCATTCACTGAAATTGCGTATGGTTGGTGGGTTAGTTGTTAGTTACTTGACTTTCGTACGTATCCAAAAATGGACTTCTGAGAAAACCGCCGCTGGTTTACTTAGATTACGCAGATAGTCCTGGCCTGAGGCAAACTTAAGGTAATGTTCTCAAAATTTCCAAGCGACGTACTTCCCTTAACTTCACTATGTCTGTACTTTAGCACATGCCGAATCAGACAATCTAGACGGGGCTTCCGCTTCGCAGGCCTCTCAGCCACTACGCCGCAATTCATGAAGGCGCAATTCATGAAGGCGCAATAGGCCACTTCTAGCTATTAAAACGGCCAGACTGAACACTTCTGGGAAGCAATATCTAGCGAGTGGGATATCCTTGGGCTGATAGCGTACCGAGGTGGCATTTAAAAAACTCTAGAAAGGGAAAAGACCAATCCCGTCCGAAAAATCTGCTTCATCAGCTGCGAGTGAATGCAAACTCTGGAAAGAAGGGACCCAGATCATCAGGGCCAGGCTTTTACTACGTTGAGATATATCAAAATCAGAGGTTTCTGGCCCGTCGGCAAAAAAGGACCACTTGGTGAATATGGCTGACTGAGTTTTGATTTCAGAGCTTCATGGCACTACCACAGCCCTCGCCTAATATTCCTATGCTTCCATTCCCTCGTATTTCGCCCCACCCCGACAGTCTGACTTTGTGCTGTGAAGATATCGCGTATGACTATGTCAGCTAGCCACAATATCTCACAGAGTTGGGCGGTTTTAGCTAGGTGTTCGAAATTTCTATATCACGGGGAAGAAAGTGTGTGAATAAGATAGACCAAGTTTTAGCTATAAGTATCTTGTTGATCCCACAGCTTCTATTGCTCTTAATTCTATCCAAGGGAACTGACCTACCCACGTTGATTATTCTGTTAATCAATACGATTCTTCATTTCTTTCAATACTTTATTTACAACTCGCAAACATGTCTGCATTGCTCACGGCCAACAGCGCCATTGTCTCCAACTCTCTCTCGGGATCCACGGACCATCTCTCCGTATGGCTATACGACAAGAATGAAAAGTTGGTCCTGACAGTCGATCCTGGCGAAGTTTCACATGCAGTCTCATTCGTGGCACACTCCGTCCGCTTCCTTTCGTTTAACGGCAAGGAATGGTTCTTCCCCAAAAACATCACTCTGAATCCTGGCGACGTCATCGTCTTCACCCCTGTTCGCTCCGGGACGAAGAACGTCACCGTGTTCTCTCATGGCGTCCAGAAAGACAGCTTCACTCTCAAGAGCAGTCTGTCTTCGACCATGAGCAAGACGGATGACGTGGCCATGGCCGCCCATACCGACCCTTACCTGCACAAGGTGTTTACTTTGGCCAAGCTCCATGCGCTGATGGGCAGCACTCGAGATGAATTCAATGCCGATTTGAAGGCACGAGCCTTAACGGATACGACTCCAACCAAGAAACTTACTCGGGAACAGTTTGACTTGGTCAACAAGGCAAATAGCACTGTGCGCCTCGAGGGCACAGCTAGCGACGAGAGCGATCAAGACATCTACGATGAAACAGCCATGCTGTGTACAGCTGTCAATACACGTCTGGCCGCAATCGCAAATGCTGCTCACCCTGATCAGTGGGATATCAGCGTCCCAGAGAACCAGATCAAGATGACCAACGCCGCAGCGAATGGACTTTTCAACTGGTACTATTCTCACATGGGCCAGTTCCTCACCTCAGTCAACATGACTACGACTCAAGTCAAGAACAAGTACAACACCACCACGATCAAGCTGGATGCCTTGGTCGACCTGTTCAAGTCCCTGTCTTTACCGGGTGACAAGCTACAGGAGCTGAGTGGCGCCGTGGATTCCTTCGTGGAGAGCATGAGCACTTTGTCGTCGGAGAGCACAGACAAGGGCTTGAAGAACGCAAAGTTAACCAACTTCTTCAGCATCCAGCCACCTGTTGGAAGCCCGAATCTGGCCAAAGTTTCAAAGATGAGGATGTTTTACCTCCAGTTCAACGAGGCTACGCATGAATGGAGCAACAGCTGCTCTAGCGGTACCACTTACGAGCTGGACACGGATGTGTTCCAACTCGATGTTGAGATCAACAGGCAGGTCTGCCATTTGACATATGATCATAACAGAGACATGGTTGTGGCAAATGCCGACGCGGCTCTCGATGACATGGGCGCCGCTGGTGTTGATGAGACAGTTCCAGCCGTAAAGACAGATGGTCCAAGCCCTATCGGGCCAGCACCTGTTAGTTAGAGGGGCCTATGCCATAGGGGTCATTGGGGTCATGGTGGATACCAATCATTTTGTATCGCTAGGGCTTTTCAAGTTGCCGCAAATCTCAATCAGATTTATATTCACACTATCACTTAAACATAGTTTGGCCTAGTTGCGAGGTGTACTGCTAGCGGCCTCGACATGAGCCTCCTAAAAAGAGGAAGTTTAAGCTTAAAGAAACTTCTTGGTTAGTCTTAATAAAGTATGGATGACGTCGAAGGGGGATAGCTAATACAGTATTTGGCTAAGTAGAGTTTCGGGTGGTGCTGCCTTATGATGGGTATCAGTTGACTTAATTAACTACCGAACCGACATAACGGTAACCACGGAATAGGCCTGAAGATGCGAAAATTATCCTAAAGGGTGCATGGCTCAACCACGGTGCCAGCTCTTAAACCGTTTTTTATATATATTTTTTTACAAGGACTGACTCCTTGAGTGTTGAAACCCGATTGTTAACCTACCTTGAAAACCGCGATATGGTTAAATAGGGGTTGATTATACTATAACCTAATACGGACTAGCGTAGTCTCTGATATAAGCCGGGAAATAATTGTGCATCTAGAGGAGGATCTGTTTTCGACTCTAGCTATATATGCAAGGGACAGGACTATAATTAAAATCAGGAATTTGATCGGGAAGAGTGGTGAGGAAGCCTAATAATTTGGCTTGTAGGTCCTCCTTCCGAGGTAGGACTGAACCCACTCCGCGAACCACTCAAGCTTGAATTTTCTAAAATTAGACAGTAGCTATTGGTGTGAGGTGCTATTATATATGCCTAATTGATCTGGTAGAAGTGCCGATACCTTCTCGTTTACCCCTCACACCCGATGCACACGATCAAAGATAAGCTGAATTCTCCAGTAGGGTAGGTAGCGTATCTTCGGACATCTCTCCTTCGAGGGCAAGGCTTTAGAATTCGGCGAACACTCCGAGCTCTCTATTAGTCTCGTGAAGGCGGAATAGTTCATTTCGGGCTTTATTCACACGTTTAACAACAAACGGTTGCCTCATCTATAGCGTTCGCGCATTTTTATGGCACGTACAGGAAATAACGCTTCATAAGCTCGCGCCCTTGTCTCGTAAGCCTTAATAAAAGTGATTAAGAATTAATATAAACAGTGAGACTAATCAAACAGGATGATAATACATAAGAGAGGCAGTGCTGTTTAGAATATCTCCAAAGATTAAATTGGCTCCTTTTGACGTTGATCGACCTATCCACATGGGTGGACGTTTTCTTGTAAAGGATTCTGGTGCATGTAGATTATAAAGTTGGAACATCAATATGCTAGAGTTAAACTGCCCGTTTATTGGTATTCGTACTGTGGTAATTCGGTCTACACTAGTTTTTATATACGATATAGTTATCTATGTAGTTAGCAAGACCTTGCCAAACATGCTTTACAGATAAAAACCCTAAATCATGCTTAAGTCTAACCTATAGGGTAAGCCCACTCTACGTGACTATCCTGGATTATTATCTAATATATTGATAGAACTAAGCATGATATTAAAAGATCTTAAAGATCTGACCAAACAATCAATTTTCCGGGTAATTGGGGTCGGGGGAATGTCCCGAAAACATTTAGAGTAGGTATATATCGGTCTTCCAGCAGGGGTCCGATTTTGGTTCCAGTAATATAACTTTCCTGAGAGGTGTTGTCCCGCAAAAAGTGGTTTCTGACGATAAACGGTCCCGACGAAGATGGATTGACTGAGACGACCTGGAATACATTACAGACTAGCCATATGACCGCTACAATACATTATGGGAAGTCTGTGCCCAGACATATACGGAGCTCAAATACTATGGTGGCATGATAAACGACAGGGTTTCAATTTGGCTGACGGTAAAAAAACATAAACATTAAAAACCCTCACTTTTAGCTCGTCCTTATTGAGCATTCAGGATAGCTCAGCAATTGATCTCGCTTCGCCCAGTCCGTGAAGCTAGTTATTTGCATCGTAGTCCATAATAGGCAGCGTACCAGTCTTTTGCATAACTCCAAGGTGTTTTCCAGGGAATTGGTAGAATGCTTTAGCGCTGTCGATATCCGAAGACTGCATTTTGGGAGGGAATTCGTACGCCATTACTGATGATGGGTTACGTGGACCGATTTGAACCGACTTCAGGTTGGCACCAGTTTCCAGCTCCGGCGCAAACTCGTGACGCAGTCCCAGGACGTGGCCCAGCTCGTGCAAGAAAATATTCTTCAAGTACTGCACTGCCCCTTCCTCGAATGCAGCAGGATAGACGTTCAGCACGTTCAAATCCATATCATTCGGAAAAAAGGCCTCTGCCAGGGTCCCAGGGCTGACTTCCTTTGCGTAGGTGAGGACGAATGCGGCATCTTCGATCTCATAAACCCATTCAAACTGCACGCCGAGCTTCAGCGCATTCCATTCATTGGCGGCTTCTTGCAAGTTTTTCGCCGCTAGAAAAGCAAGCTCCGGCTTTGGATATCCATTTGCAAGTACGGCGAAGTTGACGGTTTTGGTCGGTCCGGTCTTCCAGCGGGGTATATTCTTTCCGAGTCCGACTTGAAGGGCCGTGGCACTAATACTACCGGCGATCGCGGTAGGCGTAGGCTTCTGAGTGATGCATGGATATCTCTCGATTTTAGTCGTAGAGGAGCCTACTACTCGCGGTAGGCCCTGGGACGTGGACTTCTCTGGGTCCAGCGTTTCCAATGCCTTAGGATCAAGATCCCCTTTCAGGTCCCGGAAGAAATTGACCCGGGCGGGGTTGATAGTTCTTTGAGCGTGGGGCATGATGAATGACTTAGGTAAATCAGTTGATGTTCCACACCAATTTGTCTTGCTGAGATCCAGTTTGGTTTACTAGAAGTCCGGTTGCAATAATTTTCAATCCCTGTCTCAGCACTCGAGGGATATCAGGGAATTTATATTTTGCAAGAGTACAATCTACCCAAAAGCATACTTTCCCACACTAACGAGAACAAACGCTGTTGGTTTCGTCACCACAATGTCTTAATGGCTAAACAAGTTTTGCAAAGATGGTGTCGTCTGATCGGTCACCAAAACAATCAATTTGAAAGAGATTTCTCTCAGTGATCAGCGGTTCATACTTCCAAAAAGTCTAAGTTTAAAGGGGGCAACTGTTTGTCTTGCTGCCAAGGAACTCACTAGCATGGTCTGGACCTTGCTCTAACGCTCAACCAGAGTTCTTCAGGGCTAGCAACATGTACCATATGGCCGGATATCGCACTCGCAGATGATCAAGTGAGCACGCTTAATCAGAGCAATGCCAACCACGGTTGGACCATCGACGAAATACTCCGTTACACCAATACCCTGCTTAAAGATTATGATGCATTATCTGAAAATCTAGTATATTCTGTCACCATATCTGACAGTAGCCGGTTGTAAGCAATCTAGACTTCATGATGGATGACGTTGCGGGGTAAGGCAAGGTGGAAGACTGGCCTCCGGAAGCACCCGGCCGAGGGCCAGATGAACCCGGGACCGGATCGGCCAAACATTTATCCGAAGTGCAGAATTCACTGACCGCCTCTAGGGCACACACAGCTTCCCCATATTCTCATACATTGTATCTAGTCTTAATCAACACTTCTTCTGCTTAAGCTCCGCAAGACACATTGCGGGACCTATCAATCTTTCTCCTCTCTCATTTGTAAGCTGGCCAATACACGACATATTTTAAAACCGGCCAGTTATGATGAATAAATCGATTGATGAAGTTTGTGGCTGTGGTCGAAATCCATACCTTATGGAGCAAATATGGTTGCAAATGATTGATCTAGACCGTCATGATTTCGTGTTTAGCAGCACTTTTTAACTAAGTTTTCATTTTAATTTTAAGATATGATCTCACTGCTGGTTATGTCTTTATGGATGGGGCTGGACCTTTCAGACGCAAGTATCTGCTGACCCTACGTAATGTTTGCAATTTTGCAATGGGCCGCGATACACCGAGACCTACAAATTGTCCTAACATCTGCTGCAAAAACAAACAGAATCTAGGACTGCACACATATCTCATACATTAAATGTCTAGTCCATCACAAGCACTGGAAGAAGGCGAATATCGCCCTGCAGCAGTAGGGGATCTACGATCTCCCTGCCCCGCCCTTAATTCTCTTGCGAACCACGGATTAATTCCCCGCGATGGTCGTAATATCACGGCCAACCAGCTTCAAGATGCTCTTAAACACATCGGCGTTGGTATCGATATCCGACATACCTTAGTGAAGAGAGCATTTACTGTTCATGATGAGACTTCTCATATCGGCTTGCGGAACCCGGGACAAGTGAATGATTCTGGAATACCTGTGCTAGATTTGGATCAGACTGGTCGCCCTCATGCCGTGGAACATGACGTGTCTCTTTCTCGAGAAGACCGTGCGTTGGGCGACTGCATTAATCCAAACCCAGACTTGGTTGACAGATTAATTCAGTATCCAGGCAACAAAGAATCGTTCACAATCTCTGACTTCGGTCGGTTCCGGAAGCAGCGATATACAGAGCAAAAGGCAAAGAACTCTAAACTAAATTTCGACTCCTCAAAACACAAGGTAGCTTGTGGTGAAGCTGCTATTTTCCAGTCTATTTTCGGTAAGGGGGCTTTTTATAACCTACCAACAAAATATGTAAAAGCGATGTTTCGAGAGGAGCGCTTGCCATATAAGGAGGGTTGGAGACCGCGATGGATTCCGGTGATGTCTCCAGAACTATTGATATTGCAGCTGGTGATATCACATTATGCTTCACCAACTTGATTTGAGAGTGATTTGAGAGTGTTGGAAGAAATCTTTTTCATGCTATGGAATTATGTCTGTTAGCAGATTGTATATTCAAATTCCTATCCTATATCGCGTTGTCAGATATTCAAGCGTTATCATCCTCGGTAGAAGGACCCACAACCGGTATAACCGGTTACTCGGTCTAGGAACACCTGGGGAAGACTGACTCAAGTAGGGATTGTAGTGCATGGCTTATTGAATCTAGATAGGACAAATTCTATATTATCCAAGCTAACCCTAGAGTAGCTGTGGTCACAAGTGGAAGCTCAGTCGAATACTGGCCCCGGAGCGGGTAAACCCAGGTTTACCACTGCATAAAATTGTGTAGCGACTGCAGGCCCTGGACTTCTTGCATGTTTCCAGATGCTGTGGGTCATTTATTGCTGTAATTACTTAGTCACTCATCAGAAATATATTAGCACATCGGAATGCAAGGATAATTTTGTAAAAAGAGCACGAAGTAATGAGTAGATAATCTCTGAGAGGATGTCAAGCAAGCCTTATGGAGAACGATACTATTATTTCAAGGTTGATTAAAGTATATTATTGTTATTAAAGATGAATATGTTACCGGGCAATTGATTGAACCTTTCAAACCAAACCGAGACCATAAACATTTGCTTCCAGCAACCCATGTATTTATAGTATTGCCTGTTCTTTGCATGCCTCTCCCCAACCAAATTATTGTTTCTCGGAGGTAAGAATAAGATATAACGTCCGAAGGGTTTGACGGTCGCTGTTTTCAAGTGCGCCACATGATACACGTTGATGACCCGAGCATGCAATCTTGTGCTAGAGTCGTCTGTGATTCACCCATTGTGATTCCTCATCGCTGTCAGCACACGCCGTTTGCATTTGATAAATCAAGTTCACAGCCAAGTTAATTTCGCATAGCCTAAATATTGTAGCTATTCCCCCTTCCTATTCGTCGTTCGAGTTCTAGCCATATTGTGCGCGGATCTCGACAAACTAGTTCAAGACTGAGAGTGAAATAAACAAAAAAATAGATAATCCCGTTTTAACTAACATTCACTTAGCGTTGAAGCCAGTGCTAAGAAATATCAGAAAGTTACCATTATCTGATAATTCAGGAAGACACCTGATTGAGTAATGGGCTTTGTCGACTTCTGGCGCTTTTGCTTTTGTGTCTTATTTCCAGCCTGGAAGTCCCGATTTTCCTGTAGAAGGATTGTGGTGATATGCAATGATAGCTGATAGCCCTTCAGAAGCTGATTAATAGCTATATTTGTGGGCTCCAGATGGCTTTCTGAGTATGTCTAAGCGACACATTGATTGATAAGGCTTGTGAATTCAATTCTTTTAGATTTGCTGGCATTCTGGGGCTCTAAGCGCTCTAACCATCTATAGGGATAGTTAACCCTAGCAGAAAATGAAGGCTTTGAGTTAACTATCCCAATAGACGCCCGTTCAAAAACGTCTTTTTATTTTCAATACTATTCTCTGGGCTTAATCTTTGTCTCCTGGGAGGTGTGAGGCTCTAAAATTGTCTACTGTGAAAGCATCTTGAGTAAAGAGCGATCTCGCGAGTCTAATTTAATGCATTTCGGCCTAGGGCTGCACCGATTTACTGGTACTCGATTATTTCCTGAATTCTCTTCTTTATCAAGGTATGTTTGCTCTTCAGCTTATAGTAAGGAATGACGATGTTGGCAATGAGGATGATGGCAATGAAAATAGGCCAGTCTTGGCCTGAGTGTAACGGCCCGGCGAAGAGATGGAATTTTACTCTAAGCGTGGTGTGTATCCGTGATATCCTCGAGTGAAGGCGTGTTGTGACTCCTGGTCCCATGGATCGGCTTCCTGACTATGGGAGTCATCACGGTTGGGAGAGGAATGGTAGGTTATCGTCCTTAATGTTGCAGCAGGTCAAAAATTTCAAACTAGAGCACATTTTGGTCATTGAACGTTTAACAGAGGGTGGGAACCAAGGAATCTAGCATTTTGTAGGGCGGATAGGTCGGTTGTAAATATCGAGACATGGAGCGGTAAATTACCGCATAGATGGGGTTATACTGAGTGATCCACTTTCCATTGTGTCTAGTATTATAGTAAATTAGTGTCCTTGGCACAATGGTTGTCATCACATCGCGTATCCAGGCGTGCTAAGGTTATTCGAATCCCTTTCGAAGCCATACACCTCAGTACTAATTCAAATGCGATCCATGCGCATCGCATTGAATCACTTCTTGTTTAAAATCAAGGCAGTCGAATCGGACCAGTGTTACTGTGGAGAAGGGTCTCAGACACCGAGACACATCTTAATGCAGTGCCCGTTGTACGCTGATCTGAGGAAGACCCTCCTTGACAAGATCCGGATGACCGATCTTAGGGATTCGACGGACTACGATGCAATTGTATCGCACTCGCAGGCCACCCGCTACGTGGCCGAATTTATGATCCAAACAGGCCTTCTGGGACAGTTCCGGCACGTCGAGATTGAACCAGAACCAACAGGCGACGAAACAACGAGCCAGGATAGACTGGCAGGCATAGGTGGTGAAGACGCTGGGTAGGAGGAACGCTAAACCCACGGCCACCGAGAGGTCGAGGAAGAATACATCCAACACGCCGACACACCAGTCGACAATAAACACCACTAATCGAGAACGAAGCAGGAGGGATACCAGGGATGGAGATACAGAGGAAGCAGCAGGCCAATGTGAGGGCGGACCGAAAGATATATTGTGGGATCGTGGGTAATACGGGCGTTTGGGTACTGTTTTGGGCTGAAATTTGGGCTGTTTTATTGGCGATACGCCGTTTTCCTATGTATTTACTGTTTCATGCGCACTGGCGTTCGGATCACTCTTGCTTCCGCCGGAGGAAGCGCCTGCATAGCCATTACGCCACTAGTTAGGCTGCAACAGGTTAATAGAGTGTTGATTGATTGATGATTGATTGATTGATTGATCGCGTATCCAGGTCATCTCTGGGATATTTCAATCAACCAACCTGTTGAATCCAAGATTGGCTCCACTTGACCTCATCCTCGACCGCATTAACCTAACAGAATTAATAACTCATACTGTCCCAGCTTTCTTAGACAATTCTTTTTCGTGACAACATCCCGGGGACTGACCTGACAAACTACTGACTTATGGTAAAGCTACCCGAGTAAATAGTACTAAGGGTCCGGATAAATCCCGAAGCCTACAGAGAGGAACTTGCTAAGCTAATCAAATTACATGTTCTATTTTGCTTGTGAATATAAATAAAATTTCATACTAATCATGTTCGGTCATTAATTTAGTGGCCGACGAACTTAGCGATCACAGTACTCCAACTTGGTGTGATTCGGTTCGTGATCCTGCGTGCCAAGCATCTCCACTCTCTCTCTTAGTTATGAAAGTTCACCTGACATCTACATTTACCATGAATGTTCAACTATCATATTGATTCCATGCAAGTGCCGTGGTCTACGTCCCGACGGATAGGACTGGGGCCGTTTGCGGATAATAACCGGGGATCAGCGGGGGAAGAATTAGGCCTTCTACCCTGATTTCATTCTTGGCACTCTTGGCATAGGAATCGCGCAAGCTAGGCTTATTGTAAAGGCAGTTTCTGTTAGTGCCTAGATGCGGATGGGCCAAACCTTACCTTGATCTCCGCCACTGAATCATATTGTGCCAGACACAATTAGATGTTTTGTTTATTGTATCCATGGGTCGGTTTTAAAGACAGGATAGGGAGGTCTGCTTGGTTCTGGCCTGCAACTCCAAGATCACAAGAGAATATATAAGTAAAAGTTACGGATCTGTCCGTTCTTATTCTCAGACGTAGAATGGTTTTGGTTCTGGCCAAGCGTTATAACCGAAGAAGAAGATGATGATGATGGTGATGTCAGTCACCCTGACCCATCATGAGTTGGTCCACCCAACTAGACCAAGATACGAGTCCGTGCCCAGTCTAGTTTGCTGTAGTTTATAATCCAACTTCAGGAACGATACAGGAAACCATGACTAGATTAATCTAGACAGATGATTTTTTACACAGCGATTCGAAAACAAATTTCCCTCATGAGCACTCCCGCATTGTTTCTCGAGTCTCATTAGAAACTACACTAAATCATATTTAGATTAGCAAAACAAGCTACCTGTGCCTAACTTCTTATAGATAACTAATAACTTACCAATGCTCATTTAAGATATAGCATCAGAAGTGGACGACCGCCGCAATTCTAGGGTGTGCCACATGCTGCACGTCGATCACCCGAACCCGCAATCTTGCGTTGTCCGTGGTTCACCTATCTGTGGTCCAGGATGCTGTCAAAGTCACACGCCGGTTGTATTTGATCAATCGGACTTACTGCCAATTTGGTGTCGCACAGCTCATATGGTGTAGTTGTTCCTTCATCCTGGTCGTCCACCGAGTTCCAGCTATATTGCGCGTATCTCGACGAATAGCTCTATGCTGAAAGGGAGTAAACAATAAAATTTTGAAACTAATGCTAGTGAAGATCAAAATATATCATTATTTGCATTCAGGAAGTTGAGTATAATAAACCACGCTCTAGAGGCGTCGGGCTTATAACTATCGGACTTTTATACGTAGTGCATAAAGTCCCTTTATACATAAGAAGCGCATATATACAGAAAGATAAGAAGATTTAACGTTATATATAGAGAGACGGTTATGAGTATAGAGGTCGTGCATACTTCTAGAGGAAGAAGAATAATAACCACGATTATGGAAGAGAAACACCGATCAAAAGAGAAGATCAAAAGGGATATTAAATTAATTTACTTTAACTAGGAAACATAATAGTATTTAAGAAGTATAGGAAACTGGGTGTAAAATACTGCACATATATTCCAACCTACCACATCTAATTAATTTGGACGCCAGCTCTGAAACACCCAACCTCCTTCCGCTGCCTTTACAAACCCAATACGCGGTCCTCGTTGACCATGCCTCTCCTCAAACATATCCTCTACCTCGTTCACAAGCCTTGCCTTGTTTACTTCAAACAGCGCCGCTACTAATGTAGGAATACTCAAACGCGCCTGTGCCTCTCCTGTATTGCCCCGAACAGATATCAGAGCTACGATGGCAAGTATAATACCCAGCAACACAAGCAGCAGATTGGTGGCAATCAGGGCAAACAGTGGCGCTTTAGGAACGCGCGCAACAAGAATCTGTTCTCGCACTTGGGACGCCAAAGCGGTGCGTGGCTCGAATGCCCCTGACGCAACTGCCAAGGCGGTTTGACTATATGCTAGTGCAAACTGATCTGCGATATCTTGTGCGGAGTTGCCCAGCCCTGCGACGCTAGCAGCCTGGATGAGGTTTGGGTCTCCGACGCCTGTGTGCCTCTGCGTGCCTTGCACGATGAGCGTTGTGGAACGGTTAGAGTTGCTAGACTTCCAGCTCTTGATGGTACCGTTGATGGAAGAGTATTCGACATCGTAGACGGTAGATGTGCAGCCCAGTGCGACGATAGTAGCACCACCGTGTCCGCCGGACAGAACCTCCGGGTCATTCTGCAGAGCTATCGGGCGTGCATTGCGCATATTCGCTAGAATCACGGCGGAATAATAATAGGGGTTGCCGATCAAGGTTTCGTCAGTGTTATTGTCAAATCCAGTTGAATCTGTGAAGTAGGCCATGGTGACGGAGTTGGATGCGCCTACGGCTGTGTTGACGGCGCCTTGGAACGCAAAAGGGCAGCTGAAAGTTGTGCGAACCCCGGAAACATCATTAGAGTTCATACACTGGGAGGTAATGGGAGAGCATTGCGAATGTATAGCATATGTTGAGACGGTGTAGTCGAGAAGCGATAGGCGAGATATTTCCGGGTTCGCGACGTATGCGTACTGATCTTGGCCCACCGAGAAAATTGGGATTGTCATTGTATCTGAAATGTTGGAGAGAACTCTCATCGGGTCGGGATGAAGTAGGACATCGCCCGAGGCAGGGTTATTGAGGTTGCAGCTGAGGAGACTGCTGTCTACGTTCGTGCAATTCTGGTATACGCCGAATCCAAGACCAGAGGCGTCGGGGTTTACGTCCGGTTGGATGAAGTTAACGGTTTTCGTAGTGAAGTGTAGCCAGGTGTCGGTGACTATGACAAGAGTGCTATTTCATTGTTAACTTAGCAACTCGGTAGAATTTCCAGATACTTAAAATGACACACCTTAAGAGAATGCCGAGGGACAATACGGTCGTTAGACTCTTTATCGCTCGAACCTGGTGCTCGCGCTTTCCTCTCCAGCCATAGGAATACATGAACCAGCTCCAAAGGGCAGAGAATGAGCCGCTCGAAATCATGCGAACAATCAACGAGAGCTGAAAAGGCGTTGGTAGCTGCGCAACCTCGTGATTTTCCGAGGCCGTCAGCAGACCCTTCGCGACAGGGTAGGACACCAGAGCGCAACCAAAGCCAACTAATATTGGGGCGATTGTGCTAGACCACGAGGCAACGGTGGTGAGTGTGGTTGCACTTATTCGAACAAAATAGACGCTTGAATCATCCTGGTCAGAGTCAAATGCTAGATCATTGGAGGTAAAGTCGTTTTGTTTGATGCGATAATGAAAGACCAATCCGAGCAGAATGCCGGAGAAGATTAACAATGGTAATGTCATAACAGCGAATGCAATAATAATCTCCTGGATGCGTCCCTGCATCCGCTTCGCCTCTCTATCGGTAGGCAGAGGCACAGTTGAGTATACATTTCTTTTGTCCATGTCTTCAGAGATGGCCATCTTGGTATGGGTAGGAAGTGGGGAGTCTGATTGATTATCACAGTTCAAAACACCATTTCATGGCAATTACGACTATTTGTATAAAGTGACTGGCGGGAGCACAGCTTAGGAATACGAGGCGCTCGCCAAATTTTGTCTTAACATTAAACGCCACCCTAACGCCACCAGAGCCTAGCCCATAGAACTCTCACGTCTAGAGACTCGACAAGAATTGGCACTAAAGGACCCTGCAGATCATGAGATGTCCTGGCTGCGTGACTATGACTGGCGGCGAATTATGCAGGAAAGCCCGTCAACCCGAATCTATCGCACAGGTCAATGTCACAATTTATTTGGAGGTAGGATATAAGCCATAGCACTCGATTACCCGTCGAGTTAATTCTCACACTAATCATAGAATAATAGGAAATTCTAAAAAGGTTCAAACCCCGTACTGTGTATCCTGTTAGTCCAGGGAAAACCTACGGCTCTTGCTTACACTTAGGAAAAGGTTTCTTTTGGTTTGAGGTGTTGTGGTTACTAGGGGCGGATAAGCGATTGGCTCTACACTCTGACAGGTCGGCAAAATCTACTTAGTAACGTAACTCCCGGCCAAGCTGTCCGACCTATAATCTAGTCGAGCATCACCGTTGCTGCCACAGCCTCGATAGGAAGAGCACGGATCCATTCGATCTGATACTCATCCTTGGATGGGTGAAACATGATTCGTCATAACTCGGGAAAAGAGAAAGCATAGAAGACATAGGTGTAAGATTCAATTGTCCATAAGGCATCTAAGGCGCTGAACCAAACCAGAGGAGATGTGGTTTACAGCCCGATTGTGGGGGCTGAGTGTGAACCCTTGCCCCGCAGTTCGCACACATCGGCGGGCGATGACGGCCACTTCTACCGCCCTATATACTGCTTATGTTCCAAAAATTTCTAGTAGCTATATTAGGTACGCTTGCATAATTGGGAGAAATACTGCCCTTATCAGGAAATAAAGGCTTATTTGAACCAAGAACCCTCCATCTCCTTCGAGGGGAAAATGCTTCTGCTCACGACGGATCGAGCGACTTCATCAACGGGCTCTCATATTTAATAATGATTACTTGTTGTTTGACGAGTGTAAGAGTACAATGATCGATTTACTAAAGTAGCAGTATTTACATCAAGAATACGTCCTCAGTTGAATCCTGGAAACGATGCAGTGATCTGTACAGATCCACTTAGCAGCTCCGATGCTTTGGTGACTGGGAACATAAGCTGCATACAACAGTAACACGAGACCTAGAATAGGACCATTGACGTATAGCTCTCTAGTGGGTTAGCTTTGAAATTGACTCATTGATTCTATTGTGCTAGTATAGAAATTTTTCCATCTAAGTAAACGTTTACAAAATCAATATAACCGCTTTGGGCACAGTGTGTACGCTTACCTAATCCCGGTCAGGCACCAATTACATCAGCCGTCAGCTGATCCAACCCCCCATCAGTTCTCCGCTTTTTGTGCCTGGCAGTCTTGAGATCTCGTGATAAGTGAGCTTTGGGCTCTGTTTCTCTGTGACTCCGCACTCTCTTCATTCTACTGCTGCGACTCAGAAGGCCATCCTCAGCGCCGGTCTCTGGACGATAGCTCTCATCTACGGATGAACAGCCCTGCTCCCGCCGGCGCTCCGAAGGGGCCACATTCCCATACCACCCACCCATGGATTCTAATTTGCACCCGCATACCGGGAGCCCCGACCCGGAGCTCCAGGCACACCTCCCTAGCATTCCAACCCACTCGCGCACGCCGGTCTGCCTGCGCTGCTGCTGCGGTCGCGAGGACTGCGCGCTGCTTGAGCATAATCAGGTTGCACTCGAGGGGCTGGAGAAGGACCTTGAAACAGCCGCTAGATTGGGCCAGGTACGTGATGATTTTTTTTTTGCTTTGTCTTGCTTCTGTGTGAGCCTTGGATTTCATGGAGAGGTGGATCACATCGTTCGTGACGCGATCGGGCGGGATGTTTTGTATGTGCCTGGGGCTGGCTGGCTGAGGAGTGCATTGTTTGATACATCATTTTTCATCATTCCTCAGCGATAAGCACGCGTAGTTGGCTTTAAGCTTTTGGGCTTTCTTTTCCTCTTCTCGATTTGATCCAACGATGGTCAACTACCTGTGATCGAATCTTGCTTGCTCTGCTCTGCCTTGGTCGATGGATACCCTCATACCGAGGTCTTCTGTCCTCTCACACTGTGTTGGCGTCCGTCATGGCCACTCTTGCTTCCTGCGATAACTCTGCACCGGCAGATACATCTAGTCCCAGCTCATCATCGCTGACATTTGCTCTACAGGCCCTCCTACATCGCCATGAAAGCTATATAGCCGAGGCGGAAGAGGACCGCCAACGGCTTGAAGAGAGCGTGGATGCGTTAGAGCGCGAAAAGTACCGAGTCCAAGCGGAGAATGCACGCATCGTTGAGGAGAACCGCGCCCTGCTCGAGCAACTCGAGGGTCTGAACAAGGCGGTCTTTGAGTCCGACGAGCATGTGCAATCACTCACTAGGACATTGGAGAGCACGCAAGCAGAACTGCGCCGCGTGACTGTCGCCGCAGCACGCGCTGCAGACCTTGAGGCACAACTTGTGCTGATGGAGACGGAACAGTCTAGACTAGAGGAACAGGTATCCGTGGTACAGGAGGATGAGAGATCTGCCGTGCAGCGCTGGAAGAATGCCGAGTCTACGCTGCGCGATCTTCATGACCAGGTTGAGCGGATTGAAGCTGAAGCGCGCGAGGAGCGCGAGCAACACCAAGAAATAATTCAGCGATTGGAACGAAAACGAGCCGTCGAGCGTGAATTGGATAATGCGGCCGGGCGTCTCAAGGGCGCGGCGGCTGCATCAGAACTTGGTCGCAACCCTGGTACGCATGTTGTCTCACGCTTTGTCAAGGATATCTTGCAAGACAATGCGAACCTGCAAGTTGGAATTATGGAGTTGCGCGAGATGCTGGAAAGCTCTAACCAGGAGGTGCAAAACCTGCGTGAACAAATCCACACTCACCAACCGCTGGTCGGCATTGGTGGCGATGAGCATGCCGAGCCTCTTCCGTCCACAACTCTTAGCGAAGAGCTTGAGTCGAAAGAACGTCGGGTCTCGCAGGAATTCCATATTCATCACCATTATCATACACCTACATCCTCGAAGAAAGACAAGGGACCACTCAACCGTCGCGTCAAGAAGCGAAGACCAGCCCTTGGAAGCCCTGCTCCTCTTCACTCCGCCATGGGCGCCCACTCACCTCGTCGCTCTATTCATCGCTCACAATCCTCCGGCTCGTCTATGAACACCATCCTCTCTCAAACATCCGTGTCGATCCCTCCCACATCCGCCCGCCGCTGGTCGCTGCAATCCCCAGCAGCTGACTCCTTAGCAAGCTCTCCGCGATCTGCCTTCCGCACATCCTCCATCTTCGACCGTGTAGACCGCGGATACGATTTCTCTCAACCTACCAGCCCAGATAGCACCGTCTTTTCCTCGCCAATAATTGGTGCACGGAATAGCAAGGGCTTCGATATGCCATTCCGCCCATTGGCAGCGCTTGATGATCTCGATACACCTGATGTTGATTCATCCGATTACTTCAAAGAAGACCACTACGAGCGGCCGGTGCCTTTGAATATGTACAGTGAAGGTCTTGCTACCCACCCATCCATCCCGGAAGAGTCGGAGCCATCTCCAACGAAACCCTATTGTGATTCCATATTACGCAGCCCTGCACCGCCCAGCGCCGAAGAATTATTTGCGATGCAATTCCCACCCTTGCGCAAATCGACCTCGCACGATAGCTTGCTCTCGGTGGCTGGAATGGACATCCACACGCCAACCACCCGTCACACCCGCATGGGTGACTGGCACCCGGGCATGCGTATTCCGCAGCGCATTGTCTCGCCTAGTCTCGAGCTGGTCTCGACACCACCCGTTCTCTCGGCGCCAATGATAACGGCAGACCGCGCCATAGCTCCTGGTCAATCATCACGATCCCTTCTCGCATCCGTCGCAGCAGGCAATAATCTCCCGTCTGAATCAGCATCCGTCGTCTCCGCAGATAGCAACAGCTCGATTTCCACTGCAACACACTTGACCCGAAAATCATCTACGCTCGGCCGACGTATGGGTGGCTGGGTGCTGGGCCGGTGGGGCATGGCGCCTATCTCAGACGACGCAGTTGAGTCCGACACCGAGGCTCCTGTCTCGAAACCAAAAGTTCAGCCTAAAGCTGTACCTGCAGAACCAATTCCTCCACAGATACGGTTTAGGTTCACAGGCGTTAATCAGAAGGGTCCTATTCTGGGTCTACGTCCTCCGCCACAGGCGCCAATCAATATTCGGCCGCAGAACATCGACGAAGAACTTTTGAGGGAAAGTCTTGCTGAGGGGGGCGAATAGTTTCTATTACCTCTCAGTTTGACTTTTAATTGTCCCCCTCCATTCCCTTCACTACATCATAATCATATGGCTGGCTACTAACCCAGCCATATCCCTAATTACATATAACTTCCTGCTCATTCCTTTTCTTTCGCTACAGTCTCTATACATACTCAACTTGCATTGCAATCGGATTTCATTTGGTTCTTACTTTGGTTTTTGCATTGATCGGTCGTTGCTATATCTGGGGTTTTGCGTTTTTGGTTTTGGTTTAGTTGGTTCCATTCTGGTTCTGGTTCCATCTGAGCTTGTACTCCTGGCTGGACTGGATGGATGGTGCTGGTTGTCGCTCGTGATACCCTGACGAAGACGTTCTTTCGAATTTCCTTTTGTCTAGCTTATGATTTACACGTTTATGAGAAGGCAGTCGCATGAATCTTATGTTCCTGATATCTAGAGCTTTATATTAAGCGGCTTCTTGACCCGAAGATTGCGTTGGTACTTTATGATTGCTGTGGCGATTACCTGCAGTCATGCCTGTGTAAAGATCTTACTACATGCTACTCTCTTCCAAGTATCTTTCAAAGGGCATCAATGTTCGTTCATTGCAGGTGCAAACAAGAAAATCAACCTTGTTTCCCAAATCAGCACTAAATCCCGCCATACCATTGGATGGTGGTGATTATCAGGTGATACGCAAATGTGTATAGCTCAGCCGCAACTTGGCCCCCTCCTGCTCCATGACATCTCCTGAACCCCCCACTAAAACGCTGTGATGGCGAGAGTCCCCGACCTTGTCCGAGATTCTGAACTTGAAACCGATTTTCTTCCCGACTATAGCGTTGAGACAGTTCACACGTTCCTAGAACCCGACCCACTCTCTCGTCGACGCCTTGTTCCGAGACGGGAGCATTGGAAACGTGAAAGACGTATTGGAAGCGGCGGCTTTGGGACTATATGGCTAGAAAGGTGCATCCATGGACAAGGTAATGACCGATATATGGAAGAGAGCAAAGCCCAACCTACAGTATTCCGGGCTGTCAACCAGATTTACCTGGATTCACGGCTTGGACCGATTGACTACAATCGAGAGTTGGAGGCGATTGCAAAATTCTCATACTTGCGAGTGAGTTTCTACTAGTCCTGAAAGTCTGCTTGATTACGGTGAATATATCGTCATTGACCTGAGTAGTATGAACGATGTTTTGTCAAGTCTTTTGAATGGTACAGGGGAGACGAGCAGCTTTTTATAGCGATGGAATATCTTGAAGCCGGCAACCTGGCAACATATTTGCATGGTACGCCGCCTTTATCAGAGACCGATGCCAAAGAAGTTTCATATCAGATCCTCGATGGTCTATGTATGATGCATGAAAACGGCTTTGCCCACCGAGATTTGAAACCACACGTAATTTCGCCGTTTTTCTCGATGCGAATAAAAATGCAAAGAGAAGAGAGTAACTGACACCGGCCTGCCTGCCTACCTACCTAGAACATCCTTATCAAATCACATCCCCCAAATGGCGAGTGGTGGATGAAGCTTGCGGATTTCGGTATAACCAAACGCATCGAAGAAGGACTTGGGCAATATTCGACTGCTAAAGGCACACGGAGATATATTGCACCCGAAGTCTGGGGATTTGTGGAACAAGGCAGCCCTTATGCAGCTGATATACGGGCACTTGGTGAGACCGTTTTTGAGATTCTCGCGAAAAAGCCCTCTTTCCGACCAAGATCACTTGCTCTTCATAAAAGCGAGCAAGATTTCCCAGCGACAGAGCTCCATAATACTGGAGTTAGTCAGCTTGGTGTCGGCTTTGTGAAGTCTCTTATGCAACCTTATCCCAATGATCGATCAACGGCAAAGGCTGCTTTGGCAGATCCGTGGATAGCGACAGTGCCGATAGAACCGATCCAGAAACTCCAAATTGCGCAAAATACTTGAGAAATTGGCCGAGATCCGTCTCCAGAAGCGAGTCTCACTGAAGAATATACTCCATGGACAACACAAATTCAGCCACAGGGTCTGAAAGAACCTACACCAGAACCCCAGAACACGGTCATGCCTTCATCTGAGCAAAGAATTGAGCATGAAATTCAAAAATCTGGGACAACCAGACGGGGACCCATTGACATTAAATCGTGAGTTAAAATATTTCAATCTAGAGATCTCATATCTTGCGATACTCAGTAACTCACATCATTCCGCGAAAAAAAAAGCGAGGCCGAGTTTCAAGCACACGCATACTCCGGTCTAGTCATTTATTTCTATTTGAAAGGGAAAAGAAATGCAAAGGAGCACGCAAAAGTTCAGGCATTTACCGATATGAACCCTGATATGCTACTTCTTAAAGTCGAATTAGATCCCCTGCCATACGGGGGTGGCCCGTTCCTACGGGTTGTTAGTAGAATGTGGGCCACATCTTCCCCCGCCTTCATTTTGATGAAAGATGGCAAGAAGTTATGGTGTGATACTAGTATCAAGGAAAGCCGGTGGATCGTCCCAGGCTAGCTTGAATTTCATCGCCTTGGAAAGATCTGTCTAAATGGTTGTCATCCTTGTAGAAGGTCTGCACATTCTTTCTCAGTTGATCTTCGACAATGCATGAAGGAGAATGTGTGCGCTTTAACTTTCTTCGTTTAAAATTTGACGTAGTCAAAATCATGGCATCGGCTTCAGGAGTATGAAGCGAGAATACGTATTGGATGCTGCTCGTTATAACATGTTCCTTCCGCGGTACTCTGGTACTTTATTAAGGTAACTAGTCAGGACCTATCATGAAACACTGTAAAGATATGATATACAATCCATTTCTAAAACGTGACTGCACATACTCAAAGTTTCATTAAGTCTCATGAATCAAATATGCCATCCCTTTTATTGAGCCTTCAAGATTCGATATGTCTTTATTGGGATACTCGTCGAGTGGAAGAAGCCATTTTGCTCTTCTGAGGTTGTAGACTCAAAGGGAAGAGCCTCGACTCTGAAGGCATTGTTTTCTATTCAAAATGTTAGATGCTGTATGGCAGGGCTCTCTGTCTATTTCACCTACCACACCCGTCAAGGAATGTCTGGAAGGTCTTCTCGTTGCGCAGAGTAGCCGAGATAATAAATTGCTCGACGTGATAATTCTCGAAGAGATCGCGAACGGTCGATAAAAGGAGAGGAATAATGTCCGTATCGTAAATCTAGATGCGAAGATCCGTTAGCCCTGACAATAGCCTCCCCAGTTAGGTGGATATCAGTCTTTTCCATGTCCTGCAAGCATACCAGATCTGCACCCAGCGCAACATCAAACCTCAAATCTTCACCCTCCACAAAAGACTCCAACTCCTCCGTCTTCTCCAGCGGAGTACCCCAGTCCCACACAGCAGGATAGAATGGGAAAGGCCCCTCGCCTTGGTAATTGAATCGTACACACTCGCGCATATTCTCGATTAGAACAGGCTCACGATCACTAGAGACAACGCCCCTCACGCCGAGATGGCGTGCGCAAAACAGGGACAAGAAACCTGTTCCCGCACCGAGCTCAATCACCCGTTTCCCACGTACAAGCGATTCGCCTGCAGGTGAAGCGAGGAATGAGCCGAGATGCAGCGCGGCTTCCCAGGTGCGATTGCCAGTCGTACCGCCGGAGAGGATAAGACCACGCGATTCGATCGTGGTCACCTCCCGATCACTGGTAGGAGGGGACTGCAGAGGGGCAGTGTATTTGACGTGGGATAGTTGTTGGGCCAGCTCCAAGGCGCTAGGCTTTGGTTGGGCCACAAGCACGCCCAGGGCGTCCATTAGATTGTCATTTAGTTCCTGTGTCGGATTAGCAAGGTTGGTAAGAAGGAATGGGCAGATATTGGATGTAGGATTCAGATAGAAGATGCAGAATACTGGTAGCAGAGAATGTGCACGACTGATAAAAAACATACATCTTCTTCAGGATCTTTGATTGCTTCTTCAATTCGCGCGACTATAAGCTTGAGCACTCGTGTTCGATATGCAGCTGGCGGGAGTGGGGTGAGAGATTCGTCGAACATGCGCTCATGTAGAGCTTCTTGCACAACAGGGCGTAGTAGAACATCTCCTGGCGGCAGATCCAGTTGTGGCGGATCAAAAAACTGGAAATATTGGGCTACAAGTTTCCGCACCTCGTCTGCCATGGTGTTATAGTTGAATTGAAGTCGACTTCACAAATTGATATTTGGTAGCTCTAGTTAAATCTCGGGTGGTGCTTATCGATAAGCTGATAAGCCGATAACATCTGACTCAGCAGTCACGGTACTGCTGACCTCAGCAACCACTTCCCGACTTGGTTAGCGCCAATTCTTAGCCGAGCACACCGCACGAAAATTGAAAGTCGTCGAACATCCGCTCCTCTCCCTGCATCACCACGACACCACCAAAATGGCCGACACCCCCGTTACCCTCCGGACTCGCAAGTTCATCCGCAACCCTCTGCTTGCCCGCAAGCAGATGGTCGTGTAAGCCTTCCCTTTTCTTGCTCCCCGTTGCCCCGACCAAAAGAGGTGGAAATTTCGACGTCGCGAAGGATTCGATTCGGGAGATGCCAAAGTCAATCAAGACCGCGCACAACGGTCTCTGTTATCTCTGAAATGCACTTGCGACATCCTCTCCAACGAAGACGATAAAATGATGTACAAAAAGAATGCGCAAAGTTGAATCCTTCCGACGTCGAAATTGGACACCACATATTTCACACACAAAATTACCTACAAGGAACCAACCCACTGACATGTTCTTTTTCTTCGTTCCCAGTGACGTCCTGCACCCCAACCGCCCCAACGTCTCCAAGGATGAGCTCCGCGAGAAGTTGGCCGACCTGTACAAGTCCAACAAGGACCAGGTCTCCGTCTTCGGTTTCCGCACCCAGTACGGTGGTGGCAAGTCCACCGGCTTCGCTCTGGTCTACGACTCCGCCGAGGCCCTGAAGAAGTTCGAGCCCGCCTACCGTCTGGTCCGCATTGGTGCCGCCACCAAGGTCGAGAAGCCCTCCCGCCAGCAGCGTACGTTTCCACCCTTTGTAGAAGATTTTCCCCTCTCCCCCATTTTACCACGCCCCCCGTGACACCGACGGGGTAGAGCCTCCTTTCTCGCGAAAGGAGCGCTCAGGCACTTGGATCCTCTATATTGATCCCATGAAACTGACCCTGTCCCCACAGGCAAGCAACGCAAGAACCGCTCCAAGAAGTTCCGCGGTACCGCCAAGACCAAGGGCCCCAAGAAGAACAAGGACTAAGCGTCTCGCTCTCCATGAATTATGGTTGGATGCAACGTTTAGTGGCCTGGTGGTTGCGGCCTGTTCTCGATTATTATGCATTTACGTGTATTGGGAACAGGTTGTGGTGCAGTGTATGAGAGAAATGGAAGGAGGAATAGGATTATACCTGCTAGCATGGATGCTATCCTTCCAAAAATCAAAAAATGATACCACCATATTGGTTTCCTCTTCCTTGGTGTATGTGAACGACTTTTTCCCCCCGTTGGCTGGGTATCTTCTATGGTAGCCAGCAAACCTGATGATCTCACTCAAAAGGCGTCAGTGCTGTCTCTTCTCATGTGGTATGATTCCATTCTCGAATTTAAAACCAGCGAGGAACACGGGCTTCGGCTGTTGCCCCGGAATGAAATTACAATGTCTTTAATTTCTGTTCATCGCTTAGCTCGATGGGGCTGCTTCCTAGTTGACAGTATGTGCTGTCTGTGTAGTACTTGCACCTCTGACCATCCCATACTCGCCTGCCGTAGTACTTGAGGCTATTGATCCCTCATGGAATCCGTTTTGATCTCCACTTGAGGCCCAAGCGTGCCCTAGGCCCCGCCATATCCGTAAATCCGGGGTTGATAATGAACTGTGTCCAAAAGAGGCTGACTTGTTCAAGTCTCTGAGACGTGAACATTTTCGTATCCAGTCTATAGCTGAAGTTCCCTCCTTGAGTCAGCTCGACGACTGCATTTAAACTGGGAATCTACTCGGTGGATGTTTCCTCCCTGCGGGCTTCGATTCTATATTTCTCTCAACTCAACCTCCGTACGTGTTGAGCTCCCTACACCTTCCCAATTTTATTACCTGAACAGGTCTTCGTCAAATCACCTGCCTTTTAAAAGTGTAAAAGGGCTCCCATACATAGAAGTTTAGGTTTCTGTCGATGAATATCAGGATACGTATACTGCTACCTATGGAAGTTCAGGCAATCACCAAGTAGGCCTCCCCGTTGAGTCCATTGGTCCATCGTTAAGGACGCCATTCACAATCTCAACGTCATTCGTATCACCCTTTCTGCAGAGGAGATAAGCTAGGTACATACTGCATCTAGTCATGACCTCTTTCCCACGCAGTCTCTCCCATATCCCCTGCACCAACTGGTCGAGACCTCGGCCACTCCTTAGTACTTAGCTTATGCAGGGCGCAATACTATCCCTATAAGGTTCAAACCTTTTCTTCAAGCTACACAAAGAATTGTCACACTGCATACCCCGGACCCTTTCCCCCAAAGTCAAAGTCCATGCCCACATGGAGATCAGAGTTTGCGAGTCGCTAGCTAGCATCGACATACTTTAGAATCACTTATCCAGTGCATAACTAACTTCATCTGAACGGTGGGCAATCTGTCTTTGATTTGGAAAGCGATAACCTAGAAAATAACCATTATTTAAGCATCCGTCACCAACATAAGGAAAAAGAATTCAAGATAGACAAGGCCAGGGTATCTCGAGTCATGCCTGCAAGGATCTTGCTCGGAGGATAACCATCCACAGAATTTCCGGACCTGCATCTGATTATCATTTGCCTCGGTATCTATCGTATTCTAGTGGCCTGAGTACCTATAGTCATTCGTCCTCTTTCCTTTCAAGGGACTCAACTGGGGAAGCCTGCTGTCAAACCACGACATGAGGCGGGGGTTGCGCAGCGCGAGGGATCCGGGGCAAGATTACACAAGCCGAAGTCATGGCGTCTTCTTCCCGTTCTATGATTGGTAATGCCTTATCTCCTGAACAAAATGGGAGTCAAGATATACTTTCCCAACATTTGCATTATTGTTCATGACATGCCTGGCTAAGGCTATATCACATGCACATGCACATTGCCACGTAGACATAAGCATAAATAAGCCAGCTTGTATACTTTCGGGGGATTCGGGATTCGGGCCGATTGTCAAACCTACAATAGACATCTAGTGCTAACGTCCGTGCCTAGTGTTAGTCAAGTTTTATGCCGTGGCATTTTGTACAGGTGCTTCGATCTTATGTGTATATCTCATGTAACCACACCCCCACTATCTACCGCGCCCCAGCGGCGATTTACCTCAGGGATAAATGCCGTACATGTGCTTGTCCGTTGTGTGTTACCTTTGTGTCCCGATCTAGGTAAAGAGTAAGAAAGTTAATCTATTAATCAACTTGTACGTGACTTAGCTAAACGACTTAGCTAAACTGTGTGGGTTGAGTAGGCTAGTACGTTGAGTGTGGTAGATGATGTACTTGCAATAGAGGTTAAAGGTTCAAAAGGAAGTAGAAAGATTGGAACAAGGTATTCGATAGAGGAAATCATGATTCAACAGCCAGTGTCTCTCCAGTGAGCAAGGGCTTGTAAGAAAAAGCAGATATAAAGCGACATCAAATTAAGTATTCATTATTGTCAACAGAGTCCACCGTGCAACATTCCAAGCATGCTGTCCATGGGGTACTAGGGGTAGGAAATCTCCCAACGGAGCAGGATAATGGCAAGTAGAAAATTGGGCACACATTAAAAGAGGGCCTTTCAACTTTGCATACATCCACAAGATACAGCGAACCGAACCAAACAGACGAATTACACGATATCAGGAGCCGAGAAAGGTAAATTGGAAGTGCGGGGAATCTTCTCCCTGAAATGATCCGCCATACACATGCAATGAAGACGATAAGAATAAAGCCAAAAAGAAAAAAGAAAAATAAAAGATCATTTCAAGAAGTCGTCGAATAAGATAAAATTGGGGATGGCAAAAAGCCAAATCTCAAGTCCCCAAGAACAAGAATGGTAAGAGATCACACAGCCAAAGCCCCAAAAAGGGTAAACAGAAAACCAACAAGCCAAAAAAAGAAAGAAAAAAAAACATAACAAGAAACCATAAACATAAAAATCCATAACCAAAAAATAAACCGCAATGTATACTTAATAAAGTTCATGCCCAGAACGAGAGAACACGGCCACAGCCTGTAGGGCCCTCGCATTCGTAGTGCTCACGGGGACCTGCCTGGAGGGTTATCGATCCGGGTTCCCCGCGATGGTTCAACAGGGGAAGTGAACCACCGATTCCGGTGTATTGCAGTGCTATCCCGGTCTGCAGAATGGCATTGTGTTTGTACCGATGGGGTTGAGAGGGTAGGCAACTGAACCCGACTGGGATGGAGTCGGACATGGGTATACCATACCAGATCCAAAAGAAGAAAAAAGAAAAATCATGACAGGGAAATATAACTCCAGACATCAAGATATAGAGCATCAGACGCAGCGATTATCAATAAGCGCCCTGATTCCCCAACGGCAAAACAGGCGCCCGATGCACCCCCTCCACAACCGGCCGATGATACTCGGGCAATTCATCATGAAGCATCCCAAAAGAAAGCGCCGGGTTGGGCATCTGCGAGTGTCGAACAGGGGTATACTCCAACCCCCATTCATCAACGTACTCGCACCAGCATTGCGACCGTCGCCGGTGCGCTTGCTCTTCTCACTGCTAGCATAGCTGTAGATATCCTGTGTGCAGTCGGTCGTTAGCTCGACGAGGCGCTGGGCGGTGGTTGTTCGGTCGTGGCCGTAGATACCGCGGGTTAGAGAGCGGCCTGTAGAAGTTGATACGGGGACTTGGGTTGTAGGGGTGTTTGATGAGAGTGTACGGGTTTCTGTTGTGTTGTCGTGGGCGTCGATGGCGTACGAGGCAGTCGTGGAAGTAGTTGAGGGTGGCGCCGTCCTTGGGGAGAGAGTTGATGACATGATTTCTTCGGTTGTGATGGGCATAGGCAAGCCTGAGAAGATTATCTCTGGGTTTGCAGTTGTTGGACATCTTGTTGTTGGTGGAGGGCTGTTGCTGAAGAGGATAGTGCTGGGGATGGAGTGGACTGGGCTGCGGGAGTCATGAGGCGGTCCACAGCGTGGGCTCCAGAATGCTGGTCTAGCTTCGATTGGAAGGGACAAGCTGGATGTTGTTTCTGTCGGCGAGAAGACTAGTCCTGATAATGCACTGGGAAGCTGTTGGCTGCGGCAGGTTGGCGTTGGAAGTGTTCGGTCCGGGCCTGGCAGATCGGCGGATGAGATATTCGCCATTGCGACTGTTGTCGACTGTTGGCCTTCTGTGGATGAGAGAGCTTGGCTGGGAAGCATGTAGGAGAAAGGGGATTGGGCTATGGAGTTGTTTGCCTCGGGATCAGGGTAGATGGTCCCGTTGCTGGGTTTACTCACGCCCAGCACGGAGTCCCAGATCTTAGGACTCCAGGGAGATCCTCCATAATCAAAGAGGGTTCCAGCTGGGGCGTTGGGGTGCATGTATGCCGGTGACTGGCTGTAGCTTGTGGACTGACCGGCCTCGTATGGCATTGACTCTACCGTCCCCGCTGCACGCTCGGGGAAGACCGATCCGTCTGTGGTGCCAAGGTCATAATCGGATGCTCGTTGGAAAGCAGCCATCCGGGCCTGGGGAGAGCTCATGGAGAGCAAGGTCGGCTTGCCTGCCGTGGTGGAAGTATACATGCCCAGTCGGGGAGAAGGCATCACCGCCGCTCCAGGATTAGGATAGGGCCAGCCGTTGGCTTGGGGTGTCAGCTTCAAGCTGGCGGAGGCGACCTAATCAAAGGTATGTCAGCCAACCGGATATACTATCTTTGAGGCTCTTTTCCTCCTATCCTGAATGGAATGACTTACTCGCAAAAACTGGCAGTCTGTATTGCCAGCATTGCGACAGTTAGAACAGCCCTGACCATCGCCAGAGTCTCCACTGCATTTGATCTTTCGTCGTCGGCATCGGCCACACTGTCATATAGTTAGACCAGATCGTGCTGAGTATAGAGGATTTCAAGGATTAGAAGCGCCTTACAGCCACTGGCACTCGACGACGCTGGGGATTGCGCATCTTGCTATCCATCTCCGCTGCCGGGCTAGGCTCGTGCTGATTCAAACTCCGCATCGAGCGGGACATGGCGAGCAAGCTATCATGCCGAGACTGCTCAAAAGTAGCAGTTTTGTCTGTGTAATAGGAGTCCATTTCTAGGAATGGTCAGTAGGGGGGTAGATACCAGACGAATGAAGTCATTTCCAGGTTTCTGGGAACTCACTGCTCGTCGTATAGAAGATTCAGAGCCAGAATTAACCGGAGCTAGTACACTGCAATCAACCAGTATAAATCAATCCAGCAGTAAATATCAACCTCCTTCAGCTCCTAGATGTGCATGACCGTATCTGATGGGAAGGCAAGAGACTTAAGAGAGAAGAAAGTTGAAGAGGTCCAAAGAGAAATGGTTCTTTAGGTGGGTGATTGAAGAGAGAAGAGGAGGGAGAGAACAGGGCCAGACAGGCTGGATTTAAGCCATGTTTCGGTGACAATCAAGATGGATAGCTGGCTCTTCTTTTCTGTTCGATGGACTGTTCTATTATTCTGGGGGGGAACATTTTTCATTTTCATTTTTCACTTCTACTACTAATTTACGATGCTATGGAGAGGTTTATCTCTAGGGAGGGGGGGGCCTGGTTCAGTGGGGACTTGTTTTGTTTTTTGCATTCGATTTCCGGTATAGCTTCTTCAGTTGCTATTGCCTTTCTTGGATATGATTATTTGCTATTATTTTACTTAAACTACGATGAGAGTCTACGAGGTTAAGATTTCAAGGGTGTGTAAGGGTATGAAGGAGGGGGCTAAGGCCCCGTACACCGTCAAGTCGATCAAAAGTACTTCACTGGCTGGGACTTTCCGGGGAATAGCGTCTTGTTAGAGGGGGCACCGTTTAAGTTTTTCTTTTTTTTTCTGTTTTCTTTGTTTCTTGACTCTCCTTTCTTTTTCATCTTTGCACTTTTAGTGATTGCTGTAACCAGGGGAAATGATATGCACATATCCGTATGCACTAGATTTCTTTCCCCGGTCTCTATATCTGGAGAGACGTGCAAGGCATGACTGCCCCGGCGTTTTAGTAGAAAAGACATGGTTCCACAAAGTAACGTCACACAAGAGATGACCTGATAGCCATGATGTGAACAAATTCAGCCAGAGAGGTAAGAGCCTGATGTCCGTAATAGCCAATCACGAGGTGGCGGTTGTTTCTCTCTTTCTCTAGCCATGTCTTGGGTGTAGTTTTAATCTTCGTCTTGGGCTTGATCGTAGACTTCCGTAAATGGGGGGCACAAATAATATGCCAAAGATACTATCCACCACTTCTCTCCCAATAAAGCGGTCTGTCAAGCTCCCCAGATACAAAGGTGGACCACTTCAGGACGTTTGCAGGAACATATTCCTTGAGCCGATCCGGGATTACTTCCGCTACGGCGATTGAGATGAATATTTTCCAGGAGCCAAGTTTGCTTCTCTATGGGTCCAGTCCAGACTCTGATTGGTGTGGCTGCTGCATCCACTTGACGCCATGTCCAGTTGTATTAAACAGGGCGTTTAAACAGTCTCAACTCGGGCCGAGACGTTGGGGGGGGGGGGGGGGGGGGGGGAGGCGAACTTTCTCGTGGAAGGTAAAGAAGGAATTCATAGAAGGCCTAGGCTTCGCCCATCTGGGGGTTGTCTCCAAAAAGGCCTTCCATCAAACAGTTTAAAAAAAAAGTGCGATATCGCGCTTGGGGCCTTCCGGGATTTGACTTCTTTTTTCGTCCAAATCTCCCTGTCTAAGGCCTGATTTATTTGTGCTGCAAGTCGCTTAACGTGTACCAGAGAAAAAGGAAAACCGAGCAATCTTTGACACCTGTCATTTGGATCGTCCCGGCGCAAGAAAGTAGATCTTCAGGTGGGCTTGGCATGCTCCGCAAATGGCGCTCTAGGAAAAAAAAGCAGAGCAGGCTGTCCCCAACAACAGGGATCACGTAAAGTTGCCATCTGATCGGCAGCATGGATGTGCAAGTGGATCCGTTCGTTTGGGCTCGAATTAGCGCGCCTGCGCGCCCCGCAGCTCGATGGAAGGGGCAGCCAGCCAAAAAAAGCAATGATAGCGAACCACAAATCGAGATTCTCTGGAAGCCAGTGGTAACTAGGTGGATCTGGATCACTGGTGGAGGAGGCTTCAAATGAATGAGATCCTATCATGTTTGAATCTTAAAAAGGGAAGTTCGGAGAAGGTTCGCCCCGAAGATGCATGAAGTTCCGGGAGAGGAACAAGCTTCCCCTTCAATAGACTATAGCCGGAGGGTACTTTTGCCCCAGATTGACGTGCCAAGACCGAATGCTGTCAAGTGATTGCCCTGGAGAATGAAATTTGGCCATTGACCTGGAAGAGGTGGACGATGTCTCGATCGTATTCAGCGATGTCGCGATCATCGTATCAATTTGCGTCTGCGAGTGACTCCCAGCATATGGACATGTGGTAAGAAAACATGAGACTCAGCCGCGTCCTTTTGAGTTGGTCTCAAATACACAGGGCCCGTGGGTGAATAATAGCGGATTAGGAAGGACCTTCTCAATGGCTGAGATCCATTCTTCCACGCAGCCTCAGGGTCGGACAATGCACGACATGGGTGGGGGGAGCCAAGAGTGTCTTGAGAAGAGTCAGGAGAGATCCCAGGATCCAGACTTCAATCCAGATTCTAGTCAACTGACTAACTCTCTCTCTCTTTCTCTGGTAGATGCACCAGGAACGCCCATTGGAATTAAGACCAGCCCTTCATCTTGCGCTATCAAGGGCAGTAGTTTTCTGTTGCAGTCCCCTGTTCGCCAGGGTCTTTAGCCGGCCAGGGCAACCTGGGGCGAAAAAAAGACTTGCACTCAACCAGCAAAGTCTTCATGTCTCGGTCTCTCTGTCTTCCCTTTGAAATCTCAACAGACAGCTGTCACGATGCTTCCGCTGGATCCTGCTGCAGGAGACCGACCGTTTTACCCCCACCGTTTCCTCGCTGCCGTGGAAGAGGTCACCGGAAACGCAGAGTTTGTAGACTGAAGGTCATTGCGCGGGAGGGCAACCCGTAGTCCTGTGTCCATGGCCGAGGATGGAGACATGGTGTCCTCCTGACTCAGTTCTGGGGAAGATACTGGCTGGAAGAGCGAAGAAGAGGCCAGACGGACTTGAATCAAACTGCCCCAGTTTCACCCCAGGTTGACCCCAGCCTCCGTCAGCAAGTCCGGGGGTGGCTCATGCCTTCGTATCTAGTTCTCTGCCCATTCCGTTGCCTCCCATAGTGACGTTGATATGCTGCACGTTGCTCTTTCGGCCGGGACCAGTGGCTGCGTCGAGCGCCATTCACGGACATCCGGTGAAAGAAGACAGGCAGACAAAAAGCTGCAACGACAGGGGGACTAATCAAGCCTGCTCCTGAATAAGGTGGCTCGCATTCTCCGCCAGTGCCCCAGTGGTGCGCCAATCCAACGGGGACCCTCGGAAGGATATGCCGTTCGATTGATAAGAAGCGTCGTACAGGAACCGGGTCGATCATCCGCGCCGGCGCTGGTTGATCGAAAACTCTCCCAGCGGTTGCTGTACAACTAGAACCGCAGGCTGATTTGCGTGGGATAAAAAAAGAAAATCAGAAAGAGAAAGAAAAGAGTCAACAGCATGAAAACCCCAAGAAGAAAAAACAGCAACGACAAGGCGAAGAGCTCAAAAAGGCTCACGAGCTGCACGAGGGTCAGTTCCCCAGACAAGCAGGCGGTGATTGGCCCAAGCTCCGTCGATCCTCCGAACGTCGACTTTTGCCTTTCAGCACTTCAGCATTTTCAGCCTGTTGACAAACTTGCGAAACCAGAGAGAGAGCCGCCCGGAAACTCTCTATGAGCGCGCTACTTGAAACCTCCCTGGGCGACATCGTGATCGACCTCCTGGTCGACGAGTCGCCCAAAGCCTGTGAAAAGTAAGCGCCCTCCCCCTGCCCTTCCCAATGCCGCATCGTGCTGAACCCGCCTACTAAGCTCTTCCCTGTTTCCCCTCATAGCTTCCTAAAGCTGTGCAAAATCAAGTACTACAATTTTGCGCCCGTGCACAGCGTCCAGAAGGACTTTAGCTTCCAAACCGGCGACCCGCTCGGCCCCGACGCGCCCGATAGCGATGGCGGTTCATCCATCTGGGGTGTCTTGGGTGGCCCCGCGAAGCGCACCTTTCCGATCGACCTGCCGCCGAAAATGAAGCATCTCGAACGCGGGACAGTTAGCATGGCTACGGTACCTGCGCCCAACGATCCAGACCAGCGGGTGGCCGGTAGCCAGTTTTTGATTACACTGGGAGAGAACTTGGATTATCTGGATGGCAAGGCGGCTATCTTTGGCAAAGTTGTTGAGGGATTCGACGTGCTGGAGAAAATTAATGAGTCGTTCATTGATGATCGAGGCCGGCCATTGAAGGATATTCGTATTCGCCATACCGTTGTCCTGGATGATCCATTCGATGACCCCGCTGGGCTGGTCGAGCCACCCGAGAGTCCTGTGCCGACGAAAGCGCAATTAGCAACCGTGCGAATCGCCGACGATGAGGATTTGGATGAAGAGATGGACGAAGCTGCCATGGAGAAGCTGCGTCGGGAGCGCGAAGCGCGTGCCCAGGCGCTGACTTTGGAGATGGTGGGCGATCTACCTTTTGCCGATGTCAAGCCTCCTGAGAATGTGCTTTTTGTCTGTAAATTGAATCCCGTGACACAAGGTAGGTTGATGTCAATCGATATGTCTGGTCGGACGGGAACTAATACAACTTGGATACAGATGAGGACCTTCAATTGATCTTTAGTCGCTTTGGAACCATTCTGTCGTGCGAAGTCATCCGAGACAAGCGTACGGGCGACAGCCTGCAGTATGCGTTTATCGAGTTCGAAAATCAAAAGGACTGCGAGCAGGCCTACTTCAAAATGCAGGGCGTGTTGATTGACGACCACCGCATCCACGTTGATTTCTCACAAAGTGTACGTATTATCCTGCTAGAGCCTGCCCTTGCCTACCATATCGTCTATATCCCAATCTCTTCTTACAGCTGGTCTGGTACCCAAAACTCTACTGACACGCAGTCTAGGTCTCCAAACTATCCGACACCTGGCGCAACGCAACAGTAACCAAGCGCCAACAACGCGGCGGCTTCGGCGGTGTCGCCGATCTCGAACAAAAGCGACAATACCGTGTATCCGACGACTCTCGCGCCGGGGACGGTGACAAAGCGTATAACATGGTCTTTGACCGGTCACGCAACGATCGACCGTCTGCTCCAGCTCCATCTGCCCCCCGCCGCGACGGCCGGTCCGATCGCAGCCCCCGACGAGATTCATATGGTGACCGTCGTAGCAGTCGCAGTCCTCGAGGCCGAGATTCACATCAGGAGCGGCACCGGCGGCGGGAATCTAGCAGGAGTCCTGGACGGCGGGATTATGAGCGGCGAGACCGAGACCGTGGGGATCGAGGACGGTATCGGGAGGACCGTAGAGACCGAGACGGAGACCGGGATCGGGCTCTCCGAGATGATCGGTATGAGCGGCGACGATGATGGGGCGTTCTGTGTATTAATATTGAAAATATCCAATATCCCAGTGTATCCAAAATATCCGAATGATTATACCATGCTCAATATCCCTGGAGTCTTCCATAAACAGGCACGATTTGCTGCAGACTCTGAGGTCGTACTTGGAGGCTCCACATCATCAACGACATTCATTGTACGTGGTTTGCGGAATATGTCTTCATGTTTTATCCTTTGTGTCTTTTTGACAAAACAATGCACCGAGCACTGCTGCTCTTATGATGCTAAGGACCATTGTTTCGCAGTCCAAGGTGATCTAGCCTCCGTACCTGAGAAGTATAGACCTGGCGCTGCAAGTTTTAGTATATGTAATTCCCGCATCCAACTAACTAAACCCTATTTAGTCAAAGATTACATCAAATACTATAGAAGTAGTTTGAATGCTATTGAACTCAGAAGTATGTTTTGTTTGTCGTGCCAGTAACCGACTGCTATATCTGAAGGTCTAGTAGTACATCCCCTGGATTGCAATGAAACTCTTGGGATCTCCACTGGCGGGGCACACTGCGCATTCGAGGACGTCGACTGGTCAGGTCTCACTCTGCGGGTACTGTAAACTAGTAATACCTTGGTCAGACTCTGTCCAGCTCTCCGTGGTTCCGAATTAATCGTCTAGCTTTGCGCTAAAAATACTCCTTACTAGTTCGCCTGTTGGCTGATGCTAGCGCATTCCACGTTTTACTACTGGGAGTGGCGTAGTTACGGTGTGGAAAATCACCTGAAAGCTTCAGCTTCACCCCGCGCTTCTTCATTTATTTACTTTTTCCCCTTCCCTTCTCCTCCCCTTATTCCCGCCCTCCTCGTCCATTCTCCCCTAACTTCCAATCTACCTATTTCCTCCATTCTTAATCTACCTCTTCACATCTCACAATGGCTGCGATCAAGGAAACCGTCTCCAACCTCATTGGCAAGATCACCGGCTCGGCCGAGGAAGCTCCCCGTGAGCCCTCCGCCGAGGAATTCCAGGCTCTGAAGAAGAAATACACCGACGCCAACCAAGGACAAGTCTTTGCTTTCGTCGACGAACTCCAGACCGCCGACAAGTCCCGACTATTCCACCAGCTCTCCACCTTCGACGTAACCCGCATCAACGAGCTGGCCGACAAGGCCCTCAACCCCCCCAAGACCGACGATGCCCCCGCCACCCTCGAGCCCCTGCCATCCTCGGCGACCGCCTCCATCATCGACTCCGACCCCACTGACCTCAAGTCCTGGTACGATGCCGGCTTGAAGCAGGTTGCCGAGAACAATGTGGCCGTGGTGCTGATGGCCGGTGGCCAGGGTACTCGTCTGGGTAGCTCTGCTCCCAAGGGTTGCTTCGATATCGGCCTGTTGAGCCAGAAGTCGCTCTTCCAGCTCCAGGCTGAGCGCATTGCTAAGCTGCAGGATCTGGCTAACAAGGCTCACGGTGTGCAGTCTGCTACCATCCCCTGGTATGTGATGACTAGCGGACCGACTCGTAAGCCTACCGAGGAGTTCTTTGCGGAGCACAAGTACTTTGGTCTGAGCAAGGAGAATGTTTTCATCTTTGAGCAGGGTGTTTTGCCTTGTATCTCGAATGATGGCAAGATTATTATGGAGAGCAAGAGCAAGGTAAGATTCAGTCTCGTGGAGTTTGGCGACTCCCTACTTCTTAAGCATTACTTTGCTCTAGACAACTTTCATCAGGATCATCCCACTGACACCTTTCTTCGCATCGTCTAGGTTGCCGTGGCTCCCGATGGAAACGGTGGCATCTACCAGGCCATCGTCACCTCCGGCGTGCGTGAGGACATGCGCAAGCGCGGCATCAAGCACATCCACGCCTACTGCGTTGACAACTGCCTCGTCAAGGTCGCCGACCCCGTCTTCATCGGTTTCTCCGCCTCCAAGAACGTCGACATCGCCACCAAGGTCGTGCGTAAGCGTGACGCCGCCGAGTCCGTCGGTCTGATTGTCCAAAAGAACGGCAAGCCCGACGTTGTCGAGTACTCCGAGATTGACCAGGCCACCGCCGAGGCCCAGGATCCCCAAGATTCCAAGCTGCTCAAGTTCCGCGCTGCCAACATTGTCAACCACTACTACTCATTCAACTTCTTCGAGTCGATCGAGACCTGGATGCACAAGCTGCCGCACCACGTTGCGCGCAAGAAGATCCCCTACGTCAACCCCGAGAACGGCGAGGCCGTCAAGCCTACCAGTCCCAACGGTGTTAAGCTGGAGCAGTTCGTCTTCGATGTCTTCCCTATGACACCGTTGGAGAAGTTTGCCTCCATCGAGGTGCGCCGTGAGGACGAGTTCTCGCCTCTGAAGAATGCTGCCGGCACTGGCCAGGATGATCCCGATACCAGCCGTGCCGATATCATGAAGCAGGGCCAGCGCTGGATCGAAGCCGCAGGCGGCATTGTGATCACCGAGGAGGATAAGTTTGGCGTTGAGGTTTCTCCTCTGATCAGCTACGTAAGTGATTCCCTCGAAGTAACTCAGCCTGACTGAACTGAGGTGTATGGATACTAACCTGCGATATGTTTTAGGGCGGCGAGAACCTGGAGTTCCTCAAGGGCCGTGAGATCAAGGCCCCTGCTCTCCTGGAGAAGGAGGAGTAAATTGTTAAAAAACAAGTCATCATAATTTAGAGCAAAAATTATTTGTTGGAGGACAAGCTCGACGCTCGAAGCTCGGCTTGTAGTATGGCTATATCTGCCCCCGAATCTTGGCACGAAGAAATGAATTGCATGATTGCTTTCTCTCTATGACTCTTGATCGAGTTTACCAGTAACCTGATTCGGAGTGTAGTCTCCGGTTTACCTAGTTTCTAGTAGCTATGTCCTTGTAAATATCTCGATTTGATGTTGATCGACAGGGAATGAGCTGCGGGTTGCATCGGCCATAATTGGGCCCGTCGGAGAGCGGGAAGTAAGAATGTAGGGGTGCAGCAAAACGAACAGAATACTAGACTATCTTGTACATTACTTCGTGTATTATTATGTATGGTACTGCATTATACCTCTATAATTGCAGTAGCAGCGGTACAGAGTATTATATTAGTATTAAACTGAGTATGTTGAATACTCAGGAATCGAGTGCACATACTTTGGTCATAACGGAACATCCCCCTCCAACATGGCTGCATAATCATTCACCAACATTTCCCTTACATCCTATAATCAAATGACTTATCATTAAACCATTCTCATAATAAATTCATTTCAACACTCTTCATACAGTAGTATATTTCCCCCAATGGCAGCGCGGTGAATCAGCAACCTTACGCAATACGGAAAAGCCCGGGAGCTAAACTTTTGACGAGTTTGCAACCCACTTTCGATTCTTTCCCTTCCCCTCCATCTTGTTTTCTTTTGTGTCGAGTTACGGTGTTGTTACGTGAGGGTAAGTGCTTTGATTTGATTTCTTTCTATTACCTTTTGATTCTCGGTTCTTTGGCCAAGCCTGCAGCTGTGCCCACTTTGGTTTCGCTAGGGGAAGTTTTTTGGGCTGTGGTGGGCTGTCAAGAACGTGGTGCTTTTTTTACATCACCCTCGGGCCGTTTTTTTTTTCTTGGGTGCCTCAAGGGTCCTTTTCTTCCTGGTTCGAGAGTTGCTAACAAGGTTCTTTTGGTTACTGTCGTTTAGATTCGATTGATTGAGATTTGAAGAGTTTATTGGAAGGGTGAGTCGGAGAATCTTTTCGAGTGATCGCTGCGCGTTCCTTGGATGTTGCGGGCGCTGCGTCTTCCCCCGCGGATCGACGGTCTTCCCCTCCTCCTACTCGATTCCGCACCAAGACGCATGTACCGGACGCGACAAACGACAATGAATTGACTAGATGTTCTTCCGGATCGTCTTCGAGCTTGATATGCTAGCTATACGGTTGATTGCGTCTTGGGACTCGGTACTCGGAAATGGAGGGGGGGGGGGGGGCACACGATCAATGACGCGGGGTGTTTGAAGCTTTGAATTTGGGATTGGTCGACTGACAATCGGGTTAGAATATTGAAGATGATGTTGTCTCGTCGTGCGTGCTACAAGTGTGGCAACATTGGCCACTATGCTGGTTAGTTTGGGGATTCTTGCTTCGTGTCGACGTCTTGAACTGACGGAGCTCTCATATAGAGGTCTGCTCTTCCTCGGAGCGTCTCTGCTACAACTGTACGTGCACAGCCCTTCGCATTCCCTTTTCATCGCAGCTTCTGCTAGATCCGATGCTAATATTACACCCCGAATCATAGGCAAGCAGCCTGGTATGTCTCTCGTGTGACCGTCCCTCACCAGCAGCTCGTCTCATTCATTCGACACAGGCCACGAGTCTAGCGCCTGCCCTCGGCCCCGTACCACCGAGAGTAAGGACCGTCCACCTCCAATTACATGTTTGCGATACTGACCCGCCTCCAGCCAAGCAGTGCTACAACTGCCAGGGTCTCGGTCACGTCCAGGCTGACTGCCCCACCCTTCGCCTGAACGGTGGTGCCAACGGCCGCTGCTATAACTGCGGCCAGGCCGGTCACCTTGCCGTAAGACACCACACGCATAACCTACGATAAAAACATCCCAGCTAACCTCTCTGACCAGCGCAACTGCACCAACCCCGCTGCCCCCGGTGCTGGCCGTCCTACCGGCCCCCGTGGTGGTTTCCAGGGTGGTTTCCGCGGTGGCTTCCAGGGCTACCCTCGTGCCGCTACCTGCTACAAGTGCGGTGGCCCCAACCACTTTGCCCGTGACTGCCAGGCTCAGGCCATGAAGTGCTACGCCTGCGGTAAGCTCGGCCACATCTCTCGCGACTGCACTGCCCCCAACGGCGGCCCTCTCAGCTCCGCCGGCAAGGTCTGCTACAAGTGTGCCCAGGCTGGCCACATCTCCCGCGACTGCCCTACCAACGCCGAGGCTGCTTCTGCTCCTACCAACGCCGAGGTTACTTCTGTTGCTGCCGCCCCCGCTGCTCCCGCCGCCGCTGTTGCTGCTGTCGAGGCTAGCACCGAGGCTGCCCCCGTTGCGGCTGCGGCTCCTACTACCGCTGTCGCATAAGCAGACAAAACCTTTGCTTCATGTTCGACCTGATTCGAGATGGATAGTCTCGCTATTTTCTCTGTTTCTTCCTCAATTTTGTATTACGGTCGTTTTTTTTCTCTCTTTAAACTTTCCAAGGAGTCTCGGCACCATTTCTTCCTTTGCATATATTGAAACCAAACCATCCCCTGCTCCAATTCTATTCCAGCTCCAATATTCCCTCCCCAAACTCAACCCATTTTCAACCTTTTCACATGGGATCTTTTTTATTTCAAATCGGTATCGGTTCCCGGCTTTTTTATCCCTTTTGCGTTTTGATTTTGATATCATGTATACGATGATCAAACCGGAAAAGTGCTTTCTTTTCTTTCCCCTGTCTTTGATCCTGACGAACGAATCCCTTTTTCTCCCCCTACCCCCTACCTTCCCCTCCTAGCATGGATTCCCTGCCCCCTCTCTTTGAGGATTCTGACTTGGCTTTTGCTTGGTTCCATGTTAGCCAGGGGAAGCCCTCATGATTGGCGTCTTGTCTATTTGTTTCTCCCACGGATGAATGTTTCTCGATATGAGTGAAATCTTGAACTCTGATTGCGGTTTTCCCTTGTTGTGGGCCGAGGAGGAGGTTATAGAGACGAGAGATGCGCGGGTGGTGAGGACGATGGATCGATGTGCTGTGATGTGATGTGTGGTTGTGGTGGTGATGCTGTGCGTGTGCGTGTGTGCTGCAGGGAAGATATAAGAGAAGGTGAAAAGAGATTGGCTTCGATATGTTGGAATAGGGGCCTTTTAGAGGGAGTCCTCGGTGCTGAGACTGTGAAAACGCAATTCTTTTTTCAATTTCTTTTTCAAGGCTCGTAGACTGTGTCGTAGATTGTATACTGTGAGCTCGTGACTGGATTCTTCTTGGTGGTTGGGTCATGTGCTCGACTTGTGACTTTCGACTCACTTGACTTGGTCTCGTCGACACCTCACTTTCTCCATCCCATTCCATCTCGAATATATCCGGTCATCAATCAAAATGCCTGCTTCAGACCCTGGCGACGAATTCAACTATGATGTATGAATTTCTTTCCATGGTATCTTTTCGCGGAGGACTGATCCAGTTTTATATCGGTAGGATTTCATCGTGGACATCGACGGTATCCAAGCCCACGGTATCGGTGCAGCTGATATCACCAAACTGAAGGCCAATGGCTTCTACACTGTGGCGGTAAGACAAGCATAGCCATTGAAACGTTGCAATTGACATCAGAGCTGACATGACTCCTTCCAGTCCGTCCATGGTGCCACCCGCAGAACACTCTTGAAGATCAAGGGCTTCAGTGAGATCAAGGTTGAGAAAGTCAAGGAAGCTATTCAGAAGTGCCTGGTTTGTACCCTGTCTTCTTTTACCTTAAGCGAATCTCTAGCTGATTATTCGTTCTGTCTCCCCAGCCCTCCGCCTCTGGCTTCGTAACTGCAATGGAACTCCACCACCAACGCAAGAAAGTCGTCCGCATCTCAACGGGCAGCAAGCAATTCGACTCCATCCTAGGCGGGTAAGCCCAAACCCACAATCCCACCCTCACCACACCTCCTCCCTTCCTTCCCCTTCTCTCAACTAATCCATACACAGCGGCTTCCAAAGCATGTCCATAAGCGAAGTCTTCGGCGAATTCCGCTGCGGCAAAACCCAACTCTCCCACACAATGTCCGTAATCGCCCAACTCCCACGCTCCCACGGCGGCGCCGACGGGAAAGTAGCCTACATCGACACCGAGGGCACATTCCGGCCCGAACGCATTGCGCAAATTGCCGAACGCTTCGGGATGGATCCCGACGCTGCGCAGGAGAATATTGCGTATGCGCGTGCGCTCAATTCGGAGCATCAGTTGGAGTTGCTGAATACGTTGAGTCGCGAGTTTGCGGCGGGGCAGTATCGGTTGCTTGTTATTGATAGTATTATGAATTGTTTTCGGGTGGATTATTGTGGGCGGGGGGAGTTGGCGGAGAGACAGCAGAAGTTGGGGCAGTTTTTGATGAAGTTGGCGCATATGGCGGAAGGTGAGATTGATGCGTGGGTTTTGATTTGAGATTCTTGAATGGTTTTGTGTTTTTTGTTTGTTATTTGGTGATGGAGATTGTGCTGACTGGTTCTTGATGGTGGGTCATCTGCAGAGTTCAACGTCTGCGTCTTGATGGTAAGTCACTCTGCGAGCTGAGACGGGCATGGGGCGAGACTTCTAACCCTGGCTCTAGACCAATCAAGTCCAGAGCGATCCCGGTGCAAGTGCACTCTTTGCAGGTGCCGATGGCCGCAAGCCGGTTGGTGGGCATGTCCTCGCCCATGCTTCGACGACTCGGGTGCTTCTGCGCAAGGGCCGGGGTGATGAGCGAGTGGCAAAGATTCAGGACTCCCCTGGTATGTCACATTTGGAGGCAAACTCGGTGAAGGCTTGAACACTAATCTTCATAGATTGTCCCGAGCGTGAGGCGACTTATGTGATCACCAATGGCGGTATCAATGATCCTGACAAGGTGTGAGGGGGTTATGGAATTAGTATGGTGGCAGGTTTGAGGCGATTCAGGAGGAGCTGGGCCAACAAGGCAAATATAGGTTAATTACAAGATGCATAAATTAGCGTATATTCACCATCGGATTACAGAAATACCAACCCATTTATGCTTTATACACCCAATGCGGCAATACCGTTCCAACTTAGGGCTAATCTCATACAACAGCTTCCTACCGCCCGCCCCACCGCCCTGCCATAAACCAGGCAAAATCCCACGCTAAACGTAAAACTTCAAAAAAAGATCCAATCCAGAATCTACAACCCAACGGTCCCAACACCACCCTCAATCATGAAGGCCACCGTCGAAGTGGCGGGCTACACGACCCTCCCACTCCAACTCCCACCAACATCCACGTACCCAACACCAGCAACCCACTACCTCTACATCCGCCCCCACGAGCCACGCATTCCAGACCCAGACTCCACCCGCTCCCTCTTCATCGTCAACGCCCCAATCGACACAACAGAAGTCCACCTACGCAACCTCTTCAGTACCCAACTCTCCGCCGGCCGCGTCGAGCGCGTAACCTTCGAAGACGTCCCCGTGAAAAAGCCCGGCCTGGCAACAGCAACAGAACCCAACCTCTCGCACCGCTCCAACAAAAAACGCAAGCGCGTCACCGCAGATGACCTCCAAGGAACCCTAGACTCCATCCACGCCCCGTCAACCTGGGACCGCGCGCTCCAAAAATCCGGCGCCCACGCTATCATCGTCTTCGCCGACAAACCCAGCATGGAATCCAGCCTGAAAGCCGCCAGCAAGGCCGCCCGCAAGGGCACAACCCTCCTCTGGGGCGACGGCATCCCGACAGAGCGTGTCCCCGCACTAGGCGTACAGCGATACCTTTCCCACGAGAAGAGACGGTATCCCGAGCGGGGCGCGCTGCTGCGCACGGTCAACGACTTCATGACCGTCTTTGAGCAGGTATCCGAGGCGCGGAAGAAGGAGGAGTCTAGGAAGGCTGGGGAACCGGATGAGGATGGCTTCGTTACTGTTACGAATGGGCCGAAGTTGAATTCTGTGGCGCGGGAGGAGGAGATGAAGGAGCTTGTTGAGAAGCAGAAGAAGAAGGAGGAAGGGTTGGAGGACTTTTATCGGTTCCAGAGTCGTGAGAAGAGGAAGGAGAGGCAGCAGATGTTGCTTCGGCGGTTTGATGAGGATAAGCGCAAGTTGGAGGATATTAAGATGCGGAGGGGGAAGATTCGGGTAAGTCTTGCCTTTTGGATGTGGACATGGATTATGCTTTGGATATGATTGCTAACCCTCTTCTTGCGTCTGTTTTAGCCCGAATGAGGTGTATAGCATAAAAGCATGGCGTTTTGGGAGTTCCAGCCGGGCTGGACTGGGGACATTATTCTATCTTATCGAGTTCCTGGTACAGTGTAAGTTTTTATATATCTCATTCATTTATTTTTTTTCCAATTCTCTCTCTCTCTTTCTTTGTATTCTATTCATATCATTCATCTTTATCTCCTATGATGAGTCCGCTGGGGCCAGTGTAGCAAAACGCGCCTAGTCCGCTGTTTTGCAATGCCATCAAACACCAGCGTTACAAATAATCTTCTCACCCTCTGAAATGGAGATTGTCGAGTTTCGTGTGTATTCTTACGTTTGTTGGGCAGTTGCTGATTGTTGTATGGATTTATGTCTGACAGGGTTCTTTTGATTTATTGGATACCTTTGTAGCTACGAATATCGAATTTGAAAGTTGTTTAAGATGAAAATCAGGCTCATCCATGGCCCTGGATTGATAAGGATGGATGACGTAGTCTTATGTCTGTATTATCATTGGTTGTGAAAATTATTTCTTGTATTTATAGGATGCCTGGTGTTACCTATTAAACTCTTGTTTAGCCTGCTCTAGATCTGAGATAAGACCGCACACAACTTGGACGATACCAGGATATATAATCGGTAAAGACAGACTTAGGCGTAGTGTATAATCCCAATCCTACAAAATTGTCTCTATTTAGGTAGTCAATACCCGATACCTCCACTATCAAGCTTCTAGTCTCGGGCTAGGGAGGTTGATAGTTGACAATAGGAAGCGGGCGAGCATAGTAAGCCGCATATGGAAGGGACCTCAAATAAGGACCGTGAGGTATTGAATGGCCAACCAGTCCAATGAACGTAATTGAATGGATAGTGGAGCTAGCGAAATCAGCATCTGTATATTTCAAGCACAATAAGCCTCAAAATTAATCGAGATTGTAATATTTTCTTTGACGTGAATATTGAAATGCACATCATGTCCAACCCCGCACAGACCAAGGCTTGGCATGACATCCCACGTTCTCAGCTCACGTTGAGCTCTATCATTTTGTTACACAAGATTCTATTCTCGAATTAGCTAGAGTAACCTCGTACGAGGGACCTACCACTTCTTCCACGGGAACTTCCGTTTATCGAGTTGGGTGGTAACGTGGAAGCAACGTGGTCACAGGACCTCAGCTGCCCTCTTGGACGTGCTCAACAACTCATCAAAGCAACAACCCTGGCCATTTAAGACAACTCTTCACTTCACTGTTCCAATCAACTCCTACATCTCACTTTCTTTGTTTCCCTTTCCGTACTACAAAGCCCCCCGAATCCCCACTTCATACAACCCGCACAGTCCCGCCCATCATGGCCAACCCACCTTCAAACGGCGTCGACTCTGACGAAGACGTCGAGTTCGAGGATGTCCCTTTCCAGCCAGCTCAACCTCAACAACCGTCTACAAACGGCTCTTCAGACCTGCCATCTGAACATGCCGGCCCCGTCTCCACCAACATACCATGGGTTCCCTCACTTCGCGTCCCGCCTCAACGCGAGGCACCCTTTCCCTCGGGCTCAAATGCAGAGGTACAACTCCGCGGCCGTCTGAGTACCGCCATCGACCGAATCAATTTCCGCCAAATGAAAGCCCAAATGGGCATGGACACGTCAAATACCCAGCCCGGTTTTAGTCGATATACTTGCATCCAGCAATTGGCAGATGATATCGAGGGTACGGCCGATATGCTCTGGGAATCAGCAACACGTAAGTTCCCAATACATGAACATAGTTTTGCATCCATTTACTAACACCTTTCCACAGCCTCAATCCAAGTCGAAGGCCTGATCACTCTAGCCGGCATCCTAGAACGATCCCTGGGAACATACCCCTTCGACCCAGAGCCCACCCTAACAATCCTCAACAAACTAGATTACTTCTTCATCGCGCTCATGCAGGGCGAACACCCACTATCACACGTACGCCTCCCCGGCGCAAACCCCGACCGCCCATTCGTCACGCAGACGCAAAAAGTCCGAATTCGCAGCATCGCCGAGTCCACCCGCACCAATCTCTTTTCCATGATGCCCCAGTCTCAGGATGACGAGGATGAGGACGAGAATGGGGATGGGGAGTATGATGATTGGGAGGAGCCGGAGATGCCGCCGTGGATGATGCAGGCGACGCGTATTTATGAGCGTGTTTTGATGCTTCTCGGAGATTAGGGAGATCCGGATGAGGCTTGGAGTTGATTAGATAGGGATGGGCTTTGGTTTTTATGTGTGTGTATTTGGCGCTGGTATGGCGTTTAGGTAGTTGGAATTGTTTGAGATGATTTTGATTCTTGAGGGGGTTGTTTTTTTATGGAGGTATTCTAGTGGATGATTTATCCTACATTGAAACTGTATATGGGGAAGTGGTCTACCCAGGGCTGATAAAAGCCTTGTGGATATCATATTGTCACAAAACCCGAAAGAGTCAATGCTAGACTCATATCCATCGGATTTTCTATATACATTTTCTTCATGTCTGCCCTAATCTACTTGATATCCTCCACACAGACCAGTCCCACTCCACCGAGCCGCCTAAAAAATCAAACAAGACGCGAACCTTCTCGAAAACACACCAACCCCACCCACACGCAACCACCAAAAAAAGAAACGAGTGGAGGTGCCATTCCTCAGGTGTCCTTAAATAGGCAATCACTACCGTACAAATATAAATTTATACACATCACGTCCCAAGCACCCGGGTCCATGGACCCAAGAAAGAAAAAAAAGAGTAACCCACAATACACTACACTACACTACCTTGGTAACCCTCCGGTAGTACGTATGTAACAATTCAAAACCACACCCCGTACCCCGTTCCGTTCTGTCATGAGAGTCAGCCAGTGTGCGTTCCGTATATTAAATACGGCCCCCATACAGCCTCGTATCAAGAGAAGCGAGACCCGGGCATCTCTTTGGCTGCAAGAGTCGCGAACTAATGTGGATGCGAGCCCTGAAAGTGGAGCCGCTTGGGTCTTGGGGGCTGCTCAGCCTCGGGCCTGAGCCACGGCCTGGGCGAGAGGCGATTACTTGCATGTTAATACAGAGTACTGGGATTTGGGTTGGATGTTCGGAGGATTTTGATTCTTCATCGACAGAAGTATGTGAAGTTGGTGATTGCTGGGAGGGAGGGTAGATATGACTTTCTATGTGGTGTCCTCGGTAATTGAGCCCTAATTTATTGTTTGGTATGTTCTTCTCTTCCTTTTCCGATGGTTGGGTGGTTGAAGCTGTGTTCCATGGTTCGCGGGGGCAATTATTAATATGCCCTTGTTGGGAAGTGCGCGTTTTTACGCGAGTCGCGCGTTTCTTTACTTTGAAGTTATATGTGCTAGAGTATAGTAGATACTAGACTCGATAATCAATGTGCGAATCCCTAAATTTTAATTAAGAGTAGTGCCACGCACGGGGTCGTGTCTATATTGATGCTTATTTCAGTATTATAAGTAGGGAGGTTACCAACCCTATCACCAAATACAAGACCGCAATATTATCAAATCGGCATTACCTAGGCAATGCTATGCTGCAGGGGTCCCACCAACCTGCCGTCGCACAGAAATTAAGCGCGATCGCATAGTCTATCTCAACGATTGAAACACATGCAAGGATTCACTTATTAGAGATTAGACGGGGGGTTTCCTCGGGCATCAAATTCGCTGCCCTACGTCCTGGCCCTGCCCTGCCCTGCCCTCCCGCACCGGTCTCAGGATCAGCAATCCCTTACTCATACCGGGAAATTAAGGGTGTATTGTAGTCGTGTTACAAGTTCCAAGACCTTCCATGAAGATCTAATCTGGTTGGGACGAACAAAACAAAGAAAGATCAAGGGCCACAATGAACGCGTCGCGTCCCGTGGGTAGGCCGGGGAGGAAGAGAATGAGAGCTACACTAGTACTGCAGTATAACACTATGAGAAAGTACAGTATGCGCACGCGCTTGCGCCAAGTCTAGATTGACAGTGTCTTGAAAACTCTGCTATTGAGAATATAATAGAGAGATAGAAACCTCGAGAAGACACGATCGTACTCCTCCAGCATCAATAGTGGCAGGCGTACGACCGACGATAGATTATGTGTGTAAAGTATCCAATGTAAAGAATGGAAAAACAGATATTACCAGGACCCACCAACTCAAACCCAATGAGAGGGTCGCACAGACCAAGGAACTTGGGCCCGTGGGTTTGGTTCAGCTCGATGCTGTACGCGAGTGACGTATCGTTGTGGGATTGTCCTTGCTTTTCTGGACATGGATCTGAGAACCTTGCTTCGAGAAAGACAGATATGTACTTGTGTGATGGACTGTTATGCTAGTAATGTAGTTTTATCCTTTATCAAAAGTGTATAAACGATTGATATATCTTATATAGGTAATTCTGTGTTCATAGCAGAGTAGAACATTAGTAGCTTTAGATGGAAAAATAAATTGCCCTCCATTTCTCAATGCTAGAGTGGAAGCTGTAATCCGACATTGATCGATGATGCCCAATATAAGCCTAAAATACAAGGAATCAACTCTGCAAGACAATACAGGAAAGCGGTGAGAATGGCAATACAGCAGCCACAAAATAATTTACAATACCAGACCGTCAGCCATTTCCATGGTTCTGTGGCGTCCAGTGGAGCTTGTCCCGTTTGTTCGGGGGCTTTGCTCAGCTCAGATTCTTACCCGAGAGGCCGAGGGAATTGACATTTGATAGTCAGTAGAGTACTCGCTTGTGTAGAGGGCAGCTGAATGATCCACTTCAGCAGAAACAGTTGCAACTACAGCACTGTATGATATGCTCTAGATTGAAGCAGTCTAGCTGTATAACTGTATAGCTGTATAGTATCTGCAATGATAATCTCCATCGAGAATGCCCACGGGCAACAGCCTTTGTGTCAAAGTTGAATTTGGATTTGCTTTTGAATTGAAAGGGCGTTTTTGCGACAAGTCACATTGCAAGGTCGACGACAGTTCTTGATCCTTGCAGATTTCATGCATGGATTAGGATTAGGATTTGGGGTTTTGGTTTTGGTTTTTGTTTTTTAAACTGCTTTCCCCTGGCCCTGGGCCTGATGACTCGGTGTTCTCCCCCGCGTATGCGGAGTACACTTCGGTGATGATGAGCATATGAAGTCCTTCGTATAGAGAGGCCTATTGTAAGTTTGTAACTCTGGCCGAGATTTTCGGATGAGAGCGGAAGTGTATCCTGGGATCCGTGTGGTCAGCTGGTAGATTGGCCCAATCATAGGAGTAAAGCTAGAATACGGAGCATTATAGTATGTACTGTATGTACAAGAGTATAATCGGTGGTTATTAGACCCTAACCTATTGTATAGCTAGATCTGTTTATGTATGAGATCTTAGAACATGGTGAGACGGTCGCAGGTCCCCCGCATATCTGATATCACCGCGCTTTGACTTTGGGGCAAGGTCCGGGGTCTCGTACAGGAACCGCGCATGCGAGTCCAGAGAGTCGGGAATATGTATGGCATACGAGGAGTGAATGATTGGACTGGAGGATTAATAGTAGGAAAGTGAGGAGGCAATTATCCTAGACAAATAAATTATGCTAGACTTTGTTTCTCTTGATAGGTAACTGGATTATACTACTATTATTGTTCTTCTGTATACTACTAATTATTATTCTACACAGCTCAAATAATATACGGTATTATCTTTACCATACCATCATCACACCACGGACCATCCATTCTCAATACCAATACATACCATACCCCGTCTCGTCAGGTATCATACATTCAGCCTCTCCCAATCTCACGCATTTTTTCTCTCACTTCCCCTCTCTTTCCACCGGTTTTGGTCTCGTTTCGCTGGGTTTCGCCCTTTCCCAGGAAAAACCGGCGCAAGAGAACTTCTTCATCGCTTTCTTTTCCCCTCCTCCAACTTTCTTCCCCTCCCTCTTTCCTATTGTTTCCATCCCTCTGCTTCGTTCTGTCTTGCGCGCCGTTTCGGGAGTTGTGCTTTTTCCACGTCTTCTCTCGCAAGTCTTCTCTTCTCGTTTCGTTTTGAGCTTTCTCGAGGTCTTTCCAATATTCCCCTTGGTGAGTTTCGTTTCGTTGGTTTTTCTCTATGCGAAAAAAAAGCCTCTTTCATCATTCATCCCAAAATCCCCTCCCCTCCCCGCTACTACCCACGACTGCTCTACACGTTTTCCCCCATCTCTCTGGACTTTCGCTCTCAAGCGCATCGCGATCGTCAATGACCTGCGCTTGATATTCTCTCGGTCGGCTCTATCGTCGCGTGGGGGGCTGGACACCCGGACCAGCTTTTTCTCTTGCGGGAACCGCATCGCGCCGCCCGATTCCGCTGCTCTCGCCCGGTCGCTCACCGCCCGCCATCATTTCATCGCCGTCGCTATGGTCGCAATCACGATTACAGAGTTAAGTCGGTTGCACGGCCCTGAGTGGATGAGAGAGGCTATGTTGGTGGGGGGCGTTGTGGTGGATGGTCGCAATCGCCCCGGCGATGGAGAGACTGGACGGAAACGGCCGCATGCGGGTCCTAGCTGTACCATCACGACAAACGCTTTCTCATCTGCCTGGCGCATTCGAATCGGTTACCTGCGCTTCCTGGTCCGGCCTCTTGCGATGGTGCGCTGCCTGGAAGAAAAAAAAAACCTGGCCTTGGCGAATTCCGGTGCCTGCTCTGCGATCACAGCCTGGCGGAGCTTTGCTAGCTATTGCGATCACTACGGCCCTTCTGTCTTTTGCCCTCGATAGTCTCAACCCTACACACACACGCCTACCAACCCAACCCTTCTCTTTGTTTTTCCCTGCGAATTCACTGCGCCAAATTTATGCGCACGCATCTATCTCCTCACACGCACCCTTGCGCTTCTTTCTATCCTCTTTACCTCAACCCTTGCTCGTTCCACGCATTTTTCTTGTTTCTCCTACGTCCGCTCTACGAGTACTACGACATCAGACGAGACTGAACCCCCTTCTAACATTTTCTTGCTTCGGCAATTCCAGGAAGCCTAACGCCCATCTCTTAGTTCTTGGGTTTACGAAGTTGTGCTCGCTACATCTTACGGTCTCTCCTTAACGACTCCACGAAGTTTTTCAGGCCGTCTCATTATTCCTACCTCGATTTTCGGACACGTTTGATCTTTGCAAGCAACAATGTCTTTCCAGAACTTCGATTCCTTCCCCAACCAGGACGCCGCTGCCGCTGCTGGTGCCCCGGCTCAGGCCGACACCACCATGACCGGCCAGGCTGATCCCGCTGGTGCTCCCTTCCAGGGTCCCGCCGGTGATGCTGCTGCCGCTCCCGGTCCTCAGCAGGGTGCTGATGGCAAGACCACTCTCTGGTATGTTTTTCCTCGCCCTAGATCTCAGTTTCAGGCGATAAGACTCAAATCACTAACTTTCTGCTCCAGGATGGGTGAGCTTGAGCCCTGGATTGATGAGAACTTCATCCGCAACCTGTGGTTCCAGATGGGTGAGCAGGTCAACGTCAAGATGATCCGTGACAAGTTCTCTGGGTAAGACCTTTTCCATCTTTTGCTTTGAGAACTTCAAAAGATCCTAATGTTGGTAGTAGGAGCAACGCTGGATACTGCTTCGTGGACTTTGCTTCCCCCGCCGCTGCCGCCAAGGCCCTCTCCCTCAACGGCACTCCCATGCCCAACACCAACCGTGTCTTCAAGCTGAACTGGGCTACTGGTGGTGGCCTCGCTGACCGCAGGTGAGCAGTTACCCTTTACTCTGACATCCAATTTGGGGCTTTAGCTAACCTCTGTTTCAGCCGTGATGACCGTGGCCCCGAGTACTCCATCTTCGTTGGTGATCTCGGCCCCGAGGTTAACGAATACGTTCTCGTCTCCCTCTTCCAGAGCCGCTTCCCCTCTTGCAAGTCCGCCAAGATCATGACCGACCCCATCAGCGGCATGTCCCGTGGCTACGGTTTCGTTCGCTTCTCCGATGAGAACGACCAGCAGCGTGCTCTCACCGAGATGCAGGGTGTCTACTGCGGCAACCGCCCCATGCGCATCTCCACCGCTACCCCCAAGAACAAGGGTCCCGGTGTCGGTGCTGCCAACATGGGCGGCATGCCCGGCCCCGCCGGCATGTACCCTCCTATGGGCGGTCCCCCCATCGGCTTCTACGGCGCTCCCCAGCCCATGAACCAGTTCACCGACCCCAACAACACCACCGTCTTCGTCGGTGGCCTCTCTGGCTACGTTACCGAGGATGAGCTCCGCTCTTTCTTCCAGGGATTCGGAGAGATCACCTACGTCAAGATTCCCCCTGGAAAGGGCTGTGGTTTTGTCCAGTTCGTCCAGCGCCACGCTGCTGAGATGGCCATCAACCAGATGCAGGGCTACCCCATTGGTAACTCTCGTGTCCGTCTGAGCTGGGGCCGTTCCCAGAACAACTCCGGCCCTGCTGGCAGCCCCTACCGTCCGGCTCCCCCTCCCCCTCCCATGTACCCCTCCATGGGCATGCCCCCGGCTCACCAGTATGGCGGGTTTGCCCCAATGAAGGTTAGCAGTCACCCCGGCAGCCCGGCCCCCGAACACTCTTGAGTTATCAGGCTCGGTCGGCTGACTACTTCTCTTCTCTTCCAGTAAGCGCGTTCTTCTTTGATTGAAAGCACCAGCAGGAGTTGTTTTTGCATCATTCCAATGATGGGCCTCTTCTTTTTTGTTTCTCCATAACAAATTTGCTTCTTCCCTCTTCTCCCTCTCTCCTGGTTTTTACACCTTGCCCATGACGCTGCTATAGCTCTTGATGAGCATTTTCTCTCCTGTGCTACGCATATTTCGTTGAGCGCTTTTATCTTAGCAAGATCTGAGCCGTTTTCTTCGTGTTTCCCCCTTGCCCCTGTCGGATCCAACGATCTCCTTTTCCTTATGGTCTCTTTTATTTTTTTTTTCCCTTCTGTATCTCCAACCATTCCAACCCAAATTCGTACTTTCCCCCTTGTTATCCCCCACGCTCGATGCCCCCCCTCTCAAAGTTATTTTATGGTTATCCTGCTATCTCTTTTTCTTTCTCAATCCCCGCCCTGGGGTTCCCGTTCGCGTGTAACGAAAGTCCGTATTCTCCATGCGTTTCTTTTTACTCTATACTCCATGGGCAGGCCTTCTGCGAAAAGTTCCAAGATATTTCAGTCATTCGCAAGTCACTCTTCCACTCTTATTCTTTTCCTTTGTCTGTTTCTCTCTCTCTTGATCGAGCAGCCAAATTGAATTTATGTTTCTTGCTTCGAACGGCCCGCGCGTTCGGCTATTTCCTTTCCCTCTCTTTTTTTCTTGGATTGGACTTTTGGTTCTTCTCGTTAGACTGATTACCGACTTGTACAACACGTCTTGCTTCGTGTGTTTGCCGCTTGTTGGGATTTCTTTCTCTCATTGCAATACCTTTCCATGCGCTCCTTTTGGTTTATCGTGAATGCTTTAGCCTCTCTTTGACTCTTGATGCTGCCATCTTTCTTGTTTTGCACTTGGCTGTATGAGTTTTTGGCAGATATGACCGTCGTCGTCCCTTGTAGCTTAGAGAGTTTCTCATGTTCCTGATGCTTGATCTTAATCTTGGTTGTACGGCGTATACGCATGAGGATTTTTGCTTCCGAGCGGTTCTTTGGTTCAATGCGCTTGGCTTGGATGATTCCCCTTGTCGCTTTTATCTTCCTTTCTCGAGTTTCTTTGAGTGGTTGGAGAGGCATTGCAATGTGAATGTCTTTTGATCACATTGATCATGCTTTTTTGTCATGTAGGTTTATGGAAGATAGACAATATATGGATGATGTTGGTTAGAACTTGAAGCATGAGTGTTATTCTATACTGTGAATACTTGATGAGTAGACTAGGCCTGTTGTTGATGGTGCCTTCCTTTTTTGCTCCTTCCTCTTTCCCAACTTCCTGTTTACTTTCTCTTCATTTAGTAAACCTTTTCTCTGTTCCTTCCACTCCAAAAACCTCGCCATCTCTCTTACTCCATCTTTCCCGTCAAGCACCTTAACATCAACAACTTGAACAGAGCACACGACGCGTCCCCATCCATTCTACCGCCCATCACATCTCACCTTTATCCAACTACACGATCCACACACACAATGCGTTACGAGAACTGGGATGTCCTTCTCTTCCCAGATGGCACCAGAGTGCCCATCCAGGAGTTCAAAACACAATGCTTCGTTACCAGAGATACCGAATCCCCATATCTCCAGAACCCGACTATCCTCGGCCCAACCGCCTACCTTCGCGTCCAGGGCAACCATGGCCATATTCCCATCTTGACCTCTTTCATCCCGACGATGCCACGCGATAGTCGATTTCGCGTTTCGATTCACAGCTGGGAGCACCCCCGCCCCAGCAGGTTGATTGAGAGCTTGATGCAGCCGGATGATGTCTTGTTGTACGAGGCGCGTGTTTTTGTTGATGGAAACTGTGTTGCGTGAGTCTTGAGTCTTGAGGAGTGAAGCATCTACCTACGGATTGGGACTAATTGTTTTATAGGGCAGGTGTCTTTGGACAGAGAGCGGCGTGGCCCTATGTTATCGGTGAGTCCTGGATGTTCAACTTTGTTTCTCCCCTGGTTTGATGTTTGGACTGACGCTTCTCCTCTCTCTCAAGATATGAGCTCTGGTATTTATCAACCTCCCAACTGCACATGATGGTGTTGTTTTCTAACCTGACTAGATATCGATCGTGAGGGGAATCAAGACTCCCTGCGATTCCCTCCATTCCATGGCGAGATCCTGGAGCAGCGGCACTGGAACGCTTCTGATGAATTGGGCCGGATCAAGATTGTTCTTGCAGAGGGCTTCTCTCGTCCCAATCGCTCGCCCCCGTTTGAGAGAGTCAAAGATGTTATGTTCTTCTCTTTCCAGCATGCCCCTCAGCGTATGTATACCATGTGAAATTGAGTATGAGAAGAGCTTGGTGATGTACTAATTGTTATGAATAGACATTTTGGAGTTTTCCCAAATCGCATGGCCGAATCCTCAGATGTGGCCTCAAACTGCGTCTCGAACTGTGTACAAGGTCGACCAGAGTGCCGATCCGAGGGAGCAGGAGGATACTCATGCCCATTCACCTAGAAAACCTGAAACGCGCGTGCCCATGACCTCCATGGCGTCAATGGTGGCGAACAATCCATCCAGCAGCAGTCAAGCACCTATTGCATACAACAACGCTTGGGCTTCGGGTCGTGCCTTTCCACTTTCGACATCCCAGTTGTACCCATTCTCCTCGGCACAAACTCCCTCCCGAAATCCTCGTTGGCCTGGGTTCCCAGATCGTCAACACGCGTCATTCATCCAGCCCGTCAGGGACCCATTCGTTGATGATGTGGCCTGGCGGCACCGCGGTGCCCGGTCGTCCCGTGAGGATGTCCCAATGCCAGACTACAGCACCTCTTCCGGTAGCCGGGCAATCTCCAGCATGACTGGTATGAGCTTCGAGCATAGCAAGCACTCGAGCATGTCCGCTCCCATGGATGAGGAGCGCTACAATCTACTGATCGATGCTATGACCCCCACGAAGCTTCCCATGGGCACTCGCGCCCCTTCAAACACACCTTCGACTATGGCCGTCCTTCCGGTCAAAGCAGCGGCCACTCCCACAACTCAAGTTCGCAAAGCAAGTGGCAACAACCAAGGTTCCATGCGGACTTCACGTCTTCATGAACGTTCGCAGCCTAGTAGCCGTGACGTTTCTGGTTCTATCAGCATTCAAGAGAAGAGTACTGTTAGTCCCAATGTAAACGTGAAGAGTCGGAAGGAGGGCGAGAAGGAGAAGAAGGAGAACGAGACTGATCTGTAGTTTGAGAGGGGTTGGAAAGAGAAGAAGGAGGAGACATGTAATATTCTTATGGAGGACTCGGAGATACTCTTTTGTTGATATCTTTACATAGCACGCAATCCAGAGGACTGTTTCTACAACGCTTGATCATGTATGAAGAGCTTGACATTGGCATAATACCTATGAAAGACGTCCATTTCTGATACAAGTAGATGTCTCGTAGATGCCAGTACTGTTAATCATGTGTTTGCTTGATATCTAATATCAATGGCCACACCATAGTAGTATTGACCTCTTCTCCGTGTTTGTCCTCTATGGAAACTCCCTTCTCAATCTAGAAGGCACGCGTCCCCTCATCCCCCGTGATCGTGACTTCGTCGTTGTGTTATTTAATCACGTCTTTTTCCTTCTTTGTTTTCCTCTTTTTCTCTCCATCCACAGCCACTTCCAGTTCAACTTCCCATCCACATCCACAACCACCAAGACTCGTTCTCTACCTACACCCACTTGAAGTCCCCCTCAATCCTACTCTCTCCATTCATCTCTCCATTCAACAACACCTCCTCGCCTCGAGACATTGTCACCATGGCTCAGCAGGGTGCTGGTGATACCCCGAGCCTTCAAGCTCAAGACACCCCGATGACTGATCAGGGTGTTACCGGTACGTACCTCTTCTCTACGTGGCTTGGGAGGTTATACTGATGGATTGTGGTAGACTCGTCGACGTCGACTGTCTTCTCACCCCCGGAGACCTCCCTGTCAACTGCCCCGACTCCCATGGAGATCCCTACTTCTATGGAGGTCTCGTCGACTGAGGGCCCGTCCACTGGCATGTACCACTTGCGTGCGTTCCTGGAGACCATACTGATGGAGATTCCTTTGTGATAGGCTCGTCGACGTCGACTGTCGTTTCACCCCCGGAGACCTCGCTGACAACGGCTCCCATTCCCATGCAGGTCTCCTCCCACGAGGGCCCGTCCACGGGCACAGATTGCACTGTGGACATGATTATATCTGCTTCCCAGGCAGAGCGCGAGGCCAATGCGTTCTTGGAAGCCATGAGTGTGGTTCTGAGCCCGGGACTGAACGGTGGTTTGGTCCAGGGTCAGGGACAGGCCTCGCGTGCCCAGGAATTGCAGAAGGCTCCTGATAACCCCCAACTACCGAAACCGAACTCTGATCTGGCCCAGAGTCAGACTCCCTTGCCTACGCAGGCTTTGAAAAAGAACTCCCCCCATCCTCAGCTTCCGAACAAGGGACAGACCCCAGTCCGTGATACACCTATGGCTGATTCGTCCGTTCCGAGCCTGGGTCAAAAGACTGCCCAGGCTTCCATGCCTCAAAGCATGGAGCGAAAGAATACTCCAAATGGAAGGAACCAGGCTGAAACCTTGCGCATGACTGCTTTACTCCCCCAGACCTTCCAGACCCAGTTGGTCTTGCGTGGAGCCCCGCCTACACCTGTCCTGCCTCAACCGAGCTCTGGCATGGGTCCAATCGTTCCAGCATCCGGTGCTTGGAATGGGTTTGGGTCCACTTCATACGGTGCACCATCTAGACAAGCCTCATTTGGCGAGTCATTTGAAGAGGGTGAAATACGCCGTCCCCAGCCAAATTTAGCATCCGTTCCCCAATCTGTACCGGAGATGGACGATCAGCATGACGACGACGACGACCAGGTATGTTGCGCAATCATTTTTGTCAATCTGTATGTACTGACCATGTATCTCAAAGACCACCCTTGGATCCCTTGTGTTGGAGAAATTGTCGGATCATGAGGCCCTGTTTTACCTTGGTGCGTTATGTATTATGGCTCGTTTGGCTCCGCAGTTCTTGTTCAAGTACGGCGGGAGAAATGGCAAGCAGGTCGGCGCCCGCTTGGTCATGTACGGGCACACCATCTTGGTAGCCCCTGATTTAGGCTCGGCATACATGGCCAGAGTTGTGGCTTGTCGCCGGGCCTTGATTGAGATGCGGAACTACCATCCCGATTGGATGGTTCCTCCGCTGCCAGTCAATGGGGCCACTCAACCCCAGTGGAATTGGGTCAATCTGCTCCATGGTAAGATTTTTGAAGGTCCTTGCATTTTGACCACATTTGCGATGGATAGATGCTAACGAGTTTCTAATCCAAGGGTTCTGCGAAGAGGCTAACTCGCCTTCGCCTATGTACAACACGGCCATCTTGGGCAACCAGTGGCACAGTGAGGTCGCCGTCAAAGATATTTTCTTTCGCACCTTCAAGGGATGCGGAAATATGAACGAGGCTCAAAACACTGTGTCCCATCATGCATTGTATCAGCTCTTGGTTATGGACGAACTTAATGTGGGCGACATACTGCCTGCAGACTCTCCTATGCTGATCTTGCCAGACACTAAGAAGCCAGTGACACCTCCAAGTGAAGAGGCCATTCGCAACAGAACTCGGCTTTTGATGGATGCAATCGGGTCTTTGAGACCTTACCCTGGTGATACCAGCAATTCTCATTCCATGCAGAGTACCCTGGACGCCCTGAATTCCCGTCATCGAAAGGACGAGATCAAACCCCCCGGTGGCGTCTCTAGGCTATCTGGAGGCAAAATTTCCAAAATGCCAGTGAAGCCGGCAAAGCCAGCCCAGCAGAAGGGTGAGAAGAAGCCGGCCATTCCTTCTGCAAAGTCGAAGAGCCACCCTCCACCTCCCCCACCCCCACCTGCCCCGGGCAAGCCTCGAGGTTCTAGACGGAAGGGACGCAGTTTTCGTCGGTACCATGGACGCCTTTCTCCACCTCCGCAACCTAAGGCCAAAGGCAAGAAGGAGGATGTCGAGGCCTCTCGTCCCAGCACTCCGCCAGGCAACGCCAATCTTGTGCCATTGGAGAATTCCAGATTGGCTCCCGTGGAAATGGAGATTGACCCAGTCGTGGATCCCCTGGCAACATTGAAGGAGATGCAGGAAAGACTCCAGAACCTAAGTCCCCAAGCCTCCTTCTTGAGGCTGATGAAGAGTGAGTTTGAATCAATACTAATACCTCTCACCGTATCCCCCTCCTATATGTCTCATCTTCCACATGTCATTTTCTCTTGGTTTTGAACTAACTCTTAATTTCTTTTCCCACAGCAATGTGCTTCGTCTTGAAGATCTCGGAGCCAGAGGTCCGTTGCACGAAGGCCCCAGATGACACTTCTAGCCCGATGTATGCCCACTTCAATGACCCCAACCCCTACCTGACCCGTGCTAGCCCTGTCTTCCTTGCCAATGGGCGCTGGGTTGATGAAGACTCTGCGCACTCGCTGGGCGTGAAGAAGATTATCCTCTTCTTGCTGAAGATGTGCAAAGATGAGGTTGACGTGGATGTGCTTGAGGCTTGCTGGAAGAAGGATCTGAAGTTCTTGAGTAACTTGGAACGAGAGATCGAAGACCGGGTCGACCGGATCGAGAACTGATGAACAGTTCTACAGGTGGACACCGTCCACTGAGATGTTAGAGTGATTGTACGATTTTGTGGAGAGTACGAGCTCGGGTGTTGATGCCGCTGCTTCCTGTCCTGGAGATGCTGGTTGTCATTCTTATGACGGAACAAGTGGTAAGGACGGTTAAGGCAAAGGCGGCTTTTTGAAATCAGAGCATATGGTTTTGAGGACCATTCATTTTTTGATCTGGAAGCTCAACTTTTTATGTATGATTACGATGATATGCTATGTATGATTATGATGTTATGTGTTAATGTGACCTTTGTATTATTATTGATGGTTTTTGTACTTGAACTATAACAGAATCTGGAAAGCAGTCCAAGAATCATCGCGATATGCTTTAACGTAACAATCCTAGATTTAGAGAAGGTTAGCATTTCTTTTACCTTTGAACAGGCAAAAGAAAAGAAGAACACCCCTCGAAAGCCGCACCATCCAGGTGGGTGGGACATTCCATGGCCACAATGGGACATGCGAGTGCATTGATACCACTCGGTTTCGCATACCTCCCTCCAGACTACAGGCCCTTCTTAAGGGGTTGGAAACAGAGGCGACCCTTGAAATTCTCATGGCAAAATGAATGGCCCTACTTTAGCTTGGTTTCCCTATTATGTTATAAGTCGACTTTCCCATGGTTACAGGGATTGTTTCGGGTCTACTTCTCTTGCGAAGGTGGGTGTGCGTAATTTGATGAGTCTAATTCCCCGAGTTGATTTGATATTCATATTGCCACATTTCCCATGTAGACATATATACCAATAACCAACTCAGACATGAAACCCATCTAATCACACAGCAGTCGCAAAACTCCCAAGCAGAATCGTCGCCCCAGCCATCCACCAACTCGCAACCCCAAACGCCCCTTGAACATCCTTCCTCAGAATCCCCCACAAAACACCAAAAAGCAGACTCGGCGGGAAAAACCCAAACACCAGAACCCCCCATATCCGTTTCCAATTCCACTCCTCCCGGTAGAATATCCCCCACGCCTCGGTGACCTCGAGGCCATCTGAGGTTCGTTCGGTGTCTAGTTTCTTGGGTAACTGTTGCATGACGAGATCTGAACCTGGGGCGCGGCTGTCCGGGTCTGCGAAGAAATCCATCATTAGGCGTGGGCCGACTGGTGGGGAGTGCTTTGAGGGGATGGGGCGGCATTGGTATGTTGACCCGTGTGGGGGGACGAGGCTTGGTGGTGGGATGCAGGCGCAGGGTTGACCGGGGATACAGATTTCGTGGTGACAGCGTATGTCTATGTAGTTTGTGCCGGCGTAGAGGAACTGGGATGATTGGTTAGCTTGTGTTAGGTTGAATTTGGGGTGCTGGGTTTGCTTCAGGGTGGATCCATGGTAATAATATACATACCTTCATGAAATGGATACTATGCAGGGTCCTGAATGACCAGAATGATTCCAACTTTCGTTGGTGACTGAAGTAGATATTTCGCAGTGCATGGAAGAGTTGTCGATCGTCGGTGATATGTGTGACGTATTCTTGGTGTAGCTTCATTGGCCGGCCACGGCGGTCAATACAAGAAAGGAGAAGAAGCGGACGTGATGACTGGCTGCCTGTTCCCATGCCTTGAGAGGCTATAGCAGGTTCACTGTCTGGATCGGCGATAGTTTGATCGGTGATATCGCCGGATGAAGCTGTAGATGTACAGGACCTTGCGTGAAGGCCGCTGGAATTTGGGGTATACCGAGCCGCTGCAGACGAGGTTTGGCTCTGACCTTGACTACGATCACCAGCTCTCGATTTCGGCACTGTCGTTGCCCCCAAATATTCTTGAAGAGCTTGAAGAGCACCCGGTTCATGTTCAACATAGTCATCATATAGTCTTTTGCCATGCCGCTGTGGTATGTTAGCATCTCCAAAACCATGCTACGTTGCACGATAACACACTCACGTTGGTCCATCTGAATCGCTTATGCTTCTCTGGTATGTCGCCTTCTCCCCGGCAAAACCGTTGAATCGTATTCAAAAGTGGGTATTTTTCCATGCCTCTCGCCTGGAGCTTCGCCCTCGTTGCAGCTATATCTATTACCCGAAGTCCCCAAAGACTTCGAAAGACAATGCTGCCTTCGATTGCAGCAGATGGTCCAAATTTAATCTGGAACTCCAAGTCACTGGCCCTCAACGGAAGTCCCCGCAGAAATGAAGGAGAGAACCTCAGTCCAAATGCTAATGCTCTAAATTTAATATCGAACCAGAATTCGGCCGAACGATTAGGATTGACAAATTCCTCCAATTCCTTTCGTAGGTTGTCGAATGCAGCGCTTTCCAGAATAAAGCTTCGGCCGTGAGACACCAGCGCCAGAAATGTCTCTAGGTGTTCTTCATCCTCATCACTGCTTGACTCGAGGATTTCTTCTGGTATTGATGGCTTAGCTTTAATATAAGCTGTCAAGTCTCTTCCAACGTTCCGGGCGGCGGGAGTGTACGGCCACTCATCCATGTATCCCAACTCAAGCTTGCTTCCAATTTTGTCAGCGATAAGACAAGCCCGGGTTGCGATTAGCTTTGCAAGATCGAATTCAATTGCTTCACGCGCTTCATCTTTGAGATTCATTGCAAATCCCTTTATTAGTCGTCGAAAATTGCGGACGAAGCGGTCTGGTGAAATCTTCTTTTCCACGATGGCTTGTACGTAGAGTGATGACATTCGTCTATCATAGAAGAAGATGCCGACAAGCTCCTCGATTGCCGTCTGCATCTCATCCATAGTTAGTCGCGTATCTGTTGTCATAGTCGTCGAGGGCAGAGTTGCCAAGGAGAAGATAGATGGTGCGGTTGATATGTCTGACTCAAAGTCATCCGTTTCAGTCATTTCCTCATTAGAGTAACTTGAGCTTCTCGCCACCTCGTTGTCATTCTTTCTTGCCCTGCTATTTTGATGTTTTTCTCCTTCGGAAGCACCACGGTGCTTGGATTCCACAGGATTTTGATCGGCAGGCTTTTCAGCAGTCCAGCCCGATGACAGGCGACAGGCGCAAGCTTCAAATCCCTCGCGGTTGGCGACAGGTTTCTGACAGATTGGACAGCTTTCTGCAACATATTGGCTTAGAACCTCTCGCGAAAGTAAATCATGATGAGTCACGAGCACATGCTTCTCCATCTCATCGAAGGAACTGTGAACAACATGGCAACGTCCGTAAGGGCAAAGCCATGTCTGCTTATGACTATCATGCAAGCGCTGCATAAAGTCCTCGTCTGACCATCTCCCCACGGAGTGACAGATTTTGCAAGAATAAAGCGGCGTGTTTGGATCTTTGTTCTGGGAAAGCACGGTCTCGGTTGTAGACTGGAATGGTGTCTTGAAATCGCGGGGTGCACATTTCTCATCACCTTCTGAAGCATTTTCGATGGGCTTCGTAGTCAAGTTCTCCTCCATTTCAGGTGTGCGCAATGAAGACAATAAAGACACGATCCGTTGGTGTTGTTTGTTTTGGGTTTCCCACTTTATCTTGCTAATGATTGTCGGGATATCGATCTGAAAATCAGGAATCGGATCCACTTCGTCCGATCCCTGCTGGATAGAAGTATCGCCTTGTATAGGTCTAGAATATGTCACCTCCGGCTTCTTGATTCCGAGATCGTGATGCTCTGAAATCGGATTCGAATATCCTTGCCGAACTGTGGGTGCGACAATATCAAAGAACTCTGCCCTTTCCTCACTCCTAGGCGTTTCCGGAGAAGCTTTGTGACGAGCGATTGCCTTTAGAGCCGTATTGAAACCCTTTGCTAAATCCAATAGATTTTCCGAAATTTTATCCAGGACCCCGCGGCTACACAAAAGCCTTTCTCGTAGTTCTCCATTGGGCAATCGTAAAGCGCGCTCATTTTGTTGAAACCCGTTAATACCCACCTTGACTCTAGCCATGGCGGCTAGTATTTCGACCCGCGTAAGGCTATTCTCATCAGGGTTCGGCAAGACGAAGCCCTCGAACAGCCTGCCCGTCTTGAATATACGGAACTGTGGCAGACAACTCTGGAGAATTCCATATGTTGCGGCCACACTCCGGTTCATTTCTTTGTAGGGAGCATAGGCTTCTATAAGGGTCTCTGTTATTTCGCAGGCGGACCGAGCCATGCCCATGAACGCGCTCTTCATAGAATTTGTGTCGACCATGGTGATGGTTGGGTAGCATCTCTGAGATGGACGAGTTAAGCGTATAGAGTATGCAGAGCCCTAGGACGAGAAGGTGAGGACTTTTGTAGTCCCACCTTCGATATAAGTGCGAGTCTCGGGTGCTATAGTGTATTCAGGGCCAAGCTACGTATAAATATGACTATGAGGGGCAGTGCAAGAGCAAGTGCAAGGATGAGGCTGACAGACACCGCCATATCACCCGGGCGCTTAGGCACAATGCGTACTTCTCGCAAGAGAAGCTAGCCAATCAAGCAGTCGATAGAGAATTCATGTACCCTATGTAACACTGAAACTTAATAGTAGGACTTGGACTTTCGAATATCTTTCTTGGCAGGCTTGCAGTATATCAGTGCCAAACATAAACGAATACCCTTGGGACCGGGAAAGAGGAAGTCCAAGTAACGTTAGGGAGCTGAGTCCTAACGATGATGATACTCGCTCGACAAAAAAATAATGAATTCACGAGTTGTTAGGACCTAGGCCTCGTCCATCTAGACCTAACGTCGCGCGCTAGTTACATCGGTTTCGGACATGCCCGAACATAGCATAGCGTTCTAGCATATTTGAGGGTTTCAACTGTTTGGCTAATGCGTCTGGGCACTTACCATAACAGAGTCCCAACAGGTATGCCTTATCTAGAAGAGAATAATGAATTCAGTCTCAAGTATCAAAAACACCACGACCCAGAGAGAAAAACCGGGAATCCAAACTCGACATAACAGAATATGAACCGCAGTATAGGTATCTCAAATCCCATCTCATTAAACACCGACAAACCCAGGAACCCAAACAGCAGCAAGCACAAGCTCTCCCTCCTCATGATTGTCCCTATCATAATTCCAAAGCATAGCATAGCTAAGCTTGGAAACGCTAGTGGTGGTCCAATATATCCATAATCCATACATAGCCCTGTAGGCTAACCCTTGCCCGAATACCAAAACGGCTGATACCATTGCATTTCCATTCCAAAAACAGTAATTGCAATCATCATTGATATGACTCAAGGATATAAAGAAGCTTGTAGAATGGGAAAAACGTAGTGGATTTCCAGATCATAACGCCCGTTCGGATAATGGAAATAATAAGACCAAGTCAAAAGTTAAAAAGAAAAGGAAGTTAGAAATTTGGAAGAAGAGAGAAAGACAATCACAAGAAAAGGAGAAGGAAAAAAAAGGCAAAGTATCAAAGGCATTCTAGTTCTCTTGTTCAAAGAACGAGAATGGGTCAAAAAAGAAGAGGGGAAAATCCGGGGTATAGCAGCTGCAATGACGCCACTGAAACACTGCGGACGCAGGGAATATCGGACATAGGGCCAATTTCTCGTCCCATATCGGGCAAGCAAGGGATTAAGTGACCAGACGAAGAATAAGGTTGTAGTAATAAAACGAAGAGAAGCGAAGAAACTCGTAGGTCACAGTGCAACTAATCTCGAATACAGAATGGCGCCTCCAGGGGTGTTTAGGGTGAGTCCACTCCCAAACCCGTCGCAACAATCATCAACGCCGCCATCGTGATCATTATTTGTGCGGGATATGAATGTTCGACGGGGACAGGAAGGAATCATTTGGTTGGAAAGGAGAGGGATGGGGGGTTTAGGTAATGCAAAACCACACACGCGAGACTCAAAAAAAAAGGAGAGGAGCACACCAACGCCAATCTCACAGCACATGCGCACGCAACACATATCCAAGCGAGGCAGAATAGGTTCCAAAAGAAAAGGTCCAAAAAACAATCAAGGGCAAGAGTTACCCCGCAGGGAATGATCAAGGAGAACGCACTAAAAACGACGAGGAATATCAAATGTACAAAAACAAGGGTATATCGGAGGTTTAAACACCTGAAGAGAACCGTCAAGACTTTTCAAATCATTCACAGGCCGTCACCAGCCCCGGTCTCAACACCGTCGGCGGAGTAGCCCATGTTCGGGTCAAACCCGAAGCCGGTGCCGTCTCCATCGGTGTTAAGGAACGTATCAAAGTCGAAGCTCTCCAAAATATCAGGGTTATCCAGAGTGCTGAAGTCCAAGCTGAAAGCAGAGGCCTGTTGAGATTGACCGTTAGCAAACTGAACACCGAGATACAGTGAGAGATCTGGGTTAGAGTCGTGTCTTACATCAGGAATGGAGAGATCATTGAATGTTTGCTGGCTCGGATCCGGAGTAGGCTGAACCATAGGGGGAGGTGCAGGGGCCGTGGTCTGCTGGGGAGGTGCGGTTGCAGTGGCATTAGGTCCACCCTTAGCGAAGGAGTTGGGAGCATGAGGCGTAACGGGAGTAGACGGAGTCGGAGTAGGTTCATTAGCCTCGGTAGAGGGGGTAGCGGCAGCGGCAGCAGCAGCAGCGTTCTTCTTGTTGGGACGCTATGTTCAAGAAATGTCAATGTGGGGCTCTAGAAAAACAACAGCTGGATCTGTATATCATCACGTACCTTGCGAGTATTCTCCTTTGCACCTTCCTTCTTGCCCTTGGGTGCAGCCTTAGTTGACTGCTGGGGCGTTGGTGGCGCATTGCCAGTAGTTTGAGGAGATGGCGGCTGGGGACGGCCCGCGTTGGCGCCAGCCGGTGGCGCCTGAGGTGGAGGCATGGTGCTGCGATCCTGCGGGGTACCTGCCTGGGGTTGAGTGGCCGGCGAATGCTGAGGCATAGGCTGTCCGGGCTGCCATTGTCCACTAGGCATGCGACCAGCATTGGCGGGAATGGGTTGACCCATTTGAGCTCCAGTAAATGCCGGGTTGGAGCTTGGGGGACGCATGGGCCCACCGGGACCCGGGAAGAATCCGGCAGCCGCCATGTCGGGAGGCATCTGTCCCCCATTCATAGCCATCGATGCGGGAGATCCACGGTTTTGGCCCATGTCACCGGCGCTTGGAGATCCCGGGAGACCGGTCTGAGGCATCTTGGGCGTGCCTCGTTTCATTTGATCGCTGGGGTTCGGTGACGCACCCGCCCTGCTACCCTGGGGAGAGGTGCCCGGAGGCAATCCCTGACCGGGCATTGGGGGCTGGCCGTCAGCACGGGACATGCTATCCTGCTCTTGACGAGCCATCATCAGGCGACGCTTATTCTGCTGTTCAAGCAGCATAAGTTGCATCTGATAGTCCTGGAGAGCATGGTTGCCATGCTGACCGCCAGGTGTTTGCATACCGGGCCGAACCTGTTGCAGCTGGCCGTTTGAGTTGTAGTACTCTGGACCCATGGGGTACATGCCTCCTTGTCCATCCGGCATCGGCACCAGGTCCGCCTGATTCGGCATAACACCGGGATTCATCATACCACCATTCGGAATACCCTGGGAATTCAATGCTGAGCGAGAGTGATGAAGGGCCAAGTTTTGAGCATATACCTGCATGGATTTCTGTTGCACAGCTTGCCCCTGCTGGAACTGCTGGAACTGCGCCGGATTCATAGCCCTTTGCATTCCGTTCGGCATCATCAGCTGCTGGGGGTTTTGCTGGCCTTGCATCTGTCCCTGTCCACGTCCATTGGGAGCCAATTGCTGACCATTCACAGCACCACTTTCGAGGCGAGGGCGTTTCGACGGCGAGGGGGCGTTGTCAGCAGATGCAGGTGACTGTGGCCGATTTCCGTTCATGTCCATTTCAGACTGTTCCCGTTGCATCTGCTGCATCATCTGCATCTGCTGGTTCTTCTGGAACTGGGCGGCCAATTGCTGTTGGGATCTGTAGAAAAGAAAGCGAAGAGGGAAATGATTAGCATCACTACAAGTGGTGGCACGGAGATATGCCAAGGGAAAAAGCATACAGGCCGTTGTTCAGAGCTGCCTTTTGCAAGTTAGGAGGAACCATGCCATTGCCACCACGGCGAACGCCAAGTGGCACTTGGCCGGGCATCATCGGCTGTTGTCGCATGAGCTGGTTGTGCTGTTGCTCTCGGATGCGCATCATGTTCTGGAACGACCAAATTGAGTTAGAATCAGTGACAGTGAAGGTTGGGGGAAGAACCACGCGGGACTGTGGCGTCGCATGAGATTTTTCAACGTACCTGGGTGTGCTGGAGGTATTGCCTCACGTCATTGCTGTTGCCCCGCTTCCGTTGGGCCCAGAAGAAGTCCCAGAAGAGACTGAACCAGTCCAACAAGAAAGACGATTGAAGACTTTCACTGGGAAGGCTGGGTCGAGGAAGATCGTCAGGAATCTTGATTTTCTCGCCATCCTTTCCGTCAGTCATCATAGGATCACCATCGACACCGTTCACGTCGCCGGGCCGGCTACCGGGGCTGGTCTTGGTGCCATTGTCGGTGTTGATCTTAATGGATTCGTCTTGCACGAGTGCACGCGCGCAGTCGTGGTAGCCGCGTTTCAAAAAATAGTCATAGATATAGGTGTTGAGGTTATTGATCATGATCTCGGGGTTATTCATGTTCATGCCGCCGTCATTACGAGGAGCCGTGGAGCCGTTGTTCATCATGGGAACACCACCCACAGGGCCTCCAACCCCGGGGTTCATTCCAACGTTCATCTGGTTCATGGTGGCGAACGGTGGGTCTGTGGCCACCCTTGCCTATGTACTGTAGAACAATTCAAGTCGAAAGATGTCGTGTAGATACCAACGCGCATCCACCAAGTCAGGCGATGAGGCCGAACGCGGGTGGGGGAGGCGGGAGGTTACAACGCGTGGAGGAGGGGAAAGTTGTCAGGGAGGAGAAGCGGTCAGCGCTTCAAATGTGAGAACTATAGACTAGTCGTGGCTTTCAAGGAGTATGATACACGCGTGCGAAGCAACTGCGCGAGATCACCAAGCCCGATTTCGTTCAAGGTGTGATGTTGCGATGGAGGGATCTGCGGCGGCCGGGAGCGTCTTGTCCGGGGGTCGAGCCACGCGACAGGAGGGGACTAGAACTGAGGAATCGGGAGGCGCAAGCAAAGAACTCGAAGAAACCCGACGGCTAGAATATCAAGCGAAGGTCAGAATGATGCTTGGCTCACGGATCGGCCAGAGGCAGGAGCGGTTCGCGGTGCGATAGGGTTTGGGCGATGACGGAGGTACAAGGAGGCGGAAAAAGCCCACAAGTGAGGAGGTTGGGGGGTTGATGGGGGCGGCGCTGCCAGACAAGCCCGATCGGGCAGATTCGCGCAAATGGCAGAACTTGACATGCAACGACAAGAGAAGGGAATGCAAAGGAGGAAGAGATTATAGCAGGGGGCGAACTGGGTGGATCTCACGGTGGAAGGGGAGAGGAGCGAGCCGGGGGGTACGGCGGACAGGCGCTGCGCTCACTGCGGGAGAATCGCTTGTTTCGGAGCGGATTAACTTGGTCGGAGCCCGGGGCTGGGGATGGCGCTGTCAGGCGTATTTCTGGGCATGCACGGTCGCAATGGCGTGGAGGGAAAAAGAAAAGAAAAAGAACTGAAGTCGCGGGAAAAAAAATGGGACAATCTGGTGACAAGTTGAAGATTGCAAAAGAAACTATCCAGATGGAAGAGAAGACAAAGAGTGTCTAGAGAAGAAGAACGAAAGAACAAAGCGGGCTGGGAGTTGGGTTGGATCAGGCAAGAGTGATTAGGTATGGTGATATGCTGCGCGATGGGCCCTGCGATGGATCCCCCAGCGGGAGTCTAAAAAAGTCGGGTCTTCCGCGCAACCAAAAAAGACCCAAGAGATCGAGTAGAAGATCGGCGATCGAGCCAATCGGACCAGAATCAACCAGATATATTGGCCACAGCCAGGGGGGAGGGGAGTAGACGGAGGTGAAAGGGAAGAAAAAAAAGATGAAGCAGAAAAGAGATGCGATGTGTAGGAAAATCGGAGGGGCGGAGATGGGGTATCGGTCGTAATGGGAATACCGTATTGTGACACCACGCCGCACGCTGCTTCGCTGTCAATGGCAGGCGATCACCGAATGACCGATACCGACAGTACGAGGGAGTATGTGTATACAGCCAATATACGTAGAGTTGAGAAGTCGCGATGAGTACAACTCTACATGGATTCTAATAAAACAATTCTACTTGTATCAAATTAAACACCTATCTTCCTTTTTAGCCGAAGCTGAAGACCTCACATTATTACAAGGTGTATACACCATGTCCACCGTCCACCATCCCGAACCCATCAAGATCGGCCCCAGTAATTGGCAGGGCTGGCCCGCCATCGCAATCTCTTCTTCAGGAATAGAAGCCCCTGCGCAAGTTTACAGAGGAAAAAAAAATTCTAATATGAAACAACCTCAGGTAATGCCAGTGATAAATCGCGTGGCGGGAAGAGAGTTCCTGGTTCCTACAGCACGATAGATCAGAAAGCCTATTCTTGCATCCAACCGAACTAGCCACGCAGCCAGCCAGCCAAGCAGAGAGAAAAAACAAGATAGTCGTTTTGGATCGACCAGAACACCATGGAAAGAAAGTGGGAATCAAGTCCCGATTGAAAAACTTTGATCAAAAAAAAGAATACACATCATAGTTTCTCGCGAAAACAAATAACCAATGGAAGCCTGCCGTAACATGAAAAGAGGAAACGCCGTGGATGCCCGTTACCCATCTAATCCTCCTCTGGCGGCATCTCATCCTCGATGTATCGGACCAGTGAGACCCGCATCTCGGTAGTGTCGTCGCCACGGAGCACATCGCTCACAAAATGTGCTTCGATCTGCATTTGAACCTGGAAACCGGGTTAGGGATCGGACCCGGCGCAAAGGAACCTGTTGATCGGGGAAGAGGGGATGGCGCCAGAGGATCGTAATCCAGCCTAGCTAGGGCCTTGGACAAAAGTTTACTTACCATCTCTAGTGCGCCTCGAAGCACACCGCATAGGATATTCGAGAACCAGAGCTCATCCTGCGCTCGTCCGTCGTCCGGCAACTCCACAAAGTCTGCCAAGGGATTGTCGTCGAAGATAAGGGAGAATTGGTTGTTGTCGCTGGTCCAATTGGTGACCGTCGGCGCAACATTCAAGAAGATCTTGAAGCCCACCTGATTGAAAGAGGTCAGCATTCAGGCATCCAGACATTAAGGCAGCTTCCTTTCCCATATCCAGTCACCGTCTTTCCGGCTCTTTCACACACCTTGGCAATCATATCTGCTGTCTCGCGGAAATTGGCGCATCGTCCCACCCCGGACTTGGCCAGAAAGTCTTCAATCAACCGCATGCCAATATTGTAGCCCATCTTATCCAATTGTTTGTTGACCTCCTGATAATCACTATCATAGTCCTGGCATAATTGCGCAACAATCGTGCCGTATGTTAACGTGACCAGCTCCGCGTTGACTTTATCGATTCTCGTTCTGGGGAATGTGAAAGCCGGGTTAGCTCGATTACAACGGGAGACGGGCGTGTTATTGTTCAAGGTATAAAATGGCGGCATCGACCATAATCAGGTAGAACGCGCGGCTTACTGACTTCCAAATCCTGTAGAGTGACCATAGATCAGTATATGCATTCGTGTAAGAGGATAGCTTCACTTACTCTTCTCCTATTCTGGAGGCTTTTGAGGATGACATGGCTGGCTGCTCGGTGTGCTAGGCACTACAAGGCTGGAACAAGGCAGTAGAAGCCTTTAATATTAATGCCCGCACAAAACCAGGCGAATGCGACAGTCGGACGTGGATCCCTGAGATGATTGCGGGGAGTTCAAGATGATGGAGCTGTGGCCGTACACAGTCGGGGCTCACCGCCCACCAAAGGTGGGATTATCGTTCTTCCCGCAGCTCCAGGCGCTCCCCAAGGAATCTTTCGCTCTCCGCTACGACGGACCCGCGACGACATTGAGATACCCCGAATTCAGCCCCTTTTCCTCCTGGGCTAGCTGGTGATTCTGAGGTTATCCTCCGTCGCAATCATGTCTGGAGAAAAACGCCCTGCTCCAGAGGCCTTTGGGCACTCGAGCCAGCTCGTGGTCAAGCGAAAGAAGTCCGACGCCGACCTTAACCCTGGTACTGCGGTCGTGAAAAGCTCGTCGCAAAATGGCGCCCTTATTCAAGCGGTAGGTGACTTATTGGGGCAATGACTCCATGCAGAATTGAGTTTAGAAAATAGCCCACCATTCGATCTTCCAGGTAGGGGCCAATGGCTAACTTTACTGGACCTAGATTCCTCGAACCAGCGGACTCGATGCGCCGATCATGGAGCTTACAGGTAAGATGCTCTCGTTGAATCCCCGTGAGGAACCATGGCTAATTTGGCGAAATTAGGCCACTCTGGCGAGGTCTTTACAGTTCGATTCGATCCCACAGCTCAACACATTGCCTCTGGTTCAATGGACCGGTCCATCTGTACGTCTTGCCCCGGTTTCTTCCTAGAAACTCCGATGATAGCTATTTCTAACTCTTCCCGAATGCAGTGCTGTGGAACACATACGGACAATGCGAAAATTACGGCGAATTGACCGGCCACAAGGGAGCTATTCTCGACCTCCAATGGGCACGCGATTCACGAGCACTCTTCTCTGCCTCCGCCGATATGACACTGGGGAGCTGGGATGTGGAAACTGGAACACGTGTGCGCCGGCACATGGGCCACGAAGAGATTATCAATTGCCTCGACATCAGCAGGCGCGGGCAAGAACTGCTCGTCAGTGGCAGTGATGATGGCTGCATAGGCATTTGGGACCCGCGGCAAAAGGACGCGTTGGAATATCTCGAGACTGAGCTGCCAATCACAGCAGTCGCTCTGTCCGAGGCCGGAAACGAGATCTACAGCGGCGGCATCGATAATACGATTCATGTCTGGGATTTGCGCAAGAAGGCTGTTGTTTACTCCATGGCTGGTCACACCGATACTATTACCTCGCTTGAAATCTCGCCAGACTCTCAAACTCTCCTGTCTAATTCTCATGACTCCACAGTCCGGACGTGGGATATTCGGCCATTTGCGCCTACCAACCGACTGGTCAGGACATTCGACGGTGCACCCGTCGGCCTGGAGAAGAATCTCATCCGCGCCAGCTGGGATCCTAAGGGCTCAAAGATTGCTGCGGGCAGTGGTGACCGGAGTGTGGTGGTCTGGGATGCCAACTCGGGCAAGCTGCTGTACAAACTCCCTGGCCACAAGGGTACAGTCAATGATGTCCGCTTCTCGCCCAACGACGAGCCAATCAGTAAGTTCTTTCACTCCATGAGCTTTTTCGAGTAGCCACACGTGCTAACTTTGTTTCTAGTTGTTTCTTGCTCGTCGGATCGGAACTTGATGCTGGGAGAGCTGGGCAAGTGAGCGCGATACTTGAAACACTTGTAATGACGGATAAGCGGGCGTTCATTTGATCTACATAACTACATACTCTTTCTCGAGACTGCCTCCCTATTGGTCCCAGGATTTGCCGGCCATTTAGCAGCAAGAACGCCCAGCTCTTCGGTGTGGATCTCCTGGCTTCGGCTGCCCAAGAGAGCGCTGAATCACGCCAGGGAAGGCCGGTCCTCGAAAGAGACATTATTTTCCTGGGTTGTACAATACATTACTAGTCTCAAATAACTCCGAATGGCTTTTCGGCCTTTCGTTACTTCCTTCTTCGCATGTTTTCCTTATTTGGGTACGGTGCCTACTTCTTTCGGATTCGATGATGGGAGTATAGACTACGTCAGAAAGCGCCTTGTTCCCATTCCCTTCAACCTTGCTTCTTCTTCTTCTTCTTCTCTCCATCTCTACTTATTACGAGTATCCTTGCAACTTCGACATTTCTAACAGGCTTCGTGCTCATCAAGTCCATCCGCTTCACCGATACCGTCGAGCCCTCTTCACACCTTGCAAAATGCCAGATTTCGGTCCAAGCACCTTGGCTAGAGCAGAGGCCGAGAGATTTGATCAAGCTTTTGCTGAGCTCAAGGCAAAGGCTAAAAGATCCAAGATACTGCTCTCTGTCTTTGGCGGCATCAACGTGATCTTCTCTATAACTGGTGAGATATCCCCCTTCACTGGGCACTGGCAACGTGTCGGCTAATTCAGCAAGCAGCGGCGGTTCTCAATTATAAAGTGCCAGCGATACTGGACTGGCTTAATATCTTGTTCTTTGTCATTTTCATCGTACTTTTTGGGGCCACAATGAGCTACGGGGCCACCTCGAGGTGTTTGGAAGATATTCTCGCTCGCTGTCGCTACGGAGCACGCCACTTGCTGCCGATTCACTACCTCACCATCAAACCCGGGGATGACTATTCGCCGGGCATCATCGAAAATATGGATAAACCGTTACTCCTACTACCCCTGGGTCCTGACCTCCACATTCCAGAAATTTCAGAACGTGACAAGCAAGCGGCCATCGAGGATGCACTGAGCAGAGCTGTGAGTCTGCATATACCAGGTCGCGTGTGTCTACTTGACTGATATCTGTATAGAAGCCTTTTTGGTACCATGCCGAAGCACTCACGCCCGCCGCAGCAGTGATTTCAGCCAGATCTTTGCAACCCGCGGCCCGGGAAACGCCCCAGCCGGAGGGGGTTTGAGGGGCGGGTTTGGCCGTGACAGTGACCTCGGAAGTCGCTATTCTTATATGTTTTCAAAGGGTCGGGAATGATTGTACAGAAGAGTTCGCAAGCCGGAATATTCTTTGTCTGTGGCTATGACGCATACTTCATACATCAAGTTATTCATCAAGCTCTATCCATGAGCGCCAGTCTATATCGCCTTTTTTGTACAATGAAGCTGGCATATGTTCTGTGCCGCTAGCCTGTGTGATGATATCCTTGGGTTTGTGATTTGTACGCGTTGCTGTCAAACAATGTGTACTACACCCAACATTTTTAATTGCTTGACGTCTCCCATGGGCACCGTGCAATGCTATCTTTTTTGTTTGGTACTACAAGTCCGGGACAAAGGAGCTGACTCTACTTGAAGGAATGATAGATAGTAGTACTAGCATTGCTCAATAATATCTCACAATGACAGAAAGCATCAACAAGAAGACATACCCACCATGGTAAATTCCTCCCGGAGAACCAATAAAAGCGTTAAAGCGAATCTATTAGGCCTAGCATGTCATGCAAGTAACAACAAAGATCTATAATAATCACAGACCAGACCACATCGTCGTCTCCTCAACATCAAGAACACCTTCCAACAGAATATTTTGACTGCTTGACCCAACCAAGACCTTATACTGCCCCTTCTCGCACACCCACTTGTGCAATTCTTGATCCCAGAAAGCAGTGCTGAATCGATCGAGAGCGATCTCAACACGACGCGTTTCTCCTGGTTGCAAGTACACCTTGGCAAAGCCCTTGAGCTCCTTAACTGGCCGTGCGATGCTCGCCAGTTTGTCTGGGCTGATGTAGAGCTGCACGGTCTCGGCTCCAGCCAGTTCCCCTGAATTAGACACGTTCAGTGTAACTGAGGTAGCGCTGACACTGAGGTCGGAATAGTCGAACTTTGTGTACGACAATCCGTATCTGCGAAACGAGTTAGTGGCTCGCCTTGAGTGGTCGACAAAAGGAAAGAGAAACTTGCCCGAATGGATAAAGCACGTTTTTACGAAGCTTTTCATAGTATCGGTATCCAACGTAAATCCCCTCACCGTACATCACTTGGCCCCTGTCGCTGCCGAAATTGAGGTATGTCGGCGTATCTTCAATGCAACGTGGGAACGAGAGAGGTAGCTTTCCGCTGGGGTTGACAGCGCCAAAAATCACATCCGCAAGGCCATTACCTAGTTCATTTCCGCCAAACCAGGCATGCAAATGCGTATTCACGGTTTCAGCCCAAGGGAGCATGTTGAAAGGTGAGCCGCTTTGGGTGACAAGGATAGTTTCAGGCGCCGCGGCGAGCACAGCTGTGATTAGAGGAGGCAAAGCTGCTGGAAGGTCCATATTGGGCCTGTCAAAGCCTTCGGATTCGAATTCACGGGTCAATCCGACGCAAAGGATCGTGACATCCGCACGCTGAGCGGCCTCCACAGCGCGTGCAATTGCTACTTCTGGGTCGATGACCTGGATCATTCCCAGACGACCGGCGCCGCCGCCAAAGTTGACAACGCCAGGCTTTATGAGCTTAGATGAAACGCCGCTGATAAATTCGATTCTGAGTTTGTAAGATTGGCCTTCGACAAGGTCGACTGTGGCTTTCTCCTCGAGAGTTCCCTTTCCGAAAAAGAAATTACCCCCTCGCTGCACCGTGCTATTTTCAATGACAATCTCGTCGTTGACATAAAGATTGGCAGAACCATAAACAGCCAACCCAAATTCAAAGGTGCCAGTAGCGGGGGCAATCAGATCATCCTCGACGTCAGCATAGAAGAGCCTCTCTAGCTGGGGATGAGAGAAACCCATCAGATGCCATGAAGATTCTGTCAGAACAGCCTCATCAATCACGGTACGATTTTGCACGGAGGGAGGGTCTCGGTAGAAGCGCATTCGGAGGCCTGGCTCTCCACTTGGGGTCCGCACATCTGCAGCCAACAGCTCCGGGGTAAAAGCGTAAGCGTTGGCGCCAGGCTGGTATAGTACTTCGACATCCTCGGGTAGCTGATCAATGATTCCTTGGTAGGGCGAAACGGTGTAGTATGGATGAAGGGAAGCGGAACCTCCACCACAAAAGGCCGCGGTCTTCATATTGGGTCCGATCAAGGCAACGCTCTTGAAGGGCTTCTGACCCAAAGGCAACAAATTTGACTCGTTCTTGAGAAGGACCACGCTATCTGCAGCAAGTTTTCGGTTCAGTTTCCGGTCCTCGGGGAGATCTCGAGTGCTCTCCTCCGACGCCACCGCTGTTTTGGTGGCCCTCTGAACGAACTCGAGGACATTTCGTACTCGCTCATCAATAGTAGCTCGGGAAACATGGCGGCTCGAAATTGCAAGGTCTGCTAAAGGCCCTCTCAGCCTCGAAGGTCCAGGCATCTCCAGATCGAGACCAGCGTTGAGAGATTCGGCTGTGGAGTATGTACCAAACCTAGAGGATCTGGTCAACGGTTGATATCTAAATCAGTGATACCTTGTTACTTACCAGTCACTCATGACCAAGCCCTTCCACCCCCATTCTCCACGGAGAAGATCATCTAGCATTTGCTTGCTCTGCGAAACGTGCTCCCCGTTGACCTTATTGTAGCAGGTCATGATCGCTCCAGGATTCGCGTCAGCGATCGCAATCTGGAACGGTAGTAGGTGTATCTCCCTTAGTGCTCGCTCAGATATAACTGCACTGACGCCAACTCGCTCATGTTCCTGGTCATTTGCCGCAAAATGCTTTAATGTGGATATTATACCCGTTGACTGGGCACCTTTGATATAAGCTGCAGCCAGCTTGCCGGTCGCATATGGATCTTCGGATAACGACTCGAAGCTCCTACCTCCAAGAGGGGACCGCTGAATGCATACTGTTGGTCCGAGCCAGCAATGAGCACCCTTGGCCTTGCACTCTTCCCCAATGAGAATGCCGGCTTCGTACATCAGGGATTGATCCCATGTTGCTGCGAGGCCGGTACCGCAGGGCAGGCAAGCTGCCCGCACACCGTTGAAGAATTTTGTGCCTCTTATCCCGTTGGGACCATCGCTGAGCCTGATGGTCGGAACATTGAATCTTGGAAGAGGGGTTGTATGCCAGAAGTCGCTTCCTATAGAAACACAGTCCGAGTCAGTTAACCTTGGAATTCAAAACAGCGAGGGGTTATTCATACCAGCAAGCAAAGATATCTTTTCTACTGTAGATGCCTTCTGAAGGACATCGTCAACGTCAAAGCTGTCATGGCTAGATTGGCGATCTTGTGACATCTTCTCGCGGATCTATATTCGTGACGAATAGATGGAAGAGGCGCGTTGCCAAACTAATCGAAAGAAAGAAGCCGGCAGCCATCGCGATTCCCGAGTCGATACTTAAGTGAGGGGTCTCAATGAAGAGTGCCCCACGGGGAGCCAATTGTTCTTGTTTGATCATGGGGTAGAGTCTGGAACAACATGTTGTATAGTGAGGAGGTCTGCGTTGGTCCCCGTCGGGGAAGATCCCCGATCTCGGGTCTTGGCGTGGCGTGTACCACAGTGAGTCTCGTGACTCGTGACTCCCAATCATTGGACCAATGATTCCAACCGTGCAACTCGTTTAATTTGATTCTTACTCCCGTACCATCGGGGAAGAGCCGATATTTTCTACACTCTGGCTGAAGCAGAGCGACGAACTTTGCAGATGAGACGTCAAGCTCAGAGTCCCCGGGGCAATCCCCCGAGCCTCCTCGGGAAGCGGACCCGGACTGAGGCCATCCAAACATTCGAAGAAGAATCCACTGCGACACGCACTCGCAGTCATCCAGCCCAACGGCCTCGAACCCGAGCTACTGTAGCGTGTTCGGTATGTCGCGCTCGGAAGACTAGGTGCGATGGACGGCAACCAGTGTGTGGCTACTGCGCCAGCACCGGCTCTACATGCCAATATGACATTGCCGATGCCTCAACAGACCGGAGTTTGTACGTATCGGCTCATGCCTGGAATTGGTCAACGTGTTCCTGACAAAGAGCCCTTTACCGGGTACCAGGTGCCATGATATGGGAGTTCAAATCCTCCATGCCATCGAGCAACTAACGCAATTGGTCAAAGACCAACCCCCGCAAACTATCACCAACAATATCAGCAATCACCAGGGGCCAATACCGTCATCGAGCTTGAATGAACCCATACAAAATGTGCCCGTCCCAGCCAGTCCTCACGAGGGCAAATTCTCAGAGGGGCTGGATAGTATATTCGGATGGCACGTCTTTCAACCCGGTCTCGACTCGATCCCAGTAGATGATGGGCGACCTATACCAATGCCAGACGAACTTCCCCCGATAAAGTTTTCCGAACTCTCGAGATTCCAGTCTAATTACTGTCGCGTAGTCCACAATGTGAACCCGATACTTGATCTGACCACCCTGGACCAGTATGTCTCACACATCGCTGAAAACGGGTTCGACTGGACAACGAGGACTTGTCTTGTGGCTCTTGTCTGTGCCATTGGGGCCTTGTGCCAGGACAAGACTACAGAGACTCCAAGTAGTCCTCCCACGGCAGATCCTAATGACGATGTGATGGTAGCATATCGCTTTTGGAGCGTTGCATGCAAGAGACTGGGGCGTGCAATGTGTCAGAATACGCTAGAGTCTGCGCAGTGTTTGTGTCTTGCTGGGTAAGTCTCTGAACTGGCTTCAGCAGGTCTTTTTAGACAATCTAGCGGACTCTCTAGCTAATTCTTTTGTGCGAAGGATATGGTTTATGTGCACTTTACAATGGCCGGTAACTGCTGCTACTCTACAATAGTGGCCAGGTTAGAAAGATATTATGCTCACAGTATGTGTTTCAATTCTAATTTTGCCTTAGAAAGTCCACACTTTCTGCGCGATCGCCGTCATCGCAGCCTATCTCGTCTGCGATCGAGCACAGCATCTTCTACACGACATATAAGTCGGAAGTGTATGTATAACCCGATTCACGACTAAGGCGCAATGAAATCTGACAGATATTTGTTACTTCCATACAGTGAGGTCCGCTACGAACTGGCAATTCCAGGCTCAGTCCTAGAACACATAGAGGACCAGCTCGTGTTTCCCTCACCCCCAACACCCGATAATTCCCAACTGAGTAACCTGGATAACGAGACCATAACCTGGTACTATTATCTAGCGGATATAGCTGCCCGCCACCTCATCAATCGCATCATCAAAGTGAGAGTCAAGGTTGACGATACCCCCAACGAAGCACAAGCTAGGGCCATGCTCCACGACTACAAACTGTTCGGCTCTCAGCTCGAAGACTGGTACAAATCCCTACCATCGGATATTTCATTCCCGCCACCTAGCTCTAGTATAACGTTTGAACCGAACCAGTTGATACGGATCCTGCGGTCTCGATATCTATGCATAAGAGAGCTTCTATGTCGACCTTTTGTGCGAATCTGTCTGAACTCCAGCCTGAATCTCCCCGCAGAATTGGTCGATGAGATAGCGTCTGTAGCCTCCGAGGGCCTGCAGTATTGTGCCTGGAGACTACAAGCAATGTGCTCAATGGACAGACTCGACCATGGGCTATGGATCTGGGTCCGAAACAACACCGCATGCTCACTAATTTTAATTGGCGCTGCGCGAAGTTACAAATTCCCTTCTCTCAATGCGGCCTCCCGAATGTGGGTTCCGGATAATTGGCACGATGTTATAATGTCATTTCTGAATGGCTTGGAGATATTCTCGAAGGAAACCAGGGGCGGCGTCTCGGACTGTTACAAACTTATCTGCCGAAACATTGAAGAGTTTCATGATAGTTGAGCTAGAGACCGTTCAACCCATCGATTATCAAGCTCCCCCATTGTGACCTTGCCTGTTACTTTACCGTTCACGCTTTGCAATAACTTTCCCCTGAGGAAATATGTAGGCGTACAGCTCCAGGCATGGCAGAAACTGTTATTGCGCACATCACCATAGGGGCTCGCCTTTGCATCCTCTGCGTCAAAACACTCCCAGAAGGTATCTGCTCCTGCCTCGACCATGCCACCCCAGTATGACTTGATGATATCGAGACACTCATCATAGCAGCCTACTTGAACAAGCGCGTCGCAGACGTGGTGCCAGAGGTATGGTGTCAAGGGCTTCATAGCTAAGGGATGGTTGAGCGTCTTGATGAGCGCTCCACGGGCAATTGCGGGAGCAAACACCTCAGAGAGAACAAGCCAGGCTGCAGAGCCGTAGCTAATCTGGGACTCTGGTCCAGAAATGAAAACGCCATCCCTGAGGAAAACTGTTGCAGCAGCCGTCATTTTATCCACAACACCGAAGTAGGGTGCTTCTTTGCCTAGTATTTGGGCGAGACTGTTGATTCTCTTGAGACAATACACCAACAAGCCATGCGGTGCAGCATTTTTGTCTAGATCCGACGCCCAGTCAATAAACTTGAATCCCTGACTTCGCTCTGTTTCAAAGACGTGTGTTTTAGGATTGAGACTTGACAGTGAACGCTTGACGCATTGCAACACGGTTGGCCAAAGAGCGTGCCCAGCTTCAACGTCGCCGGACGCGGACACATAGTCATAGACAATGGCGCTGAAAAGAGCATCATAGTCCACGATATAATCAGTCGAAGGGGATAGTGAGGGCTTCTCGAATATACAAGCCGGCAATGAGCCATCTTCGCGGACAACTGCCGCAAATTGGAAAATGCACCTCTTGACAAGATTGAAATCCCGCAGTGTGCTGTAGTTGGCTAGAGCTTGGAGACGAAGATCACCGATCCAAAGTCTTCGGTCTCGACGAGGCCCATCTTCAAAGACAGTCTGCATACAATCTCTGAGCGTAGAGATGCTGACATGATCAATATCCTGGAGAAGTTGATTTCCAAAATCGACCATCTCAAGGGCATGATCCTGGGCGATGGCACTGACACATTCACAACTGATTTCGGAGAATGAGACCTTGTATTTCGGAGAAGTATCGATGACTTGTACGCGAAGGTAGCGGAAGGAGTAGCGTCGTGGGAGTGCTACAACCTGAGGACATTCATCGATATTGACTATCTCATCTGGAAGCCAGGATGTGCTAATCCACGTTTTCACCCCCTCCATGCCCATTGTGACATCAAAAGGAGATTCTCCGAAGGTGAGTCGCAGTCGACACGGGGCATCCATGTGTGCGCCTACTGATGAGAGCCGGAATTTCAGATATCCAACCATATGGATGCCGAAATCAAGAATAAAGTCCGCATCTTTACCCCAGGTGAGGGACGGAAGGTCGGAGACAGCATGGCTAGATGATGAGGGCCGAAGGCCGAAGAATGAAGGGCTTTGAGTAGGTGTGAATGAGATGATCTTTTGAGGAACCCGAGACCAGTGGTGAAGCACTGGAAGAAGTTCGTTCGCAAGAATTTCGAATGACCGATTCCAAGCCGTTGGATTCTTTTGGTCGGAATTCTGTTCTGCCATCTTATGGCTGGTCGGGCTGACGAATGCGTTGTGAATCCCTTGACCGCAATGGGGGTACTATGTTGCTGCTCAAAGCAAGCTTTTAATCAACTGCCGGGTTGACTTCGATATCGCCGATTGGTGCAAGTATTGAGATTGCGATGGAATAAAGGCAGGTTGCAAGAGTAGCCCGGTAGAGAGACACCGCGAGATCTCCTCCTCCTCGGTCGTCAATATACCGATCGGCTCAGTTCACCGGAGATCTTCGTCCACAGAGAACGGTGTCTGTGTTAACAATTGGTTAACTTCAATTTTGATCATCCGCGTCAGATGGGGTTGGATGTCTCCACAAGGTTTCGGGGCAGAAACAGATGGTTTGAGTTGATCGGGGCACTTCCCCGATGGAAGGTTGTGATTGGAAGAATGCTTATTACATCATCACTAACTCAACCTTATTTTCTCCTCTCGCTGCGAGAACTTGTATCTAAAGTTTGACTGCAACTGGTCAGCTATGGGTTTCTACTATGTCAACTATCTATACTTACAGTGTTCATACCAATTTCGGGTATCACCATATCTAATTCCCTGGGGAAAAGTTGTCGGGATGTTCCCCGATCAAAGTTGGCGTGTGAAAATCTTAAAGCGGGGCGTCTGAGATTAGGTTATGCCCGAGTCTATGGAAATCATGAAGTTAGCGTTCAATTTTTTTGGCCTCGCTACCCAGCTCTATCGAAAGAACCCCCTTATTGGCAACGATATCAACCAGGACAATGCAGTGAGATGTGAAAAGACGATGCTCAACAGTCAGGTCAGAGCCCTATCCTAGTGGTAAGACACGCAGAGGGGGGACCTTCATCCAGTGGATCGCGGATATCGGCTTCGTGGAATCATTCGGGATCTCGAGGTACACACGGGGCAAGGAGTCACACCGAGTGGCCCCATAGGCCCCGGGACACAAGCGAAAAGTGGCCCAAACCTCCGTCCCCAGCCGCCACTCAAACGTTGGTTGATCTGAACCAACCCCGTGGGGAATCGTCGAAAGCTAACCGCGACCATGTCTTCTCCGCAATAGATATATAAAGCACTGCTTTCGACCCCAGATTCACTCGAACATCTCTCCAGTGTACCACAGAATCCAGATTACACAGTCTCTTGAAAATCAGAATGGCTTCTGTTCATTCGAAATTTGACGCTGAGCATCGAGATCATGTCGAGCAGGTGTTCAAGCCGGATGACACGGCTGCCGATGCCGCCGCCATGGGCCAAGCAACCTCGGGATATGAGAGCTTGTCTCTGTGGCAGACAGCCAAGATGTTCAAAGTCGCAACTATTACCTGCTTTGCAGCTGCGTTCAGTGCTGCTACGGATGGGTATCAAATCGGGTACGCCGACTCCGGGGTCTCTACAAGATCCAGTCCTTCATCAAGTATTTTGCTAATAGAATATGCCAATGCCAGTATGAATGGAAGCATCATCGCCAACCAAGGCTTTGTCAAGCAATTCGCAACGGATGTCACTGCCAAGGGAACCCCATACCTTGGGTCTCCAGTCTTGGCTGGCTGGAGTTCCATCATGTCGGTCGGCCAAATCATAGGCATGGTTACGATTCCCTTCATATCTCGCAGATTTGGTCGGAAAATCGCCATGTATACCTACTGGCTCATTCTGACAGCCAGTGTTCTGGCAGAAAGTCTGGCAAGATCATGGCCAGTCTGGCTCATCGCCAAACTTCTCGCCGGAATCGGTGTTGGCTGCCTCCAGTCAACCTTGCCTGTCTATATCTCGGAATGTGCCCCAGTTCGTATCCGTGGTGGTCTCTTGATGTGCTATAGTCTGTGGTGGACTATCGGGTCTTTCTTCGCTTATATCGCTCTCCAGACGTTGAGCAAACAGAGTCCCACCACTTGGCTGACACCGGTCTACACTCAGTGGATTCAGATTGGCATCATGATCATTATCTATGTCTTTCTTCCTGAATCCCCGGCTTGGTGTGCCACACGAGGCGATGGCGAGCGTGCGAAGAGAGAATTATTAAAGCTTAATCGTGGTGTGAAGGACTACAACCTGGAGCAGCAATACGAATTACTTGTTCTGACAGTCGAACATGAAAAGCAAGTCGCGGAAGAACAGAAGAGTCAGCATTGGTACGCCATCTTCCGAGGGACCGATGGGCTTCGGACCGCCATATCCCTCTGGCCAAATTTGACACAGCAATTTATCGGTCTTACCCTCTTTGCGACCTTTGGTACATACTTCTTCCAGCAAGCTGGTCTCTCGGATCCTTTCAAGATCAAGTGTATCACGTCTGCTATCAACATCACCACCTTACTTACGGTCGTCCTCGTGTCTGACCGGATTGGCCGACGTAAGATTGCGTGTTATGCCACTAGCACTACATGGACATGTTGCGTGGTGATTGGAATCCTTGGTCTGGTTCCCCAGACTACCGTGTCCAAAAATCTCTTTGTCCTATTTGTTTGTCTCTGGAGTATGTGCATGACTCCTTCAACCCCTGACAATTGACCAACTTACCGCATGCCGTTCATGAGTATTTTTACTAACTACGGGAACTCTTAGATGTCGGTCAGGTCTCCAATGGAGCGGCTGGCTGGGGTTATATTGCCGAAACCTCGGCATTACGCCTGCGACCCCATACGGCAGGCTTTGGTGCTGCTGTCAGTTGTGTTGCCGGAGTTGTGATGAATGTCCTCACTCCATATATGGTGAATGCCAATAAGTGGAATTGGGGCTTCAAGACTGGCTGGTTCTATGCCGGTGTCGGCCTCCCTTTCCTGATTGGCACATGGCTGCTTCTTCCTGAGACTAAAGGGTATGTATCAGCTCCAACTAAATGGTTACATTAAAAGAGGACCCAGTGAATATAAGCCGCTAACTTAAATGCAGACGTTCCGCCGCTGAGCTTGATGAGCTATTTGAACGCAAGATCAAGCCTATCCATTTCGCAAAGACTGAGACAGCAACTCAACGTTTGGTCAGGGCTAATGATAATGTTTAAAAGCCCGAATCGAGTCCTAGTACCCAGTGCATCGAAATTCCAGCGTTGGCCGCGAGTTGAGCGGGAGCGGTTTGTATTTAGTATCGGAGGCTGAGAAAGAAGCAGTCAATTGTCAATGGAAAGCAATCAGTCCAGTATACAACTACGACACGTCCTCACAATAGATGCTCTTCCGGATCCTAATCACATAATGCAACTAAACAACACGTACTCTACTTAATGTTGCCAGCTCATTTTAATAAGTGTACAATAGATACAAGTGCCTAAAATTAGATCTCTAGAGCTCCTAGATAGATTCACGTAGATACAGCAACTCTTGGTGCTTCCTGGGGGTCACTGTAGGACCAAGGTGATAGGCGTTTGTCTCAGAAGGACACACAGTACAGAGGGGGTTGACTAATCTTCGGAGTGGGTAGTTACCTAGAACGCTGTGAGCTGGAAAAAGCCTAGAGGGGGTAAAAAAGCCTTTTTCCATAAGCAGAAGCCTAGGCTAAGAAAAGGCTTTAGGTAATCTGGTTGATATATCCTTGAAATCTGCTCAAGCCGATATATCCCTCTTAGTTTATAATTAAAAGCGTGAAAGTGAGCGGATTCGACAGATTTCGTCTTTCTTTGATTCTTATACAGATTAATTAGTTAGAGACAGGAAAAGAGGTATGAATAATTAAAAGAGGTAGCCCTTTCTCTCTATACCAAAAGGAAGATCCTTAGTAAGAGTAATTCACCCTCGACACTAGATTGTAAGAAGGTTATCTATAAATAGAATAGGAAACTACATACGGAGTAGAAACGGTATTAAATTGATAACTAATTCATTAATTTCTACCCACCGCCTCTGAACTCTAAGTAACTCGGTCTCGGGATCTCCAACGTTATCTTATCGTGGGGAACCGTGGAATCACGTGCAATGGATTGGTAGTTCTGGTAATCAATCACTAGCTTCCTTTCTCTCCTCCCGCCAGTCCCGCTTTAGCCTTCTGTGTCGCAAGCTTCCATACTACACCTTCTTGTCGTGATACAGATTTATACAGGAGGCTATGCTTATTTTTTAAAGAGCTTATATCTAGGTAGGCAAAGTTGCTTTTCTGTTACATGAGTTACGCATTTCATTGTGGCTTAAAAGCCGCAAGGAAGTTACACATTCTTCTCTCTTTTCAAGCTCCCGGCAGCTCATCTCTAACAAGCTTCAAACAGTTCCTATTTTGTTAAATTAAAGCTATCAAATGGATAAGCTCCCCAAGGATCGAAGCGGTACGTAATAGAGATATCATTCAATTATTTTGATTGTCATGGTGGGATCTCCTTAATGTGAGGGGGCTAAAGTGGTAGAAAATGTTCTAGTGTGCCGGCGGAGTCATACAAAATCCCGCAAGGGCTGTATCGCATGCAAAGAGCGGCATACAAAAGTCAGTTTATGTCCCTATATTTTCCCTGAGAATGCTCACTGAAGGATCATCAGTGCGATGAAGCTCGACCTTCATGTAGTCTCTGCATCAGACGCGGGCTAGAGTGTTTGTATCCTTCAGCCCCTGAAAAAGCTAAGGGGGAGCGCTCGTCACGAACTCAGCTCAATTCAGATGATTCTTCGACATCATGCAATGTCAAATCAGAAACACCATCAAGGCTCTATGAGATGAAGCTTTTCTATCATTATCTCCTGACCACTAGCCATACTTTGACGACTGATCCACAACTTCAATTCTTTTGGCTTTCCTGGGTGCCAAAGGTAGCAACCTCACACGAATACGTCATGGATTTCGTTCTTGCTTTGGCAGCCCTACACCTAGCTTCTTCTACACTCGGTACCGATGAATCCCAAACTTGGTTACGTTCTGCCTTACAATATCACACTCGTGCCCTTGCTGGTTTCCGTGAGAGCCTCAAGCTCATATCATCAGAAGGTAGCCGGGCAAGCTTCGTCTGCTCCATTTGCAACATGGTTTTTGTCATGGGTTACCAAACCGTCTCACATAAGGAGACCTCAAGAGACCCTTTGGATGACTTCCTGGAAACACGGGCCATGTTGAAGATGACCCGCTTTCTAGGAAATCAGTCCGACCGACCTCAAGCCAATCCATTCTCTGATACCGAGTTACAGAATGGTCATATAGCAGTCCACCAGGAGGAAAGGTCAACATCCATACACCGAATGCGCTCTACTATTGACTAACCTATATAATTATAGTTATGATGTCAAGTTTACCAATCTACATAAGTATGAGATCCTTGCACGCAAACAAGATGCCCCAACTAACCCAAAGTAGGTCTATTTTGGAAAGACTGGCGGTATTCGGCCGTGGGATAGTACATGGGAATCCCGAAAAAGAGATGGTGCTCAAGAACACTTTTCAGATTCTCAAGGAATCTATTGAGGCCTGGCAAATGAGAATTGGATCTCTCAATTTTTCTTTGGAAGTGAGCGACGCTTTTGTTGATCTGCTCAAACAGGGTGATTGGATGGCTCGTATTATTCTATTATTCCATGGACTTGGAATGCACTTACATTCGGAGCGATGGCCTATCAAAGATTCTGGGAAACGTCTAGTCCTGGCTGTCCTGCCTCGCAAAAATGATGTGTCTTCTCAGTGGGAAGACTTGATCACTTGGATGGAATTGGCAGTGAATACATAATTTTTCTAGGATATACAAATATGATATAAAATCCTCATTTCCTATGCATCTAACTTTAAATATTTGAGCCTCTAGAGAGCAATAAAGGGTAATTCATGCTTTCAGTATTTTCATCTCACACTACAAAAATTTACGTGGTCTTAGAGTCACCAACCAGAAGCCATCAAGGCTCTTGGAAAAGTGGGTCAATACGAAAACGAGAACGACGACGAACACGCTCTATACGATACGAGATACGGGAGGATCAATCAATATATATAGAGTTGCAAATTCAAAGCGTGACAACTCATCCTCACTATTCTGTCGTCCACTGTGACGGTTTTTCTTAAAATGCTGGACACCACGAATTGCAAGGCGGTCTCGCCAGAATGCCCAGTCGCCGCAACCACCTATGGATATACACCCAATCTAGGTGCCAACGCGTTCTTCGCCGCGGTATTTGGTCTTTGTTGTATATTGAACCTTGTCATTGGCATCAAGTCCCGGCAAGTAATGTTCACGATTGCTCTTACCGTGGGTAGTCTGTTGGAATTGATAGGGTACATCGGCCGTATTCAGATGCACAATAACCCTTGGGACATGGGTGGCTTCCAGATGCAAATCGTGTGTCTGATCCTTGCTCCATCGTTTGTGGCAGCTGGGATCTATTGGTCTTTGAAACATATCGTTTTGTTTGTCGGCCCTGAGAAATCGCGTCTACCGCCTCGTCTTTACCCGTGGATCTTCGTTGGTTGCGACGTTGGCTCCATTATTCTCCAAGCTGCTGGTGGCGGTGTTGCGGGGTCTGCAAAGCGAACGAACAAAGCTCTTCTGGATGCGGGGAATAATATCATGATTTCTGGTATCGCCTTTCAGGTCGCCACCATGGGTGTTTGTGGAGTACTCGGAATGGACTTTGTATTTCGAGTACGGAAAGGCCGGCAATTCCAGGAGGTTCAAGCTGAAAAACTTGAAGAAAGTGAGGTTCGCAAGTTTTATTTTTTCTGTGTAGGAGAGATTATTGCCTACTTGACAGTCCTTATCCGTTGCATTTATCGGTTAGTCCTGCCTGCGACGCACTTGCTTTCCTCTATGCGTGTTATTGATTTGTTCTAGTTTGCCTGAAATGGCTGGCGGTTGGGGGAACCCGCTGATGCAAAAGGAGACAGAATTCCTGATTCTAGACGGAGCGTAAGTCTCGAGGGCATATATCTGCAGATGATCGGCTGACTTGTTTTCTTCAATCAGGATGATTACGATTGCAGTCGTCATTCTCACAATCTTACATCCTTACTTCACCTGTCCTTTTGTGCGGAAATGAGCTTCGAGGAGAGTATCATTTTTCCACAAGGCACATATAGGATGAGCCCTTGTTTATTCTATATTGTCTAATGTGCATTCTGATCTGTACGGGTTTTACACAAATCATATACCATCGCCTTTAGTATAGAAATACATTTACTTACCAAAGAGGTTACATATCAAAAAGCTTGCCAGAGATAGTGTTCGATAGAACACACTGTGCATGACTTCTTTAGAAATATCGAAATAATTTTATACCCTCAGACATGATATATGAAATGGAGCTTAATGCAAGACACCATCACTCATGCAATCTTGATTTTGAATCAAGGGATTGTCAGACTGTTGAATTTTCGCAGTGAAAATCCGGATCATGTATCCACCAACTCGGGGGCGGCTCTGAGGGCGACTCTACCTTGCCATGGGATTGTTGGGTTTGAGATATATCTAAACATTCAGGTAATGGTTCCCATCTACTATATAAGTTTCTCGGAGGAAGCTGTACGCTATCTTAGTGGAGAGTAGACTGAAACTGATTCATCTATCGCGCTAAACCCGGGGCGTCAGCCTACTAGTTGCCCCTCGGTTCTCGGGGCCATTTTGTGAGAGATACGGATGTGTCCCAGCGACACAGTTGACTCACTCACGATATCATTTTTATACAAATTCAACCCATAAAAGCCCACATATTATGATAAAGTGTCTTAGTATCTAGTAGAGCCGTAATATAACATTTTCCAAGGTTTAGATTGAATAAAAAAAAGTCTATACCACCCCGATGCATTGCAAGACTGCCGGATTAATTAAAAAACAAAAAAATTAGAAAGCTAAGGGCGTTTCGCCCGCCCTAGATACTCGCTTCTCCCGAACTCATTCTTATCTCACTTAGCCCCCTTTACTATATCCTGATTTCTGACCAACTGGACGTAGAACTTGCATTTCTGATAGCCTGTTGCTTATCCCGAGACTAGGCTAAGTACCGAATGTGGGCATGAGACCACCCCGATCAAGCGGCTTTTCTGAATAACCTTAGAATATAGCTGGGTAGTCGATTTGAGATGACCGGCTCAGTGGAAGATCTCAACCGTGCGGTTAATAAAGCAGTAAATTCCACCTCTCAAGACGTCCCTAATCGAGCGGACTGGTTGAGCAACCTTGGAATCTCACTGGGTATACGTTTCGAGCGGACCGGCTCGATGGACGATCTCAACCGTGCCATCGACGTTACGGAAATGGCCGTAAATTCCGCACGTCAAGACCACCCCGATTGGGCCCGTTGGTTGAACAACCTTGGAAACTGGCTCGATAAACGATCCAATCGAACCGGCTCAATTGATGACCTCAACCGTGGTATTGGTGCTACAGAAATAGCGGTAAATTTCGTCCCTGAAGACCACCCGATCGAGCTGGTTGGTTGAACAACCTTGGAAGCATGGTTGGTAGGCGATCCGAGCGGACTGGCTCGATGGACGATCTCAATCAATTTCATTCCAGGTGTATCGGGATATAGCCAGCAGACCAAGGTTCTCTGAGCCACCGGAAGGTAGCTAAGTGGAAGGCGAAGGTTCCAAGTTACAAAATTCCTTTCCAATTCACTGGCCAATCGCGGAACGCTCCTTGGTACCAATTGAAGGGTCAATTGGTGGTAATATGGAGTAATTCATGCTGCAGAACCCTGCATAGCCTCGAAAATAACTCTCGAGTAAGATACCATATTGTAAGTTATTACTAGGTGCAAGATGTAGAGGCTAGGCTTCTAACCTTAAATAACTCTCATTCGTTCAAGTGGTTGAAGGAGATAGAACGCCCCACTCAGAGTGTTATATAAGGACATCTCCGCAAATTGATTGACTAAGGGAGACGGCGCTTTCTGATTCCTAGCGAGAGTATTATTGGCACTAACGAAAGCGAACCCAGGGAAACATACCGACGAGGAAATTGGATCTTTATGACGGATGAGCGGAAATTAGAAAGCAAAAAATCCATAAGACTCTTAACTGTAGCTACCGTTAAGGCGGACGAATAGCCGAGTTGTATCTATGGGCGATTTTCGAAGAGCAGAACCATAGTAGGTAAAGTGCTTGCCTATATCAAAAGTAAAAGCCTAGCCGATTCTATCTTTTTCTATCCGTATGCCTTATTACACTGGAAGGCGGTGAACCCACGGTAAATCAGACTTAATGAGTGCTAAACAATGACCCTAGCACTGAGAAAGATTATAGATACGCTGCTGATTATTGCTCTAGGTGATGATGGAAAATAAAAAGTAAGAAGCTGAAGGGAAAACTAGGAGAAATAAGACAGTCTAAAGATGTTAATGGCTGCGAGAACTGCGTAGTCGTGTAGGTTCGGAATAGCGGAGAAGTTCATTGCGGTTAAAATTCGAGCAACTATTTCTGGGAAAGTCATCAGCTTTTAATACGTTATAGCTTGATGTAGAATATAATTTGAAGCATCATAACGTTCCCGGCTAGTCTGGAATCGTTTTGTTGAAAAAAGGACAAAGGTTAAGTTGCCCTTTTAACCGTTGAGGCCTTATCCCGTCATGCAAACCGCATGCTTGTCTTTAGTCCTAGCATTGTACACCTTCAGGTGTATATTTACGTTCATAGACTGTATTTTACCTTCTATTACAACAGTCCTACACGCTAACAGAAGAATGGATGAGATTACGCAAATCGTCCGTGATATCGGACGCTAACAAGCCCACAATGCGTACTATCGTAAATGCTATTCTCTCCTTAAGCGTTTGCAAGAATGTGTTGACCGAATTTCCGATGATATATTACGTCTCTATTAGGCAGGTGAACTTATTTCTTGTTGTGACGGAGTCAGACCGGTAAATTCAATAATAGATGAGCTACGACACAGCGTTCTGGAACTGATTGAAAGGGCTCGAAATGCGCAGACCTCCTGCGAGATATATTGTCCAGTGGATGCATGCTTTTCGGCCCGAGACGCTTTTAGCTTCACAGACATAGACTGGCATAGCTCATGGAAAACGGAGATTTGAGATGCTGGACCAAAGCCATGAGGGTTTATTTCGTGACTCGTGGATCTTGAAGGCATGAAATAGAGTGGTTGGTTAGTTCATCTTATAGTACACATACAATGTAATTCGTTACTTAACGAGTAAAAACATGCTTAAAACAGCGTCAAGAGTGGCCGTCTTCAGCGTCGAATTTACCGTTTCCTAGCGTTGGGTGGAAAATTCGAATAGCATTAGTTTTCTTACAGGATTTAGTCTCTTAGCAGTTGAAATACACGATCTGTAAATGGTGTATTAGAAGACTTGATAGACGCTATAATAGGAGAGAGAGATACAAGAAAACTGACAAAAAGCTCGGAGAGAGGTGGAAGAAGTATAGGAATAAAAGAGGCAAAACAGAAGCTAAAAGGCCAGAAAATATTGAAGTGGTACGTATTCCCGATTTATGAGATGTTCTGCTGCCTCCTTTCTGTCCTTCCTTCTTCATTATTGATTTTTTTTCCCCTTGTTTTCTCTTCTTCGCTTTCCTTAAAATTCTGGTCTTGTGGGTTTGCTAGCCTTGAAACCTTCGAAAAATAACGGTTCGAGTTCCTCAAGATTATAATCTAACACTATGCCCCAACCCAAGGTAAGATCCTTTCTTTTGTCCGAGGAGACCCCTGTCTTGTCATTGACACGTCGTATGCATAACGGTCCAGCCAAATATGAGGTATATATTCTTCCTTCCGTACAAGGAAACCAAGGGCTGTTTTGGTGCATTGAATACCGAACCTCGTGCGCCGATTCTCTCCAGTACAGGAGGGTATTCTGCTCCAACGGGGCGTGGACAGGGGTTGTAAGTTGCTCCTCAGCGTCCAGGGAGATGATGAAGAACTTTTTCAGTAGCGGTAAAACACCTGGGGCATGAAGACAGCTTTCCCGAAACCTGTCCCATATTTGCTGCGAAAAGGAGCGGATCGAACTATGGACAGGGCTTTCAGGAATGAATTTAAGTGCCAGAGAAGATGCAATGGGCTCAGCAAGTATGCAAGCTAAGTGGTGTTGAACCTTTGGGTCAGTCATATCGGCGACACGACATATCTCGGAGCAATAATGAATGTGCCTGCAACCTAAAAGTTGTGCATTTAGTACTTCGCGCATCCCGACGGCTGACATGCAATTACCTGGACACGCAAATTTGGCTCTCTTGCCACATTTCCACCGGTCACATTGTCGTGAAACCTTATTCAGGACGTCATCAATCATGAGGTTAGTAGCTTTTTCTTCCGCGTCCTCGGCGCTATGGCAGAATTCAAAATGACTTGGTTTCAAAGTATTGCGTCCGTGAAGCTTATGCCACTGTGCTATGTCTGCGCTGACAGATTCATCAACTCCCCTGTCCTTGGCGACACGAAGGAATTTGCACGCAAAATCTTGAGTGTAAACGCTCTGGTCGCCCAACAGCGCACGCGCAATTGTCCATCCTCTAAAATAAATGCCTTGGGCTTTTTTCAATCGCCCATGCCTTTCTGTTGCTGTGCCGAGGTAGTTCATGCATTGGATGGCCTTTATGCTCTTGATTCCATGCTCTCGCTGACACTCTTCGAGGAAATTTTCCCATTCTTCCTCTACAATTGTCAATTTCGTTTCTGGGTGACTGAACTCAGGTGCATCATAGCAGCTGGCAATTTCTTCGCGACTTGGTTCATTCAAGATCTTTTGCAACGATTGATAGACCTTTAATGAAGACAACATCAGATCTTCGTCTGCGGCAAATTCTGGATTCTGCCACGGAGGCAGAATTGACAATCTGACAGGGCCAAGCCTGCTCGGGATAAAATGATCTATAATTGTCCTTAAGGCTGCTCCATTTCCAACTTTGCGGGCATAATCGATGGGTGTGGCGTTGGAGTAATCGCGTGAGGTGAGTAAACGATATGAGAAGTACCGCTCCAGTCTGAGAACTCGGCGAAGGTAAGTGCATGCCAGTTCATAGTCATCCGAGGCTAGACAGATGTGAATCCCGGTCCTCCCCCAGGTATCTCTGGTAGTGAGTAACCGGCGCCGCTCGTCGGTTGGAAGCTTCGCTACATGGTCTAAAAGAACATTGAGACTGCGCTTGTTCCCTTCCAAGAGCGCAATGTCAAGGGGGGAGAGGTTCAGCATTCCCCTAATACCGACCTGAGAGCCATTGGAAAGGAGAACCTCAACCACCTCCGGGGCATCTCCATCCTGCGCTGCGAGGAATAATGGAGTTGAGAGTGTATTGTCCCGGCAATTGATCAGCTTCGGCCCTGCAAGAGATAAAATCCGTCGAAGCAAACTGACATCTTTCACCCGCGCTGCAACATGCAAAATAGTCTCGCCGCGTGTTGTGCGATCATTGAGTGATATTCCGCTCTGGACTAGCAATGCAAAAACCGAGTCCGAATCCGGAACTGGACTGATCATAGACATCATTAATGGTGTGAATCCATCAATACAGCAAGCTGCAGGATCCGCGTCGTATTTCAAAAGGATATGTATTATCAAAGATCTCCGTTGCATGAGCTCTGTCCGGTCGTCTACGTCCTTCTGCTGTTGTCTGCCAAGGAAATCGACGCTTTGGTTTGTTCTTTCGAGTATCCCTGGTAGAGTGAACATGGAGTCTTGCGAAAGAGCGTGCAAAGGCGTAATATATCCCTCTCGTGAGTTGCGAGAATTCGGATTGGCTCCAAACTCTAACAAAAGAAGTACGGCTGTGGGGCGTAGCAGCCTTACGGCAAGGTGAATGGGAGTGATTCCTTGGAACCGAATATTAGGGTCAGCTCCGTTTATTAGCAGCACCTGCAGCTGGTCCAAGAAGTTAAAGGCAACTGCGTGGAACAACGCTGGTAGTTGATTAGAATCTGGAGGAATTTTTGTCTGATCGTACATCACAGCCAGTTGATTGTACATCACAGGCAGTGCAGCAGAGATCCCGTTGAGGAATTGGTGGCAGATACTGGAGGTGCGCCGAGAACTCCCATTGTCAGATTTGATATCGAGGGAGAGCCAGAGTCCCAGGACAAGTCGCATCATAGTAGGAGTACCCCTTTGGAGGACGAAGTCCATAATCCATTGTTCCAACAATTTTCTTGTATCTGCACCACAGTTTATCAATGTTACAGCCATGCGATAGTCATCACGCATTATGGCATCCTCTAGACTGGTGGTTTTTCGTCCACTCAATTTTTCGATCGTGTCGGGATTCGTTCCGTGGTTCAGAATCAGACTTCTCAAAACACTCTGGCGATCTCTATCCGCCGATACTGTCACTAGGAGGTCGAGAAAACCTAACGGCAGAGGTCTCTTCTGCAGGAGTAGACGATCCAGGGCCTCTTCGTTATCGTCACAGACGGCATCTAGGATAGACTGAATGTGGGGAGAACCTTGCGAGAGCTTTTGAGCATGTTGTAGCGTTTTTCCCGCAGCAATTGACTTCTTGTCGTTCATGGTGCGCAATGCTATGATATTTGTTTCGATATCGTCCTGCAATGCATCCAAGAGCATAGTTGGGTCAGCGGATTTCAGGACTTCAGTCACACGCGAGTCGATATCATTGATATCTACACACTCTGGACAGAGTCGAGGATTATAAGAAGACGTAAAAGAGCCCAGCAGACAGGCCATCACCCACTTCACCCGGGTGTCCGTCGTTATGCTTGCAGCCAATGACAAAGGGGTGTGCTTTGTCGCTTTTTCGATCCTAAAAACCATCTCCATTCCTTTTACGGACCCATCATTTGCGGCTCGGCAGAACCAGGTGAAGGCACTCTGAAGACTTTTAGGGGTTCCAAAGGCGTTGAGGAAGAACATCCCCAGGCGATCCATGGCTTTGACTCGGTCCACCGGACCCCCATGGTTGGCCACCTTCAACGCATGCTCATAAAGCTGCTGTCGCAACTCTGGTGGCGTCGACACATCAAGCTGTGAGTCGAGATCCCAGCTGCCTATATTCGATGCCAGCCTCGAAAATCGATATGTGAGAATGGATCCCTTGATGCGCCATTTACTGTCGACTTCTCGGAGCGAGTCCCTCTCTTCGGTGTGCGGGCTGTCTCCCATAAGAACGTTGCTCGAGAGGATCTGAAAGATGCACACTTACAGTAAAGACCCAAGGATTGCCCGCAGGGAAGGTCTGTTCTCTGGACTTACCACAGTTGTCTGTGGAACGATGTCCAGCAGAGCCTGGGCCAACAAAGTGGTCTTTGGTCCGGGAATGCGCCTTATGTTCTTGATTTTTGAGGATATCATTCTGAATACTTGATTTCTCAACTTCATTTCCATGATACCCTCCTTGCTGAGTGCGCCAAATGGCTTTTCCCCCGTTAATATATAAGCCATCAACAGTCCCAGTGTATACACATCCCGGCTAGTTGTGAATGCAAACTTTTTAAGGTCCGGCGGTGCATCATACAAGCATTCAGGGGCATTCCAATACGGCGTCCCCCCAGCCTCAAGCTGAGAAGTATTGGTCGCCTGACAAAATCCGAAGTCGGATAGCTTCGCAATTGGACGCGATGTAGGTGATTGTGACGAAAATATCAGAATATTTTCTGGCTTGATGTCTCCGTATACCACTCCCAGGTCGTGAATGAGTAGCAGCCCCTCGACAATATCCCGAATTAGTTCATACCGGATATCAAGTGAAGGCGACAGATCTTTGATTAGGCTTGCTAGAGTGGGATGTTTCTTACATGCCAATTCTGTGATGAGTATCGGGTAGATTACACCGTCTTGCATAGTCCACGAAACGGCCTCGAGAGTGAGAATATTTTCATGAATTCTCGCACGGGTATCTGATAAAACCCGTAGTTCAAGCATACAGGCTTCTAACAGACGTCGATGCTCATGCGTGGAGGACTGCTTCATGTTCTCACTAGCCCACAGTGCATTTTTGAAGTATCTAGATGATGGAAAAATTGTAAGCTATCATAAAGAGCTATCTGCTTCCTCGATAGCATAGAAGCTTACTTGAGGGCTACTGGGCTTCCAGTCTCCTTCCAGGTGCCTTCATATACGGCCATCGTAGCACCGGAACCGAGAAACCGACCCTTTGCGAACTTGTTTTCTGGATAGACCCTGACTCCGGAATCGAAACAAAATTCAAAGAATTGCTCGACACCAATTCCCGCGACAGTTTGATTGGCTCTTTCTGAGGGTTCGGGGTCTTTACTAACTCGCGTGCTCATAGTCAGCCCCACAAAGGAGTAGCTGGAGTCAAGAGACCCCTGTTCAAAGGCTGTCAAGTCAAGAGGCTCGAAAGCCTCAGAATCTATCTTAATGCTGTCCATATTTCGAGTTTTATCCCCACTGAATTCGTATAGTATGTGATGTGAAGAGTGCTAGCCGAAAGGCGTGAGGGTGATGCGGAAGGGTGAGCAATCGCAGTGGGTGCGTACGGCGTTGTTGTGCTAAATCATGCATAAGTTTGACCGCCTCTGGGGCCGCCCTTCTACTGATGCCTTAACCCTCAGGCAAAATAACGTGATAACCCCCTGATTTTTGGTCATGTGATCACACTCCTCCCTTAATACTAGGCCTTCCCCACTCCTCCTACCGCCAAGGATCATTTCTTCCCCCTCACAAGCTGGCCTTAATCCTGCCCAACAACGAAGCCCTTATGTGTTACATAGATTATTGTAAACGTGAATTTGATAAGCCCTCTCGAGAGATCATGTGGCTTCCTCGAAAGTACATGGTTCAATTGTGGAGAAACCTCCTTCTTGAGCTGTGCATGCGAGGTTGGACTTGGTCGTAATCAATATTCTGCCGGTAAATTTACTTATGAATTATGCACTGGAGAATGGCCGCTACGCACCGCCGTAGGGTGCGTATCTGCATCCTGGTGTGCAGGCTAACAGGAGACTGACCAGGAAACTCTAAACATCGCATAGACTTAATGGGGGGTTACCTGCATGAGCTGCGGGGTATGTTCCCAGCTTTTTTTTTTTTTTTTTTTTTTTCCAAATCTCCGAGAACCATTTCAAATAGATCTCATCATCGGGTTCCCCGTTATTTTAGCTGTCGTCTCATAGGATAAGTCACTACCCATTCCCCGCAACTTTCCTATCGAAGATAACCCATATCGGACGAATGGATGCATTCAATACAGCTGCCTTATGTTGCGAAGTCATCTGGAAGACTGTGGAAGCCGCCGCCGCGTTCGGGAGGGAGTCTCAATCACTGGTCGCTCGTTTCAAGTACGATGCCCGCATTCTTCAGCACTTTCACGACTACTTCTCACAGCAACGAGCCACGGTCCTCGGATTAAGCCCAGAGGATGAACAGATCCTAGAGGACAGCATTTCTTACCTCGGGCCGCTGTTGAAGCGCGCGGAATTGTGCAAGACCAAGCTTGAGGCTCAGAGTCGCTGGTCCAGGGAATTCAGCAGGCTTACTTGGTCTCTGCGGCGAAATGAAGTGCAAGAACTTGAAAAGGAGCTTTATGAATGGGCGAGGAGACTCGATCTCCGGTTAATTGCGCTACCTGAACGGGCGCGAGCTGTAATGCTTGTGGGGGAGTCACAGGAGACAATGACCCCAAACGTGGCCACCAGGACGCGGATCGAGCGGTTTGCAGCGAAAGCTGCTTCTGCAAAGAAGGCCGTTTGGGGTCCCCTTCTAGTGACACCTGATCAGGTCCAGACTATGGGCCGCCGGCAAGAGTCGCGTTTCTCTTTAGGGCTTCTCCACGGGCGAAACATCCTACTGGAATTCCGGTCGCAAATGGAACATCTAGACGCCATTTCCTTGGAACGTCAAAAGGCCGAGCTGGGTGAATTCGTGGCAGCGCTCAATTATCTGGACTCAACAACCACCGGCCTCTTGCGGTGCCTGGGGTTTTATTATAACTCGAAACCCTCGCCACATTTTGGTCTTCTGTACCAATTGCCTATCGACCGTGATGAGAACTTCATATCCTTCAAAGAGCTTCTGGATCTCCGTGACCCACATGGGCGGCGGATGAAGCTCAAGTATTCCCTCAATGAACGGCTGGAATTTGCGCGAAAATTAGCCACTGCCATCTTCTTCGTTCACTCTCTAGGTTGGGTTCACAAGGCAATTCGGTCTCAGAATATTGTTCTTTTGGGAAAGTACCCTGCAAGGGAGCAACCAGATGATGGGCGAGTCCCGATGAAATGGACCCTCGGATCTCCTGCCCTGGTAGGATTTGAGATGGCCCGTACAAGCGAGGGTGACACTGATCCTGGCCGCCGTAGGCGTATGCCGTTAGAGATAGGGGTTTATGTACATCCTGACCTGCAGCAGCCCTCCGCTCATGTACGGCACAGTATGTGTCATGATATCTATAGTCTTGGTGTCATTCTACTGGAGGTGGGTATATGGTCCAGTGTGGAGAAACTGCCACTGCTTCACCCAGACATGAATCCCACGGAAATCAGTCAGGCGCTACGAAAGGTAGCTCGTGAGACGGAGTTAATGATGGGGCGGCGGTACCGCCAGACCGTTGAATGGTGTTTGAATCAAGAGCACGTTGAAGATACTGGGAGCGTTAGATTGATATCCGAGGTACTCGAGAAACTGGAAGACCTTGCAGAATCAGTATGATTTTATGGTGATTACCAAGCCTAACGACTCAATGTGAGTGATGTGCGCGGAAGAGCTTCTCAATACGAGGGATCCGCGTCGTGGCACGAAATGATTTGCTCTTCTCAATTTTAGCGCACTTGGCAGTATTCAGGGCCTCGTCAGAGGCATGACCACGCTAGTCCGCTATGTTCATTTCAGGATGTTTTGGTTCCAACTTTTGATAGTGGTTGTTTCATTGTCATCGCTCCTTGGAAGATGGAGGCTCTCAACCGACTACGTACAAGGTTAGACAAAAACCGCACGCCGATCGCCCATGGTGTTGAGCCAAAACCCTTCAATGCCACAGCTGCCCCTCAACCCCGCACCGAGCCAAGTACTTCAAGTAACCCCAAATGTTCACCGTCAAATCTTGTCTCGAGACGTTCACAATCATGGCCGGTGGAGTTAGAAACACCACGGTCTCATCTCAAGGTACTCGTCTACTGCGTTAGCTTGGGCCAGCTGAGATCTAGAACTTCGGGGTTACCGCAGCGAGACCTGAGCTGCTGGACCTTCATTTCATATGGTCTAGCCAATGTTGCCGGGGGTGAACTTGTTATGACCCTTCTAAGACGAGATTCTGAAGGCCCTACTGCATATCCTTTAGATTTTTTGCGCATCTGCGACCGGTTTTACGGAGAAGCTCAGCGACATTACAAACAGCTTCGTCGTTGGCAGGTACTAGAACTTGAAGAACCCCTGTTTGATCGCGAAGACTTTCACACAGTCATTCTGGGCTTTCAAAATACGGCACTTGTGGGAATGGAGATTCTGGAGGCCGAAAAGGTCATTAAACCATATTTTCATGTTCTTCTTTTAACGGATGAAGAGGCTGCTGTTGCCGATAAACACGGCATGATGCGCGCATTTATCGCTCGCCTGGGCTCATCCCCTTTCTTTCCCCGTCCACAATTCGTGGATCGGGATAGAAAATCGGGCAGCAGCCTGTCCAATATGAAGGGAAGTTCGTCAGTACGCACATCTTCAAATCAGTTGGCAATAAAGGGGCTCAATGTGCTTCAGGAGGGGATGGACATTTACCTGCTTGTGCCACCTGGTCAGGCCGAAGACTTCAAAGCCTCAATCCCATTTAGGAGCACTGTGGGTCAGATTCCGCTGCGAATTGAGTCAGAAATGCATGAGGCATGTGACAGTGTCTACTATTGGGAAAAGCCAAATGATTCTCCTACGCAGCGGCTATGTGCTGGACCTCTAGCCAGCCAACTAACTGCAATGAACTTTCTCAATATTTGTCCAAACCAGTCCGCGCCTGCGATTACGCCAGTGGAGGATGGTTGTTTAGGTAAGTACTTGATAACTACCTAACCAAATTAAAGGTAGTTATCTAAGCTGAGGAATCCTTTCCCCTACATGGTGTGATATTGATAGCAAATACAGTTTTCATGACAGTGCCTCAGTCTAAAAAGTTCTTCACAGCTGCGATATCCGGTACTGCATTCAGCATGTCTACTGACAGCATGTCCTTTCATTTAAGCTGGTCTTCGCCGTGGCCTTTACCGACTCAGTCACTTTTAACAGATAAAGCAATGTTTGTTGCTTCGCCATCTCCGGGTCGTTCATCTACTGCGGGAAAACACGTGAAAAGGGCCCCTCATATAGAGTCAGGGGGACTTATTCTCATCCGCCAGCCATCAGATTCCAGCCTCCTTATAGAAAAATTCGGAACTTTCGTGGACCTTATTGATGAGGTGATCGTGAACACAGTTCCTGAAATTAAACCTTCGTCCTTACCACAAGGTTGTGGAATCTGTGTGCAATTTCGGCTGCCATCGACAAACACCTCTCCGTTCAAGTTAGCGATGACGTCCTCAGTCGCGAACTCTACCTTACCGGTCAACGCCATTCTAGACGCTCTAGAAACGCTTCCATGCATTAATGTCTTTGCCATTCCGGACATTATAGAGGTACAACTATTGTACGCCTGTTGGGGGTTCCAAATAGATCAATTCGGTCCTCCGACAGCCCTGTAGAGGGCTGCGAGATAAATAAGCAAAAATACGAGTACTTTGATATTTGACTGCGTTCAGGACCTACGTGCATACCTCATATTATCTATCATACACTACCGTATATACCACGATCTCCTCGATATGGATTATCATCGACTGAAGAGGAGGAACTGTTAATTTATGGGGGTTGAAATCACTCTGACTCCTTCTTAGTCAGATCTCAGGATGGCTAATATCCATGACCTTCCCTATTCTAGCTTGGCTAAGATATAATGTATGTACTGTACTAAAATGACTCAACTAGGTTCGTTCCTGACACACGAACGACGCCTTAACCTTCGCACCATCCTACCAGGGAGATAGGTACATTAGCTAGACACGATGCTACTTTAGCTCCCACGCTCACAGGCGGACAATTCTTCAAGTACAGGATAATGGAATATCAAATCCATCCCTGTATCACATTCCCCGAGGTCGATCGATCGTGAGTCCTCACATCTTATTTATCCCGGTCGAGCAACCCGAATGAGAGCAGAGCCAGTTAGACTTATCTATCGCCTACCCCCCACCTGCAACTGGACATCCAAAGCACACCTTAATTGCTCTTTACTATCCGGAGACTTGCGACTCACAAACAGTTAAGCAAGATTAAGCCATTAAACTTTTAAAGTATAAATGAATATCGCACCATCAGGAATAATTCCCGACACATCTATGTAGGGTATCAAGTTGACTATTTATATGTAGGATTTGCCTTGATTCTCTAGATGTATATACGTTCCACGTTTTCTTATTAAATATTAGCATCTTTTCTCTGAGGACAGAAGGTCAAAGTCTCTTTAGATGGCCCCTGAGGTATGTATATAGGTAAGGTAACGAGGGCACTTTCAACCACCTTAATAAGAGATGATCTCACTATATCATGCCAAAGATTCATATAAAATGCCCTCCGGATTCCACGGAGCTGGTTGGCGATACCAAAATTGTACCTTTTTCTCGCCAGGTAGAAATTCAACACGGACACCGTCGATTCGAGCAGACTCCGGAATCGCTTCCCAAGGTTGGTAACCTTCGGACTCTATTTTGATCAGCCGATCCAGAACTCGCGTAGAGTGATCTTTCTAGACTTATATATTATTAGATACACTGCCCTCCTTTTCGCCATTTTTCTTTCTATCCGCTTGTCTTTCTGGCGTCATAGAAAAGGGGGTTTAAAAGTGACTATCACCATGAGTACGAGTTGGTTACCAGGTATTTATCAAGTTTTACAAAAAAAAAAAAAAACCGAACCCTCAATACGCACACAAAAAGAGCTTGGCGCGACCACATATATAAATACTGGGGCACCCCAGGTCCAACTCTCGTAGACTTGTATCCACTGATTCCACTTACACGTCCGGTCAAGCTTGCACTATTCTCCAAAATGGCGAAATCAGCAGATGAGTTTTATCGGTTAGAGCCTCTCTTGGAAAAAGCAATCCGATTCCCCGGAGACATCTCACTTGAGGAAAAACACCAGATTATAGACTGGCCGCCCCTCGATGAGATGCAGTCTAACGTCCACCAGTACCTCGGCTTATCATTCGAAGACTTGATCCAAAAAGCGGCGATAGCCTCAGACTCCCTAACGTACCCAGAGTGTCGTCTGATTGGTGACTGTTTTCGCATTCTACGATTAAGGGAACATGAGGTTGTGTCGGACAGTCAGTTCTTTTTTCATGAGCGGCCCGACCTAAAAGCCAAGAAGATACAAGGGAAGCTGCAATTCTTACATCGGAGGAATTTCAGACACTTCGAAACACAGACAAGGTTTAATACGACAAAGAAAAGACACATCTTAACGAAGATCACGCGAAGTGGGAGGCGGAGAGACAGCGAAGGCCGGACCACATGCCCAAAGAGTGGGTGCAGAAGATCATCGATCACAACAGATAGGGGCTCATTCTCTATCATAACTAGGGTATCGCTGGATAGGAGGATTTCAGGGCACTTCTCCATGGAGTCCTAGAAATGCGTTTATATAGTGTTACTAGCTTCGAACAGATTCAAGATATTAAAAAGGCTGAATTTGTCGAATTTGAGCCCAAGGATAATGTCTAAGAAGAATTAGATTACCTACGCCAGTTAGTAGAATTTCTTCCTATTCTTCGTGAGAAGATAGTATTAACTCAATGGCTAGGGATTTTCGAAGTCGCCGCGAAAAAGGCGACCTCAGATCTGGAATTCTTGACAACGGCTTTCTCTTGTTAACAGATAAGGCTCGATCATCATACGGCACCGAAACTTCACAAATGGTCTATGGGTATATTTGGGCAGTTGATCCTAACTAGTCCTTATCGGGAGCTAACGAGGATGGTTACGATGGGCGGATAAAAATCAATTTCACCCAGGTCATTCTGGCGGTTCTATGAGTTTATTTCGAGTGGCAACTTCACTCTGAAGGATATCTGGCGTGATTTTAATGATGTTAATTTGACGAAGCCATAGATATGCGAGAAGGAACCCATTGCTTGGCATTTTACTAATCTCGACAGGCCCAAGTGGCCCTATTGGTGACCATCGAGGACGTCTGAGTACCTTATATTAGCATTTTAAGAGTGGGCGGAATGAATATTGGTTATTTAGGGTGCGAATGAAATGGGTCAAGTGTTTACTCTGGATGAGCGTTCGAATCACTCTAGGTGTGTATGCTACATACTAATCTAGCATGTAGGCCGTTGGCACCTAAGTCCCTTATAGGCTTTCGATGCCTAACTCGGTGAAATTATCAGTGAAAAGCCGCTTGAATTAAACCTAGATTGTTTTCAACTTTTGTTTTCAATGATTCTCGATTAGGGTAGGTAGTATTTTAGCCCTTTCAAACTTCTAACAAGCGGGTCTCTCATGTCCGTAGTTACAGTATTATCTTCCAATGCAGATCTGGGATTTCGACGATTTAAATAATTTCATAGCAAACTACCGAACACAGAACCAGTTGTAGGTTTAATTCCATTTTAAACCCCTAGTTTAACACTGTAATGCTAGGGTGGAGTACGTTCTGGGAACTCCTTATAGATGGAGACAAATGGTCATAAGGCCGCATATAGTGCATAACCCAGTACCCAAGACTAGTAGTTGTTTATGGATGTAGGTCTAATGATGCTGCCAGCTCCCATGAAACAGGGCCCCAAGAGGACTGGGCACTCCTGGCACGCTCAAAATATCACCGCCAAAGGCGGGCAAGCAAATATGCATCCAGTGATAACACATCTCTGGCCCTGGTGGCGATGGGTCTTCAGGGCTTTCAGGCCCGCGAAAGTAGCCTGGGGATAAAGGCCATCGAATAAAGCTGCCAACGACGGATCCAAGACATCAGGCAGGAATATAAGCTTCGCTAAGCTCCGCAATCACGACTAAGCAAGCGGCAAGATCCACGTGCTAGGATCCAAATCTATGAATGGAGGGAACAAAACCCCCGGTCGCATCTCCAGCACAATTATCATCAATATATTCTACGGCCGAAAGCTACAGCTAGTCAGAACGACTATGAATCTAGAACTTCTCACCATAATCATTAACCCCTAGACCTAGCTATATTAGGACAACCTGTTAATGCCGAGGGCTTCCAGGATGCTTACGCCAAGCGCAGCTAAGCGTGCGCGAGAGCAAAGTCTTTCATGAGGATCTACTTCGTGCGTCCGTTTCAAAAATATAGCCTCTACTTCCAATATTCTTATAGTGCTTGCTTCGGCCGTAAAGGCTATTCAACTGCTTCATTTATCGAGAGGCTGTGGTACAAAAAGGCCGATGAGCACTGAATATAACGGTGAAAGTATCAACAAGAAGGCCAGAAACATCCTTATACCATCTTTTTACCCCCATATTTACCAACGTCAATCACTGCTATTTTTTCGATCTTGCACAACAATCATGCGTATAACGTTCATTGTGATAACCGTGATTTTCGCCTTCCTCTCGGCGGAAGCCACTCCGCATCATTCCATCGCAGTTCCCAAGTCGTCTCATATTCCGGCCAAAGCCACTCCTCTGGACGGTTTCATCGCAGTTCCCAAGTCGACTTCCACCAGCATTTCCTGTTCTGAGGTGGGCGATCCTACTGTTGATTCTGCGACCCGCTGGCAAAAGTCGGGAGCAGATAATGCCTTAATAAAGGCGATACAGTACTACCATAATCAAAGCTCGCAGGCTGGCAGTCAGACATTCTCTCGAGCGGTATCTCATTACTTCAATGGTCCTGAGAACTACGATTGTCAATTGGTCGATAGTCCGTGTAATGCGGGTGTTTCGAAATGTGAGACTGTAACCAGCCCGGCTGGATGGTTGATCCTCAATTCTTTTGCCAATTTTCATAACGTGCGTGATCATCACTTTACTTTCCCTGCAATCGTGATATCCTGGCTTCCCTGACTGACGAACTACAATAGCTTTGGAGCAATGTGAACACAGCCCTTAAGGATGCAGAGGCCGACATAACCCCACAGCTTGGGACTTTTACATCAACATTTGCTCCTCCAGTCAAGGACAATTCCGAGATGGAAAAGATCCTTTTTGATATTAGCAATATCCTACTCTCTGTGCTTAACGCTTATGTTGGATTCGAAGCGGGCTTTGTTGAAAACAAGGTCCTAGGAAATGGAATAGACAAAGGTACCTCTGCCTTTGTCGGTATCCTCAGTGGAGTTCAAACTATAGGAAAGGATCTTTTACCAGCGTAAGAATCCACCCTGTGAAGCATAAATATTCCGAAGCCTAATCTTTACGTCTATTAAACTACAGCGCTGAGCAAGAGCAAATTAATGAAGGACAGCTTGGAACAGCCTTGTCGGAAATCACTAATGCCATGCAGAAAATCTACTCGCTCATGGTAGCGGATTTTAGTGAGAAGGGTATTTTCGACTCTGCATCTCCAGCCATCAACGTTGAGGAATTATTCTTCAATGGCACATGGGTTAATTCGACTCTCTCAACCATCGACAATCGAGACCTTAAAATCGACTTCGAACATGCTCTCTATGGCTTATTGGCTGAAAGGGCTTGGAGATTAACCTCAGAGCTTTACCCGACTGTGGTGTATGAATTTCGCGTCCTAGTGTTGTCCCTAAGAAAAACGACTGACCTGAAGACATATTATAGTATTCTGAACCAACCATGCGATACCGACGCTAAGTTCGATTATATATACAACTATGTTCCCAAAGCCAGATCGTGTGCAATCTACGGTGTCACAATTTATGTGTTTGGTAATTTTCCCTTTTCATTCTGTGTTCTTTTCATGATCCGTCCTGCTTACGCCGAATTCTAGGAACTCGAGACTTACCGGCAGGAAATAGAATAGTATTGTAAGACTCACCATTATTTTCCATCACCCCTGTATTTTACAGGCAACTGACCTCTCTGCAGTGTCCCGGAGTACCTACCGGGAGGCGACACAAATACTCTCACTGGTGACAGCGGGACGTGGGGAGGGTTGACCATTGACGATATTGCTATTAGGTAAGTTGGAATGACTTGGATATACTAAAAAAATACTAACATATGCTATCCTAGCTCCTATACCGGCTTCATGGCTAACGGCGGTCAACCAGGGTACCAGATGCCCAATACCACAAATATCATTGACAATGGACAAATCAATACCAATCCATTCCCCCTACAAGATGGTGTCAGAACCCCAGGGTTCTTTAATATCCCTACTTGCACTTTTGACACTATGTTTTCAATGCTCGAAACTAAAGATGTGAGACAGCCAAAGTATTTCCACTTATATGATGCGGCTAACATCGTTTCTAGTCTTCTTACAACAACCGTGGTCCCAATTGGCCTTGTCAACCCTGAGACGTGCTCTTCATATGCTCCTACTCACAGGAAAATCGTGTCTGTTTAGTTCCTCCAAGCTATCGATAGAACGTACCATTTAGCTTCACAATCTGACCACCCTTGATGGTCCTCACTTTCTCCCTTCTTTTCCAAAAAAAAAAAAAATAACCCTTGAAAGGTGAGACGATGAATATGGGGTGCCTATATGAGGCATGACGTAATTCCTAGTCGACCAAGCCACCCTGCCCCACAGGGGTAGCTGGTATACATTGCATACCATTTAGGGTTGGCTTCTTAGGTATAGCTCCACTTTCCCGGGGGGCTATGCATCCCATTTGGTTTGAGTAGGCGTAGAGACTGAAGATTTTCATGGTATGTCGAATTTTTTATGACTTGAAAATAAATGAATTTTGAGAGATATTTAATAAGGAAAAAGTTGGTCGGGTTTTTGATCCCGGGGTTAGGGTTATCTGGAGAACCCATCAATCAGACCATCGATCGCCAATTTATATATATCCGTGCCTTCCAGCGCATGCAAGAGGTGTGACTAGACATGACTTAAGCACTCCAACACTGGCCGGGGAACAACCGATCCACTATGAGCCGCCTAACCCTGCAGCCGTTCATAAAAACCCCAAAGATACAGACCAGATTGAAGTTATTGGTTTCAAATTCATGTCTTTTGAGCGTGGTCAATTCCGAGTCACCGATCTTATCCAGATCGAACCCTCAAATATGTCCGGTGTAGAAAGTTCTGCCAAAAAAATACATACGGAAAGGCTTTTCCCTCTATGGTGATTCTGAAACCAGTGTCAGTCCTGCGATATGCTTCCGGTTACTAAGGAGCACATATCAGCTTAAATTAAACTGGCAGATCAACGGCCGTAGCTGTGCCCGAATGGTGATTGTTATGGAATCTTACATGGCTACGGCCGTATGGAAACTTATAAAAGACTAAAAAGAAATGGAACATCACCGTGTTAACAATATCCTCTTTACAGACAAACTATACATCTATATCCTTGTGAGTTTGATTCCCTACAAACTCCTTGCTGGCATCCACCTTGTCTATTAACACTAACCCCCCTCAGCCTTTACCACCAACCAACCATGAAGCTCATCACCCTAATAACAACCACCTTCCTCGCCCTCCTGGCCCCAACTACCCTAGCCTGGGACGAAAGCATATCTGAGCGCGAAGACCCCGAAACCCGGCTCCTCCTCTCGGACTACACCACCCGCAACACAATCGGCGTAACCTGGCTCACAGACGCCTGGCAGAACAGTTACTGCACCAACATCTCGTCATCCCAGGCAACGAGGATCGAAGTAGATAGATGGAACTGTGGGACTCAGCGATGCTCTGTCTTCAGGTCAACAGACTGTACTGGTGAGGGCTTTGCCTTCTTCAGCCGGCCGTTGGATCGCGCTGTCACGCAGTGGTCGAGTACCCCGTGGGGTTCTGTGGTGTGTGAGTGGGAGGATCGCAGTTCCTGCGTCGCCGCGTATACTGAGAATGCGCCTGCTAAGTCTACACCCACCCTTCCACCGAAGAGGTGGTAGGGGATGCGAAGCATCTTCTCTTCTGTCGGGTGTTAAGAAAGAGGTTGTTCAGGATGGGAAGGCAGTAGAGAAGGTAGCAGAGTGACATTGTTCACTAGATTGCTGCGAGGCCATGGCGGCTTGGAGGGTATATATTAATTAGTCTTCAGCGCTTGAGTGGATAGTAAGTAGCGTGTCCTAGCTGCTTAGGTGAAATATTTAAACAAGGGGAAGCCAGCTTAATTTAGTGCCACGATATCTCTCCATCAAGTCTGTTCAGTGAGGTAACTTCTGAGATAGCTAGGATGTGTCTCCTTCTGCCAGGTACCATCATCAACAAGCGCTAGACTCCTAGTGTTTATTTCTGCAGACTCCGAGCCCGCCTGGGTAAAGCGGCGAGGCGCCTAGCACCGAACGATGGGCGCTAGGTGAGCCCGGCCATACTTTTGGCTGTTGTATGTTTTTTTTCTATTACGGAGGTCCATCCAAAAATTATTAAGGAACGATGAAGACCAAATCTGAGATCGATGAGATCTAGCCAAAGATAGATAAGATTGGTTAATGAATTAGGGATCTCCTGGTGGAAAGAGTTCTTGATGGGGCAGGTGATGGAGGGGTAACAAATGTTGGAAAGGGGCAAAAACGATGGTATTTGGACTAGTGGATACTGGTAACTAAATACACTGACGGACCGGAACAGCTTTGCTCCGACAACAAAGCGGGGTATTGCACATACACATGGGCTGACATCTTTAGCGATACTAGTTAATCAATTCTACGTACATTGCACAATACTTTTTGATGGATCTCCGTAGATAGAATTCGTTGGGCCATCAGCGATGCTCTTGCCTCTGTACCTGCGAGGGCCTGGTCGCGGTTTTCTCCGAACACCAACTATTACTTACGAGATACTACTGTAAGAGAAGACAGGACACATTATAGTCACCACAACCATTTCCCATGTAAAAGGTGTCATACAGGTGCTCGGTCCACACAAGTGGCACTTTTGATATCAACAGCGTATGTTCCGCATATTATTTAGTTAAAAAGCCAACCGCCAGATAGTTCTAGGAATTAGAGTAGACCTCGGCACTACCTACCAAAAACAGTTCAAATACAGGGCCGTACTGTATACAAATCTTACGAGATACGGCGTATTTACTCGTATGTAGCCTCTTTCATAGGCTACATACAGTGGCGCCGCAAAAGTCTGAGACCACCCCTTATTGACCGCCTTCTTGTAGTAGACTAGCACTTACCATACAAAGACTAGACTCAGACTTTTGCGGCGCCACTGTACATATTTGTGGGCCGTGCCGAGGTCTTAAGAGTTTTCGTTTATTCCTATTGGGTAGTTGCACCCGAGTACGACCCTGCTGGCTGTTCGAGACAAGGGTGTCGAAATAGAAAATGGGCATATAGACTAAGAATTTGCCTCCGACACATTTTTGGTCTAGTCTTAAGCAACATAAAACTTATAGAACGACTCTCCCAGAAGGATCTAGGGGATATTGCAACCTTAGAGGCGCTTCGATGATCTCTTATCAACGTCCCGCGATCCGGCCATTCAAGAAATGCGTGTACAGGGCGGTCTCCATGACTACCCCAGAGAGGTCTGCATCATAGGAGCGGGCGTGAGCGGGCTTCGAGCTGCCGGGCTACTCACTGCCGCAGGCTTCAGTGTCACAGTCCTCGAAGCCCGAGACCGTATTGGCGGTCGAGTTCACCAGAGCACTCAGTTCGGTCTTCCAATTGATGTTGGCGCCAGTTGGATCCATGGGACACAGGGCAACCCCTTTGTGGCTCTTGCAGAGAAAGCGGAAGCCACCACCGTGGGGTGTGGCGCTGTTTACTCCATCTGTGGACCCAATGGGAACTGGCTCGATCATGACACAGCAAGGGATCACTACGAAGAAGTATGGGAGGTCCTAGAGATGGCAATGGAAAAGAGCAGGCAGGAGGCCGTGTCACTTCCTGACTCTTCAAAGATGATGGACTTTTTCCGTGAAGAAGTCGGGAGAAGACGCTGCAAAGCTGAACATCCAGACGCCTATGAGGCATTGATGTTGCAAATCGTCGAGATGTGGGGAGCTTTTATGGGGGACGAGTGCGAAAACCAGAGCCTCAAGAACTTGTGGCTGGATGCAGGTTTAGAAGGAGGTTGGTTTGACTTCTTTATACCAACTTTGACGAGCTAGCGTTAACTGGCTTTTAATCTAGACAACTTGTTCGTGGCTTCGACCTTCAAAGACATTCTGCACCGTCTTTTGCTCCCGGTGGCAAACAAGGCTACCCTACGACTCGGTTGTGAGGTCACACGGATAACAAACAGCCAAAATGATATCGTTGAGATCGAAGCACGTGATGGATTCCGATGTTCCTTCAATGATGTAGTCGTTACAGCGCCATTAGGCTGGCTGAAGCGTAATGAGCATGTCTTCTCGCCGCCCTTGTCACCGACGGTATCGAGTGCGATCCACAGCCTCGGATACGGAAATCTTGACAAGGTCTTCGTTAAGTTTCCTAGCGCATTTTGGGATGCCCGGGTATCAGCAGTGAATGTGTCCCATGGATATGAATCCGAAGGGACGCAGAGGCCGTCTTTCCCCATTGAATCTCTCTATCTTCGTCCTAATTATGCAGCTGATACGAATCCCGCAAAGTGGCGAGTAGAGATTATCTCTTTATCAGGCCTGCCAGGGCGATTCTCACAGCCCGTTGTCATGTTCTTCATTTATGGGCAGTGGGGTAGGCATATAACTGGGCTCATCCGAGGTCTGAAGCGGGATTCCAGTGAGTACTACCGGATTCTTGATAACCATTTTCGGCCATATTATTCTCAATTGCCCCATTACGATCCTATTTCGCCTGACTGTAAACCCTCGGAATATTGGTCGACGGATTGGCAAAACGACGAACTCGCGGGCTACGGGTCATTTTCCAATCTGCCAGTTGGATCTGGAGATGGTGCACAGTATTTTGAAGCACTCCGAGAGGGCATGGGGCAAGATCGAGGCATCTGGTTTGCCGGCGAACATACATCGCCTCCTGGTGGGCTTGGTACCGTCACAGGTGCATACTGGAGCGGAGAGGAGGTTGCGAAGAGAGTATCCCACCGTTATGGGATCACGACAGACATATAAAGCTTATCCATGGGGAAATTCACTTTTGTGGGATTCATCTTTCAGCTAGAAGGACCGTCAATGCTCAAGTGAAGAACTTAGCCCTTTCATGATGTTTTTCCAAAAAGATTAATGACCCAAAGAGTGTCAACTACTGCCGAACGGCTCCGAACCATGGGAAGATGGGCCGCACGTTCCGTACACGTGCATGTGCGGATGTGGGATCAAAGCTCTGCGCTGAGAAATTATAGGCAAAGTGGAGGAGATCTATGGTAACTCCACGAGTGAGACTAGATGTCAAGACCATGGATGAATGTATCCTTATTATTTACATCATCCGCAGAAGGAAACTTACCTGATCCTGTTGCCCTGAAAATCGTGCTCTCGATAATTGCCGTTACCAACCTCTCAACAAGAGATACTCAGATGAGATCTTTGGTCCACCTGAATCGACTTCCCCCTAACAAAACGAGGTAACTTCATATCATTTAAACTGTCGAAAATACGCTTGAACTCGATCACGCATGGCCGCGAGACATTTCAAATACGGAACGAAGCCGGCACCAGCGTCGTTCCAAAATGGGCACTGAAAAGCCAAGCGTGATCATATTGACCAAATAAATTACGTATAAACTGGGGCCTTATCCTCGTGCACAAGTGTACTAAACCTTTTGATTGTGTATACTTTATCAGAGAGCAAAAGCCTTGGGATAAGAATTTTAATCACGTATCTATAACAGCCAATCTTTCTTTTAGCTTTACTTCTAGAAAACTTTTCATTTCGGGAATTCCAACACTAAGTAGGCTTTGATCAGGGAAGCTGTCGAAGATTAAGCCATCGACTCCCGTTGCTCCATACAGATAAGTTCAAGTTCGTGATTCATCCGATCTATCATGGTATCAGCTCCTTGTTTCTCAGCCACAATTTCAAGAGGCCAGCAGTGTACTGGAGAAAACATCTGATAAGTGACCAAAAAGGATTTTGTTTTGATTGAACTCTTTATGCCTGAGGCTCCAAACCTGGATACTCTCTACATTGCTAGAGATCGTAGATTGCATCCACACTTTCTCGTTTTCATCTCAATATGGCGGTTAATTGATATCTTCCGTTCTGTTCGCCTTAGCATCATGATTGCTGCTCATCCTCCATCACTGAATCTCTTGTGTTTTCTGCTTTGTCAGACTACCCGCTGGCTTTTCCTTCCTCAGAAGGTAGGTGAACAGGAGGGGCAGATGTCGAATCCAAATGGGGCGGAAAATACCACTAGACTAACGCTAGAATACAGAAGGGACAAAACTACTAGTGGTTTGGCAGGCAAGGACTTTTGTAATGATCCTCATTACCCTCCTGTAGATTTTATTAACCGAATAAGGTGAAGCAAAGCTGATAGAGAGTATAGAGGGTGCGGACGCCTTATGCATCGCATGCGTGCTAACTTATCAGCCACCAGCCCAGAACTCAGGTCAGCAAGGCCGAATGACCTGTAGTCAATTATAACGCGTTAATATAATACGTTGGTAAAGTGCGCTAAAATGGCTTCACGTGACGGCGAAGGGGATCGTTCGCCGTCTCTGGATTTCCCTCCATTTCTTTCGACACGTAAAATCCATCTTCCTCTACTTCGAGTCACTCTTCACAATTAGACCATTGTGTATGCAGCTGACTGTCTCTTTTCCACGCCCGTCCTAAAACGCTGGCAGGCGGCTAGTCTCACACGCTGCCAGATACCTCGAACGTGTATCTCTAGGCTCAACGTGTGCCAGCCGCATCCGCTGCCTGACCAACGCTAGGGTGTGCCCTCAAGGCAACCTAGAAGTCTTTCGTGAAGCCGTGTCTATTCTGACCCAAGAGTGGGTCACAACTAAGCATTGAACTGAGTGAATTCTGGGCTAGATTTAACATAGTTATCTATTAGGTACTCTATTAGGTAGGTAGATACCCTCCGTCGCTTGTCACCAGCCACCAATCAAGTTATATTTATTATTGGATGTTTCACAGAAAAGATCAGAGCACGTATTAGCGGCCAGTTACTGCTCACGCGTTAATCATCTCGTCTGTCCGTTTCGCATCTCTGCCCCCGCCTTCCTGGGAGACACAGGCCAACAATGGCTGTCTGGCGCAACCTGACCGCCCGTGATATCGAGGGCCTTATGTGTGTTGCAGATGAGGTTCATCCAGGCTTGCCAGAAAGTGCCCCAGTTTTTGCTGAGCGCGTCAAGCTCTACCCAGAGGGCTGCCTGGTTCTCGAGGAGGATGGCCATGTATGTGGCTATGCTATTTCGCACCCAATTCGACAGTGCCAGCCGCCCGCCCTAGATAGCCTGCTTGGGGAAATAGCCTCCGATGCAGACCAATACTACATCCATGACGTCGCTATTTTACCCAGATTCCGTGGACGTGGCCTCGCAGCCTCATGCATCGGCCGGCTTCTCGTGGTCGCCAAGCGCTACCCAGCGACCTCCCTAGTCTCTGTCTATGGCACTGAATCGTTCTGGGCCCGCTTTGGCTTTGTGCCAGTACTGGTGGATGAAGCTCTCCGGGAGAAGTTACGTGACTACGGGGAGGACGCTGTCTATCTCTCGCGGTCGAACGGTCAATAGGATACCGCTGCATGGTGGCAGAATCTTTTTTGATGATATCGCACTGAAAGCAATGTCCACTTGGAGTCAACATTGAGGATACACAGATGGTAGAATACTGAGCTTTTTACGCGTCATTAGTTTGCTCTGTTCACGTTCGTCACTCATCAAGTTTAGTTTTACATTGCATCATCGTCACGATATAAAATCGTAGCTTCGTGGATTTGCGATTGTGGTGACTGATCCCACCCATAACCATAACGAAGACCACTCTTTTCTCACTATCATTGAGCGACTGGAAGTCCCGGGAGCTTTTTTATGAACAACAACGATGCCACACCTGTTCTTTCTAACTAGGGAACATACCAGTATTGATAACTCAAGAACATAGCAAAAGTTCACATGAAATATCAAGAAAATTAGAAATCATCTTGGAGTGTTACGCAGTCTGCTGCCTAGGTAGGCAATTCAATGCGGGATCGTTGAGGATCAATCTGATAGATCTCCTTTAAAAGACCCAGAATGTGGGGGTTTAGGTAAGTAGGTCTTTCACCACATAACTAGTTAGTTTACCACACAACATCCACATGTTAACAAATATCTTGGCCCGGATATACATAGAAGATGCCGTTGAACACCGGCCAAAAATTTCATCGCCCCTCAAAAGGACTCGCTGGCAATAAGGTCCGGTTATCCTCCATCATAATAGCATCTAGGTGTTCCGGGTTTGCTCCCTTCAAGAGGAGGAGTCTTTGCACCTTGGGCGAGCCGTTATAGGATGCCCAGTGCAGCAGTGCCCACCTATCATCAAAATCCTCGGCACCGTACATTGTATCAGAAGTCCCCTTTTCGCTTTCACCCTGATTTGGAGGGTCATCAGGCCCCGTTTTTACATTGGCCGCATCCCAGAAGACATCATCACTGCCTTCTAGCTCCACTTCCCGGCCTGTGTCAGCTAGGGCATCCATGAACATTTTGTATCTGTTGGGCCCCATATAGATGGCAATATCGAAGGCAGTCAGCTCTTTATAGGATAATTCCGGGTCTTCGGGAAGTGGTGCGGGGAGCGATTTTTGGTTTATGTCAATGCCACTCTGCAACACCAGTCTCATGACGCGAGGAGCACCAAAATATGTGCAGCAATGCAAGAGGTTCCATCCATCTCCGTCGAGGGACCCGAAGACACCGGCTCCTGAATGTTGGACAATCGTCTTGAATGTCTCGACATTATCGTGCGATGCAGCAAAGAAAAGCGCCGTCCAGCCGTACCAGTCCGCTCTAACTTCAAGCGATGCTCCAAGCCTTAGGAACGCTTCGACATCTTCTGGCGTGCCGACTGCAGCTGCCCGGTGAAGAGGCATCCACCCTCTACTGTCGCAGGCATTGATTTCGGAGAAACTGTTTGCTATACAGAGGCGCATGAAATCGGCTGACTTGTCCATACGTCCATCGTTAACCCACAAATAGGAGAGTACCGAATAACCATCATTATCGACGTGTTCGATATCTGCCCCCTGACTGAGGAGTACCCTTGCGATACTAAGCTCCCCTCGGAGAAAGGACGATTGCAAAGCCGTCCTATGACATTACATCTTAGCATCGGCTCTCATTTCCTGGTGGGTAGAGGTCTATAGGTGTAAGACTTGACTCACATGTTGTGCTCCCCATATGCCAAATCGGGCTCAGCTCCATGGTCAAGAAGCAAGCGGACGAGCCTAGCAGATCCGCTCTCAATGGCGTACTATTCACAGCATTAATATACATATTTAGTATGGGGGTGGGTTTGCACACTAACGTCGAGCATCGGCCATCCCGAAGGAGTAACATCACTCCCATGAGCCGAGCCACTTGTTAATAGTTGGCGAGCGCGGTTGAAATCTCCAGCCTTACATGCGGTCGCAATTTCAGAATCGGCTGGCACAATGTTGCGGACATGCATTGTTGGGTACAGGGACAAGTCCTGCAAAGACATTTGCAGTTGGACAGAGTATATCCTGCCAAGGAGTGACACATGTATTCTAGCTCGATAACTGATACCTTCGTCTTTGTTGGGTATTGTGACTACCTGGGCAGAGATACCCAATCTATTGAATCTTGCGGTCCGAGATACTGGCTTGTTAGGATTATTACCTATGACTTGGGCTGACCGATATGACATCTGTTGAAGTTCATTGAGCTGAACTTGAATGACCGCATGCGGGTAACGGGGGCTGGGTTTGTCGACTACGGCCATGTTGATAACTTTTTCGCCCATGATTTGACCCTTTTCGATTCTGTCCATGGTATATTGCTGCTGAAAAAGAAGTCGGCAGACCGTTTCGCTGACTCGTCTTGGTTCAAGAAGCACCGTTAACAAATGTCGGTCCATTCTCTGCCCCTACACAGGGTAGAAGGGTAGGGCTTACAATTGCTCCATAGATATAATCCCTTGTAAGGTGCTCTCCGCAGATTGCAGTCGCTCCTTTAGCCGTGCAAGAACCTTCTTGTCTTTGATAGCCCACCTCACTTTGCTCCTCCAAGTGTGTGGCTCAGAGCGAAGGGGGAAAGCGGACTCAATGTCGGAGAGTAGGCCACGGGCAGTCGACATGGCCCTGGCGAAGGAAGACTCATCTATGCCCAGGGGGCTGGTCTCAGCGGCTGGGTCAAAATCACTAAGCCCCTTAGTCGATTTACGAGGCGGTGTGTAGTTCCATGAGCTTCGGGATTCCAATGCTGCGATTTCCTCCTTCAACAGCAGTGCATGGTTCCGAGCGATGTCTAGCTCCTCGTCCGCAAGTTTGTAGTCCTGCCTGAACTGAGATATGGCACTACTCAGCTTCACGACGGCATCCGCAACGTTGGCCACGCTCGCTACAGCCGAAAGAGGTTCCATGGCCAGTGTCCGAATTGGAAGAGGAGTGGCGGTGGTTGATAGTTGCTTGCATTTCGGTCGAACTCCACTTTCGCAGACAGGATTCCTTCTGTAACCTGACTAACGTAGAATAATGTACTGAGACAACTGAGACGTGGGTTGCTAGGCGGATTCAGCTGCTGCTCGCTGCGGATATTGGCATGTAGCACCCTGAACGTAGGGTGCGGGGGTGCCCCTAGAACCAACAGAGAAGAAGAAAAAAAAATAAGAAAGCAAGCGCGGAAGTCGGATGGGAAAGTAGAAGGTAGAAGGGTAGAGAAGCAGAGAGCGCCAGCCGTGGGAAGTGGCGGCGATTCGAATAACCACTGCTGCCACACGCAACTCAGGGGCATGATGATTGATGTGGAAGAGACTCATCTTTATTGTTAATTATTGTAATATGAGAGCACTGGGCAGCAGCTAGCATGGGGCGGTATCGAATACGCAGTCATGGAGATAGCCAGGTGTGGTCGGCTGCAGCCGTGATTCGACCAGCACGATGCAGGAAATCGGCGGTGCCAACTCCTGTCCAGAAATAAAAGACCTGGAATGCTTACACCTCTGCGCTTGCTACAGTACTTTGTCTTCGGCTTGTTATTGAAATTCGATCTAGGAGCACGCTAAGGTGTGATTCTCACGCATGTGTCCCGCCTCGCGTGGGGCCCCAGCGAGTCGCCCCAGCCATTGGCTCGCTGAGGCGGTCAGAGTCAAATGTGTCGCCCACAGCACCCACTTACCGTAAGCGTTCGCAAGGCAGGGGTGGAGATGGGGGAGAATGGTTCCAAATGGGGCAGAATGCCAAGGTAAAGTGTGGGTCTGAAAATTACGGAAATTTCCATTCGGAAAGTCCTGAATGGGACTAGTAGGACGTTGTTATAGGTGTTACTAGATGATAGAACAATAGAACCTAGTCTCGGTGCCTAGACTACCTACATCTTTCCAAAAATTTGGTTTTCAGTGGGTCGCTATGTTCTAGTCGATCTCGGAGAGCTTGTAATAATATACTATCAATGTTACGTCGGTAAGTTCTGGGTAGGTTAGTGGCGCATGATCCCGAGAAGCTTAAATGAGTTAGAGTTAAACAGTAGTTACAATACGCTTATCTGATGAATTCAAATTCTGGCCTGGCCTGGAACTCTCCATCTTTCCCAAGTGTTGATGTGTGGCGGATAGCCGAACCGTGATATCTTTTTCGACTGTCGAGGATTTCCAATGTTTATGCAAGATGGCTTTCTGGGGACTTCTAGGGCTTTAGAAAGGATCGAAGCTATATGGGTGATTCATACGTCTAACCTGTATCTAATATTCCGGGGTCTGTAGGCTAGAATATTATGGTTGGGCTAGTCGTACTACCTAGTAGTCGAGATAGCTATCCTATCAACAGACAAGTTGTTTAAATATTAGACCGGTCTTCCCTGTTACGGCAATAGCAATTAACATACCTTCCCTCGCTAATAATTATATCACCATCTTCGCGGAAGAAGATGCTAATATATAATAGACGATGGTGCACCTTCTAGTACTAAAGGAAAGAGCATCCACCTTCCCCTTTTGATGTGTATCCATGAAGCCTAACATATTCCTGACGTTATCTCGTCGGGTTATTCTAGAAAGGATGTAACTGCATCACCTATTGTGAGAAGAGGAGGTCCTCGATGCCGGTGAAGCCGGGCTGCAAAGAAATGTCAATCACTTTCACCAGGGCCGCAAGACAAACGATCACACCAAAGAGGGGATTAAAAAGTAGTTAGTAATTATCTTTGCCCTCAAACGCCAGACACCCATCAAGTTGCAAGTCCACGTTTAAATTGACGTTGCATTCACGAGATGGTATCGTTGCCCTGTCTTGACTCGACAACGATGTGGCCACAACTCGAGTAAAGGACGAGTACATCTAGTTGGGACTCCAAAGCACAGAAACATTTCCTCCATCACTTACTGTGAAATTGTTTGCAAGGAGAACAAGGCATTTATACCGCGAGAATTACTACGCTAATCTACACACGCGTTCGATCTATAGGCAGCTCCTGCTAACCTCGATATTCGTGGAGCTCTCTATACCAGAGTTAGGTTATTAGTACTACAAGACTATTTAGTGACAGTCCGTCCTTATCCATCTTAGCGGACAGTAGTTTTAGTTTACCTACGCTGTATGTCTTATATAATCCACCAGAGAGAGATTAGAATTTCCTCCATGAAGAGTTATAGCTATGATACCTCTTTTATCGTTATTAATACCTCTTTGAGGAATTTGTGCCCGCGATAAAAAAACTATCCCCACCTTGAAGTTTCCCCGAAATCCGTCGACAATTACAACAGTAGGCTTTAACGTGATTCAACTTTCCTTCCACGTGCCGTAAACTCTATAAACGTCTTAAAGGTTTAAATACCGGGAGGATTCACTACATTCGGGTGGAATAAGAGGAATCTGACGGAAATAATTAAAGACCAGGCCTCCCGAAGATGGAGCATTATTAAGAGGCACTAATTTGTCAAAGACGCGAGGTGCACGCCGGTAGTCTCCCTTGGTTGTCGGGAGAACGAACGTAAGTAAGATTGCTAAGTTTTTATAGTCATCGAAATCCACGATACAGGTAAAAATATTGTCTTGAGATTAGTCTTGAGATCAGTCTTGAGATTAGTCTGAGATTTTAGCTATTATTGGCGGCTCGATCCTTACTCTTGTTCATTATGAGGGTCGTTGGGCTAGCTCGGGACGAGGTGAGAGGGGAGGCTAGATGATGGGAGATCGCTAGTGGACGCTCCCAGCGCGTACTCGTAATTCATCTACCATCGCTCCCTTAACGTAATTCCCGGTTGACCTGCGCACCCCAAAATACATAGTAAATGCGATAAATTTATAAATTCATGTCTCAACAACCATATTTTATGTTTACTTAAATATTAGGATATATGATTTTCTTAGCCTGTGAAATAACATATTTGGGTCCTAAGCAATTTAAATGATTATTTCGATTGGTTACCATAAAATACGGCGTAATTTTGACAGACGGGATATAAATATATATATTTCAATAAATACTTTAACTAATTTCCTTATACTTCTCTAGTAGGTTAGAAATACTATCTAGATTATATCCTTTCAATGTCTTATGATTAATAGATACGGTTGTTGAGAGGTAAAGTGGTAATTTATCGCATTTACTATGTGTTTTGGGGTGCGCAGGTCAACCGGGAATTACGTTATGCCAGCCGCTTACTAATCTCTCACTTGATCAAAATCTACAAAGGCACGTTTAATAGCATAGCTTCACCTCACTAGGCGAAGAATATTCAGGTACGCCTGATGCCGCCTGAAACATGCCGGAATAAAGCGGTGAGTCGCCCAGCACCGAACAGTGGGCGCTAGGTAAGCCCAGCTATACTTTTGGCTGTTGCATGTTTTTGTGTTTTGTCCTTTTGCTTTGCACAAGAGAGGGCTCAGAAGACCTTCGCTTTTGATTACCCTAGATATATATTCGCGTCTATTAGATGTATTGGATTAATCCTTAACGATCTTGCCGTAATGCCAATATCCGTACAAGTAAATATTATCCCCGATGGCGAGACTTGTCTACTTGATCCATGATATATTCAGTCAATCCTCCATTGGTCTGCGTATATTATTCCGTTCCTAAAGATATTTGATGTAAAAAATTGAAAGAAACGGCGTCTGGTAGAGCGAGAGAGTTGAAAGCGGAAGGATGAGAGATTTCCAACGCACTGTTGTACCTTTGCATCCTCTTGAATGAGATGAGCGAATATTGTATTTGTGGCAATACAGTCGAGTGTTCTCAGTCATCCTGCTTTGGTGCTCAATCTCGGGCTTCTTTGTGTTCTTTTGGGCCGTGGACAAAGGGACAAGTGTTGTAAATTAGGCGATTGAGTTGACATTGAAATATAGAATAGCCTAGAGATCTGAGATTAGAGCAGCGAAAAAAGGGCGGAGGAATAATAACTAGAGGGAAAGGGGCAAACGAGGCGATTTTCCACCTTATTCATAGATATCACGAGGCCATGTAGCGCTAGAAACCGTTAACCGAAACGGGAGCGGGAGAACGGAGCGATGCTCGACCGTTTGCTACCGAAGGATTTGGGGAAGAGAGGGGGAACATGACTCGGTCTACGGAGCGGTCGCCGATCCTATTCCCTGTCGCTTCTCCCTGGATCTGGCAAATGGAAGCGATTGATAATGACAAGAGATCTATCGATCGGGTGTTGTGGAAAGTAAAGTGGGTAAGACCTCGACTTCGGTACTCGGAATACTCGGACAACCCGTGTACTTCGAGATTTCTTCAATCAACCACTTTTATCTGATTATTCTGATGATTCTGGTAGTTACATTTCTTCCCAATTCTACTAGCTCATGCACCATTTTGGCTTGTTTTGATAATTTGTTCAAATGTAGTTGTAAGAGCTAGATCTTCACTAATAGTATACAGAGGCAAATACTAAGTACTCGGCAACGCAGGAGTAGCCCTAAACAGGAGGAAATTGAAGCTCCCTTTGACTTCAGCTATCGGATCCACGGCCCGATCATGCAGACTTTCACCATCGATGCCCAGAGTGCACAGATGTTAGCTTACTTTGAGCCCAAAAGGCTTAAGTTAGCTTGGTCCCATGCTTCCATTCCGAGTCCGGGGAAGGGCAATTAATCTCCACCAGGGAACGCCAAGCTCTCCAGGGATTGGGCATTCGCCCTGTCAACGCGTGGCCCCCTCGCTAATACATAATAGTATGTACTATGGGCTGACTTCGGTTGGAGAGTCGGCTTCTCGTTCGACTGTTTTTTCTTTTTTCGCCAAGTGCTGATCCGTGGCATTTCTGGGCACCCCGCGGGGGAAGGCCGCACCCCACACCTCCCCAGCCATTCACAGCCTGTTCCTCGGCGCCAACGCTAACGCTCTTTTGCGGAGGACTCCACGCCGTTTCCGATGGGGATGCTTACCCGCTTTCTGGGCCCTACGAAGACCGATGAAGCCCGGTTTGCCGGGGTCGAGGCTAGGTGATGGGAAACGAGCCTTGGCAAAACGCGCGAAGGATTGCCTCACGCGAGACACAAAACAGAGCCGTTTCCCACCGTCTGGGGACGATGCGACAGAGTAGTGGCACATCAGTCGGGGAACAGCAGTCGGCCCAACAACGCTCATCATGACCAAAGAAGAGACTGGAGTCACCGAGGTGGCCCATATCCCCGTCGTCGCGGAGGGAACGGGCAAGACGGCTGAGAATGCGGGTGCAAAGCAGAAGGAGGTGTACAATGTACGTTGGGGAACTGCCTCGAGTGATTGACGAGGTAACATACTGACTGGGACCAGGCCGAGCTCTATGCTGCGATCCAGGAGTCCAACATTCAGCGCTGGTCACGATCTTCTATGCACCTGTACTGTACGTTGCCTCTCTAGCGACCACGCGCCAGAAAAAAAACCCTGCTAATCTGGACAGACTGCGTTTTCGTTGCTTTCTGCTGTGCCTGCGCCAATGGATACGATGGCTCGCTTATCGGTTCCATCACGGTGATGCCGCACTTCAAGGAAACCATGCACAGTCAGAACTCTGGCTGGCAGGTCTCGGTCGTCTCCTCGCTCTACAGTGTGCAAGTCTCTCCCTCTCCGCCATCCCACATGTACAGGGCTAACCCAGATTAGTGGCTCAATTATCACCACTCCCTTCGCCGCCCTCGTCAGCGATCGCTGGGGTCGTAAAGCCGGCATGGTCGCCGGCTCGATCGGTATTATCCTCGGATCCATCATCGCCTCAAGCTCTTTCAGCTTGGCCCAGGTGACGGTCGGCCGTCTGGTACTTGGCTCCGGTATCCAATTCATGACCGTTTCCGCGCCCGCATACTCGATGGAAATTGCGCCCCCGCAATGGCGTGGTCGATGCACCGGGTTCTACAACTGTGGCTGGTTCGGAGGTTCGATCCCCGCGGCCCTGGTGTGCTTCGGGTGCCAATACATCAACAACAACTGGTCGTGGCGAATTCCGTTCATCTGCCAGTGCTTTGCTTGCTTCATCGTTCTGGCCTCCGTTTGGTTCATCCCCGAGTCCCCTCGATGGCTGTTCGCGCACGGCCGCCAGGAAGAGGCTATCGCCTTCCTCGTCAAGTATCACGGCAACGGAAACACGAGCTCCCGCCTGGTGCAGCTGGAGATTGAGGAAATCCAGGAGAGCATTCGACAGGAGGAGCAAGACAAGGAGATTGCATGGTGGGATTTCCGCTGCTTGTTCGACACGCACGAGGGTCGCTGGCGCTCCTCCCAGGTGCTCATGATGGGTGTCTTTGGCCAGTTCTCCGGTAACGGACTGGGATACTTCAACGCAGAGATCTTTGACGAGCTGGGTATCAAGTCCACCGCTCAGCAGCTCGGCTACAACGTTCTCAACTCCGTCCTGTCGGCTATTGGTGCAGGTACAGCCGTAACTCTGACCGATCGGATGCCGCGTCGTAAAGTCCTGGTCTACGGTACATTCACGTGCGCGTTGGTCCTGGCAATCAACGGCGCTTGCAACCACGTCTTCGGTCAGGACGAGAACAACAAGTCGGCCGCCAACGCTGCCCTGGCCTTCTACTTCCTCTTCAACGTCGTGAACTCGTTCTCCTACACCCCGCTACAGGGTGTGGTGCCTGTCGAGGCGCTCGACACCAAGCGTCGCGCCAAGGGTCTGGCTTTCTACGGCTTCCTGACCGGCTGCCTGGGCTTCATCAACACCTTCTGTACCCCTATTGCCAACTCGACCATTGGCCTCAACTACATTTGGGTCTTTGTTGGCTGGGATTGCGTTGAAGCCGTGCTGTGGTACTTCTTCTGGTATGTCTTTTATCTTGGTTGCTTCATGGTCATAATCAGGATATCTGCTAACTTCTCTCTTCAGTGTCGAAGCACAGGGCCGTACTCTCGAGGAGCTCGAGTGGGTGTACAAACAGCCCCACCCCGTCAAGGCCTCGCAGCATGTCGACCGCATCGTCCAGCAGGCCGACGGTACCGTCACGGAGAAGATTGTCGAGCACGAGTAGACGGGCGGGGTGCAGGTGTTTTAGCTATGGCGGAGGTTGGGTGTGATTGTGATGTATGGGGTATATTGGGTATATTTTGGATCAGAAAATCATCTCTTAATCTCCAACGCACAACTATCTACTGTACGGTGGACATAATACAATGGTGATTCTTTGATACCTTAAGTTACTATATCTAGGCTTACTGTAGACTCAATTTCGGTGGTGCGTAATCTAATCTGCTGGCTCCCGTTTTGGGACGGGATCTACTCGAGCTGTCATGCTCTCTCCTGCTTGGGGGCCCTTGCTGAACGGTCGGGAGAGGTCTGAGAACAAGATGTTTGTTGCTATTTTTGAGATAAATGCCATTAAACATAAAGAATTTCTCACTAGATTTAGGCTAGTATACAGATTAAGGATCATGCTCATGGCACTACAAGAGACCTTCCCGACACTACAATGCTAAGCCTAATTAGAGCGCACCTTACGAGTACAAAATAGTACAGCGATACTAGGGGCATTCGCGAGCAGCGCTTATGTTACATAGGTAGTTACATGGTGAAGTTTCATAAGATTAACGACCCCGGCTAACGGTCTAAATCATCTTATTAAATATACTTTAAAAGATAAATAGAGAGCTATTGTAATAGCTCTCTAAAAGGAGGTTTGAAAAGACGTCCCGAAAGATCTTTAGAAACACAGGAGATTAACGCATATCTCTCATTGCAAAGTTTTCAACTTTCACTATACATAGATATAGGATGTAGCATGTTCTACTTACCCCTGGCCATCTCTCTCTGGCCATCTCTCTATACCCACCGCCCTTCGCCATCGCAAGAATAAGACCTCGAATCCCCCTCATGAAAAAGGGTCTCATGCGAAAGGGTCTTATATGATATATTTCAATCCATTGAATAATCACCATTAAATTTCGCCTCTACCAATAGTTTTCAATGTCGCGGAGGTCATAGTTCTCCGGGGCGAGAGTAACACACGTAGCTAGTTGTTGAGCAAGGCTATAGCGTGGGATGTCAGCCAATGTAAATTGAACCCCAGAAGCGTATTCAGGACGTTCTCATGAGAGTTCTCATAAGAGGCATTGTGATTTTGAACTTACTAGGCATATTTCCTCGCATTGGCCCGATCCGCACTCCTAATTTGCCGACTCTTGACTTCGCACCATTTTCTCCAGGCTTACATGGTGCCCAACAGGACAAAAGAGCCTCCCAAAAACCCAGAAATGGCTTGCCAAAAACTGTCGGGCAGTCCGGTTTTATTCAGAGGGGGATTTTGGGGGCATGCAGGCGAAGGGGGGTAGCCGACGGTGCGCGAGCAAAAGTATGGGCCGACACGACAATGGTGATGATCGTGGTCACTGAAATGATGTTCAGCGCCATTTTGAAGATGTTCTTGAGAGGAAGAAGTGAGACGGCTCTGTAGGAAACCCCCATCCTGTTTACCTAGTACGTTCGTGCCTACCGCATCTGGACTATGTACGTCGGCACTACGTCTGTAGCTTCCTCATAACTTCTGGTTTAGAGTTTTGAAGCTCAATTGCAACGAGGAAGAACAATCCATGGTCGTCTCCGGGTCTAATTTACCGCTACTGTAGACTACGCGCTGCTGAGACATGATCCCGTGATCGATCCGACAATTGTTTGAATTGGGGAGCAATGCTATAATTACAAGAGAGTCAGATGTTGTTGGAAAATACACCTGGTTGTAGCAGAAGCTTTATTTTGCTTGGCCTCATGACGATTTCGGAGATTTACCGAACAGAGAAATATTTAAGAAAAGATGGTATTAAAAACTCAATCTAGTCACATAGAAGCAAGTCATACACTAGAAGCATGCATATCCACGTGGAACACCATGCCAAGGGGTTCCGAAAAAAGAAACAAGATACCGAGACGAGGTCGGTGAGATAGAAAAGTGGGTAGAATTCCTAGATATGTTCAACCAGCGTGACATAGTACCTAGGTGTGATCGTTGGAAAAGATGACCATGTCATTCACGCAAGGGGCCATGCGATGAAGGCGCGGACCAATCTAATCACGTGAACACATACCAATACGCTCTCCAGTAGGCGACACATAGAACGTGAGTGTATTAGGTGAGTTTATAGCTGGCATTAGTGGATGTCAATACTGGCAACAACTTTTTCAATTCCCGAATCGAACTATTCTCTGGTATTAGGTTGAATATAGAAGAAGGTTCCTGGTGACCGGCAGAAAGCTCAAGTACCTAACGGGCGGTGAGATCAGTGAGGTAGACGATAAGCGCTAACTAATTAACTAACTAGTTAGTTAGTTACTCAAAACTAATTTAGTAACTAAGGCAGAAAGTCCGGCAGAATTCACAAGACCGACAGAAGAGAAAAGAGAAGAGAGAAGACAAGATAAAAGACAAGATAAAAGACAAGATAAAAGACAAGGAAGGGGATAGTTAAATCGGTACTATAGTCATAGCGTCACCCTGGCCTAAAGAAGAAGGCATCAGGACAAAGGTGGCTTTGGAAGCGGTCGATAAACTGGCTAATTATGGCTTTTGAGCAACTAGCGTTTATCGTCCGCGCCAGACCAGGCACCGGCGCCTATGCCTAACTCTTCCATAGTTGCGCTGAAGAGGGAGAGAAGATAGGTCGCAGTGTAAATACAAGCTGCAGCGCATTGCTTCTCGAACCCGTGGACTTCAGAGCTCCGGCTACAGGCTGGTCGGGGTGTACCTCCGGGCGCTTACTATTGCAAAGTCGAAGGAACATCGGTCGATAAAGGAGGACCCGAATCAGCAGAAAACTAACTTGATCAATACCACATTGACGCCGACAAAGAAAAATGCACGAAACGCTCTCCAAGTGCATTTTGCTGTAGTTGGTGCATTGTTCTTGGTCTGAAAATGTTGGAAGACGCCGTGAACCATCGAAAAAGCCCCGGTAAATTGTCCTCAAGTTTTTTCAGTTTCGAGTCCAAATGGGCAATCATTTGGATGATCTCATAGGCCTGATCTCTATCTTTTTCGTATTTGTTGTCTTGATAGATCCCGAAATGTACATATATTTCCGCGAGGAGCTCGTTGAGGATTCCATTTAGCTTTAACGTGTGTACGAAGGACGAGGTAGATGCAGTCGTGTTCGATGATCTGGAAATGGTTTGTCCTCGTATAGAGAGGTCCTCGTCATCCACTTCGAGCGGCACAGGAACGATGTGCCTGTGTGACGACTGAGAGTCATGCTTAGACTTCTAACACCCCAAATCGATCAGCAACTGTTGCTCACGCAAGCAGAAGTAGCACTCGCGTATCTAGAAGCACACATTGGTGCCAGACTCGTCGTCTGGTTTCTATTTCAAGGCTCGATCCCATCTTATTTGTCAATAGAAATGTGTAGGTCAAGTTTTGGGCAATCCGACAAGCTAACCCCATAATGTTCCCGCATTGGTTAGGCATATTGGTGCTCTTTAAGTACCATGCCCTGAGGAGGAGGGTCTGTACTAAGGCCAGACTCGGTGTCTCGGTGGTATCCACGCGGGGTAATTAGCTAAAACTGCCAAAAGAAGGTCTTGATATCGGTCGCCTGCCAAGTGCATCATTGAAGTGTAATTCAAGCGCGAACATGATGTTTAGCGCTAAGTACAACACTCGTGGGGAGTAATTGACACCACCTAACCCAATATCCATTGTGGATTCTGAGATCCCAGCGTCGGATGTTTGAAGTCGCTGATAGGCATTCTGAACAGAGTGCCAATCAATAAATGGGTAGAGCCCGTAAATTCGCTGTTGATAAAGGCCAAGCAGTTGATCCGTAATCTCCGCGGTGGCAGAGAATACCCATCCGGTTTGTCTACATCAGAAAGTAGGACGGTAAACGTTTCTTTCTGCCCGAGGCGTCGGGGGGATCTCAGTCTGTCTTACGGCAGTATACCCATCATACGAGAAAAAGATCCGTGCACCTGACCAAAGAAATAATGTAGCAGATTCACTAGAGACCCCGCCACGGTCATTCACAGCCTAACAATTGTGCAGAACTCCCGTTCTCATTGCACTGACTGGGCTGTTTTCCTCTTTCTCGAAATCGTTCACGGCCTCTTATTCTTCGATTATTCCCGGAATCCATGTCCACTCTGCCTGCAACCGCGACGTATATTGCTCGACTAGTTTAGTAGATTCTCGTTCTCCGTTCCATAAAGAGAAGAGTTTCCTTATTTTAGTACTCTATATTCTATTCGTCGGGTATAGCTCCACTGATTCCTTAATATTTTAACTTCTAGTGGTAGAGCTATAAACCGATGGAACCCGACGGGGATAAGTTTTAATACCCTATGTCTACCTACCTTTAGCTATTTAAAGCACATCATGATCTATCGTCCACAGTGGCCTCCACTGTACCTGATCCAAAAAAAAGCGCCGGTGGTAAGAGGCCACAAAAATTTTTCCAGGCTGCCATAGGCAGGAGCTACGTCAGGTTGTTAGAGGTCCATAGTGCTACGACGGGTAAGCAACGAGGTGTAACTCTCTCTGGCTTACGCGTTGACCATATATGGTTTCAGCACATATTGCATACCGTGATAACTCGCGGGCGCGAAATTGCCAAAGAACAGGACGAGAGCTTTCAGGGAGAATTCGCGGGATTTTTGGAGGGGGTGGAATGCGGTTAGGACAGTGAGTCCGGCTCCCACGGACTATAACCCCGTAAGTGAAGGTTCGATACTACTTAAATCTACCCGTAGGGTATTCCCCCCACTCTGCGCGAACAAGCTTCAGGCTTGTCTGGCATTAGGTACCTGGGCGCGGCTAGAAAGGACTAGGTCAGCCGATATCGTCATTAATGGGTATCATTTGACAGTGCTACGCGCATCAGATCCATAGGTAATACCCAAGAAATCACTACCTATCAGCGGGTACATGATTCTATTCTGATAACAGAGATGAGGATAACCTTGAGATTTAGAGATGTAGTATTAAACTAGCTAGGTGAATGCTATGGACCTGACAAAGATGATCCGCGCCATCAAATGTCCTCCTTTTCATCGTCTTCTGCTACTGATCCATTCCCGTCACCGAGGGGACATCACCTTCCCCTTAATCAGACATATCTTGAACAAGTAGCCAATCATCATTAGCGAAATCTGTGTCAGGGTGATCATCTGTTGGAAGATCCAAGATCACCGCGGCGTATTCCTTCGTGGTTGCCACGGGAATGGGCCATGACCATTTCGCAAGGATATTTAGCATGTCATAAAGCTTGCTTCTGTCGACAACATCAATGTATGGCGTGCCCTCGGGCGGTTCTACGGCATATTCATTGAAATCCACCATGCGGCTGAACTGAACATGGAGTTGCCCATCAGAATATCCAGCTAGGACCCCCGAGTGCCCGTAGCAATCGAGCGTGATAATCATTGTCTGCATCAGGTATGAGCGCTAAGGCACCATAGATTTTCATGAATAAGTAGCTGGCTTACCAAAAACATATCATCTCGACGTGGTCGTTCCTCGTGGATTGATAGGTTCGCTTGCCACATACAATCCAACATAATACATGAAAGGGCTGCGACTTCATCTCTTGAGGAGCGCGAATCATCGCCACATGTACGGACACTAGCTATAGCCCACCTATAAGTCTGCTTGTCTGGTGCATACCAAGTCTGTTTCGGCGTAGAGTCCGTAGGCCAGAGGGTACCATTCTCAAAGCTTCGAACCTTTCCCATATATAAGAGTCGTCGCCAGCATTCCACGCCCTTTCATAGTTCTCACTAAAGAAGGCTGAAGTCAGGAGACTTTCGCCTGTCTGCGGACAAAGGTAAAAACTTACTGATCTTCAATCCAGCCGTAGATATTTATCTCGTCGCGACCCCTAAATTGAGAGACGAGGTCGTAGTTTTTCTCGAACGAAAAGTTCTGCAAATCGAGCTCCAAGCAGTGCGGGAAAATATCAACACCACTGATATTCCTGCTCCAGCCACATACTTTCAAGCTGACTATTGCCTCCTCAGCACCTGAAAAAATATCCGGGTAGAAATCATCTTCATCCAAAACCTCGGGAAGATCAGTCTTTGGAAGGAAGCAAGGAATAGGTGAGGGTGAAACGTCGCCAGTCTCGATATCTAGATGATGAAACTGGATCCGAAGGTCTGATAGTTCCTCATCAGAGATGACTGGATTGTAGTCAGGTGATGAGAAATCCAACGATTCCGGGTCCGAAGTAACAGGACGTAGGGGTAGAGAATATCCCACATCTCATAACCGACAATCTCAGGACGCCCCTGACCAGTGGCAATGTATAAGAAATGACCCAGGTCATATAAATCGGTGTCCATGTTGACGATAAGGGTTATGTTGTATCAGAGTGTACTGGAAGGACACGAAGAATAGGTAACGAGGCTGTTGGGTAAGTAGAAAACCCCCAATCGACGTGAGAACGGTAGTAAAAGAATTGGTGGCCCCTTGAAGAGGAAATTTCATCCAGATTCTACGTCAGAATAGTATACCAATCCTAATTCGAACATCCATGCTGCCAAATTCGGCAAAGTAGGTGGTGGTACACCTAGGAATCTAATGATCCACGGTCCCGTATCAACCTTGACCCCTGGGCACCCGATTCAGTGACGTCATCTGACTCAAGTGCTCTTCCGCAGTGGAAAGGCGTAGTATCGTCTGAGGACTGCTATACTTGTTTAGTATCCGAACTTCAGAAAAGATGCAGTAGTACAAAAGCTCCAGTTTTGGGTTCAGAAAGATTGCACCGCTGCTCTTAAGCAGACTACCGTACCGGTATAGTAGTTTAGACCACCGTGCATAGTTCTTCGTAGTCCTAGCACGAGTAGATGAGCCTCATCATCAATCCTAGTACGGGAAGCACGCATGATTTATTATTAATAGGTATATTACAAGGGGTATATAGATAACGAGGGGATTTAAGAGGTTCATCATACTACACTAGTATTCCCTCAAAGGATCCCGCTATTCGACCGTGATAAAAGATATAGTAAGGAGAGGATTCATCTATGGAACACACTGCAGTAATTGATCTTGGTAGACAATCTCGATGATTTTTTCTCTTTGTTCTTAAGTGGCGTCCCGTCAACTAGTCTGGCTCTATCAGCGAAGAGAAGCCCAGTGAGGTATGTAGAAAATACAAACACTACGAGAACCATAAGTTTGGGTACTAGGGGATAATTGGATCATTTAGGTAGATGTTCATGTACATATTATCTGGATTTCTGATTATAGTGTGTTCACAATGCGCAAGATTTGTCGGTCGGCTCTTCGTTGAAGCATCGTATACCAAAATTTGTCCGTCCTCCCGAAGCCCTCCTTTCGAGCAGCCTCAATTTGGACAGACACTCTCTTAGAGTTTATTCGGCAGTCCGTTTGCCGTCCCTTTCAATGACGGACTGAGACTTTTGAACATTATAACATGTACTGGATCTTGGCCGGCTTCGCTGACTTTCACGTTGTGGCCGCTCCCGCTCTCTTAGCATTATGTCGCAATCAGTATATCCTCCAGACACAGTTTTGTCTTGATATCTAGTCCTGCCGTTGTGCGGTTGGATGACTATGACTGTGACTGTGCGCCTTTCTCTCCGGTGGAATCCTTTCCATTGCCCAAGATTTTATCTTTTCGAAGTTCCGGCAGGTATGTTTCTCTTTGAACAAGGGGAATGGAACCTGATATTCCTCATTCCACTCATAACCAAGTGGGGTCAAGTCGGCCGAGCACTGGATACCTTGGCGAAGATAGTCGATACAATGATCTAATCCGACAGTCAATATCAGCACTCAGCTACATGAGCTGGGGTAATCATAGGGGGGCTCTACCAATATGTAACCGAAAGAAATATGGATGCTCCACTCCTGGCTCATAGTAATCTGAGTCTAGAGCCCGGCGAATCGCATTCTGTTTATTGAATAAGTTTGCTGCAACATGATCTTGGGAAATTGATACATACCAGACAGTGCAATGAATGGTACAGATCAAGGCTGTAAAAAAAAAAAAAAAAAAAAAAAACATAAGCACAAGTCCTCTAGTTTTGGAAAACATTGACCAGCGCCACTAACCTGACTCTGTATTTATCATTTTCTTCGCCTTTCATTGTCCATCTCACATCTTCCGACTCTTTCACGGGAAGATCGAGGTCGAGGGCTGTGAAGATTATCAGTATATTCATGCAGGACGATACCCCGAAAGCAGTGTCTTACCCAGCATCAGCTCGTCCCACGCTGCGTCGATCTCAGGCGTCGGAGGCCCGACATACTGTGGCTGTCCCGTGGCTATGATGCGGTGCAGCTTGCCTGTTTCGTTGAGCTCTAATCCACCGGTAAATTGTACCTGGTGCAGTTGAATTTGTGATTTCAGCGCATCTGGTGGCTTTCAGGTTAGCTTCTGTCCGATGCGAAAAAGCTCTAGAGTCACCGGCGGCGGTCATACCTAAGTCTGTTGAGAATCCATGCTCATATGTCGCGATTCTGGTGGATCGGATGTAGAGGAAAAAAGAAAGTGATGCAAATATCACGGTGGAGATAACCCAGACCCAATCAAGTAGTTGGCGCTTTAGGCTTCGCGCGTCCGGCACAACCTCGGGCGTGGTGTACTCGTTGGGGAGAAAGGGTTTACCCTCTTCTGCATCCTCCATTGTGCGAAAGGCCTTGAGGGTAAGAAATTTGAACAGAGTCGTGGTTTTGCTGGGTAGGTCCCACGAGTGTTGGCTTGTTGAAATGTTAGAAAGTCATCTTAGGTGTAAGTGTTAAACTGCAGTAGACTAATTGCGGGGGATAAATCTCAGGTTTATGTAAGGTAATCTAGGTCATTCGAGCAGTGAAACTGGACGCTATCTGGCTTCTGATGAGCAAAATTGATTTTTTACAAGGTAAGATGTCGTGTATACTCACTGGGCTGTCCTCGTGTATCAGTTACAGTACGCGGACTATATCCACATCGTGTGCTCATTGCCACACGGATACGGTTCTGTTTAATTGTCTCCATTCCGTCCAGATTTCTTCACAGTGTATGGTTTAAGTCTAGGAATACGCCATTGCGTATGGTACGGCGGCATACTGTAATGGTGGCTGTAGCTTATCTCTTTGCTTTTTTCCCAGCGCCAGCGGGATTCCGCCCCCACTGTGAACCCGTTGCTTGCCTTGAAGCTAAAAGGCCCAAAAAGAGTACATGCATTAGTCGATGTAACATCGCACTCCTGACCCCGCGTGGAGCTCTTTCGTCAGGAAGCGGGTCTAGCAGATTTGCAGCAAGGGCTTATCTCTTGGGACGGATACTCTAGTACTTTAGTAGCGATTGGCTTGTGCACGTAATGGGACATACTAGAGCCTCGGCTTCAATAAATCACAAGTTTTAACGTTATACCGGCGTGCTCAAGCGTATGTGGCATTATAAGCTAAGAAGACAGTCGTTTAATCGTTAATCAATACAATTCAGTTATGTTTGCATTTCCAATAGTTGAAATCAGTCTTAATGTCTTGGGTGCAGCGGCTCATCACCCGCAAGCCACTGAATCCTCCTGAGGTGCAGACCCAGCGCTGAGTGGTGTCGAGCTCTGGCTCTGGTGCGCCATTGGAGATTTTTATGACAAAAAAATTTCAGCAGGTTGCCACCATAAGCACTAAAGGGATAAAGACGTTGTACAATATCTTAAACGTTATCACGTATTCCAGTCAATATGTCTAACCAACGATTGTTTTCATTGAATAACCCCGCACTCATACTGATGCAGACCGCCGTTGCCAAAAGCTCCTCCCTTCTGCAACTGTCAATCAGAGTCGGGCTGAGGAAATATTACCGATCCCGGAACGCGTGGCCAAGTATAGTTAGAAGGTGTTTGAACAGCCCCTTGCGTGATCCAGGCTTCGATCGAGTCAGAATTGCGACATTGATGCCATGTACTGAATTTGGGGTAAGGCGTCGGATAGTGCTCCAGCCACTGGAATGTGTAGAGCCCAACATCACCCTGGCAAACAACAAATTGCCGCAATAGTTCAATGCAGTGGTCTATTAAGTGAGGAAAGTTAGCAGATGCGACTATACTGAAAGACAATCAGACTAAAATCAGGATAAGATAAATTTGTCATACCCAAATGCAGGCGCACCACATGCGGCAGATCTGTGAATCCGTGTGACTGGTTGTAGTACTCGGGATACGTTGCCTTTCTGAGGAAGTTGAGGCAATGGAGCTCGTGAGTGTACATGTCCGATGCCATGTATCCACCTCCTAGATCGTCAGGCAATCTCACATCATCCACTGAGCCACCAATGTGTATCAATTCATCATGAGATATACCCCGCACCCGAACTAAGCGAAGGTCAGATAAGTAACATGGTAACATAGTTTCGCGCATAGCTACCTTGGTCCACAGCTGCCCAGGCATCGTCGACCTCGGGTCGTGGAGTCCCACCGAATGGCGTAGGATTACCAACGGTACTGTTGAACCGAACGAGCTTGTATCCAGCATCAATTCTATCCAGTGCAGGGGCTGTAATTACTGTTAGTTTCCTTTGCTCTCAGAACGCAGTTCAGGTCTGGGTATAGGGAAATGCTACCCACAATAATAAGAATGGCGAACAAGGCATTTTCTGTCGAGGTTTAGGTCGATGAATTGTCCAGCAACAAAGCCTAGAATAATCAAAGCTAGACTAATGATTACATATGCCCAGCTGGGGAGTCTTCTGAGGGATGTGCCTGCAGGTATAACCTGGGAGAAGGGCTCTTCAGTCTCTCCTGCTTCGAGTGCTGGAGAGTCGATGTCAGAGGCTTCATCGGAGATTTTCCGATACTTGGAAGCAGCCATTGGGGGATAAACTGCTCAGTGCGTACAACCAGCTGGGTAATGGTTCATTAGAGTCCTGAGAGGCTTCACAATCGCAGGAAACTCCTGGGGCTGGCATAGGTATTCATCATATGAGAAATCATCGGCAATCATCGGCTTTAATTTACAAATTGTGATGGTCAGTAGTCGTATCAGTGACAGCTAAAACAAATCAGGAAAATGGGGGTTATGCTGAAGCGGCGGGGGCCAAATTACGTGGCAAGGGTCTTTCTAACACCGAGCGTTTTTATGCTTACAGTCACTTGAGTGGACCCGGAAATAAAATCCAGTATATAGATAAGACTTGAAGCCTCGGTATGCAGTGCTAAGTTTGACGATTGTTTTTTTAAGTGCTAGCGATAGCGTATGTTGTACTACATGAATAATAGGCGAGAAGATAGACTAGTTGCTAAGCTCAGGTGATAGTAGTGAGGTGACATCGGCCCACCCCAAACTATTAACCTTGGATGCTGCACACTAGCCAAATTGAACTTAGTGCGCACCCTGGACGCCTAAAACATCCTGTACAATATAGACTCACAAACTGGACGAATCGCAATTGGCAAAAGTTTTGTGTACCCTGTTATACATACGTTCTGTCTGGAAATTTCATCAGCATTGTTTCGTTCTGGAAAGGCGAAGATTACGGATTTTGAAGTATTGAGAGGATACCAGTGGTAATTACGGTAGGTATCTATCATATAAAGATAATCCCTTGCCCTTTTGCCTTGGCCTGCCGGCATAGATCTTCTATATGAACCTTACTATACAAACTTGACGAGACAATAGACCATTCCGTCCAAATTCGACATGAAGATCGCCCAGTGTATCGCTATCCTGGCCATGGCCTCTGCCAGCCTAGCGACCCCTACTCCCGCCAAGCGAGACGCTAATGTTGACATCGAGAGCTATCCTTGTGAGTTGAGAACCTGAGTCCACTGCATTCAGTTTGAAGAATATTTGACGGTGAGCTAATACTGTGCATAGATGACTTTGGATTCCTGTAAGTCTATCACTTCCGGTGAACCAGCTGATATGTTACTGACGGGATCGGGATCTCAGGGAGGAGAAGAGGGCGCCAGCCGAGGAGAAGCGTGCCGTTGATATTGAATCTTACCCCTGTATGATTCACAATATTCTGCTCTTTTCGTCATATGTCTCCATACTGACTTCTTTGGGAAACACAGATGACTTCGGCTTTTTGTACGCGCGATAACCCCAAATCTGCGAATTTGCGAGCGACAAGATTCTAACAAATGATCCTAGGAGCGAAGAGAAACGCGAGGCATCGGAGAAGAGGAACGTTGATATCGAGTCCTATCCTTGTAAGATATACGATCTATTGCTCAAGTTCATCCAATCTCTCCATACTGACCTCTCTGGGAAATACAGATGACTTTGGCTTCTTGTATGCGTGCAACCCTATAAATGAGACTGCGCAAGTGAAAAGATTCTAACAAATAATTCAGGAGCGAAGAGAAGCGTGAGGTACCGGAGAAGAGGAACGTTGACATTGAGTCCTACCCCTGTAAGATTTATAATCTAATGCTCAAGTTTATGAAGTTTTTCAATGCTGAATTATCCGGGAATTACAGATGATTTCGGCTTCTTGTGAGCACGATATATCCAGACTCGAGGATTCCCCGACGACACGGGTCTAACAAATGATTCTAGGAGCGAAGAGAAGCGCGACGCCTCGGAGAAGAGAAACGTTGATATTGAGTCTTATCCCTGTATGTATTCTTGGGTGCCCAATTGAACCAGTTTATGCTTGTGCTAACACATATTCCAGATGACTTTGGGTTCTTGTAAGTACAATGCCAATTCTCCCCGTCCTATGTGGAGGGTCTGACAGAGGGTAGGGCCGAGGAAGAGTAGACGGATCCCAAGAAGGCCAAGGAAACGAGGATATCGAGTGACCTAGTCATGTGGGACTATTTCATGGGAGGTTGCAGTAACAGGTAGGATAGCAATATGAGCAGCTTCCTTATTTGGTCCTGAGTATCCGTAGCAAGCCCAAAAGGATTCAAAAGTACCAATTGTAGCTGTCTAAACAACCTAATTAATCCACTCTGCCTCCAGGTATTTGCACTCGGCCCGACTCTGAACTATGTTGGCAGTAGCCCACCTCCTGCGTGGTAAAACCTGCGGGTACCGAGGCCTCGACGGACACTCAATTTGCTAAACCAAGCCAAATCCGGGCGTATTTAACCATATCACAATGGAGAGACTCTGTCGGCATTGCCTCTACAAGATCTACCGAGGTTCTGTCGTGTCATCTTACCCGACTTTTCAGGTCCAGTGGGGAACCCCTTGTATTGTACCCCTCGCCCCTGTAATAAATGGTAAGCGTCATACATACAGCCCAGGGTGTACATATACCAGCTCCCCCGCATAGCTGAGCTTCAAAATCCCAAAGTTTAGAGATCGCCCACCAAAGCCCCCATTGAGTACCACTGGACTCTAATCGAATAATGTTCATTGGCAACATCGTTGGCATACTCGTCGCAATATGCTGCAGTTACGGGTTTTACCTTTACTCCAGCAACATAGGTGATGTGGCACTCTGGTGGTCCAAAGAGGCAGTCTGCAAAATCCCAAGCTATAAGACTCAGATTGTGTCGGAAGACCCTTTGCTAGTCTATATCGATAACTTCATCAGTGAGGCAGAAGCGTCACAATTACTTGACATTGGGTTAGTCCCAATTCTCGTTCTCTCTGTATCCAATGCAGTGGTTGTGCGATATTGTCGAACGCAATTCGAACGCAATTGATAGCTAACGACAGCTACAATCCCCAGGAAAACCCAATATTCTCCTTCAAGATTATCAACTGGAGCGAGTGGTGAAGCGTATCGATCATCTCAGTCGGCAGGCCTGCCGCCGTCGGACCATTCGGTCTCGTGTGTGGGAAGCCGTGCACTCTCTCTGATGGCATCCCTGACGGAGCCCTCCGACGACTTCGGTATTCCTCAACTTGTGACGTATAAACCGGGTCAGCAGTATAAGCTCCATTATGACTGGTTTCAAGAGTCAATGCGGTATAAAGACGGCCGACTGTGCAATCGTGTTGCCAGTATCTTTGTATTCTTGGAAGCCGACTGCACCGGAGGAGAAACATATTTCCCGCGCGTTACATCCACGGCTTCGAGCTTGCTTGATGACGGCAAAGCCATTCAAAATGGCTCGTTTGAGGGGATTATGTTTAAACCAATTCCAGGGAATGCGCTGTTCTGGATCAATCTTCCAGACAATGGGAAGGGGGACGAGCGTGTTATACATGGAGGTCTACCGGTGCATACCGGAACTAAAAGTGGGATGAATATTTGGCCATTGAAGTGTGAGCTATAGAACTAGAGGTACTGTGTCTTTTGGATTTCAAGAAGACGGGTTATTATCTTTCAAATTTCAGCATGCGTAAGGTTGCCTTAAAATCGGAAATGGGGGGGGGTATCCAGAATATCGGAGGGCTATTATGTATTCCTCGAAAATAAAAGCAAGTCAGACCTTGCCCTTGTCGGCAGTAAGCAATAATAAGGTCATTTTCTGTAAACTTCGTAAGGGATACGAGGCTGTACTAGTGTACGTATTTGAATCGACGCCGGTGGGGCATGCACATTACAGTGCATTTGGCCTTCCAGGACCGCTCTTAAGCGGCCCTAAGGTATCTTCCGTCTTGCGAGATAACACCCCTTTACATAGTAGCCCAGTCCAACTGCCTCTCTTGCCGGCATGACTATTTCGAGAACAAGAGTACTTTTCTGGATTGTACTAGCTACTGTGTTCTGCACCATCGCAAATGCTCTGCCTCCTACGCATGTTATTCATGAGAAACGAGATCGTGTTTTGTCAGAATGGAGATCGGTTGGCCAACCGAAACCAGAATCGCTGTTGCTCGTCCGAATTGGACTAAAACAGAACAACCTGCACCGGGCGAATGAGTATTTACTGGACGTGTAAGCTGATGCAACCATAACTGTCTGTCCAAACCGACCAATCACACAGTGTCTAACAGGTAATAAAGGTCCCATCCTCAATCTTCAAACTATGGAAAGTACTGGTCTGCAGACCGGATTATTGATACATTTTCACCCTCCGACCATACCATCGCGCTGGCGAGGGCATGGCTAATCGAGTCCGGCATCAGCGATGCACGCATATCCTTGAATCGTAATAAAGGATGGCTAGAGCTTGTGGCCACGGCCAAAGAGGCGGAAGAATTGCTACACACTCAATATTTCCAGTATTGGAATGCGCAGACAGGCCAGTCTGTTCTTATCTGCGAACAGTATGTTGAGATCCCCCTTCAGTCCGTCTTGAACTTCCAAAGGCTAAGTAGACAAGGTATCATGTACCGCACGGCATCCAGGATCATATTGATTACATAGAACCAGGGATCAGACTCCCAGCATTCCAACAGCAGCAACCATTCCTTCACAAACGGGACAATATCCTGATCCACGGTGCTTCAGGGCAAATGCACCTTCCCGACTCAGATAACCCTGACGTGCTCACATCACTAGGTTGTGACAAGCTAATCACCCCGGACTGCATCAGAGCTATGTACAAGATTCCACTTGCCACCAAGTCTCATCCTCAAAACTCTTTGGGGATATTTCAGGAAGACAACTATTTCCATGCTGAAGATCTGGACTTATTTTTCGAAAACCAGACGACCAATATTCCACCGGGTACTCGGCCTCTAGAGGCCATGATTGCCAACGCCGATGGAGGTGGATCGCCATCAAAATTTGGTCTCGAGTCAGCATTAGACCTCCAAGTGGCGTATCCCATTGTTCACCCGCAAACAATCACAGTTTACCAGACAAATGATCACCTTGATGCTCAGGATTCATCTCGAGGTTTTCTTGACAGTTTTCTAAATGCGATTGATGGGGTAAGCTCCGGGTGGCTGAATCCTTCTTTTCTGCCTAGCTCTGATGATATTGCAGTCATACTGCACAGACTGTGCTTCAAAACATTGTGGTGATGGCAAAAGAGCCAATCCCAACCCTTCTTCTGAGTCTGACAGCCGGGTACTCTGCGGCATCTACAAACCAGCCAACGTCATTTCGATATCGTATGGAGGTCCCGAGCAGAACTTCCCAGTTCCGTATCAGAGACGACAGTGCAATGAGTACGTGATATGACTATAATCACACCATCGTCCTATTTGACTGCCGTTGACGACTCTGATACGAACCCAAAACAGGTACATGAAGCTCGGTCTTCAAGGGGTGTCAGTCCTATTTGCTTCGGGTGACAATGGTGTCGCAGGCCATGACGGCTGTCTAGGTCCAAGTCAGGACATATTCAGCCCAACTTTCCCAGCCAAGTCCGTTCCCACGCCTCATAACATGGTATTAATGAAAGTTAACATAACAACATCTAGCTGTCCGTACGTAACTTCCGTGGGAGGTACAAAGGTGCTACCAGAACATACGCCTTCCGAACCCGAAAGTGCTCTATACAACAGTGATGGAAAGAATATCCTATCATCCGGCGGTGGCTTTAGCAACGTGTTCCAAGCTCCATCTTATCAGGAAGCAGCTATCTCCAAGTAAGTCAATGTTTAACGTGTCAACTTATAATTCCCTGTGTGGAAAATTTACCAGGGTTCATTCTCAAGATACTTTGCCACTTCTAATCCAAACTATCCCTTCTATGAGGGAAATTGGACATCTGGAGGCGACTCTGGTCTGTATAATCGTCTTGGCCGGGGCTACCCCGACGTGGCTGCAGTTGCCGATAATATTGCGCTTTGGTATGAGGGTAAATTCGGTCACACAGGGGGAACTAGTGCGAGTGAGAAGTCCACAGTGACAAGAATTGCAAAAGAACCATCATAGAATAACTAACATGGGTTGTAGGTACGCCGATATTCGCGGCCATAATTAACCGCATTGTCGATGAGCGGCTGGCGATTGGGAAGGGTCCTCTCGGCTTCCTAAATCCGGTGCTCTATGACAATGAATGGGCTCTTAATGACATCGTGGACGGATCAAACCCAGGATGTGGAACCGAGGGATTCACGGCAGCTGTAGGGTACGTCATGTCAGTCCTAACTCGGTTGGATCCAACTAATACATGATCATTAGGTGGGATCCGGTGACAGGATTGGGGACACCAGACTACGAAAAGATGTCACAGTTGTTTCTTGACCTTCCATGATGTTCGTGTCGCTAGACCTCACGATTGAACCCGGCTCCACTCCACTCTTAAGACCGAAGAGAAACACTTATCCCCGCAGAAAGTATGCACCCCTCTCAGTCACATTCTCCCCCAGATCGTCGTTCTCACTCTGACTGCCAAAAGTGCCACGATTCCCTTGTCGACACTCGATGCTTCGAAGCACATTGCCCAAATCAAATATCCAGCCTAATCCCGCCACCACCTAAGCGAGCAGGCCATTCTGGTGCGTTTTCCTGATGATTCGTGAATAGATGTTCAAAGAGACTGTCGCTATGTCGACATCGGCGTCTCTGTATATTTTAGTTCAGAAAGATGTCGCCCATGAAATTGTAAGCTGAATTAGTGTTAGTGGCTCTAGCAATTCGTTTTGTGCCGTTTGGAGGAGATGAGACATTCGGAGGGCATTGTCTTAGGGGAAGTGGCTGGATCCTATCGTGTGCTACTTGGATATACTATAGGTGCCACGCTAAGTCCTCCATCAGCTCATCAGCGTCTGGTACTAGATATTTTAAGATCAACCTTATATTACATCGGTTCTTGTCGTTTAATGAAGTTGGTAAGAATATCCTCATTCTTAAAACTTATAAGGATATTCCCTAGCTTTAGATCTAATAGGTAGGTTAGAGCTCTAGATTCTAAAATCAGACAAAATAATAGCGATCACTACCTACCTGTGTGTACAACCTTATACTCTGAGTGGAGATAATTAAGGCCCACGAGGAGGAAGTAAATATAAGCCTTCGCAATCGGTAAAGGAAGCTTACGATTAATGAAGCGCCTCTGTAAAATCCAGAGAGGCTCCCTTATCGGTTTATACACCAGACATATGTGCTTACCCTTCGGACCAGTAACTTCAAAGTCATCCACACATGTTCGAATAATCGCACGGCCGCGATGCTCTGCATTTTGCTGCGTGATATAGCTTTCAATCTCCCTCTTACTTCTAATAACCCTGTTTCCGAGGTGGCATTATAAGCTTATAGTTAGAGTAGTATACGTTTGTTTCTAAAATGCCGAGGTAATCTTTAATCTCTAAGACTCTTAAGTATATCCTAAGCCTTATAATTTCGTCGATTGTTCTCTGAAAATTTTGAACCTTTCGGCCTCTGATTTTGTTTAGATATAAATTTAACTCTGTTTTTGCTCTGTATTTAGTGGAAGCTAACCTAAGTAATTCTATGATTGCACCTTAATATAACGCACGTTACTATTCTGCGCCGGAAAGGTAGCTATCTATTTTGTCTTTCGGGCATCCTATAGATATTTGCGTCGATGGGAAGAATAATTTATAAGGTAAGCTTTTCTATTTCGAGATTAATTCTGGCGATTCCTGGCTAAGAAAAATCATAGATGTAATCAAAGTCTTAATTTAGGCCCTATTGTTTCTCGGTATTGATTTAGAACACGCTGGTTTTTCCCTTGTGTAGCGCCTATACTGCGAATTTCTAAGACCGAGGCGAGTTCTTAAAGTGCATACTTTGACTAGGTGTTAATATTTTTGAGGTTGTTGCCTTTGACTATCTGACTTATGCAAATCCCTATTAATATTACTCGGGGAAGGGCGGTGCACTAGGGAAACGATGGCTAATGTACGGTAATACTTATTCGGGGAACTTGGATAAACGGAAGATATTCTGATTTGTTGATCGCACCGCTCGTCAGGGTAGCTAGATATGCACCCCGGGGTAGAGCCGAGGGGAATATGAAATGTTCAAATCTATTGGACTTCACTATTTCCTTACTGATAGAGATTAAAAATGGGTGTTGGGATAAACTAGATCGTGAACTTATATAGGTAAGTATACAACATGTAGAGCTTCCAAGAATATTGATGCCTGAAAGAGCCGCCAGAGATGAGGCAACCAATCAACAGAAGCGCCACAATTTCTGTCAAAGGCGGCTCGCCACCCTGTTCAGCCCTCGTCAGCGCAGTCCGGGTGGACCCCAGGTACCAGAATATTCTGTATTTGAACAATTACCCTAGGCAGCAAACTGTGCTTCTTCATGTTTTGGGCGAAACTGCCATGGGTGGAATCGTTATAGATAGTTTCTTCTTTTTCCTTTCTATATACTCATGAGCTAGCGTTGTAGTAAAGCAAAAAGTATGCCAAGCATAATTTGAAAGGCCACCCCAACAGGTAGGTGCTTTTGCTGCCCTTTAACGTCACAATGACGGATAAGTACGTAAAAAAAGAGGATTCGCACAGACTATTTCACATCGGTGCTCATGCTCGACAAGATGAGATCCCCTGGTTCTGCTATAAACTTTGTGCGGTCACCTCCAAGTAGCAAATCATCATCAAGTTCAACCTCCAACATGTCTTCTGGATCGCTTTGCAGGTAGCGAGGCCTGTCATATCTTTCCCATCTTGCCTCTTTTGCTAGGATTGCTTTATCCACGCTTTTACTAGAGAAAAAGTTGAAGCGTATCTTTCGGTATTGCACCGCCACAACTTGCTCGCCTTTGGCCACATACTGTCGTTGTTGGTCCTCCGTGTGCCCACCAGAGCCTGCCAGTTTAGGATCCGGGAGGTCACCAACTGGCACAATTACTCCTGATGTGGCCAACACACTCGTTATCGGAACCTGTAGACTTCCCTTCAAGAAATTTTGTCCTCGCGATTTTTCGACAACACGAGCGTCAAGAGCAGTGTGGTAGCCAATCACGACATAAATATCCTCTCCTTCATCAATAGTACGCTCGATCCACCTCCGTGTGTTTTCGCACTTGACGGCATCCCGAAACCACTGTCCATTATTGTCGAGATAATAGGTTTTTACTTGCTTAGTGGTGATAGAAGTAGATGTTTTCGTATTTCTCGTCACGGAAGAGGAGAGGAAGGCGGTAAGTTGGGAAACAAAACTGCTGTGAGCCCCGAGCGAGTCGCTGGTGTGGTAATGAGTTTCAATTTTCTCAATAATTTGGGGTTCCCGATCCATGTGTGGATCGTGGTACTCTTGGTGAGGTTGATCGACATTGGTGACCAAACGTCCTAGCTTAATAGCAGATTGCGGCAAAAATACCTCTGGGAGAAGGACGCTGACACGCATTTTAGTTTCGTCTGTAGAAGTCCTCACGGGGAATCATAGAACACGGCGGACTAGCGTGGAATGCAACGGGATATATATGCTATGGTGCGGGGTCATGAGCTCTGAAAAGAGGCGACCCCATAAGTAGACTAGATCAAAAGTTGGCGAGGGGTTTAATTGTCGCATACCTGACAAATTTCCTGGGTTTTTCTGATTATATAAGGGCGCGTAACGTAATTCACAAGCGAGCTAAGTTAGTTAAAATGAGAGAGTGTATGTACAGTGCAAATACTAATGCAACGCCACTGTAAAGGCTAGTCAGCATATTACATTAAATACTAGAAATACCCTTACTCCTGTGCGTGCAACGTATCAGATTGGGTAAGCTATCGAAACTAAGAGAAAGAGAGAGTGAGGACCCAGCTGAGGATCTGCATGAGGTGTGATCATGCGATCATGTGATCATAACAACTTCCAATCCGAAGTCTCCCGTGTCGATACGCCTCTGAACTTCGAAGACTTGGTCGACGCTAAACAACTTCACAGTGGACAAACCAAGCACCTTCGTCAGGCGGCATTCCTGAAAAATACCGGTTAAATCACAAAAGACTACAAGATACACTATGGACAACAGGACACCCGATTTTGAGACCCAGTTGCTCGACAACTTCGAGGCAGTCTCAGAAGTAGTCGCCAGTGCAGGTACTACCAGCCGGGTGGAGCTTTGTTGGTATTATGCCACCCTTACGTTTAGGCGATTCGGGCACATGGCTAGGATCCGAGATCTCGAAGAAGCTATTGAAAAGGCGAAATGGGCACTCCAAGGGACAAGTCCAGAGCATCAAAGCTATGCAAATAGACTTTACGTTTTTGGTATTATGCTTCATACACGATACGAACAAACAGGGAGGACTGGGGACTTGGAAGAGGCTATCCGAATATCCTATCAGGCAGTTCAGATCACACCTGAAGGTCATCCGAACTTCGTGGTTTTTTTGAGCTTCTTGGGAAACAGCCTTGGAAGTCGGTATGAACTGAAACACGATACAGAGGACCTGGAAAATGCGATCCGAACTTCTCGTCAGGTGATTGAGATGACACCTAAAGACTCTCTTCATTTTGCGGCGTGGTTGAACAATTTAGCAATCAACCTTTTAAGAAAATTCGATCGACTGAATAATATTGCAGATTTGGAAGAAGCAATCCACCTCTCTCGTCAGTCTGTTCAGATCACGCCAAAGAACCACCTAGACCTCTCTTCTCGGTTGAACAATTTGGGAATAAACCTCTCAAGGAAATATGAACGTCTAGGAAATCTAGACGATCTTAAAGAAGCGATTCAATTCTCTCGCCAGGCAGTCCACATCGCTCCTAAAGACCATCCTGATCTTGCTGCTTGGTTGATCGACTTAGGAAATAAGCTGATAACACAACACCATATCCGACAAAACTGTGTTGAAAAGATTGAGGATCTTGAAGAGGCAATTCAACTATATCGTCAGGCAGCAGAAATTATGCCAGACCACCATCCCAAACTCGCTGCCTTGTTGAACAATTTAGGCATCGGGCTTCAGAGCCAATTTCAGAACACCGGGAAAATGGAAGAACTTGAAGAAGCGATTCAAGTCTCTCGCCGCGCAGTTCACATTACGCCTCAAGGACATCCCGATCTAGCTGCTCGGCTCAGTAATTTAGGATCACGGCTCACAACGAGATACGAACGTCTAGCAAGGATAGAGGATCTTGAAGAGGCGATACATCTCTCTTATCAGTCAATTCGGACAATGCCCCTACACCATCGTGATCTTGCGACTCGGTTTAGTGGTCTAGGGACGCAGCTCACAAAGAGATATAAACGCCTGGGCAAGAAAGATGATCTAGAAGAGGCAATCAGTCTCTCTCGTCAGTCAATTCAGAATACGCCTCAAGATCATCCCAATATTCCTTCTCGGTTCTATACTCTAGCAACTAGCCTAATGGCAAGATATGAGAACCTAGGGAAGATAGAGGATCTTGAAGAGGCGATACATCTCTCTTATCAGTCAATTCGGACCATACCTCAACACCACCCTGATCTTGCGACTTATTATGATGGTCTAGGGACACAGCTTGCAAGGAGACATGAACGCCTAGGGAAGATAGAAGATCTAGAAGAGGCAATCAGTCTCTCTCGTCAGTCAATTCAGACTACTCCTCATGATCACCCTGATCTACCTGCTCGGTTACAAAATCTGGCGGGTATGCTCAGAGGTCAATATGATTACACGGCAAAGATTGACCTACTAGAAGAGGCAATTGACTTATCTCGTCAAGTTATTAAGATCATGCCTCAAGGTCATCCGGATCTCCCAGGAACTCTGAATGAACTTGGACAGGGACTAAAGAGAAAATTCGAACGAATGGGTAAGCGAGAAGACATAGAAGAGTCAAATCAGGTATCTAGCAGGGCGGTAGCGACCACACTGCTAAACGATAATACCAATCTCGCAGCTCGCCTGAACGACCTGGGAACTTTACTCTTCGCCCGATATGATCACTGGGGGAAAATACAGGATTTAGAAGAATCCCTAAAAATGTCTCGTCAGGCATTGATATCACACCTTTGGACCACCCCAATCTTGGCTCTTGGTTGATTAACCTAGGAAGTGGGCTTAGGGTCCGATTCCAGCATACAGGGAGACTGGAAGACCTCGAAGAGGCGATCCAGGTATCTCAAAGGGCAATTCACGTCACACCCTATGATCATCCTAAGATCGCAATCTTCTTGAATGACCTGGGAAATCATTTTCATAGTCGATATTCACGCACAAGACATATTGATGATCTGGAAGAGGCAATTCGTCTCTCTCGAAACGCAATGGCTGTCAAGCTGACACCTGAAACCCATACCGAGTCTGCACTCCTGCTGAATAATTTGGGAATCAAGCTCGAAACGCGGTATCAACATACAGGAATGATAGGGGACCTAGAAGAGGCCATCTGCCTCTTCCGCCGAGCAGTTCATATCACGCAAGACCATCAAAATCTTGCAATTTGGTTAGAAAGCTTGGGATCTAGCCTTTCGATCCGATATCAATACACAGACAAGATAGAAGACTTGGAAGAGTCGATCCAGTACTCTAGGAGGGCAATTCAGATCACGCCGAACGACCATCCCAGTCTCGCTGCTCGGTTATGCAACTTAGGCATCAGCCTTTTGAGCAGATATGAACGAACATCCAAAATGGAAGACCTAGAAAAGTCGATTGAAGTCTCTCGCCATGCAGTCGAAATCACGTCAGCTCCTCCTTTAACACGAATCCGGGCTACCTCTCATGCCTTGAAGGTACTTCACAAGAGGGGAGACTACACCAGCGCTTATACAGTATCTAAAGAGGCTATCGGTTTCCTTTCTCTCTTACACAACAGATCACTGGACCTCCAAGATCAACAATACATTCTCTCGCTTTTCTCCGGCTTGGCTTCCCATGCCTGCTCTCTTGCAATTCAAATAGGAAAGCCCCCTGCTAAGGCTTTGGAACATTTGGAGCAAGGACGTGGAGTTATCCTAGGTCTTCTTATGGATGATAGGGGTGACACATCTGAGTTAAAGGCGGCAAATCCCGCTTTGTGTGCACAGTATGAGCGGCTCCGCTTCGAAATCAATGCTCCTGTCGATATCATCGAGCCTCCACATAGGATAGACTCATCATCTGAAAAAAGAGAAAAGATCTTCAAGGAACTCGAAGAATGCATTCATGACATCCGACAACTTCCTGGGTTTAGCTCATTCCACAAGGGTCCTACTGCGGAGCAAATGAAAAGCATATCTCATGATGGCAACATTATCATTGTGAATGTCACTACCATACGAAGCGATGCTATTGTTATTTCTTCTGGTGGCTTTAGCTTCATCTCTCTGCCTTGCATGATTGCGGGCCAGGCACAAAGATGGGTCAATGAGAATTTTGATGCGGCTTTACAAAATGAACGTGGCAAGAAAAACAAAGCCTACCTCAAGTTCTTAGACTGGCTTTGGAATGGGTGTGTAAAGCCTATTCTCATTGAGCTAGATCATAATGCTCAGCCCTCTCCGGAAAATCTTCCAAGAGTCTGGTGGATTGGGACTGGACTTGCTAGCTCATTCCCGTTTCATGCTGCACGGGATACCAGTGCGGGTCCATTTGAGAATACATTTTCCCGCGTTCTATCTTCCTATACCCCTTCTATCAAGGCTCTTAGGTACTCTAGGGGGCGGTTTCCCCCAAGTGACTTGTCTAACGAACTTCCCTCCAAGTTACTCATGGTGACTATGGCGAAGACTCCTGGAGCTTGCGAATTAGATGGGGTGGAGGGCGAGACATCTATGATTGAAAGAGCCCTAAAAGGTTTGGCTCATATCAATGTTCTAGACCAACCGGATGCTGCAACTGTTTTACGTCAAATTCATCATTGTGACATTGCCCATTTTGCCTGCCATGGAATATCCGACATGATAGATCCCTCTCAAAGCGGTCTTTTATTGAAGACAGCGACCGTCAAGCCAAAGCAGGATCTCCTCACTGTTCGTGCATTATTCAAGCATAACTATCAACAGGCGAGGATTGCATACCTTTCTGCTTGTTCCACTGCAGAAAATCGAGCAAAGGGCTTAGTGGACGAGGTGCTTCATGTCGTGAGTGGCTTCCAGATTGCCGGATTTAGGCATGTGATTGGCTGCTTATGGCCAGCTGATGATGGTGTGTGCGTGGAGGTTGCGAGGTCATTCTATGCGGAACTTTGTAAAAGTGGCACTTTGGATTACACCGATAGAGCTGTCTGTATGGCACTGCATAAAGCGGTTTGGGAAATTTCGATGAGTGTAGAGTATAGGAACAGGCCTTTGCACTGGGCGCCCTATATCCACTGCGGCGCCTAACTTGTGGCACTCATCGAGCCAGTGGAATGATAGACAATAGAAACCAGGATATATACCTATGTGTTTAGATGCTTCCCCTCCCTAGCTATATTCTATCTACGCGAGCTACGGAAGGAAAGCAAGAATCAGAATCATAGAGTACGATGTAATATTAGGAGATGTTGAAGAGAAGAGGTTATATGACTAGAGAAAACCTAACCCATTGGAGCACCTGCATTTAGGGTACTGCCCCGTCAACCTGATAGCACTACTCATGCCTTAGGATTAGATCTATTTGTTTATAGCTGGGTCTTGACCGACAGAACCCTACACACAATACAACTATCATACACGAATCATCATAGCCTAGTGACAAGAGGGCGTCGGTCGCGAATAGAGTAAAACAAACCCCTCCCCACTTCATCATTTCGACCAAATACACTCCTGAGAATAATGGGAAAGTGGTATTCTTTGCCTATATAATATGGAATCCAATGATTAAACACGCCTTCTCTACAACTCTCAAAGCTTCTCTCCTATATGCTTGGACTCTTTTCTGGGCTATAAAACAAAGATCCGCCCGACCATTAGTGTGCTAGGTAGAGGGGCTGAAGACTCGTGTCGCAACAGTACCAGCCCCAAAGGGTCCCAGAAATTGGTGAAGCGGATACAGCATTTGTATTTTCGTGGCTACTGAGCGCCCACACTTCGGGTGTAGACGGCTCGCCGCTTTGTCGAGCCCTCTTTCGTATAATCGGGGCGGACCTCCAGGTAACTGATTATTCTTTACCCCAATATCTAGCTCGTGCAGAAACAGACGCTCTTTCGCCTTTTTGTGTAACTTCTAATAAGTTATCATTCTCTCTTCTTTCCCTATTCTCTTTTGCTATTATAGTGCGGGCTACCGTTGAGGATGTGTTGTCAGAGTATGTTCTGTCAGAATGAACGATACAGTACAGCTATATATGAAAAAAAATCCCGAGAATCACAATGGCAAGAACTACCGTTAATACAATACTTAAAGTCTCCAGTCAGTTGATGTGTAAATGTGTATATTGAAATTGGTTTGGCTGAGCCGGGCCAGAGATTGCTGGAAGACGTGTTCATTGCTTGAAATTTTAAGGTACTCCCCAGCGTTATATAAATAATTGATGAGGCAAGTTGCCCAAAGAGAAAAGTTCCATTTCACGAGACTATTCTATCCGAGGAGAGAACAAGGGAAAAAAAGAAGAGGCAAAGAACAAAAGGGAGTACGCTGTTACGTGTGGCAAAAGCGTCAAAAGAAACTCTCCATCGAAAGGGACAATCTTGATCCGGCCATTCCCCACGGCAACTTCCGCGGCCTCACTCCGGGATTTCCCAAGATCTGGGGCAGATCCTGTCTAGTTCTAGTAATTTACCGCCTACCAAAAACGCGAAGCCTCAAACACGAGACATTGCATACAAGGCGACGGGATCTCGAATTTCTCGCAGCCTATACGCATAATTACCCAATATACCTTGTACTTAGCTATCTTAGCGATACATCCCATCACCAATCATCATAGATTATTCAAAAGGGCTTACTCCAGCGCTTAGAGAGCCTATACGCGAGCTATACGCGATTGACTGGGGTTATAAGCGTATTAATAAGCGCTACACCTAGATATCTTTCTCAATAATTTCATATGCTATTAAAAGGAGCCTGGACACCGAATAGGTGTTTCAAAGTCTTGCCCTGGGCCCGAAGAAGCTTACTGAAGACGATAAAGCCTAAATCTTATATATTATTACGGAATAACTACGCGTGACATATAAGGGACTACTTTCTGAGGTTGTTATTATAGAAAAAAGGACTTAATTTGCCGACTATTAAGCGCTAAGAGTATACGAAAGTGGCGAAGCTCCTAGAGACGCTATCTCGACGATAAACACATAGCTAAGCGTCTCCAGTAGGCTAGCCGATATCGACACTTTACACTAGCTAATTAGGCTCGTGTTTACTCGTTTAATAAGTATAATATTAATCGTGGTATTAGTATTCGTCGCGAATAGACTTTATACGCCCTTAAGATTAACCAGAATAAGGCGAATAGTAGAGTTTACCGTATCGCGGTAAGGTTAAGTAGATATTTTAGGCTAGTTTCTCGGCTGCTCGACGTACAGGTTGAATACCCCAATTCGGTGATCCTTTATCAGAGTGTAGTAGTACTAATCGATTCTTTATTAAACAACTATACCGTCGAGTCTTACTAACCTATTTGTCTACCAAAAATGGTATTTTAATACACGATAATACACCCACGTATACTGTAACTATACTTTATACGCGATGTATTAGAAGAGATGGAGATCGAGGTGATGATCTAGCTACCTTACTCGCCTGATTCAAACCGATTAAGAACCTCTAGGCACTTTTAAAACAAGAGATTTATAAGATTCGGCCTAATCTTATGCATATAAAGAAAAACCTTGAGACTAGGCGGATTTTAGTAGGAATAGCACAAATTGCATGGCAGGATATCGATATACGCCATCTTGAACACCATTCTGAGACTACTGCCTCATCGGGTGCAAGCAATAATTGAACCAGATAGACGGTACATACCCTACTAGGACTATTGTAATTTTATGTGTGCCTAGCTAGCTATCTGGTAGTTAATCAATTTCATGGAGGTTTGGTGGAGATTTTGTGACCGGCAGCATATTATGTGGGCCTAGGGGTGTTGGGACTTGTATGTAGTCACTGTAGATTCTAGTCGGGACGGTAAAATGACAATCTGCGAATACCGCTACGCCTGGGCAACAGTTTCAATAGGAATCCCAGATGTGTGCGGAGAAATCCCCCCACAAACGAGCCGGGATTTGTTATCACTTTCTCCCAGTGCGATCGTCAAACGCGGTTGTGAAGACCATGAGTCGACTTACGAACTGGTGTACTAGTTGAGTTAAACGGATCCGATCTCAGTTAACTAACCTTCTGTAAAGACTAAGCGATCTTGATCATGGATACTCTGTATTGACATACGTAACCCCAAACAAGAAGCGACCACCAGCCAGCCAATAGTTTATCAAACAGTAGTGAATCAATGGATCCCCGAAGTGGACAAAATGAGAACCCACCGTTCAATCGGCCCAAGAGCGTGGATGTTTTCCCTGGATAGAGAGCTCCAGGCCCTTCACAGTGGTGGTCCCTCTAGGCGAATAAAAATGTCGCCGATTCAATTCAGGTTTAATGGCGACAAACCCGTGCGTTCGGCCACTTTAGCGGTGGTTGTTTCCCTAGGAGCGAGCCAATCGTTTTTGCGCCTCTTCTTTGGTCAAAAACCTCATTGCGTCCTTGCAAAGAGAAAACCAAGACCAGACCAGATGGTTGTAATGGCCACGGTGAATCTATTTTCCGTGATCAGCTCTAATCAGGGCCAGTCCAGGCCACCAAAAAAGTCAAGTTGATATGGAACACGAGGAGGAACGGAGGGAGGGAAAGTTTAGCCGAGGGGTGCTTCAGGGATATTCAGGGCATTCAGGTGAAGAATAGAGGGCCTTCAGGGTGTTTAGGTGAAGGGACCTGAAGAGGCCAGAGAATAAAGCGGCAATAGCAGTCTAAATCAACAAAAAGAAATGCAAAAACATACAACAGCCAGGATTCGCATGTGGTCACCCACCATACTACTAACTGGCCGGCGTGTGGCTTAAGTACGGCTGAGCGGACGGGAAGCCCTGTTCTCCACACCCTATGGTCGTATGTGCCTCTTCACTCCTTAGACAGTATTATTTGTTTATCCATTAAAAGTATTTAACTAAATAAATGTACAGATCAGTTGATTAAGTGTGTAATAAATAGCCTAATAACTGATATATATAGCCAGATAGCCACTCTCCCTAAAAATTACCCTCCAAATATCTTATCTCCTCTAACGGTATATAAGGTATGCAGGAAATTAAGGCTAGGCCAGCATACAGTTAGATGAATACCTACGGACCGCCTATAAAGCCGCTTTCTTATAGATGCCCTCGACTTCAGGCTAGTTTCTCTTCCTAGATAGGTAACATAGGTTAGTTTCAAACATAAATTGATTATATAATAAGAGTAGTGGATAGAAAAATGAGTTCGTGGATGATATTAATGGAAATGAAAGATGAGAGAAAAAAAACGAGTAAGAGGCGAGATAAGTTGGTTTGACATTATAACTCCGGATAGCCATACTACAGGCAGCAATAAGTACGCTAGAAAGTCCCCGAACGGCTTATATAGCAGTATCTACTTCTAGTGCGATATATCAACATCAATATCGCTATTAAGAGAGCTTTCTGTATCCATATAACCGCATTAGCAAATACAAAGAAAAGGAAAGTGTTTTGATGGTGGATAATAGTGGACAGTCTCTCGTCAATGCCTTCTCGGACAATTGCCGGACCCGAACGGGGTTTCCATTGCATTCAATCATTTCTTTTTTTCAGATAATCAGCTCAAGTTAGGAATTTCTCTTAATCCTAGCAGAGTACACAGAAACTCTTTTTCATGTGGTATCATCTGGAGACCTTATGACTTTCTCACCGTGAGCGAATGCGGTACAATGCAAACTCAGATCGTAGGAGCTTAAGGCATTTAAGCCTTTATTAAGTGGGCAGCAAATTTAAGGTGTCTCGGCCTCTAGATTGTAAGGCTCGGGAATTAGTTTCATTCTTTTTGCCTTGACCCAATCACACCGATTTCCGTAAAGCCCGAACGGCCCCCAAATGAGGCGCTTGAATTAGTGTCGAAGCCGCGCAAAGAACACCTCATAGGATGAAGCCTATTCATGTTCAAATTCACTCCACCGTTGATCCTCTAAATGTGGTATTTAACGCGGCGATTCCAAGTTCCTTCGCTCTCGCGTTCGAGCTTCCTAGCCCTATATTCCCCTATCGGAAGATTGTGCTATCATCTCGCATCTAAAAGAAGCATGGCGCCTCCGAGAATCCTCATTGTTGGTTGTGGCATCGCTGGCCCGACGCTCGCGTCTTTCCTACTTCTAGCCGACATCCCTGCCGCTCATAAGCCTCACATCACCATTCTGGAGCGCGAGTCTACGCGCAAAGCTCATCTGCGCGGCCAGAATATTGACATCCGCGGCTCGGGTGTGACCATCATCCGCAAGCTTGGACTCGAAGCACAGATTCGAGCTTCTACCACTGGAGAAGAAGGTGTCCAGCTCGTTGATGAGAATAATCATGTCTGGTCACAAAACCGCGTCGATAAGAGCGGAGAGATACAGACGCCAACGAGCGACATTGAGATTCTCAGAGGTAGACTGGCTGAGCTGTGTTGGAAGAACAGCCAGCGTATCAGCGCCGAAGCTGAGCGTGAAAGCGCCAAGGGTATCGAGTACATATTTGGAGATTATCTCGACGAGATCAAACAAGACGACAAACAGGTGCATGTGCACTTTGCCAGGAGCGGAGAGACAAGGAGCTTCGACCTTCTAGTTGGAGCTGATGGTATGCAGAGTCACACACGCAAGATAGTATGGGGCGAAGAAGGTGAGAAGGACCGATTGAAGCGGATAGGAATGTTTGCCGGTTTCTTCAGTATCCCACGCGAGGGACATGATGGCAAGTGGAGACGGTGGTTCCATGCCCCTGGTCGACGCGGCATCATGTTGCGACCAGATAGTCTCGGCGTGAGGTCTACCATCTTCATGTATGTGGTGAACGAAAAGGATCCCAGGTTTATTGAAGTTGCGACAAAAGGGAATAACGGCGCCGAAGCCCAGAAGGCACTCTTGGAGGAATACTTCAAAGACGCTGGGTGGGAGTGCGACAGAATCATCCGGGAGATGAAATCAACCGATGATTTCTACTACGACGCTGTCTCTCAGGTGAAAATGGATAGCTGGACAAAAGGAAGAGTAGTACTCCTGGGTGATGCAGGGTAAGTTAAAATGCCCTCTGTTGTCGCTTTTGACCTTTGGTAGGCTTTATACCCAGAAATCCATACTGAAAAACTGGAAAAAGTTATTGCGCCTCTCCCATATCCGGCCTAGGCACAACCTTGGCTTTCAGTGCAGCCTATAAGCTAGCAGGTTACCTCCAGGGATATATCAAGGGAGAGGATACAGACCCTTCAGCTGCGCTTGCGCAGTACAACGCGCAAATGAAACCTATTGTCGAAGAGTGCCAGGAGTTGGCACCTGGCCAGCCATATATCATCAATCCTGAGACCGCCTGGGGTGTCTGGGTTATGCGAGTCCTCATTCGGTCATTATCATATACCAGAATCATCTTCGTTATTGTCAAGTTCTTTGGGAGAATCCTCCATTTAGGACCTCAAGCAGCGGATTACGTGCGAGTCGAAAATTTTGGCTTTAAGGAGATGTCTGTATGGGAGAAAGAGGATACTGAAAAGCGCAGTTAATGAGTGTACTTTATTCATTGTTTCCTATCCTGTCCTGTTAAGAAATATCCCTAATTCAGGTTATCATTCGAGACCCAGATCTTGGCTATAACCAGTACATCAATGTGAACAATCCAGTGGAAACTTTACCCTTGTTGAAGGTTACAGAATCGAATAATTTTGATCAAAGACTGGAACTCGGTGTTGACTATCAATTTCTAGTGCTTCGGCCATCGTCTTCAAGATATAGACCAAAATAAAGTCTAACTTGACCATCGACGTCGATACAAATAAGGACATATTCCAATTTGACTATCAATGCCTATAAATCTATGCCAAAAACTTGGAAATCATATAATACAAATGATAACACCTAAGTTGTGATATAGTGTATACTCGACGCGGGGCCCGCAAATGATGCAATAGGATACGCCAAAAGTTCCCCGAATGGCTTATCTGGCAGTATCCACTCCGATCACTTTTCACCTCTCCGACAAGCCCACACCACCATCACCCAAGGTCTCCTCGATTTTGCCCGACTCTCGTCAGATATCGACCCCCTCAATCCGACAGGCCCATCTTGTCTGCCGCCCCTTCTTCCCCCCGGGCGGCCCTGGGCTCTGGTGATGCGCACGCGATGTTGGAGCTTGCAAATGTTCCACCCCCGTCGCGCGTGGATCATGCTGGTCTACGCCATCCTGTTGTCGCTATGGCTGACGCTAGCGCATGGGATGCGAGACTACCAGGTCAAAGAGCTTAGGTGAGTCTCTGCCGTGTCGTGTCGTATTGTGTCGCTGCTGCACAACGCCAGCCGGTATTCCCCCCGGAACTGGCTTACTGGACCCAGTGCTAATTCCTGCCTTCTTCCCTGCGATCCACAGACAAGAGACCGAGCGCATGTTCTACCATGGCTATGAAAATTACCTCGAACATGCCTTTCCCGATGACGAACTACGTCCGTTGACCTGTGGCCCCTTGACGCGTGATAATAAGAATTCGGAGCATAACGATGTCCTCGGCAATTACTCCTTGACATTGATCGATAGTCTGTCGACCCTGGCTATTCTCTCGTCCAGTCCGGAGAGTGGCGATCGGGCGCTTGGAAGTTTCCAAGATGGTGTGAAGGAATTTGTTAGACTATATGGAGATGGCTCGAATGGCCCTGCTGGTCAGGGCGAGCGGGCAAGGGGATTTGATATTGATAGTAAGGTGCAGGTGTTTGAGACTGTGATTCGAGGGTTGGGTATGTCTTCAGTGGAGCACGGCCGTTTAATTTCCGTTGAAAAATACTCGTTGCTAACCCTGCTCCAGGCGGACTGCTCAGCTCGCACCTTTTCGCCGTGGGCGAGTTGCCCATAACCGGATACAACCCACCCGAAGCAGAGGTCGCCTATGCGAGCGCATGGGACAAGAGCGATTTCTCGGAAGACGATCATGGCATTGTATGGAATAATGGCTTTGTCTATGATGGTCAATTCCTTCGATTAGCGGTCGACCTTACACACCGTCTCCTACCGGCATTCTACACGGGTACAGGACTCCCTTACCCACGGGTCAACTTGCGCCACGGTATTCCATTCTATGAGAATTCGCCGTTGAACAGCAAATCCAGCAAAGGAAATGAGCAAAAGTCAAAGTATGCCTACATGAAGGCAGAGGAGGAGATCACCGAGACTTGCAGTGCAGGTGCTGGTAGTTTGGTTCTTGAATTTACCGTCCTGAGCAGACTCACCGGTGATGGTCGGTATGAGGAATTGGCCAAACGCGCTTTCTGGGCGGTTTGGTCTTACCGCAGCGAGATCGGGCTGATTGGATTTGGGATTGACGCGGAGTCTGGGAAGTGGGTGGGACCGTACTCGGGGGTAAGTAAAGAGGATCGACACCATCTGGATCAAGAACTAACAACCCCGTCTTCTCTAGATTGGCGCTGGAATTGACAGCTTCTACGAGTATGCTTTCAAGTCCCACGTTCTTCTGTCTGAAGGAGAGCGGCCACCTTTCGACCCAAACAATCCTTGGAGCGTCTTGGATGACTATTACCTACCTTTAACCCCGGATCAGCACTCTCCTGATGCTTTTCTTCAGGTCTGGGAAGACTCGCACGCGTCGATCAATCGCCACCTTTACCGCGGCGAGGGATACCAACATCCCCATCTCATCGTTGGCGATGTGATCACCGGTGCTACGCGAGCCTTTTGGATAGATAGCCTAAGCGCATATTATCCAGGTCTGTTAGCTTTGGACGGCAAGATTGATGAAGCAATCCAAATCCACCTTTTGACCACTGCGGTTTGGACACGCTTCTCGGGTCTTCCGGAACGGTGGAATGTGGCTACGGGTGACATCGACGGCGGCCTGTCCTGGTACGGAGGCCGCCCAGAATTCATCGAATCCACTTACTACATCTACCGAGCTACTCAAGATCCATGGTATCTCCATGTTGGCGAGATGGTACTTCGCGATCTGAAGCGGCGATGCTGGACCAAGTGTGGCTGGGCGGGTCTGCGGGATGTCAAGACCGGCGAGATGATTGACCGGATGGAAAGCTTCTTCCTTGGAGAGACTGCCAAGTACATGTTCTTGCTCTTCTCCCCGGATCACCCACTGAACAAAATTGACGCGCCATGGGTTTTCACTACCGAAGGCCATCCTTTGGTTATTCCGAAGAAAACATCTTCATCCAATTCCAATCGCCGTCCCAGTCATCGGCCCAGCCACGAGCAGCAACTGGCATCCCAAACATCTCTTACCAATACCTGTCAAGCGCTGCCGATCTCGTCGACACTCGGAGTATCAGTCACAGCCTCACGATCTGATATTTTCCATGCTGCCAGCTTGGCCCGGCTTCATCTTCGACCTCATCGTGGTACCGAAGGTGCTATTCTGGCAGACTCGTTAGATCACCCCAGCGTATCAGTCTCCGATTTGTCCTCGCCAACCAACTACACGTTCTACCCATGGACTTTGCCACCCCAACTGGTCCCCTTCAACGGCACCAGCGCGCCCATGGCTATCCGTCCAACCCTGGATATCTCCTTCCCTTCTCTTCCCGGCAGCGTCAACCTCGGCTCCGGCGCTCTCGAGCGCGTGCGCGACGGCATCTTCATCAAGACCATCGGCGGCCTCCGGCTAAGCATGATACAGGACGTCCCGCTCATTGGACAAACCTCCGGCACGGGCACCCCAGAAGACGAAGACGGGTATCGCGTGCAAGTGATCAACAACGTGCCGCTGGGCAAGGATGAGAAGGTATATCTCTCTCGCCAGATCACCTTTGACGTCGTTGATCCGTACGATCCGAATTTCACCCGGGTCCGCGACTCCGCAGTGCTAGACCTCGTCATTGACGTTCTCGCAGACCCCTCTCGCCGACGCAATGGCTCAACTGCTCCGCGAGCTGGCCACCCTGCAGCAGAACATTCAACACAGGACGAAAGTCCCCGACGTCGAGCTGCCCCGGGTCCCAACGAGAGCGGAGCCGTCCACGCCCCCGACTCCACTATGAAGAGCATGCTGTCGAACCTGCTTAGCTCCGTCTCCGCGTTGATCAGGGATGACCCGAACGAGGCAGCTCCGCTGAGACTCAGTCTGCCCGCAACTATTCCAACAGGCGTCGGGGCCGCACCCCTCCCAGATGTCGAGGACGCCTCCACCATGTCACTCTTCGGCAACCCATCCACCAGCCGCCTATCCTGGTCCAACATTTACTTCGCCGGCGAGCTCTGCACAGAACGTGTCCTCCGCGACATCGCCCAAACCCACGAAGTCCTCGTCATCAAACGCGGCGGCTGCACCTTTTCCCAAAAATGCGCAACATCGCCGCATTCCGGCCGGGCCGATCATCCCTAAAACTCGTCATCATTGTTTCCTACGACGAGGAACCTTCCAGCGCCGATACCCAACCAGACCAGAGCCACGATAAATATTCATCCTCGACCTCGGACGCAGACTCGGATCCAATTTCAGTACCCCCCCTCGCCGCCCTCCGCGCTGAAAGCTCCCTAATCCGCCCACACCTCGACGAAGCACAAATGACAGCCAGCGGGATCCCGCGCAATAACCCCCTCAGCATGGTTATGGTAGGCGGCGGCGAGGAAACATATGCATTGCTACAGGTTGCATCGGGAGTGGGGATTAAGAGGCGGTTTACTATGCGTTCTCGTGGGGTGCCTATTACGAATCTGTATATCATTTGAAATGCATTTATATACCCGGCTATTAAACGGGAAGTGACTTTTTTTTTGTAATGGCTTGTGTATAGCCCCTTTGTGCTGTTTTATCCTGATTATATCAACTTTCTGCATTAGGGGATCGATCTTGTTGGGTGGTGGTCTGAGGGGTTGTTTGGTTGACTTTGTCCTGCGGTATACTTCTAGACACCGCGAGTAGTGTACAGCATTTACCAAGAAAATACCCTCAGTATGCATAGCCTAATACCATTAGCCGTCGCGATCCAACTACGTTACTCCATACAAAAATAACAATCATATCAGATAACGTTATTCATTCTCATTCACATTCTCATTTTCTCTATAACCCCCATCCAACCAAGCCCAATCCAACTAGACTCAACCAGACCATTTCATCATTTTAGAATCGGATTTGAATCCACCCCCTACTCCAAGGCAATGCACTCAATCTCAACAAGCACACCCTTGGGCAACTGGTGCACAGCAACACAGCTGCGGGCAGGCTTGTGCACAAAGAACTTCTCGTAGGTAGCGTTCATCTCGGCAAAGTTGGCCATGTCAGTCAGGAAGACGTTGACCTTGACGATCTTGGACACCTCGGAGCCGGCGGCGGTCAGGATGGCCTGGATGTTGTTGCAGCAGGCCTGGGTGAGTTCGCCGATGGAGCCGGTGACCAGGGCGCCGGTGGAGTCGGCGGGGATTTGGCCGGAGACGAAGATTTGGCCGTTGGCGCGGATTGCTTGGGACTGTGGGGGGGGAGTGTTAGTTTGGTTTGTATTGAATGGAATTGGATTGAATGGAATTGGGGGTTGGAGGGGAGGAGAGAGGTGGGTAAAGGTGTTGTGTGTGACGGTGTTGGAGGGGGAGCTTGAGTATGCTCATTCTCTGTAGAAGGGAGGAGACGTACGTAGGGGCCGGCAGCTGTAAAAGACCTCAAATTAGCAAGACAATCCCATATATAACTCAATTCATGTTTCAACCCCAGTCTAGCACCAATGACTCAACCAAGTCAAGCTCGGGACTAAACCGGAGACATCAGAGGGCAGGTCACATACGAGGGCAGGCATCCTTAGCAGTGACGGAGGACATGTGAGCAGACATATTAGGCAGGAATTGAGGCCGTAGAGGACTTGTAGTCGTAAATCGAGGATTGAAAGTGCGAGAGAGAGCTGAGAGACGAGAAAGAGGTCGTAGCATGGTGGGATTTAGGAGGGGAGTAATAAAGTGGAGGGGGAGGACGGAGTACTGCCGCCGGACCCCGCTCTTTCGGTCTTTGAAGGTGGAACTACGGAGTACTGTAGGATTGGGTTTCCCGAGGAGAAGGGGAGTTCGGAAAACGTCGGGGTTGTGAGGGGTTTATTGGAGATAAGACATAGAGTAATATCAATAATGTATTGAAGTTGGGGTAAAGATCAATTCGCTGGTAGAAATACAGTTTGAAAAGATACAAGGTGAAGGTATGGATAGCTAAGGATAAGTCGTCTCGTCATGAAGTGCTCGCTATGCGCCAGAAGAACAGTGAAAAAGAAGTAATGATCAAACGCCGGTAGCAAAGAGAAAGGAGGTATGTGGCGATTGGATCTCAATAATGATAGGTCGGAATGGGGGATTAGGATTTGCCCAGGTTCAGCTGTGCCAGTTGCTGCATCAGACTGGCCGTCTCCTCGGCGGAATATCCAAAGAACACTGGTCCGTTGAAGGTGACGTGTGTAGGGAGAGTGTTGGTATCGATCTTGGGTGTACCGTCATCCTTCTTTGCCGCGTCATTCTCAATAGTCTCGCCCTTGGCCACGTTGTCAAAGTTGCCCCAGTTGGACCAGGGAGATTCGAGGTGGACCGTGGCAGCTGGAGCCGGAGCTGGGGCCGGGACGGGGGCAGGAGGACTAGCAACGGGTTCTGCTTTAGGAGCATCGTGACCGAATGGGCATCGACCTGCTGGTTTAGCCGGGGTCTTGACAGAGGACGGGTTCAGAGGATCCACGGGGACGGCGTCTGGGGAGATCGGACCAGATGTCGATCCGGGGAATGGTGTGGAAGAGGTGGGAGGCTCTTCGGTGATGGGGACGGGAATCCCCCAAGGCCGGCTTGGGGATTCGCCAACTCGAACTTCACGAAGAGGACGGTCGAATCGGCTCTCGCGATCCTCGACTTCTTGTGTAGGTGGTACTGGAGTCACCGGGTCTACCTCCTCGGCCCATTTCTCGACTCGTTCAGGTGATGTGGAATGGGCGGATCGACCCTCGCCTTCGCCCTCGACATCGCCGTCGCCGTTGGCCTCGCGTTCTGGCAGGAAAGCCTGGTGTTTCGCACTGAGGCCACTGATCATGTTAATCAGACCGCCGTACTTGGCATCCAGCTGACGCATGTTCTGCGGGTCTCTCTGGTATCGCTTCACGCAGATGGCATGGCTCCGTGGGATCTCATGTTTATGACGCTCGACGTATTCGGCAATCTCCTCCGGTGAGTGCTTGTCCAGGTATCGAATGGGGCATCGCGATACGGGGCATCGTCCTTGGGAAGATCGACCGACCGAAGGGGTGGTACTGGATCGACGCTCTTCCTGGTCGGCCTTGATGGGATCCAGATGATCGTGACCGCAGGTATCAATCTGGATCTTAGGTCCTCCGTCGTCTTTTCTGGATGCCATGTCACTGCCCGGACGGGGAGACTTGGGTTTGGAAAAGGGACAGTGGAGACTGCCTTGGGTCCCGTTGGTAGTAAAGTCTTGCTCCAGGGAAGAGAGGTCAGGGCCGCGTGCGAAGAGACACGAGTCCGCGGAGGATATTTGGGACAGGCCATCGGAGCGGAGCAGAGCCTTGTACCCTTTGACCCCGTCCACGATGGCCCGCATGGTATTTTCGTCTACGTTTTGGTGCGAAACGAGCGTCTTCATTATTTCCATTGAATTCAACGACTGTTCTTCGACGGGCCTGCTGAGGACAAGCCCTTCACACAATTGTTTCTGTTGATCCAGTAACCTTTGCTGTACCTCCATCGCATGAGGCCTATCTTGGGGTGGCAGTAATCTTGTCACGTTTGTGTACTGGAGAAGAAGATTTCTCATTAGCATTCAAGCCTTGTCAAGTCAAAGTGAGAAACAAGAAAACAAGAAATGAAAGGTGTAATGTCTCATCGGATAATACATGTTAATCCGTCACCGCCACAAAAGAGTGACTCCTGATCTAGAGCTAATCAAATTCTCTCGTCATTTGAGACATGTTGGGGAAGGATGATGGGCAGAGGATAAGAAAACAAGTAATGGGAAGGGGGTAAGTACCTCTTTGAAAGCCTCCTGGGTGTATTGCTTGAGGTCATTGTGTCTGTGGGTAAGTCGGTAGAGAGTTAGTAGCAGGGCATCGAATGCTTTGCCCACAGCTTGGAGCTGATCCTGGTGCAGATCCGGCTGCGGCTGCAGCTCCTCGGGAATCGCTGCAGGTGACATAATTTGCAGGACAGCACCGAGTGGATTACAAAATGATAAGGAGCTTCATTGGAGTGATAAATCAGAACCACGGGGGGATGGTGAAGAAAACACCCGAGTGAGGATGATGGGAGAAGGAGGGAACTCGGGAAGGCAGACATTTATAGCTAAATGGGCCGACGCCGGAAAAACGTTAAGCGAGATGGTCCGTGTGGTTGTCACGTGGCGGCTTGGGGATGGTTCCAGCATCAACCGGATGTCCAGGGCAACCAGCAATTGGACTGCTGATTACTTGGAGATAATCTGTTTTGGAGTAACAGATACCTTTTTACAGTTTTTAATCTTTCTAAATGTCACGGATCCTACAGGATTTCATGCTAATTAATTATTTTACTTTCCATGGTCAAATCGTTGTCGAACGACCCGGAATATATATTTCCACCTTGCTGCAACACTACTTCTTTGAGCAAGATACTGAATCCATCCATCAATAAATCACCCTATCAAACGACACTACTATATTCTCATATAAAAAAGGGTTGAAAATGGTTAACCCTATGAATTAGAAAAAAAGGCCAACTAGACCTAACATAAAGAAACAAAAACGACTTGTTGGGTGACCCTCTTCTACCTAGGTACTTTTCACCCCTGATGGATCCCCATAACCGTGCTTCGACTTAGCGCCTGTCTCTTCGACCCCCCCTCATGAAGCCATAAAAGACCTTGCTCTTCAACCAGCCCTGCCGGGCTAGCTCAATCGGTAGAGCGTGAGACTCTTAATCTCAAGGTTGCGGGTTCGACCCCCGCGTTCGGCTATTCCTACAAATAACCTGAGATCATTTCTTTTTTGCCCGTTCGGAATTGATGCAGGATATGTCGAAGTATGTTTTTTTACCCCAATAGGAACAAGACGAGAATGTAGTCAATTACACTGGCACCTCTCTTTATGTAGAGATTCCGAGCAGGTAATGACTATGTAGATGCATTGAGCATGGTCGGGGACCGTAGTTAGGTCGTTAGCCGAACCTCGAGTGAGGTGGTGTAGGAGATGGATAGGATCAAAAGAAAATATGGAATTAAGTTTAAATGAAAGCATGTCCTAGATAAGGTAGAAGCTCACAGCTTTGATCTTTCTTTGTCAGATAGAAGCATTGACCCCCTATCTCAAATGCGCTCTAGCTGTACATTCTCGACCATATTCGATTACTGTACATACAGACTACTCCAACCACCTCATCTTCCTGTTTAATGCAATCGATGCATATGCATGCTCTACTCGAATACCTAGCCACTCGGACAATTACCAGCCCTATCATGCTTTATCATGGTCGGACAATAAACAACGCAGTCATAATCAAGTTCAGTGCTGTACGTCCTGCCCCTCATTCCCGACGCCACCAAAATCGCGCCCCTCCCCACTACTCGTACAGCATGTATGTACTCACAGTATTCTACCTGCAGAACAGAAATAGTCCTAGTCCTGCAGCCTACATATCGCAGCGCTAGTAGCGGCCGTTGCAGCGAGTTTCAGATTCTCGATCGTAGTGCGTCGCCACTGGCGTAAGACAGTACTTATTCAACATGTACTCCGTACGTATTGGCATTACGGATTGGAGACTGCAGAATGTAGAATATAAATGGCCATGGGGTGATGAGCCTCCACTTCTTTCCCATCCACCATCGGACAGCATCCCACCCACGGGGCAAGCGGGCCGCCCGGTCTGGACTATCGGAACCCAGACGGACGAACTGAGACCGTGACTCTAGTTCTGGTTCGAGTTCTAGACAAGACATCGGCGGAAGTCGGTAATGCTTTTTATAGTTTGTTTTATGAGTCAGATCTCGAGGGGTTAGCTGCTTACATCACTGGATCGGAAATTCGAAGGTCTAGATGCAGTGGAGGGCCAGATGTAGATAGAGTATGGTGTACTGACAGGGTTGTGATGTACCTGCTTTGTACCGCTATACCTTTTCTTCAAAGAAAGGGACATCCCTTCGTAATCAACTACTAGGACCGAGACCCTAACGTGGAATTCCCTCTTTTGTCCTAATCCCAGCTAGCCGATCGGTCTCCCCGTATGGTGTGATGGGCAGAACCTGTTCGCAGGGCACCCGCTGATTCGCCCGGCCCGAACGAAATGGCGTCCGTTAGTAGAAGACTAGCCTCAAGCCCTAAGTAGAACTCCGTACGGAGGACGGAGTGTTCGAAGGAAGGGATCAGAGACACGAACATACCAGACTGATTAGGGGTTTGCTCTCTGTATAGTTATCTACCGCCAAGTATGAATACATCCAGAGGTTATCCTTGCGTTTTACCGTTGTATAATGAATACTGTACAAAAGTAGACCCTTCTCTCCCCTCCCTATGGCAAATGTGGCTGAATCGCGCAGATCAGTCAAAAAACGAACGAGGCCCGCAGCGGGACGGGCCAGCCAGACATCTCACCACAAGCCGGAAAGGTTGGGAGAGGAGCTGCTGCATGTGCGGGATTCTAGAAACCGGCGAGAACGTATCAAGGATGGCGTGACGGGGGTGTTACGATGGAGGGGTCACCGCTGGATTATGGATACTGTTTACAAGGTACCATGTACAAGATGATTGTTTCATATTCTAAAGAGTGGTCTTATCATTATTCTTCGTACTCTTTACTTGATTCCTATACTATACTACTAATACTACTATACCGAGTATAGTAGTATACTCTACTGGACTTTTCTCGTCTTCTAGGCATTCAAGGAGCATGTCCAGGGATCGCACCTTAGCAAGGTTCTTTTGTTCCGTAACTTAAGGAGATCTGTCCGAAAGGTCTTCTAGCTGATTTAGGTACTGCCCCTAAAAAGATGATCGCTGCACAGACCGCAATCTGACCGCTGGTTGATCGGGAGTCTTTTTACAGACTCGACAGTGTACATTACTACATAGAATGTTACTATCTTCGACTATTCTAATTTATTAGTATACTTGAGAAATACTACCACTATTATATATTATCTTATCCATTAATACCTAGTAAACCAAGAAGCCTAAGTAATCCCAAATCCAAATCTAGACTTTTTCCTAAATGCCCCGCCGAGGGGCAGCTGTGCTTATCAACCGGGACCCGTAATTTTTCAACCTACCGAACTTTTTTTTCTCTCCAAAATTTTGTTTTTTACCACTTTAATTTTTTTTTTTTTTACCTCGTACTATCTTGACACGAACTCGACCTTTTGCACCACCTCCCCTCTTTTTTCCACCCTAATCCCAATCTCATCCCACCCCCCTCCTCTCTACTCCTCCTCTTTTCTTTCCCCTCTTCCTTCCTCTCCCCCTCTTCTTCCCTTTCTCACCATGTCCACTCAACCCTCCACCCTCCCCGATGCCTCCGCCCAAGTCCCCGGACACTCCGCCGCCCATCCCTCCAGCGCCGCCGAACTCGCCAGTCTTAAAGTAGGCCTGCGCGCCGCCCTGCGCCAATTCCCGGACTTCCCTTCCCCCGGCATCCTCTTCGAGGATATCCTGCCTATCTTCGCCGACCCCAAGCTGCACGAGGCTCTCATCCACTCGCTCGAGCTGCAAATTCTCGAGGCCTATGGTGGCCAGAAGCCTGATGTTATCGTTGGTCTGGAGGCTCGTGGCTTCTTGATGGGCCCTAGTTTGGCGCTGCGTCTGGGTGCGAGCTTCGTGCCTGTTCGCAAGCAGGGCAAGTTACCCGGTGCTTGTGTGACCCAGGTTTATGAGAAGGAGTATGGTCAGGATTTCTTCCAGATGCAGGAGGGTGCTATTAAGCCCGGGCAGAAGGTGATTGTCGTGGATGATATTATTGCCACTGGTGAGTTTTGCGATGTTGGGTGTGGTATACTTTATCTCTTCTATACCTCGAACTATACCATTATACTTGGTATAGTAAGATGGGTATAGAACAGGTGGTATACGACCACATTCCCCCCCCAAACACAACCCTTACAATCCATACTAACATCAATATCAGGTGGCTCCGCTTGGGCTGGTGGCGAAATGATCCGCAAAATGGGCGGTGACCTGATGGGCTTCATCTTCCTCCTCGAGCTCGAGTTCCTCCACGGCCGCGACAAGCTCCCCGCCCCCGTCCACACTCTGCTCTCCGGCCAGGCCTAAGCAGTTATCTTCCACTCTCATCCACACCCATTTTTCCCACCCTTTCGACCTTTCTCGTCTGGCATGTTCCTTGCATCCCGTGGTTGATACGTTGACAACCGGCTTGATTCGATGCGACCTTCCACACCTACTGAAATAAAAAGTGCCATTGTGTCTCATCTCCATGTTCATTTTTTTTCCTCTCCCCTCACACACACTCCCGTGATCAGCATCTGATCTTCATTTTCAAGCCTGATCGAAGTCTCGGGTTGGGCATCTGGCGGTGTATGAACCCCACCGAGGGTATATTCGGTAACCGCCACTCCCGGAAACCTTCTACTTCGAGTTCCCCGGGCTATCCGAGTTTTTTTTTCTCTTTATTTTGGGAGTGGAGATGTGTGTTTGGGTTTCCTGGATTGGATTTGTTCATGGGGCATGTTTCGTTCCCATACGGAGGACATAATACTCCTAACTTTATATTTTTTTCTGTTTTTATTTTTATTCATTTTTTTATATGATTCAGGGCGGGAGTAGAGCGGGCTCAGATCCCGCCTCTTTTGGAGAAATTAATATGTTTTTCTTTCCCCTCTAATTGTGGTTGTTTTTGATTCGTGCTTCTTCTCTCTATCATGATGGAGACTTTTCTAAGGGTTACCTTCGTGCATATTGAAAACTGTTTATATGGGTAATACCAGGGTGGATATCTGGTTAATTCATAGTTACTGCTTTATAACATATAACACACATTCAACCTGAGACTCTAAACTGTATACTTTATACTATCTAATATCTCCTCATCTATTCTTCCTCTCTATCTCACTCCTCAGGAATAAACCTCCTCAACACCTCCCCCAACCACCTCCCACTAACCCCTAACTCCTCCGCCTCCCTCATCGCCCGATTCATCCTTGGAATATACTCCGCATTCGGCCTCGAAACAACCACCCGCTCCTCATCAACATACACCAAAATCCTAACCGTCTCTTTCTCCCCTCCTTTCCACTTCCCCCGTTCATACTCCACTTGACTCCCCCCATCAAGCCACTCCACAACCACAGCATCAACATACCACTTATTATAATCCCCCTCCCCCTGCTCCCTCGGCCGAACATCAACGTCAATGCCCCGCTCCCTACCAGGTACGGGCTTCACAACATCCGCCTCCGTATCAATCCCCTCATACCCATCAAGAATCCTCTCATCACCAGGATCCATCTCATAAAGCACTCCGTACACAGTGTCTTCCACTCCCGAGATGGGAATCTTGTCCGCGGCGGGACTGAGTTGAGAGGATATACGCAGACCGGCCGGTGGGAGGACGTTCGCGTAGCCTGCTTCGTTGATATGCCAGCGCCAGTGTGGGAGGGAGGCTATTGCGAGGGGTTTTGCGGAGTGCGAGGGGTTTATGGTGCAGCGGAGTGTCATTTGGGTTGGGGAGAGGTTGGAGCCGTAGGCGAAGTAGAGGTGGGGTTTTGGGGATGGTGGTTGCGCTGGATGATGCTGGGGGGTGGTTGTTGTTGATATGTCGAGTGGGAGGAGGGTTTCTGTTGGTTGGGGTTTTATGTGCATGTTGATTTGCATGTTGACAGGATTTGTTTGGGTTGGTTGGTATAGAGATATCTGGCGGTGGTGGTTTGTTGTGGGTTTGTGCGGGGAAGTTGGAGATTGCGGGTGGGATTGGACCTGGAAATAGGGCTGAGTATGATTTAGAAGGGTGATTGTGAGGGGGGTGGGGTAGCATACGCTAGCTTGTGGCTGCTTGAAGGGTGGACTGTAGGAGTCTTCTGTAGTTGGACTCGAAGAGGTTTGTTGTAGAGATGAACTCGGTAAATGTCCTAGCGCGGGGGTGAATAACGTGCTTGCGTGAGTCAGCCCTGCATGAGTGAGGTGCTTTTACTTGGAATAGATAGAAGCTGATATGATTCCGAGCCTTCAAAACCTAGGACTCTTCAGGATCTGTAATAGCCTTTTTACTATGGACCAGGGAACTTAAAATCTCTACTGTGGTACCTTATTCTCAGTGTCCCACGGCTATATCTAGAAATAAACTCATGGTTTATATTGACTCATTAGCGAGAAGATGTTGACGCTCACGGCCTGCTAGTATTAGGAATACTAAGTATTAGGATATCCATATATCTACACACAAGCAAATCAATGATAAGTATCATGACATTCATTGCCAATCCAATCACCAAAACGGAATGCGACGATGATATTACCAGTCATGCGCGGTATCCTCAAAAACCATCGATCAATCGCTAGAAACACAACACAAAAGGAATAGAGCACGAAGGAAAAAAAAGATGAGAAAGGAGAAGACCAAGAGGAAAAAAAGGTCAATTCCCATGAAATCATACACGACAGACCCCCCTTCATACACTGCATTTGCCTCTTCTCTCAACGCCGTGGAATCGTCCCACTCATTCGACTTCCCACACCAGCCATCAAACTCTGCTTGACAATGGCATCTGCAGCTGCTGCAGCTGCAAGTCTTTCCTTCTGACGACTGCGATCCCGTAGATATCCTGCAGCCTCGGGCCTCATACGCAGAATTCGCAGGATCATGTCGTCGTTAGGATCCGCTTGTGCCTCGCGCCGCTTCTCCTCCTTAACCTTCCTCATCGTGCCCAAGTTCCGTGACAGCATAATACTCTTTGCGCGGCGGGCAGCCGGCACGCCTAGTCCACCATAGCTGGGACCCGTAGCGCCTAGATGCGCAGGCGCCGATGCACGGTTACGGTTGGCTTGCTGACGGTTCACGTTGGCAGAAGCCATACGCTCGGAAGTACGGATCAAATTCTCCGTCGGCTCGAAGTAGAAGAAGTTCAGACTTTGGATCTCGTGGTACTTGGGGGATTTGAGAATGTCGATTGGGACACCACCGGCCTCGCCGGTTTCCTCGTCGACGGCGTGGAAGAAGTTTAGGAGTAGCACGAGCCAGCGTGAGACAATATCGACTTCTTGCATAGTGAGTGGCTTTTGGTGCGAGGGCTTGTCGGAGAGAGGTGGGACGAGGAGACTTTCGATAGTGGCGAGGACTTCCTTCCAGAGACGGGCCATTACCATGCGCATGGCTTCTTCGGTGAGCGTTTTGTTCATGATGGCGAAGTTGTCATTGAAGTAGTTGAAGAGTGGGTCAAGGGCATTCTCAACGTCGGCAGGGGTGGGACCTGTAGAGGTTGGTTGTCCGCGATTGCGGTTTAGGAAGTTCGATACGGTCGACATGCTGAGGCCGCGGGAGAGTAGGGATTTCAATGTCCGGCGAGACAGACAATGGCTGATATAGGCAGAGAGCTAGGAAGATGAGATATTGATCTTGGGTGGTTCATTGTGGCACATGGAAAGCAACAAACATACCTTTTCGGTGATCCTCCGAGTCATGTCCCTCTCCGTGCGCTTGAGGGTACGGAAAGCTTTGCCAAAGTAGAATTGGATGTCATCACGCTCACCCTCCATGCTCACACGGAGTAGAAGCCGTCCCTGAGTATCCAGATCGAGCCAATACTCCCGCGGGAGGAAATCGCTGAAATGGACGGGATCCAACTTGATCGACGTTCGCCCAACGTAGTCGTGATCACCTACTGCATCCCAATCCCAGATAGTCGCGATGATATTCAAAGGTCCCTGCGTGGTGATATCGACGGCATCCTCCCACCGGGGGTTGAGGTTATTATAGATGATGCGCGTCTTCGCAATCCGCTTTTGGTACTCATCAGCCAAGACCACGTATGGATCGCTGCCACCATTCATGTCGCAGGCCTTGAGGTCTTCTGCCTCTACGACCTTGATTGTAAAGACATATGTAGTGGACTTGCGGACTTTCTTGAGCTGTGGCGGGGTGTTCTTAGCGATAACATCGGCACATCCGTCAACGTTGATTTCGCGCTCAAGTCTGTCTAGTTGCGTGAGAGCGTACTCGATGTTGTTCAACTTCACTAGGGACTATAGTATAGATATTTAGACGAAGGACTTTCCAATACTGTTGACCAGCAGGGTTTACATACCTCAGAAGAGAACTGGAACGGTTCGATCTTGTCCTTGTTCGTCCATGTGTCCTTGGCGAATTGCATGAGCTTCTCTTGGGTGGTCTGGTTCAATGCCGCTTCTTGCTCCGGGGTGAGACGGTCCATCTCCCGGGCAAACATCTGCTCCACAGATTCGCAGTACTTTGCAACACCTTTGCCCATGGAGTTTGAAAGAGCGGTCATGAACTTGGCATACTGAAGATCGTCGTCCCATTCCAGCCCGATCAGATTCTCCACCACCTGGTTGTAAGAGCGGAAGATATCAATCACCGACACACTGTGCCGATTCTCCTCTGGAACAACCTCGGCGAGCTCCCCTCCACGGACGGTGAATTTGTCTTGCCGAATGGCTTGATTGACCCATTCCATGACACTTTGATCTGTAAGACGGAGCCAACGCCAGACAAACTCTTCCAGGAGACCCTCCACGTGGAACGGGAATTGAGTCCTATAAGCTCGTTAGCACGGAGTTTTCTTTTGAGACAAGTCCTGTTGCCCTTACTCGGGGATGGTGTTTGTGAAAAGACGTCTGATCGTAGCAAGCTGCCTGTACAGGTCGAATCCGTCTTCAATATCGATTTCCTCGTTCTCGGATTTGGCGTGCTCAATAATTCGAATGACCATTTCATGCGCGTCCTCCGCAAACAAGGGGAGCATGTTGACACACAGTGTGAGATGAGGGTTTACACTATTTCACCGTTAGAACTGGCTCCAAATGATGTATAAAGATGAATGACTTACCCCATAATCTCAGGGTTATTCCGGTAACGCTTCTGAATCTTCTGTGCCAACTTTGAAATCGCATCACCTAGCTGGATTACATTATCAGTTCGCCATGATTCCTGGTCGACAGGAATCAACTGGCCGATGAGACTCTGATATTTCTCCGTAGCCTTCTGCGCGAGACCATCCTGCACATACGAGGAGAAACGGTTAATGTCCTCGGGGTTCTCCGTATAGCTCGGATCCATCTGGATGTGATTCTCAAGAATGTACATTACAGGACCAATCGGGCGGGGTTTCGCTTCGAAACAGTCCATCATCACATCGTAAAGTTCACGCAACAGGGCCTCATGGATCTTGGACAATAGCTGCTGCATGGTCTGCAAATCATGCACGCTCCATTTCTGCCTATCAAAGACGGAAGAAGCTACATAACTGCTGCGTTTGGCCCGCGGCTCGCTACTGGGCGACTCTTTCACAAATGTGAATGCCGAGTCCAGCGTGTTGAGATCAATTTCAGAGTCCACGTATTTGGATTGAATGACGTCGAGGAACAACACGATACGCGAGAAATTGGGAATCCGCCAGCGGAGACAAATTTCGTTGAGCATTTCTGTGGATTGCTTTGAGAGTAATTTCATCGATGGCGTATCTGATGTAGCCTGACTCGCTTCAATTTCCCGATCACGAAGGTCGTGGGTCAATGTCTGGTTCAGAATGAACCTGTACACGCCTCGCGGATCCGATGGGATAAAGGTATATGTGTCTGACTCTTCAGAGTCGCCATCGGCCCCGCTCAACGAGAGCGAGCTGAAGTCAACAGATTGATCGATCGCGTAGGATGTTCGGTCTCGAGGCGAGGACAAGTCGTCCCCGGCAGCTGCGTTGAATTTTGGTAGAGCTCCAGGAGTGCTTTTCGCAAGTTCCGGATTGGACTGCACGATTGCAAGCATCATCTGCGACAAATCGGGACCTTCGCTCTTCTTCCAAGTTTCAAACGCATCGTCCGTCTCAAAGTCTTCTCTACACAGCGTCTTCCGGGTATGAAGGCTCAACTGTGTTTGGTAGGTCTTGAGATCTTGCAGAGCTGCCTTTTCAGTCCAAACAGACTTGTGTTTATCGATCTCGGACTGGGCTTGGGCATTCGTCATCCCAAAGATCTTGGCCACATGTTGTACCAAAGGCATGTCCTTCACATCGTAACTCAGCGGGGCAAGAACCTCCGTCGTCGATGTCGTGCCATTTGAACCCGTCAAGTCCTGATCCTGCAGAAGAAGCTTGTTTTCTAGCACCGACAATCGGTTTGCAAGCTCCGGACGGTCCTTGGCCCAGTCGTTGCTCTTCAGTATCAGCGCCAAGAGACGGACAAAGAGCGCAACGTGGCGATCCACCATGAGCTTCCAGCTATCATCGTCCTGTTCCTTGCCCTTGCTCAACTCTTTAACTGCGTTGGAGTAAAAGATAAGGAGCAGATCCTCGGCACGGCGGTCTTTCTCCATGCGCTTGCGGAAGGAGTCCTCCTTGAGTACATTGAGAAAGACGGCGAAAGTGCGCACCACCAAGTGATCCTGGTATTCCTTCTTTTTCTCCCTTCCCATCAACACCCCCGTCAACCGCTTCTCCAGCTCCGACACAAAGCCATGAGGAATCCTGGTGCTCTTCGAGTCCCTGACTAGCGAAAAGTCACTCATCAAATCATGGATCGAGGTCGAGGATCGCTTCGGCCGCGCCGGCGCGGCTGGTGCAGTTTGGATGCGACGGGATCGAGGGTGAAGTAGGTAGGTCAGGTAGGCTACGCGGAGAGCATGGCTGCTTGCGATAGCGGCCGTAAGAGGTCGCCGGCGCGAGAGAGACGAGTTGCGTGAATGGCGACCTTCATTTTGGAGGCTGTTGATCCGTCGGTTGACTCCTCGGGACTGACTAGATGCCGTCGACATGAGGCGCTTCTCTGGATTTGTCTAACGTTCGGGGGAGAGAGCGAGTGGAATGCGGGACCATGGATGGAGATGGACGCAGACCACCAGCCGGCGCGCGTTGGAGGAACGACTTGGGTAGAGCCTTTTTTGTGTCTGAGAAAGCAGCTGATTTTTAGATTCCGAAAAGTGGAAACGTCTTGGCCGAGCTGGAGGGGACGGGGTGCTTGAAATGTTTCGAATGTTTACTGAAGGAGAAGAAAGGAGGGGGGGGAAGATGAAACAACCAAAAGCTGCCGAACCAACTGACGTAGGCGCCCGGACCAAAAACAATAGTCCTGAATGCTGAACACTGACAGAGAAAAAAACAGCTACCCAAACACCAAGCGCGCTAAATATGCTCTGCTCGAATGCCGTTTACCGGCCTACTGGGCTTGTTTGGCATTTCATGCAGCTCTGTGGCCTTGCAGGGCCGCCCTTGGGGCCCGATCTACGCAAGGGTGTCGGGTACTACGTATACCATTGAACTAATGTCGTAGGTACAAGGGCTATCTGTATATGGCATATTGACAATGGATCCCCCGTTGATCGCCAGGCTCCTCGCTCTTACAAATTTTGGAATGTACCATTTATAATCGTTGCGACAACTGTTTCAGTCTCAGTTGGCGGTCGTAAGATCCTAAGGGAGCCACTGTGGCTTTAGCCTCGGTGCGGCCCCACTGAGACTGACCAGTTGTTGATCGGACATGTCACGAGTCTGGGCTTAGAGTACTCGGTGAACATTGAAATGAACATGATCGGACTTCTTTGTTTTTCTCTTGGACTGATTCAGTCTGTGTCAAATAGCCAGAAACACTTTCTCGGCCATGGACTATATCAGACCCGCAAGTGACGCCGAATATAGGAAACAAAATCGGATTGGTATTTACACACACACACACACACACAACGCAAAAAGGAAAGCAGAGGGCGAGAGAATTGGATTTACCACTTGTCCTCACCGGCCTTGCGAGCCTAGAATTTAGAAAGCGAGTTAGCCTGATATCCACACCGAGTCCTCGCTGGGACGTCATAGTGTATAGCTTTGTATGCGTACCGGCACGGCATTGGGACCACCGAGCTCCTTCTCCAGACCATCGACATAAGCCTTGGGGACGCTGGGCTTGTCGGGATAGTAAAGGCTGACAACACCGCAAAGGCTGAGGAAGGCCGCAACGAACACTCCCAGGTGGAGGAAGCCCTTGCCGGAGCTGACGTGGTTGTACTGCTCGGGACTGAAGACGCCGAGAATCTCGTTCTCCTCGTGGACAGGCTCGCCGAAGTTGCGCTTCTCTTGCTTGTCCCACCAGCCGCCGTAGGGATCTCTGAACTGACGCTTCACGCGGGGAGGGTTCTGGTAACCGCCATTCTGGATACGTCCGTTAACATCCGCCAATTGATCCGCCCGGCGAAACACCGGAGTCATCATTGTGTATAGGCATTCTCATACCTGGAGGGGATCCTCAACCTCGGCAGCACGGAGGGCCGGGATCTGAGAGAAGGATGCGCGGGGGGCAATGGCACTGCGGGCAGCAACCTGGGGCAGGCGCCGGGCCAGGATCCGTTGGGACAGCATCTGTGGGAGGAATTGAGAATCAGTAATGGGGTAAAGAAGACACAAAATCCATTTCCAATCTTGTAAGATACTTACAGCTCCACCAAAAGACCGTTGGAAGGGGAAAGATAAGAAGGTAGGGGACTTGGGGGGAGGGTTGCAGGGTCGATGATGGAACGGATGGAGGTTTGCGGTACTGTGGCCTGAGGCAGAAACAGGCATCCACGCGCGGCGCGCTTACAAGTGTAGTCTCGCCCCGACGAAAAAACCACTTCCTCACGCATTCCCCCCATCCTGCTCGTTTTTCCGTCCCCATCAACGCTACCGAGCCGATAAGCATGCCAAACTTCTGGTGGCACCTCGACTCGATCAGCTCTACTCGTTGATGCCCAAATCGCCTACTCCAACCACGTCATTGTTGGGATAACTGGGGTCAACTCTCCAGAAGGCCCCTGTCGTCCGCGGCTTCAAGTCATGCAAAACGGCAGCCCGAACGGCCCATCCCCTGAAGATGAACGTTTGACGCCTGTCCCGGACTCTCCGCGCCTCGAAGAAGCCATCTTGGAAATTCGGGATGATTCGGCGCCTTCCGAGGAGGTCCCCTCGGCACCTAAAGACGATGAACCTACCCATCAACTAGAAGGCCCGCCATCCAAGAAGCGACGACTCACAGAGACTACTCCATCGCGTCGCTCCACTCCCAGGCCACCTTCGCCACCATGGAAGAAGATTGGGGTCGATGGACCGACCTCATTTACCGTGGAGGGCCGACGCAGGTCCTCGCGCACCAACGCGATCCCGCTAGAGATGCAGCCTCAGTCCGACAAACGGCAGACGCGCGCAGCACAACACCAATACATCCAGAAGAACGCTCGTGACGGCACGAAACCTGCAACATCATCCCCATTGGCTGCGACGCAGTCGCGTACTCTTGTTAATGGGAAGGTTGGTGGCAAGGTCACGGCTAATGGATCCCCCCGAACGGGTTCTACAAGAAACGTTGCCGCTGGCAACAAACAGGCAGTCTCACAATCTCCAGCTCCGAAGCCCTCCAATCACTCTCGCGCGCGATCCCGAAGCTCCGTTAATCTCCAACACCCTCCCCGTCCTACTACCAACGGCGCCAGCCCTCGCCAACTTCGCGACCGCCCCTCCCTTTCGGCGACGTCCCCCGAAGCCGGTGATGGGCCGGATAATACTTTTATGCATAATGAAGGAGGGCAGGAAGGGTCGATCAAGGTCCCGCGACTGCGAATCAAGGTGAAGAAGCCGGTTCTTCCGATCCGACACCCTGGCCACGTATCCAACAAGAACTACCCGTCATTCCGAGAATGGGTGGACCATGAGGATGCTCCTAGCTTATTGTCTTCTGAAGAAGCTCTCGAAGAGGCTCGGAGGCGACGTGAAGTGATCGATGCGGCAGAGCCTGGCGGGCCATTGAGCTCAGAGGTCTGCTCGGCCTACATCACAGACCAGCAGGAGGAACCGCCACCACAATACTCGCACCAGGATCATCTCGTGGCCCATGCACTATACTTCCAGAAGCTCTTGGATAAGGAACACAAGCGACACCGGCAGATGGCCAAGTTGGTTGCTCAATGGTGTGCCGACGCTTATCGGAAACGCCATAAGAACCCTGAAGACATCCTTCGAGAGCAGCAAGAGGAAATGCGCGGGAAGCGGAAGCAGGTTGCGAAGGACCTTCAGAAGATGTTTGATCTAGCGCGCGCCGAGATCGACCGAGTACGCCTTGCCCGCTGGGAGGAGGAGCGGAAGGTGCAAGACCAGCAGGCCCTCGACCGTGCAATCAAGAAGTCAACCATGCTCTTTGAGAAGCGTCGATCAGAAATTCTCGGTGAAGTGAACAGTGATGCTCCCGCTACCAGTGATGATGACGTTTCGGATTCCGAATTGGAGTCTTCCGAGTCCGATCATGAGAGCAATATGTCAACCTCGGAATCTGAAACCGACGACGAAGCCAATGTCGATGACGATGCTGCTCTGACTGCCGAGGAACTCCGACAAAAGTACGCCAACTTGCCAGCCGAAGACACTCTAGACGAAGTCTCCGTGACCTCTGGCGTACCAGCGTCAGCCATTGACAGCGAAGCTGTACCCGACGAAGTCGATTCTGAGGCAACTCCTGCTCAGTTGGATGACGTTGATTCTGTTTTAATGGATGATAGCGACGAGTCAACTGATATGGATGATGATATGGGCGACAGCGATGAGGAGTCTGATGACGAGGAATCCGAAGAGGGCAGTGATGATGATGGTGGCCCTGGACTTCTTGGCTTCTTCTCGTCCAAGGACCTTCCTGTGTCCAAAGTAGGCGAGGATGGCGATGACGAGGCTGTGGATGATGAAGATGTGAAGTTTGAGGACCCCGACGAGGTTTCTCTCCTTCCTAATGGCCATGACTCCTCGCGCGAGGGAACTCCAATGGAGGTCGTTGAAGCCTCTGCTGAACCCACTCCTATCGATACCGAAGATGTCTCAATGGTTGATACTCCAATGGAGGATCAAGACCAACTGATCGAATCACCCGCAATTTTTGAACCCACCAGTGCTTCCGAAACTCCCGCTCCCGCTGAAGAGGCACCGAAGGCAAAATCCCAGTCAATGGACCTTGAGCCTATCAACCATGATACTCGACCTAGTGGGGAACTCTCTAGCGAGGCTTCTCCTGGCACATTTGCAACCAAACCATCCGAGCCGGAGTCCGTGTCTTCTTATGAGCCTCCCTTGGAGAAGGCACTGCAAACCAGTAACTCTCCTGCTCCCGGCTTGAAGACACCAATCCCACATCTCCTGCGCGGGACGCTGCGTGAGTACCAGCATTACGGTTTGGACTGGCTTGCCGGTCTTTACAACAATCATATCAACGGTATCTTGGCCGATGAGATGGGTCTTGGTAAAACCATCCAAACCATTGCTCTGCTCGCCCATCTTGCCGTGGATCATGGCGTCTGGGGCCCCCATCTCGTGGTTGTCCCGACTAGTGTCATGCTCAACTGGGAGATGGAGTTCAAGAAATGGTGCCCTGGCTTCAAGATCATGACCTACTATGGCAATCAAGAGGAGCGCAAGGCGAAACGTCGTGGCTGGACAGACGATAATGCTTGGAATGTCCTGATCACCTCGTATCAACTAGTCTTGCAGGACCAGCAATCTCTTAAGAGGAGAAACTGGCATTACATGATCCTCGATGAGGCGCATAACATCAAGAACTTCCGGTCGCAGAGATGGCAGGCCCTTCTGACGTTCCGGACTCGGGCTCGCCTGCTTCTGACCGGTACACCGCTTCAGAACAATCTTACGGAACTTTGGTCTCTTCTCTTTTTCTTGATGCCCTCGGACGGCGATGGAAATGGCATCGAGGGTTTTGCGGACCTCAGAGACTTCTCGGAGTGGTTCAGGCGACCGGTGGAACAGATTCTGGAGCATGGAAGGGAGACTATGGACGACGAGGCCAAGCAAGTGGTCACCAAGCTTCATACCGTTCTACGCCCTTATATTCTACGCCGTCTGAAGGCCGATGTTGAGAAGCAGATGCCCGGCAAATACGAACATGTAATCTACTGCCGGCTGTCGAAGCGCCAGCGATTCCTTTACGACGGCTTCATGTCCATGGCCCAGACAAAGGAGACTCTTGCATCAGGCAACTTCCTCTCCATCATCCACTGTCTTATGCAGCTCCGTAAGGTCTGCAATCATCCCGATCTCTTCGAGACAAGACCAATCTCTACGTCCTTTGCCATGCCTCGATCTGTCGCTACGGACTACACTGTCAAAGAGTCACTGGTCCGACGGCGTCTGCTCTTTGACCACCCACTTACCAAGGTTGATTTGGACTTCCTCAATCTTGCTCCAGTGTCAAGAGAAGACATCTCGCGTAGACTTGCAGATGACAGCATTCGTTTGATGGCCTTTGGTCCGTTCAAAAACCTTCGTGAACGCCAGTACAACCGAACCAACTGGCAGATGAGCTTTGACGGAACCACCATGGAGACGACCCTACAGTCCCTGGAGAATGCCAGTCGAAAGCGGAGAATGGCTGAGCTCGAGCGGTGCTTGTACTTTGAATCGAAGCGCCATGGTCGACGACCTGTCTATGGCAGTAGCTTGATCGAATTCCTGCGAGCCGGCACTAACAAGGAGCACGCCTTGTCCAATGCCCCTCTGCGAAAGAGCAACATGGCCGAGTGGCTGTCCAGCCGGTCGTCCGTTCTTGCGTCGATGATCCTGACCATCGAGGAGCGCTCTATCGAGATGGATGGCTACGTTCAGAGGTTCGCCTGCGTTACTCCTGCGGCCGTCGCTGCAGGGACCACCGAGGCTGCCTTGACGCCCGTTGAGACCCGTCTCCTGACGAACACCTCGAAGGATCAGCCTCATGATCCCTTCCACGAGGCACGGATGCGCCTTTCCATCGCTTTCCCAGACAAGAGATTGCTGCAGTACGACTGTGGTAAGCTTCAGCGACTGGACAAGTTGCTGCGGGACCTCAAGGCCGGCGGCCATCGCGCACTGATCTTCACGCAAATGACCAAGATGCTCGATATCCTGGAGCAGTTCCTCAACATTCACGGTCACCGATATCTCCGACTTGATGGAACTACCAAAGTCGAGTCGCGGCAGATGCTCACCGAACGATTCAACAGCGACCCTCGAATTCTGGCCTTCATCCTGTCTAGTCGATCGGGTGGTGTTGGTATCAATCTCACGGGCGCTGACACCGTCATCTTCTACGACCTGGACTGGAACCCGGCGATGGACAAGCAATGTCAAGATCGTTGCCACCGTATCGGGCAAACTCGCGATGTGCACATCTACCGATTCGTCTCCGAGTACACCATCGAGTCCAATATTTTGCGCAAGGCCAACCAGAAGCGCATGCTCGATGACGTGATCATCCAGGAGGGCGAGTTCACCACGGACTACTTCACCAAACTTCGGGACGTGGAAGGTATGCCTGAGGGTGAAGACACCCGTGATGGCCACGACGAAGCCAGCGCTGCTATGGACCGGGTTCTCGGCAACCGAGTTGCCAGCGGTACGAAAGCCTTCGAGCAAGCCGAGGACAAGGAGGATATCGATGCAGCGAAAAACGCGCAAAAGGAGCTCGAACATGCGGACGATGGCGACTTCGAGGATCGCACTTCCTCCCATGGTACGCCCGCCCAGGCTGGGACGCCACTCGCGGTCGGCGACGAGGGCACGTTGCATCCCGGTGGTATAAGTGCCGTGGCCGAGGCTGACGGGAATGCGGAAGAAGAGCCGAGCCACATTGACGATTATCTGCTCCGCTTTATGGAGTGGAACATGCGTGACGAGCCCCTGGTGCTACCGGTGGACAAAAGCAAAAAGAGGTCCAAGAAGGGTAAAGAGCACCGGCTCAAACGACGCCGTTGAGTGTACCCTGACTCCTGAAGAACCCCTCAGCTCTGACTGGCGGTCTCGAGTTCTCGGGCGAGTCACGGGGGCAATCTGTTCTTTTTTTCTCTTTCTTCAAAGGGGCCGTTTCTTGTTCTCCACTTCTCAACGTTTCACCGAGTTTCATCTTCCAATATTGTGCTTTTCTTGCATGCTATCGTTTGCCCGCCGGAGGTGACTACCTCTTTCGGGCAGTGATCTGACCATGCTCAATGATCTGCCCTGCTCGCCCTGCTCGCCCGGTTCCCTGTGCTCTTTTTCCGGATCGTCGCGCCCTGGCCCTTTCAACCTCGTGGGGTGTGGATATGCACTTGTTTGTGATAGTCTCGACCAAGTGGGGAGGGGCCATCCCAATAGTGGTGATGAAGAGGACTGTGCGAGACCGTGGTTAGACAATGTGGTCAATTTAGGGAGATCGGGACTCGAAGGATCAAAACAATGAGACTCGCTTTCTGGACTTGCTCTTTAGGACAACATAGAGATGGTCTAATGTTTGTCTTCTACTGTACTTGTGTGTCTATGTGTGGCCATGTATTTTGTGTATACTTTATTTTGGATGGGAATAGCGTTGTATCTTTTTCTTCTCATGTCTTACTTTTTTCTTCTAGTGTTGTTTTTGATAATCTCCAACCTCTTCTACCAAATACCTAACACGGTTCCTTTCTCTTAAACTCCGTATTTGGCGTTTACCTGGTTCGAATTCTTGAAGTAAGTATTCTCCCTATCTCCCTCAAAATTAGTCCAACCCCTTCCAAAATCTAGAATATCATGTGAATCACTAACTAATTTACACTACGTAGATCATCTCCCATAATCTGCCTCCCTCTTAATTCTGAATCTTCAATCTTCAACCTTCAACCTTTTAATCTCTAATCTCTAGTCCCCATGCACAATATCTCTCCTTATCCTCTAGCGCTGGAGATCTCCCCTGAAAACAAACCACCCAGTCCCACTCCCAGCCCTGAGTTAGCCTTGCCCTTAGTCGGTGGATACAAACCGATTCTCCAATGAGCCTAACCACATCCGTGATGGTGAGCTTCTTCGATGGATACCATGCCTCACTCTAACAAACTAACAATATCTTGTTCATCGCCCAGCCTAGCTGACTAGCTACTAGCCAGCTATGGTTAGTCTCTAGATAGCTATTCCTAGTTGAGGCAACCCGAATTCCGAAACAACCTTCCGATCGGATGTTTGCGACAACGACTGATCGACTACCCACGCCAGTAGGCCTAGCACTGTAACTAAGTAGGTTCCACCCCCTCCATACGTTGGCTCCGTAGTGGCTTGCGTCTGTTGACAAATCTTGCAAAAGGTAGATTAACGGCTCCATCTGAGTATGCTAATTATATCTTGTTTGCTCCATACCGGGCAATGCAGTCTATACAATTTGTCACTTTCTAGTATGGAGTTGTTATTGTTGGCACTCCATACGTTCTAGAGCCGGGAATAGTTTGATGGTGTATTTGCTATTTTGGCCCTGTGTTCGTCTCACGGAGAATAGCCTCTTTGGGCCAGTTTGGTGGATCATATTCATATCTAGATGCATTCTGCATCCACGGCGCTGGGTCATCATCCTCCGCAGGGCTTGATAGGCGATTCATGAGCTGGTCTGGAAGTGCGCCTCTGACGATTTGATGGGGCGTGAACTAGATGCACGGAGGGAAAGATGCCTCCGTCGTGGGGTTCTTCGTTTCTTTTCTTTTCTCCTATTCGAGTGCATAGGGCTAGGGGGTGTTTGTTTGGTGACCGTGGTGTTTTATTACCATATCCCGGTACGGATAGTATACTAACTATCCATTTTTCTTATTGGGAGTTAGATTAGACTTGAGTTTGGACCTCGTCTCGAGGGGGATTATGAGGGTGTGGTTGGTTGGTAGCTTTATACTTTGTGTGCTATACGTTAGGCGTTGGGTGTTGGAGATGGTTTCCATACTTCTTCTATGGAATGTTTATGAGGAATTGGCACCTCGTGGTTGTAAGTGAGGTGTTGGACATGGGGATGACGATATGACTGCCCATATGGATATTTTGTAGTTTCCAGGAACTCCCTCCGTATAAGCCTCCCAGCACGCTGGATCGCAACATGGAGTCGCACCACGTAATTCGGGCTAGTGGTGCGCAGGTACTCCGTAGTCAGCATGGAGATAGGTTAATTAACTGACTGTAGTTAGTGTTGCTGCAGTTAGTCGTAGCAGACCTTGCTAGTGCTAATCTGCTAGACCGATCATGCCGGGACCGATGTCCATGCCCGAATCCACCAATGTATCCACTATCCACACACGTTCATCCTCCACTTCCTCATCGAGCCTTCGGAGCCGATAATACGGAAACACATGGAAATGAAGATCAGGAGAAATCAGGAGTTGGGAACCCGGTCGATCCTCGTCGATCTCCCCCAGTGCCACCCGCGCCTCGGCCAGCTTGCTCCCGATCAAGCCATTAATGAGGGACCCGTAGTGATTGAAAAAAAAGAAGATCTCATTTCTCTGAACAAAGTGTTTGATTTTCCAGAGACCCTGGTCGATCTCTTGTCCCATGTCTTTCTTCAGCGCGCTTGGTTCGTTAAAAACCTGGCGGGGCCGGAAATTAACCCTGTGCATGATGGTCTTGCAATTGGTTTGGTTCTGGAGTTTATCTCCGTACGGAGTATAGTTGCAGTCAGCGTGGGTTTTTTGGAGCAAATACGCTGCGGATACGATGGAGGCAGTTGGGGTAAGCCAGTTAAACTTTCGATGGTGCCGGAGGAGGAAAGTCGGGCGTCATTCCCATGGTTAAGTCATTGCAGTTTAGTTCCAACTTCTGTCAGACAAGCCGAATGCAAATTGGGTTTCAGGTGATCCGTTCTGGCTAATAGCGCCGAAGATTCCCCGGGCATGGCTTGGGATGGCCAATTTCATCGTCCCCAGCATCTTCGTGTGGTCCCGATCAGCTTGACCCTTGCACTGGGCCTGATGACTTATGTTGGACTGTGCAGCTCTGAGACCTGGTTGGTCTTTGGGGTTGAATTTGGGGAAGGCGTCTCACGAGTGGGGACGGAGCACCTTAACCGGAAAGACCTGGGGGTGCACGAAGACAAAATGTCCCATCGGGAAGTGATCTAGCTAGAGTAAGTCCTCCGACGTAGTAAAGATAGTGAGTGTGCAGGAGTGGATGGAGTAGACAGTAGTTAATGGAGTCAGTCAGTAGTACACGGAGTGGAGGATGAAGAAGGAACCTCGACCATGAGTTCGCAGTGGACCCACGGAGATCCGGAGGATGATGGATCCCTCTCTAACCGCGCTCAGCATCGAGCATCTACCACCAGATACAGGACAATAATAGTCCAGTCCTGCTAGTCTGGCCGCTTAGCTGGTGCAATCGATTCGCCTCTCTTCTCGGCTGTCTAATATCGAGAGCCGCCTGTGATTGCCCAATTTTCGTAAAACAAGAAAAAGGGTCGAAAAAGTATAACATTTGCGTGTTTAATTGGATCGGGGAAATGGCGAGAACGTGAGCAGGTCGAACGGAATAGTAAAAATATCCCTCGCTCAGAGCAAAGCAATGGGCTCGACTGAGCTCTCTCCGAAGCTACTCCGTAGTTGCTACTGGAGCAAGCTCGTAGGGAGAAACTGTGGAGATCTTTTTTGTGAACCACTCCTAGTTTGGTGCACCATCGAACGGCCGTCGGAAAGATAGCCGGTGCTTCTGATTGGCAAGTTTTGCGGTATCTGCCGCCTTTTGTTGGTGGCGCATCTCCATTTGCTTAGTATGTACAGAGTATGGACTCTATAGTCCGCAGTTCGTATAGATTGACCAGGGGGTTGACGCAAGACGAGTCAGTGTAGAACAAAGCCTTCGATACGATTCCGATCTCGACTCGATTTGATTTCTTTCCCCTTCTATGGGATTGGTCGGGTCCTTTTGATCGCGCATGGCAGGGCAAGGATCCGACTCGGTTCCAGATCGGTTCCAAGGGGGGTTTGAGATAGATAGGCTTCTATGTAACGACCTCGGTACCTCGATGGATTTAGCTTTTGATTTCCTGACAAAGAAACGTGTTAGGGTTTCGGGGGTTGGCCTGCCGGACTTTTGGAGATTGACGTAGCGATCTCCAAGCACTCCAATAGTCCCGGCACTTGGAGTAGACTCCTATTCCCGAGAATCATTATCGAACCCTGGAAGAAGGAGGACCAGAATATCAAAACAATTGGGTGAACTATGGAGATAAAATTGTATACAGGAGTGTGGAGTGTGTAGCCATTGTGGACTTGGGAGTGTGGAATAGCTGATGCAGATTTCGAACGTTGGTACTTTATCCCGCACGGTCAATCCCCCGGAATGTTGTCAGCTTGTGCATCGCATCGCGCGCTAGGCAAGTGAAAGTTGTGACAGATGCAGGCGCGAATGCACACCGCATCCTCGAAATAATGATTGGCAGGAAGCTCGTAAGAAACGTGAGTAGCATGGACGCTATACTGACCAGGATATCCAGGTGGCGATTTCGGCCGGATCTCTGTGGCCTCTGCTTGGTTGCTTTTTTTTTGTCATCCTTGTTAGTCCTAGACTCTTAGGTAGCTCTTCATTTTATTTTCCTGTTCAGGCATTTCAGCATTTCAGCAATTGAGCTTTTTATTTTCCTTGCTTGCAATGTATCCATTGACCATGTGTTCAATGAGCATATTTTCCGGCGAACCCTTTAGCAAACCCAAAGAGACATAGACATTGGGTGTCGACGAGGACTCCGGCTCAGGGCGGCTCTGATGCTCACTGGACCACAAGTGGACTCCACTCCATCCACTATTGGGGACCCGGGAAGATCGTGGGCGATCCACAGCCGGATCGATTGGCGCCCTCACGAACTACTGCTCCACGAATCGCGTCATTATTGGTCTCGTCCGAGAGGGGGCTTCACACTAGAGCTTGACACCATACCACTTTCGCGTGGCATTGTCGAGTGGCTTCGGCCCAGGGCGACACTTTGCTGACCAGAAGAGGGAAAAGCGATAAAACATCGACGGCAGAACGCTTAAGAGTGAGACCTCTGCGACAAATACAAAGCGAGAACGAGAGCAGAGACGGGTCGTGAGAGTCATCAAGTGGATGCAGGTTGTTCTATTAGGCTGTGCTTGTGCCCGACAGTTTGGCGCACCGTTCATTCGATAGCGTCTGGAGAATGGGGAACGAGGATCGGAGCGGCTTTGAGGATCCTCTTTGCCCCTTCCCTCTTGTGTCTTTCGAATCTTCGATAAACCCCCCTCTTCCCATAAAATCGATAGGGATAACCACAAGTTTGCAAATGATTCCGTGCGCATGTGGATTACAGGGCGGAATTTCAAATATTCTAATTCCGACAAGGTTTGAAACGCCCAACGGCTCTGATCATCTTCATTTGGGAAGAGCTCCGTAATCGAGTCCACCCAACCAGAACATTGCGTGAGAGCAGCCCGGACCGGTGAGGATCGGCGACCTTTTAGCTTTTAAGATCCAGGCGGACTAGCATCACCTTGAGGGGTGGAGACTCTGGACTGGGGGATGAGAGAACCAGGATCATAGGATGAGGAGAGAGCGTAACCGAACAAGGGCTAGCGTGAGAATTAGCCATGAGGCCGAGGGGAGAGGAAAAGTGCGAATCAGGCTTATCTGGAACCTCCCGGAGCTTTCCCTGGTCATGTCAATCCATCTCCACAAGGCTAACCAGCTTAGCCTGGGGACCGGGGCCAATGTAAATCAGACCCAGGAGTGCGTTTCGCCGCATGACCGCTGAGGAGGACCGGAGTGTTATTCCCATCTTGGTACGGTGGGCCGGGATTTCAGGCAGTAGTCGGTCACACAGAGAGACGGTCCTGCAGATGGATCTCCGATGGTAGAGAGCAGAGAGAGAGAGAGTTTCGAGTCCTGGATACTAGGGATGAAAAAAAAGTTGGAATTATGGGATATTATGGAATTTTGGGAGGATGGTATTTTTTCTTTCTTTCCCATGGCGTGTTTTGGGAATTGGCTCGGGGAAATCCTGGTTTGTTGTCGATAGATCAACCCCGTAGTTTTGTGATTGCGAGTCCAGGAACACCAAAGGAACGAGGCTGTCAGCTGTCATGGAAGGGGGATATAATGGGACCTGCTTATCCCGCCAGATGATCAGTCGAATCTGGATCTGGGATCCGCCAGGTGCACCGTGCTAGATGGGACCGGACAGACAAGAAAAAGGGTGTGGCCCTGTAGTTTTCTGTATAGTCTCTTGGAGTACCGTGATCCTGGGAGGGGAGCCCTTTGTTCTGCAACGAACACCCCATGCGCCAAGCGCTCCATTAGGGATAGTAGAGTTGCGAGTGTTGCCTTGATGGCGATGGCGCGAGATGTCAATGATCCACCGAGGATCTTCGTCGATCCACATCCACCGAGGTCGGGCACGTCTCGCATCCACGTCAAGTATCGTCAAGCTAATCCCGAGATGATCGACCATGCGTGTTAGTCCTGACGCCACGGAGCCATGGAGGGGATGAGGGGGGGGGGGGGGGGGGGGTAACAGACTAACAGGATGAACTTTAGTGACAGACCCGTAGCCATGGGAGATTAAAGAAGACCCCCTACGAGGAAAGTGGAGATTGGGGGGATCCAGACCCGAAAGGATTAGACTCTGACTCGGGGTATACTGGAAGAGTTTATGGTGAGAAGTGGAAGGTAAAAGTTGAGGAGGAGAGGAGGAAGTCGGGACTTGGAGTCGTCCTGATTCGGAGTGTGTCCAGTCTCTATATTCGCGCCTCCCCGGACCCTCTTTTTTTATTTTATTTTTTACTCTTTCCTTCCTCCTCTTCTTCTCTTACTCCTCTCCCTCTCTCCCATCATCATCATCATAATCATCTTACTCATTACGGAGAATCCCCTCTTCTTTGGTTCGCCTCTTTTTGGGCCTTCCTACCCTTTAATCTTGGCTTCGTCAACGACATCTACCTCCCTACATATACGTACTGTTGACCACCTATCGTTTCATCCTTCAAGGCTGCTTTCCTTCAACCTCTCTTACCCAAAATACTCTTTCTATACTTATCCACTGTCTCGACATCTCGCATCTCCCATCTTGCAATTGGAAGAATGAAGACCTCTATATCCTCCGATGTCTGGGAGAAGAAGAAAGCAGTTATCGCCAAGCTGTATATGGAGGAGGAATGGCCACTCAAACAAGTTATCAAACAGATTCGTTCAGACGACTTCAATCCAAGGTATGTCTTCTTTATTTTGCCATCTCTAGCAACCCGTTATCAGACTCAATTTTGGAAGTTGACATTGTCTCCGCCAGTGAAACACAACTGCGTAGTCGCCTCAAGAAATGGCGCGTCACTAAACCATCCCGTCAGACTCGAAAGAAGCCCCAAGGCTCCGAGGATCCTGAATCCGAGAAGGATAGCAGAGGCTCTTCGGCATCACCTAGAAACAGCAGAGCCTCCCCAGTGACTCGGAAGCCCTCATCTTCCTCTTCTACCACTCGCTCAGACTGGCTGGGACAATCCCTCTACACTCCCGCAGAGATCTCACAGCCGGGCAAGTGGAACGCTCACATTGCCCAACAATTGACTCCAAGCCCATCGGGTGACCACATTGTCCCCGAGCAGCATCCCGCAAGCTATTCCTTTTCCGACTCCGGCTCAACCACCACATCCTTTGAGCAGCCCGCTCAAACATCTCCCGTGGCCGAGGGTCTCATGCTCAACACTACGTCCGCAGTGACGCCCAGCTATGCGGCATACCCGCTTTCACCCGAGTCGTGCATCCCCAGTCCAGGCGCAACTACTACCCCCGCCATGGCGCAATGGCCTCCACGTTCGGTCTCTGTCGATATGAGTATCAACCCGGCTTTGCATTCTACGCAATGGTACGGCATGTCCTTTGAACCGATCAGTCCGCCCTCGGGCGTCCCACACTCCGCACCACTGGCGCCTCCTCCTCCTCCTGCCGGATACATTGTCTCCCCTGGACAAGGCGTTTTCTCGCCAGAGTTTGCTCACTACGAGATGCCCGAGTACCATGGCTACGACCCTAAGCAGTGGAAGAGGACCATGTCACTTCAATATGAGTATGCTGGACACCATGGCCGGCCTGAGCACGAGAGGAAACACATCAACCACCACAGTATCCCCCCTCATGGAATGGTACCCATTCCTGCGTCCCAGGCTGGTCCCCGCGCAGTGATATGTGCACCCATGGTTCCGTATATGGGTTAAAGACCTGCTATTGCCCGCAGAAGCAGGGCCATCTATAGGCGGGCTGCTACTTAACGGACTTTTTGATGTTGTTTCTCCTGTGATACCTCTATATTTCCCGCAAATCTGTTCCTTTCCTTCCTCTTGTCTCATATTTCTTTTGCACTATTTTTTTTTCTTTCTCTCTAATTATCTGAAAATGAGCGGGTGATCTGTATCTCTATAGATCTCATGTACGACATACTCGGTGTTGAGCCCTATGAAGTGGGTGGTTGACTCAATTTGGAATACCTGGTTCATTTGTTGTTTTTTGGCGTTGGCATAGGCGGTTTTTGTCTTTTGATACCTCTGGTGAATTGATGCGATATTCTACTGATCTACCGTGTACACATATCAAAGTACCCTGTAAGCTATGTCTTACAGTATTCACGTCTAACCAATTAACTTTCTACATTTTACATTTTGCTTTGCTTAATATCAAGACACCCGACGAGGATGAACCGGCATGCTGGAATACACGAACAGGCCAAGGACAATCCAGGAAAACATCACGAGGGATAATAGTGGACCCTCAACCGCAGATCATCCTCGTGGGCATATAGTCAATACTCAACGCCAACGGCCATCTACCCCGTTTGGGAGCTACACGGTTCGTACATCCGAATCGCCTATCACGGCCAAACCCCATGATAACGCCATGATCGACATAAAGCCCACCATCTCCACTTTAGATTAAATCCAGCACGACACCCGCAAGGTCCTCAATAAGATCCAATTGCGATATCAACTCCGTCCATACGGACTATCGGCACTACAAGTGCTCTATCTCCAAATAAGAGGCTATCACTCGACCGGGGTCTTTACCCGAACCGTTCGGTTTCCCGTTCAGGGTCCACGGATTATAGATCGGGAGGAGATCGATCCTACCAATAAAGCTTCGTCCGAGATATATCCGATCCATTCAATAGAATTAATGCTTATTGTTTTCACCTGATGTTGAAACCGTGGCTCATTCCTCCGTTTGGCCGTTCGTTCGGGTTGTAATGATCGACTTAAGTGCCGGGGTTTGAACCCGCGGAGATGGCTGAATACCCTTCCACCGTTGTTTGATGGTATGGCCTAATTTTGGCGTGAAACGGTTTGATCTCCAGGGAATGATCTTTGAGCTTGGTTCTTGTAGAATCATGATTTTGAAACGGTTGCGAAACGGGTGTGAAGACATAATTTTGGGTTTCATAGTAGCCTTGTACTGGCTGGTATTCACGATTTGCTTCAAGCTTGTCTAAGGTGCCAATCAATTATCCAAGTAGACATTATGGTCAACCTATAATATTAAGTGTGCAAGTTTATGCTAGAAACCCTAGTTTTATTGCCGTGATATTTCACCTGAATCATGTAATATACATGCGCCCTAATAACATTGACCTTGAGCTTTGGCCGGGTTATCCGAAAAGATACCTCGGCATTTTTCTCACGCGGGGAAAAGCTCACCCCCTAAACTCGGCCTGCTCTCTCCACAATTTGACTTCTCGAAATACCCATCTTTTGCAAGCTGCATTGTATTTGCTTCATTTTTGGTTATCATAACCTCACAGCTATATCCTATCGGTTTCATATTACCCTACCGACACCATGCGCGCCGTTCAAGTCAAAGAATATGTCAAGGTACACTACACCACTCATGCTTACGCTTACCTTTTTTTTTTTTTCACTACAACCTCACCTCAACCTCCAACATCCATCCTATCCTCACCTAATCCATACTAACACTCCAAAACAGGGCCCACTGGACCTCACAGTCACCGAAGTCCAAACCCCCGCCCCATCGGCCGACAACTACCTAATCAAGATCCACTCCGCCGGCACAAACTTCTTCGACATCCTCCAAATCCAAGGCAAATACCAACACCAACCACCCCTCCCCTGGATCGGCGGTTCCGAATTCGCCGGCACAATCGCTGCAGTCCCAACCGCCTCTTCATCCCCTCGCTTCCGCGTCGGCGATCGCGTCTTCGGCGCTATCCAGGGCGCTTATGCCACCCACGTGCTCGCCCCGGAGGCCTCCCTGCTCCCCGTGCCAAACGGGTGGAGCTTCGAGGATGCGGCTGGTCTCTTTGTGACCGCGCCGACTTCCTACGGCAGTCTTGTGCATCGTGCCGGCGTGAAGGCGGGCGACTGGGTGCTCGTTCATGCGGCGGCTGGTGGTGTGGGACTGGCCGCTGTGCAGATTGCCAAGGCCAAGGGGGCGACTGTTATTGCGACTGCTGGAACGCAGCGCAAGCGCGAGATTGCGGCCCAGTTTGGCGCGGATTATGTCGTTGATTATACGGATAAGGCGTGGCCCGAGGAGGTGAAGAAGTTGTGTGCTACGCATCGGCAGGGGAATGGCAAGGCCGGTGTGGATATCGTTTATGATCCCGTTGGTATGATCGAGGCGAGTTTGAAGTGTGTGGCTTGGAATGCTAGGTTGTTGGTTATTGGATTTGCGGCTGGCAAGATTGAGAAGGTTGCGCTTAATCGGGTGTTGTTGAAGAATGTTAGTCTGGTGGGATTGCACTGGGGTATGTATGCTAAGTGTGAGACGGAGACTGTTGGTGAGGTATGGAAGGGGATCTTTGATCTTGTTGCCCAGGGCAAGTTCAAGGGAACTGCGTTTACGGATGAGAAGTTTGTTGGGCTTGAGAGTGTTCCTAAGGCGTTGCAGGCGCTTGGAGGGCGCGAGACTTGGGGTAAGGTCGTGGTCAATGTGACTGGCGATGAGCAGGCCAAGAGTAAGCTCTAGTGGAGGAGTTTGTGGATATTAGAGGATATACTAGGGACGGTAGATAATCAGGTATCGAATATCATTTCATATATCATTCATCAACTTGTGGTAAATCTATCCGAGCCGGGCTAAGTAAAAGGATATTGGATCATACGCAAGCCAGGAACCAGGAACACTCCGCGAGCGAGTCCGTACTGTGCATTTGGCTTATTTACAGTCGAGAAGACGCTCATATGTACAGCCAGCTGCTGTAAAAAATAATCCTTGTAAAAGTTTGAGGGTAAGACGAAGTCAACAGGCCATCGACTTGTCGCAACAATCCAGCAGTCAATCTACGATCGCATGCCATCTCAATTACAGAAGAAACATCATGAAATAATGATAAACATTCTTATTGATCTAATCTAACAAGTATAACAAAAAGATGTAGGTGCGCAAGGAGTCATGCTCTCGTAGAAAAGTAAAACCCTCCACCGAAGCGAAGAGAAAACTCGAGCAAGTATAACATGAACTATGAAGGCCCTTTTTCTTGCTCTAGCAACCCAGTTGACGAATAGCACGAAAGAGACTCCCGAAGAAGTTCCTCCGGCTCCCAATTCAGCTCCAGTCGGTCACGGCCACAAAACGCGGCGCTGTGGTGACTGTCCTTCGAAGAAGGGTCCGTAGTGGGTGTCCGTAAGGACTGGGACAGTTGAATTGAGGGATTGCGGGTAATGAATGTTCAGAATGTTTGTTTTGGATTGGTATTGGGGTCGGATGGGACGGGATAGGTCGCAAGCAAGCTTGGATGGGGATGATCCGGTCGGTACTGGGTGTTAGTAGCTATGATGGTTCAGTTTATCGTAGTTTGGGACGAGGAGAGGCATTGCTTGAATCGGCATTGGATTCTGGCATATCTCCTTGTTGGGAGGAAGGTGATGATGATGCGTCGAAGTAAAGGAGAAAATGGAAAATCCAGAACGTTGAGATTGAAGATTCGCTTATGGATTAGTCAGCACTATCAGTGCCTAGGTCGCTCAAGGTTGCGCGGGAACCAATCAGGTAGTCCGGCGCTCTATATTGGGTACTAGTATACAAAACCATCAATGGGAAGGTCACTCTAGTTATAAAGTCAACAATGGACCAATATGAATTTCCAGAAAATCATCTTATATTACTATACTGTAAGCAGAGAGATTGGACTGCCCAGTCTAATCATGAGAGGCGTAGTTATCCCAAGTGGTATCACTTTGCAACATTATCATCGCGAAGGCTTCCGCCTTTGTTTCCCTCTCCCATCTATCTATGTATGGATATTTTAGGGCATATGGCTTCTTCACGAGCTTATGGTATAGAATATGTCATCCATTGTGCCAAGCATTAGAGGGGTCGCGTCAACAGACAATCTCATAACTATCCATACCAACGAAAAAAAGCATCTCAAGTAACCTGTGAGTGACAGAAACGGCAAAAGAAGCGTTAGGCATGTTTTGAAATATCCATATTATCTGCCTCACAGATGGGCCATATACGATGCAACATCACATATTGCAAGTGAAATCATGCCCAGGCTGTTCCATTCCGTGGGCCATTAAGGTACACATTAAATTGCTCACCCTGAAGCTGATTGTTGTAGTATTGGAAAACATTATAAGCCGTTCCCATAGCTTCAGTAGGCTCTACTAAGTAGATATAGCCCTCGGACTTTTGTATAGAGTACCACTCATCCTGTGTTTCCTGGGAAGATTTCATGTCGTTGGGAATAAAGGCGGAAAATGTCGCATAGGGGTAAACTTTACCCGGGACGACACCGACGGTCACGACTATACCCAAAGTTTCATCGATGACTGGTGTTCGGTAGTTTAGGTCGGTAGGGCGATCCGGCATCCAGTTACAGGCTGCACTTTTGACAATCCAGCCAGCTTCGGTGAATTGACAGTCGGGGGCGATATCGATAGTAGTATTATCATTCGCGTTGAAGCTTGCTGAAGCTATGATCTCTAGCTGTGCCCGGGTTGCCTTCTGTCTATTCGCTGGTGGAGACATCCACTGCTTATAGTTCTTTGCAAGGTTCTGGGTATCCAAGGCAAACCCGTCATCACCGCGACCGCGATTAACATAGAATTCGAACTCGGTTATCAATTGATCCACCACTTTTATTCGGCCCTGAAGCATAGATTTCGTGGTGTCGTTACCTTCACTGATAGCAAGGGAGAAGTACGCCTGGGCCTGAGTTATGTCGATGGCCAACAGGCTCGGGGAGCTTGCTTTAGTGACGGTGCGCCAAAGAGCCATCATGTTGAGCGCTGCTGGGTGCGTGTTCTCAGTCGCTTTGTAGACCTCTGCCAATGGTAGTCTGAAAGGGTCATTGGCTACCATGGAATCCAGAACAGCATTGACCATAGTTGTCATGCACGCTCGGGAGCAGGCCGTGGTATTCGATGTGGTCCTGCTGACGAGCGGGCTTATAGCCCTCGCGGACGCCATTGCCACTAGGGCTAGCAGTGCCAAAGTCTTTATGAACATATTGACCACTGGCTTAAGACAAAGCAACAAAAAGCACAAGAGACCCCTGCGTGAATAAATTCAAGGTCACCCTTGCCACCAGCTCAATAAACAAAATGTGGAAGCCTGAAGAGCATCATCTCTGGCGCCGGAGAGGATCTTAAATACCATGAATAGCAAGAAGAATAGAACCTTCCTTGCGCCCAGGCTCAGAAAGCAGGTCGGAACGAGTCTGGAGTGGTTAGGATGGAGGCAGAAGAGAAGCATAACCGGGGCCCCGGATTTACAATGTGGCCCACATTAGCCACACGGCATTCCGAAGTTGTGACGAACTTCGACCGTATGGCTGCTATGGTCCGGCTAGTCACCACGGAAGAGTAGGTATTTCGCATTTACTGATATCCTGTCAAACCTTGTCAGTCTGTCTTAGACTACTATAGTGTATTTTCTCTAGAAACAGACGGATGCGTAGGTCTTTTAAGTTCAATATGACAACACTTCACAAGAGAACTTCCAGGCCACAAATCATCTCTCAGGCCTCCGGTAGGTAAAAGCCTGAAGTGCTCTTGATTAATTGACACTGCTGTACTTTTGTTATGTTCACTTCCGACTCAATTCAATATGCGGCTGCCCTTGCGGCTTGCCCGCAGCGCTGGTAAGCCGACATCTGTAGAAGAGTCCGTGAACTTGAAGGTAATTTTACTCCACATCTTCCCGGCCTCCGGCTGAGGGGTAACTCGTGAGATTCAATTACTCAAGGCCAAGTTCAATGATCGACTCAATCAGAGAGTGGAGCCGAGGGAACAACCCAACTCAATGACCTAGAGGAATCAGCCATATAATTATGGGCTTTCTCACACCACGTTTGATAAGAGCTTGGTCTTTGATCGATTATAGCCTGGCTTATTCTCAGCCGGATCCCTATAGGTTCTGTCGGTATCTCACAATGCGCATTTCCGGTCTATTCCAACTGTTTCGTTTCTCACTATGCCTCGCGGCGGCCGTACCTTCTGTGGCCACGGCGGTCGGCAAACCATCGAATCAGGAAATCTCCCGGCAGGACTTGTCCGGTATTGTCTCCCAAATTTTAAAGTCCATGGAGGCACATGACCCGGGTGTTCTTCCGTTAGCAACTGTTTACAAAGCAACCGAGAACTCGCATGCTGCATCGCTTGCTATGATGACCTCATGGCGCACTATCGTCAAGGCAGAATCACCTAGCCTGCTTGCAATCGATACCGAGCAAGGTTCGGCATTCTTTATTACAGACATCAGCGAGGGCAACGGCAAAACGGAAGCTATCCTTCGAGGCCGAGTTAAGGTGGTTGATCAACGTATCACCGAGCTGGAGTTGTTTATTAACCGCTCTCGTGGTGATGATGGCTATGCGTTCTCGGCCACGGAACTCTCGGAAAACTATAAAGTGTTGATGTCGCCTCCAAAGAATCGAGAGAAAGCGAGTCGGACAGAGTTGGAAGCTATAGGAGCGGCTGCTTGGGATTCGTCTGATAGCCTCTCGGTTAGCGTCGGTGATAACTGCCAGTTTACTGAAGTTGGCGCGACAATCATTGATACGGGGACGTACGGAAACGATTCAACGGCACCGCTTACTTGCAGTTGGAGCTCTACTAGACCTACCGATCTTAACGCGCGAACCAGCCTAGTCATCGACGAAGAGCTAGGCTTTATCGTGACAAACGGGGTGGTTCAGGGCAAGGTCTACCCATACTACGGCAATATCTCAACCTTTATCCCAGACTCCATGACTTCGGCCCAGGAAGCACAAGAAGTTTGGTTTGCCCAAGTTAAATCGCAAGGCAATGTTACATTAGTATCTTCAACTGAGGCTACTGGGGAAAATTTCGAAGTGCTCCAGTTCTACGACAACGCGCTTCAAGCCCTTCAATTCCATGTCTTCCTGAGCGGTCCCAATATGACATCGTCTTGGGTGTAGGAGCTGTTGGCCACGATGGAGTTTTTTTGGTAACAATAAATTGACCCTACACCGGCGGGAGTCTCATCGTTATTGTTTTTACACGTTTGAAAATACTAGTCGCAATCTCGCATGTTACCCCATTCACCCCGTGGGCAATTGTTCTACCTCCCTCATTACTTTACTCTCCCAATTTCAACTCCTTCTTTCAATTAAGGTTGCAGTTATAGTTACCATTCTATTGAGCTCTTCCTGGAGCTATCTATTGTTGCATAATGTCGAACCCGTTGTATGTCCACACTAAGATCCACATAACCAATTGTAGGGACAATTAATAGGCTCCAGAAGCACGGATATCCAAGACGGGCTACATGGAAAACTTAGAATTAAAACAATAACATGTCAAGTGTGGGAGATGGCACAACACCAAAGTTATACTACTTTCGTAGTTATTTGGGAAATCTATAGTGAAATCTTTACATGAATGTTGGGCCAAGAACTTGAAAATTCTTTCCAGATCTAGCGTCCCTAGATTCTTCTATCTAATTATCAAGGGGCCGAGAAGCAACCGGCCTTGGAAATATTGAACCTCGGGGCATTCTATATGACCCTGTATCGTATATAGAGTACTATGCGGTACAGGCAATGGAGCACGGCCCTCAGACATCCCAGGCCGAGAGCAATGGACAAGTTTGACAGATTACTAGTTCGCTTTGCTCATTACAGCTTTCCATGCGGGCCGCTGACTGACCAACTTCCACCAGGCTAGTAAATGTGGTCTCACTTCAATCTCATGTAACATATCCAACCTTTCCAGAAACGCAATCCACGGAAGGTGAAAAGCATCCACAATTGTATAAGCCTATAATGATAAGACTAATTTAACTAGTGATAGAAATGCGATGGTTGCAGTGAACTTACATTACCTGCCATGTATGTCTGTTTTGCAAGAAGAACCTCGTAATAGTCAAAGCATTCACGAAGCTGCTTCTCATAGGAGGAGACCAACTCAGCACTTGGCTCTCCGTGGCCCATCATTCTGATCTAATTAGTACGTCCCAAAATTGAAATGTCAAGGTTTCCGAACCGTTTGAAAATCTTCTCATAACTCAAATTCTTGAATGGCGGGTCGAAATACGAGTACTCCACGCTTGCAGCTTGCTCGAACAGTCCTAAACCTGACTCTGAACCAAGTAAGCTCACTTGGTGTAAGTACTTATTCGCTAGATGGCGGCAGATAGCACGAGATTCGAATAATTGTATGGAGCCATCGTCAAATGCGGGCACCCTCCCGAAAGGGTGCTTCTCGGTCACATATGTCCGGTTCTAGATATATCTTAGCATATATATTACAGTCACGGGAGATTTGGCCCCCCAACAGGAGATCGAACTCTGTACCTTATGTTGTCCCGCTCTCATATCTATATCAATGATGTCGAATGGAGCTCCGATTTCCTCGAGAACAACCAGCACCCTCTGAGTGCATGTCGATAGAACGGAGCCGTAAACTTTGCATGTCGACATTTTAGGTGAAATAGCATATAGCTCACTGCCAGATCATTGTGAATTCTCGCATTATATGTGAAAGGTGGTGGTTGCTGAACAATAGAATTATCGTTATCCAATGCCCTCCACACTGTTGCCCCGCCCCACTCAAATGGACCGGGATGCCGTGGTAGTACTGTATGTATCGGCCGGGATCCCGGAGGGATGAATACTCTTTCATCCAATGAAAAAATATTTATCGTGACTGCAGACCAACGAATCGGCCCCACATGATGTGGGGAAGAAGCCATTCCGAATCGCTCACAATGTATCGGATATAAGAATGACGGACATGAAGAAACATACATTTGTTGGCTATACTTTGCGTGACACCAAATCGCTCTGGCAATGGCGAATCAAATCACGCAAAAGGACGAAACCGTGCTCCTGGGAGCAAGGCGCACTGAGTTCGATTTTGGAGATTTTGATCATTCGAGAATACCCTTAGAGGAAACCGAATGGCCAGTCATCATTATCGGCTCAAGCATGGTGGGGATGACCTTGAGCATTCTGTTAGGGTATTATGGGTAAAGGCAACCTCACAGCCGTAATGGAGTTCAACGCTGACGAGGATCACCAAGCATCAAATCTATCTCTTTCGATCGGCACCCATCAACGGCAACCCATCCTCGCGCTGCACTTTTTCTTTTGAGAACAATGGAGATTTTCAGGCAGCTAGGGCTGGATGATGTGATGGAGAAAGAAAGCACATCAAACTTTGATTTGGATGCGGGGATGCTCATTGTTGACCGTCTTATTGGAGGAAAGGTCCTCGCTAGAATGCAAGAGGCCGATCCAGCCGAAACTGCCAAAATCACACCGTGTAAACGACTCTGGTTGACACAAAACATGTTTGAGCCGCTGCTTCGCCGCAAGGCGCATCATTTCGGGGCAGAGCAACGTTTTGGTACTCGCATAGTGCATTACGAGGAGGAAAAGGGCGGGGTAATTGTGGTTTCGCAAGACATTGCGACAGGTCAGTATACCAAATATAGGACGCAGTATTTGGTTGCTTGCGATGGGAATCGGAGTGCTACTCGGCGAAACGAGGGAATCGAGTGGAATGGACCTGGCGTTTTTGGGAATAATCTTTCGATCAACTTCAAGGCCAATCTAACACCCTATCTCGGTGAGCGTGCTGTACATGGTGTCACATATGTGAACAATGAAGACATTTCTGGTGGCTTTCGACTTGAAAATGGCGGGCAACGCGGATTCATGATCGTTGCCAAAACCGCGGAGAAAGATGACTTTGAGCCCGACTCAGTCACCGAGAGAGAAGCACGGCAAGCGTTTTATGCCGCTTCAGGTATGGATGAAAGTTTTCCGTTGGAAATTGAATCCATATCCTATTGGACCGTTGCTGCTCTGAACGCAGAAAGATACTCTAGCGAAAAGGGCCGAGTATTCCTGGCGGGCGACGCAGCACACGTCATGCCCCCAACCGGAGGAATGGGCGGCAATACCGGTATCCAAGTAAGCTAGGCCACAAATTTTCATCGCTGCATTGAACTAACTTCAGACAGGATGCTTACAATCTGGCGTGGAAACTTGCGTACGTTATCAATCGACACTCTTCGGCGTCGTTGCTGGAGTCCTACACAGCAGAGCGACAACCTGCAGCCGAGGGAACCCTGAAACAAGCTTTTGCTCGGTTAGCAAATCGTGTGCTTAGAGACCCAAGTATTGTTCATGATGAAGAGCTGCCAGACGATACTTGTGAGCTCGGATATCGGTACTCAAGGGGAGCCTTTGTCTTTGAGGACACTCCCACTGTGTCTGCGGTATGGCAAGACCCGCATGTTCCCAGTGTCAAGATTGGAGCTAGGCTCCCGCATATTGTACTTTTGAACAAGTCCAGACAAGATATCAGTCTGTCTACGCTTGATCTGGTAAAGAAGAATTTTGTGCTGCTGGTAGGTGGGGGTCTGCCTACATGGCAGGATGCTTCATCTGCACAAAGTGTACAGATTGATATTTATGAGATTTCAGAAGCGTCCAGCCCTCTTTGCGATCCAAGTTGCAAATTCAAAGAGGTCTTTCGGCTCGGCATTGGAGAGGCTCTTCTTGTGCGGCCAGATGGTTTAATTGCATGGAGAGGCAAAGGAACCGAAGGACAGTCCAAGTCTCATATACTCAAGACCGTTCTTGGACGGATTCTTGGGGTCTAAATCATCTTGTAGAAATGGAAATTTAATCCAAGAGATAGATGTTTATGTGTGGAATCTGAAAGACTTCAATTTGCTGCAACTTTCAATATACGCGTGCTTGATCTATTATGCAGAAAGCGAATGTAGTGTCAAAATATGAAAAACATCATTATGGACATCAGTGAATGAGTAGACTCATCTCGAAGGCATTAGTAATTACGGTCATTCAGACCCTCTCGGCGCTGCACCACGTTAGATCACTGCGGACTTGGCGACGTCGGACTCATACTTCTCATGGGGATCAACGGCTTAATGAAAAAGCAACTGGTGAGTTAAACCGAGTTATTAATGGAAAACAAAAGCTGGTTCCCACTTCTTGGCTTTTCCTGCTAGGTTGTAGCTAGCTAGCTATCCAATCAGGCGAAACACGCTGTTGGTACAATCATAAGAGCTAGCCTTCCAAGTGAGATAGGTATTTAAAGACTGCAGGGCGAGGGGGCTTTGGGACTACTCGCGTACCCTAAAATATACCCTAGAACTACTTGACAGAAAATGTGCAAGCTATGGATAGAACTAGCCTTGTGACGTTGTCGGGAAGTGGTCCGCATTTCACGCTACGAGTTTAGAATGATAGAATCCCCCAGATTTTTGCCTTCCCCACTCCCCGCGAAAATTTAGAGGAAAGACCCGGCTATTTGAAAGCCAATTCCTTTGATCAATCCTTGAATCCCCATACATGTGGCGGTACGCACTTGTGGAGGACGCCGACGGTGATGTTAGTGGCAGACTGGTAGTATGAAGAGAGGCGTATGTATGGCTTTGAGGGGACCCCTTGTCGACATTCCCCTGGAAACGCCACAGTCCACGTAGTCATCCCCGCATTTGACCGACCCGAGCTAGGCAATGTATGCACCAGCTCCCTCCCCCTGCGCCTCAACTATTTTGCTTTCTTTGATACACAATATTCCTAAATACACGCCCCCTTGTGTCTAAGAAGACGCTAAACTGGTTTGTTTGCCTGAATTCTCAAAGCACGTCCTTCTATTAGGCCTCCCGAAGACTTCCTAAATAGCACTCTATGGTCCTGCAGCGCAAACAATCAAATAGACAACGGCGCCGTCGAGCACCACGTGCTTCACAGGCATGTGAGTACTGTGCGGCGGCGAAAGCACGATGTGACAACAATGAGCGCTGCCAAAGGTGCCAGAGGCGTAACATATCATGTATCCGACCTCCATCCTTCGGCGAGACCACATTACCAACAACCAGAGAGCAAGAGCAACCTGTCACTGTTTTACAACCGTCCAATGAAGGAGGCTGTATATTGAATGGTTTAGAAGGATCTAACTTGGACGTCCTCGTGGGGAATTGGGTAGAGGGCCATGTTGCCAATTGGAGATCACCAGAGCCGTTGCGCAACAATATAGGTAAATCTGCAGAATCAGTCCTGGCCTCTTCATGAGGAAGCTGAGCTCCATCGGGATTAATTAATAGCGCTAATGGTGTGTACTTAGATCACTTCTCTCAAAATCCAGAAAGTACGCAGTCCGGCGTTTCTAACGAAGTCCAAAATCGCTTGCTCTCCCCCGAAGAGGACCCTATAATGGCAGCATTTCCCGCCATCGACTTTTCTTTTACACCCTTCGCTCATGGCGCAGTTCCTAAATCGCAAGGTACACCTAGGAGTAACCTGGAAACCCTCTTCAGTTCCGTGCTCGGGTTGTCGAATGTCACGAGGGCATTTGAGAGAACAGTGGGTCACTGGAATCCAGACCGGTCAAACCACCGAGCGGCCGAAGAGGTAAATATTTACCTCGAGCCTGCAATTCAGTCAATTGATAAACATTCAACCGTCCCACGACTCCCTTTATCCCTAAGGGCTGTATCCGCAGATACCAGAGATGAAATCCTGGCAATGATACTCAAGAATTGTGAGCGAGATAACGCAGTGAGAGTTGCCTCAGCATTTCCATCTGCAGCATTGATCAGTGAACTGTTACTCGGGTTTCTCGAGTTGCATGCTTTGGAAGAAGATAACTGGATCCATATTTCCACCTTTAACGCGAATCAAGCTCCCCCGGAGTTGTTGATGGCTTGCGTTGCGTCAAGTGCCATGGAGTCCACGAATAGTGCTCTTCGAAGGTTTGGCCAAGCTCTACATAGTGTTCTTCATCCATATCTTTTTCAAGTAGTAAGGCTCTCTACGCATTACAATCTTGATACCTGTTCCTTTGAAAGCTAATTAGTGGCCATAACATTAGTTTGAAAAGAACATCATACGCACACGACAATTACAATATATCCAAGCACTGGCACTATTTATCCATACTGGGTTGTGGAGTGGAGATAAACGCAAGATGGAGATATCAGAAGCGATCGTAGGATGCTTGATCCAAGTAAGCAGATGCCATAATTTTACTGCCTAATGGATTTAGACTGATTATATATAAGATGCTGCGATGTGGCGGTCATTATCGTTACTCTAACTACAGTGATATTGCTCCTTCTTCTGAGGACACCGGAGGGATTCTTGAAGCGAAATGGCAAGACTGGGTCAGAGAAGAGTCGTTCAAGAGGTATGTCCCAGACTTAACCGAATCATGCGTCCTTCAAGACTTATCTCCTTTGTGGTAGGATAGTATGGCACATGCAGGTGCATTGCTCAAAGGAGTCCTTGGTCACTGGAAAAAGACCCCCGGTTGCATGTGCTGAGCTTTTACTTCCATTTCCAAGCCACCAGGCGCTCTGGATAGCGAAGACGGCGTCAGAGTGGCAGGTGATCTATCTCGGTCTTAGTGTTCAAAGCCTACCTCGGACGATCACACTACGCGACACTCTTTCCAGGCCTATGACGCTTCTGTCTTTGCCTGATACGTATGATTCTGACTTGGCTCAACTGATTGTTCTTCATTGTATCTTTCCCATGATCCGGGACTACCAACAAATGCGAGTTCTTTGTGGGCCTGAGGATGAAGATATGATGCGAGTCAATATTCTGGCCAATGAAAGTGAGCAGCAACGACTTTTACGGCTTTTGCAAAGCATGAGAATGCTCAATGAGAACCAAGACTCTGAGAAGCTTGCGCACCGTTCCTTATTAATCGAAATCATGTCTATGCATCTTTTTGCTCCTTTTGAGCAGATTGAAATCGCGGCCGGCCGTGAAGGCCATGACGAGGCTAAAACTGCATATCTAAGCGCTCAAAGCTGGAGCCACCGCTGTCAAGCTAGACAAGCTGTCTGGAACGCTGGCCAGGCAGTCCGCTACTTACGTGAGATCTTGTCAGCGCAATTTACCGCATTCCATGCCGTTCTGGCATACCAGGCCAGCTTATGTTTATGGATGTATGGGACAATTACCGCCCAATGTCCACCTGACGACGGTCCATCATCTGCCTCCGCACGATGCTTCCTGGACACGGACGAGATAGTAAAATCACAGCAATGGGTTAATCTGAATCGAGGCATCCCCGCGATCTACAAGGTTGTCTCGGATCAAGCGACAAGCCAAGGAACTCAAATTCCGCTATCCTCCACCCGGGAGGTTATGATGTGTCTACGAGAATTGCTTCAATACAAAGTCTCCGAGCACGGAACCAATGCGTTGACTTCAGCGGTGTGCGATCTTATGTCTGCTCTCAGTACTGTCCGTCCTGGAATAGTGTTTTGATCGGACAAGCAACCAGGGCTTTCACATTCGTGCACTTAACGTGCTCGCCGACCTAGCCACCCATAAGACCATACAAAATGCGATAGTGTATAACTTTATAGCTCCAAAGCCCAAGGCTAAGAATATAGGCTTCAGATATTCGAATGTTCATTATAGTGTACTAGATGTTTTTATTAGGCCGGAGAAATGTTTTGTCTCAAATAGAGCAGGTCGACCGGAACTACGTTAACTAGAAGCGGCTGTGTGTATGTTGAGCAACACCGGACTCAAGGTAACCGGACTTCAACACCCCCTCTTCAATTTCATAATTCATAATTCAAACCCCTACGCCGGAACCCTGCGGCAAGCCGTTACAGTACCTATATGACAGCGTTTCCCCACAACCCGAGACGAATTCGTGGGGAAAGCTATGGCCGTTTGAGGTTAGAGTAGCCCTATCCAAATCTTAGATGATCTAGAAATCTCTGGATTTAGGAAGAATACTTCTAAATTGGATTCCATTGCTTGCTTACGCGGGTTCAATAGAATCGTTCCGAAGTGGAGGTGATCCGCATAGGTGGTCTATAAAACCTCCTTCGTAGCGCCAATTTCACGGTACAGGTATGCAAAGCTCTGATAATCACGAGATTGGAAAGATGATACACCTTATTTCCCTGTTATCTCTTGCCATAATGGCTTTTGGAAGCTTTGTGGTATATGACCCAAGCGACGATATTCCCTCTTCAGAGTGGGCTGCAGACAACGCGTATGTCTTCGACTGGCATACCCAGGGCGTAACATATCAACAGTTTGCAATCAATGGTTCTCATTTCTACAGTGGTCAAAAAGGACAGATCAGCCATGAGGTTCTGGAAAACCACTCGAATGACACCAGCGTCCTTGTGGCGACGGAAGGATCAACCGTGAATGTCGAGCATTCGACCATTATCAAAACTGGTTACTCCTCCAGCTTAACCCAGGCTAGCTTCTTCGGTGAGCCATTAGAGACTTGAAGTTTTCCAACCATTTGCAAATTAACTTATTTAATTGCAGGCGCCAACGCAGCTGTGAATAACGCCAACGGCTCAACCCTCTACCTATCCAATGTCAACGTTACTACGCACAACGGCGCTGCTAATCTGTATACCCATGGGGAAAAGAGCGTTATTTACGCTGAAGATATCTGGGCGTATAGCTCTGGCCCTGTCTCCCACGGGTTCTATGCTTCGGGTAATGGTACCATCCATGCAAAGAATGTTCATCACTATTCGGGTGGTGCGCGGTGTTCTTCTTTCAGCGGGGATGTTCCTAATGGGTACATCCATGCCGAGAATGTGATTGCTCATACTGATGGGATCGGGTCAGCAATTTGCTTCTTACAAGGCGTCTGCAATATGACAAAAGTGGTCGGATATGCCCGAAACGCCCCAATTATGTTTAGTGACGGTGCGATGGGGCCTGTTACAGGAATCTGGAAAGACTCAGACTTAACAGCTGGGCTACTCGCCGGGATAATGATGCTATCTGATTCAAAAATCAATGATGGATCCGTCACTGTCCTTGATAATACCAAGCTCACGGTACTGGGGGCGACGATGCCTGCTCTGTGGGCCGGAAATATTATTGCAGACGCGTACATCAAGTCCTCCTCCATCAACAACACTGCGTCGGGAATCTTGGCTGTAGCCAATTATTCTTTTGTCACGCAAGACTTCGACTACTACGCGGGATACGATGACAATAATGATTTGTCCCCTGGTCAACTTACTATACACGTTGAGAATTCCGACCTTTCTGGCTCCCTGGTAGCCTACAACAAGTCATCGATTAATTTCAATTTGGCTGAATACTCGAATTGGACCGGTGAAGCTAAAGTTGGCTTCGGGAAAGCCTATCTGGCTGTTCATCTGGATAAAACTTCGACCTGGACTTTGACGGGGAATAGTGCCATTCAGAACTTTTCCGATGCCGATACATCCCTTAAAAATATTGCCAGCAATGGGTTCAGTATCACGTATGACAAAAAGTCTCAGGCTAACTCGGGGTTGAAGGGGAAGACATATAAACTTCCTGGCGGTGGATTCCTTCGGCCGGAATAAACCTTTGCACGGCAGTCATGGAGAGTTAGCTGAATATGCACTGAATGTGTAATAGCAATTCAAAGCAAGATTGGAATGTCCTTTGGGACTGGTGTCTACTTGGCTCTTTTATCTCGTTTCAAAACTGCCCTGTCGGGAGATTATTATTCTTCTAGTAAATCAATCCTTCTTGGGGTCATTAGATGGTCTTCAGATTGGGAGCACCTTGCAAAAGGATACCCAGTGAGCCGCGGCATAGAAGGTACTTATAGGTCATGAGCAATTATACGCGATCAAAAAAGAAGTTCATGGTAAACTATTAAGACATCCATCAGGCAATATTTTCTCTCAGATTCAACTCAACGGTTTCATCTCCCGAGTTCTAGTAACCATTGAATCCCGTTAACTGTATCCTCGGTTCTCCGTTGGGCATGCTGCGTTAACTGCGGATAGAACTCCCAGAAGTGATGAGGTAAACCAGGGTAAAAGTCAAGGCGAGTAGCAATCGAGTTCTCTTCGCGCAATACTCGTTCATATATCAAGCTATCATCACGTAAAGCATCCAGACCGCAGACTTGGAAATATGTTGATGGTATATCGTGATGCCTTTCAGGGTGGTTGAAAGGAACCATCAGTGGGGAGTGTATATTCGGTTTATAGGCAGCTATTAAATATACATAGATAGTAAGCAGTCAATTCGTCTGACTTGAGTGGAAAGAAGTGAACAGGTGGTCAACTACGGAAATTAAGGCTGGCTAAATAACAAGAAAGGGGCCATTATAGAGGGACTAGAAATATACTTACACAAAAATAGCTGAACCAGGTCCGATGAAGGAATAGATATCTCCTTATTCTGTTCGACGCTCAAATGCTCTTGGCGGTATTCTTCTGGGACGACAGGAGCTGGGAGTAAAGGTGCCACGCTGAGGAATTGCCCTGTCACGTTAACAGGAAAATCCTGGTCGCGGTTGAGGTAGACGACAGCGCTGGCAATGTTCCCACCGGAGGACGTGCCACCCACAATTAAACCTGCAGATGGTGAGGCAGACGAGTGAATTGTGTGGGCATTAGCTGCTACCTACAGTGGAAGCTCGGAATGTCAGTACCTCTTGCCTAGCTGAAGAGTGAGACTACATCTCAACCGCTTGGCGGATAAGTAGAGCAGCCATGAGCATCAAAATTGGAACATAAGGTGGCACCAAAGGAAGCTTCCTACCCATTGAAGAGGATCAAGTCCATCATGGACCGCTGTTGGGAAAGGATGTTCTGGAGCCAGGCGATATTCAGGACTGACAACAACGACACTGTTCCTCAGGGCTATCGCGCGGTTTGACTGAAAATCGTCATAACGACTACCAATACAGAACCCACCACCGTGGAAAAAGATAAGCAGTGGTAGGCTGACTTTGGTATCGACCTTTTCCGCGGGGTAATACACACGGGTAGGGATCGTACTACCGTCGCGAATAGGGATCTCAATGTCATGTTCTGAAACATCAGGATGGGGGCCATGAGCTTTATGAGCGGATAGTTTGGCTGCATTTGTGATTGTGCGCAGGCCTATCACATCTATATTAGGTGGCAGAGCTGGTTCACCTCCCTGGGTTGCAATCAACTGTATATCATTGAGGAATTAGCAATTTAAATCTGAAGCAGCATTTGTGACAATTTGATTGACTGGGCAGTGTGAGTGGAGGGACATGCCTTTTCAAAGTCAGGATCTAGCAAAGTGCCAGCCTGAAGATCATCTCTGCTCAGGATCATTCTCTAGATCAATCTTCAACGGAGCTGGTAAATATCGCAAGCCAAATGCAGATGGACAAAGGTCTAGTCAATTGCAAGGCACCCAATTATAGATGGTACTTTCGCATCCAGAGGCAACTTCGACGTCGAATAATTAATAGTGTTCTAGATTATTTGAGAACCGCTATTGCGCTACTTTTGGTCTTTATCCTAGTATCGGAGCCCTAGCTAACGGGCTGTTGACGTAGATGACAAATCCATTCGAGGTCCCCCCGCAGACGGGTACCTCCAGCGATACCAGCGATACCGGCTTGCCGTAGGTTGTACCGGCTTGCCGGAAGTCACTCGGGTTCATGTTCGTCATCATTTGCTTCAAGGATCTTGTATACATTGTTACAGGAAATTCTGTAATCTGCCTTTATTTTTCTTGGCTCTGGTTTTCATTCGAATCTACTAAATCATGTTAGATTGATATAGGTGTGGCCGATGGCGGTGGAAAAAATCATAATTCAACTTCTCCAACTTCTTCAAATGTCCAGGTCAGAGAAATGGTGCAGCAGAAGTCCGCAAAATGACATATGCGGACAGCCTGGTCAATGCCCATTCTTGGTTCCGTATGAATTACGGAGTACTGAGATAGTGTCAGATCACCTCCTATTCCGAGATCCATGCGGGCTTCCGACGAGAATCCCAGCCGCATGCCCCTTCTCCCCTCGGGACCCGTTCCCAGAATTTACTGTTGCAGCAATTATATTATGTCTCTCCCCTTCTGCAGGGATGTGCAGTCAGTCAGAATCATTCGGCCGCTTGACAATCTAAAGTGGAAAGATGGTGGTGAGGCATTCATTGACATCCATGCGAATGGTAAAGGTATTAACATTCAGCGTTGGCAGAACGTTGAGAATCGCGTTGCTGTAGTTGGCGCTGGCCCTGTTGGCCTATTTACAGCCCTTGTTCTTGCGAAAAGCGGAATAAATGTCATGGTCATCGAGGCAGCCGAGGGCATCAACCAGTCTCCTCGTGCGGTAGCGTGAGTTACGCACCCTGTCCACCTTCAAAAACCAGGTGATAACTTTTTCGAAGTTACTTCCCTCCAGTCCTCGAGGAATTTGCTAGGGCAGGTATTATCGACGATGTGATCGCTGCGGGAGAAAAGAATGCAGACGGCTGTGATTGGAGAACGGCAGATGGTGTTAAGATCTCTGGCATTGATCCGCCTCCAAATGATGCCACTTTTGCCGTGTGCCTTTCTCAGCCAGAACTGGGCGAGATCCTGAGGAAGAGGCTTCTTGAGACTGGAAACGCTAAGATTCTTTTCAATCACGAATTTCAGCGGTTAGAACAACGTGAGGAATATGTTCTGTTTTGGACCAAGCAGGGCAGCGACATCACCGAACATACTTGTCGATACTTGATTGGAGCAGATGGCGGACGTAGCTCTGTGAGACAAAGTCTTGGCATCCATCTCGAAGGCTATACATTCGAGCAGCTACAATTCGTTGCTATCAATTTCCAATATAACTTACGCGACTCAGGGTGGAAGGCGGCAAACTTCATCGTGGATCCTGTCGACTGGGGAATCGTTGTCAAACGTGGCAAAGGGACAAGCTGGCGATTTGCCACGGGCATCCAGACGGATTCCCAAGCAAAAAATACACTGGACGAAGCCACTATCGCTGTGGTCAAGAAACGTTTATGTCGCATTCTTCCGGGAGATACTAGTGAGATCCAGTACGAAGCCATGGCCCCATATGTTGTGCACCAACGATGTGCGAGTCGCTTCCGCGATGGAAATGTTCTTTTAGCAGGTGACGCTGCTCACGTATGTTTCCAGTCCATGGGACCCGTTCTCATGAAATTTCCGCTGACGAACCCGCATAGCTCAACAACCCTGTTGGAGGCCTTGGCCTAACAACCGGCTTCCTCGATGCAGCTCATTTGGCCAAAGCTTTGAAAGAAGTCCTTTTACAAGGAGATCACCCCGATGTTTTGACAACTTATTCCGATGTTCGGCGCCGAATCTTTCTCGAGCGGACTAGCCCTTTAAGCACTTCTAATCTACGCAGGCTGTTCTCACAAGATCCTGAAGATATTAAAGAAAGGAAAGAAGCGTTTGCTAGACTGAGAGATCCGAAGGACTTTGTCGGGAAAACACAGATTGGACTCCCAGACTTTTGTCTTAGTAGTACATCCGACAAATTCTTTGATACCTATGGAGAGGTAACATGGTTCATATCGGTCACGCGTATTCCGGAGTGGACACAAGAAATGTTCGTGCACGAATACAAGGTTGTCCACGCCGATATGACTCGCAAGGGCGCTGAGAAGTCTCCCGTTATTCGTCGATATGTGCAACTCGAAAATTTGCGAAAGTCGGTCTCAGGAACGGAGACTCCTCATTGGGATTACGTGACTTGCCTTACATGGCCGAGTCTATTTATTATTAATGTTGGATTGCAAACCCCAGATTATCGTGAGACTGCTGGCAAGCATATATTCTGCCGACTGGATCAGGAAGGGTGTCTCATGACTCAGATGGACAAATACCGGAAGACTCATAAACCAGCTAAACCAGCTGAAGTTGGTCCTGTTCAGTGTCTAATTTATCAAATCAGGCAGAACTCCAAGGACGAGTTTTCTTCAGAGTGGTTTCTGGAGCGGGCTGCTAAACTGAAAAGTCTTTCAGCGTCCGATAGTCGGCCACGAGAATATACTTTGTGGCGAGATGTGACCCCTAAAACTGCTAACTACTTCCACGAGTCGCAGTTCTCTGGTGGATCTTGGCTTCAGTACAAGGCGCTTGAAAAATTCATTTTTGAGAAAGAAGATGACGCTGTTTCGTTCTTAAAGGAGCACAACCATGACATCTTCGGGGGTGAATCAGGAAGAACACAAACTGTCATTGGGCTACCAGATGTTATCCTTTAGCTTGAAACTATCTTTGAATTTGCGAATATTTTTCTTCATGGTTACCTTACGGCCAGTGCTTATGCTGTCATATAAATTTAATCGAAGTACGGTGAGGTTCGCCAATAGCTCAATTTTCTTTAGTCCCGGAGGTATCTTGACCTCAAAAAATAGAATAGAAATTTGGATATTAAAGATTCTACAAACCGAAGATGAGTATTGTGGGACGTGACTGCTGCATACGGTTCATTGCTGGAATAACTTCCGACTGGAATGCAGGCACATCCCCAGCTCGAGTTCCCGCCGATGCTATCTCATTGTCGAGCACTGCCCTTAACCTTATTATTGAGCTTTATAACGTGTTGCATAACGTGGGTTAAACAGTGGGCAGGGAACCTAGTAGTATGAGAGCAAAGAAGTAAAAGTATTTATCCCAAGGAAAAATTTCTAGACATTCAAATCAACAGAAGGTTTTATGCTTCGCGCCGAGCCATATACGTCTTCAAGGCCAAGAGAGTTTAACTATAACGGTAGAACAAGCATAAGCTAAGATTAAAGGGCCTCCTTTGTCACTCCCCTACCTCGCGATCTACATCCCAGTGAAGTAGCTTTTTAATGAATCCCCATTGCCACGTCGCATGCCGAAGCTGGTATCCACAGTAGTAGAACGGGAAAACGCAGATAAACACAGCGGCAGATAGACCCGCCAGGGTACCGAAAACATGAATGTATCCAGACTCATCAATCCACTGATCAACATAAAAGCTGAGCAAGAATCCGAATAGAGCTATGACACACAATTTAACTACCAATCTTGTAACATCGAGAGGGTGCCCCTGGGAAGACGAACCTTTGAACACAGACTGAGTGACGATGACCTCGCCGGCAATTGGACGATATGAGTCCACAATATATACGATGGCAATATTAGTTGCCTGGACGGTCGTGAAGTTGACTGAAGTGTAGTAAGTTAGCATTGGCTAATAACAAAATATAAAATAAATCAAAAAGCCGCGTACCTAAGCCAATTCCAAAAACCGCACATATCCAGTGGAGCTTCTTCCCACAACCAACTCCGTACAATATACATGCCAATGGGGAGATAATGAGGCTTACTGCAAGTGCAGGTAGCCGCATTTCGGGAGTTCTCATCCCTTTATTTCGCAGCGTCAATTTGTCGGCTATGTAATCAGTCAAATGGCCGCCCACAAAGATCGCAAGCAAAGAGCCAATGATGGTGGATATGTATGTCAAGCCAGATTGCCAGGTCTCAAATCCGTATATTGTGGAAAATGCCGTTGAGAAGTTGGCAGAGATGACAACAATCATACCGATGGTGACAGCTGATTAGCGTGGCCCAGAGCACCGTTGGGAGAGTGATAGCAATGACTGGCCGCATAGCCAGCACAAAAAATGACTCATGTGTGTACGTTGTAGAAAATATACGTAGGTTCTGTGTGAAGCTTCGCTTCGGCGGTACCACCACGTCTACCTCTTCGGTATGGCCCGCGCGGAGCTTTGCATTTTTTTCAACTCCTTCGACTTGATCGACCACCGGCTCCCGGATATAACTTGTTTCAGGGAATGTAAATATGACCAAAATAGTGACGACACCAAGAAGCGCGGTGGAAAGCCAGTAAATTGCGCGCCAGCTATTGTGCATGGTGATTAGGCCTGATATGACCACTCCAGCACCGACACCACAGGACAGGGCACATGTATAGATCCTAAATTCTAAGTCAAACGCATTCAACCAGACTTGAAAAATTGGAATGTCAAACAATCGGCCACTTACACCATCATAGTTCCCCGCTGATGGAGAAAGAATATATCGGCCAAGGTGAGAGGTGCTATAATCTCCGGAGCCCCGCAAGCGGTACCCAGAATGATTCTGGCAGCCAGCTCACTCTCGAAACTCTTTGCCACACCACACCAAACAGAGCATACAGTGAGGAGGAGGAATGAGGCAATATATACCGGCCTCTTGCCGTATTTTGTAGCCAACGGAACCCAGAAAAGGTTCCCGACTCCAATCATCAGCGAAGTAGCTGTCTGAAAGTATGAGGCCTTCCCGGAGATATCTTTTGAAAGGTTTGGACCAGCTCCAAAAAAAGAGATAGCAATAGATGCAAGTGCCACCGATGGTCCCACGGCCACGAAATTCACGAGGAACATGCCAACGGACACAAGACCTAGAAGATAGTACTTTTGCGCGGTCGACCTAGGTAGGGTTAAACCGATTCCTTATTGAATTCTAATCCATAGCTTAGGTAACTTACCAGTTCAAAGGGTCATTCGGGTCTCTAGAAGGTGTTGGAACAAGAATAACCTCGTTGGTCTCCTCGTGACGGAGCTGGACCGACCCGAGGGTCTGCGTTGAAGGCTTACTCATGACAGCTAGACACAGGTGGAGAGATGGTCGAAAGTTTCTCTTGCTACTTCAGTTATGCTCTCTATAATATTTCCTAGGATTGCCTTATCTATTAAATGATAGACCTAATGCGATGTTCAAGTCGCTCAGCCGGGATGCCTACAGGCTACAATGACGACCCGCAGACTTGACATAGGCCGAGCCTACTCCACTTCCCGATAACGGAATAGATATCCTCGCTTGCCATTTGATATAGGTTCGTCAGATTTGAGAAACCTTGTTACCCTGCATAAGGGTGGGAATTTTTACCGAGCTTGGAGATTTAGCTCAATGCCTGCAAAATGATTAGTGGACGGTTGACGGTGGGCCTGGTTACTATTGGAGAAAAGGCTACTTCATGGTTCTTTCGTTTTCCCGGAACTTGGTAAAACCTCACGACCTAGACGCTGGATCTTATCCACATAGATCGTTCTGGAGGTCTCCACTCGACATAATGATAGCTGTTGGATCCTCCACTTTTGGAGTCTATGGAAAATTCCATTTGTGGCAAGGGTAAAAGATTCTGCTCCGTAAGCCCGCTATAAACCCCACATCCAAAAAGTACAGAGTAGATAAAATGAAACACCCCAGTGCGGTCATTATTGGAAATATTAGTTCCTTTCGTGTGTCGTGTGCTGTTTTCGGATACTGGTTGTTATTCCACCGGCAATCCGCTCGGTGGCTGCAAGGAGTTCCGGCATTCCGATAGTTTATATTATAGGTCTAAGCTGTAACCTAATTTCCCCACAGAATAGTTATAGTAAATTGGGAAATTACAGGTGGGCGGCCAATAGGAAAGCTTTTATTAGATTACGTGCCCGGAAGACCTTCTTTGTGCCGCGTTGGCTACAGGAGCAACGGCATGGTTAAGCATGCGGGAAAGCTTGTGGAGCCGAGAAACTATCATCTCGCCAGGAATTCATTATTCATGATGCCGATCTCAATATGGGGATCGTGGGCTATGGAACAGGTTCTTCTACGCAGTATTTCGCCTATAACTAGAACTCCGGTTTACTGTACATTGAGGTCCTCATAACAAAGTCAGAAAAGGTCAAATTTTCTCATATTACGCAAGATGAAAGTCTTTCTACTTCTTCTACAGCTTGCGCCGCTTATTTCTGGGTCAATTGTTATCAATGAACCAAGCGATATTATTCCTGAGCAACAATGGAGCTCCGACAATGCAATTAAAGCCGATTATGATATTCCGGTTATATACTACCAGACAATCGCCAACATCGCTCCATACATTGTGGCGCACCAACGGAAGACATTTCAAAATGCGGTTTTGAAAGACAATAGCAACGACACTAGTGTCTTGATTGCTGCCAACGGTTCTGTGGTCCATGTGATAGACACTGAAGTCATTAAGTTTGGATACTCCAGCGATCTCATCCAGGCGAGCTTCTTCGGAACGAACGCAGCAGTTCTTGCTGCCAATCACAGTCAACTCTACCTATCCGATGTGAACATCACCACTCACAACGGTGCTGCCAATATTTACGCCTATGGCACTGATACCGTTGTCGACGCAGAAAATATCTGGTTGTATAGCTCGGGTCCCACAGCTCATGGGCTATATGCGAGCGGAAACGGTACAATCAATGCTCGAAATGTCCAAGTTTTCAGCGGAGGAAACCGTTGCTCTGCCTTCTCTGGGGATAACCCGGCAGGGTACATATACATTCGTGACTCTGTTGCTCGCACCGCGGGAATAGGATCTGCAGTTGGGTTTGTCTTGGGAGAGATGAACTTGACAAATGTGGTTGGTTCTGCGGAGAGATCGCCAGCGTTCTTCACTATTGGTGGGGCTGTTGGCTCTTGTACAAACTGTGAACTCACTGCTGGACTTCTTGCTGGCTTGGTCATTTTCGGTTTAGACAAGAGCTCTGGCGTCAATTACTTCAGCCTGGATCACACCAAACTAACTATCACTGATGAGACTGCTCCTGCCCTTTGGTTTGGCGGTGTTGTTGGGGAGGTATACGTCCGACATACCGAGCTTGTGACGAGTTCCGGTATATTGGCAGTAGCAAATTACTCAACCATCACTCAGGAATTCAACTTCTACGCGGGTTACTATGACGACCCGAGCGCGGTCAACACTGCAGATGGCCGAGTCTTTGTGGAGGACAGTACTCTGACAGGTGATCTCGTTGCCTTTAACGGCAGTACCCTGGGGTTGCACCTTACCGACAACTCGTTTTGGACGGGCAAGGGCTACATTGGGTATGGAAGTGCAGACTTGGGTGTGGTCTTAGATGCATCCAGTGTTTGGAACTTGACAGGCGATACGGCGCTGCTGAACCTGACCAATGCCGTCACTACATTCTCCAATATTCGGAGCAATGGATTTTCCATCACTTACAATGCTAGTGCACCGGCTAACCGACCCTTGCGAAGCCGTACATTCAAGCTTGAGGGAGGAGGCACTGTCTCACCCATGTCGAGAAAGTGAAACCATCACAGGGACAACAGTTGCAGACGATCGAGCTAGACGACTGATGTTATGGAGGGACCTGTACATATTGATATCGTGGAGTTATTAACCCACAATATGTTAGGAGCCTGCATCGCATATATATCTTCGATCAGCCCTATATTATTGCCCAAAGGCGCTCCTCTATTTAATGAAGTTCACCCTCGTAAATTTTGGCTCCTGTTCAACTAGGCCATACTCATTACCGGGATGTACCAGCGCAGAGTTTGGAAGTGGAGCAGATAGAGCCTCAAAAACCTTTATTTCACGTGGAATAGATTTTGCAATGTTGACATTGACGACATATCGGTGTAGATGAGAAGAATGGAATAACTCAGAAATGCTTATTCGAAATAAAGAGCAACCTTGAAAGCTCGAAAAATTCAAGGGGCCATTTAAAGCCTGGCATTTACCACACAAACTACTCCGTAAACATACTAAACCGTTCAGCTGCCAAGACTCCTCTGTACAGTCCCCGAGTGGCCCCCACGGGGCAACAAATCTCACCTGCAGTCTTCCTCCCCGAAAATCGGACCAGCGAATCAACTAATCCAGAGTAGCGTTCATGAGTCGTGCATGTTTGCTTGTCGGAGCACAGTACCCCCATAGAAGAGCAGGCTATATCTGCAGCCATGCAGCCAGGTCCCCGACTTCGCCGTTCCCCTGCCTTTTGCTATTTTGGGGTCCAAAGAGGCTAATAAGAGGTGCACTGGTTGGTTGTCGATATGCAGTATAAGCAGGATTCTATAGGGAGCCAGCGCCACGTGTGTTCCCCTTTCTAAGAGATGCATGATACACAGCCTCTACCATCCTATATTAGCCTTTTTATGGGCAGCTTATTTTAGGACCTGTGGAGAGCCGCATAAGCACCCAACCTGGAATAAGATAGGTATATAAACTCTACAGTTTGGCTAATCTCGACGTTTGTGTTTGAATATTATCAAATTCTCTCTTTCACGGTATCTGTCGCTTCAGTCTCTCGACTTTTGCAGCTCTAAGTGGCATCCGGGTAGCAATGGTGCACTCGAGCTCCCGGTATTATTACGATACACTCGAACTAGAGACAGCAGGGGATGGTAAGTGTAATTCACTCATCTATGCTCCACCGAATTATGAAACGAATCAAAAACATAAACTAATCATAGTCAAGATGAACACCGAAATGATTGCAACCAAATCGAGTGGCCCTTGATGGACGACGACGATTTCTACAAATGGTCAAGACGAGCCCTAGTCATCGTCGCATATATCGTCCTCGTGATCGCTGCCATAAACATCGCCGCCATCGTCGGTCTTCTCATTTACCTCTTGGTAAACCCAAACACCTCCACCGACTCAGAGTTCGCCTTGTACAAGAATACCCGCTTCAAAGAGTGTGCAGCCGTGGTTCCGGACGCATCCAACTGCAGTGCCATCCTGGCCGCCTGGGCAAAGGACGACAATTACGGAAATAGGCCTTACTACGCAAGTCTGGGACGCTATTATATCATGGGTACGAAGGTTACAGCCGAAAACAAAGTTTCGTATGACTGGTGTCAGACCGTTAGTTGTTTTAACGACTACAAGGTTATTCCGTCGTCGGCGAATGACTCTGCTTTGGGCCGTACTGCCTTGAAGAGCTGGTGGGTTGTCATTATGAACGCGTGGGGAACCGTTTGGAATTTGAGAAAGGCGTCGCCCTGGTTCCGTCCGAATCCTGGAAGCGCGGATTGTCGCGGGTTTCGAGACCTTGGAATTATCGACTGGGTGCTCCTTATATATTCTCTCGCTGGACCTATTATTGGTTGGTGGGTGTCTTTCGCCGATTCGGTCATCAATCCTATTCCATGGCCGACACTCAATGTGATTGCCTGGTTGACTACTTGGAGATACTCGAGTACTCTTCTATATCATCCATACTCGTGCATCTTAGCACGAGTTCCAAAGGTCGCCCGTGTCCTACCATGGATATTCGGCATATTGGCAGCTTTGCAATGTGCCGCCTCATTGTACAGCGCAGAGACAGGCGAAGCTATGAGCGGAGGCACGAAAAAGCTCTATGACAGCTATACGTGCTTAGCAGCACAGGTTTCAGCTGCGCCAGGAACATCGACCTGTTCTGCAGAAGAAATCTGCTCGAAATCATGGCTGTTCAGTGCACCGTATTTCATCATGCCCGGAGATGTGGGCAAAGGATTACCATTTGGGCTCCTTGTATCAGCTCTAGTCGTCGCTATTGTGGTGCCGGTCTTCTTTGCTTCGTTCAAAATCTTTAGCAGCACCGAGAGATCTTTTAAACGGTACTATAAAATGTGGTCGCCGCTGATCTGGCTGTCATTTTTGGCGATAGTCACTGCGTTTATAGCCGGCGTGGAGTATCCGATAGAGCTTGGGAAGGCTTGGAATCAGAGGAAGGCTGATGCACTCGTTGCATATGATGTGGAGTGCCATGTTGCTCACGTTGCATTGAGTCCTTGGAGATTCTATATGGACGTGGATAAATACTCACGAGCATTGCGAGTCGTCAAATTATGGTTTAGTGTTTAGGGAAAGGGGTTCTATACGACTCATAGAGGTCGTGATTCTTCATTTCTTACGCTATTTTGAACTTCCCTTTCGTCTTCTTCTCAGTCTTCTTTTTACTCCTCGTTTTTGTTATCTCTCTGATTCTCTTTTTTGGTCTCCTCTTTGGTCCTTTTTGGGGGTTTCTTGGTTTTCCGCCCTCGGATTTAATAACTATATCCCCAGCGAAAAAAGTACAGCATCCGGCTATAGAGCAGGGTAGCAGTAGAGCGCTCTGCTCAATAGCCTCGCGCTTTGAATACATCTCATACATATGAACCGTCAGTGTCACCATAACGAGAACAAATGCATCGTTGGAAGTTCGTTTTCTAGTTCACTATTTATATAAGGCAAAAGAAGTCATGTAACTAGTAGATAGCACTTGATTTGATAATACAATGCAATTTTACGCCCTGATTTAGTCCATACAATGAACCACATAAGAGGAGAGCACTCATCGATCTATCTATCTACTTAATAACACAATGGACGGACTCCAACAGAATAGATCCAATATCATACAGAAAAACACACACATTGCTTCCATCCTAAAATCTCGAATTTTAGTAGGAAAGAAGGAATCTACTCCTTGAAAGTAGCCTCGTATCTGCAGAAAGAAAGACAATATTAGCATCGAAACTCAAAAAACAGGTACCAGCTGGACTCAAGGCTAAAACCTCGGGGTGAAAGGAGAAGGGAAATAATCAAGTAACTCACCTCTTGCCACGGAAACCCCACACTCCCCAGTTTCCGCACGACACATCATGCGGATCCATATCATTCAGATCCCAGCGCAGACTGCGGAAGACATTCTCACCAGGCTCGAGCAGGATATCGAACTCACCGGCACACTTCTCGTGCACCCAGTTAATATCACGCTCCATATCCCACTGCGTGTAACCCGTGCACAAAATCGGCACCTTAGTCTCCAACAGTTGGGGGAGGGTTTTGGCCCACTCGTGTGACGAGGCCGGGTGGCCCAGACCAGGGTGGAACAGCATGAAGCAGTCAAGATAAGGGTCGAAAGGCTGGAAGTACTGCGCCTCGTACATGGTGTGGAAGTAGTCGACGTAAGTGGTGATCTTCATCTGGCCGCCGAGACGGTCCTCAACGATGCCGCCGAAGGGGTTAGAGGGTGTGCGCTCGGGGAGAGGGAACTCTGCATCGCGGTTGGCCATGGCTTCGGGGCCGATGAAGACTAGGTGCAGCAGGGCGCGGGGGAACATGTAGGAGAGCTGGAGCCAGACATCGCGTGGCAGGGATGACTCGGCGCGGGCACCGAGGATGAAGATGCGGACTGGAGGAGCCTTGAGGCGCAGACCCTTGACGTCGATGTCTTCGCCGGTCTTGGGCGGGTGGAGGGAGTAGCGGAGAGCTAAAAGAATAGATCAATGGCTGTCAGCAGGTTGTACCTTTTCAAATAACGTCATTTCAAGTGGACGTCATGGCATACCGCTCAAACTCTTCAATCCCTCAGCCGTCAAACGGTTCTTTCCCCGAACACTGTACGGGCTCAGCTCATGCAGAACGCTCGCAATAGTCTGCGGATACGTGAGCATGCGGGTAACCTGACGCATCGAGCGATCCGAATTGATAGCCTCAAATTCCCGGGTATACATATAGGTATCCCAATTGGTCATGTTAATCACAAAGTTATCATCCTGCACACCAGGGTACGAGAACTCGGGGAAGAACCGGCCAGAGTTCAAGTCATGGTCATCCTCATTGATCTGGCGAATCGTGTCACAGACTTCAAGATGGGCCTCGAAATCGTCCATCCAGTGACCCTCAGAGCAGTAGATCGGGACGCCGCAGTCGGGGCACTCGAAATGCGAGTGAGCTGGCGGCTGGCTGGTCTCGTCGGCGACGGCGGTTTTGCGAGCTTCCGGATCGTGCGGGGAGGATGGGGCACGGGTCTGTTGGTGACTTGGGTGTGGGCAGAAGGCATTCTGCTTGATGAAGGCGGCGCGCTGGCGAATAGTGGACGAGGGCGAGTTCGAGAAGGAGTGGAAGAGGTTGTTTGGTTTCAGGAGGGCATGCGAGTCGATGGAGGTAGAAGCTGCGCGCTGGGAGAAGGGCTTGGAGGCCGATGCGGATGGCTTTGCAGGCTGGGCAGATTTGGTAGACACGCCATTACTCTGTTCTGCAGCTTTGAGGCTCAGAGAGCGGTTGTTGCTGCGCTCGGAGCCGAAGCTGCGAGCCCACGACGGGGAGACGGTGCATCGCCGGCGGGAATGAGCCAGGCTCTGCAGACGAGCTGGAGAACCGGCGGCGCGGACGCCTTGCCGGAGCACCTGAAGGCATTGAGCACAGGTGTATCCTCCTGCCATTGTTGATTTTGGTGGTGAAGGTGGAAACCAGCGGGCTGGTCTGGCCGTTTTTCCAGCGGAGGTGTCTGGCACGTGACTGACATGTGGAGAGTTGCATGATCCATCGGACGACGGTGTATCGTCGAGATCTATAGCTGAAATTGACTATATCTTGGGAAATCAAACCGAATCTTTAGTACAGGAACACTTATAGCTTAAATCTAAATTGATATTGAGAGCACAGTGCTATCGACAAGAACTCGCGTTGCGTCGTGTATGTATTCATGAACGCTGCCAAAGAATAAGAGTCTTGTACAGAGCGAAGTCGAACTTCACAAAGAGAACCCCCAAAAAAGAAAATTACAACAAGATACACGGAGAAGGTATAAGTCACAGCGCAGGAAATTTCCAGGGGAGAATGCAGTGGCCAAAATCCACGACTCGATTAGAAAATATCCTCCGACCGACTCCAATCATGAGCCTCTCTGCTAGCCCAGTAATTGCCATTATGAGCCCAGAACTCCTCCCCAGTCGTGGGACATCTATCACGGATGAACCACTGGGGCTTATAAATTTCACCACTGGCCTCACGTTCCTTCCTCTTTGCACGCTGCTTCTCCTCGACGCGGTGCTTCTCGGTGGCAGCAAGGTCATACTCGCCATCTTCCATTGCACGCTGGTCAGGACGGAGTCGGGTATCAGTAGGAGGGAGGTGCTCCCTCAATCCCGTGGGCAAGGCATTCAGAGTAATGACGAAGGGTGTCAGGTTGAAAGGTATACCCGTTGGACGGGCGTGCGCCTGCCAGACCAACAGGGTCTTGGCCGACTCGGGATCTTGGCCGGAGACGGGGGCTTCGAAGCCGGGGGTGTGGCGAGCGTAGATCTTATCGTTCCAGCGACCACCAATAGTCCATTGGGGAGAGCCGTTGCGATCAACGACCTTACCAGAGACCTGGTAGGCGGAGGAGGCCTTCCAACCACGAGGCTTGAAGTCCAGGTAGCAGACTTCACCAGTGGTCCAGTTCTTGATCTCCATCAGACCGTAGTTATCAACGGTAGGGTTTCCAGTAATAATGCCAATCACAGAAGAGGTGACCTTCTTCCAGGTGTACAGCTCCTCGCCGCCGGTAATAGGACGCAACTTGAGGAACCAAGTGCCGAGGAGGTTGATGTCGAAGGACTTTCCGTAGAACTTGGACTTGAGAGAAGACTCGCCCTATGACGTTGTTAGTCTGGTTTCAAAAGGAGATTTACCTTGCAAGTAGAAACATACCCAGTAATCCCACTTGGGCGACTCAGCCCACGCAGCACCAATTGGCGGGTGGTGGCTAACCTGTTCTACGAAGAACCGGTAGCCCTTGTCGGGCCGTACATACTCAAAAGTCTCACCAAGAAGCGGGTTGAACGGCTTCGCCACACGCCCGATAGTCGAAGCATACTCACTAGCAGCGTAGGAGGCAACATAAACCAGACGTTCCATAGAGTCGGCCCTGTCCGCAGCGATATCAAGCAGGTCGGTATACTCCAGATCCTCCGCAACACGCTGCAGCAAGGAAGTAGGCTCGTTGAAGGACACCGGCAAGGTCATCTTGGTCATATCCTTTCCAATCATGGATTTCAAAATACCCTGAAGAGAGTGGTTAGTGGTCGCTCAAAAATACGCAAGACAGGATATCCGGTAATACATACCCAGAGAGAAATCTTAGGCCTGTCATCGTTGTCCATCTTCAGACGCTCACGCACGGGCTCTTCATAACCCTTGAAAGAACCCTTAACGACAGCGAGCTTGTTCGCGCGAGCCTGAGCGCTCTCGTCCTGAGGCTCCTCGGCTTCCTTGCTCTCTTGGAATTCCTCGATCTCAATCTCACCCGCATCGATAGCATCAAAGAACTCGTCTCCGTCCGATTCAGAGTCATACAGACTACTAATCCGCGACAGAACCGACGGCTTCCGGACGAGAGTAGGTTCGATGGGGGCCTGGCCAGTCTGCTCATCTCCCTCGGTACCTTCCAACTCCCGAATCTGAGGCTGGCTGGACTCCAAAGTTGCAGAACCGTCCATCGGCATGCGAGACGGCGGGCCACTCATCGAGCGGCTACTAGCTGTCGCGTTCTCCAAAGCCTCCTTCAGAGCCTTCTTGGTCCGTTTGCGCTTCTCCTCAGACTCACCCATCTTGGACTGCAATTCCTCATGCTCCTGAGCGACGCGGGCCATGCTTTCTTCCCACATTTGACGGAGATACTCCTCACGGTTCAATCGATACTGCCAGTAGGAATCGCGATCCCGTGAGATCTTCAGGAGATTCTGCACTAGACCCTTGAGGCTGCTGACGGCAGCCTCATAAGCACCTAGTGCCTGCTCGACTGCCGGGTCTGAAATCGACACTTCAGGGTTCTTAGCCCGTTCAGCTTGTAGAGAGGCGGCAACGTTGGCCAGGAGATCCAACTGGAGCTTGGCAGACTGCGCAGTGATGTTGAGGGCATCCTTGTCCTCATTTGGCGCATCCTCGTGGCTGGAAGCATAGTCTCCATAATCATCTTCTTCGGCTTCCCCATCGGGGCCGCTTGGAACATGGCTGGTCACACGGTTCACCTCATTCGGAGATGTACTCTGGTCAACTGAACCGTAGACAGAGCCGTCTTCATCCGCAGGGGTAGTATCAAGAGTAGTGCGCGAAGTATGAGTGCTAAGCCGCGTCATGCTACCGCCAGGAATGCCTAGAGACGGAGGAGCCGAGCCCTTTGTGCTAGGCTTGTGGCTCAGGCCAGATTCAGAGGGAGTCCCCGTGGAACGTCCCTCGGTCTGATCGATCTTTGCCTGACGAAGGGCTTCCGCGTTCTGCGAGCGCTGCCTCTCCTCTTCCTTGGCTTCATCCTTGGCCCATTGGATGGCATTGTTCAATGACCAGAACCAGCGCTTCGCCTCAACAACATGGTTCGCCTTGAGGTGATACTTGACAGAGGACTTGCCGTGAATCTCAAAGCGAGTCTTATCCTGAGCATCCATGCTTAACCGAGCAATCTTCATATTAATAGCTCCACGGCAAGCAGAGCCGATATCATCTGTCGGGAAGAAGATCAGCCACTGCTCGGATGGAACATTGCAGACAAGTAATATCCCAAGACCATCAACTTACCTTGATGCTTATAATAGCTCAGCACACCATCCTCCAGAACAAACCACCGCAACTTATAACCACTCGTATAATTGGTCCACTTCTTAAGATAACCCTTCATCTCGCGGGCATCCTTTCCAGCCAGGGGTGCCTCGCCAATCGAGACACGACCGGACAATCCTTGGGCATTGCTATTCCCCAGGATAGCCTTCTCCTGAATACCGCGCTGGGCAATCGCTGCCGCAGGTGACTTCTTCAGCATAGCCCGCGTCTTGTCATCCTTGGTAACATCTTGCGGGAGCTTCCCCCTTTTATCGCGACGGAACGGATCCGCCCCGTGCGTCAACAGAAGCTCAATAAGCTGGACGTTCTTGTTACGAGCTCCTTCGTGAAGCAAGGTACCGCCAGTCTGCGCAGTAGTCGGGTCCGTGACTAGGTCCAGGCTGTTAACATCGATGATGCCCTCGACGCGGGGCTCCTCGAGCAACTTCTCCAGGTTATCGTAATCGCCCTTGGCAACCAGGGCTTGGATCTCCTGCGTCTTGCTGTCGATGAAAAGCGAGCGAGCAAGCTGGAGTTGCTGGAAGATCTCCGGCGTACGGGCAACATCCAGAGCCGTCTGGCCGCGGTAGTTGACGATCGCATCATTGACAGATGGCCGACTCAGCAAGTCCTTGACGAGAGCGACACGGCCAAGCTGTGCGGCCAGATGCAGCGGAGTATTTCCCTCACGGTCCCGCGCATTGATATCCAAGTCCTCGCTCGAGGACAGTACGAACTCGACGACCTGGGGCTCGGCACACTGCAGGGCCAGGTGGAGGATGGTAGTTCCGTACAAGTTGTGTGCCACTTGAGGATCGCTCGACTCCTTAAGAGCCTTGGAGATGGCAGTAGTATCACCACTCCGCAGGATCTCAAACAAACGGAAGGTCCGCACTGACTGATCAAGAGACAAGCTGCCACTCTCGGTCAGCGTGACGGAGGGCACTTGTTCCATGGTGTTGGCGTTGACGTCGCCGTCGGTACTTTGGTAGCTCGTGTTGGAGGGGTGTGCTCGAGGAGGGGTTCAGGAGGAGAGACGGTCTTCTTTCGGCTCAGGCGGCTGCGGCTGGTGCTGCGGTGGTGGGTTAACGGCGAGCCATTCGACGAGGCCGTGCCGACTGAAGCGTTGTCGGTACTATCGTCTGTTTCTTTGTCTTCGCCCTTGGACTTGTCGCGATGCAGGAGGGCAAGCGCCAGGGCACTGCGGGAGCGCTTGTGCCTACGAAACGGGGCCATAGTCAGTAAGCTGCTTCACATGTGATAGGCTCGCGATGTGGTTCGCTGGCCGCTGGTCGCTCATCAAATTAGACTAGAGCTTGAATTTGGGGAGTTCCTCTGCAGCCCTAGTCTTCAAATAGCCATTGTATCACTCGGATTTCCATGCAGGAAGTCAGAGAAGCTGTCATGGCCGACCGCGGGGACACAGCGAACCATGGGTCCCTGCGTGGAAAGTCCGGAGATGTTGCGGTTGCGGTGTTTATTGTGTTGTTAAGGGGGAGAAGATCCGGGGATCATATGTATAGCTGGACTCACCCTTCAGGTCTGTCGGACATGGTTGAGGAGGTTCTTGGGCACAGATTGCAGTGAACCCTGAAGCTAGGAAGAAAATCGACCGTAGCCCTTGGCTTGTTTTAAGGAGGGGGAGAAAGCGAAAGCCAAAGCAACGCAGATCGCTCCGCCTTGGCACGGCGGCGCAGCGCTCTATACTAAAACATAGTCCTTACTTACTCCGTACTCCGACCTCCTACTGGCTGGCCTCTTGTCTTTTCCTTTCTATTGCGTAGTTCTTGCAGATTTGCATGGTCGATCTTGATGATCGGAATTTCAAATCGTCATTTCTCTAATAATGGTACAAAGGAAGATAGTAATACTGTGTATCCCATCTCCAAAGGGAGACTCGAGTCTCGAGTACACACCCCGTAGAAGCAGTAAATATTATACAAAAGCAGCCTCGATACACTCTAGCCCATCTATCTCGTCTCGCCACTCACCAACACAACCACACTCCCCAACTGCCGCCGCAAATCCTCCTTGTTCACATCGTGAGTATCCTCAACCTCACCCCACATATCCGTCTGCCACTTGACCTCCAAGTTGGCCGCCTCAGTCGCCTCCTCAAGACCAAACTTCTTGGACGAGTGCTTCTGAACGTGTCGGAAGTTTTCACTCCACTCGACCATCAGCCGCACAGCGACCAGCAAGCTCTTGGAGGCAAGGATACCTCGCTCCAAGCCCGCCAGATCATGAGCATCCAGCTCAGACACCCAAGTACGGATGCTATCCTTGGTCGCTTGCGGCTGGGACACGGGGAGGATGCTCTCTGCGTCGAGGATGGGCACAATCTCCAGACCAGGCCAGACCTTTGTAGACAGGAAGCTCATAATATCCCCAGAAACCCGCATCTGAATATCGCGTAGACTCTCAGTCTTCTCTTCCTCGCCGACACGGTCCAATGCGCGGTTCGTACGCTCGGGCTCCCAGCACAACAGCGTGTCGGTGTCCAGGTACCGCATGGCGGTGTTGATGATTTGGTCGCGGGTGGTGCGTTCACCCTGGGCATCTTCGCGGACGATATCCGAGGCGCGGGCAGCGAGGGAGGTCAGGGGGATGAGGTGGCTCTTGAGCGCCTGCTGGGCGGATGTCATGACATCCCACTCGAGGGCGACGGCATGAGCTAGTTGAGGCTTTGTTGGGGGAATGGAGAGGATATCCTTGGTGGGTGTTCTGACGGGGCGCTTGTCCAGCAAGACCTGGTATTCACCTGTCAAATAAATAGAACTGTTAGACTTGGTCTCTTTTTCCCAACCTCTAAAGTTCGACAGCCATGCGAATAGCACATCCTAGTCTCGGTCCTACACATACCGGGCTTCCCGTGAACATGAACATCCTTCCAAAAGCGCTTCTTCAACACGGAGGGCTTCTTGAATTGTGACAAATCCCGACCCTCCGTAGGCGTTTGTGTCTCTGTATTCTCTGTAAACTCGGGCGCAGGCGCAGGAGCCTTGGGTGGCGGACCATGAGCCGTGACGGGGTGCGCAACGGCGGCCCTCAAGGGCGATGAGTGAATGTGGCGGCACAGGGGGGCATTCTGCCTCGTGATAGTGAGAAGACGTGCCGAAAAGGCAGTACGCGAAAGACTGGCCATTGCTATAAAGTCAAGGCTGGATAGGGCGAGGTAGTCGAGACGAAACTCGGGGAGATGGCAAGTCGGAACTTTTTGCGGTCTCGGCCCGCCGAGAATTGGTCCGCGCTTTTCTGAGTTACCGCATTGAAGAAAGATACGGACCTCGATACGTCTACTTTGACTACATCTTGGACCTAAGAGTGTTGGATAAACCATTATGTTGCTAACTTCATAATTCTCGGGATACCTACTGTTCATTGCGAATCACTGAGTGGCTTTCATCTTGCTCGGATTTTAGCCGTGGAAACAGCCCATCATCCCGAGACTCCATACAATAGTCCCCATCATACGGATCCATAAAGACTTCCACACTGAAAGCATCTGGCGGGGTTAACTACATAATTGCATCGAAGCAGAGTGTTTTAATAGGCGCGCATGTACGATGACAACACCTCCAGGCAACCCATCTAGAGCTAAACTCTCTCCGCGGCATACTACTGGGTACCTCTCTACTGGATACTAGGAAGGACAAAAGAGCGGAGCTCCGTTCAACGGGTATTCCAGCAGATTATGGATTATTGAAAAAAAGAGAGAGAAATTACTTGTAACCCGAGAGGAAAATCAGATAATAAAAAAGTGAGAATCAGAGAATCAGATTAACCTCCCACCTCTGCATCTAGATCATTTTCCTTCCCCCCAAAGAGAGATAAGAAAGAAGTGAACTCAAAATCAACAAATATTGCAATGCGATCCCTAGAAGTAAAAAAAAAGAGAAAAGAACAAAAAACGAAGAGAGAAATGGCTCAGGGGAATCAAATCAGCTGAAGCAGCACATCGAGATGCAGAGCACGCGAGAACAAGTGCAAAACGACGAAACCCGCCCATGCTTTTGTAATTTACACAAGAAGCGAAAAAAGTAAGGTAGAGAAATGGGAAGAGACGAAAGAGAAACACAAAATAAAAAGAAGAAGCCTTCAAAATATCAAGGCTGGCCACCCTTTTTTGTTTTGGAAACCAATCATGCGCAAAGAAGAGGGATGAAGAGAAGTTAGGAAGGGAAAAAAGGTCAAGCAGTGGGACGTCAATCAAGGTCGTACTACCACGCATCAGGGTTCTGTCGGATCTCACAAAGCTGGATGTAAGAGGGGGAGAGGAGAAGCAGGGTCTCTCGTCGGATTGGTAGATTCCCCAGTCGTCAGTTTCTGAATCAATGCCCGGTATAGGGGAGCATTTGGGAGAACTACAAGAATCAGGGTCCGCGGAGAGTATTCGCGCTCTCTCTCGATCCATGCAGGGCTGCAAAATAACTTGCAACACCAAAAAAAAAAACATTTGGCAAATGAAAAAAAGGAAGATTCTCAAATAAAAAGCAGAGCAATGAGAAAACGAGAAAAATAAAGATCCAAGGTAAAGCGCTGGACGCATCTAGAATCGCGGACCGAGACACAAAAACGGAATTTCAAGTCGGACATGGTCGAAACAATGGTCGTCACGGCATTTCATCGTAAAAGACAAGACAAGAGAAAAGACGAGTCAGTAGTAGCCTGGGAAGTGCCTGTCTGCCAGTAGAAAAGCAAAGCGGAATCAGTAGCTGCTGCGCGCTGGGGACCAGCCAGCCGGGAGTTCCGTCATGCATGCAACGCGACAAGAGGAAGGACCCAAATCCTCAAAATATGATCCGAGTCCCCCGAATTTAAGCGGGGTGAGTTAAAAGGCGTGCATGGTCCCCGACATCTGGAGATGCAGTAGGCACATGCTAGCCAGAATAGAGGTGGAAAAGGAAAAGTCGCAAGCATGAATCCAGTCCGATCTGGTCTAGTCGGGAAGAGACCTAAGTGGTAGTCTTCCGGCAGACAATCGCACAAGCGACCTACTTATTTGGTGAGATAGCTGGGGTAGTAGGGCTGTTTTATGCGATCGGCATCTGTGCGTTTCTTCATACGCTCGGCGTCATAATCATCGGCACCATCACGGCTACCCCATGTCGTCTAAGAAGGAGAATTAGCACTTGGACGGTGGTTTTTTCGGGAAACACGGAGAAAAGCATAAATGGTCACGAAAAAAATGAAAGCGTCAAAGATCCAGCCAATGAAATGACTCGATTCAAGGTTAAGAGGGAATTGGACTCGCACGGGAAGAGGGGTGGATAAAGCCATCTGCAAGAAGGAGGAGTCGTGATCAAAGCGTTTTGATGCTGGCGTGTCGGAGAGGGGAAGGGAAAAAAAAGTGAGGGGCTCGGCGAGAGAGACGCAACACTAAACTTCTCCCAGCTCGACCCGCAAAAGCCACAAAAAAACAGAAGTGACCACGAAATGCAGAAAAAAAAAGAATGGAAAAGCATAAACCCAGATAAAATGACTTACCACATTCAGAGTCATAACCGCGTACATCTTAATGGCTCCGTGGAAATATCCGAACAAAATCGACACGGGCAACAGGAACACATCAACTGGATAGCGGATATAGTGTCCCAGCAATTTAATCCACTTGCTCGTAAACATCCACAGATACAGCGAGGTCATGGCGCGATCATGCGAGACCTCGCCCCATCCCACACTAGCCTTGTGGCATAGCCAAACGAGGAGCAAGTCGCCGAGTAGCGCCGGGGGCGACAAGGTGGTCAAGTGTACCGCATAAGCACTCCATGGTTGGCGACTGTAAGATGGGTTGGTTAGCTGCGGCTGAAAATGATAAAAAAGATGGATGGCGAAACAGTCAAAAGGTGGCAAGATCAGTATATCAATGGAACGATGCAATGTCATCAAAATAACACAATCACAAGGACCCAAAAAAATCACAAAATGGGAATATGATTAGGGTAGAAAGGCCGAGGGCCAATGCGGTTCCCGACGAGGTTCACAAAGAATTCTCCGGCGCCACCGACGGTACTTTTGTTCGTCTTTGCCCACCTATCGGGCTTGGGTGATTGTAGCAGCAGAAGGATTGTGTTGGCGTGCTCGGCTGGCAAGGACACTCTCATTTCAGGAGAGATAAACAATCCTTGAAGGAGAATCATCCAGAGCCCGCGTATAGATGACCAAAAACTCGGATAGTGTGTAAAGGACAGGAGGCTCCCAATTGGGTCAAACCCAATAGAATGGTAGCAACCAAAAGACAATGCAGATGACAAGAAGAGAGGGGAGAAAAACAATCACCGATGATTCGGCCTTTGTAGGAGAAAATCAGAAGAAAAGGGTATCACTTACTACCAGATATGCTTCTCGTGGAACATGCTGGTGAGATTGCTGCGCCAGTTACTGCGGGACCAGCGCGCACATTGCTTCAAGAATCGGGGGTTATCCTCTAGCGTGGTGAGCACCTCGGCCTCGGGGTGGTACTGCATATAAGTCTCCCAGCCATGCGAGACCATCCAGCGGGTGATGAAGTTGTCGTCATCGGCATTAAGCTGATACTTTCCCCACCACCACTCCTCGTTGGTGAACGCATAGGTGAAGCCCTCGTTCTGGAGAATCTTGGTGCGATATGCCACAGTACGGCCCGACATACACGGTAGACCTCCATCCACATTAGTGGTGGCCCCGCAGTCAAAGTTGCGTCGCTCCAGATACAAAGCGCCCAAGAATCCCCAGATGCGCTGGGAAAAAGTTGGCGAGACGGCCCGGCGCAATCGTTGGCAGGTCACCACGCCACCGTAACGCTCGTCCTTTTCGAAGGGGGCCAGAATCCACGGCAACACGGTCGAAGGCCAGCTCACGTCGTCGTCGACTAGGAGGGTGATGGCGGTGCGGACCTCGGGGATGGCGCGAGTCATTTGGCGGCGCTTGTTAGGGTGGGTGACGGTGAATAGGCGAATTCGCGACTGAGAGGCAGGCATCGCACTCAGCATCTTCTCGGCGCGCTTGCGATTGGCCTCGATGGTGACCAGGAGGATTTCGTAGGGTTGGTTTTCCAGGCATGACCGGATCGTCTCGACCAGTTCCTCGCCGCAGCCCTCTAGCGTGGGGATAATCACCGTCACATCTTGAGAGGTGAGTTTAGGGTTCTCGGGGGGAGGAATTGGCTTAAAAGTCCAGAACGAGACCAGATTAACCACGAGGCGGAAGTAGCGATAACAGCTAAAATGGTGCGAAAGTCAGTTTATAACTGTCTCGGGAGACGATGTGCATAGTTTTCGAGATTTTGATAGCGAATTTGACTGACAACAGTGCGACGAAGGCGCGCAGGAATGGAAATGCCATATCGTCTTTTTCAATTGACCACAACCGCGATTGGTCTTGGTTTTTTTTTTCTTTGTTCTTATTTTTTTGGAATTCCCTTCTTTTATTTAGGAGGGAGGTTTTTGTCCTCTTGAGTTCGATTCAACTAGACACCAAAATCACCCGATTAGCCGCGACTATTCTGGAATTTCTTCTTATTCGCCAAAATTCTTCTTACCTGGCACCGTGGGTGTCAATTGCAAATCGAATCTCGTGGTTATACCGTTTATAGAGGAGGAATGGGGGGAAAGAATCGGAGGAGGGAGGGGAGGCGTGATGGGCTGGTAGGAATCCAAAGAGCGAGGAAGCCAAAACGAATGTCGGGGAAGACACAGCTTCCTCAACCAGCCCAGGTAAATGGAGAGAAGGAAATAAGGGAAGAGGGAGAAGGGGAGGGGGAAAGAATAGAGAAGAAGCCAGAATGGTTCGACGGGCGTCGATGGCGAGTAATTTGTAGGCACATGCCTACGACAATCTTGATACTAACGCTCGCGAACAATTGAAACCAAAAGCCGCAGAAATATAAAAATCAATTTAAAAATATATAATAATGAAAAAAAAAATAATTAAAAGGGCCAAAAGTTCCTAAGCTAAAAAATAGAAAATCAAAAAAAGAACAATGCCCCCATAGTCGTTTTGAGGGAGCTGCAGGTGTAATTTTTTTTGCCTCGTGCGTCAGAGAGTCAGACCCTGGATCTAGATGGAGGCATGTCGAGGGTGGAGAGGGATTGGCGGCGGCCCATGCAGCGCAGTGACATGGAGTGGAGAGGCTAGGCGGGGGGCACGTATTTGGTATTCTTTGATTTATTATTTTTCGAACTCGATTACTGTATTATCATTTTTAGGATATTTTCGCCTGTCAGATTATTATCAAGACTATGGATTCAAGAAGATGGCTTATCATGAGTTAACATACTATACCATGCTGTAGATAGCATACAACATGTAGTAGTATGGAAAATCTCCAAGGCTGAGGCTCCAAGCCCCCTAAGATTGTTTTTTCTTTTCTTTTTTTCCCTCACTCTCGAGTATAATGGAAGGAACCGAGCTCAATCGTCTACAGAGCCTCCTCCCCTTTGGTGTACGAATCTAGCTTCTCTATCTCTCTGCGCATCATGCGCCCATTCTCGAAGCCGAAAGTCTAGCTAACTAGTCTGTAAAACGTCAACCAGAGTCATTCTGCACAAATGGCCAATTCCAACCCCCGATGATACCCTGATAGGCCCGGCAATGGCGATCACTATGGAATTATGGTTCGTTCAAATCTTGTTTATCAATCTTGTTAAGAGTCATAAAATCCTACAGGGCTTCCGGTCGCTCGACAGACTATTCTTAGAGTATACACAGTAACTAACATATAAGAATACGATTTATCCCATGCTACATAATTTCCATTACCTCCTCAGTTCTTACCAATACCACACCAAAAAAAAGAGTTTCTCCTACGATTCCATATCCATGGATGCGTGGGGTGCGTGAGTTGCGCGGGTGTGCGACCAGGCGTCAGCTGGGCCGCGCCCCATTCTCCATTCCCCCCCTCGGCCGCGCAACGGCCACCCTTCAACACGAGCGCAGCTGGGTACATTTTTGAGGGTTCACTTATGATTTGATGCCTTTTTGCTTTCTGATTCACATTTTTGCCTCTGGTCGCCTTCGCCATTTTGGTTCCTATTGTCCACCCGCAGCTATCCTGCGCTATGCGATCAAAATCTATTATTATGATGATACGACGTTGATTTTGTTATCTGGGGATTATTCCAGCCTCCTCCCCTATCTCCAGGCTGAAAACTCACCGGGTCCAAAAGCCGAGCCTCTAGGCGACTCATTGGCCATTGGGCGTTCCTTCGTCGCAGGTACACAGCGATCGACGAAAGCCGCTGTAGCCTTTTATGTGGCATGCAGCAAAAAAGCGGCAGAGAGACAGAGTCGACGGAGGGGAAGAAAAGGGAAGAATCAGTTGAATGATAGTGTAATGATAAATATGCTGTGATAGTAATGTGGTAATCTACAAGAAGATGAATTTATGAGGATCTTCTATGGATATGACAGGGAAAATCATAGCCACTATCCCTGTACTTCATAGTTTATCGTCCACAAGTATAAAGTACACAAGACATACATAATCTTATACCATGATGATGATGATGATGATGATCATCATCATCATCATCATCATCATAATATTCCGTCACATCGATCATAAAATGCAGAAGCAAAAACCAAGGAGAACATCTCCGATCATGCACGCGAGATTTCCTTGACAGGGAAAGAGGCGTTGCATGTCCGATGGAGTACTTGGCCGTGGGGCAACCCCCATTGGTGCCCAGCCCAGCAGAGAAACCTTTCTGTGCTGCACGCTTTACCCGGTCTTAGATCGACATTGGAGGATCCGGGCTGCAGCTGCAACGATTCGCTTACTACCACTGGACGGTCATATTCTGATTCGACCAGCTTTGACGTCGAAGAATCTATACCTAGTATAGCCTTGTACATTATGGATTTCTAACGCTACAGATGCTGGCACCATGAAATGAATATGCCGAGTACTCCGCACTATCGTTCAATATGCAGCCATCAGCAAATATACCCGAGCAGCCGTGGGAAAAGTAAAGGAACTAAGAATAACTACTAAGCAAGTCCAGTCACATCGAGACGAGGGTCGCGTTATCGTTGGCGAACCATCCCTCCCCCATTAGCTACTGGTTTAGTCAAACTAACTTAGTCCAACCAACCACCCGAACTGATTTGTGGAAGAATCGGCTCAAGTATCCAGACTCGCCATCTCGGCCTTGTGCTCACTCATTTGTCCAACGAAGCCAACCGACTAGCGCCGTGGTGGGCCTTCGCCAGGCAAGTGACTAGCGCGTTCATGATCCCCCCTCTCCCTTCCCGTACCTTTTCTGTTCCTCGTTGCGAATGAGAAACGGCCAAAAGGGGGGGAAACAAGGGGGTTCCACCTCTTGGCCCCTCTAACCATACACTCTCCGAACGCTGCATGGGATGATCGACCGTGATTCGCAGCGCGTGGCACAAGATGGGCTTTCTTTAATTTAAGCGTGCGTTGAACAAGAGGAGAGAACAATGATTTTGACTAAAATCGGAAAATGAAAAAAGCAATAGGCTGCTAAAAGGGAATATACCCAGTCACGCATATTACATACAGCAACCGGGGCTCGTGAGTAAGAAAGGGCATTCCAAAGATGCGCCCGTGTCGAACTCCAAACGCTTCAAGAAGAAACGGGAATCCTGGCGGCGATCGTCTTGTGTCTGTGTGTAACCATCCAGCTAACCACCAACTAAGCTATGGACTCTAGGTTATGCCGGATATTGTTGCCAGCTAATCCCTTCAAGAGCCTTTTTACGTTCAATGGCCGGGGTTGTTCCGCTCGGGCAGTGGGAAAAAAGCTTGGGTGGGGCAGGGCGAAAAAGTGTGTGCGCGAGTCAAAATGGAAGAAAAGGAACACGATCGGTACGAACGGGAAACTAATCGTGAACCAAGTTGGAGATGAATTCTATACTGACAAATCATATGTCATCTGTTCGAGCTGAATCCGACGATGCAACTCGGAGCCGAGAGGTACACAGTACGGAGTCGACGTTTTTATTGCATATGCCTATGTCTATGTCTATATGCATATGCCTGACAGTATCATACGGAGTAGACTAAATCTCGATAAAAATTGACACAAAGTACATTGCAGATGTAAACGCGAGATTGCGAAATTGAACGAGGGAGTTATCAGAAGGCAACTCGAATCACCATTTGCGGTCGATGCCGCAACGGCCCCCAAACAGGGTTTAGGCGACCCAGCTGGGCGGCGCGTACAAAGTTAACAAAGTAACAGTAACGAAGTAAATTGGTTTAACGAGAGGGGAGAACTGTAGTAGTATAGTGAAGTCGACCGAGGACACAAATGGTATGTCAAAGGTCAAGTCAGCGACAATGATAATCTCTACGGTGGTTCTCCGACTATGACTACGACTACTACATACTACACTACCAGCCCTGTTGCTAGTATTGCCCATATAGTACTAGTTAGACGATAAGAGGGTCCTCCTGCTCGGCTCGTGGGTAACTTTCTCATGCTGACGCTCTGGAGCGCCCCTCCTTCTCATTCAGGCGAATCTCTGTGAACTTAGCTATGGATCCAACGATTATGGAATGCATCCTCTCAAATCAACTTTGAGTCTGTGACCCTGACCAGGATACATACATACCAGTAACTATCTCTATTGATAAATACTTGACCACCAGCAATAGTTACCAGCTACCCCCACGTCCTTAGTACCTCGTAGAATACTCAGAGCCAGCTTAAATAGTACAACCCCCAACCAGGATCTGATTGGCATCGCAACGGCCGAACCTAGTCAACGACTCCTTCCATTCTGGCGTTCCACCGACCACTGACTCGCAGGCGCGCCAGTGTCGCTTTGGCGTCTAATCGAGCAAAGGAGCTTGTGCTGAGGAAGGACTACCGGGCCAGCCTTAGCGGAGCCCGGTGCATCTGCAGCAGGCCTAAAGAGGAGATCATTATCTCCGCCCATGCACGCGCTCCAAGGTCATGATCGGCCGTGAAAAGTATATTTCTTTCCCGTCCGGAGATGGGAACGGGGGAAAGAGAGAGGGAGTACGGAGGACTGTAGTCTGCACAGTACAGTAGTCATAGCTTCGGTGTTTTCTTTTTTTTTAGTATAATTTCTTTTTTTCATTGTTTATTTAACATAAACATGTAAATTAAATTGCTAGTTATATGATTTTCTTCATTGATTAATCTGTACCTGAAGATCTATGTATACTAGGTTATAAGTACAATTTCTTGTTATGCCCCCATTCTAGTATCTACTATGAGTGTATGGCTGACTGCGGCTTTTGACTTTGAACTCGGTGGCTATGTAACTATCGAGTACTCCATACCTTCACTTTGAATGAATCTGACCATTTGAAAGCAGAGATCAGACCCTACCGCTGTGCCGAACACGGG